AGGTCAACAGGGCGAGCCTGGATGATCGTGAAAGCATGTTGTGCCGTATGTATTTCGTGCATATTGGCGATTTCTCGATTGGGCAGCCCTTCTTAGCCTTGACAAGAACCTCGCCCGCAAAAAGGCGTATTAATTGCTGTGTAGCCTTTTTATCCACACTTAGCGCACCGAAAATTCGAATTCGCGAAGGTCAAAACCTCAACGTTTGCAGACCTCCAATCCCCATTTGCCACTAATGCGTTGGCTTTTCCCGAGCGTTCTCGGAGCAGAAACGATCGGCTAAGATGGAAGAATATCTTTGAGCCTAGCCCAGCCTCGAAGCCGGTGTCGTACGATAGTAGGAGGGAACAAGCTCGACGGGTTTTGGGTACTTCAGCTTCGGGGTGCTGTTGAACCCGGCCCATTTTGACAGTTTGAGGGGTTCGTAGCCGAGCAGAAAGATCGTGAACGGCCAGTCAGAAATCTGGAAAGCTATCAGAGCCCCCTTCGCTTCCCTCGGATAGGGAAAAGATGCATGTTCCTTCGATTGCAGCGCAGCGGTGCACATGTAACTTTATGCAAGCCATTGTGATCTTTCTCGTAAGTTAAAAACGAAAGTCAAATCAAAAAAAAAACGATCAATACCGAGGCCTTTTATAAGAAATATTTCTATCATATTTTAGATTTTAACCCGACGTTAATGTTCCGTACGCAGTTGCCGATGTTGAGAGATACATTACCACCACTCAGCCCAAATGTCGGGACAAATCTTGTGATCACTTGAACATGTTAAACGTTTTCTATCAAGATCCGCAAAGACCATCCCACAATCAATTGAGAGATACAACCTTGTGTGTGGGTTTTACAAGCTCTAGATGACACCGTGAGCTGACATCGTCTTGGCCTTTTTTGTTTTCCCTTCCCCCCGTCGAAAACTAAAAGCTTGTATATGTCCAATCAGGTTGTCCAGATTCCCGGAATGAGCATTCCAAAGCTGCCGGCTAGCTGCCTGTACACCTCCTGCAGAAAGGTACCCAAGGGACGTTTAATTATTTAGAGAAACACAGCATCTTCGGCAGGAATGGTATAACAACGGCTTCTGCCGCCTCGATATCGGGTGCCTTGAAATCTCGTCCTGCCGCAAACAGGAAAATAATCAAGCAAGCCTGAGCCGCAAAGGTTAAGATTGCAGTCCAACCACCAAGGACCGATATTTCCCCGTCAAGGAATCCGAACGCCTCACTTTATCTGATGTCCGGGGGGGTTTGTGGTGGTAACCAAACCAAACCAAACCAAACCAGACCAAACCAAACCAGGCCCTCAAATTTATATGCTACCCCCCTCCAGCCTAATACGGGCCTTGATCTGTTGACATTTTTGGAAAACGAATTGTCGGAGGTAGGACTGCATTGGGAGATTTGTTCAGGACCTAGCTTGAACGTGAACGGCATATGCAAGTAAAAATGCTGATTTCATCCCGCAGGTTGCGCTTGCAGATGGGGGGCCACCTCCCGCGCGATAATGTCGATAGCGTTATAATATTAGAAAAGAGGTAAAGTCAATGCCTAGGATAGGATTCTGTCCGTTAGGTGATGGTTTGACGAGAAAAGTATGGCGATGTGCTGATATACCATAGAAGGAAGTGGATGGACCTAAAAATATGAGCTCCTCGGCTGGTCCTTTTGTATTTGGGCCCTTGGGTCCAAGGGTATCCTATTGGAGTCCTTTTTGTATTTGCATAAACTCACCAATGCAAGTAACTCTGTCGGATGCGAGCAAGGTTTCCCCACCATTGATATTGCAAATATTGGATTTCGTTGAGGTATACTTTGGCTAGTGCGCAACTTCAATTGCTTATCGGACGTCGAGGGGGCATGTCTGTCCAATCTAAGATTGAGTTCACCCAATATATACTCTTATAAAAAAAAAGATAATCCGATAATACTACCTATGTATAACACTGTCCGCAGAAGATCTCCCGTTACGATTAATTAACACCCGCAAGAGAGTTTACATGCCAATGGTCGCACAAACGATGGTTCGGAGAAAAAAAAGGTTGCCATTTCAAGAAGGTTTTACAGTGGATCGCCAACTTCTGCCTCGAAAACCTTCAACTTATCAGTTATAATTAATTAGCTCGACATGACATGGTCGAGCTTCCCAGTCCATAATACCTAGAAATAGTATCTGGACCTCCACACCTCGCTAAACCACGCCTTCTCCCATGGATCAGGATGAAGAGAGCTAATCGATTCAACCGTACCCCGTACGAAGGTTGAATGCAGTTAGACCCAAGCTTGAGCAAACCGTACATGGTGTCAGTTTCACTGTTCGATAGGTCACTAGCTGTCCCATGACATAACCATGCAGAATAGGCTCCTTTGGGGATTTGTCGACGAACCGACAATTAATAGGCTAACTATTATTTTCCGTTATCCTCCTAACGTTTCGTGCGTGCGTGCGTGCGTGTGTGTATGTATGTATGCGTGCTGCTTTGCTTTGCTTTGCTTGTCATAGGTACAGACCCCAAAAAAGAGTATCTGCCCATATGCGCGATGTCATCATCATGTCATATATTTGGCACTAGCATGCTTCCAACCGCTGCTAAGTATACCCTTGTTCGGCCACATAACCCTACCTCGCAACCCGCACCCTCCTCGAGATCACCCTGAGTTTCCCGGTTTTTCTCGGTGACGAAGTCCTACTAATTGTCACGATAGCATCGTGGCATCTACGTGTAGTGGATACGTCGTGGTGTTTTTCCCTCTTTCCCTCTTTTTCTCCCTTGATTTCTTAAAAGGATGATTTCCTCATTACCTCAAAGTGATTTTCATTGATGGGATCCACTCCCACACACCCGAACGACGCAGGGTAATGTTTCTCATGTCATAGTTTCAACGATTGAGAAATGGTACCGAGAAAGCAGCCCACAATCAGGAGTTTCATGTCCCATGCTTTCCCCCCCGCCATCGTCACAGTGAGATAAGGGTATGATGCCCAAAACGATGCGGCCAACCTGGCAGTCAGTTAATACTAGCCAAAAAGTAGTACCGCAGTCGGTTTAGTTTGGAACAAAGACGAGAATAGCGTGGGAAGAAACGTGTTCATTGCAACGGGCGGCTCCATTTTTTTTCGTCTGAAGACCACAGCGTAATGATCATCCACCCGCCCTACTGGCTGCTGCTTTTGGGAGAATAACCCAATAGCTACTCCATAGTTGATTCCGTCAACGTATAGTATCATTGTGACTTCACCTGCATACTATAAGCTTTCCGTCGAATAAAAATAAAATAAAATAAAATAAATACGGGTTCGAACGTACGTGCATCACATCGCAATGAGGGTCCCACCCCGGGCACCCTGAATATGAATCGATGCAGGGTTATTACCGGGCCACGGCCACGGCCACGGGTTCCGTGTGATAATTCGTATCCACACCCTGTATATGCCCTTGCAAGGCCTTACCGTTGACCGCCGTGGGGCGTTCTGTAACTTTTGAGCATGAGGCCGTATAATTAAGATATCGTCGGAGCTCCAACGAAAGGCATCATAATCAGTTGAATGCCCTCAAAAAGTCAGCCAGTAAGTAGCGCATGCCCTCATACATACCTAGGATTGAAGTTCGCGAATTCGAACGTACATATCAGATATATCACAATTGCAATCGATCACGAGTGTGGGGGTTCCTCTGATATGGGACAAGGGGGGTATCCTTCCCAAACGGTTCACAACGCAAATACGGACGACGTTGAAAATGCGATATCACAATTGGAATTGCCTAACCAGCCACTTCGACAGGACGGATGTATGTAAAACCCTCATGGGCACCATTACTATTAATAAGTACATACTTCTTGCATTGCCGTTGAAGCCGCGTCCGCCTTTCCTTCCTTCCGTCGGCAATTTCTTAGAAAAAATATTAATAAAAAGCATAAGACCTTCCTTCTTTTTGTTTTCAGCTCCACTTTGCTCGGTATCGCCTACATGATTTCTCCACATTTTCAAATCCATGGGTTAAAAAAAAACGCAGGAAAGGCTGGAATGATGCCTCGCAATTAATTAATCCTCGCTTCACATCCAGCCACATATATTATTATACACATGCGCATGCATCTGACAGGAAATACAAGGCGAGAGATAGAAAGAGAGAGGGAAAGAGATGCATCTCATCCCATAAAAGATATACGGGCATACTACCCCAGATTAGTTATTTAGCCGTAATCCCTCCCAAGCCTTGACGGCTAGTGTCGCATGTTTCTTGCGTCTTGCATAAATCACTCATGATTTGGGGCAGAAGGCCTTTCTAGCTAATCCGTTCGAATTGTGGAGTATATCTTAGCTGCTGCTTCCTACATACATCCCGGCATACGTATGTAGATGCAGGCTATGCTATCCGTCGACGCCCGCCCGGTATACACACTCGCATTTGGATTAATTTGCTATTTTTGAAAGAGGTCGGGACCTTTATGGCCCTCGAATCGAGTAACTATCTTAGATAACTAGGCGAAGGAGTCATGTCATGTCAGATCATGTCATGCCATCGAATTGTAATGTTGACGTCTGGATAGGATAGCGCAGCGCAATATGCAACATCATGTCAATTAGACATGACATGACTCGGGTCTTTATTATCGTAGCACCATCTCGGGTAACTTGCCTACCCAGATTTAATTCTGCATGATCAAGCGTTTCTAGAGTCAGATTCTTGACTGCTGTAGCTATTTAAACCCCGGACTTGGCTGCCACACTCCTCAAGCAAGATCTCCTCGGTAATCGCCCGTGGCTTGGGTGCTAGTAAAAGCTTAAAAACCTTATTTCGAGGTTCGTGAAACAATAGGAGGGGAGGTTAGAATAAGACGCTGGTTGGTTCATTGATGTGTGTATTAATGATTTTCGTTAATTATTTGCGGAGTACATTAGCTATAAAAACCTCGTATCACAATCGTCTGATCATTCGAGATAAAGTGGGGGCATTATCTTGGCTGCAGGACTATCTGTCAGCTTTATACATGATTACGAAACTAGACAAACCATATGGCCGTCGATGCAAAGATTGCAAAAACAAATGCGTTCGTGGACCTGAAAGATTCGAAACCAGTACCAGAACTAGACCAGTTCAGCCAATCCTCAATCTCCTTCTTCGAATCTGCCTTAGTGCCACTTCTTGTTGGCAGCTCCTGATATTGAGGACATGAGAAGGCTCCTCTGATAGTTCCATTGTTCTTGAACCCTTGGAGATCTGCACAGTTGAACCCGGCTTCATCATTTCCCAGAGAAAAGACACCACCAACTCTATCCAACTCTGGAAATCTTACACTCTCAAAAGTACCCTCCAACCCAACGTTGCCAGTAACTCTCTTTAGCATTGGGAATGAAATATCCTCAAGTTCAGAGTTATTCCTAATCACCAAGTCCAACTGTACAGCCTCCAAAGCTGGGAACGATAGACTCTTCAGGTTTCCAGAGTTTTGAATGAGGAGCCCTCTGTTGTTTGTGATGCTGCTAGAAGGATCGTACCAGATCCCCACATCCCGTAACTTTGGTGCCTCCAAAGTTTCCACCGTACTGTCATTGACAACAAAATGACCGATGGCTCTTTCCAACTCTGGGATCTCCAAGCTAGATATCCTCTGGAATTCGAAGAAGAAGACTTCCTTTAACGCAGGAAGGGAAACTTCAACACCCGGTTTATTTCTCCTCAAGGCAACGTTATACGAAGCATTCGTCAACGCTGTGAGTTCTAATTTCTCCAGTTCCTTGTTATCAAAAATCTCCACAAACACCGCAAAAGGAAGTTTATCGTTCTTAATCTCTTTGAGCGAGGTATTCGTAACCTCGTAATTATTCTCAATGGTTTCCAACGTCGACAAAAAGTTCGCAGATGTCAGCGAGGGAAGATTGTTCAACCGCACTCTGTTGATAGTCGTAAGAACGGGCATGTTGATCGTGGTAAGGTTAACCCATCGTGAAATGTAAACATCGGCCCTGACTGTAGTAAGTTTTGGAGCGGATAGCCGGGTGACCCGGATATCTTCATCAAAATTGATGGAGAGGAAGCTCCCATCAACTGATTCAAGATTTGGGAATTCCATTGTGGCCGGGTAGTCGCTGGCATACTGGATTACGATGTCGCCGGCGACTGTAGTACATTCTTGCGCCGTTGTGAGGACTCGGCGAGAGTCGATGAGGAGAGTAGAGTTATCGCATATGGAAGGAGTAGATTGCGATTTTGCGGAGTGTAGGCTGCTTAGCCCGACAGCCGTTAAGAATAAAACCTTCGAAATCATGTTGATACTACAGGTATATGTCTAGGATATATAAATAAGTATATAAATTAAGTATCAATGTATATATCTTCAACTGCGCAGCCCAGGTGCAATACCGAAGAATGGGGGTGGGGGGAGTTCAAAAATCAAATCCCCGATCAATCGCGCGACATCGAGTATCCTTTTTATACAAATCGAATTCTTTCGCGCGAATGGAAAAACCCAAATTGAGATTGAAATTGCATTAAATTTCCGACGGGGGCCAACCGAGCCTCAATAATTTTCCCTAGCTTGACGTCATGACTCGTATCCGGCTGAACCTATGAAAACTAGAGTTTGCAATATATCGCTATCGCGATATATCCACCCGAAGGTCTTGGCTCGAAGACCACATTCTCAAATGCTCGATGATCGTTGGTGGTCGAATTGTGGGCTTTTTGCCCATTAGCAAACCTTTTGTTAAGACCCACAGCTTGGCGGTTGGTGCTTGAGTTGGATTCAAACCATTTTTTTAACTCTAGCTTGCTTGCATGGGGCAGTGCGGACAATAGCCTAATAGTGGATCGAAGATCGGATTTATTCGATGCCGAAATGCGAGTTATTCTATATTCAGCGTGATACTGCGCGTTAGCTATAGCTATAGCTATGGATTGATCTGGGGAAGGAAATCGAACTTGGGATATATACCTGCAGTCCCGAAGCCTAGAAACCTGATATCATTCCATCATGAGTATCGAATCACGAAGGTCGAAACCCAACCTTTCTAGATATACAATGGCGCATGACTGGGCAGATAAATTCTCTTGGACAGAGCCGGGAAAACGACTCCGGCCTATCGATATATCGTGGGTATCAAATTCATTGTCAAACTAAATAAATAGGTGGCCAGAGAGGATAAAACCCAAAAGTACAAATACAAAATCCATCAACGTCAAAAGATTCTGGGTGGGACAGCCAAAGATACAAGCGGATATTAGACTAGTCCTGGAAACATTCGCATGCGTGAGAAACTTAACTTGTCCACAATTAACCAACTGACGAGATATAAAAGAAGGAGCGTATAAGGCTACACCACTGATTTGACAACTAAACATTTCAGAAATAAAATTGCTGTGAGGACATGCGTAAAAAGGCCGTGACATTGGCGACATCGATAAATATTTGAATAATAGGTCGTTATAGAAGGATAGGATGAAAAAAAAAAATTATTACGAAAAAGGAATTACTACTCCGTAAAAGAGACCATAACAGTCGGTATCAAAGAAAAAAGAAACCCTTTTGACTACCCCCAGAAATGATAAATGTGCTTTGGTTCACTTTCCAACGCCAGAAAATGCATGTAAGTTGCATCCGATTATGCAAAGACTTTTCTGCCTCTCTTTTAGATTTTCTCTAACTGTATTTCCGCATCCCCTAACTTTTCTTTCCCCTATCAACTTTTGTGCAGACTGGTTTCCAACACGGGACCAGGTCGCAATTTTGGTGCTTTTTGAGATGAATTATGTGCCGCATCTAGGGTTTCTCGTAGGGTGCATAATCATGGCATCGCGAACCCGTTACGATTTCCTAGTGCGCACTTTTGGTCGTCTAGATTTTGCCGTCTTCTTCGGGAGCTTCTGTTTCATTTCCACACCCTCATCCTCCTGTTCACCTTCCTCAGTCTCAAAACCTTCATCTAGTTGGACATTCTCCTCCAAAATGACCTCTGGAGGCGGACTAATCCTTTTGGAAGAAGACGCCTGCGGAGTATTAGTCTGGGTCGATGTCTCGCTGTCAGGGTTCCTCTTAGATTGTTCGATCATCAAAGATAATTGAGACTTTGTCCTTTGAAACACCGGTCGTTCGAAAGCTTCTTTCTCGACGATACTGGGAAGGACCTCGGAGATGGGTAGGAATGCGCTTTCGACCACGGGTACAGCTGGTCCTGGTGTGCCCTCATCGCCGGCGGACTTAAGTGGGACAACGGAGTCCACAACTAGAATGCTCCTGCCTCGTCCTCCACGTTTCGTTCGAGGTATAGCAACAGCCGTCATAGAAGCTGTAGCAATAGTTGCATTTGTTTTCAAGGGTCCTTTGACGATAGGGTTCCCGGCAATGGCTGATAACCTGTCCTTCTTCCGTTGCTCGAGATACTTTGCTCTGAAATCGGGCTCCACTAACCAGTCCTCCTTACTCTTTGTTGAACCCACCTCGCTCGATTTTCTAGAGCTTGCTCCGGATCGTACGCTTGTTGAACTATAGTCAGTGTCCTTTCCGCTTTGCGAAGCGGCGTCCTGGAGATTCGTGATTTCGGTTGTAGCTGTAACTGGTGTTGATCTCCCGCTGGATGCCGTAGCATTCGAAGAGTTCGAAGTCGTTCGGCTGGGAGCCGCAGGGCGAAGTCCTCGTTTTTTATCCTGTTTTCCTTTCCGTAAGATTCCCTTGTGTTTTATACCGCGAGCCGTTGTGCCGTTTTTTGGCCTGGTGGATACGATTTCACGACCGATTTGAACCTGAGCGTTGTTTGTTGTTAACGGGTATGACTGATGGCCTCTGGTCAACGCTGGTCGGATAGGTGCCTCGGGGAGTACTGCGGGTGAAGGTGGCGGAACTTTCGGTGGCATTGCTGGCGATGGTGGAGTGTTCGGGTACGCCTGTAATAACGAAGCACTGAGGGCTGTCTGGGAGGGCTGGTATAGAACATTGTTGGATGGTGATAACCTTGAATAGGGACTGGGTGGCGGAGTAGGCGGAACGGATATATCAACGGGGACCTGTTTAATAACCGATTTCGATGGCGGTGGGATCTTATAAGCACTATTCGCGATTGCTTCTTCACCTTGGTCTATCATCAAAAAGATCTTTGCAACAGTATTTCCAGAGATGTTTTCCTGAATCCGGGTGGAGCCCCATATTCTCCAGAAGAGGTTTTCCAGTCGCCGACCAGTTGCGATGATGTTTTTATTTGTCGTATACACTATTATCCATCCCGGTTCGTATCAGTATCACACTTTTCATTGCAACTTTGAAAGGGTTGCAACAGAGCAGATTAAGAAGCAAGGTTCCAGCATCTTCAATTCCCCGGGGTCCAGTCCAGTTAAGTGTCGGATCGGCTCGGTTCGGGAGAGCGGTGATCATCCAGGCCTATTGAAAGAAAGGTCGATTTTGGAAAGAAAGATGTGGTCCCAATACCCTGTGGTTGTGCTTGCATTGTATGTTTGTGGGCGGGACAGCTGCTAAGACTTACCCTTCCATAGTCGTGTGAGTTCTTCGACCTGCACTTTATCAATCTTTCGTATATCATCCGTCAACGAGTGTCGGTTGTCGACTATCTGGGGCAGCCCATGGTTCATCATGGTATATACTAGTAGTCGAGCCGCGACTGCTTAGCTAAGAAGCAGACGAAACTTGGCTAGAAGTAGAGCTACCAGAGACTTGGGAGCTAAAAGGAGAGAAAAAGAGTATTCGTCCCCCACAGTATGGTAGCCCCGAGAAGGTTCCAAGGTCCGCGGGCGGGCAATATAAAAAGAACAATAGAAAGCCTGGGTCGACTTTTATGGTTGGAAGAGATACAAAGAGGTCGTCAAGGCTGGAAAACAAGATTATAGCAAAAGAAGAGGAGAAAGAAGAAGAAGAAGCAAGGGATAAACTAAAGAAACGAAAAGGAGATCGCTAGGAAAGTTGAACCGATGATAGAGGGGTTCGAGCGGCCCGACAGGATGGAACAAAGCCGGGGAAAAGTGGAGGCGACGAGGAGGCTGCAGATTATATGCAAGTAGAAACTTTGGGGAAAGGACCACGTGGACCTTCAGCTAATGTCGCGATATGTTAAATCCCCATTTGAGTAAGGCTTTGTCGGATGGTTGTCAGATGATGGATAATTCAAAGGGTAGCGTGTACTGGATCGTCCGCTAAGGTGGTCCTCGTGAATGTCAGCCGGTTCCCCGCAATACGCGGCTTTTGGGTTTGAAGACCCTTGAAGAAGTGGTCTGTGTGTGTTTTATATAATTAGGAAGCGGAGTCCATGCTACAGTGAGCTATTATAAATTATTACGAACTCCAAGTTTTCGTTTTTCCTCCCCAGTAAGCAGACTCGCAGCTCCTAGAGAAGGTTCGAGCTCTGGCAAATCAGCTTTATAAATTTGGCTTTGCTGATGCGAGATGTGTTGTCCCTGTCGACAATTGTCGTCCTCCCCAGCTGCTTTTATGCAGGGTTCAACTTTAGGAACTGGATTTTGCGCGGTAGGGCATTTGGTGTTCTGGACCTTCGGAGCTAATTTTGCGGGGAAAGGAAGGAGGAAGATGAAGGGGATGAGTCGATCTGTCCCTCTTCTAGCCTCTGCAAAGAAAAGAGAAAACGATGGGCTGGGCCTTCCACAAATTATATTGGTCTGGTACTCTGGCAAGACTTTGAGCTAGCAGGCCAGACGGTAGTCGGAGGGTTATAGGGTGCGCCTATCAAAGCTCAGAGCTGGGATGCAGAGAGGCAAAACCGACGAGGATAGTGGCTGACAGGGACAAAGCAAAACGTCAGTTGCCTGTATTACGAGGAAACATGCCACTTCGCTGCGGGTACAATAGAATCCGGGTCTCCTCAGCCCGATGGTGAGATATGCTGCTAAGGTTGTGTCAGGACGACGTGCTTGGTGTCCTGATGCAATGGTTCTTTTGATATCGGTTAAGGATGGTGATCTTCCCTAGGGTCGACTAGCTTCGACTGTAGCTATGCCCTTGTACAAAGATCGTCTGCGGGAAGGTACCTATTGGTGGCCACAGCCCTTACAAAGTTGAAGAAAGGGTCTGCAGGCTTGCTTTGTTTTGGTTTGGTCGATGGTGCGCCGGAGACGAAGAAAATATATCAGTGCGTGGTGAGAGAAGGTTTCAGGTTCTCTTCGAGACTTCTTTTGCATGTGCTTGGTTGCTTGTTCCCCGCGTTCTTCAAGGAGAAAACTTCCCACGCATCAAGAGAAAAATTTTTTCCTTTCTTCTTTCACCTCTTGTGGATGGGATCGTACGAGCCAGGTCTAAGTGGAGGGTACGGATATATTTTGTTCTGGTAATGTCCCGTTAATAATTATCGCTCTTAAAGGCTCGTTTGGCGTCATGGCCAGATGGGTATTCTCGTGAGAAGGGTTCCTCCCACGGATGTATTACACAACAACAACTACTAAGCAATAGGACCTCTTCTTTGATCCCCGAAAAGAAAAGAAAAAGGATTCAAAGGGGAGCGCAGTTGGAAATACCTGGTAAGACGCCTGGTCAAGAACCACAAATTTTTCGGTGACCCCCGCGCATTTAGGAAAACCGAGGGGAGAAAAAAAAAAAAAAGCTTTCTAAATCTCAGATGAGCATCTGATATGCCTTGCCTGCCCGTTTTTCGCTACTCCGCTTATTCTTCCAGGAATAGCTTGTGCCTGGAGGCAGCTGAAAATCTCGCTGGGGACTTGCTCTTATAAGGGTCAAAAGGTGCGACTGTTCAACTGGAGATCCCATCCCCTGCTGAACAGAAGGCGGTGGCTCTCTTTTTGTGGACTCTGGCTTTGGTCTAGCTGGAATGCCTGCACAAAAGGGGTGCTCGCAAGTAGTGAACTCCAGCAACTGCTTTGAAATGTTGGGGAGCAAACACGTTTAGTCTGCCGCCTTAATAAGTGGTTAAAGATTACTTCGTGCTAGCACGTTCGGATAGGTGAGGGCATCTGCAAGCCTCGATAGACCTATAAACGGCTTGGGAGCGGAACCTGTCAACGAACTGCTTCCCATGAACTCCGTTGCATACCGTAGATTATATGCAGCGGAGAAAAGCAATTAATAATCCACTCTCGAAACATGATTCGGCCAGTGAAACGAGAGGATAAAAGAAGAACAGGTGGAGAGATTGGAAAGGCAAGAAAGCTTGAACCTTTTGATCAAGTGATACATGATGGAGGGAAAGGATTTTTAGACTTTTGGGTTCGTTTTCAGCGCAGAAAAGCACACCTTCATGTTGGACAAAGGGAGCTTGGCAAGATGTAGCCATGTCGACCGGATCCCGTGCCCATGCAAGGACTATGCACGGCAGCTCTCGAACCTTTAAAACCCCCCATACAGCCGTCCGACTAGCAAGGGAAGCAAATCCCCAGATCCTGGATTGCAAGGTCAAGGAAGAATAACCCTGCCTATGCAGTGAAGCAGCAAAACTAAGATCTGAATGTGAGGGTCTGGATGCTATGAAAGCGTCTGGCCCAGGCTTCGAAAACGGCGACTGTAACGGTGACAGGAAATGCAATTCTTTCTTCTCAAATCTTACCTTTAAACTCTGGAATGCTCTAAACCATATACTGGTAACGAGGGTTGATTGCATCCTTATAGGACTCTTGGAAACTTACGGAAGTTCGATGTGCGAAGTGTGGGGTTTCTCGATACCACACATTGCATCTTCGTTGGCGGAAATGTGCATCTCGTTTCGACATTGCGACGGTGGCTTTAAACCTTGAGGTTCCCGTCCACGGACATGCTGCTTAACGCGGCACCATGTACCACTGCATTCCCTGTCAGATCCCGAAGCCATCGCCGCCTCGAACCTGAAGCTCGTCCTTTCAAGGTTATTGAGTTGGCCATATAGGGACTTCTATTGTATCCTTTTTTGGTGAGAAAAAAGAAACCTGAAGGTCACAGGACCTATCAAGATATTGCATTGGTGACAGGCGCAAGCATGTTGGTGTTCCGTCGCCCCATTCCACTAGGATGATCAAGCTTGGTGATGGATCAGGTGGACCTTTGTACAAGTTTTTGATGCTGACGGGGCTATGGTTATCTGATTGTGGGAGCCGTAATAAATATCTCAGTATCTAGCATGTTATTAGTGCGCTGCCTAGGCTTCATCGAGGAGAGATGCATACTATACATCACAGATATGCACGCAATAGCTTCAATCTCATATCTGTTCAATAGGATCTGGGGTATGTGGCTTACCATACTCATCCATGGCCGGTTCTAACCGAATTATCTTGATAGACGGCGACGATGCAATGATGCTTGAAGTTGCAGTTGATATCATATTTCCATTACATTGGAAGTGGGGCTTATGGTTTCTGGCTGGTGCACCGCCACAGTAATATGAGATGTGTTGAAGTGGCTAGTGCTTAGCGACAGCACAACTTCCGACGTCAATGTGAACGGTGTCTTGAGTAGGGAGCTGTGTAGCGCAAGTACACGAACACACCCCACTCCAACTACCATCCAAACCCCCTCCACTTCGCCATTCCTGCACGGTATCGCCGTTTATAAATCCGCCGGAACCGTTGCTACCACCATGTGGCTGCGGCACAATCCGCTCCACTACTTCCTGCTCGCAGGGTCCTTGTTAAGTTCGTCGTGTCAAGCAGTATTCAGCGACGAGGCCTTCCATACAGACTTCCAAGTCCAACTCTTTGGCACGGCATTAGACCCATCGAGTACCTTCTTTCATCAAGCTGCAGCTGGCAAAACCGGCTCATTATTATATACGCTATCGAATCGATTGGTCATCGGCGCGATCAACCCCAAAGATGGAGCCCAAGTCTGGAGACAACGTCTTGGGGAAGGAACCGTGTCTGAGTCTGAAGAATTGAGTAAATCAGCTTGGTTAAGGAAATCCAAAGACGGCAGGATAGTGTCGGTTTTTGATAAGGCGATAGCACTTTGGGATGCAGCAACTGGACGAGCTGTTTGGGAATACTCTGCAAGTGTCACGGTTGCGGATGTAATTACGCTTGAGGCAGAGAACCTCCTTGTGGTCGCCTTGAAGGGAGGTGAAGTCAAAGCTATCAAATTGGCGTCCGGAGAAATTGCCTGGGAGACTCTTGTCGGAGAAGGGTAAGTTGAAGTCGTAAAGAACTGATCCAATAACAAGCTAATATTCTGCTAGTCGCGATGTTGCCTCGAATTTCAACCTTGTCGGCGACCGACTGTTCCTCACATTGAGTGAACCTGCGGCCACGGCACTGAAGACTGTAGTTATATCGCCGGCAACTGGTGCCCAGCTTGAGACCTTTATTGATGGTGTCTTCGGTCAATCCGATAACCATGTTTCAACCCCCCAGATGCTGCCAATTACAGCCTTCAGAGACTCAGATCAACTGAAGTTAAATACTTTGGGGACAAAGCAAACCAAATCCCTTGGAGTAGACAGTACTGTTCACGATTATAGACTGCACTCTGTTACCCAGGATACCCTTTTCATCGAGTACTGGGCAAAGTCACCAGATTCGGCCACCTCTTGGGCGGACTTTTACACTATTAAGGACGGGGTTGTTACAAAAAAGACCAGTCTTCCTTACGAAAACGCTATCAGTGTGTTTTCCTTATCAGATAGCGGCTCTGGTATCTTTGCTACCAGAGTTAACCGCGCTGAAATCCGCATCTATGATGCCGAGTCTGAAAACCAAGTAAAAGCATTTGAGCTACCCAAGTTGTTACCAGCCGAGCCACTCCACGTCGTGGCCGAGGTCGTCAAACGCAAGGACGGTGCAATCGCCGTGCGAGCTGCTGTCACCCTCGCAGATGGTAACATGGTTCTAGTCCGAAATGACCAGATCGTTTGGACCCGACAAGAGGCTTTGGCTTCTGCTGTTGCCGCTGAATTCGTGGATGTTCATGAGGTTGAGGATACACTTGAGAAGACATTACATGCCGAAGAAACTAGCAACCTTGTCACAGCATATATCAAGCGTGTCACACGACACATTGAGGAACTCAAATACCTTCCTGGTTGGATTGCTGGGTTTCAAGAGAGTATCTTAGGAATATTCGGACCCGCTACCCCGACTGACACCGCCATTACAAAAGATCCTTTCGGTTACCGAAAGTTCGTAGTTCTTGTTACTCGTTTTGGTTGGGTGACTGCCATTGATACCGCCAATCGGGGCGAGGTCGTCTGGACCATTAACCTTGGTAAAACTGAGATCTTGGAAAAGGATATCAAGGGTATCTTTCACTTCGGTAAGGGGGTCGTTCTGGTTGTCCTTACCTCCGGGGACATCTATAAAATAGATGCTATCACCGGAAAGGGTCTCAAGAGGACAGCTATCCAAATCCTTCCTTCAGCTAGTGTGATGACAGTCGAGTCCCCCACATCTGACGACCGATGGATCATTGCTATTCCCGCTAGAGAGAGTGTGAAAGGCTGGTTCTGGCCCGACGAAAAGGAAGAGGAGCTCACTAAGGCCCTTTCGAAGGCCACACTCTCGCGAAAATGCGAGGGTTCCACTGGCATCTGTGGGTACACTGCTAAGCCGATCATTGGCGGCCGTCTCATCCTCACCCCAACCTGGTCCTTCCGCCTCCCCCAAAATCAAAAGGTAGTTTCCATCAGCACCCGCCCTGCCCACGACCCAATCGCCTCAATCGGAAAGGTCCTCGGCGACCGGTCTGTGATGTACAAATACGTAAACCCGCATTTGGCCCTCTTAATCGCTTCTGCCCCGTCTTCATCCTCAATATACCTTTACCTCCTCGACACCGTTTCCGGTGCGATTTTACACACATCAATCCAGACTGATGCAGACACAACCCGTCCTATCGTCGCAACCATCGCCGAGAACTGGTACGTATACTCTTACTACTCCAATTCCGACGCACGGGGCACCCAACTTGTCGTCACCGACTTCTATGCCTCGGCTACCAAGAACGACCCAGCCCGCCTTTTACAACAAAACATTTCATCATACGACCAGCCACGGTCTACGTCGCCATATGGAATCTCACAGGCCTTCGTTTTCCCACATCCAATCACCTCTCTTGCAACGACTACCACCAGACAGGGAATCACCACCCGTGCCGTCCTTCTTTCTGTCCCGAAACTTGGCTCTTTACTCGCGATTAACAAGCGAACACTTGAGCCCCGCCGCCCCGTTGGTCGAGAGCCAACAGCGGAAGAGAAAGAAGAAGGATTGTTCAAATACGAGCCTTACTTGGGCGTTGACCATGGTCGTGCTTCACTATCACACATCAGGGATCTCGTTGGTGTCGAAAAAATCATCACTACTCCTAGCTTATTAGAGAGTACCAGCATTGTTGTTGGATGGGGGATTGATATTTTCGGGACGCGAACGAATCCTAGTGAGGCGTTTGATGTACTCGGGAGAGGCTTTAACAAGTTAGCGTTGATTGGTAGTGTTCTTGCCGTTGGAGTTGGAACACTGTTCTTGAGGCCTATGGTATGTTTCCCCTTCCGTATTCCCTAACTACGATTTATTTAGCGAATATGAGAGCTGACAAGATAAAATTATAGGTTCGAAAGAAGCAGATCGGACAGAGATGGGCGCAGTAGATTGATGAGGACCTATGGTTAAGGTAAAGTAGGTGGATGAGGGAGTATAGTAGACAGTTGCTCTTTCACAGCAAGATCGGAATATGATTCAGCTTGTGCATAATCGTAATGGATATTTGTTTTAGTATTCTTCGCTCTAGAGTAGCTTAATATCTAGTGACAAAAGGAGAGCATCAAACATTGCCTCGTTCTGAATAAGCGCTGTAAACAACCTATAGCTAGTCTATTGCCCTAAAAGTCAGAGCTTATAATTTAAAATCGTAATTTATAACCTGTCAATTGACGTGCCCCATTGTAAGCCTATCTTTTGACTCAGGCATATTCTAAGCCTGCGGCTTTTACAACAGTGCCTGCAAGTGGTGGAAGCGTTCTATAGCTGATCAAGCATCTGAATTTCATATCTTTTATATTTCGACCTGACAATTTGAGATTTTGACGCCTTAGTGGATAATTAGCATTTTAAATTGCTGCATATTGTGCACTATCATGCGCATAGTCCAATGACTCACCTAGAAGTTTCTCATATCTAGACGAGTCTCCCCAATATCGCGATGTGGGACTATCTGCGCATAGAGATCGCTCTATAACCCCCCCTTCAAGATACTCGAACTTGTAACTCCTACTCTTCTCAGATCTGCAGATGATATAATCTTACAAAAATCCCCATTTCAACGGTGGTCTCACACCTTCGTTCACCCCCTTCCAAACGCCAATTTCTTCTGCCCTTTTTCCAGCACCGGGCCATTATCTCCTTGTACGTGCACAATAGCATGTTTCGGTGGTCTACCCCTCCCCCTTTTAACCGGTATGACCGTCTGCGAACTTGATTCTTGTTTTTCATCTTTCTTTCCGTTTTTACCAGTATTCGATGTGGACGCGGTTGTAGTAGATGATAGTGCATTATTCGAACTAGCCGGTCTAATCATCCTATCTTCTTGCAGTAGATCCTTTGCGAAATGCCAGTCTGAGTGTTCGTCTAATTTGTCGAGTGGGATGAGTTTATTGTTACATCTTGAGCAAGGGAATGCTGTTTCTTCTTCCATATGCTGTGATTTTGTGGATTTTGTGAGGTCTGTTGTTGTTGGGGTTGTTGGAGTATTCTCTTTTGAAAAGAATCGGGTACGGACTGAGGAGCTGGTACGTATTGTGGATGGCGGAGGGGCATTTCTGTTGAGATATTTATGATGGGTAGTAGTAGTAGGGTCGCTGGAGTGGTGGGTTTCCAGCAGGAAATCCGTTGATGGGTCGCCATATAGATCGTTTTCTACATCGAGGTCGAATCCCATGTCTTCCTTTTCGTTTTCATCGGAATGGAAGAATCCATCGTCGATTTCTATGTCTTCTTTATCATCAAATACTATATCCCTGTCATATACCTCCTCGCCAGCTCTTCCCCGGCTAAAAAAAGTATCAATTCCAACTTTTCTTTTCTTGGTAGTCTCCACTCTCCCTTCTTCAATCGCCAATGATCTCCTCTTTAAACTCTCCTCTTTTAAAGCCTTAGCTTCCTCCCCTTTGACTAACCATCCACCGATGCCCCTATTCGATCCCCTCCCAATATCATCAAACCCACCTACACTTAATGATAGGTTCCCACAAGGCCAACATCTCCCTTCTTGCTCGATCTGCTTCAATAGATTCCTCGCAATGGGTAGTAATAGCTCTTCATCAAATACTTTTCCAACTGGAATACCCGCCTGTCGTGATTTTGTAATCTTCCCGGATCTATGATGTAAGGTCATAGTTCTAGGTCTTCGTAATGATACCGGTTGGCTTCCCAAGGCCGCGTTACCATCGTGTGATGGCGAGTACTCGACCGGTTCGTCCGCCTCTTCGTTAACCCTGCTCACAATATCCGCACAGAACACTTTCAACCAGTTTTCACCTTGCTGATATCTTGTTATCGCGGGAGTAAAACTCTTGGCACTGAGCATACTTTTTATATCAGTTCTTGTTAAGACCTCGGTAGTATCGATCCCTCTGATAGTTTTATAAAGCCAAGTGCCTGTGTCATCGCCTAATTTGGCTTTAAAAGTTTCGAGGGGGACGGATAGAACTTCGGAAACATTTTCAGTGCCGAAGGCGGTTGCGACTTCTGAGCCGAGTTTACCACCTAGGTTACGGATACTGGTGAATTTCATGGAGGAGAGGAAGTGAGTTACCGCGCGGTTGCGGACTATGGTTTGCTGGTTGGGTTTCTTGTAACCGCTGCCGAGTTTGGCGAGCATTTTGTTACGGGAGATGCCTGCTGAGCTGAATTTATAGCCTTCGTTAGTATATGGTGTATATGTTTATAGAGAGAACATCTTTGGGGAGCCTAATGACATACCATGTATAACCAAGTCTTCTCCGGACTTCACCTCGAATATCCGCTACAATTTCCGCAGCAATTCCCATGATGATATCATCCCAATCTATAGGTTCCTCTTCTCCTTCCTCGCCATCGTCTAGGTCTACCAAATGACTATTCCCCCACTCCACACCCGCTACCTCGGGCATCCTCAATCTCTCGGTTGTATCACCATACGGTGGAACAATTTCCCCATCCACCACCCCGAGTTCTTCCTCAAACCTCTCTAGCAATTTCCCAAACACCAGCCCTGACAGATCCAGAAAACTTTCATCGACACTAGCCTTCTCAACCTTTGGACACCCTTCCCTAAATATCGCTAAAATCTTCTTTGATTCTCGTCTATAATGATCCAATGAAACTTTGTCGGTTGATATAGATGCATTTGTCATGTCATGGTACCCCATTACCGCCGTATCATTCTGGACCCGCCAGGTGGCGACATGGACGGCCATGAGAGTTGGACATTTACGTTTTGCGTCGGCGACGTTCCGCATTCTGGTTATTCCGAAGGAGCGGGCAGGGTAATTGACCGCTATTAAGGCTTTATTGTTAAAAAAAAAAAAAAAGGTCGATGTTAGATCTTTGTGATGACTACTAGTATAAGATAATCGGGGGGCATACCATCCCACTGCTGTACGGCGAGAGGTTGGTCTTCGGGAACACCGAGACGAACCATCTCACATTGTGCCTGTTATCGGAAGTATTATATAAGTATTAGTTAAATACTATATCTTGCAAGGCATATCAAAGCGGAATGACATACATAAAACGCGTCTAGGTCTCTATAAAGATAAATATTTCTAATATTAGAATAAAATGGTCTTCGTATATAGGTATATAGACTGGGATTGAAAGATACATACATATGAGCAATGACTCGTAACGGTGAATTGACATTGTACTTTGCCATCTGCAGCAAGTCCTTATACGAGAACTTAGACTTAGGACGCTGTGCAGCCGTCGGGGACGGCCAGTCTGTATAGTCGTCCATACTGCCTGTGGTTTATTAAATATTATAGCCAAACCCCTGGCTGCCAGCTGTATGGACAGTATCAAAGGTTTGAAAGGAATAGTAGGTTGTTACGTAGTAGATATAGTTGAGAATATGCGAACCCTCAAGCTCGAAGGGAATGTCAATACTATAGCCAAACACAAGGAAAATTAAGAAAATAGAAGAATAAGACTAGAAGGAGAGGAGAGGGGTGTCATGGGATCGTCAGCATCGTGAATTAAAAGGAGCAGGTCCTACATGACCATATGCATGATTGTATTAAACCCCCCGGTCTCAGTTGAAGGGATGTGGAGGAGGGGAAGTCAGACAAAGGCGGGAGGACGGGATTGCGCAAAGGCTGCGTGCATTGCCATTTAGCATTTAGGCGGCGGTTTGACGCGACAACTCAAACAACACACAAACAACGCATTCGCGAAGGCACGTGATGCCAAGACTAACGCAAAATGAGGGGCAGGGGGGCAGGGCATGTCGACTCGGGCTTCCCTCTGTTGCCGGTTGGTTTTAGGTATTTAGACGGGGCTCTTGAAAGGTAGTCTCGACACCCCCCTGTAACCCTGTAAGTGTACATGTACATGTACATGTCCTGACAGCCATATATGCATGGCTATCCTGTCCACGTACTACTCTGCCAGTACTTAAGTAGGTACTTAGGCAGAACCTAAGTGCTTCCTGTTGCTTTACTGGTGCTTACTGGTGTTAAATGGAAGAAGGGCAGCTCTTCCGGCCTCGATATTCTGTATTGAGTAGTACTTACTTGTATGTAAGTACTTACATCGAGAATTAGAAATCACGTTGCCTGCACTCCATGCGCCTTATGCATTAGCCTGGCCCCCTCCTCAATCCACTCCATCCAACGGCGCCCACACCCCCCCACAGCCAATGTAATGTATTAATTTCAGCAAGCAGTCGTGCATTGCATATTTGTTCGCATCGAACTGAAAAAGAACGCGGAGACGTCGAATCAATACTAGCTGCAGATTTGCCAGCGAATACATACAGCTGTTTGAAACAGCCCACCCCCAACCTCTCTCTCTCTCTCTCTTTCTCTCTCATGTCTTTCAAATTCCCCCCATATGATTGTATTGTATTTAGCTCCCACGCTGTCATTCAGTCGGTCAGTCACTAGACCTTATTTACTTACTTACTTACTACTGTCCAGGTGCTCACTTGATTTCGGGTTCCCTTCCATATCTTGTATATCAATATCTCTTCAGTACTCACATCAATCAATCAAGTGACCTTGCTCGCGTTCACCATCTCACAAATCTCCCTTCTTAAAATAAAAAAAGAACATAATCTAAAGCTAAATTTTAAATTCTCCGAGCTTAAGTCGAGATCCTTCCAACAAGCGCGAGCACTCGTACACGGGATATCGATTCCGGCATTTCAATCCGATTTATTACACAGACGACTGTACTGTGTATACCATTCAGTACCACACAGACCTCTGCCTCGTCCCACACGCGGTAGCATCTCAGCTCTTATCCCCCCTCTTCCTTCCATTCGATTTATAATTATTAGTACACGGCAGATACCTTTTTTTTCACTTGCAGAATATATATTTTCTGCGAGCCTTTTATTCCTGTTTTATAGCCTTGTTTGTTGCTTGAGAACCCTCCCACAACAGCTAGTTCCTGTAGAACCCTCTGCACCCGCCATCAGATACATTCTAAGAAATCCCAATCCGACCAATCCAATCGATTACCTTTTCCTTCCGCGATCCGGCTTTCTTTTTCTGACAGGGCGACAAAAAGGGTTCTTTGCAGCTCCGATTTTGTGTGAGAGGATCACAGATCCAATTGCATGTAACAACCAACGAGAATAAAGAAGAAGACAAGGGAGAGATAGAGATAGAGAAAGGATACGGAAGAGCTCTTCGATCGAAAGAGACGAAACAAATTGTCTGGCCACATTAACATAAGCCTACCGATCAAATCGCTGCGGTTGTCCTCCCGCTCGTTCGATTCCTGACCATTCCACCAACATAAAACCACTTAAACGAACCAATTGACCACTCCGATCACTTCAATTGATTCTTCTCCATCTCCATCTCATCGATACCATCCTCATCCCCTCATCTATCTTTCCCGTTTGCTCCGATCTCCACGGTAGCTTGCTTGCTCTGAGCTCTTGATCGTACCAACAGGACCCACCAACAATTACCGAAATAGGAATATCCAAACCACGCAAACATCACAGCTTCCCCCGGCCACTTACCGACCAACCTCATTCAATCCATCCATCATACCCAACAAAACTACCTAGAATCACCACATTTTCACCAGTGATAACTTCACAACCGTTTTCATGAACGGAAGCAGGATATCATGTCTCGACTTTGGATACAGAGAAGATGTTTGTCTTCCCATTTCCCCGCTCTTTTCATCAGTCTTGATCACCTGATCGGAGTTAACGGATGGTGGCGTGTGTGAATACAGGACATTCTCAAGTTGGCCTCTTCGATTGCGTACCATGATAACACCACATCGACCACCAAGGTATTATCTATTTATCCTTAATATCTAGTCTTCTATGTTATTGGGTCTTCTCGATCTCTGACGTGGCTGTTGTATTGTTACTAGCAAACACTTGAAACACTCTTCCTCGCCTCCAACCAGCTCCGTGTCCACGCTGAGGAGTTCATCGAAAGCCTATCATGCCTACCCAGGGCATACAGTGCTATTGAGCAAGCTATGGTGAAGAGGTCACGAAGGAGACGGTTTTATTAAACCATAAGATATATATCTCCTAGCTCTCATGAGCTCGGTTGGTGCCGCTTGACTATTGGAACCATGGTCGGTGACCGGTGGTTTAACTACGCCCGAGCTACAGCTAGCCATCACCCCTGCAATTGCTACGATACCACGATACGATTTTGATCACCATTGTATTTTTTTTTATGAACGAGTTTCTTTGGAATACATCATTGGCGGGAGTTACATACCTCTTTTTTCTTTTACTGTTCTTCTTCCGCTTTTTCATTTTCTTCTTATGGCTAGGAGTTTTTTTTGGCAATCGGATATTTTTGATAACCCCCGAAAAGAACCTCGATATCCCGTTTCATTTTTATCCTTGTCTTTCTATCAACTCGATATCCACCTTCGGAATAACAACATATGACGACGAATTTACGAAAATACTCTTGCAAAATGGAAACCCCGGAAAGTTAACGACCACAAATGACCAACCCTTTTTTTATTATTAAAAACAATATTCTCGGGAAATTTAACGACCTCTAAACCAATCGACATGAACGACTCTCCAATTTCATACCTAACGACCAAACACTACCTTTCCTGTATTATGACATCTCTATTTTTCTGTCTTTCTTGAATTCTTCCTTTCCTTTCCCTCTTTTTTCTTTCCCTTCTTTTCCCTTCTCTGTCAGTGTTTTCAGTCCCACTCCTCTCTTCGGCCCATGATGACCACCTTTAGCGAGCGAATATACATGACAGCTGCTCTTCATTTAAGGATTCCAATCCTCCGCGGGGGGGCCCTTTTTCATCTCTCCCTCTTCATTATTCAAAGGAAATGTATTACTGGTGATGGGCTTTTCTATACCTTTATTCTTTACTACTATGTACTTTTACTATTATTATAGCCAGATACTACTACTACTACTACTACTACTACCCAATGTTATGGACTCAGTCTTGAACAAAAGCACGCTTCAGGATCGACGGGGGTGATAATTATAAGAATAATAATATGTGTATTTTTTGGGGGACGGAAGGGTGTGCGGATGTGCGGATTCCTATCCTGATTGGGGATCTTACCGTATTTGGTATATATGCACATAGAGATAGTAGCTATGTCATAGAAACAGCTCCTGCGACCCTGTTGGTTTGTCTTGTAACGGGACAACCTGTTGGTAAATTTATGTGAAAATCAATGGGCTATAAAGTATGATGATATTGAAGAGGAAACACTGTACGATACATATCATGTTTGTTGGCGGTTACTGGATCTTTTCTTTGTCTATTTTTTTTTTTTTTTTTGCAAATTTGAAATGGTTTGGATTCACGAATGGAGTACTATCTGGGTTAGCATTGAATATATCCAGGCGTCTAAGTACTAGTAGCTAGCTACATATCCGCTGTGCTATACTATACTATCTCTTTTTGCCGCGAGTCGAGTTGTGCAGTTAATTCTTATCGATGCCCTTTATGATTCAAACATAGTCTCGGAGCCAGAGATTCAAACATGCGAACTACGATATTGAATGGAACTTTTGCATGTGGTATTGTTAATTGTAGTTGTATAGCTGAATATTAATTGATATTATAAATATATCTATATCGTTAGGAATATTCCCTTTACACTAGCTATCTCTAATTTTACATGCTGATGGATGAAATATAGCTTGTAGGTTTGTATACTTGAGAAAGAGGATGCCTAAAATTAGCAATTAAAATTAATTAAAGCCAGTCTGAAAAGTTCGAGGTGTATACGTATAAGAATAAATAAATTTACAAAATTAACAGTAGCTTAAAAGTTAAAAAGCCGAAAGATTCACTCTAGATTAATATCTCATCTTGAACCGCCGCAAGATACCGACCAAACTCTCCTATTTGATCCGAGAATTCAGGATTTAGAATGTCATTCGGACCAGCTGCGTCAACATCCGTAACCCATTCACTCCACTGCTTCTCCAAACCTTCTGTCGTGAACCTTGGTGTTCCATGGTTTGTGGCATAAACCCATACCAAATAGGAATAATTCCTCTGTACTGACCTCCATACTTCCAGTATTTGGTTATTTACTATCCAAATATAGTAATATAGAACGATTAGCGCATTGAACCCTATAATTTCAGATATCATGGAATGATATAATATAACTGGTATAGAGCACTCACCATCCCCACACTTCTCGACCATACTCCTCCTTTTTTCCGCTCTCCAAGCTATATACCCCCCGGGCACCGCAAATAACACTGTTGAAATGATACCAGCTACAATTATAACAATTGTTGCGGTAGTAGAATGTGGCGCAGTAGCGTTCAATCTCCCGAACCAGCTAAAAACACTGGCGATTATAGCTGCAATGATGAAGTATAGCTTCGCGAGGGATTGGTCGTTTCTTTGGATTTGGTCGTGTATATGTGATATCTCTTGGTTTTGGTGGTAGAGTTGTGGGAGTAAGTGTAGGAGGGTGCATAGTTTACCTCCAATGGTGTAGTCTGTGGATATGGTGGGTGACGGGATGGGGTTTGTTGGGTCTAAGGAATTGTGAAGATCGGGATGTTAAAGGTATATTTTTCTCTATAATCTACCTACCTAATTTAATATCGGGGAGGCGATGGCTAGAAGCATTGGGGGGGGGGGGGGGTAGATCATAGGAAATGGTTATACATACCTCCCATCCGACGCTGCTGTAAACAACATACTACCTCATCGGCCACTTTTGTTGCGTCCTCACACTGTTTTCTCCAGTCTAAATGCTCTAGTTTCTGGTATAACTCTTTATCCCGTATCTTTGCCTCGAAATCATTCTATAACCCCCAAGTAATTTAAGGTTAGTACGAAATTAGTTAACGGTAAACTAAGATTAGGAAGTTGAACATCTTTACTAAACCTACCGCACATGTCGGTCCGAATAAGAAACCACAAAGCAAAATTAAATAGATAGCATTAAATAGCCCCATTCTGAAGATTTTGACGCTACGTGGTATCAATCTTGAATGGTAGCTATAGGCGTACATGTAAGGGTCATCCCATATCGAGTGAATACCGAAACAATTGATGAAGCACTCCGCGGTCCATGAGCCGAATTGATAAAAGGTGAAGATAATGGATAATGCGTAGCAGATATTAATCAACCTGGTATGGTAGAGTAAGAAAGGTATGCATAGGCAGAAATTTCATGATCAACCAATGCAACCATTTTTAGTAGGTCAGTTGTATTTCAAACTTACCATCGCCCCCGTACTCGGGGTGTAGAATGATTGCATATCAATCCAAGCCGGTCCAAGCGCTCGCGTTCTTTTAACGCACTAGCAGCGAAACTGCTAATCCATATACTTTCAAAAACAGTCCCTGGTCGTGGTGAGATCCCGAATATCCCAGAATATGAAACTCGACTGAGAAGCGGGAAAGCCTCCTTCGTGAATAGCTTTTGGCAAAATTCGGTAGCGACCTCGGGGGGTGCTGTTGCGTCGTTGACAGCGGCTTTTATAGCTAACTTTATGATAAAGGTATTAGATGCTGGTTTATAAATGCATAAATGTATGAATAAGTGTATAACCCCCAGCCATTCAATATGATATCTCGGAATATTAATATATAACATCGACTGAGGGAAAAGAAGTAACTACCTGAAGAACTTTCCTCCCATTTACATCTTCAACAAAATGACTTTCATACTCTAACGGACACTTCCACCCGTTCTCGCCAGTTGCAGATGCTCTCCCCACCCGAAAAACGTCTTCAAGAGCCCGATTAACCTCCCAAGCAAGCTCGTTTGTTTGGCCGGCGGGATCGGTAAATAACGTAATTTTCGGATGATCCGTGATATCAATTACCAAATCGTGAGGATTTGGTTCCTCGCGAAGACTCGCCCCGCGGGACCAGTGTGGGTAGTTCGAAGTTATCTTCGTAGGCATCATCGTGATAGATAAAGTGTATACTTCGGCCTGTATATATATGTCGAATCTCTAGTGGAAGCGAGTCTGGTAGTTAGGTTGAACTCTCAACTCTCTTGAAGGTCGATGAATTCGATCGATCGATCGAATGGGTCGGGATCTGGGTGTATACAGTATGCAGTATATATAATAGTAGAATAAACTACCGTCTCCAGAGGGCAGGCAGGCGTGTTTTTACCGCTGTTTGATTAAATAAGTCACGTCACAGTCATGCCCTAGGGGGAACCACTGCACTGTTTGATTCTTGGCTCGGTGTGTATATAGTAGTATATATACTACCAGTATCCCGGAGCAAATAGTCAAAACGCTATAGAGACCACCGGGATCAGGAAAGAAAGACTTAGAACTATAATGAAAAAAGGGAGGCTAGAAGGGACTTGTCTGAATTCCTTGGCTACGTAGCGTACTATAATGAACTACATACAGGCTTGCAATCGGTTTAACATTCATCGTCGATATCGATGCGATGGGCAAACGCATGAGTGGTGTACTTACAGATGATGCATTGGCGTGGCACAATATGGAGTCTGCATTGGCGTAGCCTTTGTCAGCTTTTGAAAATTAAAACACCACCTGTTCGCCTGATGTACACCTAATTCTAGATATTCGCGGGGGATCTGATAAAACATCAACTAAAGGAGCAACATTTTATATACTAGCTTAGCTATATATGAATGAAAGGATTTCTGTGGATACCATAGTTTTTCCAGCTAAGAACCTATATTGACCACTCGATCGAGATGTGGGTGAGTGTTGCATTTTGAACATCTATCCCTCTACCAATTCAACCTCGTGTTGATGATTAGCTTGCAATTGATGAAGGGTAACCAAAGTATGTATATGGTCATAAAATCAGCCTCAGGATGCGGCTTGTAAAAAGACGTATCGTATTTGGTTGAATTACTAGTACTTTTGAAGCTATGCCTAAATGTATGACATATAAGAAAGAAATCCGAACGCTTCAAGCTAAAAGCTTGGTACACTGCCCCAACCGTCCACATGTCGATTACACACTATCAATAATGCAAAGGGCGAACAAAAACTTGCTAAAAAGCCATCTCCAAAATGCACCCGCTGAGATATCTATGAGGTTGAATATCTACTGCTTCTTCTTCCCTTTCCCTTCGGCCACGACGGGCTTACTCCAAAGCCATAGTCCCACGAACCCAATCCATCCGACAACAACGACCCAAATACCGGCAATCCAGGGCCAACTGCCGCTGATACCCCAACTCCTTGTCCACTCATTATGTGCGAAGTGTCTGACCGTTACGGCGCGCTTTTCATGTACATTACTCAAAAATGGTCTCTTGTAGTTTACAGTGAAAGTAAAAACTCCGTGTTGGTCTGGGGTTTTGAAAGTGGTCGAGTAGGTTGTAGAGTTCTTATGTTGTGTCAGTGGTGAAGAGGAGGCGGATAATGGGATGCGGTAATATGGGTCCAACATTGTGAATTCAAATTGGACAGCGTCATCTGCTGGAGCGACATAAGGTTGGAAGTGGTCGTATGAGTACTCCGACAGCGCGATAGAGAATGTCTATTATAACGTCCATATATTAGCCCAAATTCCTCACCAACTCGGAATAATCGGATATAAGGGGCGGGATACGTACCACATCGTGCTTAATCCGGTAAACATCTCCATTAACTACTCCTTGTCCGAATTCCTCACCCCAGTGCTCAATACCATCAACCCTAAGCACACCAGTTTCCTTGAATGTCCATGCGGTCACGTCCTTTGCAAATGCCCTGTTTCCACTCATCTGATTGGTCCTGGCAACTTTTGTGAAGCTCTTGTCGGCGAGCAAATCAGCCCCACCAACAAATGTAATGCGGGCATTATTCCTAGTCTGAACACCAGCGACCAGGGCCAGCTGTTTTCCAGCAGAGAATACATTCTCATCGTCGGCGAAGGAGGAAGCTTCTTTAGTATCATAAGAGTAAGCGAATCGCGGCGCCTTAAGGATAGGTTGCACAAGAGGAGAACTGCCGAGAGCAAGCCCAGCACCACGGTATAACAGTTTCGCAGCTTTATCTTCACCGCTATTAAAATAGTTCTTGGTATCCGATTGGAAGCTTGGGAGGTCCACCAGAAGGGTATTATGTTCTGGTTCAACTTGATCCGCAAGATCAAAATGATTTACCACGGCAAATCCTTTCGGTGGTAGGAAGATGTCAACCTGCGTGGCAAGCTCGGCGATAGCGGCGGGGACGTTATCGTCTTCTGAGGAAGGGAGGAGAATGAGGATGTTCCCGCCGGCGGTGGCGTGCTTAAGGAAGGAAGAAGACGGGAGGTTTGGCCCAAGACCCTTGAGTTTGGTGGGAAATATAATGATATTGTCGTATACGCGTTCCTCATGCTGAAACAGAGACAGGGTAGTTGATTTGGGAGTGTGGGTTGTGGTTGTGAAGCCGCGGGCTGATATCAAAAGTTAGTTAATACACTGGACAAAGCGATCAACTGGAAGTAACCAATTGGCTAGCACTTGTATAAAATACCTTCAAGATCGCTAATTAATGTCTGAAACTGTGTCTTCACATCGTCTTCGAGTACGAGGAGGGTTCTCGGACCGGTCAACGAGATACCCTGCGATAACGAGACAAGCGAAATCAGCGCCGTAAGGACGCTGCGAAGAGTCAACCCCATGATTGAGATTCTATAGATTCAAATTACCCAATCAATGGGTCCCGAATCGGCTGTGGTGGTGGTAATGGATGAGGTTGATGGGTCGTGGTGGAGGAGATACGTAATGTTGGCGGTGTGTCTTTTGGGAAACGTGTTTTCTTGGGGACGCTCAAGCCACCGTTTGTCCGACGCCATGGCGCCACATAACACCCGCCACTTCTTTGCGGCTAGCTATCATGACCCCTACATGCTACAGTTCAACCAGCAATTACAATCAAACTTCACCGGGGTATCAGAATAAAATTTCCTTCGGCAGGTCAAGGGGTCCTTTTTCCCGCACGATTAAGATCAATTTGTATTTCATTACCACGGGGTGGTTTTGATCCACGTTTGCTGGAGTTCCGAGTCTTCAAAGCGGATGGCCACATGGGCACCTCATGCGGCTGGAAGACGGCTCAGAATCTCCACAGGGCTTATACAAATCATGCGGGAAATGGTATGAGCAATAGTTCCATCCGAATGATACAGATATACTCCGGTTCCTGCATGTGCCGCTCTTCTTTTTTCTGATTACCAAAATGAAGGATCGAGGAGATTTACATAGCCCATATAGGCATAATTATTTACTGCAGGTACCAGCCGTGGGAAAATATCTTCGGGACCATATGACCGAAAAACCGCACGCTTAAACTATTTGCCAAATTACTAATGTCGGTTTGGGTTATGAAAAGACTTTATTGTATTTCAACTTTTTGGTCAAATTCATTCTCGATTCTAGTAAATGAAATTCGTTACATGATAGGCAACCAAATGGCATCGCGTAAGCGCCCCCAAGGAAACAAAAGCTCGCCGAAGCTGTGGTTAAGAAGAAAGCACCGTTTGAAAAACCCGAAGATCAAACAAAACGGTTGTATGGAGGGAAATGAAGTAAAGAAGTAAAAGTATATATATGACGAAAGGGAGGAGACAGACAAACATCAGGAAGAGAATACAAACATCAATAGCCGTCAGGAAATGAGAAACAGGAAAGATTGCAAACTTGGTATATCCGTCATAAAATCATTTCATTAGTTGAGCGGAAGAAAAGAAATACATGATAAAAAAGATGTATATCAAATAATATAGAGGAAAAGGAAGTGAAGAGAGGAAGATTATTAATATATAGTATCACTCGCCAACGTCTAGCATCTAGTAATAGATGGCTTCACGTGTGTCTCTAACTCGATCACGTTCACCATAGGGGGTATAGTCACGCTTCTCGGTAAACCTATCACGCTCATAGAAGCCACCACTATCTCTCGGGCGGCTTTGGGAACGCTCGTAGCGTGCGTCTCGTTCGATTTCCCGAACACGTTCTGTTGGTGGAAAATATGTTAGTCTCAAGATAATGAGAGATAATCTTTAATCCGATTCAAGTAACTCGGAGGGCTCTTTGACTTACCACGCCGAATGTCCTTTGTGAGTTCGATCAAGTCCTGGATTTGATCGCGGTGGAGGTAATCGAAGACGTAGACAAAGTTATCGGTTTCTTCGAAATTGTAACCAAATTCGTCGAGGGCCTCAGCACAGACAAGATCCTTAGTGACCTCGGTCCAAAGCTCACCCTTAGCTGTACGCTCTCGATGCTTGCTAGAGCGACGGATGCCGGCATTGGCGTTGAAAGATGATGAGTTCCAGGATACGTCAGCGTTACCTTCGAGGGTGATTCTGCGTCCAGAGCCGGGAACATCGATGACAGTCCAGCCTTCTTGCTCGGCCTTGAAGTCCTTAAAGAAGCCGGATCCTCGCGGGGATGCAGGAACGAGAGCACCAGAAGAATTCCGGGGAGATGAGTAACGTTGTTCGCCCTCAGTACGCTCTCTATAGCGGCCGTAACCGATGGTGCGTTTTACTTCACGGTCCCGGGATTCACTTCGGCTCCTGGAATGATCCTCGTGGTGGTGTTCGTGATGGTCATGATGATGATGGTCAAGATGATAGTCTTTGTCGAGACTGAGTCTTCCAGTAGCGTTCCACTTTCCGCCATATCGTCGCTCACGAACTTGTAATAGTGTCTCACGCTCAGCGATAACCTCGCGTCGCTGTGGTGGTGGGGGTGGGCATGGTGGCTCAGCGACAATATGAATGGCAGCATGGTCGATATGGATGTGGTTGTGATGATGAACATGCTCATGCTCATGCTCGGTAACCTTGATAACATTATCGATCTCAACCTCGCGGATGGGGATGATTGGTTCAGGTTCTGGTGGGACTTCGTAGAGGTCGCGCTCGATAATCTTTTCCTGGCGGACTGGGACCAAAGCACCAGACGACCGATTCTCCCGCTCGTAGAATCGAGTTAATTCTCCGCCACGCTCACGACCACGCTCGCGGTCAGGATTGTAGACGTCAACCTCGCGGTATTCATGATCGTGCTCGTAGAAACCTGGGCCATGATAATCTCTATCCCGATGGTCGAATTCAACGTCGACGGATCCCCGGCGGTATCTACCACTTTCGTGACGGGTAGTCATTTTTGGTATGCAAAAGCTTATAATTTTATATTCTCCAATAAAATAGGTATCTGGGAGCAAGATTTAAAGGTTAGAAAGAAGGAAGAAAAGTAAAATGTCAGAGAAATTTCGAAGAAATAATTCGACAGCAGGATCTCAAATATATAGATAGCGGGCAGGATCGAGTACTGGGTCACTCCAGCCGCTCCAGGTGGCACAGGTGACACACTAGTTTGCGTAGAGGAAATGAGGGGAAACTCCGGTTTAGATAGTCCCGGATACAGCCTCAGGAATATGCACAAGCGGCAGGCAATGCATGGATGAAGAAGTAAACTGCCCAAGGGAAGAACATATGACATACCTTTACCAATTCGAAAGCTGTGTTGCTGTGTCGTAAAAGGCTAGAAGCTTGTAGGATTAAACTAGGACCGGGCGCAGGTTAAGACTCAACACCACTAAGCTAAGCAAACGGAGCTGACGTTGACGAAGGATCGATATCTCAGGGAGGAAGTCGCTGAAAGAGTTGGTGTAAGAAGGGATTAGGATATATGCAGCCTCGGAGGAGCGGCATTGCACTTTTATATATCTCTGCCCTCTGCTTCTCTGCGCACACGCACTACTCAGGATTCAGCTTAAGTCCCAGGTTTTCTCCTGGTGTGGTCGGCCTCAGACTAGTTTTCCATCATCACAAATGACCGCCGACGTGGAAACCCAAAAAAAACCAAAAAAAAAAATAAGGAAAGACTTCTCGGAGATGGAAAAATGTATATCTCCATACATGTTCCTATGGCGAATTACCTGAACGAAGCTTTTCTTGCTCTAGGTCTGTTGCATCAGCTTGCATGGGGAGGATGATGAGGTCGTATGACGTATTGCGGTCGGGAGGGGATGACTAGATCCAACAGCTATCCCTGTTTCCTATTGGTGGTTGGTCTCACCAAACTCGACGGAGTACCTACAGGGGTAAGGTATGTATGGAGACGTTTGCAACGCTTAGAGACAGGCGTAGAGTGCGACAACCATTCTTTAGGCGTGACAAGGACTGACAAAACTCCTTTGAAGACGATCGAATCACACGGTGTTACTGTTTTTATGCGATCGGGTCCTGCGCCTGGCTTGCGGTATCCATATCTCCTGAATTGGTTCTAGTATAGCCCTTTGTTGAAGGTCATTCGCTAACTCGTTACACCAGATGATGGTATGAATCAATATCTATCGGTGTCGCATAGCTTTCCCGGATCCTCGAGAGAGTTTAATCTGTTCAAGATCTCGCCGAATTATTCGGGCTGGAAGTAACCGCCCAAATGGACAGTATCTGTGAAATTTCGTGGCGCCTTATGGCTGGAGTGCTCAGTTGTGCTCTTTGCTCCAAAAGGTGAATTTCAATTTATCCCAAGTGCGTCATCATGCAGGGGCTATCCTCAGCATGGCTAGTAAATCAGGATTTTGCCCGCGATATACCGAAACTACAATTCTCCCCGGGTTCGCTCCAGCGACACATGTTCTCGCTAGTTGCCAAAAGAGGTCCAGAGTTTGATTTTCCTAGGACTAAAACCTGGGCTGCAAGATGACGATAGGACTCTTTAATGCCCTGGTCGCATTACATAGCCAACGAATATTCTCGAGCTTCTAAAGCTAAAATTAAGCAGAAAATTTGTAAAATGAGAAAACAAAGAGGAAGGATGTTAGATCGTTTCACAGACCCACTTTGGAAATCCCGAAATTTCGTTCGATAGGCGTACAGCATGTTCGATTCACCTCGATCCGCTCACACTGCTGCGAAATGGACCCTGTCGTCATTGTTGGGTCATGCCAATTATGCAGGATGAAAATGTGAGTTACCTACTAAACCTGCAAGGACGGCTTTGGCGCATAAGGTTCCCTGCTTAACCGATATGCACGGAAGGGATAGGACACTGGGACACAACGTTCTTCTTTGGAGAGGTAAAATTCATTTCGACTGTAATGAAGCGTTTGTTTCTCAAAATTTAAGGATTCGATAAAGCAGTTGATTTTAAGTATTTTTTGCCCTCGATGAACAGCTTGGGTAAAAATAAGGTGTGTCGAAATGCCTCTTGATCCGGATGTGCCTGAAGCTCTTTGAGTAATCCTGGTAGTTGCCGCCAACTAACCCGACGAGAGAGGGGAGAGAGCTAGAGCTGACTACGTGCGGTGGCGATAGTAGAGTACCTTAAAGTCTCATAATCGTTTATTTGTACCTCTTCAGCTCGGCTCTTACAAACGGGAAAATCAAGCCAAGATTGAATTGATATCCCTGTGGTTCAAATAGTTGCCACCTGCCGTGGAGAAATGTATATATATCTTGCGCTGATAATATCGCCCTGCAAGTCAGTCTTCCATTTTAACTAGTGCGACCGGTTACAGTATTGCGAGGTTCGTTTAGCATCGCTGTACAGACCGGTATCTCAACCGCGCTATATTTTCTTTTTGAACTGATATTTATGTAGTTTGGCATTTGTGCTAGATATTGACCGCATGTAGTCTCATCAGGTTTGCAGAAAAGGCGTACAAGTATGGGTAACCGCTCCATACTTAATTTTCTTTGACCGAATTAGAGCACTACTCTTTTGGCCGAGTACTAGTTCTAGGCATAGTGCCATAATTTGGAATTAGTGTTCGTCTCACGACTCGCCTGATTATGTAAGTGGGATAACTTACTCCTATAATTGGGTACACCACGACGCCGCGATGGACACCTCTAGATCCAACTCTGGACTATGCATTTATAAACCTACACAAAATTTCCTTTAAAGTTAGTTTCGTAATAGCATCAACTATGTAGTTTATACATACATCTTTTATGCATTCTCTGCATGTCTCGGCCTGGTTCAGGGAAAGCTTGGAGAGACGATGTTTGAGACTACCACGGGTCCTTGAGCTTGATCGATAATGTATATGTAATGAAGCGACGATGTATAGATACAGCGCGACACACATGTGCTCATGTGTCAGCAGCTAGATTTCCATATTACCCTAATTATATGACAAAGGATCAAATTATAGAATTAGATCTTTGCCTCTAGGCCCCTTGCGCAGGCATGTGGGGCATGTAGACAGTAGCCGAAATTATGGGTTCAGCACAGTTGCATTGAGGAGTCTGGCGACGAGACAAGGGTTCAGGTGTGTTGACTATGTTGCAGTTTGAGGAGGACAACACACGGCTGAGCTCGAAGTCCGCTTCATGAGAATGACCTCAGCTCACTCGATGTGATTCATGTTCGCCGCCTCAAAACACGCGCGTAAAGTATGTAAATAGATTCTATTCTATAAAGGAACCCCAAAGGAATGACCAACTCTTATGTCTATTATTTCGTTTAAAAGTGCGTAGTTGTCCTGAAACGATAATCATTGGTGGCGGCGTATTCGTTAGGTGATAACATTGGATGTTGGTGTTTGAATTCGAAAAACACATGAAACGGTTGAATTTCCCACCAGTCACGTTCATTTGCATATTTGGGGGATTGCATGCAGCCTTTCCTTTGTCTTGTATTTCATTTCTCATAATGTAATAAAACTCTAGAGCTCTTTCTTCTATGAAAGAGCCATCCAAAGGGGGGGGGATGAAATATCATAGCTGTTGAGGCTTGTCTTCAAGCGCAAGCACATTTGTGGCGAACAGATGTCGACTCTGGGCGCAGGACTGCCCTCAAACGAGCGCAACGTATGCATATATATATTACATATCAACTAGATTAATATGCTACTACAGATAAAGATACGTATTGTCAACATACAAACGATTAAAGTTATACATGACTGTGTATTCCTGATCAGACAAGACTAACGACACAGGAGCGATCGGAATACTGTGTAATTCAAATGTATGTACGTACGTTCTAGATTTAGACGTACAAAAACAGATGTCGAGAACACCACGCAAGACCCAAAACAACAAATTCGCAAATTTCTAGTCGAGGTGAGGCCAAATAGTACTATGGGGTCTTATTACTCGCTAGTAGGCCTATACGGTGCCCCGATACATTTCTTGACGGATGATTTTTGTTCAATCCCTTTATACCTTGGAGGCCAGTTGAACGGTAAACAAGTTCCCTTGTCTGGTGATCTCTTAATTAACAATTCCCAGTTCCACGGTAGAAACATCCTGGAGCTTTGACCCCAGCTCAAGGAGAGGAGGAGGAATTCCACTCCAAGCTGCTCCCTTATCTGCTCCCTCAAGGTAGTATGGCTCTTTTGTCCCTGGGACAAGATATTGTTCGGCCTGGCCCGACCCACTTTTATTAGGGTCGAATATATACTTCCATGACAAAGATTGATCTTGCGAAAACTTCCAGGCATATTTGCTGTTGGCGAGTTTGATGTCTAATGGGATATTATCTAAAGCGTCTTGGTAATCCTCGACAGTAATTCCGGGATCTGCTTCCGGTTGATGCATAGTGGCTTCACACCTACAGTCTACAAAGTCTACTGTTAGTTGTTGATCATAAGTACCACTATACGAGGTGCATAGATATCGAATGTTCAATACTCACTATACCACATTTCGCACTTCATAGGGAATACGTGGGTAAAGCACCGGTAGGGCTTACTAATTCGTTCGTTTCGTTCCTTAGATGTTGATGCTATCATTTTGCCTGTGCTATCACATAGACAGTTCATGCAAATTTTGCGCAGAGTATTCGACCTTACGTGAGCCAGGTGAGGTTTCATATTACGAAAAACTGGCCTCCTTTTGTGACTAATCTCCGGATATCTCGAAGGGTCTAGTTCCGTCGCAATCATTCTAAAATGGGACGGGCATACTACGGACCACGAGAAAAATATGGTACTGGATATGGCTCTTTTCTCCTCCGTCGTACTATTCTTTAGGGCGGGTATTTTGACGAGAGATGTCTCGTTCCAGGATAGGGCTAGTGGCTTAAATTCTGTACCTTGTCCTGTCGTAGAATGCTTCGTTGCATGTGGATTTAAGGGACTGTTCGTTGGTGATTCTCCGGGTGGGAGGGTTTCGCTATTCACGGATAATTCTGGCCCGTGGTTTCCGACCGCCGCCATCAAGCCTCCTGGGATTGCATACCCTACCAATAGTATAAGGAATAAGACGCTCGATTTCGTGCGCATTTTATAATTTAGGGTTATTGAATGTCTATCCTTCTTTCTGGAGGGACTTCGGGTGCTGGTTTCGACTGCGAGCTAAGCAGATCAAATAGAAAGAAATATTTTAACTAATCGTGCAATGTAGAAAGATTCGATCTAAATGGAGAACTGTCCGCTGATAGCCTAAAATGATTGAAGAACTTCGCCGTGATGTGAATCATTAAATAGCACATATTGGAACCCCCGCCGTAGGCGAGGAAGAAAGAACAGTAGATGGCGCCCCGAGTCTTAAGCTAAAAGTTGGAGTGTTCCAAAATAGCAGCTGCGCAGTTCTGTGGTGAATCCATGAACAGTTAGGCTTTGCCATGGAGTTTGTTGTCGCTCCAAAAGCAACAGATCTAGATCACCTTGCCTGAATTTATAGGGATGCGGTTTTTTTCCCCTTGCATGTAAACGGTATCGGTAGGCTTCTTGGGGGTCAAGTATTTGATAGGTTGGTAGGAAAGGTTAGATGTAGTTTCAAGATATGCTGAAAGTTGGAGGTACGCCGAAGCACCCACATACGCTTAGACGACATGGTAATGCAACATGTTGCATACAAGAGAATGCTACGGGAAGGCCTCTTAAGATCTTCTGAAGTGGCATTTCCAAGCAAAATTTAATCGCATTTCTGGATCCGTGGATGTTCGACGCCTGTACTGGAGTTGGCCCTTTGGGAAGGTACTTGTCTTAGGCGGATCGGAGTTGCTTGAAATATGGTGAAGTATTAGTTTAGTTTTGAGGTGAAGTATCTACATAAGTACATATGTATATACGAATAAGCCGTCATGGTTCGGTGATGTGAATACGATCAATGGTATACCGATCCAATTTCTTTCTAGCTACGCTTAAACTTGAGTCCTCTGGATTGACTCAACTCGCTCCTGGGTGTATGGTCCGAACATACTTAGGCAAATGTATTTCTTGAAATTCGCCCCCCCGAGTTCGGATGCGCAGCTATGTTTTGGCGCAGCTTTGTCTATGCATCAGGGTTGAAAGGGCGAATCTGGGCTGATGGCGTTCTTGCAACATGTTGATAAAGTTGCTGTGCCTGTCGACGTACGTACGCGTGCCCGCCCCCAGCATTGTTGGACTTGGTAATCGATGACTTTGGCCACGGCAGATCGGTGACCTTACCATTAGGATATCTACAATTGTACAACCACGGGTTGTCTAAAGTTGAAGGGGCAGTGGTAGGAAGTGCCGAACATTTTTGTCCAAGAATCTTATTGGATAATAAAGTCCGGTCCCAAATTGTCTCAACACGACACAACCAATGCGATGCATCAATGTTTGCCTGCTCAATTGATCAAACGAGCATCGAGATTGTGACTTCACAAATAATTTGAACTAGCAGAGCCCCTCTTATCGAGGGTGAGCGCGTGAATTTTGGAAAGCTGCATCGGTTGGGAGGAACAGAGGCTGAGATCGGTATTTTCGAACCATCCTAGGATCCTAGCTTCGTGTAGCAGATGGCCTCATGTTCAAGATCCGAAATAGTCTACTAGGTGTAACAGTAAATGGACGCTGGAAACAAGACTAGGTGTATACATGTGCTTATACTCGGTTCTGCATTCTGCCGTAAACTCGTATTATGTACCAGTACCATCCAAGCCGATGTTTGGATCGTACTATTACAGCCTCATGATTTCAACGAGGGAAGCAGTCGAGACTGATCTGTAGCACAACCTCACAGGGGGCCAAATCTGCCGTCTTGTATTATTTGGGAAACGGAAAGCGGAAACCTACATCGTAGGCTCTTGGGAACGCCATGGTGAATCCTAAAATTAACGGGAAATAGGAAAAGCAAAAGAGGGGGTAGAGAAAAAGAAGGAAAGAAAGGAAGGAAAGAAAGAAGGAAGGAAAGAAAGAAGGAAAGAAAGACAAAACCATTCGGTTTGTCAATCGAGAGCACTGCCGGCATTGGCCCCCCCCTTCGCGAATAAATCCAATACACTGTTTTAGCACACCCGTGGTACCATCGATGGATCCGGCAGCTGGTTTGTTTGTAACATACATCCTCGTCATGCTGAACCCGGGTATCCATCAAAGCAAAGTAGATCTGTGGGATCCGGACGGTACTGTACTGTACTGCCTGTTTCATGATGGAATATATATTAATGACGAATAGACATTGTTGACGCCGACACACGTGTACACGTGTAAATCAGGCTGAATACTTTTAATTTGATCAATGCTGATACCGTATACACTTGCCACAGAAAAAACAGACAAGTATACTCATATAAAATACCTTCGAACTCGTATATAGATTGGGATTCAGGAATCTAAATATGTTGCCGATTGGTGGTGATAGCCTTGCGAGCCTTGAGGCACAGTTGAGGAGTCTGGCGATGCATATAAAGCAACCCTGGGGCGTAATTCTATAGCCTGGGCAGCTCGTCATCACCATGCGTCATCATGGTCCTTGGGCTCCTTGTATACTACTCAGATATCCGTAAAGATGGAGCCCAAAGTTGAAAATCAAAAGTTGGGAGCGCGGAAGGCTGAGATGTCACAAGTTCTCCTTAGGCTGATATATAACAGGCCCTTCCGTCCGTTATCCATCCGTCCCAATTGCCAACGCCTTTCGGTGACTATTTGATCAACTTCTACCCGTAGAATCCAACCCGGGAGCCACTTTCGAACAAGCGCCCCTTGCTATCCTAACGGGCCATGGCATCCGGTTTATTCCCTTCCGTAAGAAACAGATGCGGTACAGTCCAACAGCTCCATATTAGGAAATCAAGCAACCAAGCGTGTATGAGATACCATCCCGACAAAAGCGTATTGTGTAACGATTGATCGATTATATTCCCATCGCCATGGTAGCCGGTCTACCAGATCTTCGGATGCGGCTTCCCGCGAGATTCAAGCTGCTGAGGCTGCACATCGGATTCTTCGAAATAGTTTCCCTTTTTCCCTTCTGGTCTTTTCACCAAATTAGGCCAGCGGAGGTACTTAGAGTGATCAGACATTAGGGACTGATCAAGGTATAAAACTCGTTCCTGGAAGCATTCGGCATCTTCATACTTTTCCAAGCAGAGATTCAACAAATACCAAACATCTCTAAGATAACAAGCCTCTTTTTTTACCTCTAAGACTATATATAGTACTCCTCTAAATCTTACCACATCAGATTCTACCAAGATGAACAATATTTTGAATAAACTTCTATCTGCATCTACGGATCCCCTCCAAAACAATCATGAGCTCATCAAGATCCCACTCTTCGTATTACTGATAGGATCTGTTGTGGCGTCCGCGATCATTTACTTGCGTGCACTGAGGCGCCGGAGAGCCGCAAACCAAGATATAGGTGGCTATTACCCCCTCCCACCAAATCAACAGCTTTAACTTATGGATGTGACAAACTGATTTTGTGCTTGGATAGAACTGGGGGAACAAGGCTTGGGGAATCGCGATCGGGCTGCTTCGTCGACAACAGAATCAACACAGACTAGAGCCGTGGCTGATCTGAACGTCGGCACTGGAGCTGAATTTACGGCCGGAGCTGAGATAAGTCGATGTGAAGCTGAAGCCGGTGATGATTTTGAGGGCGGAAATGAACATGGGTTTGCGGACGGGGTTGAAGCATGCGCTTAGATCCGAGGATATCTCATCAATTCACAAGCAATTGTGCATGTGGTGTTGTTGGTGTTCACTGGCATGCCTCGGAATTCAGTCGGGCTCAAGAGGGTAAACGTGGTGGATTTTCGTTTTGGGCTTTTGAAAATTTATTTCTTTTTGCTTTCTCGAGATCGATCTCTTTTCACTTTTCACTTACAATCGTATGTTACCTATCAATCAGTACGTAGTACTGTTTTTCCTGCTATAACTATACAGTATTCTTCTCCTCCTACTACCCCCCTTCTTGTCGGTTATATATCCCCAAGCAATATTATTTCGTTTATTCAACGTCATAGCTAGCTTGAGTACTTCTGTTGGTGTTTTTGATACGAATGTTAGAAGTCAGGCATATGTGAATCAGCAAATATAGGATTAAGCCCAGCCGTCTATAGTTGCTCATATTTTAGATGTACCCTTGTCAGTCTGTGTATTAGGTCGGATAGAAGTATATATTTAACCTGAAATTTATTTTAAGAAGCCAAGTAGGGGAACTATCAAAGATATATATATATATATATATGAATATGGCGGCATTATGGTCGATAGCGAGCGACAGGAACCGCTAGTTTTGATTAACCCCATTCCGGTTTCTAGCAGACATCATAAAAGGAGCTGGGGGAAGCTCTCTGATATTATTTTGTCAATTTTGGTTTCAAAATTTTATCTATAGCCTAGGAACGATGCCAGTCAATCCTGTGAATTGAAGAGCGGTCGAGTGAACAGTATGAATTTTTGAGAGTATGTATCATACCCTTTGGCAAAATATATATCAAAAACCCACCGTTATATTAATAAATTTCAGGTAATATACAAAATTTAAGAGACTAGTGTGATACCATGATCAATATTCCTTAAAGCAATTCAACCGACCCCATTTCCACTTTTTCTTGCTTTTCCGAACCTCTTTCTCCTTCTCCTCCTGCCATCGTTTCCTCTCTTCCTCTTCCTTTTCTTCTTCCTCCTGTCGTCTATGCGTTTTTTCTTTTTCATCCTGGTGCAGCAACTTCCTTTCTTCTTGTTGTCTTTGCAGCCTTCTTTCTTCTTCCTCTTCACGCAACTTCCGTTCCGTTTCCTGATGTCGCAACATTAGCTCTTTTTCTTGCACCCTTTTTTCTTCCTGATCTCGAAACTCCCGCTCTAATTCTTCTTTTTGCAATTTCTCTTTTAATTCTTCTTCTCGCTGTTTCCTTTTTTCTTCCTGTTCTCGCAGCTTCCTCTCTTCCTCTTCTCGTAAACTCTTTCTTTCTTCCTCTTCTCGTAGTTTCTTCCTTTCTTCCTCTTCTCGTAAACTCTTCCTTTCTTCCTCTTCTTGTAGTTTCCTCTTTTCTTCCTCCTCTCTTAGTTTCTTCTTTTCTTCCTCTTCTTGTAGTTTCCTCTTTTCTTCCTCCTCTCGTAGTTTCTTCTTTTCTTCCTCCTCTCTTAGTTTCTTCCTTTCTTCCTCATCTCGTAGTTTCTTCCTTTCTTCCTCTTCTTGTAGTTTCCTCTTTTCTTCCTCCTCTCTTAGTTTCCTCTTTTCTTCCTCTTCTCTTAGTTTCTTCCTTTCTTCCTCCTCTCTTAATTTCTTCTTTTCTTCCTCCTCTCGTAGTTTCTTCCTTTCTTCCTCTTCTCGTAGTTTCCTCTTTTCTGCCTCTTCTCTTAGTTTCTTCCTTTCTTCCTCCTCTCGTATCTTTCTTTCTTCTTCTTCTTCTTCTTCTTGTAGCTTCCTCTTTTCTTCCTCTTCTCGTAACTTTCTTTCTTCTTCTTCTTCTTGTAGTTTCCTCTTTTCTTCCTGTTCTCGTAGTTTTCTTTTTGCTTCCCGTTCTTGTAATTTTCGCTCTTCTTCCCGTTCTTGCAATTTTCGCTCTTTTTCCTGTTCTTGTAGCTTCCGCGCTTCTTCCCGTTCTTGTAACTTTCGTTCTACTTCTTTTTCTCTCAATCTCTGCTCTCTTTCTTGCTGTTGTAGCTTCTGTTCTTCTTGCTCTCTCAGCTTCTGAGCCGCTTCCTGCTCCCTCAGCTTCTGAGCCGCTTCCTGCTCTCTTAGCTTCTGAGCTGCTTCCGCCTCTCGCAATTTTCGAGCTGCCTCTAGCTCTAGCAGTTTTTGCTCTTGTTGCCTCTGTAGCCTCCTTTCCTCTTCTTGGTTTCGCAATACCTGTTCTAGCTGCTCTCTTAATTTCCGCTCAGCTTCCTTCTCTTGTATTTTCCGTTCTGCTTCCTTTTCTTGCAGTCTCTGCTTTGCTTCTTGCTCTCGTAGCTTTCGTTCCGCCTCTTGCTCTCGTATTATCCTTTCTTCTTCCCGTAACTTCCTTGCTTCCTCTCGCCGGATTTCCTCTTCTTTCTGTCTTTGTCGGAACTCCTCATCTATTTTGCGAATGGCTTGATTTCTAAATTCAGCTGCTTCAAGGGTATGATAGTGATCCGGCCCAACGAGGCTTGAAAATCCTTCCTCTGCACGGGCAAGGAGTTCGAATGCCTCCTGGTGTTTCGCCTGGTATATCAAAATCTTACCCATCGACAATTCCGTCCAAAGAGCCTCAACGTAACATGTTTTGCCTTGCTTCTTTTCATAGCTCTTGAAAACTTGCCCATATATATCTAGCGCTGTTTCGTAGTCTCCCTCGAGAGCATGTATGCTGGCGGTACAGGACTTTGCCGCAAGGAGTAATTCGCTGCCTTCGCCCTGTTCCTTTTGGTACCCAAGCTCCACTTCCTTTGACCATTGTAAAGCCTCCTTATATTGACCTTGATCTCTTAACAGTCCAGCAATTTTTTCTGCTATCTGTATTTCTCCATCGACTCTCATTGGCAATCTCCTGAGACCTACGTACGCCTTTCGGTATAGTTTCTCCGCCTCGTTATATCTTTCCAAACACACCAACACATCCGCTAGATTGGAGAATGTACGAAGAACCCAAGGGTGGTCTTCTCCTACCCCAAACATGCTTTCAAGTTGTTCCAGCACCCCCCCATATTGTGCGAGGCATTCTTCGTACTGCCCTAGTCTTTCGTAAATACAAGCGATTCCGCTCTTGCTCCTAAGCGTCGAATAGTGATTTTCGCCCAGTATATGTGCTCTGGTTTCGTAAGCGAGTTTATAATACCTCAGAGCTTCGTCGTAGGATCCTTGTGCTTCAAGAATTGTGGCGATATTGTCAATTATTTCCAGGACCGAGGGATGGTATTTTCCAAGCCTCTTTTCTTTCTCCTCCTGGACTTGTTCTAGTAGGTCTAGGGCTTCCACATATTCCGCAGAGCTGATAAGTGCGCCGGCAAGCTGGTGTCGCGTCTCTAGTGTTTGAGGGTGGAGATATCCTATCTTCTCCTCTTGCCGTTCTAAAACCCACCTGTATCTTGCTATGGACTCAGAGTAATCTCCCCTTGCTCGAAGTATGGCAGCGATATGAGTGGTGATGATAAGCGACTCCGAACTATCATTCCCACCTTGAGATTTTGTTCCGTCGAGCGCTCGTGTACACCATCTCAACGCTTTGTCGTATTCGCCTTGCAGTCTGAGACTTACTCCAAGGGCATCCATCATTTTCAGCTCGAGACAGGAAGGGTGCCCAGTTGCATTTTGAAGGCTTCGTTCGTATATGGCGCTTGACTTGGGTATATTACCTAGGTTGGTATACATCCGTGCAAGATTATAAGCGATTCTCTTGCTCTTGTCGTTAACTGCGGCGCCGCTTTGGGGGGCTAGATACTTGAAGAAGATTTCTGAGCAGCATTCGATATGCGGAAGAATGCGGTACTGGTACGCTGACTGAGATTGAGTTCGCCCATCCCCAAAAACGAAGGTAGAGGTAACGATGTTGACGACGAGGAGAGAGTTCTTGAAAGTTGCGTTGTCTGTATAGTCTCGGACCCACCGGTGCACTAAGGGGTGGATATAATAGCCATTATCGTGCCTTTCGCTAATGAGACGGAGAGATAGTAGCTCTCCTATAGTTTTGTTTAAGGCATTTCGAGTTGCTAAGAATTGACAGTCAGATTAGGGACGACTTAATAATGGCTAATTGCATAGGAAAGTTCTAATTTCGGGTAAAGCTAGCACTCACATCCCATCCAGTTCACGACCTCCCGACCCGCTTCGAGAAATTTATAAGGGATATCTTCATTCCCCATCAAAGATAGCAATTGAATCATATTCTTTGCCTCCCGAGTCAACTTCCGGAACGATATTTCGCAAACAGCATGAATTTTGCCAAGACGTTCTTTGAGATTCCCTTCGAGGCTTTCCGCATATGAGTTAAATGGCACCGAGTATTTGCGTATATAGGCACCAATAAGCTCTATCGCGAGCGGAAGCTTGCCTACCGAGTCGACGATAGCGAGAACAGTTTGGTGCTCTAGGTATGTTAGTGACACCGAATATGTTAGAATAGCAGTTAGAAGCGACATCGACGAACCTTCCGTTGTGGCCCTTTTTCCTGAGATCTGATGAAGCAATTCCACAGCCTCTTGTTGTTCCATACCTGCGAACATTTCAATGTCCGTACACGAGCCGTAGGAGTTCTGTAGTCGGCTTGTGATAAGAACATGTCCGATATCAACAGGCAATAGACTATCGAGAACCTCTGCACAAGCCGCCGGGTCATCGTAGTTGTCTAGTATAAGTAGCCATCTTGAGTTAGACCCGCGGCACAGCCAGTGGTTGAGACATTTGATAGGCGATGACTCGATCGCCGCTCCCATCAGGGTTTCATCAGATGCAATGCCCTTGCCATCGAGACCTAGAGAGTGAGCAATGCGAAAGTAAGTTTGATTCGAGTCTTCCAGTGTATCCGTATCCGCATTTCTGGTGTTAACATTGATGATAGACCATATCGCCTGCCTAGCACTCTTTTCTAGTTCTATCTTGCTTGTGGCGTTGAGCCAAAAGATTGCAGAGTATTCGTTCGAGTATCTATATGCGTATTCAAGAGCCGTATGTGTTTTCCCACTTCCATCAAGGCCGCATAAAGATACTACTCTGCGACCGAGGCTGTGAACTAGAGGTTCAATTGAAGAGTTGCTTGACCAGAAAGATCTCCGAATTTTCGCAAATATATCCTCCCTTCCCTTGAAATTGAGATCTCTTGAAGTCGGGAGGCCGAGAGGAACATGGTATTCCTCTGGTTCTATGCCAGAGTCAGCACAGTTCTATGAACTGTTTGAACGCTCCCAAAGGGTATCCGTCAGAATATCATGCGTAATAGAAGTCATTTATTGCCCGCCAAAGACGCACAAGTTTTTAAAGAAGGCAGAAGTCTGCAGCTGTCTTTTGGATACAAGAGGGAACTCGGATAGTAGGAGATCTTTGATGATACTTACTCCATAAATCATTTATTCCTGTCGATAGAGGCTCAATTGTGTATAAAAGCTCCCGCGCGAGAGCGGCTGCCGCCGTCGCAGCATAAGGCTGCCATGTCCTATTTTTATGAGAGTCGGCGTAGTCGCTGATGCCTCGCACAATCAAGTAAAGCTTGTCGCCCATGGCACCGAAGGCTTCTGTTTCGATACAAAGAGCATCGTGAAACCGTCTAGATAGCTGGTCTCTCGTATTCGATTTTTTGATACCAGAATTTCCTGACAAAATTGTTCCCAGATGGAATACTAGATCTTTAGTATTCCTTTTGGGTCGATCCACCAAGCGGTAAAGGTCGCACATTGAACATGCGCTGCCGCCGACAATATGGTTATATGTCGACTCGTACAAGTGATCTTTTTCTAGGCCTGGGTGTGAGTATCGACTCCTTTTGAGATGTTCGGCGAATTCTGTTCTTCCGTTAGAATGATTCTTTTGTAATGTTGTAAGTGCATTTAACAGGCGGCGGTCTGGTTTATCGAGGCTCCCTATATGCTCATCCTCGCCTATTTCCAGTCTTTGAAAGTTGCATTGGACAATAGATGGAATTCCGGGTCGTTTATTCCAGCCAACGACAACGTCACCTAGATGAATATCATCTTGGGAATCTTCAGGAATCGGGTCACGGGGTATACCGCTACCGATTCCTATGAATAAATATATTCGCATATTTGGAAAGTTCCGAGATAGTGGTTGCACAAGCTTCGTGGTGGAGCTTGTCCTTGGTATGCCGGGTGGCATACACGCGATCACAATATTATGTCCGCTGATAGAGCCGTAGGTGTATAAATTCTCGTCGTCAGAGGGTAATTCGCATTTTTTATGCCGGACGTCCAGCATTGATCTGGCGGCTATCAGCTCGCTCTCCGGTAGAGAACAGAGCCACCCGATAGTGTACTCTTTGCGGGAAAGCTGTATGCGATCCTCCATGGCGCGAAAGGGAAACGCTGAAAAGCCGTATTTTATTACTATTACTATCTGGAAATACCCGTAAACCCGCCACCGAGACGACTTTGGTCGTGTTAGTTAGTTATCTGAATCGCAGACCAGAACCAGTATTTATTTCTTCAGTCAATTAATCAATCAATATAATTGTGGACTAGGCCTGACCTGCACAACGTCCAAATGTAAGTGCTAAAAAAGTTTTTTCTGCTGGAATTTGTCGGAGAGAAATCGTGAAAATCAAAGAAACCGTCGTGAAATTGAACTGCGGAGCTCGCAATTCATAAATTAAATATTCTTCGGCCAGCCTGAAGTTGATTGATGCATGATTCTGCTAAGATATATGCAGGTTGTGTTGTAAACTGCACTGTACACACACCAGCTGCAGCTTTGCACTCCAATCATGAGCCTTGGTTCCTCACCTTCGGGTCATTCCCCATCCCGCGCCACGTGCACCTACATGATGTTCGCTGGAAGAAGTCGATCTGGAGCCCATCCGATACCATATTGTCACCAAACGAAATTTTGATCGCGGGGGCGCCGCAGAGCCAACCTGTGCTAAATGATATGCATGGAGGCTGGTATGTATGATGCCAGATGATATAATGATTCGGGAAGCTAAACTTTCAACCCAGGCGTCAGACACGAAGCACGAATATATGTCTCAATGTCTTGGGTAAATAGAGTATCTATGTAAGGTGGAGGTTTTTCTTCTTTCTTTTTTTTTGTTTTTCTCTCTCCTACCCGGGTCAGAATTATTCTCAAGGCTTTCACTGGTGGAAACCGGGGCATTTTATTGAGAGAATCGATCCACTGTAGCACGACTGGAGTGAGGTGTTGTGCGGAGGGGTCGTTGGGATGCGCTGGACCTGATCGTTTTAGGACAAGGAGGGCCCACTAGGCCAAATCGAACCGCCAACCAGATTTTTTCATGTTATTCTATGTATACCCACATACCTGGCAAGGTCCACAATTTCTCAGAAGGATCATGAATGGATTTGAGTAAGGAAATGGATTCGAATTCAGATAGGCTCTAAGCTAAATATCTATAACCGCATTGCGCCGAAAACAAACCATGAACACACATGTACAAGCCAGCCAATGACCCTATCCCATGTACAATTTATCGTAAGGTGCCAGCCCTGTTCTTGCATCTAGCAAAGTAACACCCGCTTTTTTTCTTGCTTCCCTGAGGACGAACAGCCACCGATACTCAATATCTAGTAGCACTTTTCGCACAAGGTCTTAATACCAGTAACACAGATGTTCTTCGAAATCATCTCGCAAGACTCAACGATCTTTTTGTCGTTTGATTGTTCGCACTTATCGGCAAGCTTGGCGGTACGAATTGTTCGCCATCCCTTTGGGCATTCACCCTTGCAGAGGGGAGCAGTGCCGAACCATTCTTGAATGCAGTGCTCTATTTGATGAAATCATTAGTTTGGGTCCAAATCGATGAGTTTTTTAGGAGAGGATTGTACATACGGCGAGTATCGACCTCGTAGCTAGTAGCAGCTGGAGAGTCGTATTTGCTTCCAGAGTCCTTCGCACCGTAATTGGCAGTGGTATCCTTGGAATCGTATCCGTTATCATAGGCCTTGTTGCTAGCAGCCTTGTTATCGTAGCCATTGTTATTAGCGGCCTTGTTATTGTAACCGTTGTTATTGGCGGCTTTATTGTCGTAGCCATTGTGGTTGGCAGCTTTGTTATCGTAGCCATTGTTATTAGAGGCCTTGTTATTGTAGCCGTTGTTGTTAGAGGCCTTGTCATTATAGGAGTTATAGTTATTTGAAGGAGCGTAGTCGTTGGAGTTGGCATTGTATGAGTCGTATACATTGGGATTGGCCATGGCGACAGACATCAAAAGAGGAGCAGCAAGAACGATGGTGCTGAAGAGTTGCATTTTGGAAGATTATTGCTGAGAAATTTGTGCAAATAAGTTTAATGTTGTTGGTCAAAGAGAATATAGTAAATTCAGAAGTAGAAATGCGTAGATCGAAACTGGACTAGATCGAATCAATCGATTGAGCCAATATAATAGAGATGTTTAAAAGTTGAATATTAAGAAAACTGTTGTAGAAGAAAGTTGATTATGGAAGGCAAATGATAGAATGTGATTGTGATGATAATGGCAAGAAAGAAGTCAAGAAGATGTAGGAAATATCGGCATTTATAGACTTCATTATGGTGCTTGTATCTAGCTGACAATTCAACAGACCACGATGTAACTACGCGCCACACCAAGGTTAGAACGTCCCACGATTGATCACACAGGCCCTAGAAAGCTGCATCTAGAAGCTCCACATCCCTGAGGTCAAGACATATGGTACCGAAACCGAGCTCTTCGTTACCTCGAAACTCTTCTAGAAGGCGACGCTTGCCTTGACTCCATGTTTTGTCGGAATATTTGAGGCGGCCCAGGAGGTGCCTTAGCGAATGAAGCGGAAAGGTGCGGCAACTTGAAAATATTCCGGTGGTATTCGAAAAAAAGGCTTGACCTTTCCAAGACCTTCAAAACCATACTGACCTGCTCAAGACGGGAGGTAACATGATTTCCTGAATTTGAAACGACGGCGGTGATGTTTCAAATGTTGTGGGCTTCTGTAACACTAGCGGCATGCCGCAGATCGACACAAATTTATGCGAATAGAGAAGTGGGCGAGTTGTTCTAGCCAATAGGAGCCGCGTATCAAACAAGGGTCCGAATACAACGCCGTCAACGCATTCTGAGAGGGTTATTGATGCACCTGCTACTTGGCAGGCCAGATTGAATCTAATACCACAATACTGCAAGGAACAACTTTAGAACGTACCACTTAATATGTAAGAGATTTTACCATGGGGATGGCGAAGCTCTTAAACCGACCAACGAGAGAGAGAGAGAGAGAGAGGAGAGAGAAAGAGAGAGAGAGAGTATGGCTAGTCTATAGTAACTTGAAACTAAATGATACCTGGACACTGATGCTCATATCAGAGCGCTTTCTACCTCATGCTTGGGTTTTTGCAGGCGGAAAAGACGTCTACATTGTTAGAGGCTCCACAAATTGCTTCAACTACTTTATCGGCTTAGCGAAAGAAGTTGTAAGACAACGTTCCCGTTTACCAACTCAATTCTGCTGTATAGGCCATTGCAGTTGGATTGGCAAGCTGAAAGTGTGTTCGCTGCCTCATCATTTTAGTAAAATTTCTTCCAAGATTTTTTCTAGATCGTTTAATGTTGGTTTCTAAGCCTCTAAATCAACGTAATGTGCCAACATATACTTCCGATTCGCTAGTTGTGATTTTATTCGTAGTGGCAATTAAGACCGCCAACAGGTGTATGCTTGGCCTAATAGTTGGATGCTACAACTATTCTGGTGGAAATGGTCATCTTAGAGTTACGGTCGCCAGCAATTGAAATACTTAATCACGTCCCGTATAGCTTGGCGAATTCGGGGTTTCTCGAAAGTGTTGGGCTGCCTATGCAAAGTGGTGGGTGTCGAACTGTAGCTATGAGATGGTGGATGATCTGACATGAAGGGCACTTAGTGTCGCCAATGTATATGCTAGTCTAGTTGTTTATGTATATGCTTAGATTATACTGCCCTCTACCTTCGACTTAGAGTACTCTTCGCTTGTAGCGATAAAAACCAAAACCAACGCCAGCGCTGTAACTAATTGACGGCGCCCATAGCAAGCACCAATGAACCACAGAGAATTAAAAAAGCGTGATTTGGATTTTCTTTAGTCAGTTAATCACAAAATCAATGCCTGGCCCCGAAACCAACTGAATACCACTTTGCAAGTACTGAAAAAGTTCGAATCAATACTACCCACCCGGTCCAAGGCTTGTTAGCTGCGCCAAGGAATAATGCTGTTGTATTTTTTGCGTTGTCTATGACAAATTTTCTGCCACATGCATTGCTTGCAATCCAAAATGCATAGCCTGTGCAGCACTTGTACCTGAGCGGTTTACACCCGAAGATCTAACTGCGATCATTTAAAACCCTTTGCACGTCAATTTCGGACCCGAGGGATAACAAAAACCCTGGCTAAAGCATCTCCTAGGTACTATGGAAAGCGAAACTGGGCCCAAAGAGCCGAAAGCTGCCAATATGCCAGCTCCTGAGGTTACCCCTGTCGATGTGGCAGCCTCCTCGGCAGAAGCTATGTCATCATCTGCAGCTGAGGATACATCAGAGAAACAGGACATTCTTTATTTCCCTCTGCGGTACACTCGAATACGAAATTACTGGGGCTTTCCCGAGCTTGCTTTCGATGATATCAACAATGACCCGCAGGAAGTCCAGGTCGAATACTGCGAATCAGACCCAAAAGTTTATGATTACTTTATCAGATGCACGTTCATAAAGCCCATTGTCGCTTTGTATGAACCAATTTCCAGAACACTCGTGCGAAGAGAAAATATTATGGAAATTAAAGATATGAAACTGCCGAACGGGCGGGACACTATATGGTCTGTGGTGTACAAAGGACCGGAAAAGCAAATGAGCTTTTGGGACAACCTCGCATGGACGTCGAAACTCATGCTGAAAGACGAGTTTAGTCCGATGCTCTATATTGAAGATTTAGAGAAAGGGAGATACAAAGATACACTTTATGATGTTTTATGGTGGTATTGGAAGGACAAGATCTTCCAGCAGAGAGATGGGGAACCGAAGCAGGCCCCACAGGCTGAGGGACAACAAAATTCTGCTGTTTGATGAAAGAGGCGAGTCATTTAATATTTACCTGTTTACGAACGTTCAGTCTTCACTGTAAAGGAGAGGGAAACATTGTATCATCGCTAGACTCTTCCGCACAGGTGATGAGATAAGGAAATCTACCTCAACCAAGGTATCTTTAGTTATAATCTTAATATATATATTTTTTCGAGAGAGGAGCTGAACAAGGAAGCGCTCGAAGAGAGTGTTGAGAAGTGATATATGCTTTTCACACCCAATGTTCGGACCCGTTGATCGATTTCTTCCGATACTAGTTTCATGTAGGATTTGGTTCGGCAGCTGTTCAATAAGCTACAATAGGAATTGTTAATACATATGCATATTCGTCTATTTGCACTTATCTTGATAAGAGCGTGACATGTTCTTGAGATAGTATCAATCCTTAATTTTTATATGACATAAGAATTTGCGAAGCTACAATATTTACCTTAGAAGCTTTAAGTAGCTTGGATTTTTAGTGAATGGTCATAGATTCTCGAATATCGAAGTACCTTCCAAGCGATAAACGTTAAACTGTTACCAACTCTCTTCCACAGTCTCTGACGATAAAATCTTACATCCCGCCCATTCTTTCGTCAGAGGTATCGGCGCCTATTTGCCATGTTAGCTCCTTCCACATAAGATCGGGGCCAAGGGTTTATGAAATAAGGTGAGGGAGACTTACCGGATAAAAATATATTTTGGAGCTTCTTGAACTGCTCATTGCTCCATCCTGGCAGCTCGCTATACTCGCTTCCCTCCGTCATTCTCGTAGGTTGTCCTCCGTATCGATTCCAGTTGGATACTGATCCCAACGATTGGATTGGCACCCCCCTTTCCTCGTATCCAGCTAACCCAGAGCCCGTATATAGTCGATGCAAGCTTGTTTCTGTTGTCTTGGCAGACTCCATTGTTCGATAATGCTCCATTCCGACTATAGGCCCCATCATGGTTCTCGGGTCAGCTAAAGTGTTTAGTCTTGCCCTAAGGGATTCCCTTGGAGTGCTTTCAAACAGGTAGTTCCCGACTCTTGGATTACTGATTGTCAAAGGTGAAATTGGCTCCTCCTGTGCATTTGAGCTGCCGTAAGCATTGTAAGGTCCTGAGGTGGATCCAGCCGGTGTGGCCGAGGCGGCGTTTATATTGTAGTATCTGAAATCGGGCGTACTCAATGCAGAAGTAGGCGATGGGGCGAGAATAGATGGGGAACTATCTCCACGGACTGGCGGCATCGCTAATCGATTACCATGAAAACCAAAATTTCCCCCATAGCCTGTTCCTGTTGCCACCTGATATTGGGGCGTGGACAAGTGACTTAAGCTATGGCCGTTGGTCTGTACTCGATGATTTCCTGACGCTTGGGTCTCTATTAGTTCATGAAGAGAGGCTTGAGTATCTTTCTTCCACTCTCCCTCTTGGGCCTCTTCAGCAGCTTCTACCAACTGCGCCAATACTGCACCCTCAATACTACTCAGACTAGAGTTAGAGTCGGCTTGGCTATCCAAAACTGGGAGCTCCTCTTCTTCATTATGTGCCTCGAGATCATGATCGGGTCCAGTCGTTAATATATTCTTATTTTCTCTCCCCCTCTTTGACTTGAGATTTTTTGAGTTCAATACGGCATTATAAGAACTAATATTACGGGCGGTGGCGGCAATCCTGAATCCCTCCGGAGTAACTGCGTGCTCCAGCAATCTCTGAATTGGACGCCCGTTCATGATGATCACATCACCATGATGAAGACGGAGCTCTAGGACATTTCGTTTAGAGGGTCTTTTAGATTCTTCAGGGGTTTGTGAGCCGGAGTGTGAGGGGTTAGAAGGCTGAAGGAGTGTTTTATCTGCATCTGAGAGTATTCCATTACAGTACTTGGCTTTAACGCGGAAGTACATCATCGCAGGAGATCCCAATGAGATAGATGAGACACATGGACCAAGATCCTCTTCACCGTCATCGTGGAACTAATAAACTTTCTTAGTAATCGATATCTGACTTAAATTCAAGAAGGGTTTCGGATAGGGTTAAAGGGGCGAATTTGGAGCTTACGTCCATCTTTTGCTCTTCAAAGTAGGCGACGTTGAGGACCTCATTCATAAGCATAGCCCCTGGGATCATGCGTGTAACATCCGTCTGGAGGGTATCCAACGCCTGTCGTACCACCTGCGGTGATTCTTCGAATGATAGACTATCGACTTCGACAATGTATTTGTACGGAGCGCCAGAGTTAAAGGAGAACTGCTGGGTCAAAAGTCTCCCCGTGACTTCATAGGGTCAATCTTAGTACTTATATATCGGGTCAGAAAATGTTGTGAACTCCAGAACTTACGTTTATGCGTCTTCAGTTCATGCCGTTTGAACGGTATTTCGACGTCTTGATACTGATCTAATAGCCAATCTGCCCCCCTTGGTAGCGCATTCCAAGTCTTGTTCGCTAATATATGAATGACTCTTCCGCACTGGAAAACATCGTAAACCATTGCTCTCCTTCCATCTGGAAGAACCATAGAACTCGATTTAATTGAAGCATCAACGACATTCTCTGGGATGGGTGGACCGGTGTATTCGGGTCTGTGTTGATCTGAAAGATCTGCCGGCACAAAATGCGATCTTTTGGGTGTAACCTCCCAGTTGCAGTTGGTACATTTCCAGCTTTTCCAGAGTTCTCGACAATTCAATTTACCGCAGTTTTGACACCACATTCCTTTCCAGAATTTTCGCTTGACATCGCGTCCGTGGCTTTCAGTTATTTCGTCTTCGATTGGAAGACTTGGACCAAGCGGGCCGGGAGGAGTTGTTGCTGCATCTGGCCATGCAGTTCGGCCGTGGAGAAAAGATTTTCTATATATGAAATGCTGAGGCGCCTTGCCCCCTCGCCCACAATGCACCTATAGAAAGTCAGCCAATCTATCGCGAATTGAACTTAGCCTATCAGACTTTATTGAACAGCTTTGACCCACCGTCCAGAATCTTTTGCAGTCTTTATTTAGACACATGGGTTCATTGTCATATATCCACGGACTATTTTGTCGACAGGTTGGACAATTGATGTACTCGATCGCTATATCTTCGGAAGTCCGTGGCGTATCTGCGGCTGCCCACCACCCTGGTTTCGAAGAGTCCAACTTCTCAAGGCGGAACTTGCATCGAATATTACCGGACTTACTGTCCCTCTCCGGCCAACAATGTGTAACTTTGAACCAATCCATGACTGCGTACCGGTGTTTCAGCTGCGCTGGGGCAGTTGGACAACGCTCACCAATAATGGCGATCAACGGTACCATTTGCTCGCAGTTATTCCGGAGGTAGGCAATAACACCTTTATCCCAAGTCTGGTCACGGACTAAACGTCTTTCACCTTCAACTTCTTCGCTATTTCCGCCTGCGTGGGAAATAATAATACTGCCATCCATGTAATCACGCTCGGATGCATGCCCATCAAGTAGGTATCCTCTCCCGAAACCTTTGGAAGCATAGCAACCACCTTGGTATGAACGAAAAGATGGCAAACTTTCACAGAGCTCTTGACGAGTCTTGATAAATATTAGCTTCATACTTATACTACTTCAGTGGGTACCCAGGTACTTACATCACACCAAACAGCCGGCTGCCCAATCGCTGGTGGTTTCTCTGGTGCAGCGAATGTTTTCGCTTGGGGAATCTTCGAATTTTTCCAAGCGGTGATCTTCCTTTTTTCAAAATTTGGATCGAATAACTTTTCAGGGGGTGCTACGCTGCTTGGTTCGTTCGCGAGTGATCCCTCCACTAGTTTTGGATTAGTGGATGTATTTGCAAAACTTGGTTTTGCCGGAGTTTCAATGCCTAGCTTAGGTCTTTGGCGTTTTGGCCGCAGATTTTGCGTCTGCTCCACAGTAAGATCGTCTTGAGGATGGATCGGCTCAGCTGCGTCTTCTATGAGCTCTGCCTTCCGTTTCGAGGAACGAGTTTGACGAATATCTTTGAGCTCACCAGTAGTCGGTGCTCCATTAGAATTACACGAAGGGTTTGTAGCACGTCGCCTGGTGATGACACCTCGTGTAGGTAGAGGTAGGCAAGCCGGGATCTTTTTTGCTTTGCTATTAGAGGCTATCCCTTCCTCAACACCCGGAATTTTTAAAGTCCTAGAGTAAGATAGTTCATAATCAATAACTGGAGTATCTATGTATGCTAACACAAGTACTTTTGACACTGGTTAGACTTAAGATCTTACCCTATCTTCTTTCGGCCTGCTGCCGCTATATTCGAAGGAGTAGGTTCGACGATAGAACCTATATCTGACAGCCTTGTCGATCGCCTAGTAAAAACTCTAGGGCTGCTTCTAAGCTCTGGTGCTGACTTTGCAGCTGTAGCTGGTTCTTCAAGAGAAACAGCTTCTAAACAAAGTTTTATGTGGTTAGTACTCGGTAATTATTCAAGATTCCAGTAAAAGTAAACTGGAGGTGAGAACTAACCTCCTTGAACGACTGAAGCCTTTTTTCTTGTAGCCACTCGGCCTGTAGCGCCTACACTTCTGGACGAAGTCACATTCTGTGTGGGTTCTTGGGCAGACAGCGGTGGTGATACTAGGCCGGTCAAGTTTCGACTTGATACTCTTTGAGTCCTAGCTTTCGGAGGTCGAATATCGCGGGGTGTATCTCCTTTTTCAGATTCCGGCGGGGATAAGGGCTCTGGCGCCACTCCTTGGAGCCGCCTGGACGAACGGCTTCCTTTCCGGTCGAGTGCCATAGCTTCTTATCAGTTTCTCGGGTTTATAAATTGTGCGTACAGCGCGAAATAGGCTTTTATGGCCGATGTATTGTGCTTTTGATTCTATATTATAGAGCGTATTGTCGGTTAAGCACCTGAACGAAGAGAATTGATACTCAAAATCGGTGAAATATTGCTCCGGCAGACAGGGGCTAGTATGATGAGTGAGTGTGTATTGGTTTAAGAGCTTCAGAAATTTTAATGATCGATCAAAGTGGTTAACGTAGTATCATATTCTACAGTTGTAGTAATTAATTACTTCTGCTATCGTGTCGAAGTTAGTTTTAGTGATAAATCCCTGATCTACAGCTAATTTTAGGGCTCGAAATCAGTCAGCGTTCCTAATGTGTATGATCCTCAAAAGCGTGGAGAGTAAATTTAGAGATTACTAAAGCTAGAGGGCGATCGCCGGGAACGATCGCAGTGGCCTTTTATACAAACGAAAGGCCTTAAAATAAATATTTTAAAGAATCGCCACAAATATGGCCATGCCATAAGGTTATCAGAGCGTGAAGCCGATAGCAGACTCTTCTTTCTTAGTCCAAATATATAAATTTGGTAGCCGTAGGCACTTTGATTTTTGATAGGACTTCAACTATTTAAATTTTAGACTAGTTAACCGCTACTATTCAGCAATTGATCGATATTTAACGCGGTCAGATCTTTACGTCTCTGCGGAATTATGCATGTTTTAGGAGACAAGAAAAAGTACTTAATTAAAATTTTGCTTATTATTACAACTGTGAATTTTGAACACCTATACTATAACCTTTGATCAATTGAGGCCTCCTACCCAGCTGACAAGTAGGTACATGCTAGAGATATTGATAGTAAATTCGGACTTCAAATCGTCTATACGTATATATATATATGTTGACAGGCTACGATCATTGAGAATAGTATAAATGTACACTACAAGCGATAAAATTGTATCCAGGGAAATTTCATAAGATATATGCTATCCCCCTATGAAAATTTATCTACAAAGTTCAAGCTGCTTGCATCTCTGCCGACATCTAGTACTGGTTGGATGCATGAAAACGTCTATATTTACGTAATTACCTCTTCGGGAAGCTGCCTTCGAACTCACTGCAGTACTACCGCCGCCCACACTTTAAATGGCCAAGGGCTGCCCGATGCAGATCAATTGACCATCACGTGTGCATGCGCGGAAGGAGTAGAATTCTGTAGAAAAGTTTACAAGTCAGTCTAGCTAGTTTCTCTGTTTAACTATAATGATGGACAAAAAAGTCAGCGGGTAGACGATCATATTTTGCGTCCTCGCACACTGTCATTGCGTAGCGTCGCCTCTTTATTAATAAGACAACCGACAATCCCGAAGAGCTTAATTACCTCTGCTAATTGTTTCGTTGGTGTGTTTCGCGCACTTTCTGTAGCCCATTACAGTCTTATATCTCCCCATCACGCCAGATAGGTAATTATAACTATGCCTCCGAAACCGGTACAGAAAATATTTACATCGCTTTGTTTTATCTTTGTTTTAGTTGCTAATATATATTGTGGATATAGCCAGACTACACCAAACCAAACCTATAAATGCACCGGGAGTCAGATAACAGAGAGTGTTCATAAGATGGAGGAAGAAGGCTAGTCCATGTACTTACGGACCTAATAAATCAGCAGTGCCATTATACCCAACTTATATACGAAGAACTCAGGGCACACACAAATTATTTTATATCAACCTACGACCTTATGTCTGCTCCCAACTCAGTTGGACGATAGGCAAAGAACCCATATATATCGAATATCCTCTAAAATTGAAATTTAATTGCTTGAGTTAAAGGCAGCTTAGGTGATGAGTTCTCAACAGAAAAATTCCCTCCGACTGTATAATTCTCAAAGTTATAACATCTGATAGAGGCTTCGAAGATCGGAGACGACTTGTATTATGAGACGAAAGGCGGCCGCTCGCCGCCATACAATATCATGCCTTTGTTGACCCATGCCAACTTTGATATCGATGCCCGAAAAAGTCACCAGGCATCCAAAAGTGTTCTGCTAGGACTCAAATTCCAAAGGCTTGCAGACGAATGGCATATTGGTTTGCAACGTTAACAAAGTTCTCGCGGCCTTGTCACATAATTACCAGCTACATCGCTAGAGTTTACGGGTTTGTTAGCAGGGAATTCTGTTCATGCGTAACCACCGATTTTCGAACTCCTTGGCAAGAGGAGGTACAAAAATCTACTCTGCAGTAAGAACAAGGTCTCTCATTGGATTTTTTGCATAAGTTAAATACGCTAACGGCCAACTACCCAATGACTAGAAGCTGCTTTCCCAGGATTCATGCGTGCTTCGTTTGTCCAAATGCGATGCTTCCACTCTTTTTGGGAATTTTGGGTCGAACAGTGCATATATCTGCACAAACGAGTTCCAATGGACACGAAGGAGCAGTGAAAGTGACTTATCTTGACAACGTTGATCCGGCTTTCCAAACCAAAGCCTCAATGACCTGGTGCAGTTTCTCGAACGAAATACGTTGATACGATGTTGGGGTTCGGGAGGGCAAGTTAGACAGACTCGAGTTCACTGATTCCTCCAAGGTTCTATATATTGAGGACCATTTCCCCTTTGCTGAGTGTATTATTCCCTAAGACCACAATCATCACACGAGAGCCTTCATTCAATCCATACAGAAAAAAAAAAATTCATTCGCAATCAAGCATCCATTATTTTTACTCGGGTTACTTACCCTCCTTATTGTTCGGTATCGCCTCACTTTGAGTATCACCAAATCTTTAACCTCTAACCTAAGATACAGACCCTCTCAAAAGAATATATTGCATGTATGATATCAGGTCTATTTGGGACTAGAAGAAAAATGGATGCTCAAGGTCACAAAAATACCCAAAAATTCGACAAAATTGAGATATATGCCGAAGGCGAGCGAAGCAAAGCTTTCGACGCAGTCGATAAGATCAGGGAGTTACAGATCGGAGAAATTTCTCTTCCCCAGGTAAGATCCACCTCTCATACATTCATATGATCGTACATAGACTAAATCCAACAACTCCATAGTTGGTCGCCGTGGGCGACCAGTCATGCGGCAAATCGTCGCTCCTGGAAAGTATCACTGGGATTTCCTTCCCAGTTGGAAGCGACCTTTGCACACGATTTGCTACCCAGATTGTGCTCCGTCGTACCGATGCTACGGATGCTTCGGCCGTCGTCCAGGCTACTATCCTACCTGGGCCTGGGTCTATCTCCAAGGACGCCACTCGAAAGAAACTTGAGAGTTTCCGCCACGTCTTCAAGGAATCTGAATTTGGTCCGAAGGAGTTTCGTGATATTATCATCAAGGTGCAGCTTCTTTGCCAATAGTCACCTCATCTAGGGGCATACTGTTATAGAATAATTGCGGCTAAATGTGTCTACATTTTTATAGGCTGGAAAAGCAATGGGTATTGAAAACGAGGTCGACGAGATGGTTTCCGGGAAACGGTTCTCCGATGATATACTGAAGATAGAGCTTTCGGCATCCCACCATCCTCACCTTACGATCGTTGATGTCCCTGGTCTTTTCCATAGTATATGCCCTTTACTCGATTTCAGACTTTAGACACTATCTGATAGCTTTTACAGATCCCACCAAACATCAAACCGAGGAAGATCAAGTTCTCATCCGCAAGCTGATTGAAAATTTTACTGAAGACAAGAGAACCATAATAATGTAAGTTGAGAAAACGCATTTACGCCACCTTCGCGGGCTGAAGCCTTTTAGCTGTATTTCATCCGGTCTGGCAATTTAATAAGCAGCTAAAAAGATATACATGCTGATATCCAAACTTAAAACCTAGGGCTGTTATGGATGGTCGCAACAACCTCGCCATCCAAGAAGTTTTTAAGATGGCTCGAACTGCCGATCCGGAAGGAAGGCGAACAGTTGGTGTAATAACCAAATGTGATGTCGTGCAGCCAGGCGAGGAAAATGTCGTAAGTTTGCTTAAACCTATTGCCAGATTTTAAATTGCTTAAACGGAAGAGCCTTTTGATGACGATTTCTCACGCAATATCAATAGCCAATGAACATCGCGGCAAACAAAGTGGAATATCTACGGCATGGGTGGTTTGTCGTCAGGAACCGTTCGACCAAAGAAAGCAATCAAAGAATCACGGCGGACGAGCTGCGAAAGCACGAGAATGAGTTTCTCAAGAAGGACCCTTGGTGCACCCTCGACCCACAACGTGTCGGAGTCTCCAAATTGAAAGAATTCCTCGGTCGCCTCCTCCACGAGCATATCCAAAGCGAGCTTCCCAGGCTTGCAGAAGAAATCAATGCGATTATTATCGATTCAACCGAGAAGTTGGGGACTCTCGGGGAGGCCCGCACCGATCTTAGCAAACAGCGGTTCTACCTGACCCTTCTTGCCAAAGACTACGAAAACAAGGTCACCGAATATCTTAACGGGCAGATCGGACAGATCCTACCAAAGAGCCATCCACTGAAGGTCCGTACCCGCGTCCAAGACTTGCATGACGAATACGCAGCAGCTATGAAGACCAAGGGCCACAGTCGCCCTTTCAAAACCATGGATGGGCGTGACGAAGGAAGAGATTACAACCTCGAGGCTACGGACCAGGTCGGAGAGGATTTATCCGAGCCACGTGATATCATCGAATGGATTAGCAAGGCCTACCATGGATCGCGAGGCCCGGAGCTCAGACCTTTGATAAACAACGATGTAGTGGCGTGTCTCTTTCGGGATCAGGCTAAGAATTGGCGCACGGTAACGGAAAGCCATATCAAATCTGTAGTGGATGTGGTTAAGGAGTTCAACTCGGCTCTCCTTACTCGAATCATCACTGAAGAAACCGTTAGAAGGAGAATTACGATGCGAATCACGAAGGAGATGGCCCACAGTATCGCTGCAGCTTACGATCTGCTTGAGAATCTGATCGAAGATGAGTTTGGCGGCATCCTGCAAACGGTTGATGACGATTATATGGCTGCATTGAACAATTCAAAGGCAACAAGAATACAATTCCGCCTCATGGGCAACCTAGTGAAAGAGATGGTATCACAGAAGATAGGGAAGATAGGGAAGATATCTAAAAGCGAAGAAACACCGAACGCGGATGTCAAGCATAGTTCCTTCGACCCAGCCGCAGCTTTAGCCGACTGGCTAAACAAAGCTACAGATGCTTTCGCAGGCAAGAACGTGGTAGTCGAAGATATCCACGATATCTTAAAAGCATACTACCCGATCGCGCTCAGAAGGTTCATTGCGACTGTCAACAGTCAAGTTGTCGAGAGAAAGCTACTTGGCAAAGATGGTCCGCTTCGACTGTTCAGGCCAGATTATATTACCGTGTTGGAAGACGAGGAGCTCAATACTATTACTAGGGAGGATACCCAGATCGCGAATCTACGACAGGAGCTGCAGTCACGTCTTGATCGGGCTACGAGAGCTCTCGAGGCGGCGAATTCTATCTGAAGGTTCGTACTCTAGCCTTAGCAGGGACACTAGTACCACGTCTACTAAGTATTCTAACCTCGATCATACCCACAGCTCTATGCTTTCGATACGTAGCCCTTCCATCTCCAGCCTCACTGCAAAGCCCGGTTGGGGAAAGCATAAATGTATTCCCCCAATTACTCTACCTTTCACCATCGGTTACAGCTCGGAAACCCCTTCTTTCGAGGGCTGGCATCCAAATACCCGTCGGGTTTTACATGGACAGCTACCGGTACTCGTAACCTCGATGATGTTTCATTCTTTACTCAGAATCTTTAAATTTCTTGGAATACTCAAGTCGCCTTATTGACGGCAAATATATTTGTTTCAGATATTTTACTCTCCTTCACAACTGTTTTTCATCATTATTTGCAACATTTACTACAAGATAGTGAATGACTAGTCGCTGCTACTCCGTCGGGTTATTATCACGGGCCGGCTTACAGCGTTACCTACGATCTTTTCTTTGTCTTTATTTTTTTTAGTTAATTCGCTATTCTGGTTAACATCAATCAATCAGTTAAATTTGCGCAAAATCACCCACGTAGGGTATAAACAATGCAATAAAATTCTGATAGGCCGATGCGATTCACAGCACAAGTTTTATGAATTTAGCGGTTACTAACACCCTGGCCGAATATAATACTGAAACATCGAATTGTCCTGCCAATCTGGGGGTGTATAGGTGTTTAAGTTTCCATGACGATGGTGAATCTTGATTGTTGTAGATCAAATTAACTTTTTCATTTGTTTGACCTTTCGGACACTGGATCGAATATTATCTGTTAGCCTATGGGGCGCCGCTATCGATTATGATGGGAGGCGTTAAGAATGCGTACTCTGGGGAGGGGGGGACATTCCATAACTCCGGATCGTATTGTGTATCTCCGGGTGATGACGTTCCAAGGCGATATCAGCCGCGACAATCCATGCCCTCGGGTTGTATTTTAGGATTATGTCAACAATGTCAGCGGATCCTTGGGCTGCAGCAATATCCAAGGCGGTACTCTTGAGCCCGTCCTTTTTATGACGAGGAACAACCATATCAACATCCGCTCCCTTATCAAGAAGGAGACATATAATATCCTTTCTTCTCTGGAACGCTGCAACATGCAATGGTGTAGTGATACCTTGGATTGGATGCTCTATATCAGGTGGTTTGAGGGGATTGAAGCCTTTCAGAGTACTGGTCATATTCTGTCTCCAGTCTCTGTCCCCGTCTTCGGCCTCCTTAATAAGCATTTCTATGATATCCCGGTGACCGTAATAGGTTGCAAGAACGAAGAGCCTTGATTTCTCATCCAGTGTGAGTTTCGCGAGGATCTCCGGCCTGATAACGGAGAGTGCAGTCTTTCGAGAGATTGCGACGGCGAAATGAAGGGTAGTAAGCCCATTCCCCATACGCTCAGTTAAATCCCAATCAAGCCAAACGGCAGTTTTGAGAGCTTGATCGAAACAGTTTGCGTGCTGGGAGTCGAATCGCTGACTCATCGCGGAGAGAAACTGCGGCTTAGCGTAATCTGAGGCCTGCCTTAAAGCAACATCGAATGTTATATCTTGATTCACAAACCTTCGCATGATTGTGAGAAGTAATCCCGCAGACCGCTGCTGGTAGGGCTTGTTATCCCAGACAGCTGACCACCATATTGGGGTGACCATTCTCTGCCATAACCACTTTGAAGGCTCAATCTGGTGTTCCAAGATTTCGTCCCATATATGATATATCAGAGTAGGACGATGTGCAGTCATGCCTTTGTACTTGTGGTTGTTATGAATGCAAATAATATCATCGAATTTCGGGTCCTGCTCGAGCTCTTTCAAGACTTCAACGAGAACACTTTTCCGTGAGCTATAGCTTCCGTTTGGGTCGCGGGCCGGTAGCATTAATTTGAATATCCCAGGTTTTTTGTCTTTCAACGCCTTGAAGATGACGCTGGATGGGAGGCTACCAGTCCGTGCTCTCAAAAGCTCCTCTAAGATGTCTTGCCTACCATCCGCAATAACTGCGTAAACCTCATCATCCTGTGCGATTTCTGAAAGCACCTGTGCTTGCTCCCGCAAGAAGCTCTGCAAAATGGTCATAAGATTCCTCTTTCCCGGTTGGTCGACCCTCTCGCTCCCCGGACTCCCAGTCCCAATTCGACTACTGCCGCGCACATTCTGTGGGTTTATGAGCTCTCTGCGGCGAAGAGGCCTGAATCCACCAGCCAGCAACAGACAAACGATTGGATCATCCACTCTTGGATTTTGGGAGAGTATAAGTTCCAAATTCGCCAAGTTCTTTGAGAATAGAGCCTGGTGGAGCGGGGTCATAGGCACTTGAACTTGTGCTTCCGCAATTTTGAATGATGTTATAGACGTCGACCCTACGACGATATCTACACTAGCCCCCGCTTTGAGGAGAAAAGAAACCACGTGAGGTGGTAATCTATGCTGTAGGGCTAGCGTAAGTACATGGTATTTCCGATCTCTGTTATTGGGCCACTGAGTATCGATATCAATGCCCATTTCTGACATCAGGAGCTCTACTCCTTGGTAAGGGTGAATCTTGTCTAGTATGGGAGGTTTGGTGTTAAACAGGGGGTCTGTTTTGCCCCCGGCTTCGACGCTGATGCGACTTGTGTAGGATATGGGCCTGATGGCATTGATAAAAGCCTTCTTATGGTCTCTGATGCAGTGCTTTATCATGTATTTAGCAAATTGCCTGTACATCCTGCTTGACTCTGTTTCAGAGCCCCTCGAGTTCCTTTCCTTGCCTATTAGGTGCGAGGCGAGCAAGAAAAGCTTTGTTCCCAGGTCTCGACCTTCGTACTCTTGGTTGGAGTCGGAGTACTTGTGGAGTATCGAATACTTCCCGGGATCATTCTCTAAAGACCCATGGACTGAATTTTGTAATATCTTGCAAATCTTTTTCACAGTTTCTTCCGTTAAGGTTTTTGGCCCCGTTATAATAGTATCCAGGTGTTCGTACAACTCGTCGTTCGGGATCACCTTATTCCACCCTAGCGGATTCTGATCTTTGAAGATTATGTTTTTTTCCACCAGATAGTCCACGCACCACGATTTCCCGTGCCTCAAAACCTGGTTAGCCACATCCTCTTCAGATCCGAGTGCGGTGATATCGACGGCCCTGGACTTATCTCTTACTCGGATAGTATTTTTCAGAAGCATATCAGCAAACTTCCTAGTTACAGTAGGATACTGTTTGATCACCCATGTGACCAAGGTTCGAAACTCCTCTTGGTTTCCAATATGCCACAATGCCATCTTAAAGGTTCGCTCGGTTTTATCGGCTCCATAACCCTTTCGAGGGTTCGCAATGTTATTGTTGGCTATATATACCGTATAGTTTATGACTGACTGCAGAAATCGGATGTCCCAGGATCTAAAGGTTCTAGTGTCAAAGGCTGGTATGCTAGCTGGACCAGAGCTTTTGACTAAGTCCAATTGTGGGTCCAGGCGGACCTTCTGACCCACTATATGGTTAAGCAACAGTTGCACAGGTGTATGCATTGGAGAAGAAGTTCCTAAGAGACCGAATTCGTCAAATTCCATACCCGATGAGGGCACTTCAGCTGCTTTGTTTTCGAGGAAAAGGAGCACACAGGTATATCAGCCTCAATGTGCTAGAGATATTTCTCGGGATACATGTATGGGGCTCGTACCGGTTCCGTTCTGAAGTTGCAAAATAAGAGCTGTACAGATGGCCTCGCTAGGCAACGAGACGTCGCCAATAAGCACCGGAGCCCGGCTTATCTGCCATTCAGGCTCGGTAAATTGACGGCGGTTCCAATCTGGGGCTAGTACTAGCTCAGGAGACGGACTATGGTCGTCTACAATAGGAAATTCTGGAGCATGCTGAGGGATTGGCTAAGTTAGTATATGCGTGTGTGTTTAGATCGATATATGGATCGCAACCGATGTCTATAATGCCAATATGATAAAAATAGGGGAGTCACTTATAAGCTTACCGCACGCACAGATGGGGAAATAGCGGAAGGTAGGTCGAGTCTATACCGCTTGACACCACGATTCTTTCTCGCCAGGTCCTCCCGTTGTCGATTAGAAAGGCTTGAAAGGAATACTGGCTGTTTTCGCGCATGATACTCATAGTCCGACCTATTATTGTTTTTACGGTAGCCCCATTTTCTAACTCTTCGGCCAAAGTCCTCAACCCTATACATCAGCATTGTCAGCGCTGCGCCTCAAAACTCTCAACCAAATCAAAATGTCACAAAGCTTTATGAGGAAACTGACTTTATCGTTAGCCGAAATTTTCGCAAGACCTTGCAACAGGCAGCGTGGTTCAGTCTGTATATGAAAAGTAGCTCCTGTACTCTAGGCTTGCAGGCTTCCAATATCGCCAGGTCCTCTTTATTTAGTGAATCTGCGCTCCGTGGCATCGTGAAATCATAATCTCCGTGTTCTCGACCCTATTGGATGCCCGTGAAACTGCCGTAAATGAAATTCCACGCAAACCTCCAAATTCGTTTGCGCGGTCTGTCGAATGGCGCTCCAGCTCGCAATTGCGATATTAGAAGTGAAAATATCAGACAGGGAGTCAATCGGCTTTGCGGAGCCGATAGTAATTATATATAAAATGCCAGCAAAGATCGGAGAAAGGCTGTGAGTGTTGTTGGTTAAATGGAGCATCGGAAGACGCTACATCTGCATCCATTATATTTAATATTGATCCGCGGCCAAGCTAACTTCCTAGACCAATTGGCCATATTTAATATATCTACCATAAACTATTGACAAAGATACCACATGGCATCCGCACATAAATGAAAACTTATCATTGGGTTCCCAGCGGCTGTACCTCCTTCGTGTCCGGTTTTGCGGGGTAATGTTCAGGCAACATTTCTTCAAGAAAGAATGTATTCGTTAGTTATTGGACCGTGTTTCTCGATACTATGCATATCATAGCATAAGAGTCTTCATACCGCAGCGGATAACGCAAAGCTCTGATTGTGCCGGCCGGCAGCCTGCCACGACAAAATGCAGAGCACAATGGAGCGCCCATAGGCGCCAAGACCTGCCCTGCGCAGCAATTTCCGCTCATCTTTGTCAAACGATGCATCCCGCTGCATGAACATGATGTAGAGGCCAAAATCAACGCTCAGGATTTCTCGGTACGTGTACGGGTTTGGTATTTTAATTGCCATGTCATGGCGCAGACCCTGTACCAGCCTGTGTTAGCGACTTCCACAATGCAACAAACAATAACGCCCTGATTTCTAGTAGCTCTTTCGTCGAGCCATCACCAGTACTAGTAGTCATAGGAATTATATTGATAATAATTAATTAATAATAATAACAGTAGAAGTAGAAGTAGTATTAGTATTAGTAGTAGTAGTAGTAGTAGTAGTAGTAGTAGTAGTGGTAGTGGTAGGGGTGCTAGTTGTAGTGGTAGTCTTTAAGCGAGAGCCTGCTGTAGACCTCGTGCAAAGCGCTCAGATTCGTGCCTGAAGCCGTGCGGAGTCTGGTGACATCCTTTGTTTGTGAAACAGCAGTTCCCCACAATTTCTCCACTCAATCGTCGTCCGAATATTGTCTACCCCATGCCGAAAATTCAGACCGAAGCGAAACGGGTAAATAGCTTAGCGATTTGTCTAGCCGATGTTGGCGGGCAAGTGGTTACACAGTAGATCCGGAGTGTGAGCCTAGCCCCTCCACCTTATACGAGCCACAACTCAAAGATATTTTGAAGTCATATACTTCATTTATTAATTGACGTGGAAGGTAAAAAGGGGAGTGTGTTTTCATGGTATTCCTCAACTTGCGATACTTGCTTTTACAGAGTATATAAAGTCAGTAAATTTCAAAAGTTAATTAAGGAATGAAAGTTGTTGGAGGCTTACGGTCGCACGCAGCAGCAATTAATTCTGGTTTACGAGATAACATCGCATGTCAGGTTCATAATTTTACAGGCTAGGCTACATGCAATCAACCCATAGAGACGAGCGCAGCCGTGGGAGGGGACCAAACGTAAACTACTTAAATTGGTTAATTTCAAGAGAAATCGAAGCTGTATCTCGATTTATGGTACCGTAGGATCAAAGATGGTATATGGCTCTACCTACGATAAAGACCCAACGTGGCAGCCAGTAGATTAGTTAATATCTTGTGACGTGAAATCATAACTTGATGTGTCTATACCGTTTCTTCTATTCCTATATGAAGACCAACTAGAGAACTCTTGTTCTTTTCCGCGGTAAGCTCGGCGTTCCACTATAACAATCCCTCATCAACCTAAAAACTCTCTATATGTAATACACTCCCACTGATCACGAACTAAGAGCCGATGTAGTCTAGCATCGCAAGGTATCATATTTTATGATAGATCCGCATCTTTTTTTCAACCTAGAAAGGTTCGTAGCCTCCATGCATAATCAACACTAAAAGCGACAGTCGTTTTAGTTATCTAATGAGTTGGCTTTTAGCATGACCTTGATTCCTAGTCCCAGGTGGGTCTTCAAATGCAGGATATTCAAGGCAAGTCAAGTTTATAGTATAGTAAAAAAACATATTTCCCCGAGATGTGGATTTAGAGGTTGGGAACCTTTTGTTTTGATACATATTTCTGAAAAATATTTGATATGATTGGCATGCTAATTACATTGGAGGCAGATAGAGCCGTAGACTACGGCTCACCTAGCACCTCTTTTAGATAAACATGTACATTTAATAATATAAACAACAGCTAAAAAATTGTCTCAAAGAAAGAAATGTTTTATCCACAAACTGCCCATCCAGGTCTGTCTTTCGGGTAGCCCCATTCCACAAATTTATTTCAAACGCGCTGCAGTAGGTTATCTTTCAGGGATACTCCTTCTGCTGACTTCAAAGTCTCAACCGCAATAACCAGAACCCTATTTTAATTAGGCCGTAACAGTAACTGTGACAGTCACAGTAGGGGCGCAAGCAGAGGTAATAGGAGTGGTGGTGGTGGAGGTGCGGTAAGAATAAGAAGTGGTAGTTGTAGCAGCAGTAGTAGAAGTAGTGGTTGTAACTGCGGACAACTTGTCCTTAACGGCGTTTCTGGCCTTGATAGCCTCCAAGATAGCCTCATAACTCCATGTCAAGTCCTTAGCACCTTCTTGAGCACCACTGCCCCTGTTGAACTGCTCGCTGAGGTTACCAGCAGATTTAGCGTATTGCTTGACGACAGCAAGGAATCTGTCGGCGTAGGTCAAGAGGTCAGTGTACAAATCCTTGCCTGCAGTGGTGGAAAGAGAGTATGTGCCGACGGCGGCGTTAGGGGTGAGTCGCTTGAATAAGTTGAGAGAGGTGGAGTCGATAGTAATGGAGCCGGCGGCATACCACTCAGCGAGGGCCTTGTAAATGATGTGGGCGGAGGTTGTGGTGCAAATGAACCATGGGTGAGCGGCAGAGGTACCAACACCATCGTAGCTGTAGATTCAGTTTTGTTAGTTGATCCAAGAGTAAATTTCCGGTATTGTATTGATTGAGAGGCTTACATATCCTCGGGATAACGGCCAATTGCCCATCCGACCTTGTTGCTAGATTGATTGATGCCATAGAGACTCTGGAAGGATGCGATCAATCCATGGAGGGTAGCAAGAACCTTGGAGTCAGATGGAGGGAAGATATGGCTCCCACCCCTCAATGATCCGAGTAAAGTACCACAATCAATACCGCTCCTTGATCCACCAAGCATGCTATATTTTTGAATACCCTGTTAGTACAGGCACTTGGATAATCACATAGCTGGCTTGGTTTACGTACGCAATCAAGTAACCACTTCCGGAGCTCCAAAAGCTGTTGATAGTAGAAATCTGAGCAGATTCAAATTTTAGTCCGGGGTTGCCCTAGAAGATCCTCCCAAGATGGGAACATTATTTTTGACTTACCATGCTAGCTTGGGGAGCGGTGTATTTATTCTTGGAAGTAGTATCACCCATCGTGGTGGCGAAGGCAGCACCCTCAATCATGGAGCGGTCTAAAGATCTCCAATCAGTATATTGTTTTCCGATAGAAAACTTAAGGTAAGGGAAATCATACATTGGACGATAACGGTGAAGAACTGGGGTCCGTTTGTCTCTTCCCTGTTAAATAGTTAGGATAAACCCTTGAGATGCGTGATAGAGCTTAGAGGTGAGCATACCAAAGATCGAATCCTCCTTGGTTCCAGTATGTTGCAACGTAGTCGAGATCAGGTTTAATGACTATCTTAAGTTAGTACCCCGGATACCGATGCCAACTAACTATTGAATTTAATCTCGAAAACGTACCAGGCCAAAGAGTGTTGGTAACGTAGTTGCTGTCGATATTGATATACTTCTTGGCAAATTTGATGAGGGTGATAGCGCGAAGGGCTGGTCCGTCCTTTACCACAAGTTAGTTTTTAATTTATTAATCGAGCTGTGAGTTGGAGTCAGAGCAAATACATACTCGTTGAGGTCTTCCCCAGGCTGCGGTGTAAGCAGAATTGTCCACATTGAACTTTGGTTCTCCCAATCCTATGATTCAAAAATTTGAGTCAGCCAAATGCATACTCAGTATAGTATGTGGATTTTTCTCCAAGGCAATTTTACGAACCGCCGCTGGTGAAGCTGCCGCTTGGGTTGTTGGTGTGTTGGAGAATGTTCTGAACATTGACCCAATCCTTGATGTACTGCAAGTAAGCACCGTTTTCCAGGTACTCGCTGACGATGTGTTCCATAACGATAGAACCATCTCTAGTCCATTGGTAGAAGTAGTTCGGGTTGCTGGTCGATGGAGAGGCGATGATGACACCGGGGCCAACGATCGTATTGTTGCTGCTACCGATGTTTCTCAACAAAGCGGCTTGGGCAAAAGAGGCTTCGGTATCAAGCCATGCGTCGAGACCTGAGTTCGTAGCGAAGGTATCGACACCTTGTGGTGACGAACTGATTTGGTAGTTGTTATTGTTTCCAGGGTCATAGTAACTATATAATCCGCTGTCAATGCCCGCGATGAAAATCCACGATAGATCTAGTATTGAAAAAGGGTGTACCTGGCGCCGTTGACTTTATAAGTGATGTAGAACTGAGTAGCTCCTGAGGCAGTGCCAGAGAAACCCCAGACTTCGTAACCGGAGGAATCGGGACCTGAGACGTAGCTACCCGAAATAGTGTTTCCGGAGCCCCAATTATTCCCATTTGCCCAAGTGACAGATACAACCTTGGAGTACGCGATGTTTTGAACCTATAAATTTTACCAAAGCGATGAGGTATCAGCAATGATAATTCTGAAATCCATGCATGGTCATATGGCTAACGCCCTAGGAGCCGACTTGATATCTTTTTCTTTCTGAAAATTGCAAAACAGTATGCCCTACCTTGATGGTACCAGACAAAGTGCCACCGCTATATGACTGGCTGATCAAAGAAACCTGTAGAAATAAATGTTAGATATCGCTTTATGCTTTGTAACAAAAGTCTTTGTAGACGAAGGTTCCATACCTGCGTTGCACGCTTGGCAAGCGGAGTCGCCCAAGCAAGGGTGACAGAGACCGCGGTAAAGAACAAACCGATGACGCGCATTTTGATTTACCAAAAGATTGAATTTAACAGAACTGTGAAAAGACCGGATAGGATGAGACTTGAACCCGAAGACAGATTGTGATGCTGTTGTGTGGATGTGTTTTTGTCTTATGGAGGCACTTCATCGCCCTATTTATATAAAATTTTGGTAGGTTGAATTTAGTATTTTATTGATACTCAGATGTAATATCTACAGTTTGTTGCCGTTGTGTTCTCCCGTAGGCGCACCGGCCGGCCTCATGGTCATGATGCCTGAGCTTTGACAGTCCAAGAAACGCGGAAACTAGACGGCGAAACGGGCGAGTTACAACTTTGCTTAGTATCTAGCAGGATATAGAGGTTGAGCAAAGTTTGGATATTGTAAAACAATAGCCCTAATTTTGAAGTTCCATCATCTGGCCGCCATGCATGCCGTATACCTAGCTTTTTGCGGATAGATGCAGATTGTGTTATTTACCCGGTCACTTTTTTTAAGCTAGGACTTAACGTAAGAGCCCGAGGGGTTTTTTGACCTGAGTCGACGCATGCCGTTGCGTGCTCCATGCTGTTTGTGCTACCTTCCAATCATGTGCATGTACGCCGACTCGAGTACTCGATGTGGGTTCTACCATCTAGTCAGGAACATTACACAAGTTAACCATTCTAGCCAGCGGCAAGGGATCATTAGCTAGCTGCATAAACTGCGCAAAAATCGGCGTAATCGAACCAAGGTAATAAAAACTTCGAGAAAAAGGTTTTGAAACTTTCTGCAGGTCCCATGCCATGTCGGTGGAGTCAATATAACAAAAAAAGAGATACAACAGGGATATGTGTTGAAGAGATATGTGGGGAACTTCACATGCGCATGCACGATCCCCCGCAATCGAGACCTCCGCAATCTATTCATCCCAACTCCTTTGGGAAAATTACCGAGTTAGTCTGGTTTTAGTGACGGAAGTTGGGATGGGGAAGCGAATTCCGGTTGACGAACGGCCGGCCGGAATCCCACTTGGGTCGCTCCGACGAAGCGTTGACAACCCGACTTACAATTCAGCGACTACGGTCCACATCTGTGCATGTTTCAAGACCCCTTGCAGGGCATGGCCCGTGACCTCAACGGAATGTTCCGTCATCGCAGCTTACAAACCCTCCCCGCTATTTATATTAACATCCACACTTTTTCTAATATCGTGGAGTTCGGACAAAACTAAAGTTAACCGCAGGAGATATATATCTGCTGTTCGTTTGCGAATTTGCCAAGTCGTACTTGCTTTGGCATCCTGAGCAATTTCTTCCACAATGAGAATTCTAGCTATATGAAACTAGGTTCCCGGGTGGCTTTGTTCTCATATCTGACTTGCTACTCCTTTCCTGCCACCTACCCTCTTACTAAACAATATTAATACCGATATATAGGTATACACACATACGCATAATACAACTTAAGGGTTTTCATGAAGGCTCTCAACGACAGAAGTCACTCATTACGGTTTGTGTTGTCACCCCTCAGTTGAATGCCCCGATATCGATGCTGACTGTATTTTCGCTGTAGTTAGGCTGGCACAAAGGTTCGAACGACGCCCCAGGCCAAACAAATAGAAGACCTTGATAGCAAGAAATATTTAATAGACTGCTCTTCTCCCCTTCATTAATGATTCTTTATGGAGCCCAGAGTGGGTGGGTGAACACAATACATCTTCGGACGATATGTGTTGTAAATGTTGCATTTAGATGTTAGTCTAAAGATGGTTAGCCCTATCCCCAATTCGGGTTGGCTTTAAATCCGGGGCTCTCAAAAGGGGAATGATTCTCGTTTGTGTGCCCTCGGCCGTTTGTGTTGAGCTGATCCCATTGATATCCACCTCAGCTCAGATGATCATGCGTGCTCGGGGCTCGAACTTTCGAATTCCAGAGGTTCTAAGAACTCCTTTCTGGCACTATTTCTGGCACTATGCTCGGTATCCCGGGATGGCCTTTGCTTGGATATCTATTTCTAATGTAAAATATTCTATTGGAGGCAATTGGTCTATATCAGTTAACGTTAGGGATTTGCGGATCCAGTAGCACGTTTTTTGCATTTTGTAGTAATCCCGTGTGACTGTTCGAGTCAATGCAATGCTGAGGCCCCAAAAACATGAGTCAAACTCCACGAATGAGACGAATATAAAAATCGCAAATCTAAGCCTGGGACACTCACGCAAAAATTCAAAAGCATCTCAACCGTCAAAATGGCACCGATTACAACCTTATCCCCAGAGCTTCTGCTCTCAATCACCGAGTACATTTCCAGCCGAGATATCTTAAACTTCGGCTTGTCCTGCAAATCCTTGTTTCCTGTGTGCTACCGAGCATTATGGAGCTATTTGGGTCTGACTCCATCAACTTATAAAAAGAAGGGAACATGGCCGGGGCTTCAGATTTCACATCGATTTAAGTGCAAAATTCGCGAAACTATAGAAAATTTCTGGGTTAACTCGCCAGGGCTCGTATATACTAAGCATGTTGAGTTCGGTGAATTTATCTGCGGGGATGGAGCATCGATTTTAATGCAACTTCTGGAAGATGGGAAACTAAGCCCTCGTTGCATCGACTTTTCTTTATCTGTTTCAGGTTAGAAATTGAGCGTTCTTGCCCCTTGGGGCTTTCGCATTTCTGCGATTTCGTCAGCCGGCTCGATGTCTAATCCTGTATTTTGCATAGATATAACTTCAATGGATCAGCGACCGGTAATTAAGCGCCTAAAAAAATACACCGAATCGAAGTCCCTCAAAGAACTCAAAGCCCAGCTATACTCCGAAGCTGGGTACTCGCTTTCGGCGACTGTCGATTTGGCAAAAGTCACGAAACTCACCTTTAATATCTCATCTGACGGTTACCGGCCGGTCGCCGAGACTGAAGAAAGAGTCCCTCGTAGGATACAAGACATCACGGCAATTCTACGGAAAGCGATAAATCTCAGGTACTTTTCCTGGAAAGCAGAAACGGAACGAAAGTATTCCTTCGGTTACATCTCCGAAGAGTTAAAGGACCTTCAGGAAGCATTCACTAGCCTCCAACGCCTAAAGACTCTCAAGATCGAAAACTACCTATTCCATCCATCATTCTTCCTTAAACCGCCAGACAGTGTCCAAAATCTAATCCTAAATTGCTTGGGGTCCACTGAATGGTGGAACGATTTCTCAGCCTGCCCACTAACAAATGTAATCGACCTAAGGTTTCATCGTCCGCTCTTGTCGGGGAATAGTTATTCAAATGAATTGCGAGGGTTTCTTGGCAACGATGATAACTTATTTCCGGATACCATCAAGATAGAGAAAATTGCTGTTCGAAATTTGGAAACTTTCTTGTGCCCTTCCGAAGCTGTGCCTCAGGAACTAGGATTCCACATCCTCAAGGGGAACCCCAAATTAAAGCCGGAATACAAACTTGAACTATCAAATGGCGAGGCGAAACGCTTTGTCAAGAAACATTACAATCGATTCAAGTCAAATTGGGGACTAAGCAAATCCTATCTCGAGGACCTCTACATCAGACACTATCTCAACAACCCGGATCCAATGACCGAACTAGAAGCCATCGAAATGTATTGCCAGATGTGCTTCATGGGAGAGATTGAAAACGGATACGTAACTTCATGGGATAACGCGAGTAAGCGGGCAACAGATATAGGGGAAAGATGCAAAGCGGACCTTGAAGAGAGGTTCCCAAATTATATCAAATATGGTATTCACCATTATACACTTGAGTTTATGAAGGGATTGGACGATGTTGATGACGATGAGTTCAAGAAAGAATGTATTCGACTATACGAGGAAGATGACGATAGGGGGCGGAAATATTTCATCGCGAAGAGCTTAGCCGGAGAGCCTTTATCTGCAATGGTCAACAAGTTTCGCCGGGCGTTCGATAGTCTCCGAAAGAAGATTGTAAAAGACGTTGCAGAGGATATTTTTAAAGGTTCGGATACAGATGAGAAGACTCTTATGAGTAGCTGGATAGAGAGAGCCATGGCGCAGTTACAGGATTTTGGGGTCAACAAGTTGAGTTTAGAGGATGTCACTGGAGAGACTCCTCATGGCGACGAGACAACTGGGGATTAACAAGCTTTAAGGAGTTGGCGCTCATCAAAATCATTTTAGTTAGCTAGTACATTTCCACCACACCTATTACATTTCCACCACTTTTCTTATTTCTTTATATGCACATTTTTTTCTTTTCGTTTGTTTGTTTTTTACTATTTTGTTTTATATTTGTTAGTACTTAGCGGTCCCTGCAGTTTTGCTTTAGATTCCTTAGATTTGTAAAGACAGTTTCATATACATAGACCTAATGACAGTTCAGACTAGAAATTAACACAGGAAGTTATTCAAGTTGAAATGGCGAGTAGACTGCGAGACCGCTAAAAGTGATTTAAAACAGACAGGAGTTAGATTTGTAACTTGAAATGAAAGCTACACAGATCAATAAAGAATACGTGTTGATTATGTTGCAATACCGTCTAACCTGCCGGGCTGAAACGGGCATTTTCCAAACCGCGTCGATGCCTTTACTAAATTTCCGATTTAGATTTAAAGGGGATGCATTCGACGAAGTGACATCTACAGTGATTCCGGCCTTGACCTCCATTATATCTATTTATCGACATAGGGATATATTCGATAACGACCCAACCACAGCCATGTCATCGCCCAGTTGTTATATTTGCCGTTCCCCAAGGTCACTTATCGTATGTCCTCTCTGCTCCGCTATAGAATACTGCAGTGACTCCCACCGATCCAATGACGCAGACCGCCATTTTCGGGAATGCCAAAGAATCCAACGCGCCCTCACCGCGACTTCCAGGGTTGAAGAACAGATCTTGGCGATACGCCCAGCCCCACCACCTAACGAGAATGGTGAATACGAAGTAAATAAAGATGATGGGACAATATACAAGTTCGATACAACTGGTTCGGTAGTAATCCATAATGCAACAATAGATCCTTCCGATCCTATCTACGATGATATCGACGAACATCCACTTGAAACGTTTCATATTTCCAATGGAGCTATCAATGCCGATTTTCTGGAGAATAGTGCCCCTCAAGATGGTGATGAGGATTTTAATATTTATTATGGGATTTACGACTATGATAAGGAAGCATACGACAATAACAACAAAAAGGAAATTTATGATCCATTCAAAAATAGAATCCACTTGGTCAACCTCTACAAACCTCTGGATAGCAGCATATATTGGACGTTTGTAGGTAAAATGAACGTCTCGATTCGAAAACACCTGCTTGAAGCCTACCTTGAGGTCAACACGGCGACAGCTGCAAAGATAGCTTTGAAATTGGCGGCTGATCTTCACCTTTTCTCCCGTGTCTCCGAAAATGGTTTCACGAGCGCTACTATTACTGCTCTCATTCGAAACGGGAGGGATATATCATGCTACAACTATATCATTGACTCCCAAATCGACAAATTCGAGTACCCTTCGCTCCTTGGTGTTGATTCCAACCTCTTCGTCCTGAGGAGAATTAGAGAACCCGACTCTTTACCAAAGCATGACATTATCAGAGACAGCGGGCAACTTTTTTCAGAGGGCCAAATTTCTGGTGATGTTAACTTGGAAACAGCGACCATACTGCTTCGCCTCAGGTGTATCCGAGATCTGAAGAACCTACGCAACTACAACCAGATCAGCGACTGGCTTCAAAGCAAGCTAAATTTCGATTTGGTAGAAAGAATCCGAGAAGATATCCCAGATTCTGAGACTATAAGAAAGAACAGAAGATTCCTACGGCGAGATGTTCAGGATATTGATACAATTATTCGGCAGTTAGAAGCTTGGAATGAATGTTCTTTTGAATCGACAATGCCACAGTGTAATGACTTTTGGGAAGAGTTAGTCAAAACTATTCAGAAGGGCTCTGTTACTTGGGTATCTGGTGACTTGAATGTCGGGGAGGAGATGCGGCAGAGAGCATTGATCATCTATTGGAAGCTATGGAGGGATGAACCAAGCGCAGTCGACCTTATCAAAAAGTGGCTTGTTAAATTCGCGGTTGCGTAAAATGTAGCAGACTAATTCAGACCCTCAAACCAATCGGATTAAGGTTTTACGAGAAAACCAAAAGTTTGTTTACCCTGAGCGCTAGCTCTAGTTAACATGAACTATCCAAACGGTTCAGCCACCGCAATATAGAGTTCGATATATCGGTATTTTAGCGCCACATCGAGGGGGTGGAGCTAAAAGCCTCCTTGTGTCGTATGATAAAAGCCAACTAGCACCAATTAAGCAAGGAGGGGTGTGTTGTATGTCAGAGCGGCAGTTTAGAGAGTTAGTTAAAAGCAGCCAAGGTGCCTCGGGTCCAGAAAAGTCACGAAATTTCGTCCCCGGATCGGACTAACTCTCATAGTTAACATCTTCAACTGTCCCGAAGTTATTCAAATTGCGTTCTCAAAACAACTACAGTAGAAAAGAAAAGCCCAACATGAAAGACACATCTGCCGGCGCAGCTGTGTACTCGCCACTCCTCCTCGGGTCCATCTACGACTCCGTCGTTCATGGTCTTTATTTGCCCTATGCTTGGCGATGTTCAGCATCAAAAATGCTCTCTTTCTTCGGCGGTAATATTTCATATGCAACAACAAGCTCATCGGAATCCCGGCAGGGACGGGCACCTCGCATTCTCGATATTGGTGTTGGGACAGGCTACTTTCTAGAGCATGCTCCCATTGTCGATGACACAGAAGTTGTTCTCGCCGACCTTAACCCAGCTTGTCTTGAAGCATCGAAGGCCCGCCTGGCCAAAACCCATCCAATCACTACCTGTGAGACCATCATTGCCGATTTCCTCAACCCCGGCGGGGAGGGCCTTGTCGCCAAACTACGTGAAGGTGACAAATTCGATGCTATATCCATGATACTGCTGCTCCATTGCCTACCGGGTCCTCCAGCACGAAAAGCAGAGGCATTAGTATCATTGCGACAACTCCTACGGCCTTCTGGTGTTATGTTCGGCGCAACGGTTCTCGGGCGCGGAGTGAGGCATAATCTTTTTGGAAAATTCCTGATGTTTTGGCATAATTTGCTGGGGGTTTTTGGGAACTATGATGATGAATTGGAAAGCTTTATTGGTCCGTTGAAGGATGGGTTTGAGTTTGTTGAGTGGGAGATTGTTGGTGCTATGCTCCTATTTGAAGCGAAAGGCCCAAAGGCTTAGTTGTAGTTTTCTTACTTCAAGTGAGGCTATCGTTTACATTTCAGTAGAATTTATCATAAAGAGTTCGCGTCTATGTCTGCATACACGGGTATATTGAATGCTTGGAATGGGGCATATATATGAGCCCTGCAAATTCGTTTGAAGATATAGAAATCGCGCGAGGTAGTTGTACATACGGATGAATCCAGTTTGCCTCATTAGCCATAATGCATAAGTAGTAATTATTAGGTACCTATTAGCATACCAGCCCTTTGAAGTTTGCCCGTCAACGAGAGATTCCAAGATTCCAAGATTCCAAGATTCCAAATCCTATCTACGTTACTAAAATCCCATGCAAAATGCAACTATAGTGGAGCAAGCCACAGTAAGCCACACACCCACATAAGCCGCACAAAGACAAGAAGAGTGTTGCCCTGTGTTGTTTTGTTATGTGTTGTGTTGTGTTGAACAAAGAAACCCTCATTGTCATAATTACCCAATCGGGACATCAGAACAAACAACACCGCAGCTTTTTTTTCCCTCGGCTGGACCAGAATCTGTCTATAAAAGGAGGTCCTCCCCATCAACCCTCTTCTTTTAATCATACTTACCTTGTAGCGATTTTTTGGGATCAAGAAGCCAGAAAATCAGATTTGTGAGTTCGCATTGCACATCGCGATACTTTCGCTGTCTCCAAGTATCTTCGGGTATTTGGGCTGCGCTATTTTTGCTGTCTTACAAAATTCTTATTTTTTTGACTTTGTGTTAAAAAAGAAGGATGTCTACTTTTTCATTGATTGCCTAGACTATGATTCTACGCATCGAGGAAAGAGATTCAATCTTTTCTTATTCCACCTGACCTTGTTACACCCTACATAGCTAAACTACGACTACCACGTTTACAATCCTAAGTAGTAGTAGTGAAAGCATCCGCGACCATGTTCATATGCTGGACCATTGAGATCCGACACAAGGACGACCCGACGGCAACTTGATATCCTACTTCACCCTCATAACGTAACCAGACTCATAATCCACAAGCAGGCTTATTGCGTAGTTACTTAGTATTCAAGAAAGAGTCTCAATTGTTGAATATCAAGGAAATTACATAACCTACTTCGATGATCATGGCGAAATGGAACCTGTTGAATTCAGCCACCCAATATGCCCCCGTTTCATAATTCGGAGTGCCAAACGTCCCTACCATACATTTCACAAAAAAAAAACTATGGCGCGTACATCAATCCGGCTGGTTGATGGGTTTATTTTGTCCCGGTAATATAGACCTGGGTATATACTTGTCCCGTTCCCCTAGAGCTGTCGAAAAGTTGGACACCCCAAATGGCTGCATCTCCTTCCCCCGGATAGCTAGGGCGAAGGTGACTGAACTATACGCAGCTCTAAACTAGAGCAACATAAATGGGATGCTTTTCCACGGAGTGGAAGAAAAGGTCCCGAGAGCAAACGAGTGTATCATCCCCAGGGTACCAGGGTTATACTTTATGGCTCATCAGTAGATACGGAATTCATACTGTCGTCAGTCTTGAAGATAACTAGCTCCCTAGTTCGGTTTCGGGAATTGGAAGGGACGATAGATAATAATCTTCAGAGTAGGAAGGTCCCTTAGAAGACATGACTACATCTGGACCCGGTAGCTTTCCGATCTTTGTGTAGCAGTCATACCTACGGAACCAATCCCTCCACTAAAGGTAACCTGGAGACCTACCTACCTGAATTGCCTTTGGTTTCTTACTTGTAACGGTTTAAAATGTAAACGATAAGCTTTTGCGATAGTAAACTAAATTTCGACATCTCGCCTAGGTAGAGAAAGTCCATAGAGGACAGATTGGCACCGTTTGGTATACCTTAGTTAAGAAATGTTAAGTACAATTGGTTGATACGAACGCCCGGGAATGTTGAAGTTTGTCTGTGTCCGATCTAAAAATCGAAATATCGACCGAGAGAGGGAAAGCGGGCCGACTAGAAGAAATAGAAGTAGAAGCAGAAGGAGAAATAGAAAGAATTGCGAAGAACCAAAGATGACCAGGGAGGACCAGGGAGGACCAGGGAGGACCAGGGAGAACTAGAAAGAACCAAGAAGAAGTACAGAGAGAGAAACAATATGTGCGTGTAGGTGTATAAGTATGCCCCCTTACCAAACCGCACACGCGCGATTATGAACAGCCACAGACACACTGGCAAGTGTCCTCCGGCTTTGTAAAAGCCGCTACCACGATATATAGAAAAGAAACCAAAGTGAAGATGGTGATGCCAACATAATTGGCGCCATAACCCACAGCGAAACAGAACCCCCAAAGTTTCATGAAGAACGCGAACAACATCAAAACCATACGAACACGATAATTAATCTCCAAAGAGACCTGAATACGGGTAATATACCCTGGAAGGATCATACCCTCGATAAGGAAACATCTATCCCGATGGCGAAGGTCCACTCTGGTGGGTGGGATGGCAGGGAAGTTTTCGAATCCACTATATTCTGGATCTCTCTCCATCTGCGAACACCGATTGAAATATTAGCGAGTGACTAGAGGGGACTGCAAAGGACATATAACTAGAGGTGCTGAATCGGACTGGTAGCAACGGCTAGAAAGCCTCTAAGGTTTCCATTGGAGAAAGAAGACTCACGGCCACTCGGACAACTCCAGTACTGGTGTAAAGTTGGTAGTTCGAGAAGGTTGGAGGAATGTTTTGTTCAATAAAATCTTCCCACTCAGTATCGTCCAAAGGTCTACCATTGAGAATCGAGCTTCGAGGCATTATCGGTAATACGAATATCCCACCTGCGAGCATTCGATGATATTTGGGGCGAGGCCATCGGTAAACAATGCTAGTAACTCGAGGATCCCTTGAAGAAAGTACCGTCGTTCCAGATGCATTGCTTTCGGAATCTGAAATGGATGGAGTTGGAGTAGTGGTACTGGGACCTGGATGAGCCTCTTGGGCATAAGGGTCTTCTAGACTGGTAGTTTCTTCGATCTGGGCTGTCGCATTCGCTCTCTTTCTGACGGTTTGCTGGCGGCTTCTCATCATCGTGATGGTAACGGCAATTAGAAAACTTCGTAAAGGTTTATTTGGCAGAGGTTGGTCCGACGACAATGGTAAAAAGGTAAAACTGAGATGAAGGATGTAGATGAGATTCGGATGGAGGTTGCTATGATGGTGATGATAGCTTGATGGATTAATGGTGATTTGGAGCCAAAGAATATCAACACTGCGCAACAGAAGCAATAAATTTGATCTATTTCAAGTTTAGCTGGGCATGTGGAAGCTTCACCACGACCGCGACGTCACCACGGCAGAGGAACTTCGCCACATCGATACCCGACAGGTTTCCCTAGGGCTTTAATTGATATCCATACTGCCACTATATCGCTTTGCAACAGGTGATTTCGTGAAGTCTGGCATCACAGCGGCATCTCGGGTAAAATCCTCATTTGTCTACGTGCTACCTAATAGAGCGTATATTTTCACGTCTTTTAAATCCAGGCCAGCGTACTTCGTCTACTATATAAGCTATAAGATTCAAACGGATATGATAAAAAACAGATTACGAGAGCCAAGCACTTTTAGATGAGTATAAAAAAGCACTTTAGATACAGGCAGAACTATTGGGGCCTTAACCTCTCAAACAGAAGTCTCATCCAATGTAAAACGGTACGTGTGCCCATTACACCTCTCGATCGGGATATACAGCAAACATAAAGTAGCCAACTAGCAACTTCGCGAATCATATAATTATCCATTTCGTCTTCACTGAAGATGTAAAGTTCAGGTTCGCTGCCCTGCCGAAAATAGTATAGAGCTACTGCGTAGTACTCAAACGGATCGGTTATGGTTCATATACTATGTTCTACGGGGACGAGTAATATCTCGCCGATGATCCCCCCTCCCTGTCAGTTACGATAGAATTGATAGCCAAAGGCGATATATAAGTACCTATTTAAAGCTAAATTCCAGCCAAATGGCATATTCAACATCAAGCTACTGCGCCTTCACTGCCCAAAACTCTGTATCATCGTCCTCCTCATATTGATACTCCCCATTCTCAACGAGTTCTTTAACGGCTGGGAGTTCAAGCAACTGATCAAAGTGATCCTCAATACTTGATCCACTGTAACCCAATATCTCCAACCTCTTCAGTCCCGTCAAGATCTTATCCCTTAGCATCTCAGAGTCCACAAGAGTCCTGACTCCACGCTCAAAATCACACATGTTCCCCGAATCATAAAATCTCCATAAACAGAGTCTTTCCACCCGTACCGACAAAGCAATTAACGCTAAAGCCATTCCCTGCATTATGGCATTCTCATATCCAATCCGTTCCGAATACGTCGGTACTGCCAGCCAATAAGTATTATCATTTAAAGACTCGATTTCATCCTCCGTGAACTCCTTGAACTGATGAGCATCAAGTCCGACAGCTCTAAAAACCTTCCCACCAAAATCATCCATCTCATCCGTATCCCATTTCATATTCAACTTCCTCTTCAACTCAGGATTATCGTCCAAAAACGTTTCTCGCGGAGAATACGGATCCACGATCGAATCGCAAAAAGTTAAAGGACAGTGAATCGATAACGTCCGGATTAATCCGCGGAAGTCGGGGTTTTCGATTAATGTTCGGAGGAGATGTGTCATGTTCGTGTGATAATCCAAGACTACGGTGGAATATAAGTAAGGTCGGACGATGGCAGAAAGGCGTTTACAGGTGAGCATGAGATTGCATAAGTCATTTTGGTGAGGACTAGATCGCCAGACCTTGTGAGATGCAAATTCGGCGTCGGTGGCGAACTCGGGAGTTAAATGGCGGATTGCTTCGTCTAGGATTTCGTTCGGGAGTGTGAGGAGCTGGGGGGCCATGACCTTGTAGTAGTTGGATTTGTGTAACGTCGGTTGATGCCGTCGTTTTATATTGATTTAAATCTTGAGTCAAGCTTATTTTGACACTGTCTTTTCTTCCACGTGCGCGCGTAGGCCGGTCTTTGTCTTGGTTTTAAGACGCTTTGAACTATTACTTAATTGCGAACAGTTGGCACCCAGAGATTTTTTTGCGTGGGGCTGGGTACGAGACAAGATAACAGGTATAAACTCATAGACTAAAGTGCAACATGCAACAGAGACAATCACGAGATCGAGACTAGCGAGATATCGCAGCGATAACGTTATAATTAATTAACCCACAGTGAACGCCAAGAACTCGCGACCCAAAAGCTAACCGGACCTATTCAGTAACACGAAACAAACTACGCCCTGCAAGTAAACATAAACTGATCGGCTAATGCTATAACTAGTTCCCCTTAGAAAAAAAAGGTTACTTGATCTATCAGCTAGTATCATGCCTATGATTCTACTAGGTTATCTTATCCAAGTTTGAAGTTATTTGAATTTTGGTATTTGAATTGAAATATCCGGACCCGTCGATATGCAGAGCCCAACAAAATGCAATAACGGGAAAAAGTATTTAGTATTATACACGAAAGAGACAGCCTCGTTAAAAACCCAGTGGGAAAAAGAGTGCTGTTTATAAAACAGAGATACAAGTAAAAGAAATTCTTTAAGAAAAAAATTCAAGAGCAGCATAAAACACCAATTCTTTTTCCAACTTAGAACTCCTAAGAAAACCGTTCAATTTAGTACTAAAACCCCCAGAAACATATTAAGATATATGGGCTCAACATCAGCCTAATATGGAGAAACACTCAAAGACACAAGCCCCCTAGATAGGAATATCAAGTGGCTGAAGGGTCAGTGCTCTAAGATCTTGCTCTCCCTTCTTGAGCATCTCCTCGCTAAGAACTCCCTTGATCGCAGACCAAATATTATCGTTGAATTCGTACTGTGCACAGTCGAAGGTCATCTTGATCTTGACGCTCTCAAGAGAGCTCTTGCGATCAATGAATTTATACGCATCTCTCGAAATCGAGAAAGCGAGTGTTTTGATAGTAGCTTGGATCGTCCCAATTTCAGGAATGTATGTAAAAACAGTAATCATAATCCAGTACTGCTGCGATTCATAAGAAGTCTCTTCTTTAACCCTCAAATTTTCAACAAGGCGTTGTAGAATCTGTTCGAATTCTGGGACGGCAGTTGTTGGTACACTCACACCTTCTAGTGCTCCGCGGAGGAGTTCTTCGTGGAATCCGATGTACCCGACATTTGCGACATCAAGCGACCTTTCATAAACCTCGGATTGGGTATTGGCAACCCAAGTGGATTTGGTCTTGAGAATGAAGTCCATGACTTTGGCGCGATAGTTTCGGATTTCGACGTCGGTCTTCAATGCTCCAGAGTTGATCTTTGACTGGACTGTGTTTGAGGCAGAACTGGTGAGCCAGCATTGGTAGTCCCAGATATCCTTCTGAATTTTCTCAAGTGTTTGTTGGATTTCTGGTTCCAGTTGACCGGGCTTGATATTGGCGAAAAAGATAGTTTGAGCAGCCAATTGGTCGTCAATCTTAGGCAGAGCATGATCAAGGGGTAAGTGATCACCCGGTCGAGTTTTTCCGGCTTCTGCAACTCCGAAGGTTTCAGGCAGGACAGTCAATTCCCAGATCTTCTCTTCCACGGGGACGCTGAGTGGTGTCAAAGGTCGAGGAATGTATGGTTCTGGAGTCAATGCGGAAGGTGCCGGTGTGTTAATTTGAGTAAGGACGAATCCTGGAATGTGTACACTGGGAAGATTTTGTTGGCCGTAGTCGCCGTTTACATCTTCGACAGTTAAGTCATGAGTCTCCTTAAGCTCCAAGGCTTGAAGGAAATCTGGGAAGGAATTTCCTGACTTTCCGATAGCGGATGCGTGATTGTGAGGGCCACCGACGATATGAACACCGATGGATGCACCTGTATCTCGTTGAATAACCGGGCTACCAGAGTTTCCTAAATGGGATGGTGAATCAGCAAACTGGCTATTAAGCTCAAATGTATGTAAGAATGAAGAAGAATCTTACCACCAGCGGGATCAAGCGCATAAGAAAGCGTCATATTATTCCGCGCAAGATCGTAATCAACCGTTTGGCAGTCCTCGTACATATACTCTCCGGATTCAAGATCCGTCGGATATCCAACGATACCAAGGACCTCACTACCATTTCTAGGAGTTTCCGCATACTCAAGAGGTTGAACATTTTCGAATGGTGCATTCAATTTAATGAAAGCAACATCGTACTGATCGCGGGGTCCTTTCAAGTACTCTGTGGGGAGAGTAACATATTTTCCATATCGCAATTCAGAGGTACCATTGCTAACACTCTCTTTACCAGCGTACCTGATAAAGACTTTGACTTTGACTAGATGACCTTGGCCGTAGGTCCAGTCGTAGGCGGAATGTCCGGCCGTAACGATGGTATCAGCGGAAATCAACCAGCCGGTGGCGGTAGCATATGTATCCTCCTTGGTGTTGCTGTACTGAAGAAAAAGCTTGCAAATAGCTAAAGTTTCCCAGGTGCACGTGTGGTTAGTACACTTCCAAAATCTAGATTCTTCATAGATATAAACCCCTAAAGATGGAGATGCTTACCTTCGAAACGCCCACCCGGCGCATAATCAGCTTCGTCGACTCTGACACGCTGATCACCTTCAACAACAGTCTCTCCATGGCTACGACGGTAAAGAAGATGGTGGATAGAAGCCTCTTGGACGAACCCGGTTTCGTTGAACTGAGGTACGGATAAGTCCCAAGCGGCGGCAGAAGTTGGGGTCGCAATGTTCAATGCTTCATTGAAGGTATGAAGGGAATTCAATGGCGATTGAGCGGCCACAGGATTAAAGTCCGACTCAAATACACCGGTCTCTGAGTAAGGCAGAGGAAGAAGATCAAGAATTTGTGGGATTGACATTTTTGCGAATGTTGATAAAGATACTGCGGATTGCGCGGACGAGGTCTTTTGAAAGAGAGAGAGAGTTTGGAAGGAATGTGGTTATAGAAAATGTTTTAAAGGAAGTTCTTAGAGTGGTTTAAAGGACTGTCTTTATACTTTAGCTTGCTTGTTCGCTTTTCTTGGTGGATGGTAGTAATTCTCGAGACAAATGAGGAGCAGGTATCGGTCCTATTTATCATCTTCCTAGAGGATGAAGTCCGATACGCAGGCATGAAAAGAACAAAACTACTCCCTACACATGCAGCTGCGCAGCTGTGATACCATTGAAGCCCGGAAGCAGCTATCTCCTATGAGAATTTGGCCGATTGGCCGCCCGTTAGTAACAAGGTTGCCATTGGGCTGAAATCCGACATTTGAAGTCGCAGCAAATTAGTCTTACGGCTGACGGGAATACTTGATCGATGAAATGAGCATGGCGCGCAAATGCATTGATGGCGTCGACGTCAAAACTATTCCCCTTTCCCAACTTAGCTGTACCTAGAGTGAGAGTCTTATTCCGGTTGCATACCTTCGAGTACTTCTCATAGGATCCTATGTGCGAAAGATGGCAAAATGTAGCTGAATGTCCGAAGCCTCAAGCTGCAGGTACGCCATGGCGCCAGGCCCAAAGGAAAAGGCCATGCTAGGACAGCATGGTACTCAAGTTTACCTTGTCCCACAATTCACCACGTTGAATAGGAGATATATGCCGCATTAATTGTAGTCGGGGTAATAAAATTCCGCTGTAGGTAGTGATACATGGTACTAAATCGACCAGCTGAGCCCCTCAGGGTCGTGTATCAGTACCCCTCTCTCGCTAAGTACTGGCATAAACTTACTCCTTAAAGGGCTAAAGTTTTCCATGGTACCTGACGCACAATCGGCTGTAGGCGTAATTGAGCAGCCTGAGAAGAGGTTGTAAATATCTTGTACCTGCATATCCCCGGTCGGCGATTTTCATTGGTCTCAACAGTACCGTTGCAAGCGCTGTGGATCTGAAATAGTGTCTCCTAGATTCGTACGTATATCATTCGCGATGTCGGATGTTTCTACACTTTGTAGTGAGGTGCATACATTCCAACAAGTTTAGTATCAGATACCCTCCTTTTTTTCAGATAGATATTCCTTCTACGTGTTTGTGAAGACTTTTGAAAAAGATGGACGGTTGATAATTTTTGACCAGTTTCAACTCTCTGGGGACACATAAAAGCCTCAACTGCATCCCCAAGCTAGATTAGCAGCATACCAATTGCAAAATCTTACCGAGCGTCTAAAAGTGGTTCAACTTTCATAATGCATATATGTATTTAACCCGTATGTTCGCGGCTTCTTGAAGTTTCAATACTAATCATTGTATTGACTTACCAGACACGCAAACTCATAGCTACATTTGCCCCCGAGAAAAAATGATAATAAAAAATAGGCCAGCTGCATTATATGGTGGGCCCAAACCGTTGGAAGTACCAGTACTTCCCACGCGATTTACCGGCACCGGATTAACATCTATGCGGGACGGAATGGAATCGCAATCGCAAATCAGCGTGGCTGCAGAGCCTAAAATTATAAAACGTACTGAAGAATTGATGAAGCACACTTAATGCAGCCATGGCCATGCGCACCGGAAGACGCCCAAGGGTGCCGCAGCACCCAGCTCGAAGAAGCTAACTAGTCTACACTGTTACACGAACCGGGGACAAGGATCGCGCAGCTGCACAACGCACGCCCCAATTCATATCCGAAGTGCGCACCATCCAGAGCACGACATAGGCCCGATGGCTGAAAAAATTTTGTTTCCGCCCATCAGCTCAGCTTTTCAGCCCTTCTGCACTTTTCAGGGATTCATTGAATTAGTATTAAGCTTTGGAGCGGAAAGAGGAGCTTTCCGGTTATTCGGGATCTTGAAATATCGATTTCGCGATTATATCACGCATTTGCCGCATACCGCATGCAGGAGAATGCAATGATCGATGAGTAGGTACACGGTACCTATGCACCACCCTTTTTTTTTTGGAAAGCTTCTCCTATTGTTAGAGGAGTAAACGTTGAGGTTATCCGAGTTTTGGATATATCTAAATAAAAATTTATCATTGTTAATCTCAGATAGTTAGCAGTATTGGAATGCTCTTTGTTAGATATTAGTGAACACAAACCTGACCAATTGAGCTTAACCGGTTACACAAAACTCACCGTTTTCGAAGGGTTGTATCCAACTACACCCGTTGAATCGTGAATATTAGCTAAAATCTAGCCTTAGTTCCAACTGAACAAGCTAGCTAGTTAGTTGGATCCACTAACAGGACGGCTCGCGAGCGGGTCGGTCCACAGGCCGTTTTGAGAACTCACGGATGCGGGGATACAATGGCGGTGAGTTCTGATTGGAGCTGACCTAGCGCCTCGACCCGAAACCTATTCCTGTGTGCGAGCCGCAACAACAATGGCTTGAAAATTTTCTCTCTTTTTTTTCAGCCGCCACAGCTCAGGGTTGCCTAATGCAATACTCAGGAGATCTCTAACCAGTCCATTTGAGATAAATGGATATTATAATATCATCATTACGCCATTTTTCTATGCTTACAATATGGTTTAGTGCTAATCAAAAACAAAAGTGTATCTGTACGGCAATAGCGTGCTAAAACAAGTAAAGGGAATTGCATTCGATCGCTGTCTTATCGATACAAGATAATTCGGAGCTAGAAATCAGGTATTATAACACATAAAATTTCAGAGACATAGAGAGTAACTAAAGCAAAGCCGTTCTTAGATACATATCGTCGCTGCGACTACTCGAGCTACCCAAATAAATAAATATGCGAGAAAACGAAATGCTCAAAAGAACCAAATCCCCCAAATCCTACATCGGTTTATGCCTCAACTCCTTCCCATTAACGTAATTAGGCGCAGAATCAACAAATATCTTCCTGCCCTTGATGTAAGCAACCAACCAGCCCCAAACCTTCCACCACGAAATTTGACCTGTAGCGTAGCTTTTGCCTAGTGTTATGAATATCATCTTTTTGTCCGCAATCTTATGCTCCTTAATCTGCGACTCCCGACCCGTCAAAACAAAATCTAGGTTTTCCGCAAGATCGATGATCTGGGTATCAGTCGCTGTCACTTGCTTCGACTCAAGATTTCCAACATCACCAATTCCCCAGATGTTGGCGGTACCCGTGACGCGCATGTATGAGTCAAGTTGGACGTTTCCCTCGGCATCGAGAAAACTTGGCGGCAGCCATCCGGTATTGATTTGGAGACCAAAGAGAGGTAGGTATAGATCCGTAGTAAGTATTTCACCATTTGATAGAACAAGCTTCGTTTGACCGCTAGGTTCCTTGGTCGACGTCTCAACTTTGGTTTTGTGGATAACCTTAACGCCGAGCTTCTGTAGGTCGTTTTCTACAGTTTGGGAGACGGAAGACATAACATCGGATGAGTGTAGAACTTTATCCCCGGCACAAATTAAAGTAATTTGCTTCTTGCCACCGTAAGCTGCGGCAAGTTCTCCGGCTGTTTCGACACCTGTGGGTCCAGCGCCGGCGATAGTAATAGACCCCGCATTTTCAATCTCTTTCTGCAGCGAATGTAGAGCAGTAATGGTATCCTCATGGGTCCCTATGGATTTGAAGGGTAAATTTCCACGAATACTGGATCCAGTAGCTATAACAAGCTGGTCATAGATGATTTCGCGGGTAGAACCATCGTTGGCCACAACACGAACCACGCTATTCTCTGGCTGAAGATTATCAGCTTTTCCAAGAATAAATTCGAAGTTCTCAGAGGGATATCGAGAAAAAGCGTCGGTAATTGGAATGAAGAGCTGTTCGTCGGGTATTGCGCCTGGTATAACTCCCCTGACGGCCGCGAGGTTCCAATAAAAGTGTGAATTTGGTGAAACAAGGACGACTTTGAGTTTCTCGGGAACTTTAGAAGCGGTGTATATAAGGAGCTTATGGGCGGTAGGGAGACCGGTGAACCCTGCACCGACTATAACTACCGTTTTGACCATAGTGATGTTGGCGGCGAGCTGGTCTATGCTTTTGTATTTCAAAAGATGTGTTGACCGTGTGGTATTGCGACGATCGAGGGGTTCGGGGTTCGAATTCAATACAAAAAATAAATAGAATTTGAAGCTTGAAGTCTTGTAAGTTTTGAAAATATTTAAGTTAGGAAGCCATCAGTTAGATTTAAAGCCGTAAGCTCTCTAAGTTTAAGGTCACGGTTCCCTTTATATATCACAACGACCGTGCGGATATCACAGTTATCTGGAGGTCGGCCGTAGCTCGGTCATTGCGTGGATCTGATTGGCTAATCGGTCGAAGCAGTCCCAAAAGGGCTCGGCAGGATGTGTGATGTTGATCCCAGGCAGGCTCCAAACGTAAACACAGGTACTCTGACTACCAATTGTATTATTACCAGAAGCTTCTAGACAGTGTTCACTTAAGGTAAGAGTCTAGTCATTTCTATACCTATCAGTATCCAGGTAAGAGTTTAGCTATCCCATAACTATCAACATACTCGGATAATGTAGCAGCCACGGGAGTGTATTCTAGTTACAGTTAAGATCTAAAGATAAGATGGTTTCTACCGCAGTCAAGGAGCCTGGCGAGACAAAGTTTCTACTAGGTAAGTAAGTATAGAAGTGGGTAGGAGAAAGATCACCCAATCTATATAGAGGCGTATCCCAGCGCACGTGGCTTTTTCTTTCGATACCTACGCAAAACTTTTCGTAACTTTACCCTCACACCCCATCACATTATTACTCTCCGCAGTAGCACTAATTCTGGTTTACGAAATAGCTTGAAACCGTACCCAACAGGCCCCTGAAAAAAAAACCCAAAGCGCTATCCCTGTACAATGGAAGTAAAAAGGGAAGAAGTCGACCTGGAAATAGGAGAGCAACGATACCTTACCCACTGCGCTATTTTGGCGAGTCTGCCGACTGAGCACTCTAAGAATGAAAGGGATGCTCAACTTAGTACGATCAGAGGGACTGACGATGAAAGGCCCTCGACCAAAACACACCGGCTAGATCGGTTATTAGACAGCCTAGCGTCTCTACTCGCCGCTCATGGGGGCGGTGATTGCTTAGCGGTGGCCCTCGGCGGCCTTACAAAGGATCAGATCACGCTGCTCTTAAGTATTGACACGCCTGTACTGGAGAGGGAGGTTAGTGTTCTTTATCAAGCAATAGAAGCTCACAGCCAAAGAATTTTCAGATATCTTCGCAATTTTCATAATGCGGCGGACGATCCTGGTATTCAGCAGAACATCCGAACCGATTTTACAGTCCAACAGATTATCTACTCGATTGACGGGATCGAAAGTCGATATAAATTGTTTGATCGAGAACTTAAAAAGATAAAAAAGCTGGACCTGGGAAAATTCGAGTTCTACGATGTTGTCCAAGAAGAGACTGTTTGTTACGTCCCAGCTCCCGAATATGATAACGCTGAAGACGAATCTCTTGCAAAAGACTTGCGCCAGTCATTTTTTGACCTAGAAGGGGTGAAAGAAAATCTTCCCGAGAAGCAAAAGAGTCTCATTGAAGATTTAAAGGCTCGTCCCAAGCTCCCAACAAAACAGCTTTCGAGACAGGACTTCTTGATATGGCATAAGTTATTCTTATGGCCCTTTAAGATCTTGGGTAGACAAATACAATTTTGTATTACAGCCAGGAGCGCCAATGGGTCCCAGGACGAAAGCACTGAAGCTTACAAAAACCTCTGGATTGCGGCAATGAATCTGAATGGGATGCTTCAGAGGGTTGTGGTGATGATTGAGGGTTCTTCCATTTTTGGAATGTGGGCTGCCATATTTCAGAAAATATTAGATGGAAAAGGTGAACGGCGCACAACAGTTGGTGCTATGATACCATCAGCCCCTTTGCCGTCTTTCGCAGGAAGACCTGCACCTACGGCTGCAGGCCAGAGACAAGGTGAAGAGGGAAAAAATCTCGAGAATTTGCGGACTCGCCAAAAATATAATGGAGAGGCTCAACAAACACGCACTGAGCTAGAGCAGCCCCCATTACTTGAAAACTCTGGGTCGAATATTGAACAAAAGGACCTCAACATATCCCAAGACCCTAAAGCAGTGAAATTAGTAAAATTTGGTGGAACAATCCGGAACGTTTTTAGGAGAGAAAAAAGGCAAGACAGAGAGTTTAGTAACAAAGAAGGTCTAAACGCTGGGCTAGGAATAGTAAAACGTATTCTTGGGAAGTCGGTAACATGGGTTCGGAATAAACCCCCAAAAAGGGAGGGGCTGGAAAGTATTTTGAACACTCAAAAAACATCGAATATAGTTGAAGCAATTGCAACTGGTAGTTGACATGAAGGGTCCGGAGATGATAACAGGCGCCAAGAGACCCAATTTGTGGTGCCTATTCAGAGTCTCGATGATGGTTTTGATGACCCAGTGCATCAGAACGAGAGGGGCTCTGGAGCGTCCCGAAGTTATGCTTCTCTGGAGACTTTAACGAAGGTTGTACCATCTCCCGGAAATCCGAGAGAGCCCTCTATGGATGGTGCTAGAGCTGAAGAATATGAGGATGAGGATGAGGATGAGGATGAGGATGATGACGACGGGGGTGAGGATAATGAAGATGACGAAGTTGGGTATTACGATTTCGATCTCAGAATTATTACAGAGGCCGAAAAGCTTCGAGGGGCTGCCCGAAACGGTCTTTTTCGACGAGCTTATGCCCTAGCGGGTTTCCAATTTCTCGTTCGTGCAGTACTCTACGACAAAACCATTGCAACTGAAGTCGTCAGAAAGGATTTTACCGTGGAGGTCATCACTCCAGTTGACGGAAGGTACACCACCTCGAAAGTGGAGAATCTGGAGGAAACTCTCCATCGATTCTTTGCTTCGGAAAATCCGAATGGAACTCCATCCAGAATCAAAATCCAAGTTCAGGACTTTATCAAAAGTTTTGACCAAATTATAAAAGAAGGTAACCGCCGTCAGCAATTACTCGACCACACAAAAAAAGATCATACTGTCAGGGCGGCTCAACATGCAGAACTAGTATTGCTCCAGCACCTTCTTGAAGAGAGAAATTTGGGGGCGGGCAAGTATATAGGTGTTTCAAAGCCTCCTTGTCTTGTCTGTGAGAATGTGCTCCACTTCTACAAACCTGAAATTCGAACACGAAGAGGACATGGTCACGTCTCTGTATTAGAAATACCGAAAGGGCTGCCAAGCGATCACATAAAGTGCGTTTTTAGTATCGTTGAGGAATTGTCCAAAAAAATCACTGTCAAAGCATACAAAGCTCAGACAAAGCCTATGTCGGGTGATTCGACCTTTATTCATCACGGGAAATATTCTAATGAATACGAAAAAGGAACTCTCTCGCGAGCACGACCCATGCGAGCTGGATATGTTAAAGCCTCAAAATCTCCGCAATGATTCGAACAATGTCACTACCTTATTACTATTCCTTATTTTTTGTCATTCAAAAGTTTTTTTTAGATAAAGTTTCAGAGCTACAATTCTTCATATATATCAAAGCTTTAAAATTGTGCCAGCTGCATGGGTTTTTAGCGCTCTAGCAATTGCAATTTTCATGGACGCAATGCGCGAAGTGAAAGTCAAAATAGAAAGAAGACAATTTTTATTCATATAATTTTCTCTTATAAAAAGTACCTAGATACATAGTAAGTTAACTACACATAACTAGACACCGGTATATATATCTCGATTTAGCATCACAGCCGTCAAATTATGAAAGTGAAAGGTATAGCCCTCAGATAGTCGTATAGTGCTATACTTTGATATATGTAAGGGATTCCCTGTTGAGCTCTATCTACATATTGCAGGATTGCTCTGGCCTCTCTTTCTTCCCCACTCATTTTCCGTTCTATCAATATAAGCCTTTTGAGGTTGTACGTTGTTGCAATTGGATAGATTCTCTAAATCTAATAGACAAGTAATAGGCACCTACTTAGGTACATATGTGCTTATGGCCTTTATCTCCGCTTATATCCGTTTTCTCCGCTTGTGCAGTTTTCAGGTATAACATTTGGGACAACATTGGCTGCTCTAACTGTAGTCTCGTTCCCAGCTAGCTCCAACTGCACAACCACAACCATACCATGGTCAAGATCTGAAAAAGTATCGAGATTGCCTCTGCCATAAAACTAAAAATTATACCAAAGAACGAGTAGGGTATAACCAGTCAATGTCATTCCCGTCTCTTACCCCGAACTTAAACAACGGGGACGACGGATTAAAAATATGGAGCTGCACGAACTGTCGCCGCCGAAAAGTACGATGCGACAGAAAAGATCCTTGCATCCACTGCAGTAAAAACAATATCGAATGCACATTTCCTATTGCTGGCCGGGTTCCCCGTCGCAATATTCGGGGAGTTTCAAAACCCCACAAGATTGCACCTAAACATCAGGAATTATTGAGTCGCTTGAGGAATCTTGAGGATATGGTTTCGCAACTTGGATCTCAGATTGAATATGCAGCTATTGATATATCGGCTAATAACGATGCTCTCGATTCATTATCTACTCCGGAAGATTTAGTCCGGATCGAAACGCCATCAGCCCCTCCTAGAAGTCTATCTGATAAAACACAGTCTAATACACCTCAGGAGTCCGACAACATGATCCTTGAAAATAATGGAAATCTAATCGTAGGAGATCGTTTCTGGACCATATTTTGTGGGGAGGTAACTATCAATTCCCGTTCCAGCATTTCTAATCGCTATTTTCATAAATTTAAGTTAACTAATCTCAAGGTTGAACGTATATTTGAAGCTGCCCGAGGTCCAGAGCCATATTCATTCGAGATTCATAACGACTCGAATGCAGAATCGAGCTCGGGCTCTCGAAGCCATATCAACTATTACAATTTCCTCCTACGACAAGCTGACTCCGCTGCCAAATATGACTTAATCCATCCCCACCCATCACAGTTACTGCTGCTCTGGCAAACATATGTCGATGATATCGACCCCTTCATTAAAATCCTTCATATCCCCTCTATGACGAGGCTCATACGAGACCTGAGAGGCCAATACCACTCTCTAAAACCGGCCACGGAGGCTCTTATATTTTCTATATCCTTCGCTTCCATATCCATATCGACTGAAAATGATGTATGTAGAGTGCACTCTGCACTAAAATTCTATATAAAAATGACACGAACCTTTCGTGTTAGCTAATATCCGACTAGATTTCTCCACACTTCAATACTACCAAGGAAGAGCTGCTATCTCGTTATCGACTATACACAGAACAAGCATTCGAGAAAGCCAGAATAATTACTAGCGATAGCATCGAATCAGTTCAAGCACTCGCCATATACATCTACGCTCTACGGTCAAATGAAGAACATAAATTTATATGGACACTGAGTGGTACCCTGCTAAGGATGGCTCTACGTCTAAATCTCCATAGTGACGTAAAACCCCCAACAGGTGCTAACGCCTTAGAAACAGAAAATCAAAGGAGATTGTGGTGGCAAATTTGTTTAAGTGACTCGACTTCTCTTTCTGGTGTCACGAGACAATCTGGTATCGCTGGTCTTTCTAAATTCCAGATCTCAGAAGATATGTTCGATACTCCAATGCCTTCCAATATAGACGACGCAAATATCCGCAACAGTATTCTCGAAATACAAAATACAACTCCTGGAAGGACAGATCTTACGATCTTCCTAATAAGATGTGAGATTTGGCGACTTTCTCGTCGTCTGCAAGCTCTCTTAAATGTTCGGAAAGACACCCACGGGACACCAGAAGACCCAATGGAATTTTTCAAAGACGCCCAGGCCCAGATTGCAGAAACATATGCAAAACACCTTCGTCTAGATATCCCACTCGATAATTTCGTAAAGACAATGACCCAGTTATTCTTTTCGAAAGTCGAGCTACGCCTTCTAGAAACTTTACCTCCTGATGACCAGAAATTTGCACCGAACGCTCAATTTCTGGTGCAAAACAGATTTTTTACACTGGCCCTCTCGATTCTCAATGATACCTACTCTCTTCAGCACGAGCCATTATGGAAACCCTGGAATTGGCATATCCGGGATCAGACACAACCATACCACGCTCTTTCCATCATCTTGAACACGATCTGTCGCCAACCGTGGGATTCAAAATTTGAAGAAGCCTTAACATCAGCTATAAGGTCGATTGACGCAGTACCAGAAGGAACCCCTCAGCATCGTTACTTTACAAACCTATTGAGTGCCGCCCAGTCTCACAAAGGGAGCTACGTCACTCAAAATGTTGCAAATTTAGAGATAACGAACCAATCAGATCAAGGCTCATCTATGCCGCTGCCTCCGCCCGATGAGTTTCTACCGGCACTATATTCGAACGATTTTGATTTCACCATGCTTAGCGACACTAGGGCATCCACATCTACCAATATTGAAGCCTGGGATGACATGGTAAATCTTTTCGACCCTTGGGAATCCGGGGATATCGGGGGAATGTAATGATTTTATGCAACTAAACTATGTAGACCGAATACAATTACAAAATATGATTAAATACATTGGTGTATAATATAAAAGGGTTTTTGACGCAAAAAAAACAAAAAAAACAACCATGATGCCAAAGTCGCCAGTACGTATGCCAAGATCCCAACACCCGCGGTTAACTGTCCCAGAAAGTAAATTGTAACCAGCTGCAAAGAAACCAAAAAGTGAAATAAGAATAAAATAATGATAAGAGACAGCGCTTACTGTTGTAGTTCCTCTTGATCACAACTGTCTAAGAACCCAAGGAAGTCTTCAGAAAACTCGTACCATCGGCTGATACCTCCATCTCTAGCCATGGCCGCGCCTTGGCTTGCAGAAGCCCACCCTTCTGCAGACAACTGCTTTGACAACTCATTCGCACTCCAAATACCCTCGGCTAGCTCTCCATCACTGTCGCTTGATCTGGGACGCTGGTAAGGTCTATACATTGGCAAAAGCCAGTCCCATACCCTTGGGCCCATAACTTGTTTAAAGTTGCGCTTGAATCCAATTCGCCACGGGTGGAGCCCCGGCGGTGTGAGATATATTTTGTAATATCTTCTAGGTGTTGCGAATGGTTGCTCTGATTCGACTTTTGGCTGAAGATTAGGCGATGATGGAGCGAGAACGGGCGAGGTTACAGGCGAAGTCGGGGAGGTAGGTGACCGAATCGGAGATGCCATTCGCCTCGGTGTAGACAAAGGTAATAGTAGCCGTCGGTGAAAACCGGAATCTTCATCTCTTGTTCCGTCATCCTTTTGCCAAAATGGCCTTTGCTGAGGCGCCCGAGTTGTTGTTCTAGGGTTTAATGTGGTTGTTCTTCTTCCAGGTTCTAGGTCCTGATTGGGATCAAGTCTTGCAACATAATATCGCTTAGTCTTTCTATCGAAGTTTTCGATGGTAGTGCTTCCCCAGTATATCATCTGCATATTAGTTATAAACATCCCGAGAATGAATAGGCCAAAGAAGCCTCCCCTGAAAAGTATGTTAGTCAACTGTGCTTTGAGGCAAACTTGAAGCTGAACTTACATTGCGATAATTGCAACCCAATGACCATCATTTTGTTGAAATCCATATCGACTGACCTTCTCTTGAAAGAATATCGCCATACAAATAAGAGTATACACGCAGTACAAAGTTCCGTAACCAACAAATTGAAAAAAGAACTTATAGGATGTCAACCCGACGACGCCCCCGACCCATGGACAAAAGTGATCGAAGTTCTCGACACACCGCCCAACCTCTGAACAATGATGAGTCCTGTCAGGCTTGTAGTTCCCACATCTTCCGCACCATCTGACTTCGCCATTCGAATCGCACAGAAAAATGTCTCTGAGGAACACTTGAGTGAGGGGTTGTCGGAGTGACGTTGGCTGTTGGCCCGCAGGGCGGGATGAAAGAGCTTGGAAGCCTGTATTCAGTGTAACGCTACCATTTGTTACTGGAGCGGCCTGAGGCGACCCAGTGAGTCTGCTATTGGAATTAGCGCTAGGAGGGGCGCCCTTCTCGTTTGTACTACCTGAGGACACAGGAGCCGTCCACGCCTCCTTTCCTTCGCCACTTGTGCCATATGCGCTAGGACCGAGAGGGGTGAAGCCGGGATTCGTAAGGACCGTGAAGACAAGTCGGAAGTAAGCCGAACCCATGAAGATTAAGAATATTAGGTAGCTGACTATTAAACCGATCGCTGTTGCGGTTCGCGGCGCAAGGGTATTTGTTTTCTCGACAATAATAGGGATATTTGTGGTATTAGGAAGTATGGTATCTATCGGTGGAGGATTTAAAAGATATTTTACTATTGGAGCACATCAGTTATTAGTTCGGGTAACAAAGCCATTTCGATTATTCGCGGCACACTTACTGCAGAGACGAACGACAAAAACGTAAGTCGTATAACCGGCCATTCCGGTCAACATCACAGGCATAAACCTAGCCGTCCAGATGTTGGCTTTCCGTCTGTCGCACATCTTTGTATACTAACGCGACCAGCGTTTTCTCCAAACGTATCGTAAAGTCGTAAGTTGCGAGAAGTCAGAAGGGTCCCCGGAAGAGAATAAGTTGAAATGGTTTTGGTCGTGCGATGTAAAAGAAGCATGATGATATAGAATGGAATATTTTTCCGTTAATCTCCGGCTTTCTGGCGTACGCTTTGTGGTAATTAGGTCATCGCGCTCTTTAGGCTAACGTGAACCAGGGAGGCGGTGCAGGAACACCGAATTCGAAAGGCTCGTGGATTTTTCTGCAAAATATTCAGCGACTGAGGGCGAGATATGTCCGAATGTATACCTAGGTACTTACATGATACCTGCGACGTCGAAAAGGGTAAGGTTGTCGCGAGATGGAATTGAGAGATGACATCCAGAATGCAGGGGACATCACAAAGGGGGTAAGTACAGGCCCCAGCCGAGCAAGCCGGCTTGTGTTGTGGATGCGGTCACCGATATTTCTTGGCACCTTTGTCACGTGAAATTGTGTTACATCACGTGGACGTTGTATTTCAGGAAGGACAACGCAACGCGCAGCTGTTAGCTTTGAAGGATCTGGATATCACGAAGTCGCGCGAAACCAGTGCAGGCAGAACCGTTTCGTTGAGTCTAGTTATCGATTAGCTAGTCGGATAGCCCGGGCTTTTGCGAGGCAGGGGAGTGTGAAGCCGCTAAGGTTTTGCCATGGCTTAGCTTGTGACCTCTACCCCAGTAATCCCGTCGTTTCGAGTTTTAATCCATCCAGGATTCGATTCGGACAACAATGAACTTCTCTTCATACGGGCCACGTTATTCATCAAAACACCCCGAAGCTACGTCAACCGAAAAAAAAAAAAAAAGCGGACTGACTCTCGCAACGGGAACGGCGAGCCGGAGAAGTTTTAAAACGACTATCGAGGATCAAGCCTACAGTAGAATATACTCGCTGCGGCCGCACGCCTGCGCAATAACATGTAGCCTTTCCTATAGTCTCGTGACAACAATGGTCGGAAACCGGACGAGGCTGCCACTTTAGATAGCAAAAACAGTACGAGTCAAGTTATTCACGTGGATCCGAAAAAAGGAAGTGATAGAAGGCCTTTACAGGCATTGTTTTCTGTAAAGGATTGATACAGGCCCTGCATCAGGCATGGGGGGTTCGCGAACGAAGTTCGAAGCTATGCTTTGATGGAACATCTTTTCCCTCTATCAAACTACAGACCCTAGCACATTTACACCGCCTTGAATTTCCATGAGACAAGACAGCTAGTAATATCGGTTTCAGGCCGATATGCTACAGCTGTGGTTCGCCTGAAGAGGTTCAGTAGTAAAATTCAAGGAACATGTAAATCCTGTCACGTCGGAGACTTCTTAACATCCCGCCTTAAATTTATATTAACTCAAGTACGGTACAGCCACGCAAACGCCAATACCTAGGTACTAACCATTTTCGATTTCTACCTTGGCTTTCATGTGGATAGATAAATGAATAAACATAAATTTACTAGCAGTTGGCTCTAAAACCGTTGGGTATCAGGCCAGGGGGTACACAAGGCTGATATTCCGGAATGAGTTGTAGTCGGAAGGAAAGTTACGACTCACAAAACAATTGCAGATTGTTGATTAAAAAGTCTACTTTTTACCGAGAATTTCTTTTTAAAACGATGGTTCCTTTTAAGGCTCAATTTGGATTAGTATGCAAGATTATCCATACTGAATTATAGTGGTAGATTAACTTTTATAGCGCGCGGCGGGCCAGGATAGCTGTTCTGATCAGGGTATCATCCCGCGGCTGGGAATTTTAATGGCGCGCTTCCTGCTTCGCCTTATCCCTTGCAGGGTGGAGGATTCGAATGCGATGTATCTTGTACTCTATGTCCCCACCGGCCACCGGTGCACCGCGGTAGCTTGAAGTAGAAGATTCTATTCATGTGCGTTATAGTTAGTGTTCTCCACCAGGCCCACTTCGCTTCCAACTAGCATGCTGCTTGCAAAGACCAATGTAAAATTGATGGATCTATAGATGCGAATAAATTTTATATAAGGCCTCCCTCGGATCCATTTTTTCATTCCATCATCAGCAAACTATAGCTACAGAACCCTCACAGACAGCTTCCAGCATTTAAAGAAAGCCTAAAATCCTCTTTCTTCAATCCCAAACTTTCATATCCAAGACTTTTCTTATATATAAACACCACGGCATCTCCAAAGATCCACAATATTCGACCCGGAAGACCTGAGTTCACGTACCCTTCTGAAAATAGTGATAATCCATATAAAGTAGCGGATAAACGTTTCAAACAGCTTGGGGGTCTTGAACGAAGACCTAGTCCAATTACACTTGCAACGGACTCCCGAACCCCCTCCCCACTCATGGATCACTACAATTCTGCTCAACGCCAGGATGGCTACGGCGGCCAAAGGCAACCGCGGATGTACAGCTCGGGATCATCCAATGACCAGCAGTACTACCAGGGGGAATATGACGATCAATACGCTCCGCAGCAGCAAAAAGACAAACGCTCCCAGCGTGCTTCACGCCAACAGGTCAATTATGACCATCAATACGCTTCACAGCAGCAAGGTGGTTACGACTACGAGTATGACCCGCAACAGCAAGACGATTACGGCTACCAGAATGCTTCGCAACAGCAGTATGGTGACTACGATTACCAACAAGCATATGGCTCGCAGCAAGGATTCCAGGCTGCGTCCTCTTCAGAAGCAGCTGGTCCATCATCCCATGTCGCAGACCATCAGCAGTCTCGAAGACACAAAAAACCAAAGGCCCATAAAGATGCTGTTCGAATGAAATCGGAGAGGATGTGGGAGTGCCACATGTGTGGAAGTCCTTGGAATCCCGAGATTCATGAGGCATGCTCAGCACCAGACTGCTATCACGTCCGCTGTTCTGAGTGCATTTGGATTAACTACAGAGTTCCCGCAGATGCCTGATTGCAGAACTTTGGTCCTTTTTCAGCAGTTTCTTGTTAGCATTTAGCGGTGGCAACGTGAAATTTTAGGGCGCATACATTGGCATACATCGGGAGGCGTTTTCCTCGTCTTTTTTTCCTTCTTTGTTTTTCTCCTTGTTTTCATTTCGGTGTTATTTTGTCTTTTGTTTTACCTGGATTTTTTTTATTTGTTTCTCATGACGATAAATGGTGGCCACGAAATTGATGACGATAAAAAAAAAAATTGGTTTAGAGGCTTTAGAAAATCCGATGCGGTCTAGTCATCTGGAGAAGGATAGTGAGGCCACATGACCCAAAATGCTTCTCCTAGCGACTAGGTTCTCTAAAGATGTCTCCCGACTCTCCGGCGTTTGGGCGTTATGTAGACTTGTTCTTTTTTTCTTTCTTCCTTTTTTTCTGTTGTTTTTCTTCCATTGCTTGCATTGGGCGGATTCTAGATTGCATTGGTGGCGCATTTGTGGAGTGGTAGATGTGTACTCCCCGCAAGGGAAACGGCGCATTTTGGAGTTGTTTTTGTTGTATTTCCTTTTTTGGCAATGACTTTCTTGGTGTTTTTGGTCTTCAGTTTGCTAGTAATTGCTTCATAGCAGTTTTTGTTCAAGGCGTTTAATTTCTCATGCTCATTTTCTCCTTTTTTTTAAAAAAAAAATACCAACTTCTTTCTCTCTTTAACTCCTGAATCCTTACTCCAGCCTCTTCGTGCAGATAGCATCTTCAAAAAGGGAACAGGTACCGTATACCTCTCATAGCGCTAGCTGGCTACCCGATCAAATAAGTTCACAATCAGGATACATACCAGCAACACAATTCCCGTTAGCATTTTCTTGATCCTGAATTTCTAAAATCCGCCAAACTTCATCAGGCTCTCTTCAGAGGTACGTTGCGATAACTAGGTAGTGGGGCAGAGTTTTCCTGTGGATAATGATCGCATTGCTTTACTCTCCCTTCGAATGTTTTCCCCATCGAACCAAAATTGTATGTCGCTATAGTCTTCATACCTTCGTTTCTATAATCCTTCACTTTTCGTTACGGTTTGGGCTAACCGAACAGAGCTAAGCTTGCGATATATCGCAAGTCGCTATCAAATACAAATATGAGATGCGTGGTACTTTTGTACCGCAGGAGTGTAATCCACTTTCCGACGAAACCCCGCCCCAGCATTGCTACCATTTGATCGAGTAATTAAAACCCCCCTTTTGTTTATTTAGTATGATATCATAGCTTGTTACATCTACATCACATGCATGCAATGCAGGTTCCAGAAAAATTCCGCATCGTTTTTTCTGATACGTCCCCATATCTCGCGAGGTGGAATGTTGTGGGTCGCGAAAGTTCTAGTTCAATTCTCAAAAACTTGAGGGTATACCTGTCATTACATATGCACAAACAACCCTGCTTCCCATCCGCCGTACAGAACGCAAGGCACTAAATTGCCGTTCGGATCGAAATTTAACTTTAAGATAAATTCATGCTGATTGCTTGTTTTTCGAACTTTCGAACTCGAATATTCCTGGAAGTTCGTTTTATAAACGCACGCTGCCTGGCTGTCTGCCGATTGTCTGGTATGGCTGTCCAAGACAGGGTTTTTTAAAACATGCTTGGAATTTCCGACAATCACACACTCTAAAGGCCGCACAACAGAACCATATAGCACCGCCACATATATTGTTTCCATGATTTGCCTCTGCACTTTGGATATGTAGGCGAAATCGGCATGTCACGTTTTCTTTTAAACCCCAAAATTCCCTGTTTTACAATTGTACAAACTGTGGCTGAAGATTGCCTGGTGCCTGTGCGGCGCTGTAGCTGTAAGCAGCAAAAGAAATCGCCGTTTCTCCACCCTTTCCAGAATTAATTCTTTTTTCTAGTATAATTTTAGTCTCGAAGATATGAGGTTCTCAAAGATGGCTTCTCCTTCTGATAAGATTCATGCATGCAGTGCATGATGAGATGGGATGGGATGAGCTTGCGTTTGTGACCAATACTAGCCACAGACGTGCGCGTGCAGGGCGTAGCTGCTAGCTGACAGCCACAGAAGTGCCTCCACGATGACCACAAGCTTAAAACCATAGCAATCAGTCTATGACTAAATTCTAAAGGTTTCGAAGATGACACGTCCCAGAGAAACTTTCAATTTATCTCATACCAACGTGAATCATAACCACCCTAAAACGTCATTAACCTGAAGCATGGGTAGGACATCATGATCATTGCTAGCCCCACAGAACTACAGCATAAAACTAATCCCACCAAGGCAATTGAACTTTCGTAATTTGCAGGAGGATCTAGGCACCAACTTACCCCAACGCTTTATCGGGTTCATTCCAGCTGTATCAACGGGCGAAGTAGCTAATTATTACAAAATCGCGCGGCATGCAGTAGTCTATAATCTACGTGATGCACGATTCATCACCATAAACCTTCGTTCTCGTGATTGCTATCGAATGTATCGCAGTAGCTAGATACTTGAGAAGCTATCTAGAACCAAAATATCTCAAGCACCGTCTTGGCACGGTTTCGAATCGATTGCCTTTCAGAGAAATTCATTTTGTGTCTAGATATCTAGGTATATACGTAGTAGATTATATCGTATGAGATTGTTATGGATTAATTTCGGGCCCGGCCGGGTGATCTTGCAGGAGAAGCAAAATGAAGCAAACCTCAGACCGGTTAGCTGAGTCATGAATAGGGTATACATCGGTGGTTGTCCGAAAATATCTTCGTCATCCTAAATATATCAGCCCAGTTAGTATCCATGCCGGTATATCCGAGGAAGGCTACCAAGTTTAACGGGGCAGGTCACTTGCCAGTCGCCACCCTCGAAACCGAAAGGATATCAGGACCACACCCAAACAAAAATTACATCATCTGCAAGGCCGACATTTCAGCATGAGTAATTACTTCCTTGCTCTTTGCTCAGTGCCTCAACGGCACAGCGGCGAATTTCAGAGGTTGCACAAGACACTCTCAGCTGTGCCCTAAACTGTTTAACCCAGGCGCGAGAATACCCGCGGGAAGCGACCTTGATGGCCAGGCTAACCCGGAAATGGCAATTGGGACCATGAAGGGCAAGGATCTTCTGTTGTAAATTTAGATGCAACGCAAATCTGTGGTCCGGAATAGCCTCCTCGGGCCAACCCGTCTGGGACGCGAGATACTCATATACTAGCCTCGGGGCCTATATACTATCTGAATGTTGATAAAACACTTTACCTCGACATTGAAATGTTAAAATGACTGCACAAATATCTCTTGGCTCTGATTGACGAGGGGATGTGATGGCATAACGTGGTTATAAATCCTAGCTAAAACCTAGCTATAATATTGAAAGGGAGTCGATCGAGTGCTACTAGAGGGTACTCGGAGACATAAAGTAGTATACACGTGGCGAAACGGCAAAAAAAGTGACCAGACAGTGCAGAATTCAGCTAGAAGGTCGTGCAGAAGTGGATTCGGGGCTAGTGCAGAAGATCTGAGACAGGCTTTAATCACAACTTGCACGCACACCCTTCTCTAGCTAAGTACTTAGTAAGTAAATAGTACTTAAACACCTACCTAACCACCCGCGGCACACCAAACCTCTTTCTCCTCGCATCCTGTTGAGCTTGGCGAAGTTCATACCTCTCTGTTGACGACAAGCTGTCGAGTGCCCCATCCTTCCACCTTCTAGCCACTCTCCCCGCCTTATCCTCCAAGAGGTTCCTGGCACGCGTGTTGGAGACTTCTACTGGAACCTCCAACCCCCAACAAGCACCAGGTACAGTCCATCCAGCTTTCCTCTCACCTCCCCAAGGACCGACGCGTATCTTTATCCCTTCCTCAGCCTCGAATCCCTTCAACCATTCATGACACGACAAGCAGAGCTTACTTGAGGTTGCTATGAGCACAGACGACGTCAAACTCCATTGGATCTTCCTTCGAGAAGCAGCAATAGCAAGAGCCACCTCCGGGTGGATGGAGAAGAGCGTCTCCTGGAAGCTTCCGTAGCTGTTTGGGTTGTCTCTAACAGTAGGGTAATGGCAGTAGACAGCCGAAACTACCTTTCCTCCCAATTTTGGTTCTCCCCGTCCCTCGTTGAAGAGGTCAATCGCGGTACACGGCTCCGTTGGCACAAGCTGTACCAAAGGTGATGGTAAGTCAATCTACAATACCCTTCATTAGTTATACTCTCACTAAAACTAACAAGCAACCTAGCTAAAACGAGGCGAATGAGTTTAGCTCGTGCCATGGCAGTATACCACTGCCTGGCATTTTTGCCTCGATGCCAGGGCAGCATACCACTGCCTGGCATTCCTGCCCATCCCATGAACTCCCTCTCATTTAGCATAATGTGGGGTGGGGTGGGGTGTCACTTACGGTTTTAATAACAACAACCTTCCCGCAACTGTTTTTTTGGAACCCCAGAAAGTCGTTCACCAAGGACTTATACCGGGATAGAAGTCCCAATAGAGAGACGAGCTCACCCCGCTCGGGAATTCCAAAGGCCTTCCAAGCTTCTAGGAGCAACCAACACTGTTCGATAATACCAACTATGGACTTCTATTCCATTGTGGTATCGGCGCCCTCCTGCTGGGACAAATTGGCTTCCATGCAGAGACCTTGTCGGTTTTCTTTACCCTTCACCGGCAAGTCTTCCAGGGTCATTGCACCCAAACCCTGTCCAAGTATTCTTGTTGACTCGGTTTCGGTCGCCCTGGACCCCCCGCCGAATTCGATTAGCCTTCTCTGACATTCTGCCAGCCACGCTTCAACAAATTCACCATCGTTGTCCACCCGCTTGTGAAAGCCGGTGTGACTTCGAATGAGTGAAGCAAAGATAGCGCGCTCGTGGTCTGAGAAATCATCAGCCTTAAAGATAGGAGAAACCGGAAGGGCCGAGAACGTCGTTCGAGCTTCAGCAGCGTTGGTACCAGATCCTGATATGCTGGTCAACAACTCTTGGATTCGACGAATAGAACAAACTATCCTATTTCTGCATCCACCCACAACGGTTTTCAAGAGATGGGAGCGCGCTTCCTCTCGAATTTTTTTGTTTTTGGTGTCCTTCCTGGCCGTCGACGTCAGCGTCCGATTGAGCTTCTGGACGTACCGTTTGAAGGCATTCGCAGACTCCGTGAAGGATTTCCCAGTGACGTTCGGGTTGTTAGCGACAGTTACAACCGTTTTATTCCCGAGGATATAAACGTTAATAGCGACTGCATCTGAAGAACTCATCTTGAAGAGTTGTGAATAGGGGAGAATGGAGTTGATACTATGCAGGATAATGGCGTTTGCTCTAGATGCTTGGTACTCATCTGGGACCTCAGTGGAGGGAGGTTCAATGAGAGCCACGACATAGCTAGCAGCGTACAAATCCGCGTGAGGGGCAAGCTCGGGACAGAACTTCTCGTTCACCAGCTGATTCGTTGCCATCTTTCCGACAGAGTCTTTAAAATAACCTGGAGATATGATCAAACAAGGAGGGCTGTGGTTGAAGTGGTGGAGATGTTCTCGATAGTTGCTTACAACTTCGGGAGATAGTGAGGATAAGATGTATGGAAAATGATCAATGCATGAGGGCTGAGGGATGGATTAAAGAAACCCGTTACTAGATTCTTTAAGCTTCGTGGATTCTTTTTTTTTTTACATTTTACAAAATTCACAATTACGGTGGAAACGATAGCGCAGTAAAGGCTAGCGCATGGGGTGGTAGCGCAAAATAGGGGTATCGTGGGATGTCAGGGCTTCATATCCTGCGGATTTAGGGCTTCTTACTCCACGGGTTCTACGCTTCATGCCAATTACAAGGACAGCATGAAAGCTTTTGATTGATCTAGTAAGAGATCACGAGCTATTTCAAATAATTGTTTGTGTCTCTAGGCTAGTCTAGTTGTTAAAGCCAAGTATACAAGATGTCTAAACCACCCTACCATATCTATCAACTTCTACTCTTCCCCCACCTTTCACAAAAATCTTTCTCATCCATGCTTGTACCCCCTTACTCCCAACCTTCGAAAGGTCTGGAAAGCCTCTCTTTTCAAGAATAGGATTTGGCCCAAACATCCCCCCGCTCGCTTCAAAATCAAAAGGTTGCCCAGGAACATAAATCTGATACACCGTCAATGCGAGTGCGTATAAATCGTCCATTTCAACAACCGGGGCCTTATATTCATGCGTGCCGTGGTGCCGATTAGGACTCTCATACATAGGCGTCCCTTTCATCTGCCATTCCTCCTCCTCCTCCTCCTCCATTTTCTCGTCGACAGGCAGGCCGCTGTCAAAGTCTATAAGCTTAAGCTCCCCGTCGGTCATAACCACATTGGATGGTTTAATATCTCCATGGACCATCTTTCGTTCTTTGTGTAGTTTCAAGATGAGTAGGATCATCTTGACAGCCAGTGTGTTTTTTTGGGCCATAGAGGTGTATCCATCCGTGTGAAGGAGGGTATCTAACGGTTTTCCACGCTCGAGAACCAATCCTACACAAAATGGCTGTCTATTCTCCTCATTCAAAGCAAAAACCCTTCCGATAACAGCGACAGCGTATGGCCTAGCTCTTTCGAGAAGTTCTCCTTCTCTCGCGAGGTTTTCAGTTGGAGGTAGTGATAGATTATCATCAGCCTTATATTTCGGTTCATGCGCCATACTCCGATCTCCCTGGCCGTTGTGGCCCCAGACATCACGAAGGGGAGGCGGAGACTCATTTTCGTCGGGATTTACCGTCACACGATACATCCCAGAGGAAGCCCCTTGTTCCAGCTTGACGGCATACGGTCCTATTTTGCAGACCCGAGGCCCCGCGCTCCGTTCTAATGTCTGAAAGCCTTCATGTCGGATTTGTGCTCTAATCTTTGATAAAGAAACATCACCGGGTTTCGGGATGTATATCTGATCTAGCCTCGGAAGAGGAGCGAGATAACTATGAAATGTTTTTGTCATCTTGCTGGTTTCCTGACTACTTTGCTTGGTGCTATATCTTTGGATACCGACGCGACGCTTCAGGTCAAAAAAAACATGTGGGATAAATAATACAGATGTAACGTTGTGGGAGGTTAGGTTATATTGTCATAGACAGGATCGATATAAGTTATATATACATTCGCATCAGGAAAAAGCAATATTTACTCAGCAGCGTCTTCGACTAGACTGGGTAATAGCAATCTATGTAAGAAGATATTCCTGTGACACAGTTGACAACATAGTAGGTTAACTTAGACAATCCCAAGGCGAACCTTCTTATTGGTGGGGCACATGCACACCGATAGCGTATACTATCATCTTAACCGAGCCATCATGATGTCAGCAGCAATGATTCTTATCTTAGCTTAGGTACGTAAGTATATAAAATTTATCGGTTATCGCGGCGTTGTAGTGGACCCATGGAGGGGTTATTCTAATGTTAAGGTTCTCGCCATTTGATCTTGCAATTAAAATAACACCACACTGCAGTACTGGCAGAGATATATACTTATTTATGCACGTATATGTATATCTGTATATGTCAAACCATCTATAATCTTAACTTCCACAGTCGAAGAAGTGAGATCGATTCTATATATACGAAATCTATATAATTCAGGTCTTTCAAATGGTAAGCCGTCGGATATAGTATATATCCCCTAGCGAATTCGAAAACATTAGGTCTCGAGATCTATCAACCAAAAGTCAGTTTCCAGCTACAAGGCGAATTAATTAATTAATTATATATCTTAAAAGTATATAAAGAAGAGAAATGGGAAAAAGTAAGGCAAAGAGAAAAAAGACTGTCAAAAGCAAAACGTTAACAGCTATAACCACTACACAGCGTCGACTTGTGCATATCACGGTGTATGCCTATACAGGGGTAGAAAGCGGTGTACGGCAGAAAGAAAAGCACATTGAAGAGGTCAGGCATCTTCTTGGTCAGCAGGTGGAGGAATTGGTGATGAAGGGGAACAGTAAAATATAGCAGGCACAGAAAGGACAATGACGCCAACGCTGCACACGCACAGAAAGTCATTTAAGAACGGTTAATAACGCCACAGGCGGAAGAAACAAGTAAGGCGTCAAATGAAAAACGTTGACATCCTTGCATCATCGATCAAAAAAAGACGTCGATATATGGAAATCGATGTAGGGGCTGGTAGACGGGCGGAAAAGAAACCTTGGGTTTCAATGACAGGTGGATAAACCCCGTACATGAGGTAACAAGAAGATAATAGGGAAGATAGTGTAGGGGACGAAAGAAAAGGAAAGGGGAAAGAAAAATCAATGACAGGACTAAGACATTATCGCCACTTTGCTCTCGTACGTCTTAAGGATCATACTACCGTTCATTCGTCATCTAGTCGTATATGTGGAAAGATTATACATTGGGGAAAGTGTTAGATAGGGAAAAAAAAGAGCAAGAGAAACAAGGGGGGGGAGAAGTAGTGTGCTCCAAATGCGTAAGTAGTCAAGGCGACGATCTGGGAGGTTAAATGATTTTAAGCGCGTCCCTGTTGCTTCCAGAAATCGAGAGAAGCAATTACGTCTTCTCCCCCATCGTCTTCGTAGGCGTATAGGATCTAAAGTCGCCGAGTTAGTACATTCCGCTAATAGGAGCCCGAATTTCAGTTGGATACTTGCCTCTCTGGAACTTTCGTGAAGCATTCGGATGTTCTTTCCCGCAATGATTGAGACCATTCCTCCACTTTCCATGTTCCGGATTTCGATGAAATTAGGCTCAAAAGCCAAAATGTACGGAGGTTGCAGGGCAAATGCGGTGGGCTGGCCCTCCCATTGTATGCTCCAATCTGGGCGAGCTCGCCATCCATTTCGGTTAACGAAGAATGAGAAGTCGCTGTAATTGAGTAAGAACTCTCCGCCATTCAACCGATAGATTGCAATTGGTTTGACGTTTTCGCGTCTTTGTACAAAGTCTAGAGAGGTATCGGCAGGGTCTAGGAGGGTTTGCGTGTCCAAAGTTTCTAGTGACACTACTTCGAATCCCTTTGCACACCCAACGCATAACTTCGATTTGAGGAAGTGTATGGAGGAAGCCTCAGAAGGGATGTAGAATTCCTAGAAGGAAGTATATTAGTATTAAAATGTGCGCAAATAATTTTTGTTGAGAAGAGTTTACCTTAAATAGTTTTAATGCATCCTGGCCGCCAGCCAAGAGCTTTCTAAAAGCGGGTTTGTTGCGTCCCTTTGCAAGGGTATCCATTGGTTCGTAGACCTTAACTGTAGCACTCATGCTGCTGTTCTTGACGCAGCACACAAGAACACGGCCGAGACAGACGCCAGTCTTGAAAAAGTTGACGTGGCCTTGGATACGCTTGTGGCGTTTGCTAGCCATGGCGGGTTCTCCGGGCTCCGTGATTGTCTCGATTGGGAACGAATAGGCTGTCTTTTCGGAGAGAACCAACAGTATCTGGTATTCCTCAAGAACGTCAACCTGAGACACTTGAGGGATATCGATAACCTTCTTAGGAACGCCTTGTGCGGTAGAGCCTGGTCGCCTATCGGAAACGAAGATACCCGTATCCGTGCCGTAGACCAATTTCCGGCCACCATCTGATGAACTATTAGCTGGAGAAGCCAGAAAAAGAGGAAGAAGAAGAAGAAGTGCTGCGTACCCATAGGAACCAAACAGTTGACTTTGTTGGTGGCAAAGTTGAAGAAATCATCACTGAGAACCTCCTTAGTGAAAATGTTACTACGCTCTCGAAGGGCCGTTTGCTGTGCTTCAATGTGCTCCATCCACTTTCGGCGGCCTACAACAGTCGCGGCAAATAGAGACAAAACGTAGCCCCGCTTTCCAAGATGCTGGAATGTTATAGAATAGCCGTTCTTGGCATTAGCATCAGCCTTTTGCTGGTTGCCTGCCTTGGGGAGTAATGATGATGGCGGGCGTTTAATGCCTCTCTCGGGCAAGACTTCGGCCATCTCATTGATAACTAAAAGTTCGAGGGGGATAGGCTGTTCAAATTAGCGGGTAGTTATAGGAATCATGACAACTCTGCGACCACTTACCCTCTTGTAAACTTTATACTGGTCCCGCTTGTTGACAACCTTAATTTTGACCAGAAGAATAGCATGGTCAAACAAAAAGGCCTGGATATCTCCAGTTCCAGTATCAGTGGGACTTCTTTTCAAACTTCCTTTGAAGATGAGCTGCCTTCCTTCCTCCGTAAGTTTTAGATCGACTTTGTCGGCGGGTGCAAATTGAAGTTGCTGGTCCAGCTGCATGAGATTGAAGGTATTCTCCGCCCTTCCGGATTCAACATTGACCTTGCTCAAGCATTCACGGATCATCTCGATGGCCTTAGGCAAATCTTGCTTGTCTGGATTGTCTTCTGCTGTATTCTTCAAAACCGCCTCTAGAAGCAAGGGATATCTTGCAAGACGGGTTGTTGGTTTGGTCAAATAGCCGTTCAGCTCCAACTTTCTTGACTCCTTCATACGTTCAGTTTCCTCGACAAAGCGTGCAAAGGCCTGGTTGCTTGCCTTTTCCCGCTCAAATTCGTATTTCCCATACAATTGGTTGGCGCCATATTTGATGAAAGGATCGAAATGCGGAACGTATTCTAGGAAGATGTCACCAATGTTGTGGATCACGGCGTTGTTTTGTTGTCTCTTAGTCAGGGCTTCTGCGAGTTTGGAGTTCACGCTGTGAACCTCGAGCATATTTGAAAACACCTTTTTGATGAACATTTCTCGCTTGAATTCGACGATAGGTGACGGAGGAACAGTGCTCTTTAGTGGTTTCATCCAGAAATCACGCAAGTATTCCAGATCTTTGACGAAATCGCGTTCAGTGTAGATAACCTCGCAAATGACTTCCTGTCTCTTCTTCTCCGAGTCAGAAACACTTTCAGCAACTTCCTTGGGGACACTATGTATCCACAATTTCTGTTCTTTTTCGTCATTATCATGCAAACTAGACCTGGAGGATTCTCTCTTAAGACCAGGTAGGGGCTGCATATTGAGACGAGCCTGTTGCTCTAATCGACGGGGACAGGCAATCGAATAGCATAGTCGATCTCGAGTACAAGTCGGAGAGTAACATTCCGTCAGCAATGTGAAAACGCCATTGACATCTGTCTTATCTTCATCAACGAGCCTCTCTCGGAACTGATAAACCTCGCTGCCGGAGTCTCGCAGTCGGTGATCGTACGTAACGTCATGAAAGAACTTCTGTGCATCTAGCGCACGTCCTAGGAGGAGAGCCAGGTTCCGGTCGCTAGTTTTGATTATGTACGCGATCATATCGACGGCCTCAGCTCCGGTAAATGCTGACTTATAGGTGAGTTCGTTCTTCATTCTGTCTCCGATTTGTACCCTTTCACGGAAGACATCTGCAACACGAGAAAGCAAGGCAGGATAGACCAGCGGTGCCCTTCGCGACATCGTGAGGATGGTCGACTGCTGGGAAACCATTGTCTGAGCTCGCGATTGGGACGACTGATTCTGTTTAGGCGCCATTGCGGAATCCGGTGTTTGTGAGGTAGGAGTATACGATGTCGGAGTGTAAGATGTCGGGGTAGCGGCCGGTGTGACACTAGAGGTGGTGCTAGCATAACTAGGAGTCCGGGGTTTAACACTACTATTATTTGAGGTGACGGAATTATGTGACATCTGCGACATCTGCGACATTTGAGAGGCAGAGGACATGTGAGACATCTGCGAATCCCTATTCTCCGGTCGGGAGGGAAACGTGCTGCTCGAGCTCCGTTGCGATAGCGCAGGCGACGATCTGTAGGCGTTGGCAGATGATTGCTGAAATTGACTGTCAAACTGCGGTGGGCCTCGACCTTCAGACGCAGACGGGTTGTACGGTTCTTCGCTTGTGTCCCGAGCTCGGAAGGGTATGACACGGCCGCTCATAGTTTGTGCCCTTGAAGCATCTCTAGGGTCGGGCATAGGAGAAGTCATTGACATGGATCGTTCATCGACACGTTCGGGGATATGTCGCCCTTGAGCTGTTTGGCGAGCCATAGGGTTCACGACCTGGTGGGGTGGAGGGCGATGTGGTGGTCCAGAAGGCCCACCCCCAGGCCCCTGATGGAAAGAACTGGGAGGTGGACCATAACTAGCCAAGGACCTGGAACGATTAGGATCATTGTTCATAGCAGGACCCGGATGACCTCCCGGGCCGGAGGGTGGGTAGAAGCGATTGGGAGGGGGACGATTGAAGCTCGGAGGCGGCATACGCTGTTGTTGAACGTACGGGCGTCGTTCCGGTGGAGCTTGTTGGTGGTATTGCTGAGGTTGTGGAGGTCCCTGGTGGTAGCCCTGCGGGTGCTGTGGGGGTGGAGGTCGGCCGTAGCCACCACCGCCACCACCACCACCACCACCATTGGGCATCCCCTGAGGTGCATAGCCGTTGGGAGGTCGCTGATGCTGTCCGGGCGGCGGATATCCATTAGGTTTCTGGTGTTCGTAACCGTCGTTGCTAAAATCAGAAGGCGGTGGCCGTTGCACGTTGCCCATTGTCTGGGAACGTGAGGGTGGCGGCATAGGAGACTGTGAGTTCATGGTTTGTGATCTCCCAGGGGGTGGAGGTCCACCAAAGATGTTGGAAAATGCAGCATCTCGTGCAGACGGCGACGGACCGTTATTGTAAGTTCGACCGTGCTGGGGCTCTGCCATCTTCGTCCTATTCGTTAAGTGCCGATAGGTTGCAAGTTAGCTTGCCAGAAGCCGACTGATAAGCCCCCCTAAAAACACCGTATCGAGAAACAAACAGGCCGACTTTCGGGACTCGGTGAGGGAAAAGACGTACACCTGAGTAAAAGGGTAGGCGTTAGCGCCGGAGATTGTCGATTGTAATTGCCAATTCAGATGTTTCGCATTCAATGGTCGGCTAGATGTCCAGTTTTTGATGGAAGGTTGTCGATTTTTGCCGGACACAGAAGCCTTTGGTCACAGCACCAGCACCACCAGCAATGGTAGTAGCAGTAGAGATAGATCTAGGCGCCAACTGAGAGAGAGGGAGAGAAAGGTCGTGTATTCAGACAATCGGGAAGAGGACGATATAGTACGGGCGGATCCGTTCGTATTCTAGGAATGATAGTAGGGAGCAGTAGTAGTAGCGAGGACGTAGGAGACACCTGGTGCCAGCGAGAGACACAGTTGGTGATGGATAAAAAGACAGTACCGGATCCAGATAACTGCCGGAGATTATTTATTTGATCTTCCCAAGCCACAGATAAAAGTCGAGGGTCTTCAGGGGGGTCCTGTCCGTTTACTTCCAGACCGTCGGTGTTATCGTGACCGGTCGGCCCTTAACTAGCGTGGAGGGTGGATGTGTGGATGTAAGTATATAGGAATAGGTCCAGGCCGAGTACGTGTAACCGAGGCGCTGCAGCGGGCAAGCTTGGAAGCAGGGCAGAGCAGTTCCTGTCTTATCCAAGGCCGGACTAGTCAGGGGCGAGATCGAGATTGGTGAAGCTGAAGATATATATGGGCGATGTCGGCGTCGGTGGAGCGTGGAGAGGTGGTGATGGTGTTTAGGTGAGATGTCCCCTGGATGTTCCTTTTTCTGAAGGAGAGCAGAAGTTGGTGATGTGATTCGATGCCTCAACCACACATTAACACTGCACTGCACCGCAGACAGGTATAGTCGACTACATATTACTCCTGACAGCTTCTCATTCCAGTCCGCCACCAAACATGCCCTAAAAATCCATGCCCTTTGTTGCAAATTAACTAAGCTTGAAGAATTCTAGTTCCAATGGGCAGGTCGATGGAGCAGAAAATATCTTAAGATAGGCGAGTTCGCGAGTAAAAAGCATCGACGGAACCGCCACTTCTTGGCTACAACATGCGATGACTGCTCGCTCGACAAACTACGCAATGCTCGTTTCAGGTTGATTGCGAGACCCCTGTGACATGGCTTCTACCGTATAGATACGCCCTGGCATGATGCTAGATTTTCAAACCTTATAAACTTCGATAAACCATCCGGTTCATATCGTCGCGGCGGGTCAGCCAATGCTATAGCCGGCAAGCTTGGCGGGGATATTCTCTCTTCTGCATCTGCTTCATACTTTCGCTTCGACGTTTCTCAGCCTCCACGGTTAAACAGCAGCGTTAAAACGAGAAAGATTTTTCAAAATAATAATAAAATAACAAGGATAAATTCTCCTATGGGGAATTACTCAACTATCGGTGGTTTAAAACATCATTGCATTGCATTGTCAAGAACGAGATTAACTTGTCCGAGGGGTGGTCACGTGTTTTACGCTACCGGCTTTCCCGGGATGACTTTTAATTATAAAAATCAGCTAGCGTCCTTGAAAGACACCTGGGTATCTATTCAGACAAGGAAGTTAGGCGCAGTTTATAATAAAAATGGATCGATCTATAGGTCTTAAAAAAAAAAGGATCAAATAGTTTGACAGTATACGATCGCAAGGTACCTATATAGATATATCGACATCGAGGTATGTACGTATACACATGATATATCGAGAGCTGCCTGAATTAACTAATCAACTCCGAAAGTTTGAATGATATTGAATTTGCTAATCGAGATTCTGACATCTCTGTATACTATATATACTTATAAACCAGATGAATTCGACGGCTAAGATCTATATCAATGTGTGTAAGGGTACAACCAGCCAGTTAATCTTGATATTGAATTAATTGTACGAAGGCGGAAAAAACAACTGAATCAATACCTTCAATTAGCTATAGTATGTAATAAAAACATAGCTTCTCTCTTGGAGTACTAGGGCAAAGGTCGCGCGGTAGAATTTATCAATACGGATATCCAAGACAACAGTTTTTCATATGTTTGATCCATTTTACACTGACCGATGTCTTGTTACTACAAGTGCTTGGTAATATTAATCAGATAACTTTCTAGCCTTCATCGACTTCAAGTCAATTAAAGAATCGAATCTGCCCGAGAATCATTGAAAAGACCTCCTGATTTTTAACTAACCAAACATTGCAAACATTGGTAGAATTCCCATCGGACCTGGCTTTCCAAAAGCAGTAGATTATTGGACTTATTTAACTATCCTGGGAAGGCATGCAGCCAGTCATTGCATTGGTACTATCCACCATGAGATATATAATCAATCCCCCCGCACATTATATGCACAACGGTGCCAGCTGTAAGAACGCTACGGATCAAGGCATCGACGCAGCCATTGATGCATAGGAAACGCAAATGGGCTTCGGCGTTCTCTTCAGCGTGAGTTGTCTTGCATTGCATCGAGTTTAATGTTCAATTTTGCTTGCCTGATAGTAACCCCTTGCCGTGTTCATATGCACATATGATGCTCCGGACCTGTTGTTGTTAGGCGTATTATGCATGTAGCGTATTGCACCAGATCGTCGACTGCAAGTTAAATCAGTACTTAGAATAAATTAGTATCTACCCCACCTAGTTGCACTAAAATTTAGAATATTACTTGGTTATTCTGGCGTTCGAACGCTAAGATTCATGGAAATATCATTAAATGTACAGGTTTACAGGTTCGGGTACCGTACGATCGAAGAAATTCAATATCGATTGGAAGAAAACCAGGAAATATTTCATGGGAAACTACAATCTATATTATTGAAGAACTCGAGTTCCAAGTTTCGTTTCCAGGCTCCCTCAATCATTAATATGTATGTACATAAACGCTATGAACTATCGTCCTAGAGATACTCTCCATCGATATCACTCAAGTTAACTAATTCGTGATAAATTTAAATGGTCGCTGGAGCATCTGCATCTCGTTATTTTTTTTTAAAAAAAAAAAACTTCTCCACTACTGCAAGGTCTAGGATGAGGCCACTAGCAGATGCATGGTGTCTTTAATAAACAGAGTCATAACTGACACTTCATCCCGAATTACTGTACTGACCATGTCCTGCATATAAACATAGACTTCCTTTGGTGCGCATACGCGAATACGTATGTACCTGTCATCGATGCATCATGTCAATTAGTGAGCTTTGACGAATCATTCCACGAGACAGACATTACGCAAACACATCAAACACCATTGCGATTTGAATTCAGTGATATGCTCACACCCGTCTACGTGTCATTGATCGACGAGCTATGCACGGACTCATGTGGCCACGCGAGCTGCTTGGGCGAAATTTGGACAACATGCAAAGGACTAGATGCCAAACACTTCAAACAATATGGACATCATATCAAGGCATCGCCGTTAATGCGGGTCTCTCCGAATAAAACTTAGGGCTAGTCCGGAGCCGTTTAGGACCTAAAATCTATGATTTAACTAAATGTAAGCCTAGACAGACTCTGTATCGGTATATCTCGCAAGAAAATGGGCAATGAACTAGACTTACTTTGTTACAGCTGTCAGAACCGCTTCATTGATATCTACTAGTTAGATACAATAAGCTAAGGGAAAACTCCCCTTCTGAAAACTAAGACACACGCATCTGCAAGGCCATTTTGGTGAGGCCCTGGCCCAAGGCCGCATATTGGGTATGGGTGTAGTCCCGCAGGCCCGCAGAACAACAGAAACGGATCCAAACCCCTCTATTAGGGTGAGTTGTCATGCATTGATCTATCATTTTACAGGATCGATCCGGGTAGGAGTGGGTAGCAAGGAAAGATAAACACGGTGATGATGTAGTAATGGTGGAGGAGGGAAAGAAAGAAAAAGGAAGTTCGTGAGTCTCTCTACCTTTCCGGAAGCATCCTCAATCGTCCCTCGAGACTAAAGATATATAAGCCTAGCTAGCCCAGCTAGGAGACAATGATCCCCACGAACTCCCCCATTAAACTCACCTCAGTCAGGCTCATTGTTACTTACTTACTTAGTACTTACTTCCCTCCCTTGTGCCTGACTTATTACTACAATTTGTAAACTTATCAAATCAAGTTCTTTGCCTTTTCAAAAAGTTTTTATTCAATCAAACCGGCGTCAGAAAATCACAATGACGACGCAACCAAATTTTGAACAATCCAGCTCCTTTGCAGTAGCAGAAGCCAGTTCGGCCATTCCACGAATTCGTCAACCAAAAACTACTAAAACAAAAAAGCGGAAACAATGGAACCCTATCTGGAAGCTCGTGTTACAATTTTCACTTGCAGTGATTTGGTACGGGTTATGTGAACTTTACCAAGAATATGAAACGAAATTATGCCTTGATCTTGACAACGAGGTAAGCTACATATATGCTAGGGTCTATGTGATCTGAGTTCCCTTCCTACGCCAACTCCAAGTACCTCTGGATCCTCTATAAACATCCAGATATATGGATATAAATATTAAATGCGTTAAACTTTAGATCTATAGAACTATAGAACTTTGCTGATATGCTCTCCGGAGTAACATAGAAACATCACCATACCAGCGAATGCAGGGACCTTTTAAAAAAATACTACTCCGACACAAGTAGTAGATTTAGAATTACCGAATGGGCCCGAAGTACCTCCATTTTCGGATCTCAACTTCCTTGGTGTACGCTCCCAAATTGCTTTTTATTTCTCGATACTTAACGGTTCATGCTCCTAAATTAATACTGCTTTATCTGTGCTTCAGACATTACCACCTTGATAAATATCGTGGCTAAATCTTTTAGTCACCCGGAATATAAGAGATTAATTGCTTTGATTAGTCAAGCCTGTCTTGTGTATCAAATTGTATTCCTTCCAATGGAGTATCATCGGTTTATAGAAGATCAAACCCTCAAAGACTTGGAGACTGAGGAGAATAATACCACGGATATTACAGCACCCAGCTACAGATCGTTGTACCCATATGGCGTGGATTTGAATGCTGAGAAGAAAACCAGGGAACCGGAGCCTCAGCAGCAGCTAGAACCGGGGCCTCAGCAGCATCCAGAACCGGAGCCTCAGCAGCAGCTAGAGCCAGAACCAACTCAGCAGCTACTAGAACCTCAGGAGCAACAAGAACTTGCGGGACCAATTTTGGTGTCGGGAAGCTCGAAGCAGCCCGGTCGAGTAACCAGGTCAAAATCACACAAGAACCCATCACAGGGGCGGACAGAAGCAGGTTCAAGACCTCGGAGGCATTCGGACCTGTCGTATGGCAATGCAGACCAGAGCTTGAATTCTAGGTCTTTTCAGGAAGACCAGACGGATGTATCAAGAAAGAAGAAAAAGAACAAGTAGAGTCTCCCATCCTTTGCAGATAAAAATTTTGTTTGGCGGCCCGAGGAATTCCAGTGCCGCTAATTCCGACCTCAAATAAACAGCGGTGGACCCTTGTCGAAATTGAAGAACATCTTTAAGCAAAAATCCACCAAGTAAATCTTAAGATTGGAATCAAAAGTACGATATCGCGACGTGTAGGTCAAGAGTATGTATGTCAAAATGTACCAGCATCATGCACTATTGTGTTCGGATTTATCAAAATTCAGTGGCTTACCATTTTAGTACGAACATTCATGTATGATACATACATAGCTAGATAGTGCTACGGAGACACTGATGCAATTGCAATCCTCTAGCTAGTCTGGAAATATCCAAATTTGCCTGCTTGTATCATACCTAGCCTTTATATCATATGGCTATCCTCCGTTTACATTTTCAAGATTCGAATATATATTCTGTTTTGTTGGATTTTTTTATCTGACAACTCTTTTCTGATAATACCTCAGCATCGAGACTGACGATATAATACCCAAATTGCTATATTTGAGGGTATCTGTGGATAATGATATAATTGCATATTTGCAAGTTGAATTCATGAATACTTTAAGCCTGTCGACGTCATGCATCACAAACACTTAACTATCAGCTGTGTGGTTACATAAAGTACCCACTCAAGTTAATTAGCAAGCAAGTCTGGGAACCAGACCAGTCACGTCTGGGCTTGTTTCCTATATACGTGTACTAGTCTCATTCCAGGCATATGACTCGCGATGACCAACTAGATTTTAATGCTAATCAAAGATAACGTGACATACATAGGTTATAAAGTAAAGAAGATATATTCATGATACAATGCCTTTACCGGTGATCCCAATCAATGCTTTTCTTGAGTCTCGTTTTCAAATTTAAAACAAAGACGGAGTACCAGCAGTCCATCCATCCTCAAACTCAGTCGAGTTAACATACCCATCACCCAAGGACCTCCTTGCAAGAGCACATCCACTCAAACAGACGGGCCTATTGCAGCAAGTACTAATAGCGCATACCTCTCCCTGTGCGCACTCTGCGTTAGATGAACATCCCGCAAGCGGTGCACAGGGAACATTCGGTCCGCAGAATCCATTACCACTGGCTTCCCTAAAACAGAAACAAGCAACGCCACAACCGTTAAGACTACCGCAAGATGAACCATTGCAAGCCTCAACAGAGCATTGACCGTTGCTGCAGATTCCGGAAGCGCACTGTAAATAATACTATCAGCATACTTCCCATAACTAGATGAACTCTCCCGTATAGAAAGGTTTAGAAATGTAACATACCTTGTTCCCACATCCACCACAATTATTCGGATCACTTAGAGCATCCTGGCAAGGTCCTTTGTTACAACTGATCTGACCGGGTCCGCACTCCACGTCCTGTTTACAATAGTCACAAAGCTTCTCTCCCAAATAAGCTCCAACTCCAGCACACAAATACTCACTAAACTTCGAAGCGCCCAATCTGCCACCAATAAAAACGCCTAATAAAGTTGTAGGAACTCCAACTTCAGGCCCGAAAACATTTCCAAGAAACCCGATAGCACCACCGACTTGTCTTCCAATCAACCCACCAACTTGTACACCAATACCATTGCACAGAGCTTTACCAGCCGCACCAGCAAAGATAAGGCTGAACCGACTGTTACAGAAGAATTGAACGGCATCACAGACGGGGCCCGATTGTCTTGACATCAACAAGTTATGTCTCTTCGATACCCCATTTTCTTCCAGAACAGTTCCAACAACCGAGATCTGACAGTTTCCCGCAAACGCCTCAAACGTGCCGTTTTGATAGATAACAAGTGTATTACCAGCGTTATCAGATATAGCAATACGATCTTCTCGAGACAAATCGAGAAAGAAAGGTCCATTAGTAGGATCCTGCAAGACAACCTGGTTACCTTCATACTGCTGGTATGAAAGGCCGCCGTTTTGTTGAGAGAATGCATCGTCGCTTTGACCGATCACTGAACCTGTTGGCGTGGACCTTGGACAACCTTCAGGAGATACGACGAAGACAGCGTTGATGATATCGCTAGTCGTAGGTGTAGGTGGGGATACCGTGGTAGTCACACGAGTTACTCCTATGCATGCGCAGGCACTAGAGTATCTAGCAGAACCTGAGCAAACAGAGGCATAGCTTGGAATCGCGGTTGGGTTGGAGGTTTCGAGGTAGGCTGTAGCTGTAGTGATGGTGGTTCCACCAGTAGTAATAGTCGTGGTGCTGATTATGACGAGTCAGCAATGTCCTTTTTATAACCATGAACATATATATATTCTATCTAAATATCTAGATATATAAAGAACAAGAGATATACCTCGTCCTTTGTCGAACCGTAGCACTAAAGAAGGAAGAACAGTCTGCAGTTCCAGATCTGGTCGGAAATGCGGAAGCTCTCACGGCTAGGCAAAACAAAACCTATTAGCATCAATGCTTCTCATCAAGTCACCATCTTCTTGCATATACAAATAAACTTACCTCTCAAGCAATTATCCGCCGCACAACCAGCCAAAGCCAGATCAGCGGCATACAAAGCGCCGGTTAAAACGAGAACACTCGTGAATCGCATGATAAAAGAAAGGGCAGTCTACCGCCAACTTAATTCAATATAAGAGTATGTTAAGTGAATATAGTACTAGAATTATATTATATAGATAGAGTTATACCGAAAAGCTGATTAAAAGAACAAGAAATCCCAAAACCAGTGACACCATCATCTTATATATACGTACAGATATATTCGCAATACGCACAATGAGGCTTTTCAGTTTTGGAACCTCGATTGCAATATTACGATAGGCAGCGCAAGAATCCTCCCAAACTGGATCCTCGACAGCCGCAGCAGTCTTTCCGTGAATAATACGTAACCCGAATACCATGCATGTGCAACCTAGCAGCCTGTCGAACCTTTGAGCACCTTAATCCCTGGCCTGGACAAACCAATTAGTTACCGGCTGGCGCATTAGATCTGATGGTGAACCAAAATCCCATAACATTGCGGCTGATTTCTAACCATGCCTTGAGGGCAAGCATATCCCAAAGAACATAGTATGTTCTTCCGTGTGTCTGGGTATGAGAGCGCACTGGTATACCCCAGTCTTCAAAATGATATCAATTTCAAATAACCTAGCTTAGTACAAGCCATACCCGTAGGAAATCCCATGGCCTAAGAATACTACATAGTGCAGTAGGAGAAATTCCGAATGGGGAAGTATATACGTGTGTACCTATATCCAACATGTAACATACGTACATGTGCATATGCACAATTCCCTGACTTACGGACTAAGATTCTACGAAATCTATCATGGGAAGCCACGGTATGTTAAACATCCGTTTTAAATTTAACAAGATAAATTTACTAATAAATTTCTGGGCCGCTGGGTCGAACTCCTAAAAAGGGCCTCGCAGCTAAATTACGAGCCTCCGAAGGCCACCTATAAGTAATATTACTAAACCCCGGATTTTGATTCCTCAAGTTCCTCACCGTCTCAGCCGTACCAGTACTACCACACAGTTCGTTATAATCACCCGGTACCCGAGGATTTAAACTTCAATGGATTTTGTTATAAACATGCAGGCATTCAATACCCTTGAAAAAAAAAACGCAAGGAGTTATAAAATCTAGAAATAGCTCTCGGATATCCCGGCGTGTAGTCAAGAGCTTTCTAACAGGCGGCTTTCGAATGAATGATGTCCTCGTAAGTCAAGTAACTGCATGATTAGCCTCGAGACCCCGCATGATCATTCATAGTTATAACCTCAGTATTCCTTTCCCTTTCAATTCTTTGCCCTAGAAGAAACCTAAAGTGCCCTGATAATCGATCGATCGACCAACCGTTTAGACGAGGCCCGATGGATTACACTAATACAGAAATAAAACTAATATTAAGCCCTAGGTAACGGTCCGCGTGAATAAGCCTTGCCCGCCGCCTGTAAGTTCGAGTTACTGAATATCCTGATTGGATAGGCAGTATCGGACTTTCAGAGGGAACTCTCTGCAGGGGTTATGGGTGTACATACGTGCAGGGTCAGCCAAGATTGGGGTTAAGCTCAGGCTGCAGGCTCTGGGCATGTCCGATGCATCGATTGCGTAGACTTCACAGCTTTGGTTACACACAAAGCCAAAGGAACTTGCCGTTTAGTAACTGCGGAGCCGCTGTTTCCCTGGCCTGGTCAGCTAAGGTGCAGAAGGTATACGCAACAGAAGAATGAAACAGGAACTGGGTGCTAAAATGCGGGGAAGGCCGACGTTACTCAAGATTCTAGAATTTCAGTCACATAAAATATTAGTATCGGAAATTCTTAATGCTCGTCATGACTTAACATTACGAGTAAAGACTAAGGCTTCGCTCCGGTAAGCCTAGGATTAATATATGCAATATCAAAATTGAAGTTCTAAAAAAGTATCCCAGCAGGCTAGAAATTTAAAAGAAACCAGCACAGGCTGACGTACCCCAGTCCATATCTCCGGATGCGCAAGCCGGGGTTCATGAGAATTTTTCTCCCATGCATATTGGGCTGATAATCCTTTGGTTTGCAGCCTTTTAATTAATTTCCAGCACGGTTGTTGGATCCATGGATCCATGGATCGATTGACCGTGTTTGTGGTACGAGTTTGGACTGAGCGAAGAAACCATGCTTTTAATTTCTAGAACCTCCCCAACTGGAATCTTTTTAGGCGATATCGACAGATTAGCCTACGCCAATTGCGATTGTGAAACTCGAAAGACTTTTAAGTATAAGCGACTACGTCGGTTATCCTTACAGTAGAACGTTTACATATAAATTTCAGGACTTGCGCCAGGTTAGAATGCAACGTCAACGCAGTATGCTGGAGAGCTCGAGGCCGCAGCATTTGGAGCTGCTTCTTGAATCACTAAAACCGAGAGATCGCGTATGAATGCATTGAGGCCAATGGATCTGCGATTTTTTGAGAATACTCTCAATCCCCACTCAATTCCCGATAGTAGCAAGCATGGCACTTCTCCAACATACCTAGTGGGGGGCGTCCTAGATTCATTTGGGCACCAATATCGAAATCAGCTTCTAGTGCTCCGAAGCATAGCGAAGTCAGTATATAACTAGCACACGGCCAAGGGCCAAATAGAACCCCGAAGAATCATCAGACTGCTATGTAGGCCTTGCGAGTAGAGAAAAAAGTATGGGCGAAACTGCCTGGACCTGAAATCATTGCTAGAAAGCCCACAATAAGATAACTGTCGTCAAACCCAATGTATATTCCCCAAGATTAAACGAAACACGCTTCTATGATGCTAATAATTCCAAGTAATGATACAAAACCTTACCCAAGAAGGTAAGACGGCTGAGACTCTCCTTCCTGCCACTATACACCTGACTAATTTTCTCGTATCGTAGGTCAAAGGATGGGGGCGTTTAGCCGCTTCCTTTGGTGTTCAAGATCAGTGCGACAATGAGACTATCATATGATACAAAGTCAGCTATTTTGTGAAAATGAACCAGGTTTGATTGTCAGCAAGACTTACCCGTATAAACCCAAAACTTCAGCGAAAATTAAAATCAGCACCTAGACGGCACGTTAGCATCGGGGAGCCACTTTCTTGCCACCTGGCCGATAAACCCGCGAACTTACCATCCCAACATACACCCTGCTCTGCGATAAGTACGCTCTTACACCCTAAACACAAAAGCCAGTCAGTATCGGTTTCTTAGACAACCGAATGAACCCGCCGCAAAAACCTACCGCATCTCCAACCTTGCCAATCGCATACCCCGCACCCAAGCTTGAAAGCCCCACACTCAATCCCGCCGCTAAATGTAAAAACCCCTTAAACAAACTATAGCTTAAAGTAGGGTCCAAATCGCTGGCGATTAAGACCGATACCACTAGAGAATAAACCCCCAGAATACCGGACATGACGACGGGAATTAGGGACTTCATAATGAGTTCCGGTCGAAAGATACCGACACCGGAGATACCGATTCCGGACTTGGCGGTACCGTAGGCTGCGCCGGCGCCTGTGTAGGAGGAAATAGTTAGATGTTGGACCCTCCGTGAAGGCTAGTAAGGGGGTGCTTGAGCATACATCCGAATACCATCTACAGTCGTACCACGGTTTCTATCAGCTGTCTATACCCCGTAGTACCATGCCCAGACAACTATCGAGTGGATAACCTACAGCAAAGGCAACTCCGGCCTAGTCCAGCACAGCAAGTCAGCCGATCATTCATTAACAGCATGTATGTGCCCAGAGCAGAAGGATTATATATATACCATGCCAAAGAACGGCGCAAACGCTGGTGTAAATTGATTGTGGTCCGACATTGTTTATGATGTTGTATTATAACTGTCGGGGTGTGGTGAACGCCCTAGTATCTACGAGGGTACTCCGAAGACGAAGGACGCGAAGTTGAGGTTGGTAGCGTTGGTTACGACGATGATGTAGTTCTTGGAAGTGCACACGTTTGACCGTGTTGGTTACGAACATCGCGCCAAGGCCACAACACATTCCCATTCAAGGCGACAGGGTCTCCAGCCTCGACAGATTTTGCGGTAGCGGGCGGGATAGCGACTGCGCGCACAGCGTCGACTCTCTAGCCCTCAAGACTACGATAGAATTTATCTTCCCTAACAACCCCAATATATTTTAAATACGTAGTCTAAAGCGTCGTCTTTACAGAATCCCTGAATCCTAACTACCATCTACTACATACCAAACCCCACAAGGATACCAGGCCAGGTATATACACGAACTTCAGAGTAGGCATAATATGGATACAATCTTTGACCAACTAATCTACGATCAGTATCTAGATCAATTACGTAGTACGCTAGGACCAAGATCCAATATCTGAGATTCGAGAACACCACTGCCAGGGACTCCAAAAGTATGGCGTACAGATCCGTACGGACTGCCAGATGACCCGGCCGGCCTTCACATGGCCACGGATAAGGACCCACCTCATTGCATACTTCAAGCAGGTCCCACGGTTTTACAAACATATACTAGTTAGCCACCAGGACCAGATGCCAATATCAGAAGTTACGTCGGCATGGAGCTCGTGCAGCGGAAAAATCAAGTTTGATATTGCAAGTACTTGCTTTCAATCGGCCCAAATTACCACAAGCTCGAGTCAGCGAGCTCTTGTCCCAGGGAGGGGCCTAATTCCCTAAAAGCCACCCGTCCAACATCGATTCTGTCTTTGGCGCTGTCCTAGCTGGAAGAATGCTAGCTTGCACGGGACGGAAAATAAAGAAGAGCAAACGACGCTATTATGCAAGGGTGCCCTCTCCTCAAACAAAGGCTCTGACGCCCGGTACCTGTCCCGATGATATAACCGTCTACTATAGCTGAAGCTACCTAGTGTTCAGATACACACCAGCCTAAACATGGAATTTGTACAATGCAGCCCTGTTTTTCTTATAACTCCCTCATTCCCCTTTCATATTCCGATGCAATGCCTCTGTCTCTCTCCCCCATCACCACTTCTTCTTCTCTCGCGCCTCGTATATAAATATATGCTTTCCATGGTGCCATTTTAACCTCCTCCTCCAGGTGTTAAACTTGCCGGCCGGTGAAATAAATATCCTTTCAAGTCTGTTCCAGGAACAGACTTTCCAACCAACCACGCCATCCAATCCAAAGTTTCGGCTGAATTTTCGCCAACCAGGCATTTTAAACTCGACCGTCAGAAACCTCTTTTCCGTGTATAGTATCTGGGTGTTTCAGCCATCACGGTGTCTCTAAGCTTAAAACGAACTCATTGCGACGGCGACGGACCATATGGCCGTACTTCTACGACTGCCTGCAAAATCCACAAGCCGTCTGCTTTAGATTCCGATAACTGTGCATGTTCCGTCGCCGCTGCAGCACCTGCAGGAATAGATATTAACTCAAACAGCCCATTCGCCCGCCCTCCTCTTCCTCCTTTCTTCGAAATGACTTCCACTGCTTCGAGTCCCCTACCCCTCTCCGGCTTTCTGCCTGTCGCCTCAACCCACGTCCTCCAGTCGCAGCGCCCGCAATCGAATAAGCTTAGCCCCTCATCGATTCCGAACTCTAGCGGCGCCGCCGGATACTCTGACATCCCAAAATCCGCTGCAACATCGCCCAACAACACGCCGTTTCAGGGACCTGGTTTCCTTTCAAACAGCGGTAGCAATCAAAGCAACATCCAATCTCCAACTCCAAATTTCTTCATGTCCAACCCGCTGGTACTGTCCCCGCAGGTCAGCACCAACTGCAGCGCCGCCCTGCGCGATTTCCACCTGTCGGATTCGCATTCTGGCCATAACTCGCCCGCCGCGAGCTCAGATACCTATTTCGATGAAGACGATATGGAAATTGATATGACAATCGAGGATCCGTTTGGCCGAAATAAGTATAAAACCACCTCCCCAAACCGAATCTCGTGCTTTTATATTACCACGTGCGATTTTTCTCTCGTGGTTGGCAGAAACGTTTGTTATCGGACGTTTACATCATTCGTGCGATCATGCGACACCAAAACCACAAGCTAACCACAAAACTCTCCGCAATTCACAGGATGAATCCATCGCCGCCATCCCACGCCACAACTGGAAATATAAACGAGGCGCCGCAAAAGATCAAATCTATAGTCAGTGCTAGAAATACTGCGGAGACAAGAAATGCATGCCCAACGCTCCATGCACATCAATTCGAACTTCTACGGACGTTAGGTACTGGGACATTCGCTAGAGTTTGGCTAGTTAGGCCGAAGCGGGAATACAGAACTTCAGGGACGGAATTCTATGCACTAAAAGTGCTCAAGAAGAAAGATGGTAAGGTTTTACGCATTGCATTAGTCAACACGCTGGATAAAACTAACTATGGACGATATAGTGGTCAAGCTCAAACAGGTTGAGCATGTGCTCAATGAACGCATGCTGCTGAGTGTTTCACGGCCGCAGCCGTTCATCGTTGACCTATTTGCCTCCTGGTCGGACCGAGAGAATTTATACATGCTAGTAAGTCCATTTTGGAGCCTCCTACGATTTCTCACTAGAAAGTTGTTAATTAATGTTGTCTCTGTAGCTGGAGTACTCACCCGGCGGCGAAGTTTTCACCTACCTCCGAAAGATGCGCCGGTTCAACCAGGTTCAAACGCAATTTTACATTGCATCAGTCACACTTATTTTAGAGTTTTTGCACGACCGTGGAATCGTCTACCGTGACCTAAAGCCTGAAAACATCTTGTTGGATGCAAGAGGCCACGTGAAGTAAGCCAGGCCTTTTCTCGAAACATAAAATTAAAATATCTAACCGAGAACGAAACAGGCTGGTTGATTTTGGGTTTGCAAAGAGAATCGGCTCTCAAGAAACCTATACTCTATGGTATGTGCCCGTTGCCCGATTCTTAATCCCCCAAAAAGAGTCTAACCATAGTCATCTGTAGCGGTACACCCGAATACCTCTCCCCAGAGGTAATCCAATCTCGAGGTCACACCACGGCTGTCGATTGGTGGGCCCTCGGCATTCTTACATATGAATTCCTTTGCGGTTTCCCGCCGTTTTACGATAACTCCCCGTTCGCTATTTATGAAAAGATTGTTCAGGGGCGGATATCTTTTCCGGCATCATTAGACGAAACCACTAGAGATTTTGTTAGTAGGTTGTGTGAGGCAGATCTTTCAAGCCGATTGGGGAACTTGGTCAATGGTGCTAGAGACGTCAAGAACCATCCATTCTTCTTTGGCATTGATTGGAAAGCTTTGGGGGAGCAGAAGATGAATGGGCCGTTGGTACCTGGTAAGCTCCTTTTCAGTCGATTTTAATGGGTTGGCTTGCTAAATATCGATGCAGAGTTGTCGTTTCCCGGTGATACAAGGTACTTCGACGAATATCCACACCCGTCGCCAGATTTTGAACCCTATAAACCGGAATCACACCCACAGGAAGAGAACTTTTTCAGAGATTTTTAAAAGCTGCACGGAGGAGGAAGGTTAATGTTGGATGAGTTATAATTTTGAGGCCATATATAAATGGGCCCAAATTAACGGTAATGAAGTGCACGGAGGAATGAACAAACAGACAACGAAACGAACGACCTATATTTATAATCTCCCTTATCTTCTTCTCTACTTTCGAAATTACAAATTGTGGGCTGGCTGGCTGGCGGGCAAAGCAACTTTTTTTCCTCTCGGTTTCTTCTTTCTCTTTTTCGTTCCCTAGAAAAGGGGTGGTATTCGTTTTGTAGGAATCTTCTCACGGCTTTCCTTCTTCTATCATAATATTTTTTTTATCTTTATTTTTATTTCCATTTTTCCATTTTCCCCCAAAGATATCCCATTCCTTATGCGCGGTTGAGGAGTTTGAACACCCTTTATTGTATTTATTTCTTGTATTTAGGAACTCTTTTTTTGGCGCCAATGGGAGAGGTATTTTATTTTGTTTTCCATGCTACTAATCGGAGGTTTGATGTTATAATAATACACCATTGGTTGAGCTTGATTTATGTTAGGTAGTACTTAGAGAGCAGTCCTTTGTCAAAATATCCATACCATTTGAAATCTATTGTCATGCTGTCGATCTTCTCGTCTAAAATTATAACCAAGGCTACATACTATGTTTTGCTCAAAACTTGATTATTCACCATAACTTTCACTGGCCGGGGGCGCTTGATCAATTGAGTTCACCAAACAACCCATATTTACAAATTTACCTGTAAGTATTCACCTAGGTCGAAGATTCCAGCAATTGGTCTGTTGCGATATTAGCACGCAATGAAATAGTATACCTTTCAGGCTAGCAAGATCAATATATTGCCCTTATCCTTTTGTTTTTTTAATGATTCAAAAACGGATACGTTCGGAAGGTTAACGGTTAAGCGAAATGGTGAGAGCATGCATGTCTGTATTGCGGTTAGCCACCCAAATCTAATATTGTTAGCTCTTTTGTGCATGTTCCCACCCGCTAAACGGGCCTTATCTACATTGGATTAATGCATAGATGAGGCAAACAAGCAGAGTTCCGAATTTATGTTTAGGATACTTCGATATGTAGGTGCCCCGTAGCTTCTGGTATACCGTAAAGAGACGGCTTGCATGGAGATGACCTAGAGGGCCTGTATCAGACTCGACGGGTAGTTCGTTCCGACTGAAATAAGGTAAACATTATCAATGTATCCACTTATATCCCTTGCGTTAGCACAGAAGTCCGCCAGAAGCTCGTATGACCGATCGGTTTGATCAATTGAAGCATCCTTCAGACGAGTCCGGCCCGGTGAACGCGATGTGCTAAGTTATTGCAGTACTTGCAATAGGAAACTATCGAATTATTCGGTGTTATAAATAGCTGAGTGGGTATAAGCTTGGATAAGTTCTTTCTGATACACAAAATATACCGTCGTCCTTATATTAGGCTATTTTATATTAGCTAATTCGCTGGTGCCCGCATATGTAAGTATTTATTACAGATACATCGAGTTTAAAGGTGACCCAGCCAAGATTGAAAATACACAAACCAAACCACAATCTGTGGCTGCATTGGCGAATCGAATCACTCGCAATTGACACAGGTGGGTCCTCGGATGAGCCCCACATTTGGCTTCCCTGCATGTGAAAGACAAGGGGCCCCAATAATGCGGGGAAGGCACCTTCCAGCTTTTTGGATTTCCCCCCATCAAGCCGTCGCACAAAAGGGCTTTGAATGGAAATTTAGCCCAACCTAGCGTTAACTCAGGGAAGGGAGAAAAAGCAGAACCATAAAGTTAGTGGTTACGTCTTAGTGTTTTCCCGATTTAGAAGGACAGAAAGGGCCAGGAGGTTAGGAATTCATGTGTTATATGGATCAGATGGTGATATATAACTTCGTCCTAACCTAGGCATCGGGTCTGTGAGACGATCGGTACCTTTGTTAGCTTGATTCGTACGCGGCATTATTATCAGGGAGAATGCTGATATTAAAAATGAATCTTCGACTAGATTGATGATACACAAAACTCACGGTAATACTCGAAGCATCTGCAGTAGCTGCAGAGACAAGTTCGAATCAACGTTTGGCTACAAGATAAGAGGCGATTCGGCTAATTAAATCCCCCCACGATCCCACTCCGACGGCGCGAGATGCTCTCCACCAGAATATCCCGAAGGCTACCGCGGGTGTTCCCTCGTCCAGATAAATTGATACAATCCCGAACGCTTACGATACAGTCCAAAGTCGCTGGACCGCTTGAAGTATGTACAGCCGATGGCTTCGGAACTCGAGCTTCCCAATGATAAATTTCATGAATCGGTGCCGTAAAAAGTACAACAAAGTCAACACTAACTAACAACTCCAGTAGCCGCCGCTCATATACGATACATGCCATGGATATCTAAGTAAGATTGTTTCAAAGCATGGCGATAGAACCGCGTACGACTTCATATTCCCTAAATTGAACATTCAAACTTTCATAAACTAGCACTGACAAGAAAAATTAATATTAATCCAGTGTCGTCTCCTCCCACCAATCCATCCGCCTGACCTACAACGACCTTGATATCGCCTCGACCCGTCTCGCCCACGGTCTAGCCTCTCTAGGCGTGAAGCAAGGTTCCCGCGTCACCGTCTCATTAGGCAACACCGCTGAATTTGCAATTCTTCATTACGCCGTCTTTAAACTCGGTGCCATATTAGTGCCTCTAAATCCAGCATTTACTAGTTCTCAAGTAAAGTCGGCATTAAACCATTTGGAAAGCGAGCATTTCATTATTTCGGCGGAGACAAACTTGCCGTTTAAGCCGCCTAAGAGTAATGTTGATCTACTCAAGGACATTGTGCCGGGGTTCGAGGGAAGGGGGTATAATGGTGGCGGAAGGGTGAAGAGTGAAGCTGCACCCGTGAGTATTCTGGATAAAATAAATACGAGACAATGTATTAACGAATATAGTCGCTTCGGAATGTAATCGTCATTAACAACTCGGCCGGCCGTATCTCAAATGATATATTCTCGCACTTCTCGTCCTACCACGATATATTTCAATCCGTATCCTCGAACCCACCGGCACTGGATATCGATGTAAAACCAGATGATATTTGTAATATCCAACTCACTAGCGGGACCACATCAATGCCAAAAGCTGCATCATTAACACATATTAACATCCTAAATAATGGGAAGTTTATTGGCGATAGGATGGGACTGACAGAGGATGATGTGGTGGTTTGTCCGCCACCATTGTTTCATTGGTATACATACATAATACCCTCTTTTCTAAAATGCTTACATATGGAATACATGATTCGGGATACTGATCAGGAATTCTTAGTTTTGGCTGCGTCCTTGGATACTCAGCTTGCATGACCCACGGTTCCACGATAGTCTTCCCGTCAGAAGCATTCGATCCCAGAAAGGCTTTGGAATCTGTACAAGTCGAGCGAGCAACAGCACTATACGGCGTCCCAACAATGTACATTGCCTACCTAGAGCTACTGAAACATGGCAAAGTAGATAGAAAAGGGTTCGAGAGATTACGGACAGGTATTGCAGCTGGATCAACTGTTCCAATCGAGTTAATGAAAAAATTGCATCGGGACCTGAATTTAACAGATCTGAGTATGATACCTGATTGCAAGCGAATAAAAGACTGGTATTTTTGCTGATGATGATAGCTATTTGTTACGGTATGACGGAGACTTCGCCGGTTTCTGCTATGACTTTCCCGGATGATCGTATGTATCATATCTAATTCCTGATAGCATGCCTAGAGTTGGGCTGAGTCAAACTAATGAGAGTTTTAGCAATCGACAAGCGAACAAGCACTGTTGGTAGGGTTATGCCACATACACAAGCAAAGATTGTGGATATCCATGACCGAACTAAGATATTGCCTATCGGCGAGAGAGGCGAGTTGGCTACAGCAGGTTATCTGGTATGTTCCCTGCCATTTAAATCTGGTTAATAGCTTAGATAAGGACTAATAAGGTCCCATGTGATATAGCTACAAAAGTTCTATTGGGGTGACCCAGAAAGGACAGCAGAAGTCATGATTGAAGACGATGAAGGTGTCAGGTGGATGTATACAGGTGACGAAGCAGAAATGGACGAAGAAGGGTATATTAAAATTACAGGCAGGATTAAAGATTTAATTATTCGCGGCGGAGAGAATATCCGTAAGTAAAAGGCTTTAGAAAGTTCTGTCGTTTGATGTTTACTAATCTAATTTCGTATGATAAAAAAAGACCCACTAGATATCGAGAACGTCTTATTCGAACACCCCGCTGTTGCAGAAGTTTCGGTTGTAGGGGTGCCAGACGAGAAATATGGAGAGTGTGTGGCAGCGTTTATTGGACCAAGCGAGGGGATGAGTATCAGTAAAGATGAAGCTAGGGAGTGGGTTAGGGGTAAGCTAGCTAGACATCTGGTGCCTAGATACATCTTCTGGATCGAAGATTTGGAAGGAGGAGTTCTGCCAAAGGTAGGTCATATGTCAGCTCTAAGACAGGGCATATCAAGGGATTCAGATTAAATGCATATGCTGACGAGTAGAGTAGACGGCTAGTGGGAAGATTCAGAAATTTAAGTTAGTCGAAGAGGGGAAGCGGATGTTGGAGGAGGAGGGCCGGGTCGATTAGCGGGGTATAGTATGCAGACCCTTGCAGTCTGATCCAAACAGCTTAAGTTCTCGATAGAATATGCCTGCTGGTAAGTAATCGGTACATATCATATACTACCGGTCGGCGCCTCTTCCTCAGAACCCATAAATTACAAATAAGAGGAATCTAAACTTTCTTGTATCAGAATTTTAAATTCCCTTCCTTCAAGCCCCGCTTTTTTTGGTCGGTTTATTTATTTATTTCTTTCTCTCTCTCGTTTTGACAATTTATTCGGTTGCACATGACATAGATATAAGGACTTTGGCTCGAGATTGAATGTCAAAGCTCGGGAAGACGAGAAACTAAGTATTTATATACGCTGCAGCCGCAAATTAAAATGAACGTGTGTATGAGGACCAATCGAAACTAGCTCCCAAGTAGCTATTATATAGTTAATAAGCTTCAGCCCCGCCCTGGTTATGGATGACCTCAAGCGGGGTTGACGTATACATGTAAGTACATGCATGCATGGTGCCAGTGACTTCAGGCACCTTTTGTAGTCCGCGACCATACTAGCCTGAATCGGTTCGCGAGATCATTCCACCCATAGACACTTGGTGCTGAAGTTGGCTATAACTCCCAGTTAGTTGGATTATAATTAGATGGCACAGCGAGGCAATTGATGATCTTGATAGTATTCTTGGACAGCGCAATTCAACCAATTTCGATATAGATTAATTCAGTCGGCATACGGTCTCACAGTGTTCTTTCTATCGTCTTTTGCAATTCTTTGTCCTTCCCTCTGATTCCTTTACCCCTGGGCCCTTTAACGAGCTAGCCCTTAAGCTTAGAGCGTAGCATGCCCAAGCTATTAAAAATTATAAGCGTATAAGATTGCAATTAATCAATTGACTGTGACCAGACTTCATGTCAATATAAAATATCTATTGCAATGAGTGGCTGACTTATGCACACTGCCAACTTGCAACACCGTTACACCCCTGTTTCCGTCCTCTCCGAATTCTTTCTTCAATTCGACATCAACGGCAGCAACAACGCAGCACCAACCAAGCTCCCTCACACAAAAACCTCACCGCACTGTAGATTGCATCGCATATCATCATCATCACCACCATCGATATGATCATCATCTACTCCGTCTAACCAATCAATTGCACATTCTCAACGCGTTCCAACCTGTCCAAGCTTCATCAGGGTCCCCTCTAAACCTCTCTTTCTCCAAAGTCTCTTCGCTAACAAGTTCCAAGCTGTTCTGTGCTATCAAAAGCTCTTGAAACGACACTTTTGATACAAGCTGTACAGTGTGGTTTCCCTGCTGTTTCCGTTTCCGACCTGTTTTGACTTTGCAACAATTTCAACACATTATACTCACTTCCAACGCTCTGTTGCAACGGTTCTTCCACTTCCTCCCTTCCCACTTCTCTCACGCCATCTCCATTTATCTCCTCTAGCTCTTCAAACCAACCAAACAACAAACCAGCCTCGACGCCAGACGCCAGTATCCAACCGAATATCTAGCCAGCCAACCATCCAGCCGACCATTAATCGCGTCAAGCAACAAGGTAAAACATAATCTGAGCCGCCCAACACTCACGTCAGTGCATCCATGAGAACGATCTCGAACTGACTAGTATTCTGTTAGTATCTAGATCTTTGTTCCTGGCTCTCTTAATATCTGTTGCCTTCTGAGTCAATCTTTGGTTCTCTTTGTCTCATCTGCCTAGTTTTCCCCAGGACTAGCTCCCGGCGCCTTCTGGGTCTTATCTCCTTTTCAATTTCCTCCTCTGTTCCCTCTTCTTCTTTTTTTTCTTCCTATTCCCTGACTCGTCCGGGTTGCCATTGTGCACCCAGCCCAACGATGTCAAGCAGTGTTGAACTGCATGGCCGTCCATCGGGGCGTGCCAACAACCGTGGTGGTGGTGGTGGTGGTGGTGGCCGAGGCCGCGGGCGAGGAAATGCTGGTGGCTCGCAGCACGGCCGATCTGCTGAGCCACAAGTCGCGTACGGACGCGATCCAGCTGACGACAGTATTCTACAAGGGCAGGGAAACAGTGGAAAATTTCCTTCTTCGACAAATCCTTCTGCTCAAAGGTCCCACCATCAAAGCAGCGGTAATAGCAGAGGGAATCTTGGTCCTCGTCGTGGAAGAATGACTACCTCCCATAGCCGTCCTCACCTCCAGACCTCAGGAAATCAAGCTGATGACAATGGAGAGATGAATGCTCATTTATCTGAGAAGCTCATTGCATCGAGTCGCCCTCGGGATAAGGCGAGCACGTCTTATAGCGGTGTTCCTCGAAATCCACTGGTCGAGCAGTTCGAGCGTGCTCTCCCGTTCTCCACCGATAGCAGTGCCTCTAGCGCTTGGAGGGCCTTTCCTGATGTCCCTTCCACCGCCGAGCTTATGACACCCGAAGTCGATGTCCCTATCAACGATGTTGAAATTCCTTGGAACTCTGTCGACGAATATCTTGGCGCTCATTACGAGCTTCTTCGTGAGGATTCTTTCTCACCCCTTCGTGAAGCTGTTGGCCGCTTCCGTAAGGAACCTTCAATGGGTGATGAGTACCAAATCTGCATCTACGAAAACTGCAGGATTGTCGGAGTTACTTTTGCGAACTCCTCTGGCATCTGCATCAAAATGAGTTTCTCAACAAACCGAGCTCACAAGAGAATCTGCTGGGAGAATTCAAAACGTCTGTGCCCTGGAACTTTGGTGGCGCTTACGACGGATAACTTCGAGAAAGTTGCTCGGGTTGCAACCGTTGCAGCGAGACCGATGTCCGGCTTGGAGGGTGCTTTACCCTATGGTACTGTCGTTGATCTTCTTTTGCATCCAGATGAATTAGAGCTCGACCCAACGAAAACTTGGATCATGGTGGAGTCTCGTAGCGGCTATTTTGAGGCTTTCAAGCACACCCTTCGAGCCCTACAACGAATGGACACTAATTTCCCACTCAACAAAATCCTCACTCTCCAGGACACCACAGTCGGAGTACCCCAGTTCTTGAAAGAAAAGCCGGAAGTTAACTTGGCACCTTGTTTCAGCGATCACGACAGTGGTGCCCTCCAGGATGTCAACATCCTACAGAACTTCCCGTCGAAGAACAGAGTCACAACTAGTATGGATGAGTTTCAGCTAGAGGCAGTTGAGAGAATTCTTACCAAGGAGCTCGCCATCGTCCAAGGCCCTCCAGGTTGCGGCAAGACCTTTGTGAGCACAAAGTCATTAGCCGCTATGATCGCCAATAGTAAAGGCAAAGACCCTCCCATCATTGTCGCTTGCCAGACCAATCACGCTCTAGACCAACTCCTCCGCTACGTCATCGAATTTGAGCCCCGCGTGATTAGATTAGGTGGCCGAACCCAGGATACAGGGCCGATCCGCGAGCGCACTCTCTTTAATATTCGCAAAGAATTAGGAAACATCATCGTTCAAGGCTCTAGCATCCACAGGTGTCGTGCCAAATTCAGGAGCCTCGAGCGAAAAGCCCGCGAGCTCATTGAGCGCTTGAGTGAACGAAGTCTCACCCCTGATAATCTGCTCCGATACGGTATTATCACACAAAATCAACGAGATACGTTCCACAAATTTACCGACCAGTGGGTTAAGCTCTCAACTGGTAACAAGGAGAGCGCTATTTCTCCGATGGTTGCATGGATAGGTGATGCTCTCATACCAATTCCTCGGCGTGAAGATATCCACCTTGAATTCGAAGATGAGGATATTGGAGTTGAGGAGCTCAAAGATCTAGAGGCCGAATTTGATGACGAATGGGATGGAGAGTTACGGGGAGTTTTCGTGGACTTTATACGGAAAACACGAGTCTTAACTAGACCTGGCGTCACCGACGAAATCGTTCAGCACTGGATCAAGAAGGATAATCTTTGGGATATACCAGAGCCGTTGAGAGGTGATGTTTATACACGACTGGAGAGGCTCTATATTTCCGCCATTGAGATGGAAATGCGCAAAATCAACCAGGAATACGCCCTGAACGTTGCTGAGTACAAGATTGCCAGATGGGAGGGGGACGCCCATATTCTCCAACGAGCTAGGGTCATTGGTTTGACAACGACTGGTATCAGCAAATATCGCAGTCTAGTTGCCGCTCTTCAACCAAAGATTTGTTTGATAGAAGAAGCTGCTGAAACTCTCGAAGGCCCACTTATAGTGGCCTGCTACCCCAGCATCCAGCAGCTTGTTCTAGTGGGTGACCACAAACAGCTCAAAGGTCATTGTAATGTTTCTGAACTCGAGAAACCACCATACAATCTTTCTATCTCCATGTTTGAAAGACTGGTCAACAACAACGTAGAATACACCATGTTGAAGAAGCAACGTCGTATGCGTCCGGAGATCCGGCGGATTTTAATGCCAATTTATCCTGACCTTGACGACGACCTTCAAGTTCTCAATATGAAACCTATTCAGGGTATGGGTAATACCAATCTCTTCTTCTTTGCTCATGAAGTGCCAGAAGAGCAGGATGAGCTCTCAAAGAAGAACTCGCATGAGGCCCAGATGATTGTTGGGTTTTGCAACTATCTTGTGGAAAATGGAATAATGCAAAAGGAAATAACAATCTTGACATTCTATAACGGGCAAGCGAGAGAGCTCCGTAGACTGCTTTTCCGAAGTGACAGATTGAACAAGGAGGCTAAAGACCGTATCCGGGTCGCAACAGTCGACAGCTTTCAGGGTGAGGAGAATGAGGTGGTCATTTTGTCACTTTGTAGGAGCAATGCCCAGGGGACCATTGGATTTCTTAATGTACTCTCTCACCAATCACTCCTTCTGAATGCTTATGAAGACTAATAATTATATGCAATAGGTCCCCAATCGTGTTTGTGTTTCGCTTTCGGTAAGATTCATTACGTCTTCCAAAAATGCAATGCAATGACGCTAATGATAGTTCCAGCGAGCGAAACGGGGTTTTTACATGTTTGGTAATGCGAACATGCTTTCGCAGGCTAGTGGACTATGGTGGGATATCTTACAGATCACCAATGAGCGGTACATACCCCTATGCCGCAACCTTACAATGCACCTATCACTAACGAATATATAGAACGCCACCTGCTATTGGTACTAAGCTTCCCATAACCTGCCAGAGGCACAAGTCTGTGACATATATGCAATGTATGCGCCTTGATGAGAAACGACCATCCGAAAATATCTAACGTTTTGATCTTGTAGATGTTTCCGACTGGCACGAAATCAATGGTGGTTGTAAGTCTCCTTGTGGCGAGTACTTAGCCTGTGGACACAGATGCACTCTGACGTGCCATCCGTAAGTTCTTCTTTCGCGGCTTATTGTGGCCTCAAATTGATACTCTGACCCCGTGAACTGGACCAAGTTTTAAACGAGCTATAGAGCTAATACACCGTCCAGATATGACCACGATAGCGTTAAATGCGCCGATCAATGCCGCAGGTCACTCTCGTGCGGTCACCCTTGTCAGAAGGAATGCTTTGAGACATGTAGCAGTAAATGCATTATTTGCAACCCGCCTAGCCAAACCCAATACTCGACATACAACCTGAACAGCCATATGGATAGACTTGCTGATCGCCTTGCTGGTGTTCAAACGACGAATAGCAACCAGCCAGTTCGCGGGCCGCCTCCGACTAATTACCAAAATCAAACTGTTAACAAACCTGTGGAAAGGCTCCCTGAACAGTTCCCAGCTTTACGGAGCGCTACTAGTAGCCAAACAGCCCAGAGAGCCCCGGACCTTTATCAAAACGCACCATTTAACAGGCCGGCGGAAAGGCTCTCTGAGCAGCCCCCAGCTTTACGGAGCGCGACTAGTAGCCAAACGGCCCAGGGACCCCCGGGACCCCCGGGCCTTTATCAAAACGCACCATTTAACAGGCCGGCGGAAAGGCTCTCTGAACCGTTCCCAAATATTCAGACTGCAAAGAGCAGCCAAACGGTTCGCGGGCCACCTCCGTCTCATTATAGTTCTATTCCTAACAAACCGATGGAAAGGCTCTCTGAACCTCCCCCAGTTATTCAGGCCGCACCTGCACATCAAGTGGCCCGCAAACCACCAACCAACTACCAAACCCGCAATTCTAGCAAACATATAGAAAAGATTTCCGAACGTCTTGCAGAAGTCAAGACGACTGATATGATTCCGACAATGCTAAATCCAACTTCGCCACGTAAGAAGAGCACAGCTTCAGAAACTCCAGTGCGAGCTCCGGAGAGAACTGCGCCTTTGATTTCATGGGATAATACCCCATCGCAAACGACAAATTCAACACCAAGCATTCCCCTCGTCAGCTGGGGTGCTAGCGTTATGCAACTTACCACTCCAAAACCTCAAAAGGAAGTTCTCCCAAGTTCGATGATTGCTTCACACACCATCCCAGATCAACGAACAACCAAGGAAAGTGAGCCAGAAACATCTTTACTCGATTTCGATCCCGAGGTCATACACTCTCCTACTCTTAGTACAAGCAAGGGCACACCATCAGTTACCCTTGATGATAGGACTATGCAAGTAATTGTTAATCAAGATCAGGAGCAAACAGACGTCGAGCTTCCAGCCTCTGTCGACACCAAAGCTTCAGTTGCTTCAGCCGAGAAAATTGAACTTGAAAAGGTTTCTAGATCCGCTGTTCATCGCCACGAGTCCACCGAAGATTGGAATCTGGAGACATTAAAGGAATTCGTTCAGAAACAGTCTATGGAGAAGCTCAGTTTGGTCAAAGGGAACGTCACAAAAAAAGCAGAAAAACAAGATTCAAGTAATAAAGCGAATGAACTGGTATCTTCTACTGCGGGGGATTTAGCTTTAATCAACTTCGACGATGAGCCGGCTATGAAGACATTAGCGAGTGGCGGGGGTGGGGTGGTTCCTTTTATTGATATGAATAAAGTCCTCGTGCCAATTGAGAAACAAGCTTATGTTACAACCATTAAAAAAAAGGAAGATTTTAACGACGACAAGAAGAAAGCTTTCAATGACGAGAAGACAAAAGAGAACGTTATTTCTGAGAAGAAGGAGAGTTTTCTAGAACTTGACTTGTTGGGGGATTTACTGTAAGATGCTCGAAGTTGTCGTTAGATGCTTTTAGCTTGGAAGCGCATTGCGATGGTAAGCGACGGCATCGGATTTTCCATGATGCGGTGTGATTATACCTTTCCTCTTCTTCTGTAGTAGCAAGCTTAGCGATGCATGTATGTTAGCAGACCTTCATAGCAGTTATTTCGGTGTTTTGGGGTGTTAACCAGGAAATAAATATCATTTGACATTACATTTGCATTCTATTCTATTCATGTACCGACTACCAAAAATACCACATGACTCTGCGTTGCACGCGCAGGTCGGGCAGGGATGACACTGTGTGTAACTTTGGGCGCGCATCGCGCCGACACTAGCTCGCTAGCTCGCATCCCTTCGATTCATCATCTGCATCGCGGCCGTTGAAGCCGACAACCTACCCGCTAGCTCACGTCCAGCAGCGAAATCATGGATACATTCGGTGGGAATCAATCTGATGACGGGAAAGGTAAAAAAGTCCAATTGTCCTTTTTTTCCCTTCTACCAAACCCCTTGTATACGACATGGGCTCACACACAAAATCCAATGATTTCCTTCCCCAGGTTCCGGCCCATCCTCCCCCGAAAACGATGTCGAAGACACAATGATGGAAGACGATGTCGAAAACGACGACGGCAGCGAAAACGAGGACAAAGAATCCGACAACGAGAACGACGATGACGACGATGACAACGACGATAACGAAAACGCCGACGATGCCGACGCCGATAACCAAGATGAAGCCACGCAGCAGTTACAACGTGAACGCGAAACTTCTTCCGATGCAGATTTAAGGTGGAAACCGCGGATACGACTGGGCGCCGAGGCTGCCACTAGTTACGATATTATTCCTTATGTTGCGGCACCGATGAGTACGAGTATACATGCGTTCTGCGCGACACCGTGTATGAAGTTGGTTTTCACTGGTGGTCAGGATGGGTATATAAGAAAGTTCGACTGGTTCGCGAGTATAAACGGGAAAGTTCCGTTGACGGTGGCGCAAAAACATCCTTTTGTGGATTCTGTTACGAGGGTACGGTTATAGTTGGTTGTTTGAGAAGAAGGAGAAGTAGGAGAATAATAAGAGTAGGGCTGATATTTTTGAGGTGTGGAATAGGCAGGGGTACTACTGTCATACTGGGAGAATGAAGAGATTCCGGGTATGCTACGTCTTAGAGAAAGCCGTGATGGCCTTTTTTCCCCCCTTCGTCTTTGGGAGCCCTCGGCGCTGACAGGTGAATCTAAGATAAAAACAGTCTATCTGTTGAACCCGACGACATAAAAATATCGCCAGTCTATTCGTTAGCGACACAAAGTCAGGCTTTATGGCTATTATCCGGTCTCGAGGTAAGTGGAGGAATAATTTGTTTTGGATCAACAAAGGTCGCGGGAAACTTTTTTCACTAACATATAATTAACAGAATGGAAGCATCAATCTCCAATCCGTACGGCACGACGAGGGCAAGGTTGTAACAGTACTACGGAAGCACAAATCCACTGTATCAGTCCTCACGCTTGGCGCGGACGAAAAGTCGGTGTTATCAGGCAGCTGGGACAGGGATCTCTATGTATGAATGCCTCGCCCAGTTTGAGCCTCCAACATCTTCCAGTCGCACAAACTAACAACCCCCCAAAAGGAATGGGATCTGAACAAAGGCGAGGTAGTACGTGGTTATGGCCCTCAAGCCGGTCAAATATCAGCGATCCAATGGCGGCCTCAATCTATAATCCCGATTCCTGTTGAAAGACAGCCAATAATGAATGGCATAACCTCGTCGGCACTTTCAAAACTGACAAATGGCTTAACAAACGGCATAAAATCTCCAAAGCGTGAAGCTGATGCCGATGCCGATGCCGATGCGCAGGGCTCGCCGGCCTCGTCGGGAGGTTTTGATTCTCTCTTTGGCGGCGACGATGTTGATGCGGATGATTTATTCGGAGAAGAACTGTCGAATACTCGAACGGCGAAGAATTCAACATTAGCATTAGCAGATGGCGATGATGACGTTCTGATGGGTGATACCCAACCGGCAGAACAGCAACTAATAAACGAGAATGCCAGTGTGGTTGCCGCAGCAGAGGCTTCAGCAGAAAACCAGTCGTCAGAAACAGTAGGCGACATTAACATTGACATCCCTGACACAAGAGAATCACAAGGTCCCGAAAACCCAAGATCGCCAGTCAATATGAATGATCTTGATGCAAACGGCAGCCCGGATGTATCATCTAATATCTTCTTAGCCGCTTCAATCGATGGTATTGTCAGAGTGTATGATCGCAGGCAAGAAGTACCTATTACGAGGTTACTACCTGGGAAGGGTATTCCGCCTTGGAGCACATCTGCTTGTTGGGGTGTTGATGGGAATTCTGTGTATGTTGGGCGAAGAAATGGCACAGTGGAGGAATATAACATTCATAAGGATTTCCAGAATTCGGTTCGGACGTTGAAGTTCCCGGGCGGCAGCGGGGCTGTTAGCTATGTAACGCCAATGGTAAATGGAAGACATCTAGTCTGGTAAGTTTATAAGTTTTATATTTTCTACGTCATGCATGGTCCAACGTATTTTTTTTACTAACTATGAGATTAGTGCATCGTTCGATAACTTGAGAATATACGACTTGAAGGATGATGATGCGACAAGACATTCTCGAGTACCTTTCTTAATTGTTCCCGGGCATCATGGCGGAGTCCTTAGTTCAGTGTGTAAGTTTCTTTTTCTCACCCGTCGCTTCTTTAGAATCAAAGAATAACTCGCTAACCATAAACTGGCTGTAGACGTTGACCCAACGAGTAATTATCTGCTCACAATGGCAGGAACCCGGGGTTGGGAGGGCACATCGACTGAAGTCATGTTGGGCTATGAGATTGTTCCTATGTAGATATCTCTGAATTAGCTATGCGCGTTCGACCAATTGTCTTAGAGGATATTCATCATATCAATCGGCCAAAGCGGGTCTAGACTCGATATGTCCGGGATTTGTTTCTTGACACGTCGCCATTTCATCGAATAGCCCTATCTCCATGGATGATATCTTCAGATTAATATCGACTTCTTCAGTTATACGGGCGCACATATATCTATCCAGATTGCAAAATCAGGATCTCAAGCATTATATATCGTTGTAATTTAATTTAGCCTCATTTGTGCTATAGCCCTACTCCTTTATCCTTATTCCCCATATATATATGTAATATCAAAATCAAAATGGGGAGGTGTCAGGATCCACGAGGACCAAGAAGCGCCCCCATCAATTCCTTTATAACCTCCCAAATCAAGTCGACCCCCAAAATCAAAACTTAACAAGACAAGAAATCGATCCAGAGACCAACAGCAAATTGCCGACACGTTAACGTTAGAGACTTGAGGACCGGGATTTCTCATTCCTTTCGTGCGCATGCGTGCATGTTAATCACTGTCAATAGGCATTGCACTTTTGACCCTCTCCAACCACGTGTCGAACTCGCGCCTTAATCGCAAGAAAATAAAAACAAATATAAAAAATAAAAGGAATGAGGACAGGTACAAGAAAGAAAGAGGAGAGTATAGCTATGTCTCCACCAACATTCACCAACCCCCCTCGAGCTGGACAGCGCAAAAAGCTCTACCCTCACGCTCTAGACCTCAACCGTTTCAGCTTCAAAGAACTCCACAATCGCGAACTCTCAATCCGAGCTGCTTCGGTTAAATTCCGCGAGCTCCCAAATTGGACTGAAAAGTTAAAGAACCGTTCGTTCGTCACCAGTTGGTTACGACAAAGACAACAGGATGATTTCGAAGACTATGAGGATGCTAAGGATCCTTATTTAAAACCTTTCGTATGGGGTAGGGATGATGTTACTATGTGGTTTAATGAATTGGCGGCGTATAAACATTATGTTAGGAAGTTGCAGAAGCAGGGGTTGAGGATTGAACCTGATGCGGAGGCTGTGTGGAGGGGAGATGGGCTGGTTGAGGAGGAGGTTAGGAGGAAGTTGATTGATGGTGAGTAATGCATTTTGATAGTACCTACCTACCTACCCACCTACATACCTACTTCCTCGAAAAAAGGAAATGGGAGATATAACTTGATGGAATTTTATGCATGCATACTAACTATAGAATAGCTGCCACAATACTGGAAAGCATCCCCGAAGCCGAAAAGCTCTGGCGCGAATCCCAGGATTCAGGTCCAGTGGTCCTGGACTTAGTCGACCCTTCAATGTGGCCCATAGTCTATCGAAGAACGGCCACAGCCGACGGGGTCCCAATTTATAGACCCAGCCATACCAATGATGATGATATGAGAGCCTCGAATCCAACTTACTGCTGGTTACCATCAGAATTCGAAGTCTCGGAAGATGGGAAATGTACCAAAATCGCTTCATACGTCAATAATCTAGCATCTCCACGGGACGAAATGGTCGTCATACCGATCCTTGAAAAGATCTTTACCGCTTTCGTCCCACTGTTTAACCACGTTTTGGCAGAGACGGAAAGACAATTATGGACTACATCGAGGTGTATTGATCCTAGTCCCTGGAAATCAAGAGTTAATGATGGAATGATAGTTGCATCTAAAGAGAAATGCACCGAGGCATCGGAAAAGCTACTCAATGAAATGGAAAATAGCGGTCAAATAAGTGATACGTTTGAAGGAGTCGGTGATTTTGCTGACCGTCGACCTAAGGGCTATGAATCCATGTTCCCTATCAAGAACTCCATAAAATTGATACCAGACGCTATTTGGAAACCACCAAGGGCTACAAAGCTCAATAGATTAGAGGGGAAAATGGCCAAGGTCATCGTCAGTATGGTAAATATCATGCTCTCACCAGAAAATCCAGAATACAAAGCTGAGAAATGGCGTTTAAATGGATTCAGGGTAATACACAATCCCCTCTAAACCGTCCCCTCAATTGCAAAACTAATTTGAAATCTAGAACGAACGTATAATAGCCACAGGAGTCTACTACTACGCCCAAATGAACATCAATGAAACATATCTAGCTCTCCAACGTCGAAGCTTCGGTAAATTCACATGCGCTCCCAGAGAAATCGAATCGGTCAGAACAAAGGTATCATTCCTCCCTTTCCGCTCTTTCTCCTCTCTCCCTTTATGTACATCGTCTAATCCGACATTTTTTTAACCTTCTCTTCATGAAATGCATCAGGAAAACCGTGCAATCGTTTATCCCAACTTCTACGAACATCGTATCCCAAACTTCACTCTAGTCGACAAGACAAAACCTGGGTACTCCAAGATGCTGGTATTCCACTACTGCGATCCCTGTGAGCTTCACAATGTATGTCAAAATCCTCATTTATGCTTCTATAAACTACCAAAAGTCTGGATTCACAATCCATAATGTATATATATAACTAACTTCTCCCCTTCCAGCTCCCCACAACAGAACAAATCCACCCCCAACAACCCCAGGTCCTCGAAGACAGACTCCGCCACAGTAAACTCGGCACTCTCCCCGAAGAAGTCTTTTCCCAAATCCTAAGCTACTTGTCAATAACCATGATCTCACGTGAAGTAGCAGAAGAATATCGAGCAGAAATTATCCAATGGGGACGAGATTGGGTTCATGATGGTGATGGATATTATTCGGAGCATGAGAGAGATCATTACTTTGGCGCGGATCCGAATGGGTATGGATTTGCTTATAGTAGTGAGGACGATGATTAATTTGAATTGATAGAAGAGGTACCTATCAGTGGGGAATGTTATTATTCTTCCCCAGAAGTCATGCTAAACCTATATATTGACCAATTGCAATAGCTCGCGATTGAAAAATCTCGGTTCAATTCGACTACAAACCTCCAAGTCTACTCAAAGGAGTCTATTTGAATTTATATATAACATTAATTATAAGATCAGTTAGACCAATATCGATTTGATGAATGAATATGCACATGCAATAAATTCTGTATCGCCATCTCTATATACCATCTTAAAAGTACCATATCCACATCCACAATTCAAATAAAAACGAATGTAAAAGAAATGATAAAAAAGGGATGAAAGAACGCCCCGATGAAGCTAATATTACAAATAAATATGCAATCTAAGTATGTAAGTATTGTAGGTTAGTAGCCAAACCCCCATGCATAGCTATTTTAGTCTCAATCGCTCCAGTTAAAACATCGAATCCGTTTTGTCGCTGCCATTCCAAAATTCCATATTCCCCATGTATTGCCGTGTAGGCACCTCAAACCCCCAAAAGCAGGGGAGGAAGAAGAAAAAACCATGATTAAAACAAATATAAATAATAGAAAACAAACGAATGCCAAAAGATATTAAAGATCGCTAAATAACCCTCTCAGAGCCTGGTGGTAGCTAGAATTTTAACCTCAAATTCAATAACTATGATGTTCAGGTCTCATACTCATCCTTTCTCTCCTTCGTCTTCTCTTCTTCTCAACCAATTCTTCTCCTTCCCCCAACACTGTAGTCGAAACAGCGCTACTAGCTTTCCCAGCCGCAACTTGCACACCACCGGGTCCGAACACCACCCCTCTATTTTTAGAAGCTCCGTTGTCACTACCCCCGCTACTAACGCTCGTCAGGGAAGCCACGCTCGGAGACCTCCGTAGCCTCGTTCGTCCGCTCAACCACGCCGGCCACATCGGTACCGAAGCTAATGAAGAAGAATAACTAGATGGTGCCGTAGATGAAGATTTATCCGAAGCCGGCGGAGGAGGTGGTGTGGAAGAAGAAGTGACAACAACATCCACAGGTTCGGTAACCTTCTTTTCTTCTTCATCCTTCTTGTCTTCCTTCTCCCTTTCATTCTTTTCGTCTTCGCTATACCCTGGCGGTTCACCACCAACAATTGCGGCCGCCACTTCCTCATCCTTCTCAACGATAGTCCCATCTCTTCCATCTCCATACCTCTCTAGTGCATCCAAAACTTCCGGGATAACAAGCTTATCATTCTCCTCACCCCAAAGGAAATCCAGGTGTTCATAATGCTTAATCTCCTTTGCAACCGTATGCCCCGGTAACTCCTTCAACATAACTTCAATATCCACCAAACTATCGCTTCCACCATAAACAAGTACAACGGGGGCACTAATATTCTTTGTCGGAAATTTCGCCGGTCTGTAATAACTCCTTCCGTAGCCCCATCCAATTGGACTTTGTACATCATCATCGTACATTTGAAACTTTTTATTCCGTATAATTTGAAACCAATGGACCAATGCTTTGACGCTAGTGAAACTGTAAAGATGTGCATAACTCGCTAGTTTTTGCTGAAGACTCATGTTTTTGCCGGACCAGTTGAAAAGAAACTTTAGTGATTTATCGATTGCTGCGACAAAGATTGGTGGGTAGAGAATGCTTTGCCAGAACATGGTTGAGGGAAGAAGTGAACGTCGGCCGAAGAAGAGGAAGATTACGTCTGGCGACGTTTTGATCAGGGCGTCGACGATGCTGTTGTATAAACCGGCAGGTGACATGGCAGGTGCGAGAGCGACAAATACATCAATAATTTCGTTAAGAGAGGGGTGAATGCTCAATGCTGTACCGTCAACCAAATACGTTAGTTACTGCATCTGAAGCTCGAATGATAGAGCCGTAGGCAACATACCAGCAAAAGCCTGTGCTGTTCCCTGACTAAACCCAACATAAGATATCGACTTCACTTTCGTTGACAGCAAGATATAAGAAATCGAATCCGGGATATCATGCATCGCAAATTCATCAATGCTAAAGTTCCAAAATGAAGTATCCTGAGAATTTGTATAAATACACTTCTTAGAGTATTTATTTCCTCGATTGTTGCCCAGCTATATCCATCAAAAGAGTCAGCACCAATTCTCTTCAAGCGGCATAAACACATCATGGGAAACCTACCCAAACATCGTAACCCTGCTCCGCAAGCACAAAGGGTAAACACTTCTCCGGTTGGATGTTACAGACCCAAACCTCACTGTTCATCATCAATCCATGATGTAAATAAACTACACCCTTCTTCTCTTTCCCCTTTTCTCCTCTTTTAGGCTTCGGTTCATCCTTAGCCCTCGGAATGCGATGTAATCCCAGCAGATAACCATCTTTGGTCTGTACAATATGTTCTTCCGCTTCATAACCCCAAATCTCACACATTTCAACAAATCCATCTGCATCTCTGATCTTCTTGACAACTTCTGACGATGATTTCTTATCGATTTTGGATTCTTTCGTTGACGGTAGGAGTTTGAATAACGCTCGAGATCGGGAGTAAAGGAAATTTATGATCGGGGCCGGTAATGCAAGTGTGATAATTCTAGCTAGAAACTCAAGAGTAACCAGGAAGAACGATAGGACCAAAGCGATATATTCCCTGAAGTATAACCTTCCCACGAGCGGTACTCGAGCCATGGCTGATTCGAGATCGCCAGAGGTCGGCGAAACGTATGAGGAGGAGAACGAATAGTTTCGTTTCAGGCCTGGATAGAAAGGTGCCTGGGAGATGAAAGTCGAAGAGTAAACTGGCGGGGAGAACATGACACTCGGTTAGCAATAGCCATGTGGGAAATCGATTCGATGAGGTGCTTAGTCTTAGCCTCCGTAGGGCGAAGGAAAGACGAAGTAGTGTAACGACGGCTGGGAGAGATGGTGCATAAAACGAACGGAAAGAAGGGTATGAAATGGGGAGAGGGTGGTCATATGGACCGTACCAAGGGGAAGCTATATAGAATATGGAAAGTAGGGCAGCTATGGGGGATAGTTCTCGTGGGATACATGGCATGGGGTCGTGGGAATTCTTCTGCGGTGTAGCTACGGGTGCAGGGTGTGGATAGCTGTAGCTCACCCTAGCAATATTTCACATTGGCACACTTACAGTAACTGGATCCAGGCTAGCAGAAGTCTCGACGAACAAGAAAGCTTGAAATGTCTGGGGTAGTTGAAGGGCTATAAGTACCCGAGTACAAACCCCAAGTGTGTGTCGACTAGTTTTTTTCGTTTTATTTTATGCAGGTGAATCTTCGGAGCGAGGTGACTGTGGACTGCTGGCTGGCTGGGGGATAAAGGATGATCTATATGGGACGGCGGTAAAAGGGCTGGTAGAGGTGGTCGACTAGACAGAAACGGGAATGAGGTCAAGTGGAGAGCTGCATGCTGGTTGTTCCATAGTAGTAATAGCAGTTTCGTGAAGTACCGTATTTACAGACTACTCGATGGATATAGCGATGTACATGTCTGAGAGCGGCGATGAGGAGTGTCTGGCATGTGAATATGCAGTCTTCATGTCGGGAATGAAGATCGAGAGATAGGAGAACAAGTGCGGTTTGAGTAAATAGCGTCTTGGACTTGGGGGGGACTTGTTTGTTATATGTGGTAAGGTGAGAGAGTACTTCGAAGTTGGTAATGACAATATTGTCTAACAGGATCAGGGCGGCAACTGGAGTTCGGAAATGATCGAATCAGGATGCCCGGGGTCAGACGCCCTCGCATTCCGGCGCCGGAACAGCGAAGCACACAGGCAGGGGTTCTCGCCAGGCTAAGGTGCCGGCCGAATGATGCGAACGGAACCACGACAGTTGACAGAAAACAGCTGCATTCATCATTCGACTCGAGCAAATCGAGGGAATTTGCAATTGGTGGAGGAGTCGACGTCAAGGAGGACGAGGAGGAGAAGCTCGACTTGTGTGTATGCATCGTATGCACTGTATGCAACGGCTGAGCTGTAACGTTTAGTAATTAATATGCTGCAGCAACAGTCACACCGAAAACACCAAAGCAAAAGAGAAAAAAAGAAACTGCTGGTATCACGGTCAAAGAGAAAGTATGTTAAGTAAAAAAGGTAAAGTAAAATAAAATAAAATAAAATAAAGCAAAATAAAACGCCAGAGGAATAGAAAAACAGAAAGATCATGACTTCCAGTACTGCGTGATATTATGCATTCGATCAATCACAATCGGGAACAACGCATTCAAACTGTCCCCAATCAGAACTTCAAACCGTCCCAAAGCTTCCTCCTCTCCGCTCTCCAGCCAGAACTTCTCCTGTATCTTCAGCACAGCCGTATCTGGTTCTCTCTCCACGTCAGGAATCCCAGCATCAATCATCAAAGTCCACAGGTTCAATATCAAACTCGCATTCTTCCTCAGAATTGAAAACGCCGTGTAGCAATACCCTTTGAACTGCTTGAACGGCAGACTATCACTCCCTCCCATCCCATCAACCATCTCTTTGCACAACTTCATCTGCGGTGCAAAGATCTTGGGATCGTGTCCCAATATAAACCCAAAATCAGCATGAAAGAAAAATCCGTCAGGTGTAACCAAAAGGTTATCTAGATGTCTATCCCCAACTCCCAAAATATAAGTAATAACGCAGTAACCCGCACAGCTTTTCACGTAGTTGTCCAAAACTTCAGCCTTAACGCCTTCCCTGGTGCTCCCATCTGGGTAATGATGCTTCAAGAACTCCAAAATTGTTTTATACTCGCGCACAATCGTAGCAATCGGTTTGCTCGCCACAAACTGTATCATCCCACTCGTTGGACTTGACGCGAGAATCTTATATGGTGAAAGCTTCAGGTCCAAGTTCTCCTTCCTTAACAATTGGTCCATCAGTGTGAATGTCTGTATCACCAATTGGTCCTGTCGTAAATCATCTCCATTCTTGAACAGCATGGGATATTTCCCACCATCTGCTGTTTTAAATGTCATCATCAACGGCGATAGCGTCGATTTAAACACATTCGATTCACCTAATCGCCAATGTCAGTTTCCACCCTCCTAGATATATGGCGGGATACTTGGGAGCCATACTGGGGATCATCCCTACAGCAATAACACTGGGATCTAACGGTAGCGGCAAAGGCTCAAAATTCAGCAACCCGTGCGCCGGATCTGCAATGTAGTTCTTCAAATGCTCGATTTTCTTTTCCCTTTTCGCCTTCATGTCTCTTATCTCAATTGCAAGTGAATTAAACGTCTTGTTAAGCGTCGCCTGCCGCGCTAGCATACTGCGCTTCGGCCGATCAGGAGCCTCTGGTGTCTATGTAACTCGTTCATTAGCATAAACTATCTTCGTAGATAAATCAAAGGTGAACTCACAGCTTCCAGCTGGTGCATAAATTCGAACACCACTCGTTCATAAAGCTTCTTATGCCGTTTGAACTCCATCTCTACAGCTAGATACCAGTATAACAACGAGCCCAAAGTCTCGTTTTCTGACGCTCTCGTGACCAAGAATTGCGCTAAACTAGATTCCGAATTATGATCTCCAGTCTGCTGTCTCTCAAACTTGAGGGCCTGAACAAGCTGCAGTAGATATAAAACGAGCTCCTATCCCATAGTCAGTAAAAATCCGATGCTGTTACACCAAATCAGTCTACATACGTTATCATCCGCTTTCTTGAGCCGGGCAACGGCATACGTCCTCACAGCTGGATTCGTAAATGCCGGGCCTAGGAGCTCTAACGCATCGTCCACATCGACCTCTGCCCACTTCGGTAGCAACTCTAGCACACCCTTGACCTCTCTCGCATCTGCCCATACCACTGACTTCAAAAACTTCGTAAGCGCCCTCTTATCCCGAGTGAGATAATATCTGAACTTCCAGATCAGATTCTTTTCATCAGGATTCAACTCATGTGTCGGTGGATATTTTAGTATATCATTAAGTTGATCTCTGATTCGAGCATTAGGCTTCAAGTCCCTATCACTGGGACCATTCCGTTGGCTTCGGACCAGATTCATATGTTTCGCTTCCGCTGGATTATCTCTTTCCCTTGCAGCCTCTGGATCATAAACTCGCATCATGCCCCCATCTACCGGAGCAGGAATTGGCTCTCCGGGGATACTACTCCCGACCACTCCCGATTGTGTAGTAGAAGGTGCATGCCCGGTGCTTGCCGTTGGTGTGGCGATTCCATTTTCCTTCTCTGCTTCCGCTGCTTCCGCCAAAGCCGCTAGTGTAGGATACTCGAAGTCACAAAATACAACCGGGAAGTCAAACCGCGGGAAGTCGATATAGAGGAAATGGTCATGTGTACGTTTGATAGACTTCTTTTGGATCTGTTCGATTTGTCGGAAGGCAAGGTTGTCAAGCCAATCCACTCGGGGGATTTCGCCGGATTCATGTTTTTTGATTTGCTGTAGACACATCCGTAAGAGTCTGGTATGGTGAGAGTCGGAAATAATCTAGGGAAGGTACCTTTTCCAAGCGATCCATCTCGTCATTGCTCTCCACAATACTATCCGTCGCCGTCTCAGTCCGCCCGTCGGCTTCCACATCCAACCATACTTTTAACTTTTGTCGACCTTTCTTCAGCGTTCTATACAATATATTCTCACTATTAGCCACAACTGCTCCTAAAGCATCCGTAAAAGTCACACAACCCACCCATCGGCATCAAACAACCGTACTGTTGTCCCTCCGTACGGCACCTCTTTGTCCGGACCTCCAAGATCCCATATCGTAATCGCTAATTGTGCCGACCGTGGTATATCACAATATCGAACCGGTAAAGTGAGCCACTCCTTCCATCTGGGTTCGTCTTGACTTAGTTAAACCTAACCATTTTAGTTATTGTTGATTTCTTTCACATACACTCTTGCTGCTTTGAAGGATTTATAAGCAGTTTGTACCGGAACTCCTAGTGGCTTGTTGTCACCGTAGACTTGGACTGCGATATATAGATCTGATACTGGACTTTTCGTGGCTTCTCGGTTAGAATGGACCTGGGGTTCCCGGAGGCGCAGGATGGCTAGAGAGCTCTCAAGGGTTTACCTTAAATTCGATCCCACAAACTTTAACTCTGGATTCTTGAGTAGCTGGGAGTAAGGTACTAAAGGTTTCTGGCCTTCGAGGTTTTGTCTGCCCGATGAAAAAAGTAGGGTGTTAGTCCCATCTTGCGACAGATGATAGCTTCAAGGCTACAGAGACTATATAGAAAGGTATTGTAACGTACATTCGGACCGAAACGTTTAGCTTAAGCTGGTTTGAAGTTGCGAACGTAAACGGCTCCTATGGGTATATTATTAATCTTTAATTCTTTCGTCTTGAAGTTTTGGGGGTTTGGAAGTTATCGGTCGTACCATGTGAAGCTGCTGTTGGTTGGTGGATGAGATGTGGGTAGCTTGTTGGTGGGATGGTTTGTGGGAGCTTGCGATTTCGCGACGGACCGCCTTTGGGCTGCTGGTTGGCAACGCAGGAACAGCTCGGCTTTGGCCCACACGACTTACATATGTCACGACCTCATAATATGCGTCCCGTGATATATACACCTTTACAATCTTTTAACTTAAATACTAAAACAAATAATAGATATCATATCTACTGGATCTTGTTCAAAATGACGGCTAGAAATGGTATTGGTGTTCTACATTACGCTAACGCTGCAATAAAAGTACATGTTCACACACATAGGCTAGTTCAACAACGGTAGCCTTTGGTAAGAATACTATAATATGGGCTGGTAGGGTATATGGGATTTACTCTTCAATGGTAATCCCTGAAGCTCCAGCTTGTTCACCCTCTTCACCCTCCTCTTCCTTCTTGGCTTCTTCTCTCTCCCTCTTCTTATCCAGCTTCTTCTGCAAATTCTTTGCCGTATTAAAGATTCCATTCGTACCAGCCCCACAGATCGCACAGCTTGGTGTCTTCCGGTACTTCTGCAAAGCGCACTTCTCACAAAAGTAGTGCCCACATTTCGTCACAATAGGCACTTTGTAATCCCCTTTACAAATCACGCATTTAAACGGAATATTCGCTAGTTCCTTATCATCATCGTCTTCATCGCCTTTGGAGGTATCTTTTCCACCTTGTTTCTTTTTTGAGGAAACTTCCCAATCCCGATCTAGCTGCCAGCCTTGTTTGTAGTCTTCTCGGGCGTGTAGGAATTTACAGGTATCACCGAATCCGCAGAATCCTGTTTGTTTGTAGTCTTTGCAGACGTCTGGCGCGAAATCTACTGTTACGACTTGACGGACGTTTGTGGGAGCTTTGACAGGTCCCATTTTGCCTTTGTTTTGAACGGAGTCTGGGTTTTTCTTTATAAAGGATTTGTAGGCTGATGAACCACGGTATACACCATCAGCCGTCGGCTCCTCAGTGCCCTCCTCAGGCTGGGGTTTTGATTTTCGTATAAGATATTCTTCTTCGTTTTCATTGTGCCAGTTAGAACGTTTTGTCGCATCATCTGATTTTGATATTGTAGCTGAACGGTCAGCTGCATATGTCGGGCCGTTTAGAGATGTGATCGTATCCTCGATGGGTTTCGCAGCCGACGAGGAAGATGATACGACGTGCTTGGTTTTTCGACGTTTTGTGGGGAGTTTTGCACCAGTTTCATCGGTGGACGAGTAATCAGAATCGGAATCTGAGGATGGTTTTGGAGGAGGGGTTGGAGGACGTTTACGATGGTTTGAACGGTTTCCTTTGCGGCGGAAGAAGGTGACTGGAGGATCGATGGGTGCTGTTGTGTCGGGAGGAGCGTCTGCCATTGTGAGTGGTCGTGAGTCTATAGTCGCGATAGTAGATGCAAGATACGATTTTAACTCAAGAGCGAAAAATTAGGATTAATTTTTATCTTGGACGATGGTGACTATGATGAAGTAGTGATGGAATGATGTTGGTGAAGTTGAGGATGATTATATCACCACTTGATTTATAAGCCACACTTCTTTGCCATTCGCCAGATGTGGCTAATATACCAATGTGGCTAGTGTGGCTAGTGTATGTGGCTGGTATAATCCCTATCAGGAACCTTGACGTCTTATCAATCAATCAAAAAACAACCTCGTCATTTTATAAGAATTACACGAATCACGCACGCAATCACAAGCAAATGATCACAGTCGCGCCTTGCAGATGCTCGTCGACATCTGTACTGAGTCCTCGAGGAATGATGTTCTGTACGATACCCCACAGTGCATGGCAGGCCAGCCAATCCGACCAGCTGGCGATGCAGCCACGGTCCTAGCCAACCCTGGTCAGACACGACCAGCATTCGCTGTCAGGCTCGATCTGATTTTTTCGTAAACAAACAAATCAGAATTCAAACATCGGAGTTCTGCCTGGGTCTGCCTGGGTCTGAAGGGAGGAAAAAACCGTCTACTTGGAACCGAAATTAGACCCAGGAGTCTACAACGCTAAGCAGCCTCCGGTTGTTCTGGAAGGTGGGAAAGCTAGTGTGATCAAGCGACTCCGTTGGGAAAAACTTTTTTTCCTTCCCCTTCCTCAACCAAGGGAGGGAAAAAAGAGTTCCCTTTGGTACCGGTGGAGTAGTGGGGAGCTTTGCCAGCCATGGAAGGAAAAGACTACAGCGGATGTTTTCAAATGGAGGCGGACGGGGCTGCTTTTGAAGGGCGGATGTTTCAGTATTCATGAGGTGTCCATGTGCATACACAGTAGCTTCTACAGCAGCACCAGTTCATCCGGCTGATTCACTACTGTGCCAAAACTCACCTTCCGCCGTTCCCACCACCCTTCATAACAAGGCAGCTGGGTGGAAAATATTGTGATTGGTATGATCTGTCCCGTCCTGCCCTCCATTGCATCCTTCCATCAGGCACGAAAAACCTATAGTCAGTGTATGTAGGAGGATGAGGTACAGGATGTACACGTTGGACAGGTGATATTGAATACAACAAACCAACCATCCACGGGTGACACAAGATGGAGGAGATATAGCTTCTGGATTCGATCTAAGATTCGGATTCAGGGCGACTGGAAATCAAATTTGTTTACATCCCCAAAGACGGCCTAGTGTCGACCTCGAGCCGTGTTTAGCAAGGGAATTGGACTACGAGGGCCGTCGAGCGACGGAAGAGCCTGCTGGTGGAAGCTGTCCATGTGCATGTATAGTCTATGTAGGCGTATGCATGCATGCAGCCATTAATATCATCCATCCCGTAGCTTAAGACTGGGAGTAGCTAGTTCACTGCAGGTTTATATTGGATCAAATGTAAACATGTTCTCCTTACAGTATCTATATCTAATATTAATGTTATCGACCTGCCCGTTCGTTCGTTCGTTCATTCTCCCTTTCCCTTCCTTTCCTCTCCTCTTTTCTTCTTCATCGTCGCCATCCGGACTGGCCGCCGACTTGTATTGCCAATTCCAAGTTGTTAAGTTCCTACGCACGTACCATATTGATATACATATGTATATATCATGGTATTAAATACGTCAATGACAGCGTGGTAACGTTAACATTCCGCGATTCGATCGCTCGCCTTAGCTGGCGTTCTATCCCTCCCGAAGAAGCCAATCAGAGAAGCGTAAGTTTGAGAGAAGTTAAATTGCTTTCTTCGAATTAATTCGAAATCCAAAATTCTCCTTGTCAAATTCGAATTCAAAAGCCCGCGCAATTACAACTTCCCCAACCATCGGCTTCGCCATTTCGAGACAGGGCAGTTAATCCCGGCGAGAAGGTGTACGTCCGAAAGTGAGATAGTCGAGTCCAAAAGCCTCACCTTTGGGACCCCTTTCTGAGAAGAGTTCTTCTTCTTCTGCTTCTTTCCCGCATTCGTCTTTTCTTCTATTTTATTTTTATTTCTGATCCCTCCCTCTTCCTTTCCCCTCCCCGCACTGTCCAATTCCCCACCGAGAGAAGAAAAAAAAAAGTGAAGGGAAGTTGAGAGTGAAAGCGAGAGTGAATTGAAAGAGTGAGAGTGTGACAGAGAGAGACTGTCTATGTGAATAGCTGGAATCTTCAAGTACCAGTTCAACTTGGACTATCTGATTCCACTTTCTCAGATCGCATTCTCCTAGTTCCTTTTATTTCTTTGATTCTCTTCTTCTTCTTTTACTATTCTCTTTTTCTTCATTTTCTTCTCTATCTTCTTTTTATCCGCTCCTTTTTGTTTTATTTCATTTGTAACTTTTCTTAATTTGTTCTTATTCTTCTTGTAGTATACCTTACTAGTTCTTCTTGTTCTTGAATTCACGTCGCTCCTTTGTACACCAACAGCCACACTCATTTGATTCTACAGCTTAAACTTCAAAGTTGATATCGATCGATACTCACAAGATATCTCGAAATCAAATTATAGTCAAAAGGCAGCCTCTCGAAATCCCGTCCTTTACTTTACTTTAATCTACAATACTCTACTTTACTTAATTACGACTTCGAATTTCGATCAAAGACTTCAATTCAGCACGCGACTTCTCTTCTTCCTTCCAACTCCATTCCTTTTCTTATTCCAGTCAATTCTGCATAGTTTGCCCGACCCACACCGAATTCAAAGCGCAAAAACGGCCATCGCCAGCTTTGAATTTCAATTTAACGATTGCCTTCTATTCTTTTTCCATATCATCCACTCCAGTCCTTTACGATACAAAAAAAGCCGACTCGAATTACTCATTTTTTGCGTGTTTGCATGCAGTTCAACTTGCTTGACTTGACTTACCCTCGACCTGCCGTACCGCACCAGCCTTGTTTCTGCTTCAACGCGGCGGCTGCCCCTTCGACAGCCTTTTAGACGACCTTAATCTTAATCCTCTCTTACATTCCTCCTCCCAGGAATTCCATCGCGAACGACTTATCTCCACACACACACACCCGTTACCTCCCCTCGTCCCTCCTTTCCTCATCTACCCGATTCTGAAGAGAGAGAGTCTCTCATAACGAGGAGATCGAGGCGAAAGGGAAGAAACGCCAGAAGCAGCAGAAGGCGGTAAGAAGACGAAGAAGAGCCGGCCAAAATGGATTCCTACGACGACCCCTTCACGACCCCGCGCCGTCCGCCTCCAAACTCCGTCTCCGAAACCCCCCTAACCCGCTCACAAGCCTCCCGTACAATCGCAAACCAAATCGAGGATACCACAAAACATCTCGAATTAGTCGGCGATGTCGGCGAGAAACTGCGCGCCACAAAACAGCGGCTAATGGACCGTCTTCGGGAAGTCGAAAACTCCAAGGGCGATGAACTTTCCCCGGATCTTAGACAGCAGTTGGAGGATTTGCAACGTGAGTACGATGACGTTGGCAAGGAGAGTGCTAGAGCCTTCTCCGCTAGCGCTTCTAAGTCTGCGTACTTGGCCAGTGCCTATGATTCTACACCGTCAAAAGATCCGAATCATCTAGGGGTATGCATCTGAGTTCCTGAAAATCATAACCCTAACAGCCTTAAACTCGTGGCATATATTATGCCTATCCACGTTTTTTTTGGCGCTTTTTCAAAAAGTCTATTTTAACACGTTTTTTTTGGTCTTTACTCAAATAGATCCCGGATTCACCATCATTCAGCGTATCCAACTCTCCAAGCGGGGGTAAAACCCCTTCTTCTAGAAAACAACGGAACCAGCCAAATCGTTTGCAGGACATTCAGTTCGCTACCGACATAGGTCATAATCTTATCGTTACCGTCCGTCAGCTTCAGAATCTCCTCAATGAACGCGATGAAAAGATCAAGCTCATCGAGAATGAGAAATCCAAACTCGAATTCACAACCGAGCAACAGGAGAGCAGGCTCAAGGCCCTCGATGAATCCGAGCAGCGATACAAGGAGGAAAATTGGAATTTGGAACTAAACCTACAAGATCTACGTAACGCTGCTAGCGCTTCCAAAGATGCAGAGACAAAGTTGACAAACCAAATCAACACTGTCACGGCTGAAAAGGAGTCGCTGACGAAGGAAATATACGAGATAAAACAGACTCATGCAAAGGAGGTCGAGGCTGCGAATTCAAGCCACAAGGTCACTGAGAATGAACTTGCAAGCATGAAGCGCACGACCACGATCGCCAATATGGAACGAGATGCCTTGAAACGCAAGATCGAGGAGCTTTCCTCTGAGCTTGAGGACAGCCAAAAGGACCGCGCTAGACTCCGCCACGAAGAATATCAAAGCGAGAATGCCTCAGTTGTCAGCTCTCAATCTGTTAAGGAAGATGAAGACAGCCCGGATAACTCACCTCCTCCATCTCCAAACAAGGCTACTCCGCGCCATGCCATGCTCGAATCTGAAACTCTCAAGAGCAGTCTCCACCACGCTCACCGCATGATCACATCTCTCAAATCCACTATTCACCGAGAAAAGACAGAAAAGTCCGAGCTCCGCCGTATGCTTCAAGATGCTCGCGATGATCTCGAACAAGCCCGTCTTGAGCGCGCTAGCAACACCAGCGGCAGTACCCGTCGCAAGAAGACTGACGACGGAAAAGTCAAGAAGCCTCTGCGACCGCCAATCAAGATGGGTGACAACCGCAAGACTCGTACCGATGTTACCATGATCATGGATGATGATTGGGAAGACCAAATCTCAGTCGTTGCGCCAGATGATACCGATAGATTCGACACAGCTGCCGAAACATCCTTCGAGACCGCCAACGAAGCCGATACCACTGACGCCTTCCAAACAGGTGCAGAAAGCATGGCTGAGTCCACCGGTGAAGAAACCGAAACCGACACCCCCTTTGCAACTCCAGGACCGAATGGCGACTTCCTCAAGCCAATTACTAAGCCTAACTTTGGTTCCAGACCTGGTAGCGATCGTGGTTCTCAACGGGGTAGCAACCGTGGCAGCGTACGCAGCAGAATCGAGGTTCCTATCCAAAGCGATGAGAGTGATGAAGATGCGTTCGGTACTGTTAGGGGCATGTCTCATCCTCAGAAGCTTAAGTTGCGGATCGGTAGGGGCAACAGACGTGGTCTCGCTGATGGTAGCGTCTTCATGAATCACAGGGGCTCGATTGATAGCGTGGAAAGCACACCGCCCTCAGCCATTCTGCCGAATAACCGCTCGTTATTCACAGAACTTGGTGGTGGACCGGGTACCTCGAGCGTTGAGGGTACACCGCAAAGCGCTGTTACTAGAGCTAGCAGGAGTTTGTTCGCAGAGCTTGGTGATATGAGCCCTGGAAACAGCGATGACGAACTCGTGGAACCGCAGTCTGCTACGCTTGAGCCAACTAAACGGGATCGAGTGGTCTATGCTGATGCTGGAATTATGACTGATCCTATCGAAGAGAAGATCAAGGAGGTTGAGAAGATAGTGACCGTCACGGTACCAGTCCCAGTTGAAAAGATAGTGGAAGTGCCGGTTGAAAAGATCGTCGAAGTTCCAGTGGAGAAGATTGTTGAAGTTCCGGTCGAAAAGATTGTGGAGGTAATTGTGGAGAAGAGGGTTGAGGTTCCCATCGAAGTCATCGTTGAAAAGCCAGTTGAGGTCTTTGTAGACCGACCAGTAGACAGGATCGTTGAGGTCATTGTCGAGAAGCCGGTTGAGGTCGAAAAGATTGTGACGGTGACTGTTCCTGTGGAAAAGGTTGTGGAGGTTCCAATTGAAGTGGAGAAGATCGTGGAAGTTGAGAGGAGGGTGGAAGTACCGGTTGAAGTGGAAAAGATTGTCGAGGTACGAGTTGAGGTGGAAAAGATAGTGGAAGTACCAGTCGAAGTAGAGAAGATTGTGGAGAAGATTGTGGAAGTCGAGAAGATCGTGGAGGTACCTGTTGAAAAGATCGTGGAGAGGGAGGTTCCCGTCGAGATTGTCATCACCAAGGAAGTTCCTGTCGAAATCTTCATTGAAAAGATTGTCGAAAAGGAAGTCCCTGTTGAGAGAATCGTTGAGGTCCCCGTTGAGAGAATCGTCGAAGTCCCCGTTGAAAAGATTGTCGAAAAGGAAGTTCAGGTTGAGAAACTGGTTGAAGTTCCTGTCGAAAAGATTGTTGAACGGGAGGTTGAGAAGATTGTCGAGGTCGAGGTCCAAAAAATCGTCGAGGTACCCGTTGAAAAAATTGTGGAGGTTGAGAAGATCGTGGAGATTAAGGTTGAGGTACCAGTTCAAGTCTTCGTCGAGAAGATCGTCGAGAAGGAAGTCCCAGTCGATAGAATCGTTGATAGGGAAGTTCCTATTGAGAAGATCGTCGAGAAGAGAGTTGAGGTCCCCGTCCAGGTCTTCGTTGAGAAGATCGTCGAGAAGGAGGTGCCCGTCGAGATCACGGTTGAGAAGATCGTCGAGGTTCCTGTTGAAGTCGAAAAGATCGTCGAAGTCGAGAAGATTGTCGAAAAAATCGTCGAGGTACCTGTCGAAGTAGAGAAGATTGTGGAGAAGGAAGTTCTTGTCGACAAGATTGTTGAAGTCGAAAAGATCGTTGAGAAGGTCGTTGAGAAGGAGGTCCTCGTTGATAGAATCGTGGAACGGGTCGTCGAAGTTCCTGTCGAAATTGAAAAGAGAATCGAAATCCCAACAATTATTGAGAAGAGGGTCGAGGTTCCAGTCGAGGTCGAAAAAATCGTCGAGGTCGAAAAGATCGTCGAGGTCCCAGTAGAGCGCATCGTCGAGGTCGAAAAGATCGTTGAGGTTCCAGTCGAAATTGAAAAGATTGTCGAAGTCGAAAAGATCGTTGAGGTTCCAGTCGAAATTGAAAAGATTGTCGAAGTCGAAAAAATCGTGGAGCGCATCGTCGAGGCCGAGAGACCAGCCACCCAATCTAGAGACCAAGCCGTGGCTGCCGGTCTCGCTGGCGGCATCGCAGGCATCGGGCTCGGTGCCGCTGCCGCCCGCAAGGTACCTCAAATTGCTACTGACGAGACAGCGACCACCAGCCCGACAAACGGCCAACCTAACGGCAAGATTCCTCTCCGCGAAATCTCCGACAACCGGGGTACTGGATTGGAGCCTTTGTCCGAAAACCTCGGCGAGGAGAACCAGGCCAAGGGCAAGCGTGTTACACTCGAGGCCTACAGACCTACGAGCGCTGGCAGTGTTAGATCCCGGGGCGTTTCCATCGACGGTGGCCTTGCAGCCGTCGCCGCAATCCGTAGACCCGGCAGCGCAACCAGTATTAGGACTCTCCAGAACGCCCCCCCACTTCCCTTTAACGCTGACGAAAAGATCGCAGCCCATAGGAGCAGTAGCGCAATGGGTCCCCCAATGGCACCAGCTTCCGCATCCCGCAACAGCATCAGATACATGGCACCAACCCTTAGCCCAGTTTCGACTCGTACTGGTGATATCAATGTTACTCCCAAACCGAGACAAATGTCAGGTCGCTCAATGGACTTTAACCGCAGCAATGTCTCCTCGCCAGTACCAACTCGACGATCTAGCGTCTCCTCATTCGCTTCGGATCTTGACGAACGTTTCCAGATGCAACGAAATCCACTGCCAGGCATAGGACGCGCTGGTGACCAAACCAACGATCCTCGTCTAATTCAAGCCATCACGCAGACGATGATCGGTGAATACATGTGGAAGTACACTAGAAACGTTGGCCGAAGTAGTCTTTCGAACAACCGTCACAGACGCTTCTTCTGGGTCCACCCATATACCAAGACTCTATACTGGAGCGACCATGACCCATCTACTTCCAGCACTCAAGCTAATGCCAAGAGTGTCAGTATCGAAGGTCTCAAGGTCGTCACAGACGATAATCCTTCCCCGCCCGGGCTCCATAGGAAGAGCTTGATAGTATTGGCTCCTGGAGGAAAGATGATCAAGTTCACTGCCCCGACTGGACAGCGACACGAGACTTGGCTAAATGCATTGTCTTATTTGATGGAGAAGAGCATGCAGGCTATCGATAACGAAGAGGCCGACGAAGCTGCTAACTCCATTATGAATGATGACACAAGGGAGTTCGACCCAATGTACTCTAGCACCCATGCTCGCCAGGCCCCCTCGTTATCTTCTTACAACAGCAGAAACACCGCATCTGTTACACCAACGAAGCAAATGATGGCAAAGAGACATGTATCACAAGCTTCGCAACAGACTATTCACACTCAAGGATCGATGTCGAGGCTCAGTAATATTTTCCGCTCCGCCGCGCCCTTTGGCAGCCTTCGAGGCAGCCGAAGTGCCAGCCGTGCGACTTTTCACTCGGTCTATGATGCTAGTGAGGTAAATGATAGCGCAGAGGACCTACGACAAGAGTACGAGAGGCAAGATCGTGAGAGGGAGAGGTTGGAAAATGTCAGAGAGTGCTGTGATGGTAAGCATCGTCTTCCTACTATGTAAGTAAGTGGAGATAGGGGGGATGTTAATGGATGATGATCATAGGTGCCCACGACGTCAGTTCTTTGCCTAGAAGGTTGCACGGCCGTCGTAGCAGCCAAAGTCAGCGACATTCCCACCTTCACAATCACAATCACAATCACACCTCACCAACCTCCCAAACTCAACCATCCTCACCTGAGGTTCCCCGTGCAACTGTTGCCACTGTTTCCTCATCATAAAACCCATTTCTTCTCAACTTTGAATGCCCCTCAAATAATGTTACGATTCTCTATTCTTTATCACTAGATGCCTCTCTTTTTTTCTCACGGGACCTTCGCTGTACATTTTTCTATCATTTCTGGATGTGTTTCTTCGACCCTCTTCGCGACTTCTCCATCTCCTACTGATTTTGTAATCCACACTCCATCCTCACCCACCCGCCCCCGAACCACTGAACACCCTCGGAATTCATTTTTAAAGCATAGCCTGACATGATTGTAATCGCATTTTTTTGTTTCCTCCCACAGCAAAAAAACAGAAAACAACATTTTTTATATCAAACATTTCCTTTGTACACTATTATAACTTAACTCAGTCACACACACATACACTCGCACACTACCATTGTTACGGCATTATCTGCAGTATTTTGTTTCCGTTTTCCTTTTTTTTGTTCACTTTATCATTTTTTTTTCTTTTCCTTTTGTGTGTGTTTCTTTGTTTTTTGATTGTGCGTCTGCGCTCTCTCTATCTTGGAGTTCTTAGGGTAGAATGGGAAAGCTCGATCTCTCTCTCTCTTCTTTTTTTTCCCCCCACCACCCCCTCTCACTATTTCCCCCTTTCCTCTCTGATATTTCCTTAATTGTTCAGTCGTTCCTCAATCATTGATATATAAAAACCTTCATCCGAAATATAAGATATGAAATCCTTCTTCTCCTCATCCTCCTTCTCTGGCTCCTCTCGATTCACCCCACCTAATATGAGATATATATATATATATATGGACGTCTGGGGTTTATAGTAATGATTGCTCCTAAAACTTATACCAGTAGCATTTTGATGTCGATACGCTCTTTTATTTTTTGGTTTTAACTGGGCCCGTCCTGGATGTTTAGAATTTAATTTATATACGACTGGTCGTATTTTAACTGAGTTATGAAAGTATCTTTTTGCTTATATATATATAGATTGCCTTTTTTTTTCCTTTTTCTTTTCTGGTGAATGCTAGCTTATATACATATAGATAAATTTAGTTACTATATGCTTTTTGAGAGGCCAGGACTTAGAATTATAATTGTATCATGCTTTTTGATTATCGAGTGTGATATGGTTACTATATTTGTCTAGTCGCCGGATTCTGGTTATTATATACCTATTACTTATACCTATACTTAAGCATAAGCACTAGGTACTAGTTGTATTCTTCACCATTGCAATTGAATATTGTTCAAAATACTTAGGCAACTAACTAAGGCGAGGGGAAGAAAAGAACACACGAGCAACGCATTAAGATCCATGTTTAGTTATGGGGATTTTTTTTGGGGGGGATTTTTTAAGTCTGTTATTCGAGGGGGGGGCTGGGTATGGTTGCGAGGATATCGATAGGAAGGTTTGGGTACTGCTTGAAGTTGGAAACGGCGGATCATGATACGAAATTGGTGATAAAGATGGTTGGGGATAAATTGAGCGCAAGTAGTTCTAATACTTCTTCTAGTCCTTTGATCAGTGGCGTGGGTTTAGATTGATATAGATGTCAATATGAATATGATGAATATGTATGAAAATAACGAGATATGAAGCATCTTCAAACCTATCATGATCTTAGAAGCTAAAGTTACTGAATGTCTACACGACGATACTCAATTATATACAAAAGACAAGTGTAGAGTAGTATACCTTCTCTCCTCCTTCTCCTCTCTCTTATGTATGTACCTCAATCAAAATTCTCATCCTTAATCAAGACCCTTTCAATCCCTCCAGTGCGAAAACTCCCTCTCCTGTTTCCACTTCTTCTCCACTAAATCCTGAATTTCCTGGCCCCAAACAGTCACCGGACTCTCTCCACCAATTAACACTCGTTTCTCATGAATCTTCACTTCTTCCTTCGTCATAACCACCAGGTCTGATAACTTAAGGAATATAGCACCATCGATGCCCACTCCAACCTTCTGCATCCTCTTCTTAATCTCCTTTTCATTAACTTCCCCGTTCGTATATTCCCCGGTAGTTCCATCGTCGAACCTACTACCAATCGGTGAATACCACCTGACAAGCTGTAATCTATTCCCAAGTCCGCTGATAACACTTTTCCCTCCAAATATTTCTTCAACTATATACCCCGCATCGGCTTCACTAACCGGAACTTTCAATCCCGGCAAATTATCTCTAATCCTACTTTCAACCGCCACAAGTTGATTAACCACCTGTCCATAAAACTGCGGTCGAAACCTCGTTTGTCCGGGGAGATACTCCAATGGATATTCCGCCAATTTGCATAATACGTGGTTTGCGGCTGCTAATCCGAATGTTGCTGGCATGGTACCCAGGACAGGTAGAATTCTGACTCGGAAGTTTTCTAAGACACCGAGTTCGGAGACGGATCCCTTTTCGTGTTCGTCTTCTGCTAGGGGGAGGAGTTGGGCTTTTCCTGGTCCGGGCTTTTCGGTGGAGTAGACGACTGTTATTCCCGTGGGGATACCACGTTGACGGAGTTTTCGACGGGTGGATTTGGAGAGGGGGTCTTCTGTTGTTTCTGAGATGTCACCGATGAGGATGCGGGTTGGATCTGATTTGCAGCCCTATTTTAACCATATCTATTAGTTTCTCTCTTTGAAAAAGAAATATTTTGAACAAAGTAAATTCCTTGGGGGGAACTAAATATACTCACAGCACCCATAGAACTAATCACCGGAATCTTCTGACCATGACAATACGCCAACAAATCAACCTTCGTATCAATATTATCAATAGCATCAACAACCCAATCCGGTTCACCATCCAACAACCTCTTCGCATCCTTCTCCGTCCAAAGCTCCACACAAGCTTCAATCTCCACCCAAGGCGCCACAGCCTCCAACCTTTTCTTCATCGCAAGAACCTTCGGTGTCCCCACATCTTCCAAAGTAGCAACCGCATGTCTATTCAACGACGACAAAGTAACTTGATCAAAATCAATCAATCGTACCCTCCCTATCCCCGAACGAACTAACATGGTAGCACACCATGATCCCACACCGCCAAGTCCTACTATAACCACGAACGAAGATCTAATGGTTCTTAAACCTTGGGTTCCTAGGAAGGAATGGTTACGTGAGAGTTGTTCGAGGATTAATTCTTCCGGAATTGGTTTGTTTTTGGCAGCGAGGGATTGTGCGCGTTTGGCTAGGACGGCGGATTCGGCGTCTGTTATAGATCTTGGTGTGGATTGGTGTTCGGAGTTTCTTGGTATGGTGGTGGGGAGAGTGGGATTGGAGGTTGAGGAGAGGGTGTATGGTGGAGGATGAGAGGTGGTGGAGTTGAAAGTGGATGAGGGAGTAGCTGAATGCGCGAGAAAGTGGGATAGCTTAGCTGGTCGGAGAGGAGTTAGCATTGATTATACACACTTCTTATATATGATATGTGAAACTGCTTAATAGATATGATGATGGTGGTGGTGGTGGGGGTGGGGGAGGGGAATGGTAACATACATCCACGCTACGTTCCATAGCTTCGTCGGCTTCATCATCGGATATATGTGATATAGATTCCTTCAGCATCTGAGTGCGTACCCGACGTTTACTATTCTGATAACCCAATATTGTCCCACCGACCACGAGTCCCGACACCAAAGCAGTAGCAGCAAGTTGTGCACGATGGGAACTCGCCAACGAGGATAACGACGATCCCATAGACTGCATTGAGAATGAATTCGACATTTTGTCTACTTCTGGTTCAGAAGAAGAGGACGAAGAGGAAGAATCTTTACGATCCTTCTTCTTATGGTGTTTGGATTTCTTCTTTTTTTCTTTATCTTTGCCTTTATCCTTGGATCGAGATGATGATGATGAAGGGTCTTTGTTATCCTTTGAGGATTTATGTTTGGATGATGATGATTTGTGGTGTTTTCGATCTTTGGAAGAGACGGATGAAGCGCCCTCGGGATCGATAGAGCGATCCCGGTCTTTGGACCTTGTCTTCGAGGACTTGTGAGGCGCTGACGGAGTAGTGGTGGAGGTGGCGGCGAAAGAGGTGGTGGAGTAGTAGGAAGGAGGGAGGGAGGAGTAGTCGAACGACATGGATTCGAATTCTTTTGTTGGAGAAAATTTGTTGCGCTGGAGACTAATACTACCTAATACCGGTACCTCTGGAAGTGATGATAATATATAATGATGATGATGATATCAAATGGAATAAATTAAAAGACTTCAAGAATAAAGAAGTAGAATGATATAAACCGCCGATGAAATAATATATATACATGTACAGCCCGCCTTTTTAAATGCAATCGATTATGTAGCACAGCCAAGTATATAGACCGACTCGACTCGATTCTCTCTCGCCTCGCCGCGACTCAAACCACGCTGCTTCAAGTAATTAGCATACGTACGAACCACGGACATAGTCCCAGTTCCTCGGGTCTCGCGACGTCAGCAATGGCCACTTCACCGATTTCTGGTCTCGGAATTAAACCAGCCTCACAGCTCATGATTATCATCCAGTCCAGTAGTCTTGTTATATCATCCAGTAGAATCATCAAGAAACAGGAGAAGGATCACAAAACAAAAAAAGTTAGTTATCCATCGATATCATTTTATGCGGACCATATGCAGACGTATGCAATGCGAGAGGAGAGTAGAGAAGAAATATCAGATCTGAGTTCTGTCTTCCCTGTTCCCACACTTTTCCCAACAGATAACGACGAGGACGAGAGACTTCTTCCAGGGAGCACTGGAAGCGTCGATTATATAATATAAGATAAGTACCTAGGTACCCAAGCAGGTAAGTAGATACTTAAGTAAGTATTACGGTAAGTACCAGAGAGTGGCAAAAGAGCACCATTTCGACTTCAATAATGAAAAAAAGGTGGACATCAATAGTAGTCAAAAGATAACTATGTAATAAGGTACACGATGAAAACGGAATAAAGGAAAAAGGAACATAAAAAAAAAGAGGAAACGATCAAATTCGAAAGGCTGACCGAAAAAACGCCCTGAAAGAAACTAATAGCAAATCAAAACGGTTTCCGCATGGAGGTGTGGTGGCATTCCAGCTCAAAGGCGAACAGGTTGTGATCATTTGCAGAACGAGGGGTGGTCCAATGAACAGGCTCCACGTCCAATCAGGTGAGCTGGAACAAAGGCATCCGAGTTCGAAAAGAAAAGGGAGGGTATATGATATGCCGACGAAAGTAAGAACTGAAGAAACCTATGTACGAAACGAAGAAGAGGAGAAAGGAAAAAAGAGGTTCAAGAAAACCCGCCCGAATAATCATGAAAAAGAAACAGGAGATGAAGAAGAAAAAAAATGAAGTGAATAGAAAGAAGATATGAATGAGTGACAAGAATAGAACACATTTTCTCCCGTGATCGCGCTCAAGGCGACAAGAAGAAAAATAGACATTACAAATCTGCTAATGCTTTTTGTGAAAAGACATCCTTCGTAATGCGTATAGGCAAAAAAAAAAAAAAAAAAAAGAGTTGCTCCAAAGGGGTATCTGGGCCCTAAGAGAATCAAATTTCAAGGCATGAGCTGGGGCAAACAAAAACACAATAAGGGCGCCGCAATCAATCCCTATAGGTGAAACCAAGCCGGGTATCTCTGATCGGAACCCGGGCTCCCCGGATGCTCAATGATGACGATGTCGGATGAAGTGGCGGAGAAAGGAATCCTCCTTCATAATCATATCCGTAATTTGCGCCGCTCATAGGTGCCCTTCCAGTTCATGTGCAAAAGAAGTATCAAAATAAACCAATGACTCCACTCCCATTTCCACCAATCTACGGTTCCCCATCTCACAGTAGGATCAAGTAATTCGAAGGCGCAATACCTGTTTCGCCAGTTTCTTTACGTGCCTGCCACCATCTACCAGAGACGTCTGAGACCTCCAGGATATCATGCTTTTGGAATGAGATTTCGTTGGCGTCTTCAGGGTTGGCAGTGTACGAATAAATAGCCTTTGCGCGGTATGGGTATTCGGTCGGCTTGTCCATCTGATCTTCCTCCTTTGGAGCCATGCTTCCACTGGCACCGCCCGAAGTTCCCGGTGGAGCACCGAACTTGGGAGCCTGCGACGATCGGTCGGCGACGCTTCCACCCATTGGCAGTGGCGAGGTAGCTTCCAAGCCGCTGAGTTGAGCAGAAGTGTACATCTGGGGGACGGGGTTATTGCTAATGGTCGTCTCAGGTCGTCGCGAATCGTAGTACGAAGCAGGATGGGCGCCATATTCACTTGGAGGCGGTCGCTGGGCGAAGGAGTCGATGTAGTGGTGTGTAACAGCATTTGGAGCAGTTCCGAAGTAAAAGATCCAAAGAACTGAGATCATGGAGAGGAGAATGTGACCAGCAGCAGCAGCCTGCTCAGTTCCGCTCTTTTGATAAATCAGTGTATTTGCAGAGGAGCTTGTAAGCACCAAACCGCTAGATAAATATCCGACAATCTGGAAGCGAAGATTTTAATGGTTAGCGATCGATCCTGTCGAAAGTTTTGCGAAAAGGGGAAGAGGAAGCGAAAAAAAATAAATATCAAAAAGGTTACATACGGCGACATTGTAGGAGTATATCGAATTAGACGCGACAACGACGGTGACACCTAGAATACAAAATAGTTCGTAGACGACGGCCCACCAGGCGAAGTTGGGAAAGCTGCCGTTTGCATCTGATATGGCGGATGTGACGAATGCTATTATCCACGCGAGCTGTAGATCAGGTAAGAAAGGAGGCAACGTTAGCGTGAATCCATCACCACGGACTAGGAAGTGAGACTGCGACTAAGATTGCGACAAGTAGGAGATCATCACTGTCACCATAATTACGATCACCTCGACCAGGTCGGAGGTCGTAGAAGAAGAAGAGAAGAAGAAAAAAAAAAGGCAGAATGAACAAGGGAGTAGGAGGAAGAGGAGGATGACATACAAATCCAATACCGATTGTTGTGAGAAAAAACGGGTCGCCAACAATGTTGCCAATGTCGAATTTGGACATAGATCGCGAGTACCGCGGCTGAGCTTGGTCGTTATTCATTGTGTAAGCTGTTGACTGGGGATAAAAGCTGGCCATTTTCTAGAAGGACGGTATTGAGGAGATGATGAAGATGAAGATGTCGATGGTGATGGTGATGGCGATGGTGATGGTGATGCTGGAGATGTGATGGAGATGGCGCTGGTAAATCCCCACGTTATGAGATTAAAAGGAGACAACCAACAACCTCCAACTCAGAACCTCTTTTCCTTCTCTCTTCCTCTCTTCTCTGTGGAAATCGATTATGGTATTAACGATGATAACTAATGGCTCGACCGGGAGCTTTTTTTTCCAATTATTATATCTCTCGTCTGTCTTCCTCCGGAATAAAAACGAGCGTAAGAACGAATGAATGTCGGAAATATGCGCTTGGTTGTCGGGTTTGGTTGAGTGGAGTGGAAGGATGGTTGGTCGCTTTTAAGAGGGAAAAGAAAGGAGGGAAAGGCCCAGCCAGAGAATTTCCAGACTAGCTGACTTGACCTGGCTGACTGACTGACAGTTTAAGGCTTTAAGGCTCCGCCCGAACACAAAACAAAAAAAATAAAAACAGTTTCCGGTTCCAGTCCAGGGGGGGCTTTCGACTATTCCCAGCAAGCTGCTATCTTACGTATACCCGGCTTTTTGTTTTATTGATTTTTCTTTCCTTGAGAAAAAATCGATGAAAAAAAAAGAAAAAGTTATCGGAATATGTATTTTTTGTACGAAAACACAGTTCTCGCTCGTCGATAATCAGTCTTGTACCGTTCGTCGGATTCGGATTCAAACAGTTGAACAAAAAGAACGAAAGTGAGAAATAAAAGGTACAACCTTTACACGGGGAAAGGAAAAAAGAGTGAGAAAAGACCTGGGATGAAAACGTTGAACAGAAAGAGAGGCTGCTTGTTATAATAAGAGAGAGCAGTTAGAAAGGGGTCCTCGTTTGCATCCGCATTGGCTGTGCACGCGGCAAAGAAAAGAAAAGAAAAGAAAGGGAAAAGGGAAAAGGCCCGTTTCAAAATGTACCACTCCGCTGGTAATTATATATTATTCTGGAGAGACGGTACCTTTTTTTACTATTGTTTCCCTTCCTTTGAGCAATAAGATCTTGCCAGAGAGAACAAACACTATCTGATACAGAAAGACCCGGGCCTGGTCGTCTGAGTTCCTCCTTGATAAGCTTGCCTAGAGTTAGACGGGACGGGAACAATACGAGGGTGTATCGTTATATTATTGAAACGAAAGAAACGAGGTTTTTTCCTTCTTGATATTCTCCGATTCGAAAAACTGTCCCGTTGGTGTATTATTACTGCATCAATCTGATATCGCTGCTGATGTAAGGTGATTGTAATCGTATCGTCTATATGAATCGAACCGAAGCGAACCGAACTCCAAATTGTATAATCGTGATGGTATGATATACTATATCGTGCGTCGTAAATACCTTGTTCTAGCTGTCAAAAAAAATAAAAAAAATATGCAATTGCAATGCAACCGCTTAGACCAGTAGCGCGAGCGAAGCCGAATACCCGTCAAGTCAAAAACTCGAACTAGTCGACTCTGCGGGCGAGAGACCCCGAATTTATTTTATTTTACATTACAACCTTCTTCCTTGTATATCCCTCATTGTTAGCATATTATTAATTAGGTAGATATAAGATATATAAAATATATAAAATAAACTCATCAATTCGTATTTCTTTCAACGGTTCAATGCACAGTAGAATCAATACGCGCTCGTATACACGCATTCCCCCAGACCAGCGCATTTACCGGACCTATGGGGATCCTAGGGCATGAAATCCCAACTTGGTGTTCGTCTTGTTGAAGTTACAAACCTTCCTATGTTTAGACCAACCTGAAGCGCCAATCAAGGAAACCGAACCCGAACTCGTTAATTAAAATATTAATCACCGCCGCCAGTTCACATGGTCAATTACAATGCATTGCACGCCGCCGCCAGGATCCAAAGCTCCGGTTAGATATTTTAGCCTAGGCAGGTATTGTAATGTGATCGTCGACCCCGCAAGGGCTTCTAAGAATATCAACGTTTACATTGTAAAGGACGACAAATGGCATGATTTTTCGTGGCAACGATATATATTCTCAAACGCCAACTGTTGAAGCCACCGCCAACTTGCAACATTGGACGAAAAAAAAAAAAATCGTGAAGGGATTAGTTACTTTGGCTAAATTATAAAGTGTACAAGTGGATACGGCTATACTTGACTATTACGACCTTATTGCGTAAAAATTATAAGATACTAGCACCGGCGGTGGTCTCATTGAGATCGATTTCCGTCCTTGAATGCCCGCACTTCATGAAGATCAGGACTTACGTCCCCAGGTTTCGATTTCTTTTTCGGAATTTCCTCTGCATTCAAGGGCCCTTTCCTCCGTTATAGGATAATAGGAATGTCGACATGTCTGCGAGATAACGGCCTGAAACTTCACAATCACAGCTTGCCACGACAGTATACTTGGTTGTTTAATCTTTTCATAGCACAATACAATATTAGAAACTCCGTTTTTGATCCAAATTACGTAGCTCGATCGAAAAAGCTTTACTGGATTCACCAAATGCGCTCTTTCCGTTAGCATTCGTAGGGCTGTCATGGAAAGAACCACCACTATCACGTCAACTAAAAGACCAGATAAAACACCTCAAACCGACCCCTTCATGTCACCAATGACATACATCCATAGGCCGGCCAGGTCAGAGCGTCTACAGATAGACGACCAAGCTGGGACACACGCTTGACTCTCGTACCTTGCAGTTATGTAAACCACCCCCATTTTAATCGAACGAATCATACACCCCAGACACCCCCCAAAAAAAAGCTCCCCAATAAATTGAAGCAAAAAAACTCGGGAGTTTTGACCAATCCCAGACGACGGTTTACCCTGCAAGGGGTCGGTTGTGCGGTTGCTTCCTGAAACACCTGCTGGTCCGACTCCCACAGCCCTGTTGGAGCCAGATTTTGTTTTTTTTGTTTTTTTGGGGGACCTTTTGGTTTGGGCGGGAAAAACTTCTTTGTGTGTGGTTTTTGCACTGCCCTTTGCTAGAGGATTTGAAACGGCGCGCGGGCTAGAGAGGATTGGGATAAGGATTGATTGATTGATTCTTTCTTTTTCTTCTGTGCCTTATGAAGCTATAATTGCGCACGAATGAGGCTCCTAGCTGAGGATGGGTGGATGTCATATGCATATATGATCATGTGGTTGCAATTGGTGAGGGCCGTGTGGTATTTTCATGCCAACACCATGACCATCCCAGTATGGATAGGATACTTGGAAAAACGATCACCAAAAAGTACAACAAAAACAACACCAGGATGGATTCGGGTTTGGGTACAAGATATAAATCTTCTCCTGTCCCCTCCCTGGCCCGGAATATATTATTTTATTCTCGAACACCCTATATAAGAACATTTTAAAATACTTTATAGGCTCTATTCAGTTGATGAGAATAATGAGTTTGTGAGAATAAATCTATTTATTCAATCAAACCCAACCAAGGCGAAAAAAACATCTAAAGAAAGATTACCATAAGACTAGAGCAGGCTTCTAGTTAGATTCGTCCATTCTTACAATTTCGTGTGATTCATCCAAGCAATGGGCCCCGACTTCAACACAATCAAGACAAAGATCGAAGTCCCCGTCAGCGCAACTTCTACAGTGGTAAAAAGCAGAGTTTTTTAAAATATCCAGACGACAAACATCGCAACCCCTACGGCCCTCATCAAGTCCATACCGGTTTCTCAGAGGTACGTCCATGTCAGGCAATATTATTCCTGTGCGCTTCGCATCTTCAATTAGAAGGTGCGCTATATTGTGATGTCCCTGCCTCTTCGCCCACCATATGATACTCCTACCAAATGCATCTTCGCTCTGTAGGTTCACGGCATTAGTTGCAAGAAGCATCCTAACCACTTCTTCATACCCCTTTCTAACTACTATTGATAGCAGTGTCGACCCGTAACTATCTTTACGGTCTAGTTCAACATCCCCAGCTGCGAGTATGAGCTTTAAAAGCGCCGTCTTTCCGCAAGATGCTGCATATTCAAACGGTGTCCAGCCCTCCAAAGCAGGAAGGTGAACGTCGGCGCCATTCCTCAATAGTAGCTCCACTACCTCGTTGGAAGCATGACACATAGCAAAAAAAAGCGGTGTAAAGTCATTCTTATTTTTTAAGTTGATTTGGGAGCCATGGTCTAGTAGGAACTGTATCATTTCCTGATTCCCTCGGAAGATAGCAAAAAACAATACTGTATTTCCATTTATATCCCTTGAGTCTATTGATGCACCATTTCGCAACATTAGTTCGACTACTTCCTTTTTGCCCTCTCCCGCAGCTAGAAATAGTGGCGTACGATGGTTGTCGTCTTGAATATCGACACTGGCGCCATGATCGATGAGCAGCTGAATGATTTCTGTACTCGTTATTTGTACCGCTTGGTGCAGTAGCGTCCGTCCATGAAGATCTATTGGGTCGTTTGTGCATATTGCACCGTTTTCCACCAACAATTTAACCGATCCAGCGTCCCTTTTATAAACTGCTGCATCCAACGGCGTCAAATTGTATCCTGCACACTTAACATTGACATTTCTCCCACTGTTTAATAAGCGTATCGCTTCTTCTTTGGAGCCGGAAGCGACTGCTAAGAATACAGGGTCAAGTTCTGCTATTCCGTAGACTCTAGCGCCGCGGGTTAGAAGCTTCTTGGCGGCATCAATACTGAAGAAGAAAGACTCCAAAGTTATTAATCGGTAGATATCATTGGCTGAACTAACTTTAACACCACTTTCCTCTATTATGTCCAATATCCCGTCTAATCCCTTCTCAGCAGCCCGGAGTAGTGGTGTTCTTGTAGTCGTAGTTCCACTAGCGACAAACCTCGACCAAGCAAAATTAATGTAGGCCTTAACCCGCATCGATATATCTAATGTCTGATAGACATAAAACACGTGTGTTTCTAGATCCATGACCTTCTCTTCATCCCCCTCTCTTCGGCCAAACAGATATCCAAACCCTCGAAGGGTTGGATCGTCCGAGGTGCTTTCCCGCAAGTCATTATAGGATCGATGCAATGGCTTATAAACGATCTCGATCCTATATTCGAAGTTCGGTTGGGCTCCCTTTCGGAATAATAGTCTGGCAACCGCCTCCGAGTTTCCCTCGACAGCAAGGACGAGCGGGGTGATGCCATTTTTTGCCCCTGTCTCTGTATCCGCGTCGTAGCTCAACAAAAGTGAAGCAACTTTCTCATACCCTCCCCAGGCTGCCCAATGCAGAGATTGCAATCCATATTTATCTTCTGCATCGACTTGAACCCTGCCAGTTTGAAGAAGTCGATCTACTATGAGCTCATATCCATTTTTCGAAGCCCACAGCAGCGCAGTTCGGCCATACATATCCCTTTTCTCGGGATCGGCTCCCCTCGCGAGCAGCAGCGTGACAATAGTCACATTTCCGTATCGTGAAGCATATATAACTGGTGTCTGCTGGTAGCTGTCTTCTATATCCGGGTTGTATTCAGCTAGTAGGGAGTTTACTATATTATTGGCTCCGAAATATGCCGCCAAGTGCAGTGCAGTCACCCCCCGTGGAACGCGTTGGCTATAGCCATGGCCAGTAACTCCCCGTTCCAGAAACTCCGGGTACCCTTCTCTTATACGTTCAGTTAAGACTGCTTGAGCTGCCGCCTCTACGTTTGATGCGGACCTGAGGAACTTTATGACGGGTTGAGAATTCGCAGCTGCCGACATATCGCGGGCATGGTGTCCCCAATTTCTCGTAGCATAGTCGTAAAGCGGGTTTAGTTGCATGCGAAGTTTGAATTCGCTATCGGACGAACAGAATCCACTACCAAAAGCGGAGAACGATAAATATGTCGTACAAACTGTCAAAATTTCTGCGTCCGCATTTGGGAACCATTTCATTCTCTCGCGTTGGAGGTATTCTTGTGTGGTATAGTGAATTAGACGAACCATGCCGCTTTGGTTGTCAGACCTTCTGCCGCTCTCCCTTTCAACAGTGACGAGTCCACAACAAACGGAAACAATAAATTCAATATCAGAAATATTTTCTTCTTCGAATTCCGTATCATCTATCTCGACTGCTAGGGCGTGTAGTAGTTCCGAGCTATTCAATGGTCTTTTAGAGCATACGATCCAGGAGAGAGTTTGTTTTGCCAACTCTGCATGGTCGGTTCGCTGCCCGACGACTCTTTCCATCGCGTCATCATATGCCTGATCATAAGACCCATGTCCTGCTGATAATCGGGAAAGCACCTTTTTAATGGATGCAACGGACTTTTTCCCTATCAATGAGTCCATGTGCAGTCGAGCCAGGAGGAACCTAAAGTTATCAGGTCCTCAGCAATATTCACGTGATACTTAGAGACGCCGTAAACGTAAGATAAATTTGTACTTACATCCCATCTACTGATCCACTGATAGATTTTCTGATTCCTTCCTTCAAATCCGAATTTTTCGCAACAAATCGAGGTAACTCTCGCATACGGCCATTCAAGTATCTATTTATGTCTTCACTGTGGGCTTCTATTTTCAGTTTCCTGCTTTCTTTGAACTCGCCCGCGATCTCAGGGATGGGTCTAGAGGTTACAAGAATGTTAGCACCAGACTCACTCTGGAGATCAAGTAATTCTTCCAGAAGTTTTGTGCGGCAGTCGTCATCGGTTTGGCATTCATCGAGTGCGTCCACAATAAAAAAAACTCTCGTATACAAGGCGACTACAGATCGAAGGGCTTTTATAACCTCATTCTGTAATGGCCTTGTCTTGGGCTTTTGATGTTTGAAGTATAGATCTTCCACTGCATCTGGTGAACAGCGTGGACGTGTCTGAGCCAATTGTTTAAGCAAGCTCAAAAGCAGACTATCTATTTTTTGTTCGCCTCCTCGACGGAAATCAAAGTAAATATAAGATACCCCGATTGTGGGGTCTTTGTCGTGTTCTTCAAGAAGATAATTGATGACAATCGATGAGAGGATTGTTTTCCCTGCTCCAGGTATACCTGGGCAGAACAGTGTTTCTGCACGAAGTCGGTGCCATTCCTGAAACTCATGCGAGTCTAGAAACCACTGACCAGTCTCGGGCCCTCGTCTCCCAATGTGATCACTCTGTCGCGGAGCATAGTCGATAAGGGTAAGCCAGTTTAGCATCTTCTCTTCTTCTTGACTTTGTTGGCGTCTATTGATAAGTTCAGCCTTCGTCGCGATCCCCGAAACTTCACTATGAAGCTCTCCAAGAACTATTGATTCAATTGTGATCATTAGTGATTTAAATTTAATTCGGAACCAATTCGTCGGCAACCCCAGTGTAGGGGTATCCTACGTACGCTTTTCTATATGAACCCCATTCCATGGTTCTAAAGGAGCTATTTTCTCTGGCGTTAACACACATAAGAGCTCTTTTGCATATGCAGCAGCGGCAAGAGCGGCATAGTTGTGCCAGTTATCGTTTTTGTGTGAATCTGAATAGTCGCAGATGCCTCGAATTATAAGGCAAGGGAAATTATTCATTAAACCCCCCGCTTCCATTTCGAAACATAAAATATTTGATTCAGAACCAGCATACTTATTTCTTTCCACTGCATCCTTCATAACTGAGTTAGCGGATGCAATGGTGCCATAATGAACTGTGACCGCTCGTTTTCTTTGACGGACTGGACGTTCCTCTAATTCGTCATCAGCACACTCATCGCAACCCCCCATCGATATCTTCCCTGATACATGTTGGTAGCTCGAGCGATATAGTTTGTCCTCGCTCGGACGCGTAAACTCCGGCATATCATCCATCAAACTGATATGTTTAGCAATTCCATCTAGCTCCAGAGGGTCCTGATGAAGCCGTATCATCTCGGGAATAACTTTGAGAAGAACCCCGGGAGGAGCATTCAATTGGCCAGACTGCTGGAACAAGCCATTCGATAACCGCTTTCCAAAATCATATTGTACAACGCCACCGCATTTTCCATTTGGGACTCCCACGACAACATCACCAAGACGAATATCATTTTTTGGTGTTGGTGCACCGCCTCCGATTCCCACCATCAATGCGAATTTTAAGCTTGGGAACGATCGAACCATATCTCTTGCCGTGGTAGCAGCAGCGCTGGTGCCGTAGCGCCCATACGGTAAGCATACAATTATCACATTATGCCCACCAATACGGCAGTAAAAGTAAGTGTTCTCGTCGTGTATCTCGTTTTCTTTCACCCCACTAAACCGTTGATCACACATTCGAGTTGCGGCGTGGTATTCTTCCTGCAGAGCACATATCCATCCTACTGTATAATCCTGGATTCGTGGTTCTGACATAGTGAGTTTTTTTTTTTTTTCAAATAACCAATACTGGGCACGCGCGTATAGCACTAAAACTTTTGGACTTCAGAGGTGAATAGTACGCTGAGCATAAAGAGGAGTTGAAATATTTTATAGAGAGGCTTGAGGCCGAGGCTGTTGACTTTACCAAATTCCCTCAGGAACCGGAGCCGGTCGAAAGTCCCAGTTTTTATACCTTCAATGCAGCTACTTGACGGCTGTAAAAGTTCATCCCCAGTTAGATTCTTTTGTTTCTGCTTTTAAATTTGTGTACAGCACATGTGCATAGCGAAGTATCCACTGCGAGTCGCCGTAAAGCAGACTCAGTGTTACACCAAGAAAACAAAGGACCATGGTTGGCGAATCAGGGATCGTCCCCGCGTTATGGCTAGTGTGTATGCTCGCTCACTTCTGTAACCCCTCTTATCCTTGCGCAACAAATGGCTCCCGGCATGCATGCTTTGGTGCATGTTGCGCTGGCCGGTTGGCTGATTTTTATGCGCTTGATATCCATGGATATCCAACAGTAGATATTTAGCTGACCTACGTCTTTAACTTACGTAGCTTACGAAAAAAATCAAGAAGGCTCCAGTACATGTATGAGACATATTTTCTATGGAGCCTCCCGCTTACCCTTATATGGGATCAGAATTAGTTTAACTAGTCCGCCGTACCGTATTCTAAGATCGATAACTTTTACTCATTCTGCCGCCAAAGAGGGGCTGAATAGCAAGCTACCCCGACTGGAGTTGACCAACCGTTCCATCAAGATATATAGGAAAATTAGAATGATATGCATTTCTGGTTCAGCCTACTTGGCTTTGTTAGGTTGGTCAACTATTTTTTTAGTATATATAAAAAAAGTATTGTAGGTCTATAAATCTATTAATCATGCGGCCGTTGTATGCCCATGTGAAACCTATGCCTATCTTATTTTCACGCCTTAAGCGATTGATAGCGGATGATATAAATATAGTTCTAGGTATGCTTTTAAATTTGATTGACGCCACATTATTACACTGCGACATTTGTCTTGATGGTGAATTTCACGTTGGTATGATATAGGTAGTCATCGATAAAATATAATACCATTTGTTCTATTACCCGCCACAGTTATGGTATGCGGCTGCTTGGCATGTATTTGCGAGCCTCGAGACCAGAATATCCCGAACAAGAATAAAAAAGTTTTCCATGTGTGCCAATAGTAAGATTTAATGAATACAGCGGACATCAAGAGGTAGGTAAATGCTCACTTAAGTATCTGGTTTTGACAATAAAAACATCCCGCCTTAATTATACAACTTCGCGGAACTCCCATGACTTTGACTTTGTCAATTTTCTAAATCGAGAAATGTAAAACCGGCGGCACTTATGGATGAATATGAAATTTCAACTCCAATAATATTAGCCCAGGGTATTCGGAGACAAAACTATCGAAGAAAGCGTATGTCTAGCAAGCATATCGATACCATCTGTCGAAACCCCATTTTTAAAATTTTAAGCTTGCCGAGTGAGTGGTATTTTTGTTTCCCCAATTGCAAATTTAGGCTAAATCCGAACCAGCTAGTACCAGCATCCCGGCATCAGCTTGAGCCCAACAAAGCTTTCATCGGCCGAAGCGCAAACATCTCGTGTTCGGACCGGTCGAAGGCAAAGCAGCACATGACGTCAATTGAAGAAATCCCCCCAGAAATTTGCAAAAGCTTCAAAGCGATGGGAATCGATAACAATCGTCAATGAGTAAGCTGAAGTAATCGGGTTCAATCGATTAGAATTCTAACTAGTTAACGTTAGTAATCCCAAAATACCAAGACATACATACATACATCAATTACTTACATCAATTGATAGGTCTGTTAGCCTTTTCCAGGGTCTCAAAAACGGCTGACCTAGGCTCGACTCGACTCGCGGCATTCGGCCGGATGTGAGAAAGCACAAGTACCTATCGTACCTCCCGTCCAATCCAGCAAAGCATAGGATTCAAACCCAGGCCATTTTGGCTTTGTAAAATGCCTCTTAACTTGAAAGGAACGTGGACGTACTATCTTGTCGAAATAATTTGGCTTAGTTATCACCCTGCAGGTGCTTACACAGTACATACATACATTGCTGTGGACCTAGTTCGCCCCGCCGCCGCCGGAACTAGCCTGGTCCTTGGCCCTTGAATTCCCATGAACGTGCGACACAAGGCGGGATATCGACGGAGACAGTAAAAACCAAGAAGAGTATCTCGAGCTCCCCCACTTAGGATCAATTTTAATTTTTTTTTCGTTGGATCATGTAATGTAATGTAATTTAATGGATGAGGGTTCCCGGACCCCAACGGAATTGTCAATAGCCATGGGGGGAAGAGGGGATTCACAGTACGTGGAGAGAAGTTTATAAAAGGGCGTGGAGGGGCACCACCGCACTCTGGCCGCGTCTTCTTGAGTAGTTCTTCCCATTGCGTAAAGATTCAACCACTTCCATTTTTTTTACTCGGAAAAATTCTCCCGTGAGAGTACGAATTCGCCGATTACAATCGCATAGCATCCGGACGGTATATATAAAAAGGTGAGAGATATAGAAAGTACCGCTGAATCGAATCAGTATTATATTTTGTGGTTGGCATTGTATTGGTGTTGTATGGTTGCAGCTGCAGCGGTTGCCCCTCCTTGATTATATCATAGCTGTCCGCCACCCCAAAATAGCTTTCCAGCGAGACCGGACATAAAAAGCTCCCCCCGCCACCAAACTCAATCTTTCAATTCAATACCATCACCATAACTTCCATTCTGCCAGTTACTTACAATCGCGAACTTTTCTCTTACTAGTTCGACAAAATTCCATCCTACGATTTACAATGGCTTCTTCATTAGATCAACTCAAGGCCTCTGGCACAGTAAGTTCCGAGCTACCCCACCATGGACAGCTCCTGGTTGGAGCGTGGCCCAAATCAAAGGATATGAAAAATTTCTAACTATGTTTTTTCTATTATAGACTGTCGTCTGTGACTCCGGTATGCTATTCAATACCTACTCCTATTTGCCCTTTTCGACGGATCCGGAAGATCCAAATACTGGACCCTACTTTTGGAGAGCTCGGATTGCTGACGGGGGAAATATATGTTGAATGCTAGGCGACTTTGCTACCATTGAGAAGTACAAGCCACAGGATGCCACTACAAACCCATCCCTTATCTTGGCCGCTGCTAAGAAGCCCGAGTACGCCAAGTTGATCGATGCCGCTGTTGAGTACGGCAAGCAGAATGTATGTTCTTCTTCGCATACAAATATATACGCGCATTCTATCTACCGGAGATATGCATACTAAGTAGACTTTATCCTATAGGGTTCCACCATCGACGAACAAGTCGATGCTTCCCTCGACCGTCTCCTCGTCGAATTCGGCAAAGAAATCCTCAAGATCGTCCCAGGCCGTGTCTCCACCGAAGTCGACGCCAGCTTCTCCTTCGACAAGCAAGCTTCGATCAACAAGGCCTTGAGCATCATCAAGCTCTATGAGTCCGTTGGTATCTCCAAGGACCGTATCCTCATCAAGATCGCCAGTACCTGGGAGGGTATCCAAGCCGCCAAGGAATTACAAGCACGGGGTATCAACTGCAACTTGACACTATTGTTCAGCTTGCCCCAGGCCATTGCTGCCGCTGAGGCCGGTGCTTTCCTCATCTCTCCATTTGTTGGCAGAATCTTGGATTGGTTCAAGGCTGCTACTGGAAAGACCTACTCCGGTGCTGAGGACCCTGGTGTCAAGAGCGTCGAGAGCATCTTCAACTACTACAAGAAGTTCGGATATAACACCATTGTTATGGGAGCCAGCTTCAGAAATACCGGAGAGATCGTTGAGCTCGCTGGATGTGATTACTTGACTATCTCCCCCAACTTGTTGGAGGAGCTTTACAACAGCACAAACGCTGTTCCAAAGAAGTTGGATGCTGCTAGTGGTATGTTTTATTAACTCCATAAACCATTTTCAAAAGATTATATCACTGACTGTTACTTTTTTTTTTGTAGCATCCACCCTCGACATTGAGAAGAAGTCCTACATCAATGACGAGGCTACTTTCCGCTACGATTTCAACGAAGACCAGATGGCCGTTGAGAAGTTGAGCGACGGTATCAGGAAGTTCGCCGCCGATGCTGTTACCCTCAAGGGAATCTTGAAGACCAAGTTGTCTGCTTAAACGCATGGCATAAGAGATTGAAAGAAAAAAAATTACACGACACTACCTTGACATCACACGAAGTGTAAAAGCCCCAAAACCCGCTCCCTTCGTTTTCTTTTAAACCCCTTTCTCTCGCTCGGGAAACCTTTCTTTCCTTCCTTTCCTTTTCTTTTAGTTGGCGGCCTTCTCTTCGAAAATTTGTAATGCTGGCCTTAACTTAAGTTTCTTTTTTTTTTCTGGGAAATTATCTGGGATAACGCTACGACTGTACTGAATAGTTTTTTTTTCGAAGTACTTTCGTAGCCTTCTTTCCTTTCTATGTTTTTTGTATTTTTTTTCCCCTCCCCTTTATGCGAGTAAAAAAGAAATGGTTTAAAAAAGCGAATTGAAAGTATATTTTTGGGAAATGCTTTGCGATTATATAAATCTTTTTTTTAGATATTTAGGTTCGTGGTATACGTATAAGTATTCGGGTAGACGTACAGGGAACTTATGCTATTATTTAACAATGTTCGCATGGGGTTTTAAATTTTTTTTGTAGATGTTGTAGTTGTATATGTATATTGTACTACGGATTTGGTGGTATTCAGGATCCGATGTGAATTCGAAGCAAAAAAAACGACGATGCCTATTACGTGTATAAATAAGTAAGTAAGTAAGTGTCTACCTGCTTGTAGATAGTATTATAAGTAATGCTTATTCAGGTAGGTAGCGTTCCACGGGACTTGCGACTGGTTTTGTTAAATATTATGTAAAATGGTAAACTATGGGAATTAGCCTTGCAAATAAGTATATGCATATATATGGTAGTCTCGTATCGCAGACACGGTCCACACTTTGTATATGGTAGTGGGTTAATAGGTACTTAGTTGTAGGATTAGTGTTAGTATATAGACGGTTAATAGATACGGGATAACCTAATATATGCATACGTATTTTGAATAGAGGACCCCCCATATAGTAGCTAAGCAGTTTTTGACTGTATTGGGTTTAGAGAATGTTGGTCGAAGTCGTATGTATAAGTTGGGGAGTCTGGCGACGAGACAAGTCGTATGCAGTCGAATCTGTCTGCACAGTTTGGGTGTTTATCGACGAGACTCGACCTGCTGGATGTTTAATTTGTCTTTTGGTGGGTGATGGGATGGGATCGTACAATGGTTGGAAGCATAGGGTTGGATACCCTCCCCGCTGGACCTTTTTATATTGTCCCGGTCCCCGGGCCCCTCGCACGCATACCTTACTGGGCCTTATGGTTGTATAGTTGGAATTCTTGATATGGAGTCTTCACTAGGCCGAGATTTAGAACAAGCTTATGATGTAAATTTTTTAGAGGGGACTAGAGATTGGCAGTCAAGTATGGGATTACTTATCATATTTATTTCCGGCTCATCCACGCCATTCTGGATAATAATTTACATGGAATGGTGCATACAGCAGGATCCACCTTGGGGGAGGCTAAACGGGAATGAATCCCTTAGCATTACCACTAGGCGATACGCTAATCACCGGAAGACCTAATCTTTCCCAGTTGGCTTGTCCCCAATCGTGCCCCCGACATCGACAAAGCCTAGGGTAATAAGGTCTCTTCCTCTGCAGGGCCATATATTTCCGACAGGCGAGTAACATTCTCACAGCCGCCCGTCTCTCGTTAAGCATAAACGCCGTCATCGCTGCGACATCATTCACGCAGTCATTTGTCTTTTCCCTCAGTGCAAGCAAATGGGAAAGATACTCCTCATAATTCCTCCTCGTCAGAATCCTATTCGAATTGTGAATTTTAAAAACCGCTGCTTTTTGGAGAACCTCGCGGCATTTAAGTTCGGTGGTCAGTCCCCAATAGAAATTCCTGTTGACTAGGTCGCAAAGATATTCTGTTTTTCTCTGTTCTTCCGGGTCTAGATAATAAGGCTGAAATTTCGTCATAGTCCTCAGGGCCATGTGAACGTTGCGGAAATGGTTGAGTGCAAAGTATTCGTTTGCTTCGAGTTGTTGACAGGTTAATTCGATGCTTAGGGATAGGTTGTTCATGCCGTCAATTACACGGGTTCCGGTGAGTCGAACGGGGTTTGAATCTTCCATTTCCATGCGGAATTCGATGCAATCTGAATTTGCCTTTTCGACTGCTTGTTCGAAGTGGTTTAGGTTGGTGATTTGGGGGAGTTCGAGTGCAGCTAGGGTGGCGGGGTCGGTTTGGGTAGAGGCGTCTTGGACGCTTTGTTCTCGGTATACTCCCACCATGTTGAATATTTGGTTATATTTTATAATAATAATAACCTAGTATACTCGAGTAGTTTGTATAGGTATTATTGTATTCATCGATCAAGTTGTTGGTGGGAGCTCGAGGGGGTTAGGAGGACAATGTCAAGTTGCGTCCTGGGATGGGATTATAAGGCGACCCGGCTGGGTTTATTTTACTTTTCCTCCAAAAGAAAGGGACTAGCCATTCACTGCTGCATAGCGGATATAAATACTTAAATATCAGATATATGTGGGAAGTAAATATTTTATTTTTTTTTCCAGTTGGGACCCTCGATTGTGTGTGTCCGATCATGATCAGCGTGGGTCGCATGGTCCGACAATTAATTACAGACCGATCTGCTTAGTATATATAGGTATATAGGGTATCTTAGCTAGCCAGGGTTTGCAATTAATGTTCTTTTATAGAGTACTTCCTATCGATAAATTTATAAATGGAGTTCAGGACCATTAATATTATTTATCTAACTGGACCATTTATCCATTCATACTTTAAACTTTCAATAAGGGTTTCTTGTTGTAATTGTTGGAATTTGGTGGCGGACGACGCACACGAATATATATCGGATCACAGCGTATAACACTATTAACATTGTTCCACGAGTTCTGAGGTCTGGATTTGGGTGCTTCCTCGTTTTGGATGTGTAAGTTGTGTTGAGTCGTGTGGTTTTCTTCCAACCACACTAGTACTAGCTACTAGTATTGTCTGGATATTTCCTATGCAATGGTCATTCTGAGGGCTCCTCCGGCCGCCTGGATTTCTGTTTGGGGTTCATTATGCTGTGATTGCTTTGTTACACTTTTGAAAATTCGGGAAGGGTAAAAGTATCAAAAGAACCTGTTTTTTGAAGCATTTCTTTAAAAAAATTTTCAATTATCATTAGAAGAGATAGAAGTTTTATATCGACGTCGACTGCAATGTTTACTGATTTTCAAGTTACTTGCCGTCTAAACTTATTGATGATGAAGGCAAAATAAAACTTTCCATTGAACTATATATAAAAATTCATAGCCATGTTGTTTGATATGATATGAAATAAATTGTGAACTAAGTTTTGATTTATGAAATTGATACGAAAAGAAGTTGAAGTTGATATCGACGTTACCGGCCTGAGGTTTGATATTACTGTTTTGAGAAATTTAAGCGAGCTAGATCAGTGTCCCGGATCAACATCGATTGCATTGATTTAACAACAAACACTAATATAGCTAATAACACCATCATGTGACCATACTCCTGACTCTGTTCAAATTCGAGATAACAAAAACCATCAATTCTATTTTTATGATCATATAAGTCTCTATTCATTCACCTCTCGTAGCCTATGCTCGAAATATTGGGGACTGATCGTCATAGTTGGCGGCCAGTTCTTTTTCTGTTCTTCGGTTTTCTGGCCCCACATTCTAATGCGGCGCTGGAGGTAGTCGGCTGCAATTATGGCTGTAGATCGAAAGATACCAGATCTTGTTAACGGAAATGTTTCTCACAAGCCACATTATTCGGCAAGCCCATAGAAATTTTGATGAAGAACAAAATCCAAAAAAAGAAAAGAAAAGAAAAGAAAAGAAAAGAAGAAGGGGAAGGGGGTTATAGCTTACCAGTCTCCCTTGGCTTCTCTTGCGGAACTAAATGCCCACAGTCTGGAACGAAATGCATCTCGCAAGGTTGCGGTGTATTAATCATTTTCAGCTCGTTCTTGTTACCCCAATTGATAATACTGTTTTGACCTTGTATATAGCAGACGGGAATTTTCATATCTTTGAGGCGAAAAAATACCTCCTTTGATTCGGTTCTATCCTGCTCGCTTGTTTTCCAGAATGTAAAAACCTCTTGATGTTTTGTAGTACGGAGGGTTACAGCGTTTTCGCCAACTTTTGTAATATCTGGGTAGAGAGGTGTTGGAACCTTACGGAGTCCATATTTCATGTGAAGATCGAGGACTCTAGAATCCCAGTTCTGATAGAAGGGACGGGATTTAAAGAATTCGATGGCTTCTTCGTAAGATAACCAGATATCACGGCGCTTAGCAGATAGAGTTGCAGGATTTGCAGGAGCAGGGCCGGGAAGGGCTGGAAGCGGGGAGATTATAGGGTCGATACCGATAATACAGCTGAATAGGGTCGGATGCATGAGAGAAAGATGAAATATCTGAGCGCCACCCATGGAATGGCCGACTGCAGCTATAGGTCGAACGAATTCATTTGGGAGGTGCATAATCAAAGAGAGAAGATCGCGAGAGTGGTCGAACCAGCTGACTGTATTTCAAATTGATGGTCAGCATGCTTACCGATTGACAATACATAGATTTTGATATATACCTTCCCCACCAAGTTTCTTCTCGTTCAGTACACCGGAATCTCCCTGATTATGGAAATCTGCCATCCAAATACTTCGAATTCTGACGCCTTTCTTTTCATATTCTTCCACTAAACACTCAAAAAAGGGCTCATATAATTCCTATGCATAGGGCACAAGCGGAGCGTTAGCTTTTAACCCTGGTGCAGTCCCAAGATTATATTGGCTCTTCATTCATGGTTACTATATCCATACCTTGTGAAAGGCATTCCCATGCGCAGCAAGTATCGTCAGATCCCCGGGTTTAGGATTGGGATTGTTCACAGGCCTGTAGCAGTTAGCCACAAGTTGGAGTTTATCGCCCCCATTCCAAACGCCACGTATAGGCTCCCGAATAGGAAATGCCGGGACGATGTGCTTTTTGACTCTTAAAACACCGTTACTCGTTGTATACGGTTCGGTATTGATTAACTTCGACGTTGTTGAAAGCGCCCTGGAAGCGACCAAACACAATTTGGGACATCGAGCGGCGTTGTATTTTGTTAAATTCAAGAGTTGGGGACGAGAGGCTAGGAGCCGCTGCTGACGGTGACATTGGACGAGGAAATTCACGCGAATGGGGAGCATGTTGAATGATGATTAAAATGATGGGTCAAAGGTTGCGGGCCTAAGTCTAAAGGGCGATAGGGATAAGATATGGGGGCCTAGCAGGAAATTTAGTAAGCTTATCAGCAACAGCATATATCCTAATCTCCGTGTCTTCGGACTAATCTACCCCCACGTAAAGGATTTTAGACTTCTAAACTGGGAAATTATCCTTTACCGCTGCCGGAGGCATATATAGAGTATGCACATGAACAGGAAAGCCCACTTACTAAATATAATTTCAATCGGTACCTCCGGTATACAGTAGTGGTACCCGCACCTACTATAGTTGGCAAAGTTGTCTAGTACCACATGCACATAACTTGAAGGGGAAAGTTGCTTTCAAGTAACCAAAATGACGGTTAACTGAAGCTGTACTTAACTAAGATGTATATATGGAGCAGCTAGGGTAATGCATATGCATAGAAGAATTAGGCCTTTAGAAATGATGGAGAATCGCAATAAACTGTCCTGGACTTTATATGCGTGAAAAGAAGGCAGGTCTAGAACCGATTCGTCACTAGCTAGGGGCGGCCAGAAAGAAACACCTCTCTGTTATAGAATTATCTTCGACAAATTTCAGGCTAACGTAGTCGCATATGAGACCCACCTCAATACGGCCATATCCGCTGCTTTATCTGCCTACTCGTCCCGGCTTACCTGTTTTCAAGTTTTCGCCGTTCCCGCTGAGCCCAAGTTTTCAAGTGTTTGCTTATATTTTTGGCATCCCTAGGTTCTAACTCTTTCCAAATAAAGACGGCTATCTTAGAGTGTGGAGGCGGCTACCTGGGTCTGTATTCTCTTCACGTTTTGCTCGCGTTCTCTTCCTTGAAAGTAAACATACATTCCGGTTTTTTGCCGCTTTCTCCACTGAGTCCGTCCACTGAGTCAGTCCACTGAAAACCATTTTCCACTAAGCTAAGCGATTGAATATAAAGCACTGTTCATGGGATATATATGCTATCATGATACGCTACGTGGCAGATAGTGACAAGGCGATTGAATTGGATGCCAAAAGTGGGCCGAACGCAAATCTAAAGAGTATGCCAAAAAGAAACAAATCTAAGTTAAACGAAAGACAATGCAGGAGGCAGTGGCAATAGCACTGATAACTCTGGAAGGACGAATCATGTATCCAACCCTGGTGCTCAGAAAGCGTCCTACTTGGTCTCGCTGCAGGTCCTACTAAGCTCTCCTGAGTCTAGTATACATGAGCGGAATTTCAGCACCTCCTGGACCTTCTTTCCAAAGGAGATCTTTTGCCACAACCAATAATTCCTGATAGATTTCATCAACTTTATCGTCTTCAACTCCTGATTCCCTCCACCAATTCTTTATCATATCCCCCATGACTGCTACAAGCCAGTCTATCAAAGCCCCTGCGTAAGCTTTAGCAGCTTCCGTTTTGCTGTTTTCATCCGCATCCTCGAGCTCGCACGCTTTGAGGTATTTGTCATAGGCAGGATGAGGAATCATCTTGCGATAGTATTCCTCCATAACCCACGTATCCTTCAATTCCTCAATTCCAGAACGAAACTCCTCTTCTGATCGATCGTAGATGGGCACATTAATTTTTTCCATAGCTTTCAATGGTAGTTTCCCTTCATTTGCAAGCTTTTCAGCAGCTTGGAACAAAATTCTGTGACGTAGGATGAGAGCATCTTTGTAGCGAGTTATTTCTTCCTCAGTGAAACTGCCAAAGCACGCAATAATGAAATAACCACCACTTTTGATCTCCTGACCACGTAAAGTGAGGAATTCTCTGAAGTTCTCTTCCGCTTCAGGAGCATTTCGACAAGTACGTTTTGCGTAATATTCACTAACTGTCTCAGTTGGTGGTTTGAGAAGTGGCATCCGTTTGAGCCAGTGAATGGTACTGGAGGTAAAGCCAATATCCACGGTTGCAGGAGCAATAACAGGCTCATAGAAGGACCTGGGAATCAAGGAGGGGTAAATTTTCAGAGTGGGGTTGGAAGCAGATAGTTCTGGAAGAAGTCTGATAAGACTGGCGAATTCGTTCGATGGCAGGTCTTCGAAGACGAGAGAAGCGGTGGATGAAGGAGCCATGCGGTTAAGAACACGCTGCATCATGGCTATTCTAATCCAGCATAAGTTGTTACATCTATAATAAATTTTGGATGGCATAAATTATCAACTTACGAGTTACGGCCCTGTGAGCAGCCATAGTCAACTATCGTAAGATTCGATCCTGGAAGTTTTCAGGGTTTAGCAGAGTGCAAATCTCGAGTCGGTTTAAGGTTAATTACCGAGGTTTATATCATCGAACAACGGCAATGAACCCTCCATGATGAGAGTCTGCTGGTGGCAATTTTCATTGTAAGCGTTTCCAGCAGTCATAGGTAGGGTGTTGTTTTGATCCATCTTGAGTGATAGTTTTTGGAGCTTCTCTGAGGCTTGAAGTCACCGAATATATAGGTTAAGTAAGTAAGTAAGCTTAAGTACTGAAATATTTTAATGGGATCTGAAATGTCGAGTAAACTTCAACTAATATAAATGTTACAAGTGGACCGTCTGAACATGCTCCCTTATATAGATGGAACGCCTATTATATGATATAGTATTAAATATTCCCATAAGAGTTAAAAGTCAAAAACTTAAAATAAGAGTAGGCCCTCATAGTCTTGTCTCGTCACCAGACTCGGATCCTCGACTGTACTCATAGTCCCAATATAATTTCTATAATATCTGGTTACTTATTAGGAAATGCTAACCTTGGGAAAAAAATAAAAATGGCAATGGAACACGAACAATAGTATTTATTCTTCAACAAGTTAATATTCCAAATGTAAGATATAGCTCATCCCTGTGACAGAAGCCATTCTCCAGTCTCCGCATTATACTGGTCCCATCGCATATATGCATATGCGCGCATCCCTCAACACTTCTTCTTATTACCCACTCTTGCAGATATCGGATTTGTATGTACATGTTATCTCGACCAATAGTTAATAGCGCAGAGTATGATACGTGCCATTTCTAGCGTTAACATTCTGCTCAGGCCCCCGGCTAACTACGGCATTTGGATTTTGATAGTCTCGTTGTAAGACTTTAGTTGCATTGGCCCACAAAGTGTTGTGGGGCGGGCTTGGTAGTTAAGTGAGCTCTGCCCCAACGTAACCCGGCTGGTTACCTAGTTACCTAGGTAAGCTATAGATGGCTAATTGCACCTGCTACGTATTAAATGATCTGCAGATAGATGAGCAAGAAAGGCATACGATCGAGCCGATCCCGTACCCTTATTCACAGCTGCAGGCCAAGTTCGGACCTTAGCTGTTTCAGATCGTCTACGGAAGAGCTGATCCGTTTTTTGTCGAAGCTTATTTAGAGTTTTGCACTCTTTCTTGTATTTGCGAATATACATCTCCACTAATTTTTGCCACGGCTACTAGTTAGGTTAGAACCTGCAAACGCGGGGCGGGAAAACATGTGGACCCCCGCATATATTTCCCCTTCACATTCACCACCATGAATATGAATTTATTCTCGCGCAAAGAATTAATCGGGGTTCTGGAATTCGAAGTAACAATCATCTTTCCCGATACCCGATCGTACGTTCATTGCGTTAGGTTGCATCGATGCATCGTTCTATCCCTTCAGCTGAAAACCTTGTGATGGATGTTTTTATACAACGTTATTCGCTCTCGCTTGGACCTGCTAAAGAAGTTCATTATCGTCGTGCATGTGCATATGCCTTGAAGATGATTCGTCGGCAATATTATATTATATATTCCCGCGGAACTCTAGAGCATATGCAAGTTGTTTTACTAATAGAATTGTAAGCACAGTAGCTAGTAGGTATCCCATACAAAATATGATATTCTCGTTTTTGATGGGCTTCTTTTAATTCCTAATGTATGTTGCACTAGCCCCAGTGAACGTTGGGGGTCTAACAATAGCGGCCAATCTAAGGTTTCTTGCATCTGGATGCGATGGTGCACCTATGCAATCCCAGTCCCAGAAATGAACATTTTCTTTCTTCCATACTGGCAAATTTGAGATATATCTGTCGATGTAGACTTCAAGCTCAGCCGCGTCAGCTTGCCGACAACCCCAGTCCACGAGCATAGAAGCTAAACCCTCTTCTTGATGACAAGGATCCACTGCTAGGAATTCACATCCTACATAATGATTAGAAGAAGAAGAACAATAACAAGAAGAAGAAGGAGAAGGAGAAGAAAAAAGAATCATATCATGTTGTGTTCATAGCGGGTAGGTGAATTCGGATTGTAGGTGGCTTACTCCAATGGGGCCTACGTCCCATAATCTTTTCCCTATTGCGAGCTACATTACCCCAAAGCGCCTCCGTTAACTCAGCCCCCCATTCATCAGGAAAATCCGGTAATGAGGCGTCGATTCGGACTCCTCCCTGCATCTGTGGGACGTTCCATCTAGAGAAGGCGACAACTTTGTTGTCTTTATTTTCAGCGACAAAAGTTTTTACAACGTTTGGTCCAGCCTGAATTCCCACACTCCAAACCTCGTCCCACCACCGGGAGGTTTTAGAGTCGAGATCCAAAAGTAAGCTGGAGGAAGAAAACCATAATCGAGTGAGCTCTTTGGCATCCTCGTTTTTGGCCTCCCTAACTACGAAGCCAGCCGGAGAGTTGTGATAGATGTTTTGCTTATATGGGCGACAATTCTTGGCTATGTTGATCGGATTATATGCATCTCGGACGAGTGTTTCGGAACTATGATAAGGTTCTGTAAGTTAATTATGATCAAGAAATGTGTATATGTGAGGCAGACTATACAGAGTAGCAGACGCGGCGGCGGCTTTGCTGATCAACCGCTCGTTCCTCGTGCCCCTAAGCCAAAAAGGATTTAGGATACTCTGCTGATTCAGCGATCTCTTGATCAAAGCGTTGGCCATGTCTCTGAGTGATTTTGCAGCGCGATCCAAGTAAATAGATGTGTATCCCGGTGATTTTAAATATTTTCAGTATTCCCACTAGGAATAGAGTACGCTGTAGAATCTTTTAAAGAGGACGTCTTCCGAGGGTATCTCCAGTTTGATAGATATATAAAGTAAATTCTTAGCTCCTAGCCTGAATTACCAATCACCACTACCACCACTATTTCTAGACACTCGCATTGGAATACCCTTCTACTGGTAACTCCGGGTCCTTAGGCCGTGTTGGATTTTATGTGGTCCTCAAGTACGTTATGGCTCTTGCTTGATTCTAAATTGTGGTATGCATTTTGTAGATCCGGGACGCCCACTATAGCACTAACTTACTTTATACCTTGATGCGCAGGATTAAGTCGGATTGCTGCACGAAACCTTGTCAAAAAAGTAACACTGCATTTTCAATTTAATTATATAGGCTTATAATTCATTATGATAAAGGTATACGTACAGGTCATATGTGCATATGCATGGTTTCCTCTATCTGCTATACCGAATCTGTAACAAAGCAATCACAGCATAATGAACTCCAAGCAGAAATTCAGGCATGCTGACCATGGACAATACATACTCCTACATAGTAAATGAGTGTGTTTAATCGCCTATTGTGCTGATAAGGTCCTCAAGGCTAGATCCGAATTCAATGCTTACCACAAAAGAGGTGACCAATCCAATTTTGGACTGTTCTTCCGACCATCTTGAGCCGTTAATTATAATACGAACGTCTTCTGCTTGAGGCATTTTCTTTATCAAATCAAGTTCTTTTACCGTAAGCTTCTTTAAGACTATATATACATAACCAATATTCGTTCTCAGCGGAAATTCTCCAATATTCCCTTTTTGTATTGGAAGATATAATACTCGAGGGGTTTATTTTAGAATGTATCCGGTCCGCTATGGGATATTAGTGTAACGTTCAAATAACTCATAGATAAGCTTACAGATATATTTTACTAGCAGTCGCTAAACTTCAGAACGTGGTGCATTCTGATTAGATTCCCGTCTATAGATCTAATAGGTCAATAAGCTTTCTGTTTCCCTATTATAGGTGGAAGATAAACAAATTTATACGGAGTTTGGAATTCTTAAACTTCGGAAAACATTTTTGTAACAAGATACAAATATTTTATATTAATACTATTAATATAGCTTATTTAAGTTCTGTACGTGTACGTGTACCTTACGCGCACTTATTATAAGATATAGCTTCCCGCAGGACACTCTTAAGACAAGGCCTTCTAAATAGCTATAAAGTACATTCATTATAGATAATAAAATCCTTTATATTTGACTGTTACATTTTATATACCTATATATATATATAAATCCGGGTTATCTTCTCGCACTTAAAGGACAACAGGGCCCAGACAGCGTTCTTCGTCAGTTAGAAAGTAACGTATCCTTCCTTCCTTCCTTCCTTCCTTCCTTCATCCATCTTCACGTGACGCTCCCCCAACCTGCTGGTTATTGAGTATACAACCATAAAAGTGACACAATGTCTTACTCCAGATCTGACAAAATTCCATCTTGGATTTTAAGAGCGAGTACTTCGTTACGATAATCAATTGCGCATTTTTCGGCATAGAAAATGCAAGCAGATGCGGATGAAAACATGGCAAACTCCGTCTTTGTGGATACTTAGTAGCTTGAATTTCAAGCCATAAACATAGCGTAAGATTGAACTCGCACCCGTCTTGCCTCCAGACCAGGGTAAGATGAGACTTACCGCAAAGCTAAGACATCTTCCCAAAACATTGATAATTTACAAGCCTCAAGGGAATACAACCATCTTTACCATCCCAACTTAAAAGTTTCGCATCAACCTCCAGATTTCGGATATTAGCTCCTCCAAGTTATCTAGCATGCATATTCCATAACTTTCAACGAGCGTTAGCCGTCTACTGTGGGGTTATATAAGTATCAGCAGATTATCATGTGTTTAATTCAGAACCTCATTCGCAAAGTAACCTTAATCGTCTTAGTCTGGGATAAACTTGGTTAGTCAATAAGCGAACTTATAGCTGGTGCGTTTTCTTCACCTTTTTCCTTATCTGATCGCATTTTTACCAGGGCCCATATTTTATAAGATGCATTGATCCTCTTATAATTTGAGATAACCTTCAATTGATTTCTTTATCAACCACGCGTATTATTGTTTCTAAAATACTACATATAAGTATTTCAAGCAGCAAGCAAGAGAAAATTGATCGAACGGAAACGCGATGATACTGGGTTGAATCAGATAGTCCAAGTTGAACTGGTACTTGAAGATTCCAGCTATTCACATAGACAGTCTTTCTCTGTCACACTCTCACTCTTTCAATTCACTCTTTCAATTCACTCTTTCGATTCACTCTTTCGATTCGCCTTTTCAACCCACTCTTTCGATTTACTTTTTCAATTCATTCTCGCTTTCACTCTCAACTTCCCTTCGCTTTTTTCTTTCTTCTCTCGGTGGGAATTGGACAATGCGGGGAGGGGAAAGGAGGAAAAAGGGATCAGAAATACAAATAAAATAGAAGAAAAGACGAATGCGGGAAAGAAGCAGAAGAAGAACTGTTCAAGATACTGCGTAAGAAGTAAGTGGATATCGAATGAAAGGCGCTCGAAGCGGGATGAAATTGTTAATGTATTAAAATGATGTTGGATTATTATTATCGATCGGTAATTATTAAACATTCATCGGAAAAACAAGGGTCTTCCGTAAATGGAAAAGTTAAAAAGACAACCGTGGCCCCGGAAAAATTTCCAGGCATGAATACTTCAGGACGTACTTAAGTACTTATAAACACAGTGTTGGATGTTCTTCCAGAGTAGAAGATGTAGTTCACGGCAGTACCTACCTCCATTCTTAAAGACCCCCCAACCTCCTCTTTTGGCGGCACCTGCTCTCACAATTACAAGTAACATAGCAGTGCCTGCCACTAGTTATAGCTAAGCTATAAGCCTTACTAAATAGCATATTCTGCAGTTCTAAGTCTTTATATATCAAGTCTTCCCTTTATTCCCTACGGAAAATATTGAGCGCACGGCTCTTAACGCAAGGATTAAAGCTATTTGATAGAGCTCCATATGCATAGGACATTTTTGATACTAAAAAAAAAATAATTAAAACGTTGAAACACTTTTATAAATTAGGAAGTTAATAGATACAGACTTTCAAGCTACAGCATTAGATAAGACGTAATGTGTCAATATACGCAGTCTCGGAGACGAAATGACGGATATTCATCACCGCCACGGTTGTTTTATTCAAATTGCCGACATGGCATTAAATCTTTACCCGCTCAGCAGCCAAAACATGCTTTTTCACTTCCACAAAACTGTCTGGACTCACAGATATCGAATTAATACCCGCATCGACTAGGAAAGCTGCGAACTCAGGATGATCGCTCGGTGCCTGTCCACAAAGTCCTATCTTTCGCCCAGCCTTACGTGCCTCAGTAATGACCCTGGAGATCATCCACTTGACAGCCTCATCCTGCTCATCGAAGAGATCTGCCAGCTCGCAAGAGTCACGATCGACGCCGAGAGTCAGCTGGGTCAAGTCATTGGAGCCAATCGAGAATCCATCAAAGTGCTGAGTGAACTCCTTGGCTAGAATGACATTGGATGGGATCTCGCACATGACGTATACTTGCAGTCCGTTCCCTTCGCCGCGAAAGAGACCGTTCTCGCCCATGACGTGAAGAACTTTTTTTGCTTCGTTGATCGTCCTGCAGAATGGGATCATTACAATGGCGTTGTCGAATCCTATGTCCTCACGCAAGCGCATAATGGCCTTGCACTCAAGATTAAAGCCGTCCTTGTATAGTGGCGAGTAGTATCTAGAAGCACCACGGAAGCCAATCATTGGATTCTCCTCTTTTGGCTCGAATTCGGCGCCGCCAATGAGACCAGCATATTCGTTTGTCTTGAAGTCGCTCATGCGGATGATGGTTGGCTTGGGATACACCGCGGCACAGAGGGTAGCAAGACCGCGGGACAGCCTGTCGACGAAGTAGTCTGGCTTGTGGGAGTATCCAGCTGTGAGTCTGGCAATCTTATCTTTGGTAGCTTGGTCCTTGATCTCATCGAAGCGGACGAGGGCCATTGGGTGGACCTGGATGGCATTGGTAACGACGAATTCCATGCGTGCGAGACCAATACCATCGGCTGGGAGTTGCCACCATCGGAAAGCAGATGCTGGATTGGCAAGGTTGAGCATGACATGGGTCTTGGTTGGTGGGAGGTGTGTTACGTCTACCGTTTTGGTTGCGATTTCGGATGTGCCCTCGTAGACAAATCCAATGTCCCCTTCAGCGCATGAGACGGTGACATCTTGACCAGTGTGAAGCACAAAGGTGGCAGTGCCAGTACCAACAACTGCTGGAACACCCAGCTCTCGGCTGACGATGGCAGCATGGGAAGTACGACCGCCATGATCAGTGATGATGGCTGCAGCTCTCTTCATGATTGGAACCCAATCAGGATCTGTCGCTTCGGTAACCAAGATAGAGCCATCCACGAACTTGACGATATCCTTGGCGCTCTCAATGAGACAAAGGCGGCCGGAGACTGCAGCAGCGCCGATGGAGAGACCAGTCGCAAGGGCTTTTCCATGCTTGCCGACCTTGAAAGTCTTGAAGATACCGGCAGTCCGGCGAGACTGTATGGTTTCGGGACGAGCCTGGACGATGTATAAATCTGCCGTGGTACCGTCCTTTGCCCACTCGATGTCCATGGGGCACTTGTAATGCTTCTCAATGATGCAAGCCCAACGAGCAAGTTGAAGAATCTCTTGATCATCCAGAACGAATGCTGCCCGCTCTGCCTTGGACGTTGCAACGTTGCGAGTTGGCATCTTCTCGTCGCCGTAGATTACCTTGACTTCCTTCTCGCCTAGCTTCTTTTGAATAATCGGAACGGTCATTGTATCGGCTAAAAGTGGCTTGAAGACCTGGTACTCGTCCGGATTGACTGCACCTTGAACGACATTCTCACCGAGACCCCAGGCAGCATTGATCAAAACAACTTTGTCAAATCCACTTTCCGTGTCAATAGAGAACATCACTCCGGAGCCGCCAATATCAGATCGGACCATGCTTTGGATGCCGATGGACAAGGCAACCTTTATGTGGTCGAAGCCTGTCGTTTGGCGGTAGCTAATAGCTCTGTCAGTAAAAAGTGAGGCATAGCAGCGACGACATGCATTGAGAAGAGCATCAACCCCAGAAATGTTGAGAAAAGTGTCTTGTTGTCCAGCAAAACTAGCACCTGGAAGATCTTCTGCCGTAGCGCTGGATCGTACGGCAACGCTGAGATTCTCTACTTCAGCCTTGGTGGAGAGCTCCTTGTACGAGCTGATGATCGCCGTAGCTGCATCTGCAGGCCAGTCTCCACGAAGAAATAAATTTCGGCAAGCCTGTCCAGTTTCTGCGAGTGTTGCTTTTCCGGATTGCCATTCTGAGATGAGCGTATTCATCTTTTGTCTAATATTGTTGGAGTCGACATAGTTCCAGTAGCAGTCGACAGTTGTAGCGAAACCAGGCGGAACGACGATACCCTCAGCAGTGAGAGCACCAATCATCTCTCCAAGAGAGGAGTTTTTGCCGCCAACCAATGCGACATCTTCGCGGGCTAGCGTCCTAAAGTTACGAACGAACTTGAGCTTCAAATATTCCGTGCTGTTCATCTTGTTTGTCCTCTCGTCGATATGAACTGTGGATCGGGAGCATAGGACAAGAAGTGTACTGACCTGTGAAAACAAAAGTCCAAAGACCAGAATTCAAGTTCCTTCGTAGTAAAGCTAGTATTTATCTAGCTTCGAAACGGCAGTTGGCGGCAATGGTCTGGCGCATCCATCCTACAGATATCAGCTGTAAGTACAATTCGCATTTGATGACGAGAAATAGAAAGTCGAGTTGTTGGCGTCTAGTGGATGCTTGCAGCCTTTAGATCGAAAGTTGTCACACCACTTCTATATCACAGAGGCCTTCGGAATAGAACTTTGGCTTAAAGCAGTCATGTAAAGAAACTATAGAGGCTTTAAATTGATCAAATACGACCATTTCATGCTTGGTAAGCATTCATGAAAGTGGGGTTATCGCATTGCAACAGCATGAAAACTTCTCATCATCATTGAATCAATACTCACACATGAGTCTGCTATACCCTGAATCAAATTATTCAATTAGCTAATTTCTTTTTCTGAATCGTTGAGTGGTTAATTTGCAATAAACGGTAAAGGGTATATGGACTGGACTTGAGCACGGCGAACGGAATTCATGATAGGTTATCACATGCATCGGGAAGCCTGATAATCAAGTATATAACTACTTAAGTAGCTAAGGAGTGAAGAATAGATGATGAGGTCGAGTAACGTTACGTAGAAGCTTAGCAAATGTATATGCGTGGATCGAAGTGCATTCGTGTAATGTCGGGAGATCAATCTTCGGTAGCAGGGCCGGGGTTTACCGAGCGAGACTTCTTAGCGGCATCCATAAACTCTCAGAAACTTTCGTTCGTATGCTGTGAAAATATTCGTGATAACGCCATATACCATATTGATTCGCGTTGGTGGTGTGATTCGGAGGCCGGTGGGTTTCGTTACTACACGTGGTGGATGGGAAGTGAAACATCCCAGGAAGTAAAACACGACGACACACCTCAACACATAGCCTCGAGCTCGCGTTGGAGAATCTACGCTACGAAGGAGCAGCAGTTTATGAAAATACACTACTGAAGAAAACAGCTGGATACAGGTAACTGTATGGAGACTGGACACCAGAATCTCAGGAAACGTTCAACAATGGAAGGGAGTGAAGAGAGGAAAATTAAGTCTGATACCAACGAATATAAAAAGAACAATATCAATACTGCATAGGATGATGAGTTGATTCAAATAAAGAACTTGATAAGTAGTTAGAAAGCTAAGTTATCCAATTAATTCAGCCCACTTACAAGAATGGCTACAAGCCCGGTTGCATAAAACGACCCGTCTGGATGACTGCATCAGGCTAGTAGGTGGATGGATATCTGCGGCACCATTTCTACAAAGTTCCGAATATAACCAATGTCATGACATTAGCAAAAAAAATTAATTGGAATGTTAAGGATCACTACCTATCCACTAAGTGAAGGCTAGTAGGCCGGGTTTGATAGGGGCGGAGTTTTGGAACTGCAAGTTGCAGTGCCGTAATGCCTGCATACATCAATTGAGAATGGTGAATTCATTTGTGTAGACACAGGTGCCTATCTCATAACCTGGCCTTTTCCTTCATTGCTACTTCACGGATATAAAATAATCATCGATCCTTACTTTCAGTCCATAGTTCTACATAGATACTCATTCAAGTTCACTTAGGTCAGTTCATTTTGACTAGCCTTTTCTACATTGTCTCTTCGACGCCCACCTCGGTGGTACCAAGAAAACTTAGCATCAATGGCGCAAGAAATGGCAGACGAAACTACGATTGTTCTTTATCTCTTCAAGCGTCTGCATCAGCTCGGCATCCGATCGGTTCATGGAGTTCCAGGCGACTACAATCTTGTCGCATTGGATAACCTTGCCGATGCAGGGCTCAAGTTAGTATACTTTCTCGAAATTTCCCCCTTACAATGTTATTTTATGGTTGCTGATCGTTGGATTCGGATTCTGATAGCTGGGTCGGGAATTGCAATGAGCTCAATGCCGGTTATGCGGCCGATGGATACGCCCGAATTAAGGGAATATCCGCTTTAATTACTACCTTTGGTGTCGGTGAACTATCAGCCCTTGCTGCGGTAAGACTATCAAAACCGTCCACTTCTATGTCAACCGATGCATGCTAATCCTTCCAGGTCGCCGGTTCATATAGCGAACATGTCCCGGTCGTCCACATCGTCGGTACTCCATCTACTTTGTCTCAAAAGATGGGAGCAATTCTGCATCATACCCTTGGAAATGGCGACTTTTCAGTGTTTGCGAATATGTCGAGGAATATCTCGCAGATTGTGGTCAATCTAAATGATCCTACTATCGCTACGAGGGATATTGATCGTGCTTTAAAGGGTAGATATAAGCGTGGATTTCAACGGCAGTGCCTGAGTTAACGATAATTCCAATTTCCAGCGTGTTGTGTCACAGCCCACCCGGTTTACATCGGTATAAAATCACTACTGAGATAAAAGAAACTATTTTAAGTCACTAATACTGTAATACGTAGCTCTACCAACGGATATGGTCCTCCGAAAGGTATCTACTAAAGGGTTAGATACCCCGATCGATATATCTTTGCACCCAAATGACCCGAAAATTGAAAGCGATGTCATCGAAAACATTACTCAGATGATATACGGAGCCAACAATGCTATTATTTTGATAGACGCCTGCGCTATCCGACATCGTGTTGTTGAAGAAGTTCATGACTTGATTGATAAATCTCAGCTACCTGCTTTTGTTACGCCAATGGTATGTTCCCCGATTAACTCAATGATTCATGTGGTAGTAGGCTAATGATGATATGTAGTCAAAAGGTGACATTGACGAGACCAATTCTCGCTTTGGGGGAGTTTACGTCGGTTCGGTTTCCAGATCGGATGTTAAAGAAGCCGTTGAATCCGCGGATCTCATTATTTCCATTGGCGCATTGAAAAGCGACTTTAACAGCGGCGGATTCACATATCATACTAGCACGAAGCATACGATTGAACTTCATTCTGATTACACTAAGGTAGTTTCCCGGCTCCAAAGCTGGTGGATATTTGCTTACAAAGGATCAAGATTGGCTATGCCACATACCCGCATATTAATATGAAGTCTGTTCTTCAGAAGCTCCTGAGCTTATTGGATTTCCACAGAATCCGTCATACAGAGGGCGCTAAATCAGATCTTCCAGAGCTTAAAAATGAAGATATGGAAAAAATAGAGACTCGTGAGATCACACATTCATGGTTTTGGCCGCATATCGGGAACTGGTTGGAAGAAAACGATGTAGTTGTCACAGAGACGTATGCCAAAAATATGGGTTTTTGGTAACAGAAAAGAATTTGCTAATTAATATGGATCACAGAGGCACGGCAAATTTTGGCATCATTGAAACCCGCTTTCCCAAAGGCGTCACAGCCATCTCTCAGGTCCTCTGGGGTTCAATTGGATATTCCGTGGGTGCTTGTCAGGGTGCTGCATTAGCGGTTAAGGAGAGTCAATCTCATTTCCCTCGCAGAGTCATTCTTTTCGTTGGTGATGGTTCCTTTCAGTTAACTGGTAATGAAGTTTCGACTATGATTCGTCAGGGGCTTAAACCTATTATTGTGATTATCAATAATGAGGGGTATACTATTGAGCGAATGATTCATGGAGAAAATGCGGGGTATAATGATATTCAGCCTTGGAAATATACAAAGTTTTTAGAAGCGTTCGGGGCGAAGGAGTATGCGAATTATGTTGTTAGGACGAGGGAGGAAGTTGATAAGTTGTTTAAGAAAGGGAATGAGTTCTCGAAGGCGAATAGGATTCAGGTGAGAGGCCTACAACTATCGCGGGTAACTGGGATAATTCTTTACGGTGGAAACTTATTAATATCGTCGTTTCGTTTATAGTTGGTTGAGCTTTTCATGCCAAAGCTCGATGCCCCACGTGCGCTCAAGATTACTGGAAAGATGTCAGAGATGCTTAACGCCAAGATGGCGGTTCTGGATAGTTAGAGGTGTAAGGGTGGCAATGAAGCACACCCTACTCTACTGTAATGGTGCAGAAACTTCAAGAAACTTCAAAATTGCCGGTTTCTCGGAAGCGCATCATCCATCCGGCAGCTTGCGCCCTTGACGGTAGCTCCTTTATCATGCGGTTTTGCTCATAGTTTTCCTGGTTTGCCATGCCTGTACAACATTTAACGGGCGTACGATGTGGCATAATTAAGAATGCCTAATATTCAAGCTGCTAAATGAAAAGTTTTAAATGAAGTAATTATTTATTATTTATATAGGAAAATTATGGGCATAAAATTTAGGAGTAAGAAATTCGTGTTACCTTACAACCATTCAATGACTATGATCATACTAGGGAGTCACCGTTTAATCCACGTCATTCACTGAGATACAGTATTTGGGCCCTGATATTTATTTTGGCATCGAGGCCATCGGTTTCGGTATTATCTCAGCATGATTGAATCAGCACTCTTTGCCTCACGAACGAAAATAACAGTTGGTATTTGAAAATAGTGTTCATTTTTTTGAGTAAAACCCTAATACCTGATTGCAAAGTCGGGACCTCCTTCAAACCTTACTACTTGTTAGAATCAGCTGTTAACACGACGAAGAATCAATGGATTAGAGTGCCGACGAAACTCGGGTATTTTCCTTTAAACCCGAGAGGCAATCACGTGACTGGAAGCCAAACCAGGGCCGCTCCAAAACTTCAGGTGCTTGCAACACATTTATCAGAAAAACCATGGTCATCAGTAAACGGCAAAAGCAAAGGACAAACTAGAGGAACCAAGAAGCAAAGCCTGTGCTCCAGAAGAATTTCCAGGCATGAATGCTCAAGTACTTACAATTATAGTGTACATACCGGAAGATCAATCTTAGAGCTGGTTAATGTCCTACAGAGCCTATCTTCTGAAGAATGTTGGAGACTGATAGAATCTAGCCGGTCATTTGGTATGTAGTAATTATATTTAAAATCTTACTAACTCAATTTATAAAACAAAGCTAAACGATTAAACAGCTCTGGGCTAACGTGATATTTCTAAGGGTTAACTGGAAGTAATCAAGTCTGTTCTTCATATACTAACGTAATGGCCACGGCCCGAGATCTAGATCTAACGCATGTCATCCCCTGGAGATTAATATGATGACGCCGTGAAAAAAAAAAAGATAAAAAGATAAAAAGATAAAACTGTGTCCGAGGGCAGCGCCTCCCCATGGCTCATACCGCGGAGCCGAATGCCCTAACAAGGTCAAGATATAAGATAGCATCATGCAAGTATGACAAACGGGCCTAGCTGTCTGTGGTAACAACAGCCCTGTTCGAGCCGCGCCAGAATAATTCGAAACTTGTGTTAGCTAATTAGTTCGGTTACCCCTGTAATTGCCAAACCTGCGCTGGCTGTGCCTAGTTTGATAGGTCACATACTTGTAATTACTATGTATACGTAGTACGTAACTATGCACTCGAAGCATCCGTCTCTTTCCTTGGCTTGTTGCACTTTTTTTTTTTTTTTTTTTTACCCCTTTGCCTGTTCGTTCGTTTTTTTTCGGCTCGTTCCTGAAGGGGGATAGAAGACAATAAATAAATTTCCGGTTTCTTTTAAATTTCTAGTTAAAGATCTTGAGATTTTAAATCTTTTAGCTATTCTGGGCATTGGATAAACCGATTAGAAGATATCGATACAAACCAAGGGAGCTTGCTGCACTCACCTCGTATAATATACGAAGCTTACGGATTCAAAAGATACATCGCCAAGTTACACGCTGTTAAGGTTCCTGCGGTTTACCGCCTCACACAGTCGAAAAAAAAAAAAAATCTTTAAAAGAAGCCCCCTGAAAGTTCCAAAAAAAAAAAAAAAAAAAAAAGAGGGTTACGGTTCAAATTCCCAATTGCAATCCCAACGGAAACCTTGTTCTCTGTTCTGGGTCTTGGTTTGATTCTGGTTCGGGTTCCGGTTCTGGCTCTTTTTTCTGGGGTGGGATATCAATAAACTCCGCCAAACGTAGCCACCTTCCTGGCATCTATCTCATCCCTTACCCCAAGCTTCTCGACACTCGTTTTCTTCTCCACGTTTTGCTAGACATATCTTCGACAGCATCCGACATCTTCTCATATAACTGCTTGCTTGCTTGCTTAAAGTATCTGGTATAAAAACTTACAACAAAAGGGAAACTCTCGATATTACCGTAAACCAGCGCAGGACGAGAGATAGACAGGGACAGAGGACAGAGAGTACCGTTTGTCGCCGGTGGAAAGCTTAACCCACGTTTTACCGACAACAACTCATTCGCACGAGACTCCCTCCCTTTGGATTCAGGAGGAAGAAAAGCCTACAGGCGAATCTATAGGAAAGGGTTGAAATATCCACTGAGGATATAGAAATAAACTAGTCTGGAGGGGTGGAGTAAACCGACCACCTACCGTCGTTCAAAAGGACCAAAACGGCGGCGTATGTGGGCGTGTCTTGTGTCGGACGACAGAAAAAGCACACCCCCGAAAACAAGGAGGCCTGTATAGGTCGACATAGACATCAGGAATGATGGCACAGTTATCCGCCGACTATGCTGCCATCCCGAGTAACAGTAGCGATGTGGGATCTAGGCCCGTCAGTCGGGCGTCGAATGTGAGCAGTACGCTGGGGAGCCGGAGTAACAGTCGGAGGTATTTACTTTGCAGCCTTTTTTTTCCCCTTCTTGACCGAAGCTTTTTTTGGGAGATGACGCGAGGGCGAAAGGCTGACGTTTGTGTATACATTATTATAGACCGATGAGACGGCGGAAATCGACGAGTAATCCGCATCAGGGCGAAGCTTCGTTTGCGAGTTCGGTAATAAACCTGTTGAATACCAGTATGTGGATACCTCTATAGATGCATACATTTTTTTTTTTTTTTTGGGGGGGGAAGAACAGTATGACTGACTGGAAAATGCGTATAGTTGTCGGCGCCGGTGTCTTGGCTATGCCCCTTGCGATGTCGAACATGGGAATGCTGCTTGGTATATTCACCATCGTTTTCTCCGGTCTTGCCGCCGGTTTCGGTCTCTACCTTCAAACCCGATGTGCTCGATACGTAGACCGAGGGACGGCGAGCTTCTTCACATTAAGTCAGCTTACATACCCTGGCGCAGCGGTGGTATTTGATGCTGCGATTGCGATCAAGTGCTTTGGTGTGGCGATCAGTTATTTGATTATCATTGGAGACTTGATGCCGCAGGTTGCGCTAGGGCTTTGGGAAGGCGCTGATGAGGTTTCTTATCTTATCGATCGTCACTTTTGGATTACAGGGTTTATGTAAGATCTGATATTCCTGGGTAGTTTTTGAGGGTTTAGAATGATGCTGATTTATTGGCGGTAATAGGCTTTTCATGATTCCGATATCCTTCCTTCGCCGATTGGACTCGCTCAAGTATACGTCTTTTATTGCTTTGGTATCGATTGGATATCTCGTTATCATCGTCCTAGCACATTTCCTCAAAGGCGATACGTTTGACCAGCGTGGAGAAGTCAGATATGTCCACTGGGCAGGCTCCGTGGCATTCTTTTCGAGTTTCCCGATCATGGTATTTGCATATACATGCCATCAGAATGTAAGATCCACACCTTTACAATATTATTACATAGGGACATACGCTAACTGAAATGGGGTTAATCGCAGATGTTTTCGATCTTGAACGAAATTCAAAACAATTCGAAGAAGCAAACTACTGGAGTCGTATTCGCTTCCATTGGAGTTGCAGCTAGCATTTACGTTCTCGTCGCCATCACCGGATATATCTCATTTGGTGATGCTGTTGGCGGGAACATCATTGCTATGTGTATGTATCCGCCCAAACCTTCTTCTAATTTACTCTAGCTAATATATGAATATAGACAAAGAATCAATCGCCTCAACAATTGGCCGCGCCGCCATCGTGATTTTGGTCATGTTTTCTTACCCACTCCAAATCCACCCATGCCGCGCATCAATCAACAACATTCTCAAATGGCGACCTTCGCGAGGCTCCCTCCCCGTATCAGCAAGAACCGTAAGCCTGGCGCACGACCCGATGTCCGACCTTCGATTCGCAATAATCACAACAGTTCTGATCGTTAGCACCTACGCTACCGCCATGACAGTAAACAGCTTAGAACGTGTACTAGCATACGTCGGTTCGACTGGCTCGACATCGATTTCATTTATCCTTCCCGGACTATTTTATTGGAGGATTGCAAGACCGGGACCGGGCGCGAATAAGATCAATCATGTGGGAGATGGGAGTGATGATGAGAGCGATGAGGATGACGAAGACGGCATGTTATTACCGCCTGGAGTTGAGAGGGAGAGTGTGAAGGTTCGACGATGGTTGAGGAGGGGTGCGGCGACGCTGATGGGGTATGGATTTGTCGTTATGGCGATTTGTTTGACGATGAATATTTTCTTCAGTGCGGCGGGGTAAAGTGGAGAGGTTCTCTTTAGATGATAGATGGAGTCAAGGTCAAGGCGCTGAACCTGACCTCGGGATTAGATTTAAGACAGGTGATGGGGTCTTGGGAAAGTTAGACGGTGAAGTTATATTCGGCATGCATATTCAATATGGTTATACGGTTAGTTGCATAGTATTATCGCTACACCCGCGATTGCGCCTTTCGTTTCTTTTTTCTCTTCTTGTTATTGTTCATACTAACAACCTTTTAAACCATGAATGCTTTTTTTAGCAGGAGTTTTTCTTTCTTATTGTTCATTTTTCTCTTCTATTTCCTTCCTTCCTTCCTTCCTTTCTTAACTCCTTTCAAGCTTCTTTGGCGGCCTTGCAATTGTATTCCCTCTTTGCGAGCATTTCACCGTCCGGCTTTTTCATTTTTACTATTGTATATTATACATCCTGGGTTTTTCCTTTTGGACATGAGGAAAAGATTGATAATGCAAAATGTTAATGACCTCCGTATGATTTTCCCTCTATCTCTAGATCTCCTTAGCCGAACTGGCCGTTCTATTAGGAGGATTCTGGGCTGGTCTGTAGAGTCGTATGTTAGGCGTAGTGTCTGTCGCCATACGCTGAATAACATCCAGCGGTCTAACGGACCACTATATGAATGGGTAGGATGGCCGTGTATATTTATGGTCGATGGTGATTGTATGCTCTAGGGCTAGCTGGTGTAATACAGCCAGGCTTTGGAGGTTATGATCGTTCCGTATCGTCTGATGTATGACGTCCAGAGTAGTCACCATAGATCCCATAGGTATTGTTATTGTTCTTCGTCTTCTTCCTCCTCCTCAATATCCCTATCACACTAGATTCATCCTTCCTCTTCCTCTTCATCCTCCTCACCGCTTCCACTTCCATTTCTACTACCTGTACCACTTCCACTTCTACTACCGCTACCACTTCCACTTCCACTCCCACTCTCACTCTCACTCTCACTCTCGGTCCCAGTACCGGCTCCATTAATCTCCAACTCCACGGCCCTCCTCCTAACCACCCGATCACACTTCCCAACCCTCTCATCCCATTCTGCAAAACACTCGTTAACACCTTCAACCCCAACCTCATACCACCTTTCCAAAACCTTCAAACTCCTCCTCCTCAATTCCGCCATCTCCCTCCCCTGAACCTCCTGCATAACCGCCAACTTATCAACCCTAGGTTGCAACTCAATAAGTTTTATAGAAACATCCACATCGGGGACCGCAATATCTCTTAACGACACCAATTGTGACGTCACGCCTTGGACTTGCGGCGCAGCTGATAGTACTATACTGGCTTTTTCTTCGATTGTTAGACCGCCCGAGGGAGGCGATTGGGTGGATGGGAGGATGTCGATGAAGATTTCGGGGTAGGAGGCGTGGAGGGATAAGAGGTCGTGGACGGGTTTGGAATGGTTTGCTAGACGGGTTAGGGCGGCTTCGAGGGCTGAGAGACGGGCGCGGATGGAGTGGTCTCGGTGGTTGATTTTGGCGGCGTGGAGGGAGAGAGGGGTTGAGATGTTCTGAGGGTTGAGGAGGGGGGTGCCGACGAGGGCGTGTTCGATGCGGGAGAGACGGTTGGAGAGGGAGGAAAGGGTTTGGAGGGCGAGGGTTTCGGTGGTTTGAAGGGATTGCATTGTGGAGGGTCAATTGGATGGTGGTGATTGGTGATGGTGATGATGGTGATGATGGTGATGATGGTGAAGGAGAGGAGCTTCAAGCTTGAAGCTGTGGATGTTTAAGCTAAGCTCTGTCTGAGTGGTCTGACGTTTGTGTTGGGATGGTTATATCAATTGTTCGCTTGGATTCGGGCGCTCACTTTCTCTCTAGTAAACCTCAAACAACCATTCGTCAAGATTCAAGATTCGAGATTCGAGATTGTTCAAACACTCCGACAATGCCATCCTCCTGCAAAGAACTTTGTATGTTTTATCGTAATCACCGCCATCATCATCATGCGAAAAGCGCTAATACACAGAAATCACATACGAATCCAGACAACGCCGTGGTCGAATGTCTCCGTGAATCCGACTGTATCAAAAACGGCTACTCGCCCGCAGAATGTATCCGAATGCCGTTGAAGGAGAAATTGCCCGCCCAATGCCAGAACCTGCTGCATGCCTACGGTGAATGCAAGTTGAGTTTTTAACAAAATTACCACTGCTATTACTGGAGATTTAAAAGGGGATATGATATTCGGAGGGTAGTAGGAGGTTGCTGACACTTATAAATTTTCGGATGATGTAGGAGACGGAATATTGATATGAGGTATCGGTTTAGGGTATGTTTCTTACTTTCGTTGATATGGATATTACTATGTGTATACCGGGGAGAGGATATCATGCTGATTGGCTTTAATTGAGATAGGGAAACAATGTGAGTATTGCTCGACGAACAATACGGGTCTTTGCAAAGCCGTACGAACGAACGAATGAAGAAATGGGTATTAACGATATCTAAAGCCTCTCGGAACCGCCCAAGAACTACACCAAAACCAAGAAAGTGTACCGCAGCTATACGGTGGAAGACCGGCGTTACCGCCGATGCCGGGAACGGACGGGAACGATGATCAGAAGAAAGAATAAGATACCACTGCCCCGATCCGAGAGAGGCGGAGAGTCTTCTAGCTAGAGTTTGGTAATATATTTTTACCTAGGTAGGTTTAAGTAAGTGTGCTTTTTGAAAGATATGAACGGAATCGCTGGTAAAGGCTAGAAGCTAATGACTAAGAGGCAATATAGGTTTCAATCGAAATTATGTATTATAGAATTATCACAGACCGCTCGTGCTTCGTAATGCGAGGATGTACATATATGCCTGTACAAATCACCAATTTTCTGTCGCTCCATGGTACTCTAGAAATCTAGACCGGTATGCAGCCGTTTTCTTCTACGACACTCTTACAGCATTTAGATCACGGTATATCCACCATCGATTCTAATATCGGCGCCTATAATTTGGTCGTTAGCTTTGGAGCCTTTGTTTCTTTCTTTGAAAAAGAAAGAAGAAAGAAAGAAATCCGAAGGGGAGATCGGGAGGGTTTAGGTACTAACCGGTTGTATAGCTGCTGGCATCGCTCGCCAAATACACCACTGCCCCCATCAAATCCACCGGATTGCCCATTCTACCCGCAGGAATCCTCGATACCCAGTTATTGTATAACTCCGGTTGCTCATCAATAATCTATACCCCCCAAAATAAAGAAATTAGCAACAAAGGAACAATCCCATATCCCAGGGGTGTAAAAAATGGAGAGAGAATTAATCATATATCTCACCTTCTGCGTCAGCGCGGTCATCATATAACCCGGACTGATACAATTAACCCTAATCCCATGCGGCGCCCACTCAATCGCAAAACTCGCGGCCAACTGCCTCACCGCCGCTTTACTAGCATTATACGGCGCCTGCGGTTGCGGAACATTAACCGCACTCCCACTCATACTTCCCACCATAATAATACTGCCCCCCTGTTTCTTATTCTTAATCCACTCCTTCGCCACCTCAACCGCACAGATATAAGTCCCATCGACATTAACCCCCCACAACTTCTGCATTCTATCATGAGGGTATTCCTCCGCCTTGAAGTTTTCCGTAAACCCCGCACTCGTGACTAGGACGTCTATCCCCGAAGGATGGAGTTCTAAGATTTTTTGGAAGGCGGAGGAGACGGATTGTGGGTCTGAGACGTCGCAGGTGTGGGCTGTTACTTTTGGAGGTGGAGCGGTGGGGTTGGAGGTTGTGTAGATCTTGTGGAGGGTTTCGGCGGACTTTTGGGCTTCGGGACCGTTGAGGTCAACTATGGCGACGTTTGCGCCGGATTCGATGAATGCTTGGGACATTACGTAACCTAGGCTGTGGTATGGGTATTTTAAAGGTTATTATATATAATTATATACTTTTTTTTTGTTATTTCTTTTGTAGAAAATTTATAGATTCAATTGAATTGAAGGAAGGGAGGAAAGGGAAGGTACCCTCTAGCACCACCGGTAACGACACATGTCTTCCCCTCCAGACTGAATATCGGAAGTGTGCGTTTATGAGTAGTCGATATCTGCGCTGGAGCATCTTCGGGGACTAGAGAAGGGTGCTGGTTTGTAATTTCTGGATTGATACGGGTGGCTGCGCCGGCGACGCTGCTGGGTGGTGCCGCGGATGTTGAGGGGGGGTTTATGACGTTCGACATTTTTATGAAGGTGTCTCTTTCTTTTTGAAAATAAATTATAATATACCAGTATTAGGATTAGAGAAGTATGAAGGGCAATCGATTGGCTATATAATTAATCTAGTAGAGGAGTATATTGATATTTGAGGGGGGAAGACTGGGTTTTTAGTTAAGGTTAAGCGGACTCGAGCCAATGATATAGATATATTTATATTTTTGGATTCGATTTCCGAGGGGGGCAATAATACTTTTGCGATTTACAATGAGATGAAGAGTAACGTAACGGTCAATTCGAAAGCTAAAGAAGCGGGGAGTGGCCGTTGATTTTGGGGAAATGATCTGATACGGGACTAAATTAAATATCCGGGGAGGATTATTTTACAGTTTTTCTTATTTAACTCTGTAATTCTTTGATTCTAGATCTCTTTTTCGTTATGGATTTAATGTATTCTAGCAGACTAATACTAGTAGCTTATCGCTCTTGGAAAGAAGCTTGAATACAGTACAAGGTTTCCGGCACGAGGCCCTGGGAGCTCCAACCTTGATAACAAAAAAAGGTTAAGTTAAGTTAGGTTAAGTTGACTGGCGAACTGCCGATGTCATTCCGCAGGTGATTTGATAATTGATAATTGATAAGAGAAAAAAAAACTTGTTCAAGTCAATTAAAACTGGTGTGCACGATCTTCCCCGCAGTTACTCCGGTCAGGAAATGAACTACAGCGCGCGGAGTCGTGCCGGAAGAATCGACAATGTCTGATTTTCTAACAAAAATGTGGAGAAACAATTGAAGTTGGACTCGAGACGAGACAGCGGCGTCGGGATGGGATGTGCCTTTACGCGAGGACAACGCCCAGAATGCAACAAAGTCGCCGGGTATGGATCTCGTGAGCTTGCCGATTCACATAGCTATAATCGGTCAGTGCTTTGGCCACTGGTGCATTTAGCGGTATAATTACTAGTGTAGCGCTATTAGAAGTCTGGGTTTTGTTTGTTTTATGCCTCCTCGAGCAAATATATAAAGAAAGATTGAAATTCGATAGGGACTAGTACTAGTACTGTATATATGTTTTGGATTAAATGAGAAACATCAAGATGCATATATATGGAGGAAGCTGCTGCTAGAAAGCCCATAAACTCTTTTAGTTTATATAACGGCCTTGAAATGAGTCAAGATCCTTCTCGGTTGATTTCTCTTCATTTTCTCTCTTTTTCTTGTTATCCTTATCTATTTTGCCAGTTTCGGTTTCTGTAACGGTTAACGCTTATCTTTTGAACCACCATCGAGGCGAAGCTGGGTTTAGGAACTCTGCGGCAATCGAGCCGTTTTCTCGATATCCTTAGCAGCGAAAGTGAGCAACCCCGTGGTTCGAGCCTGTTCCTTTTCATTTCCCATATATCGGGATGTAACAAAACTGGGAATCGCAGTCGAGGGACCAAATATTAGCATTCACTTCCAATGTAGACGATTTAATATCTAAGAGGGGTTATGCGAAGATATACCTCCAGTTCATATTCCCCCAGCAGACATCTGAGTAAGCTTGAACAAGTTTTAAAACGACCGCATCGACTTCCTCACCCCAAGATGGCAAGTCACGGACCGCTTGTTCCCATATTTTATACCTGTCAAGGACCATCTTGCCGGCTTCGTCGATGGCATCTTGGAGGGAATAACCTTGTCTTAGGAGGACGGAAATAATATTGGAACCTTCACCGTTAGGCTAGAGAATGTGTTAATAGTTGTTAGTCACTGTAGCAAAATTGAAAAGTTAAACTCAAGAGAGGCTTACGATATCCTTTGGACAAGAATAAATATCGTTGGCGCTATATATAATATAATTCACAAAACCAAATTAGTAGACGGATCGATAGCCGGTAGAAAAAGGTGGCCATGAAATTAAAGTGCGGTATCGTACATACATTGATACTATATCGATGACTAAATCTCTAAAGATCTCAACAGATGGATGTTCCACAACTTCACATGGAATTTTGTTCGCTTCGGTAACCGACCATCTGAACGGTGGGTACGATCGAGTTAGCATATCGTTACATATTTATAGTACTGTAAAGCTAATCAAGGCACATGTCATACTCAGCAAATACACACGTTGGCCCCATGCCTGAGTTTGGACGTCTAAACGCTAGATATTCATCCACTGTCAGGATTCTATCTTTGTATCCCAACCACTTGATCTGTTGGAGTAACCCGAGCATATAATCTCGGTTCAATCGTTTATGTCGGCGCCTTTCGTCTATACCATATACTCTATTAGTGTACTTGTCTTTTTTCTCTGCGTCTAAGACGGAAATTAAATCCTTCTATATCTATTCTATAATATTCGGGTTAAATTTTACCTGGTGGTGCGTACTATATTAAGATTTGGAGGGTTTGTTTTAGTACCTAATTGATCTATGCAAAGGGTGTTCCTTCGCGATGAAGGTAGAGTTTAAATCAACTTACTTTGCTAACTCTCCACCATAGTTTCTGGAACATATGTCGAACTCCGTTCCCTTCGGGGTCGATGGTTGGATAATCGTCGTCCATTATTGCAAGGCTTTGAATGATTTCTTCGGCAGCCCCGTTGAGGTCATCTGCAAGATCTCCGCCGTCGACACCTTGAAAATTTGTCAATCGAAGTCCCCCGGGGGTTGTAAATCAGAAATAAGGGGAAGACAAACGATCATCAAAAGGAATAGACCAAGAAACCCATTCAGTAAAAGCCTGCAGAGGCTGCTCGGTTGAATTTGGGACCATAGAGGCGCAAAGGAATGGAAATTTCATATCAACCCATTCCTTGGTAAGCCTTTCGTCGAAACGAAGTACCTTGCATGCCCAATCATCGGTACTTGTAGTTTCCTCTAAGAACGGGTTGAGTTCCCTCGGTTTTCCCACGATAGAGATGAAGAGGTCGGGGATTTTGATGGTTATGGTATCTTTCTTTGCGGTTTCTGGTCTCGTCAGAATTATGAGGCCATCGGCGTTGGTTAGGACACCGGCGCCGGTGGGTGCTGTCTGTTCTTGAACTGTCATTTTTACTTTGCGATATATATATTATAGAAAGTGGTATTGAGATTTCTTTTTTTGATGCAATAAAAACAAGAAGGGCGGATTATAATAAATCCCTAGGATAGGATCTTTAGTATAGTAGTAGTCCAGGTAAAGGAGGAAGGTTCCGTATAGCTATAATCAAGACTTTTTAGTGGATGATCTAGATGAGAAACTAATAAAAGCATGGGAAGGCCCGTCTTCTTATATAGCCTAGTGATGGCCCTCGATGAGGACCTAAATCTTCTGTCAATTGATCAAAAGGAAATTTTAGATAACGTATATTCCGATGTATCTAAGACCTTCGCTCACGTTCAAAAAGATACGTTATAACTAGGATCCTAGGAGACAGGTTACTGATAAATTAAAGAGCAATCAAGAAACTACTGTGCTGGTCATCTGTGCATATTGGCCCAATAGACCAGGCCTCACCGCTGCGCTGAGAATTGAATATTTACACTGAGAATGTCATCAGCTGGTCTATCGAATGGATTTACTATAATTTTATAGACAGCTAACTGCTTTTAGTTTAGACCGATTAGATTTATGTAGCCGCTGGCAGTAGAATCTCTCAGACTTAGTTTGCACGTTTGGAGGAGTAACTTAGGACTTGACGTCATGACGAGCCACCTATAAGCTGCACAAGTTGTCCGATATACAGCTCTCCAAGCTGTATACATTGTAGTTAGGCTACACGTACCACGGTTGGTGAGCCAATCATCTTTGCAGCTGCGATTAACGGATATCCGGATACCCAAAATCGAATCCACGATATTACTACACATTTTCTAGCGATCTATAGATCTAGATCTCTCGGTAGGTTGTACATCTACATTTCAATAGGTTAGCCTGGCATTCTTTACAATTACATGCATGTACACCGCTAAGTTGGCCCAGTCCGAGCTAATCTTTAACCCGTTCTAGACCGTCAGGGTTTTCTTGGGTAGGGTTGTTAATTGTTTCGACGTCCCCTGAAGTGCCTAGCCCACTATCTAGCAGAGCAACCGTTAACCGGTACATTAAAACTCAATTGTATCTTTAGAAACTGAATGTGACTTATTAGAGACAGCTTTCTTCGAATCCTCAGTATATACGTGACCACCCATGTATATATTTTCTCCTGCAATTTATATTAATATTGCATGGAACGCATCAGATTATAATAGTTTGCTTTGTTGCATTTTTGGATATCGATACATTTACCTTCAACTCTCGATCTCGATGTTCTCGATCGACAAACTTACCACTATACTATCTCTACACATGTAATCTTTTATATTGGATATTTCATATATATAACTGTCCATCAGACCTAGTCTCATGCTCGTCGTGCTAGATCGATTTCGTGATGATCGACGACTCAAAATTCCTCGCTAGTACCTTGGTGCCGGTTGACGATATCAAAATAGGACAGCCCGCGATCCGTTTGCCGAAAAGCGATTCCATGGTGTGTAAGTCGCACTATCTCTAAGGAATGCGCCCATGCATGTCCAATGTGCATAATATATGCATGGAGTCCCGATTTCCTCCGGATTAGTCTAATATATGGCTAAACGTCTCCTAATTAAAAGCACGTATACATAAGTACCTGGTGAACTAGGTGCCCCTCCGTGCGCAAACGAAAAGTTTAAATTGAGGTTAAGCTAGTTAGTAGAAGATATATCATAAATGCCGCATTCCAAGCTGACAGGACATATGTCGGTGGACATAGCACATATGTGTTTAGTTTCTAACGTTAAGAAGCTCGCCACCAATCTTACAACCAATATCAGCCTGTAGCCTCGTCGCGTCTGCAATTTTTATCACATTCTATATCTCGCCCTGTTATAAATCAGGGTTTTTTTTATGATTATTATTTTTATGACGTATGACGCATTGCATATAATTGCAAAAGCTTCAGAGTAAGTTGCAACAAGAGCCAGCATCACTCCACTGTATATAATCTGCCGGCTCATTTACTCCGGTCTACTCTGCCGCTGTGCGTGTGTTGGCACGTAGATGAAATGTTGGTATATGTTACCGCAAATTAGAGGACCTCATTGAGTTTCCAGTTACACTAAGCTTATCCATCCGTGATGGCTCCCAGTTTCTTTCTTAAATCCTGTGGTAAGGTGAGGGTATACAATTAGAGTTGGACGCAAAGTGGTTTACATTCGAAATAAAATATTTTTAATATTTGAGGCTAACTGCTTATTTAGTTCATGATAAAACATTAGTCTCGGAGCCAGAGCTGCCCCATAAAACATCGGCTAGAGTGAACCAGTTATTTCGTCGATTAGGATTTTAGTATAAGTTATTTTACAATTATTATTATATGAAAATTTAGATAGTCGAAGTTTAAACTATCTTGATGAATAGCAGTCGCACGCTCATTTGTTTTGGATGGAAGTAATATACTTAGTTAATATATGAATAACGATATAACAATCATTTATTGAAAGATCTGCCAAGGGGCGAGCCAGGCCTCGGAAATTTATAACGACTACTAGGCTAAGCTTATAAGCCGAGACGGGTGTGTGTGGAATGTGAATATAAGCTCAATGAAAGAAGGAAACCCTGAAGGCTGAATATCTAGACTACCTGATACCTCTACTAATTATACTGAAATTGAGAAAACCAAAAATTAGACACGAAACTTTCCCTTTTTGTACCGGTACGCTATATAGGCCCTCGAAGACCCATTTTGGCGTTTACAAGGGGCACTAGGTCATGTGACGGTTGTACCATATACTTTGCATTTTTGATCTCAGTTGACATGCGCATGCGCATGATATATCAGAGAGGGCTTGGTATGCATGTTTCCTATGGCGAAGACCGGCAAGCCGGCGTTGCAAAACTTCAGGCAACCTTTGAGTGGTGGCACAGATGTCATTTTACTATCATCATACAACTGGATCCTGAGCACTCGAAATTCTTTCTTCCTCAATTCAACGTAAATACGGACGTCCTCAGACACATTTATACTCTATATAATATCAATCAATACTTTCCTCAATTCGATTCTAGCTGTACCTACTTTAAGGAAATCAAAAATGGATATCGATCCGGATCTAATAGGTACCCTCATTCGTACTTACCGTTTCATATCAGATGTTCATAAGATCTCCTGGGAAGACCTCCCTCACCCTGCTTTCGCCATTATTCCAGTGGTAATTATCGCTCTTGGGCTCAAGATGGAGAGTACATGGAAATTTACTGTGATTGCGTTGTCTCGACTTCTTTTTGTGGTCTATTTGTTGATACTGCTGAAGCTGGTGATATTGGCTCTGCCCGCAGTTGGCTATGATTGTATCATCTACACGCTTGTGATGGACGCGAAGTTATTGGTTGAGAAAATGCTCGAGATCGTGGATCGAAACGATCCCAACGATAGGAGTGTGGTCTGGCTCCGTGTAATTGCGGACGGCATAAGACTACGATAGGTATATTTCTGGAAGAGCCCGTGCATGAAGATTCATTCATTGTTTGAATTAGAGCTAATAACTAGAATATATTCAAGTGCCCTACGCAGGCTTTATTTTTACAGGATCTTCCGTCCCGCTCCCGTGCCCGGGCGCCCAAGTGAACAGAGAGTCACTGAAAGCTTTTTAATATAATATACGTGGGTACTATTTCTCTGATGGACGTGGGGGATATACAAAGTGTAACTAGTTTGAGACTCTAAGTTCTGGGAGAGTGTCCGGAATTATCCTGACCTATGAGACACCCTAATTAACTATAGTCAAAGCTATGACGACATCTCCCAAGTTGAATTCTTTTCATGAATCTATATAACGCCGATACCTGATCGCATCTGTAGATTTATAAATTCGAACTCGAGTGTGGATGAGAAGCCTTACGCAGTACCGATATATCGATTCGATTTACATAACGGCCGCCACAAAGCCCGAGCCTGAAGAACGTAACGAAATATAAAACTCGATCCGGCCTTGAAAGTCGAAAGCTATATCTGCTATATCTTGCTATATTGTCTATCACCCTCTATACGACCGTAACTGCTGTTTTAGTCCCGAAGATCAAATTAAACATGGAACCGCATTCAGCCAATAGTAACACAGTCACACAAAACTCTGAGGAATCGAAAAAGTTCGACCTTAAAGAGATCGGATCTGAAAACCAAGAAGTCAAGGGGCCAGCACAGCTAGGGGAGGTTGAAACGTGCAGCAGAAGTCCTCTAGAAGAAGAGACTGTGTATCCAGGCCGCCTCAAAGTTATCCTTATAACGATTGGGTTAATGTTGGCAGTGTTTCTGGTGGCACTGGACCAGACTATCATTGCGTACGTGCTGGCTTCAATTTGAAGCTTCTAAACTAGGAGGACGCAGATGCGTCGATGAGAAGACGCCGGTTCCTGCGTGAAAATGCCGACTAGTCTTCTTGTCGATTACTTACAGAACATCATAGAACTGCTATTCCGAGAATCACGGACAGGTTCCAGTCAATCAGGGATATTGGCTGGTACGGAAGCGCGTATTTTCTGACTGGAACGGCACTGCAGCCTACGTAAGTGTTAATTAAATTCCACCCATTCCTTTCTAGGATCATCATATATATAAAGATTGGGAGTTTCAGCACTAATTAACGTGCTTGACAGATTCGGTCGAGTCTATAAAACTTTTAGCATTAAAGGAACCTTCTTAACGGCCATTGGGTTCTTCGAACTGGGATCTTTGATATGCGGCGTCGCGCCCAATAGTGCTACTTTGATCGTCGGTCGTGCAATCGCTGGTAAGTCTATGTATAAAAGATTCGGGCTGGAGCAGCTTACAACCATGTGCATGAGCTTAACCGATACCACCAAAATAGGTATTGGCGTTGGTGGTATCTTTTCTGGTTGCATTCTCATCCTAGCACATATATTACCGCTTCGAAAGAGACCATTGGCAATTGCCTGTCTAGCCTCGGTATGGGGGATCGCTAGTATTATTGGCCCACTGCTGGGCGGTAGGTTATCGACCTAGCCCTCCATGACCCCCTAGCAAGAGCCAAGTGCAATTTTCTGACTTCGAGTCCGGCAGGCGCCTTTACCGATCACGTTTCGTGGAGATGGTGCTTTTACATCAATCTTCCATTAGGTGCTATCTCAGTCGTAGTTGTCATATTAGTGCTAAAGCTTCCTCACAAGTCCGAAGGCCTCACTCTCCGAGAGCGGATTTACCAACTCGATCTAGTCGGCGCTGCAATTCTTATACCTACCGTGGTCTCTCTCTTGCTTGCTCTCCAATGGGGCGGCACGACTTATGCCTGGAACGATCCCAAAATTATCGGACTTTTCGTTTGTTTTGGCTGTCTAGTGATTATATTCATTGCCAGCCAATGGTGGCTCGGTGATGCTGCTACTCTTCCACTCAGAATTCTAAGGCAACGTTCAGTTCTCGCAAGCTTCATTTTTGCTTATTTCTTTGGTTCTGCATTTTTCACTTATATGTATTACCTGCCGATTTATTTTCAATCCGTTAAGGGTTCCAGTGCTACTAATCTGGGATTCAGATTATTCCGTTCCTTTTGAGCTGTATACTGACTAGCGTGGTATCTGGGGGCCTAATCACTGCCGTCGGATACTACACTCCATTTTTGATTGGCGGTATGTTGCTTTTTGCTATAGGTGCCGGCCTTATTACGACGTTCAATATCGATACTCATTCTAGTCCCGCATATTGGATTGGATATCAGACTTTGACGGGCTTTGGGCTTGGTGTTGGCTTCCAGGTTCCGATTCTCGCTGTACAAACCGTTCTAGAGATTGATGATGTCCCAATCGGAACAGCGGTTATCATTTTCTTTGTAAGTTGCCACTCCCTTTCTCCTCCACGTAGTTTCAAGTTCAGTCTGCGCGTCTCGATATTTGAAATTTTTTTCACCTAGAATACATGTATGTGTGATTTATGGTTTCCGGGACTAGGGTGCCGTCTAGAGCTCTGCATATATTTATATGCAAATCTCCCCCCCCCCCCCCCCCCTTCCATAATCCTAGCCCCTACCCCATATTAACATCTCATATTCTAAGAAATCAGTTACTAACACCTATATCTTGTCTTGAAAAGCAAACACTCGGTGCCGCTCTCTTCGTTTCCGTCGCTCAAAGCATCTTCTCCAACGGCCTAAAACAGGGTCTTCAAGAATTTCTCCCCGAAGTTCCGCCTAGCATATTTATCTTTTCCGGTGCCACGGAAATCCAAAAAGTACTGGCAGATATCGGAAAACCGGATAGGCTTGAGGATGTGCGAAGGGCATATATGGTTGGTTTGAGTAACGTATATAAGCTCGCGCTGGCACTAGTATGCTGTGCTTTCGTTGCAGCATGCTTCCTTGAGTGGAAGAATATTAAAGTTGAGGAACGAAAGAAAACTTCCAAGGAGCCGGGGATAAAGGAAAAGTCAGAGGCTGGAATAAAGTAAGGAAATATTGGAAGGAATCGGTGGCTGCTAGGTATACCGGTAGATGTAGTGATAATGATGCTCCACGAATGAATGGGTAAGAACATCTGGATTCTTTAAGGAGAGAATGTTTTGGGGTCCCGAGCCTGGTGCTGGATTAATTACCAGTTCACGTATACGTATCAAAATCAAAATTTAAAAGGATTGTAGGAGAAACGGTTTATGTTTTCAATGTATATATGAATGGTAACCAGACTATCCAGTATCTAATTATTAGAAGACATAACTTGTAGTTAAGCGGAATAATAATATCCGAATATACTTTTTATGGCCATTTCCCCGATCCAACCTCCCTGGCGAGTAGGGGGAATGGCTGAAAACGATAATATTATAATAGCTGTGCTTGAGAGCTTCATAATATATGCATAACCATCTTAGTTTAAGACCTTTATTCCATGTACATTGTGACAGTACGTAATGTGGTACGTTATAACTTAGATCTACGAAAAGCAAGAGAATTCATCTTACAACCACATGTAATAGATACACATAAGTCCTTTAAACCGAAAGCCTTCCCGCCTGCAGGCCTGTGCAACCAGATCTACAGAGGCTACCCCAATACGAGACTGTATGATTATCGATCATCGCATCGCATTGTAGAACCCCTTGTGTTGTTGTGTGATATTCTTACCACCAATATACCAGCCAAGATCCAACCTTAGCTGAGTAATAAACCAATCTTGAAGCCTAATAAACATTGGCGCTTACGAAATCAAGTATAGTCCGACAGTATTAGGTTGAATAATACAATCTAACAGGGTTCTCGTAAGGCTTAATTAGCTTAAGGCCAGTGGCAGTGCTAACGGAATATCCTGACATCACGCAGCCCAAACCGGCGGAAAACATGGCAACATGGGCTTTATCTAACGGGAAGCTAAATTGTCGTACGTATGTACAAGGCTTGGATCTGGGGGGCTTCTTAAACCACTCTGGAAGGCCTTTTTGATACATTCGAAAACGTGGATCTATATCTAAAAGAATATCCCGGCAGTTGAAGCTAGTTATTGTTTATGTACAGCCACTCTTGTTCATTGGTTTAACGTTAGGCCAAGGATAAGCTTAAGTAATTATTTAATGGAATGGCTTCGAAGATTCTTGGAAGTGAAGATATAAAAGACTACGGGATATCCGTCTTAAACACTTACCGATCTGCACTTTAGTCTTGTATCGTTAGCTTGACTTTGCGCTGTTCTAAACTCAATCTCATATTCAAGAAATCGATATATATCCGATACCATCTAGTCATCCCGTGTCGCCTTATACATATACCGGCCGACTCCAGTAATTTATAAGGTCTAAGGATTAGACCGGATTTCCATTCGAAATCCTCCAAAGAACACTTCAAAAATGTCATTCTCTTCTTTCCTGTCCAAACTGGAGCAAAAGGCATCTGGATCTTCCTCCCATCCACAACCTCAACAATACAACCCTCAAAACCCACAGCATAACCCTCCAAATCCGCAATATAATAATGCATACCCTCAGTTTCAGCCACCATTCCAATCCTCCCAAGGCCCCACCTACAATCAGAATCAGTTCCCCAATGCTGGCAACCAACCTGTCCCCTCAAACTACTATAATCGGCCCATTTACAATAACCCCCCACAGTATACACCCCAGTACGCACCGTCTCCATCTTATGCGCCACAGCCACAACAGCAATATCGCAAACCAGCCACAAAATCACTCCTGCTCTCATATTCATCTGTTGGAACAGCAACCAGTGCCAAAGACCCGGACACAAAAGAACAGCTCTACATAGTAACATATCCAAAATACGATGGTTGGACCGGAAAATCCAAATCCGGGCTTGACCACGAACTCCATGTCGGTGATAAAAAGGGACAAATTCTCGGTGGGTGGAAGAGCTCTGACTTGACTGGAAAGCCTAGTATATGCATCGGGGAACCCAAGAACGGCGCTCAATTTCAGAAGTTGAAGAGCTCAAGCTCTGGAACTAAAATGGGGTTTACGAGTCCACACAATGGGAGGGAATATGGATGGAAAAAGGGTGGTGAAAAGATGGCGTTTAGACTGGTGGATATAGAGAGCGGAGAGGAGGTTGCGGCATTCGATCCGAGCAATTCGAGTATGAGTTTGAGTAAGCTAGGGAAATTGGAGATACAGCTCATTGGCGGAGAAGATTGGGTTGCGGCAGTATTAATAACCATTGTGATCTTGGTCGACCAGAAGGTGGACGATGAGATTGGCAAAGAGGTACTACAGGCGGTCCTTGGAGCTTGATAAAATCGAAGTTGGAAAAACCTATGTATCGTCTAGTCCACCCGGAATTCCGAATTTAGGGCAAACCATGCGTAATTTTTAAATAGTGGATTGGTAGATATTAGAGTAGAAGTCGTATATTTCTTGTAAACTAGCAAAAATCGAATAGGTCTATGCCAATTGTTGGCCATTGTGGATATTTGGTTCCGTGAAAGTAATTTCAATACGTCGGGGCGGGTTATTATAGTGCGAGCTGAAAAAGGCTACCCCAACTCGGAACCGCTCGAGTGGCCTGTCATCCGGAGGCAGCGACCTCAAGTTTCCTTTAAATTTAGTGCTAAATTGAACAAAGTATTTCCCGAGAAATGTTTTGACTGTCTGAATTTTGGAAGGGTTTAGGGTTTCACCCTCCTTGGCTAAGGAATTCGAATATCCATAGCCGTGACCGTTTCTATATAGTTTAAATCTCATGTACACTGGGTGAGGTAACGGTTGTGGGTTTTCTGTATTGGGTATAATGACGGGGTAATCAGCTGCTGCACGGAGGTGCTCCGTATTCGATAGCACTAAAGGATGGTCTGGATCTGGTTTAGAGTAGATCTTTCCAAATTCGACAACGGAGAGTGGAAATCCTTGATCATCGATAGAGTAATCAAGTCTCCCACGGGCATATCCAGTAAAATCAAGCAAAGCTGAATGTATTAAAAACGGGCAATCCGATGGAGACGCTGAGACGAAGCTTCCGAGGAATTGAATGTCTGTTTCGTCCTCGTGGAAGGTTTTGGAATCGAGGATGTAAGGCACTGTATATCTGCTTTTTAGTATTCTCCATGCCTCTGCCTTCCAAGTCTTGCAAACAGCTCGCAAAGTTGGATATTGGGAATAGTCGGCTAGTTCAAGAATAAGGAACTGAAATTCCAATGGGAGGGGATTTTTGATCGGCTGGGTGAATTCGGGCAAGGCCGGAGCCTTGTCCCCTAAGGCGTCGCGAACTTGGAGAGGCGTGCACGAAATAAAGTCATTGTTGCTTGGTGAAGTGACACATTCGGGGGATATTATTTCAGGGAAGAGCTTTGCCGTATATATGCGGTTTTTGGAACGCTGTCAAAGTCAGCCAAAGAAAACCGCATATAATTTATGGGCAATTTATCAAGATCATAATACTCACCACTCTATAAGGGACTAGTGGGGTCGATAGTTCACAATCAATGCGATGGAACGGAGTTTGGCCGGGCAGATACAAAGGTAGCTTGATCATTGGCAAGAGATACCCCCATTCTTTCAATCTCCAATCGTCCCAAACCACTGCTGTTAAATCGGTAATGCTAATTCGAGTGCTCCAGTCGGCCTCACACCACCAGTTGACATCGCACTCTCCAATGACAAGCTCATCCCTACATATCCGAAGATATGGTGGGTAGGTACCGGTATTATTAAGCCTTAAATTGGATTGAGGATCTTGAATGAAGAAATGAGGATCTCCGAACCCACCTTCGACATAGATGGCGCAAACATCCTCCTGTTCTTCGAACGAAGATTCAAAAAGAAACTTCCACAGTCCTTGGGGTCCGAGAGCTGCTGCTACAAACCATTCCGCATTCTGAACATGCGATTTCCAATAGTATCGAGGGGCTAGATGTATAGATCCGCCCGGTATTAATAGCAGTTCTTTGAGAATTTAAGCACAGATTGGAAAGTTTTAAATACCATCTGGCAAAATCGGGGTTCCAATTTTTGGTAGGGCTGGCTTGGTAATTTGGGATATGAAATCCAGAAGTGGCCTGTGAATTATATTAAGATCCAAGTAATTAATGGCTTCCACCACCATGCCATTGAAATCGTCTTGATCGCAGGCGAACATATCTTCGAGTTCGTCATCGAGAATTTCGCTACCGTTGAATTGGTCTCCTTGCTTAGGATAGATGATATTACACTCGCAATAAAGAAGGTAGAGAAATAGCTGGTAAAGACACCTTCGGCACATTGCTATGGGTCAAGGTAAGGCCAAAGGCTTTGAATATGTGGATGTAGAACCGACAAAATATTTCACATTCTGCAAAAGATTCGTCAAAGAGAGTCTGATACTCTGATTGCTGGGACTCAGATGCCATTCTGTAGTGTCTATCGTTTCTCAAGGTGTCCTAGCGCGCATTATACTAGTATCCAGAGTACTTTAGCCAGTCAGGGCAAGCGCCGTCCTTCCAAAACTCTTCCGTATACGCGGGTATATTTTAGAGATACCGGGCCCTGTCGCTCCGTAGGTATAGTCCACCGAAAAAGGGGTCCGTAAATGCTAAAACCGACTTGAGAATTCGGCTTCGGGAACCGAAATGGATGAAGGCTGGCATGTATGGTGAATGAGAGGATCTAATCTAATCGGTGTTAGTGTTTGTTGCATAGCAGCCAATAACAGAGAAGAACAGGGAACGCGTACACAAACGAACACGCTAAAAAAAAGTTGCTACGATGTCGGGGCGATGTGATTGAAAACAAATTGCGATTTGGAGGGGAACCGAGAGGGACACTTGATTGTATTGCTATTGTCATTACCATCGCCATCATCGCCGCTCCCCTGAATAACTCTGCAGCTCCGACGCCGTCTAAGATTCCATCGATATCGTCCAGATTGTTCAGCAGAAGATATTCCATTTCTTCTCACTCTGAGAATTCTTTTCTTCTTTTCTTCATTTTTTTAAATTTTGGTTTGCTTCCCTTTGCCATCCGGGCCTTCGAGAAGCTGCTGTTTCAAGCAGCTGGTGTGAGTAATTTGCTGCAGGATCTGTTTTGCTTCTGCTGTGCCATACTTCATCCGCCCAACATTGCCACCGACGTCGACCAAGCGCTACCCCGAACACAAAGAAATATCTATTTCAAGCCAATTCGGTACCTAGCAATCGACAGGTACAAAGGAGTCAAAGGGAAAGAAAGAAAGGAGGCTCAAAGCTTAGGGAATTGGTTGGAAGCTTAGCTGACCGCACGGTGAGCTTCTTTGAGCCAGAACAGGTGCGGTCATAATGGCGCGAAAGGTTGTTCCTCGGCCCTACGAGGCGGTCTCATCATATCCCACTTTTGAAGATGACCAAGAGGACTCCATCTACACAGATCCTCATCGAGACACTGTCAGAGCAGCGGCGACTCCTCATAAATCACAGCAGTCATATCCTCCAAGTGGTCAATCTTCTTCTCCTAACTCAGGATCTTTCTCTGATAAAGAAAACGCTCCAGAACCTCCGCGACAACGTGGTAGCAATACCTCACCTCTTGTTAAGAAAGAGAGGGGATTGATTGCTAAATCAGCCCGTTCGGCTCCTTACGAAATCCCACCCGATCCAATGCCTCCGAGGAAGTCGAAAACGCCGGCTTCTTCTTCGCGGCCATTGACCGAAAGGTCAAACCTAACAGGTGTTAGTAAAAGAGCAGGATCAAAGTCGTCGCTGCGAGTAACATCAGCTGCTTCGTCTATAACATCGTCCAGATCACCTTCCGTTGTTCCCGAATCACCAGTCGCTGAAAATGGTCATGAAGAGGATGAAAGAGATGATGAAGAGGAAACAAACGACGAGGAAGAGGAAGATGAGGGAGCGCCTGAGTCTACACAGCAGTCCAGGGTCTCCGAAACTCCAGCACCTTCCAGGACGTCTAGACGGACTCCAGCTCCGACCCAGATTCCAACCGCATCGCAATTTCCGAGCTCCCAGAGACCTGGTTCTCAGTTTTATGACCCAAATCAGTCTATGGCCGAACGACGTATGGTTAAAGGAGCCTATAATACGATCCAGCAGGACTTAGCTGGTATGTCATTAATACACCAACCTAACTCGTGGCAAGCTCACTTTACTAAAATTTGCTTCAATTATTAGATAATAAGAATGCGCTTATACAACCAGGCAATGTGGGCCTTCTCGAGTATATCGAAAAAACCAACGAGCTTTTCAATAGCGTCAAGCAAACATCGGACGCAATGGTCGATGGCAAGGTCCAAGTCGAAATAGGAAGAATTGCTGCTGAAAAGGCCAAGAGAGTAGGAAACAGTAGTACAAACACTGGCCTTGACGTTGATGAGTTCATTGCGAAATGCATCCAATTCATGTCAAAATCGAAGCCAGGCGATGCATCCGATGGACACGATTGGGCATATCTCGGCCGTGAAGTCGCAACACCCGCGATGAGAACAGCAAAGACCTCGGACTTCATGTACGGACCTATGGGCGTTCAGAAACGCCAGAGAGTGATAAAAGAACGCAAAAAGGCAGTCCGTCGCCGCCCTGAGGAGTTCATACGCCCTATCGATCTGGACGAGAAGCAAATAGCTCAAAATGAAAATAGTACTACGAAAAATGTCGTTGCGATTAAAACAAGTCTTAAGGAGTACTTCGACCGAACCGGCGAGGATGTTATTAACTACTTTGAGTTCGTGATCAACCCAGAGAGTTATAGCCAGACCATAGAGAATATGTTCTATTTGGCTTTCTTGGTCAAGGATGGGAGGGTGGCAATCTTAGAGAGTGAGGATGGCTTGTTGTATCTGGCTGATGCAGACCCACCAACTCCAGAAGAAATTGAAAAAGAAAATATCTCCAGAAAACAGATTGTGATGCCAATGGAAAAGCACATCTGGAGAGAACTTATCGAAGTTTTTGATATCCGAAAGAGCATTATCCCAACAAGACCAAGAGAGGTTGAGGCTATTAATGTTAGTGGGTGGTACTCATAGGTGGACATCCTCAGGCTGGATCGTTTATTTTCTTTCTGCCCTTTCACATTAGGAACAATGGCGTTTTTGGTTTTATCCGTCTTGAGGGTTTATGGAAGATGTAGATGGAGCGTTGGCGGTTACATTTTTTTTACAACTTCAGCGGTTCTTCGTATTTTTTATTTCATTGTTTCTGTTTCCACCTTTACTTGGGCCCCGAAATCCCAAACACTTTGTTATCCAAAAGTCATGTATGGAGGTGCAGGCGCTCTTTTCCCTTATGTTTAATGGCGTTCGCGAATCTGCTTTTCGGCGTTCGAAAGGCTCTATTCTTTGCGTGTATACTATATTTTTTTTTCATATTAGACCTTCTCGACCTTCCCTGGTCAATGCCATCACGGCCTGCGATGGTGTCTAACGCATTTTACCCTGCATGATGCACAGAAGATTGAATACAGGCTTTATTCGATTATGGTTTAGGACCCTAGACCCGTCTTGTGAACCGGTAACCAGACTCAAACAACCGATATCGATAGAGAGCCCAGCCAACCAGATAAATCACAAATTGGATTTCTGAAAAGGCCAAGAGGAGCTTGACCTGTGCCAACGAGCTGGCTTTATCGCTAGCCAATCAGAGTGCCAACGTGAAACAGCTCCAAGATCCACTTTTCCAGGCATCTCAGGGCTCTCTCCGAGGCCTGTCCACTTTCTGGAACCGTGGCCCCGTGCGCCCGAAGCGGAACTGGCAAAAAAAAAAAAAACAAAGAGGGAAGGGAAAGCCAGAAAGATAATACCACTCACACAATTCCGACTTTGAACCGTCGACGGCGCATATGTGTATGTGTATGTGATAGAAGCCTGCATATTCGACAAGATTGCAACCTAGACTTCGGCGTTTCGCAGTAGGTCTTGGAGATGCTGGTCCCCCCAACCAGCTGTCAAAGTCTTCCCGCCGAGATGCAGAAGTGTAAATTAGATAAAATCCACCTTCCTTTCTGCCACTGATCTTTCCCTTTGTCCTCTTGCCTCTTTTCTCCTCTTTTCTTTGCGAGACCGACCGATTAATAGCGTGAGCTTGTTAGCAGCTTATGGTAGCGGTGGTGCGATTCCCCGCATTCCCAGCCCAAACGAGTGTGCAAATCGCATTCCGACCTTTTGTCATCTTGTCATCTTGTCATCAGTCGAGAAGAGCTAGAAGCAATTATCAATTGCAATTGCAATTGAATTGAATGTGACTGTTACAACTTCTCCCTCCGTCCTCATCACCCATCCTGTGACTTCCCTCAGTCGCTTGTCCATACTGCGTCGCTTTCTCATTATCGGATCAACCTTGTCGTTGAGGTAGGAACTAGACTGGCTTGCTAGCACCGTGGCGCGAAGGAATCCGGACCGGGGTTTGCTGTACAGAGTACACACATAGTACGGGCCAACTTGACCACCCTGTTGCTTCGTACTGGCAGAGCAAACCGAAGCTAGCTTTACGAGGTGGGAGCTGCTAAAATTGCTTGCATCAATTATATCCATCCAGCGGTGTATATTGATTGACTGACTGGGAATCAGAATAAGGATTGTGGCTGCCCGGCACTGCACTGATATTGATATTAACACCTTGCTATCACAATTAACTGCTTGAGCACTTGATCTAGTTAATATCAATAGCACTCTAGCTCTGCCTGATCTGGTGAGGAGGCCCTCCCCTTTCCCCGGCCCAGCATCTCGCTATCGCTTCCAATTGCAAAGAAAAGAGATTTGACCCTGATTATTTTGATATCTTCCAGGTGGTCTTCATTGTTTAAATACGCTGTCCAGCCAGTAGCAGGTCTCCCTTTTGTTTCTCCGCTCGAAACACCAGACATTTAGGAGAAGAACCAGAAAAAGCTGTCGCCGTCAAGGAACCCAAAAGTCGAAGCCGAAGTCTTGTCGAGGGGGAAAATAAACCGTTCGTTGGTTGGTTGGAGACTGCCACTTTTGTCGTGCTTGCTTGCTCGCCAATAAATCCCCTCTCCTCACAAAAACTAGTGTGAGCGAAGGATCCTGAGCCTCTTCGCCTCAACAAAAATTCAGCTTCGAAACCTCGGAGAAAAAAAAAACTTACCAGCACAGAATACGGCGATAAGACGAAGTCCTGACCGTCAGAGAATGAGTTCAACATCTTCGACGGCCGCCGTCGAGAGCGGAACCGTGCCAATGGCTCGGAAATCACCGCCCAATGGCTCCACCAGCAGAGCTTCCCTTCAACCTCCAAACGGCGCTCCTAGGCGTCCTAGAGGTCTCAGACGGAAGACTCCACAGCCAGAACCAGTCTCGCGGCCATTGACCATGGCTTCCATTGCTCAATATATCGTAGAGCACCAGATTAGTATGTTTTTCACTGCTCTTCACCAAAATCTTACTGTTTGCTGGCCCTTTCGAAGGTATCACATGCTGACTTGATATCGTTGCGGAACCATTCTAGGCCTCAGTGCTATCCCTATCGCTACCCTTCTAACGCTTCATTTCTCATCTCCTGTTGATTCTAGCATTCACAGATGGACCTCGAAGTTCTGGACCCCAAGCTACTACAATCCTCAAACAGGTCTATATGGCCAGGGCCTCGATGACGCTTATCTCGTCCTCTTCTGGGTCGTAATGCTCACTATGTTACGCGCCTGTCTAGTCGACTATGTCGCCAAACCATGGGCCAGGTCACAAGGGATATCTAAGAAGGGGTGCATGAGGTTTTCAGAACAACTGTGGAGCATGCTCTATTACACCATTTCGTTTAGCATCGGGATTGTACGTCCGAAGAATCGTCGAAAAAAATCCGTTAAAATTGCGTCACTAACAATTTAAATCTAGAAACTCCTATCCGACACAAAATATTTCTTCAACTGGAAAGAATTATGGGCTGGCTGGCCTCTCAGAGACATCTCGGGCCCTCTCAAGTGGTACTACCTTGTCCAATCTGCCTCCTGGATCCACCAAATCTACGTCCTCCATGTTGAAGAACGACGAAAAGACCACTATCAAATGTTTGCACATCACATTATCACCTGCACCTTAGTTTATTGCAGCTATATTTATCATATGACCCGCGTCGGACACGTTATTCTCTGCCTCTTCGACTTTGGCGACATTTTGCTGCCAGTAAGTTTTGCCTCCCTGAACTCCACCCCTATTTTGCTGCACAGGGCCTAATTCGGTACTTCTCAGGCTGCCAAAATCCTCAAGTACCTAAAATTCCGAACAACCTGTGATGCCGCTTTTGGTCTCTTCCTTCTATCTTGGGTATACACTCGCCACTACCTTTTCATTGGCGTCATCCTTTCTGCTCAAAGAGACGCGCTCGACCTCGTCCCGGTCGGCTGTTTCAGCCCCGATAACTCTGTCCTTACTCCGATTGACGCTTCCTCTCCAAGCGCATGGACCATGTTTACAAACCCGCAGCCGACAATTTGTTTCACTAAGGAAATCTTAATGGGCTTTGTGGTGCTACTCTGGGGTCTACAAGCACTTACATGTATGTGGTTTTATTTGATTATGAGAGTAGCTGTCAAAGTTGTCACCGGTATGGGTGCAGAAGATAACAGAAGCGATGATGAAGTTGAGGAGGAGGTTGACGAGGTCAGCGTAGAGGTTGATATCTTAAACGGCGATCTGAAGCTAGCCCAGGATATCTATGCGGAGTCTAGTGGAAGCGCACTCAATGGCAGTGCTGCAGCTAGGAGAAGACGAGAACTAGTCAATGGGACACCATTGAGAGATGTTTTCAGCGCTGGAATGGCTGGACAGAGCCAGTTTATGGCTGCCCAGAAGCTCGCAGAAAGCAAGATTGGCTGCGGTGGTGATGATCGTTAAAAAATTATTATACCCTACCTGGTGCGAAATAAAAAAAGTATTTTTTTTCCCCCCATGGGCCTCGTTTACGAAGTATATCAATGAGAACGGTCAAGTTTTTGTTTATCCTTTTGCTTTGGTTTTTATATGCGGGGCATTGATGACGAATTTCATAGTGCTTTTGGCTCATTGCATCCATTCCCCAAATGTATTGCATTCATTGTCTTTTTCTTCTTTTCTCGCTATAACCTCCGCAGCGGAAGTTCCGTTGCCAGCGCCTTTGATTTTCATTTTTCATTCATCCTGCACTGCTGTCTTTTTGTGCCGATATCTTTGGTGGTTGTTCCTGGTACTTTATCTTCACTCCTATGATACACACCGCTGCTTTTTACTCTTTCATCGACCCGGACATTCCTTTTCATGGTATTCGTTTTTTTTTACATTGGGCCTTTACACTGGACGTTGGGTCCACGGATCTATAGCTAGAGCTACTTAGAAGATTAGAAGCATGCAAATGGTATCCTTTTTCCATACAATTACCTATCTATCTATCTATCTACACTCCTTACCCGACAAGTTTTACAAGCACCCTAATCTTGAGTAGAATACTAGAAACGAGATTATTAAGATTAAGAAATAGAGCTCCCAGCCACCAGTATACACAAGCTCACTCGCAAAGTGCGAAGTACAACAGTCTAGCGGGTAGTTGACATGTCGTCCACCTGTTACACAAACCTCTCAGGCCCGAAACTTGCAAGCCACCCTGTCAATTACGTTACTCCATAATAATAATACTCCAAAAAAATAAATGGGCCGTTTCAACGGGCGTGATAAGGCCAAGGTATAAATCACCTTTTTTTCCCTTTGGGTGACAAAAAAAACCGTTTGGGGGGATGGTTGACTATGCCCTTTCCGCTCCGTTCCGGGAGCGGGGTGCAGTTGTTTCCACTGTCAATTCCCTCCCCCAAGCTCTAGTACTAAATCCACTTATCTTAAGGCCTCCCCGGGGAATCACCTATGCTTTAGCCAAATAGCTTTAACGTTATCTGGGGGTGGCAGCTTTGGACCACGGTGCATCTGGTTTGTTTTGGGATCGTGAGGTTTTGGTAAGCTCGGGCTTCGGGATTCGGAACATGGAGATATCCGGTGACCGGTGAAAGACGGGTTGAAGGTGGGAATTCACCACATCCAGAGGTGCTTAGTCAGAGTACTGAAACTGCCAACACCATTTGAGCGAGAGTTTGGGACTGAATGTGCTTGAAGTTGTAAGGTGAGGAAATAGGATGGTCTTGAAACATCAATACCGCGATCATACATACGTATAGTTCCGTTATCCGTACGTACACGACATAGCTATTCGACAGTTGCGTGCATACGTAGCTCTCGTTCGAGAAAAAAAAAATGAAATAAAAAAATCATGATTGCCAATAAGCACATTCTTTGATCTTCAAGTTAACGCACACCGCACATTCCACGGATGCCGCGGATCCGGCAGTTCGCGTAAACCTCGTATCAAGTATAATATATATATATATATATATTGAAGGGGAAAAAAAACCAAAGTCCATGAAGATAACCATATGTAAACCGCTCATCAATATAAAGAAGTTATATCTCTACAAACACCTGATAAACCCCACGCTTCCTAGGTAAATTCCCCTTCCGATTCATATCCCACAGTATATCTATCCCACCCTGTACCAAATCCATCACGGTGGCCTTCTTATAAACGTTGAACTTGAACATCTTCTCTCTCCAGCCAATTGCCCTGGGATCATGTAGCCTATGGGCGTACCTATGTCTCTGTTGAGGTAAAGGAACCATCAGATCAAGGAGAATAAAAAATGGTGTCAAAGGCTTCCATTTCACCCTTTTTATAGGCTTATTGATCCGTATCTCCCCAGAGTCAGTAATGGTGGTCCTTTGGGGTTGTCTGATGTTAAATTCCCTGTTTGGGAATATTCTATCGTATAGAAGCGGACAGGATGAAATATCCCTTCCTTCTTCCGCATCCGGGATGTCTAAATAACCCTTTTGGTCAAAAGCCAATGCTCTACCTCTCGATTCGATGAAGAAGTAGGTATAGATTACTCCATATTCGCATGCTGTCCTAACATACCAATTCTGACGGCCGCTGTCGAGTAAGGCCGAGATGTCTCGAAAGCCTGTTTCTTCGTGTGTTTCTGGGAATCTTCGAGGTATTTGGGTTGCATAAAATGATAGGAGGATAGAAGCCCATGTATTCCATGATTTGGAAGCGGCGATTTGGGATTCCATGTCGAGGTAGGAGAGGGCTTCGATCTGGATATCCATAGGGAGGGAGAGAAGTTTTTCCATAGTCACCCTGACCTTTTTGGACCGCGTTATTATCTGGCTTCGTGTCATGGCCATGGCTGGTTTGATATGAGGACGAGATTGGTCCAGATATTAGAGTTTGAGATATAAATAAATATATGATTCCAGTTTTGTATAATGAAGGATCATGTATAGGAAAACTCTAGGAGCATGGGGGGACCCCGAAAATAGAGGGCTCTAGAGTGTGTTTATACTCGCACTCATACCGCAGCGCATCAATGATAGAGACTGCAGAGTCCCCCCTAGCGAAGAACAATCAAGAGATTGATGCTCCTTTCTTTAGCCATGCATGTGAATCTACGTGGGTTTCTCGAAGATCCGCGACAAATCTAGGGATGAACCTATTCTTAAAAAGCTAAACGGGCTCAATACTCTCGCGAACATTCACGCTGCATCGATATCGTGGACGACAACACTTTTATTTGTTGCATTTGGTGCACATTTTTGTCAGGTTCCCGCAGCTAGTGCGGATTACGTAGTACGTAGTACTACTTTGATCTTGACTTAATTAACTACGAGTTTGGGGATATAAAATATATTTATTATCTTCGATATCCAGTACCGGTACATCTGAATTAAACTTCTAAAGTGTGTATCCGGGGTAAAGTTAATCCGGACATACTCATGTTCTATAAACTACTGGTAAGGTTCTAAATGCCAAAAATCCATATCTTGGCGTATAAAGGAGATTTTAATATATGCTAATAGATGGCTTATCCCAAGGTCTCTCCTTCAAACTCACCGTCTTGTAATTAAGCCTTTGAGATCTAGGTATTATGTGTCGAATGCCCGTTGGATATATATATATATATATATATGTATGTGTGTACGGTGCAGGACCGCAGAGATTCGGAACCAAAGGGCTGTACTACAGAGATATATATTCACGTGGTCCACATGGTTTTGGAGCCTCTTCTCAACTTCTTTCGAATTCGTCAACTAAGTGCTTCCATTGGCTGCTACCGCAGCTAGTCGCTATCTCCATTTTAGACCACAAATACATAGGTACTGATAAGCGAAATATCCCCAGGTATCGTATGATATCGGGACACTATAGCTAGCGTTTCTGCAACGTATACGCTAATATAAACCCAAGAATAACTATAAGCGGCATGTATGCGGGGCCTTATTTAGAAAGGGTACGTTTTATAACAAAGGTCCCTGGTCAGAGTCGATGAGAACAGCTGGTTCCAGAAGTAGGGGGACTTCCTAAGGATAATATCACAGGGCAGCTTGTTCTGATAATCCGTCAAATATAACTATCTTCATGACGGCAGTTATATTGTCAGCGACGAGAGTATATATCGGTATATCCATGGTATAGAGTGCCGAAGCCTCTATCACAGGAAGGAATAAACGAATTTTACCTCTTAAGCCAGACGCCACTCTGAAGGTAGGTATTCTTTGATACTAGCGGCTGCTTAGGTTTATGTAGGTACATATGTTTTAGAACCAGAGCGAAGTTGCCTAGAGCTTCTCATCTGCAAGGACAAGTACAGGCCGACATGTAGTGCTCTGGAGTCCAAGGCATAATGTATACTTTCCCATAACATATGCCACAAACAGTTTGGGGCCATTTCAAGTATGTAAGCCGTTATATGTAGCTCTTGCATCTATCATCACTCACCCCCCTTCAGACGAGCTCTGCAGGAGGCCGGTAATCAGCATGTATACTAGGCTTATATCAGATGATTTATAAACAACATACTTTCCTAGAGGGCTATGATAGCAGGCCTGGGACAAGGGTGAGGGTAGGGCAGCTTGGGCTTATAATAGGTAACCCTAAGAGTGTAAGAGGTTGAAATGCACATAGTGTACGTAACTCTAGGGAAAATTATCAGTCTCCGTGGCTCTTCCTGTGTTGTTGATAATTCGACGTTGATATTTAACCTACCTCCCACCTCCACAGAACGTTCACCAACATCTTTCATCACACCAACCCCGTCCGACGCGATCATCCGATCATCAATTCCAACGGAAGCTTTCGTGTGACCACTTCCAAAGTTTCCGTCCTTCTACCTTCTCTTTCGGGATCTCTCCTTCAGTGAAACCAGCTGTGGTTCATCTAGGTGAAAGCTACTTGGGGCAACTCTGTCGTTGTCATCATCATCAACGTATGTGATTTCTCCTCAATCTGATGATTAGGATTGACATACTCAACTATTTATCCGTGACTAATATGATTGATGAATATGGAAATAGCCACAAGAAACAATTCCCAAGAGCCTACCAAAGCGGTAGCCCTTTGCATCATGTCAGAGAGCACACCTGAAACGCGTCCAGCGGATGTTCTTGGTCCTGATCCTCCTGTTAAATCCAACATTATCACCTTACCTGTTCATATCCAAGTCAAGATCCTTAGCCATGTCGGAGTCTTCGACCAAGTTTTTGGTGCCGTTAAGACTTGCAAGTCATGGGAAAAGCTCTTGCTGAAATCACAAATGCTACGACAAGGGAGATACCCAGGCTTCAAATACTCTGATGATCCCAAAGTCTTTGATGCTCATGGGATTTTCAATCTGGCTGCCGAATATTTCTTCAAAGCAAAGGTCGAAGATGGTGCAATCACTCGATACTTTTATGACAACGCTGGACGTGATGTTGATCTCGATAATATCGAGATCTATCATGTCTACGATCATCCAATCCCTCTTGAACTAGACCGGGAAACTTACAGGGTCACGGCAGTTGGCGAAGAGGATATCTCTGATTGCCCATTTCTCGACGAACTTGCTCTCTCATACCGACCAACCGGATACGATCAGCAGAGGAGACTAGAGCTTCAAGATCTTGGTGAAGATGAGAATACTGGAGAGCTTACGTCTGAGTCGGGATGTAAAAGTATCAGTGATGAGGAAGGGTACAACTCAGGATCGGACTCTGACTACGAAACCAGTGGCGATGAGCAAGAAGATCTCCCTATGCCTCCACTCTATGGAGAGGTAGATGAAGACAGTGAAGAGCCATTGAAAAGGACAACAGGCCGTCAATTGTACATCCTCGTCAACTACCCCATCTTGCCTGCATTCTGGGCTTTCGAGCTTCTGGATAGCGAAATTGTCGGACTTACTATCAAAGAAACGATGGAAAAGGCAAAGGGTATAGTTGAGGAAAATCTAGGAGTCGCGAACCTAGAGCAATACTTCCACCATATCGACAACCCTTTTCACTACGAATTAGAGGTTAGATTTGTTACGTGGGGAGATCCCCTAAATCATGGGTGTTATGATCTTCCACCAAGTCTCTGTACCGCCCAAAATCGACATGGCGAGCATTTTCGATTGTGTGCTTGTCGGAATTGAGAAAAATAAGAGATAACCCATAGATCAAAATACCTTGATCAAGGATGAATGGGTTATCTAGATTGCTCGAAGGAAAAAGAATGGTCTATTACTACTATATTTTGCCGATGCTGTTATCTCTGCCTGTCTCTCCGCCTGTCTCTCCGCCTGTTTCTCTCCCTCTCTCCCACTTCCCCACTTCCCCTCTTCCCCTCTTTTTTCCCACTCACTTTCTTTCGGTTTCTGATTCTGGCGAGATGATATCACAATGTTCAATAATCATTCTAGCACTAAATTAGCATCGGGGAAGAAATAATCAAAGACCTTTTTTTCTATATATCGGATTCCCTACGTATTAAGGGTATACACACACATTATGGCTTAACCGAGTAATTGCTTTGATGCCATAAAGCATATGTATAATGTAGCCAGCGGAACAAGATACCCCAATATCAAGGAATAAACGTAAAATTAAAAATTAATAAGAGGGCTTAAGCTCCGGATAGACCACCTCTATTAAATATACCCCTCCACAGCTCTTCAAATCCAACTCTTCTTCCTCAATTGCATCCTTGGCCCTTTCCATAATACATCTGGCGACCTCCTTAATCGAGTCTGTTCCTGTATCAAGATAAATACTCTCATCTGTGTCAATCACTTCTACAATTCCATTTTCAATATCCGTTGGAACGAATGTTAAAAACTTCAGCTGATAGTACACCGATTCTGCATCCAGATTTTGCATCATTCCTAGTAAGACCTTTTCTTCCTGTGTAGTTGGCTTCAGACTGTACGAATCATATGAAAATGGCGTACCTGCCGTCTCATTCAGGAAAGGTGAGTCGGTAACATCGAAATAGTCGTCATGCGTCTCATTCTCCCGTAATTCTTCGGTAAACAGCCATATAAACTCAACCGGTGTCTCCGAATCCGGGATTGGGTATATAGTAGGTGAATGATAGATCCGAATGATCACACCTTCTTTAACTAGGAGTTTAAGGGTGTAATCTCCGCAATTTAGCAGTGCATGTAAACCCAAGTTTTCGGGATATGTATCCAGACGGACTGGATATCGCGATTTGGAAACGGATTCGATGTCGAGAAGGAGGGATTGCCAGTGTTGTGAAGCTTTACAGGCATTGATTTGATCGTTGATAGAGAGGTTGGAGAGGATTTGAGCTTGGATTTCGTTTGGGAGGCTGAGGATGTGGAGGTTTGAACGGCCGGGGGTTTGCTGGGTGGGTGGTTTGGTGTTTCCTTCCATTTTGAAGAATCGGATGCCTTATATAGCTTATATATAGGCATAATGATCGAAATTTTGGTTAGATAAGTGTGTGTGTGAGGGTATTGAATCAGAACCCCGGTTGAGTTCTACAAACGATAATTTTAGAAGCAATCGCGTGATGGTGGCATCAATTTAATGGGTTGAGTCGAAATCCAACCAACGAACTTTCACTGTTGTATTTTGATGGCCTCTAGATCGGATTATAATTATTGGAACCTGCAATCTCGACACATAGCTACGGTGTCGAAAGAGAAAGGGAAAAGGGGACAAAGTCTTGGAGATAGCATTCATTCTTGATGACTAGCTACGCCTTGTTCAAAAATATCAGAAGTGGAAGTAGATTCTCTCGAGTTAGTTTAGCTTGGGAATTGGTTACATGTCATATATTTCCTCCTTTATTAAGTGAATACACGTTAGTAAGACAGAATATTAAAATTAATACCGCCCTTTGGTAAACTCCAAACGTTTGGTCTTGTTTCTTATTCTCCTCTAACTGGGCTCTCTGCTGCCCTTTGTGACGTCTGGGAACGAGACCAGGCTCTCTCCCTCTTTCCTCATCTCGAGATATCTCTTTTTCCTTTTATCAACACCATCGCCTTAAGTTCTGGAAGATTGAGCCTAGGCAAATCTTTGGCATTTCGCATTGGCAAGACCCCTATTAAACACTCTTCTCAGTGATTTGACCCTATCTACGGCATTGTTGCTCTGAAAGAATCGAGTAGGTCTTATGCTTTTCAGGTTTGTTGTCCAATTTCTTTAAACCCTTCCCATAATAGATCTGATATACGGTTCTTTATGGGCCTCTAGAGTATGGAAGTTGACGAAAAATCGGGTATTATAGAATATAATACAAGCATGTGTTTGATAAACACATTGCTATTGTCCTCGGAGGAAGCATTGGCATATTCTCTAGGTATCTCAGCAAATATTTCCTGTGCGATCATGGGGCCAAAGCTTTTACTGGGATCGGAAGTTCAGTAAGGTTTTTTGGGTCGAATTTACAGATTAGTGGAACCGTGGAGTAGAAGTAGCATCTTAGTCTTCAGTCATTCTAAAGGAGCTCGTCTAGATTGTTTCTTGCCAACGTGCTAGCACTGTAAGAAGAGGCTTTAGAAATGAGGAGCGTAGATGGTAATTGGAGTAGGTTGGTACAGCAGGGATGCATTCTGATAATTATGAAGGTTCTTTTAGTGATACGAGGAGACTACGGGAGCAAGTAATTCAGAGATTCTACCCTTATATCAAAGTTATTTGTAGCTGTCTTCGTTGGCTCCAAGGTTCATTAATAGTCAACACAAAACGTGTTTGTTGTATTTTATGGATAGATGCTGCCCGATTTGTCGACTCTTCCAAATTGGGTAAAGATCTGCTGGCTTCACTAGTCGAATCTGGCGATGTTGCACGACCTGGCATATTGATATCGATATCATGCAACATGTTAAAATCTACCACAATAAAGGTGAGAAGTCCTAGGTTTAGCTTGGTAAAAGCTTGAGAAGCAGACATAGTATCTTGAAAAGAAGTCATGGTGTCGATTAAATCAACCATGCTAATATAATGACATCGAAAGTAAGTTATATATATACAGAAGAAGAGAACACCCAAACGATACATCGCCTTGCAAGCTTGACGAATCAGTTCCAAATAATAGAATAAAAAAATGAAGGAAAAGTATCAAGTCCCCAAAAAATAAAGAAGTAGAAAAAAGTGAATATAAAAATACAAAACTTCCAAACCCTCGCTCATTCAACACTTTTCACAAATCTCAAGTGTGAAGAACGTTTTATTTGTATGCAGTTATACGTTAATTGGAAAGACTTTAGGCCCTCCCGGCTGTTGCTTTCTTGTCCTTGCAATCTTTAGCTGCCTGTCGACCACGGCCGTTAGGATTACGTCCATTCGCATTTCCACGATTGCGGCCGTTTTGACGTCCGTTTCCGTTTCCACGGTTGTTTCCACGATTGCCTCCACGATTGCCTCCACGGTTGCCTCCGCGGTTGCCTCCACGGTTTCCACGTCCGTTTCCGCGGTCGCGGCCGTTACCATTGCCGTTTCCACCACCGACAGCACCACCATTTCCAGCGCCACCGGTGGGAGTAGGAGTAGGGGTAGGCTCGACGACTTCATCGTCACCAGTAGTTGGCGAAGTTGGTGAAGGAGTCTCCGTCTCAGTAGGTGGTTGAGTCTCAGTAGGTGGCTGGGTCTCGGTGGGGGCTTCAGTCTCAGTAGGAGCCTCAGTCTCAGTAGGCTCTGGTGTAGTCTCCCCATCATCTGTAGGTGTTGGCTCGACAGTTGGCTCGGGAACGCTACCACCAGCACCGCCACCAGTGGTGATTGGTGCCGGGATAGTCCTGAAACCATCGGTGGGGAGAGGTGCTACGGTTGGGATATTGTTATTCGGAACGGTTGTAGTTGGTGCTGGCGCTGGTGCTGGATCTTCTGGTTCGTTGCCGCCTACTGCACCACCGAAGGTAAAGGATTGAAGTTCATCAGCTGTATCGCAGCCGATTTTGTCTAGACGGGCGCCGGAAGAAGTGAAGCATGTGCCAGCTTCGTTCAAGGGTTGTATGGAAAGTGGGCCATCGGTGACTTCAGCAAAGGAAAACAATTGAGAATTGGTCACAGTGCCTTCACCAGCTGCACGGCCACCACAGGAGAAGATGTTAACTTGATCTCCTGGTTGTCGGCGAGGATCGTAGTTAAGGCAGCCTTGAGTCTGAACAAAGGATTTATATTAGAACAACCTCGGAAAACTTCTATGGCTTAATTGATTGACATTAGACTTACCAAAGCACTGACAACCAGCATTGTTCCTGCTTTATCATTGTGCTTTCCAGCAGTAATGATATCCCACTTCTGGCCATCACTTCCATCACAAGCCTTGATCTGAACAGGCAAAAGGTTGGCTCTGAAGTCGCCAGATAGAGGGTCAACGAACAGGCACTTTCCATCAGCGGTGTTGATTGTAACGCTCGAGAAGGCACGGGTGGCAGTATCATCTCGTTGATGAGCTTCCCGGGTGGCTTCCTCATTTAACTTATCGACTACACGACGAAGCACTGGGAAGTGCTGGGGGAAGGCGGATGTAAGGCTAGCGCCCGCGGTAATGGCGAGGAGATAAAGCGACTTGGAATGCATCTTATATATCTTATCAAAAGATGATTATACTGCGTAAATTCTCACGAGGAAGCGTAAATTTGTTCAAAACCCGAATGAACGAATAAAGAGGGATCCAGTCCAGTAAGCAATTGAAAGTTACTTTTGTATTTTCGTAAATAAAAAAAATATATAAATGAATGAACGTGAAAGAAGATAAGTGAAAGTAAAACCTCGCAGAGGCTGTAAAAAAGAAAGTAAACTTTGAAGAAAAGTTTGTATTGCGGGGACCGATTGACCTGATCGTGGGGAGAGAAAACCGTTCGGACTGGGCGGGAACCTTGTGATTTATATATCAGAAGGCATCTCGAGATACTAACGTTAATACCGCTTAGCTTAGACTTCTGCAATATAATTCGCGAAATATTGCCCTCCATACTTCATGAACCAGGATTTCGGTATCTCCTTTCAGAAATCCCGATAATTCTGGGATCGCTTGTAATTGAGATCATTTGATACCCGCTCACCAGCCCCTTGCGCTAACATTCTGGATGCTGGTGGATTTCGAATCTGCAGGCTCTGGGATCGATCGAATAGGCGAGGGCAATGCATGCTGTCAAATGTTTTGATCAGGTCCTTGTGGTACCTGACAGCTATGACACAGGCGGCCAAGGCGACCAGTTCCCTCGCCCAATGGAAGCTTAGCTGTAAACAAGTGAACTTCATGGGCCTTCCGGGGTCGCTTGTATAATTGATGTTTGTCCCGTTTCACAGGGCCAGTTTCCAAGCGGGGACGGTTTCAAGGATACACCGCTCGGTAAGCAGAGCTTGGTCATCCCGTCCACAGCCCAAGTTTCAACGAGTTTCAGCACACTAAGTACTAATGGGTAAAGTTCCCTACATGTCAATCTACCCAGTGCCGAAAAATCGAGAAAAAAATCGAATTTTTTGTTCCACTGTCGACGGACTTCGAGGCTAAGTGCGTCTTTAGTCACATCGCCAAGTATATGCAAGCTCGCGCGGCCGGCACTAAAGAGAGGCTGAGGAGAGGCGGTGGTTGACATGCGCCACCCGGCCAAGCCAATCGATATCGGTTGGCGTTTCAACTGTGGCACTTGGTTCCGTAGGTTGGCGGAAACATCCCGGGTTTCATAGCTCTTTGGAGACCCATCACACAAGGAAAGTCGACTCGGTCTGGGCGTCTAGGTAGCACGACAAGTGAACAATTGGGGATATAATACGTCCGTTATATTGAGATCCATTAACGTGACGAATCAGCAGCGTTTACTGGCCCCATTTTCTATAGTATAACAGTTAATTGAACTCCATACCATGATCCTAGGTAATATCGTAGCTATTCGCTCAAGCCTATTTTGATTTGCAAAGGCCTTAAGCTTAGGGGCGATATGCAACGACTGTTAAGGTATTACATTGATTATCTGCTATCTTTCCAGCATCCAATTCGCTACAAACGGTATAATTTGCCCCCCCCCCCTCAATATAGCTGTGCTATCGCTACCGTCAATACTCAGAATCACAAGGGCCTGCATAAATCGAATATTAATCATGCCCGTTCCAGAACTCAGGTGGATTCTGTAATCCAAACAATCCTAGTCCGATGCGAGCCTCGAATCCAATCTCGTACAGGATACATTCTCTAATTTCTCCCCACTAGAGGCTCGCTCTCATCTAACTCCCCTCTTTCATCTGCAAACAACCTCTCAACAACTTCATCTCCTACCCCATCCACCGCAACATATGGCGTAATAAACCATGCACCCAACCAAGCAATCATGAACAAAACCACGAGCACTACAAATACTGATTGCGGATATGTCTTCGCTGTCTTCGAATAGATCCCATTAAACGCAGTCGGCCCAATAACTCTAGCCAGTGAATGCAGTAAGGCAATAACTCCCAGCAATTGACCAGTTTTCTCAGACGGCGAATGTTTTGTCAGGGAACTTTGAATTGTCGGTGACCCTAAGCCTCCGAACGAAGCTATGAGGCCACCCGCCATAAACAACGGTGAGTCGCGGGCAACAACGAAGAAGAGAGTTCCAAGAACCTCCATCGATAGAGCACCTCGGATTATCAGGGTGTCTAGATTGTCGCATCCACCGACTGGATCCCCTGGTCGCGGCTTCTTGCGGAAGAAGCGAGTGAGCAATGGAAGAATAACAAATAGACCGATCACTCGAGAGGCATTGACGAAACTGGTGAAGTAGGAAGCGAACTTCGTGGTCCAATGGAATTCAACCTTTGCAAAAGAAATGAAAAGGAAAAAATTAGCAAGTTATCCGAATTGCTGGCGAAGAACGGTTATGGCCCGGACAAACCTTTGAGTATAAGAGTATGACCGTCATCGAACCGAACCCTACACCAAACATGACAAAATCGATTGCTGCAAGTAATATCATGTTCGTTCGTATCTTTGTTAAGTTGCCCCCTTCCTCCGGCCACAGCACATTTAGTGGCTTAAAGACGTTGACGACCCCCATGACGCTCTGTAGCCAACTAACCGAGCCTGCAGATTTCCTCCTTTCTTCCGCAAACTTCTCGTTTGCCAATTCCATCTTCTCTTTCGATAATGACTCGGGCAAGATGAATAGTATATACGATATAAATACCGCATGAACTCCTATCACGCCGTAGAACACAACGGCTATGTCATCTGTTTTCTCTATAACAAACCCTCCAATTGCGGGTCCAATTGCTATCCCAAGGAACAAAAACCCATGGAAGAGCGAGAATGCCGAAGAACGCTTCGCAAAGGATGTACAATCTGATGCATAAGAATGTACCAATGCAAGAATGAGTGTGAAAGCTCCAACAATCCCCTCAAAGGCACTGGCGAGAAGTAGAAACCAGTAGCTGAAATAATCGGGGTATTTCAGGCAAAGGATCAAAGTTACTTCACACAAGCAAGCGCCGAATGAACCAAGGATTAAAAACATTCGACGGCCGATCCGGTCGGAGTATTGACCAAGACGAGGCGACGTTATCGCACCTAATGAACAATTAATTATTTCCATACGTAGTGCACGAATTCGAGAGACTAACTTAATATCCCTGTAATGATATTCATGTATAATGTAAATGTGGCAGCTCGGGCCCCAATCTTTATCAGGCAGTGTAAGCCTTCCTGGTCTTCAAGCTAGTTATCTCGATGGATGATCCATAGAACGTACCTCGGGAATCTCGCACTCCGGGTTATCTGCCCCAAGAACTAGCCTTATCGGTGTAAAATCTCCATTTGTCGCTTCCCGTTCCTTCCGATTGAGATAGTCTTGACATATAAGTGCAAATACCATATTGACACGAGGTACCGCAGCCCTGTGTAACCATGATAACCATTAGCCTTGTGACCCCGCTGGAGCGCGCGCATCCCCATACTGCGGAGAGCGCAGCGCCGCGAGCCGTAGATAGACAACTTACGCTCCAAGAGCCATTGCATATAATACGAAGGGTGGTAATAATATTAGTATCTAACAACAGGCCCGTTTCAGTTAGTTAACAACCCTTTCGTGAGCATCATGGTTATGTCGAGAAGGCTGTACACTCGGCCGCTTCCACCATTTCACACCGTCCTTTGGTTCTTCGCCGTCTTCATTGTCGGAGTTGATCGTTGTATGTGTTTCCACAGGTGTAAGCAATGGCCTTGATTGTGATTCGATGCCGTCAACATCCTCGCTCTCCCTGTTAATATTCCTCCGAAACTCATCCCCTTCTCCTTCATTTTGACCTTGTCGTAGTAAACGTCCTTCAGGACCTTCAGCCTGAGAATCCATATTGTAATGTTGGATCAGGCAATGGCCGTTGTGTTGTCCAGGATGTTAACAGGGGTTTGAACTGCGAGCTGCGACTTCCCCGATGTTGAGATCCGGATCGGTAGTGCAGTACGCTCGAACCAGTTATATAGCTAGCTCTGTCGGAGTATGGAGCTAATATCAGGATAATCGATAAGCTATAAACTCAGCGGTGGCAGCCTGATGCGAGGAATGTGACTCGGGGCCTGCAGGACACTGTCCGATAACAAAAATATAGTGGAATTAATTATAAGTTTAGATTTGATTTCGATTTGACCGGCAGGGCGGGATCAGACCCTGTGCAGCTCCGTCTATTTCAACTCCAGAGCGACACAGTTTTATAATATCCTTATCATCGCGAGCTCCGACTATACTGGCAGCGCCTTGAAGTAGGCTTTTAGATAGAGTGATATGCGGTCGGTCGAAAGTTTTAGAATTAAAAAGGCCTGAGAAAGATGTAAACGTTGGGAACGTGGGAGAAAAGAGCAAGGCGTCCGCTTCGTACTGGAAACTGTGCTAAACCTTTCGCTGAAATTAATACCAAGCTTAAGCCGGCTTAGAAATCCGCAGAGGACTTAACGGTTTTCGGCCGGCAGAATTGCCCACCAACGGTCCATGATCTAGCTTAAGACTTCGGCCAGCTTGGGAAGAAGCTCTGGGCCGATGAGGGGGGCAAGTTTGAACCAAGTACATCATCAATTAAGACAGGCCTAAAAACACCTATGCAAGATCCCGGCTAATCTTTGCCGTCCCGCTTCTTTGGGATCGATTGGAACTTCAATTGGTTGTATATTAATTTTCGGTTCAAGATAGACCCGACAGCGCGATTAGAAATACATGGACACCATGAAATGTAGAAGTTGAAGTAGAGGACGGATCAGAAATAGGTCCCGAATGCCCGCTCGGATATTTAAATCGGAAATATTCAAGCTGAGTCGGACATGTGCGAGAAATCAACGGTACAATATACATGGGGGTCTAAGTACTAGTTAAGTGCTAATAAAACCGGGGAGACAGAAGGACGGATAATTGGGGGTAAAGATGTTCGGAAACGGCGTCAAATGAAAGACACAACCGCATAAGATAGAAACGACCTTCAGACCATAGCTCTCGTTTTATTTTCATAGCTGGCTGAAGTAAGATTTGAACTAGTGTGAACTGAATCCAAATATCTTACTCCAAACCATCTCGAACTTAGCCAAGTTTTGGACTTGAAATCATCACCAGGCCAAATCCCACAAAGCTTCTCTTAATAAAAGAAGAAACCTCGAGGAATTTAAAAAAGAGGGTTATATTACTTATCATTGTGAGAAGGGGAAAAACAAAAGACCTTCAGATTAGCTCTCTAACAGTCATCATGGCGAACACACGGATATGTATATCTATCCAGGTTGGCCTCGCCCTTATCTTCGCCCCATAAGAATGAGGATCCGATAAAGTCGTTCAACATTGGCTTGTCTTCATCACAAGGTCAACATATAGGTCGAATGACAGATACTACTTGGGAGTCCAAAGATGGCGATAAGACGTATCAACATAGATGTACGAACGTTAAATACTCGGGATTGTAAATGCCTAACTCATTGATTAGCATCGTAGCTTCAAGTTACTCATTTAGTCAAAGGGGAAAATACACACCTTGAGGCTTCTTCCGATTGAAAACTGTAAAATGAAAAAGGGTCGGCATAGACAAGCAGCACTGACACGGTAAGAGACCGCCGGCGCGTCTTCGACTCGAGCCATGATTATCGTCCTTGGAGCCCTTGATCAAGACCAATCCAAAGCACCAAACTCCACCGACGAAGATACCCTTTAAACCAACGATATCACCCATTCATAAACGTCGACACACATATCCAACTAGACACTTCCATCCATTCGTTCCAAGAAGTGGACCCAAGCCGTCATTCTACGATTTCCGTTCTATGATTCACCCATATTGGTTGTAGCAAAGCCTAACGAAGGCCGCAATTGACGCCTCGTGTAAAGGAGGGCCAAGAGTCATGTGCTCTCTAAATATCGTCATCGAAAAACGGTTGGTTGTTCAAGGAATTCGGATTTCATTATCTGTGAGTATTATATTAGCATCTGGGCTTCAGAATTGCGATTTTTGAAGGCGCGAGATAGATAGGCTGCTTACCTGAGGTGGAAACGCGATGAAGAAAGGGAAGAGAGAGCATCGCGTGGTGCGAAATAAGATGCCTTGATGTCACGTGAGCAGCATCGAAACATCAAATTCAACACAACCGAAAACTAAGGCTTCAAGATATCAGACCACAATTAACGACTCCGAAAACCGGCCCCAAAGCTATCACAAATCGACAATCAGACCTCAATTGTCGGCCTAGGGCTGTCCAGGCGCCTTAAATTATATCAAATGATACTTCCATAGTCTCTCCCGCGGCCACTACCTTGAGATGGCCCGGGAGACTCAAACGACCCGTGCGCTTCGGGAACATGCCTTGAACCTCAAAGCCCCTTCTCACAGGGCACTCCGGTATCTAAGGTCCATTGTCGATAACCGGCCATATACTGCACTCCCAGCTTGTAATGCCGACCTCAAGGAACTCGAGGAGCTCCGGCAGATGGGTTTATGGCCTCTTCAGACTTGCAATGGCGCCCGAAGTGCTAGATGGAAGGAAAGAGGCGAAGCAGACGTCTGTGGGATATCTCAGAGGGAAGAGAAGGCAGCGAATAGAGTAGTGCTCGGACTACAAGGCCGGCAGCCGGAGTTGAGATTAGACTACGAAGATACGAGTATTATAGGGCGGAATCGCCGACGGCCGGTAGCCTCTATTCTTCCACAAAACACCAGCCATCAGGTCTCCAGTAGTAGAGGGATACATACGGACACAAGAGCGGAGGCGAGAGCAATACACACAAGTGCTAGCCAATCACAATCTTCGACACTTCTATCACAACCTCTTCCAGCTCCAAACAAGACCCGGAAGCCGAAAATTGGGAAACAATGGCAGGTCCAACTTGCGAATGCCGGCCGACTTCAAGCCGAGGCCAGGAGAAACAATACCACACCGTTCCTCGATCAGCTTCAAGCTAAGCATTTTACGACAACTATAGACGAAGACAACCGGAATCTAGAGTATCGTATCTGTGACTTCCTAAAACGCCCTAACACTCGCCCATTGAAATGCAAGGGACCCACTGTCTTAAATGTTCCTCAAGAGGGAGCAAAGGAAGATCAATACCGGAAATTTGCATCTGCTCTATACGCTAAAGCGTATGATCCGGAATTAAGTATGCAAAGTATAATATCATCTGCCACAGCGTATCGAAAGCTAGGGAGAGTAGCAACAGCCCAGGCTATAACGGAAAAATACAAGACCGGACGTAAGCCTTCAGAAGATATGATGGTTACGCAGCTCAAACTTCTCCTCGCTAGGAACAAAGTAGAAGCAGCCATATACTTCGTCCAAATGGCAAAGGACACTGCCACCGGATTCGGAGCCCGGCTGACTCAAACCCTCCTCGAAGGTATTCGTCGACTAAGGGTAGAGCTTAGCGTTCTTAAGAGGACATTTGAATTGGTGGAAGGCTTCTTTCCTTCCTCTCAAAGTATACACTTCTCGATATTCATAAGGGGCTGTGTCGATAATGGAAGGCTAGATCTGGCATCCGAATGGGTCTTCAAAATGCAGGACGCTGGACACACCCCCGACGCAGAGACGTACAATGGTATCATCTCCGCCACTGCCAAGTACGGCCAATGGGAGAGTATTGAACCTTTGCTGCAAGTTTGCCGAGAAAAGGGACTAGCTATCACAAGATTCACCATGAATGCTCTCCTCGACGGTGCTTCCAACAAACCCGAAATCAGTCTAGAAGAGATACATAAATTAAGAGACAAGTTTCAAGTAGAAGCGGATGCGGCTACCTGGTGTATCTTACTCAAATCCATCCTCGACAAATCCCCTTTCGAGGCCATCGAATCCGAGCTTGAGAACCTCCTCAAACAAATGGAAGAATCCAACCACCCTCCATCTGAGGTTTTCATTAATACCTTAATCTCCAAAATCGACAATAGCGGTGATGCCTGTCCACCCGTCCTTCGGCGCCTCCTTGCTGTCATCAAGGACTCCGCCATCCCAAATACAGCTAACACTCATGAACTCATCGTCTCAAACATTCTCGCAAATACATCCTCAAAAACAACCACCAAGGTAGTCCGCAAAGATGCCGATACATACACCAAAGACACAACATCCCTCCGTATGATCGCTCACATCCGTGAACTCCAACCTCTCGAGTCCCTCAAGATATTTCAGGCATACATTTCTCAATCCCTTCGACCAAGTCAGCACCTTCTTGTCCTAGCCCTAAAATCCGTCTTGCTCCTCCCTGCCCGTCCAAACTACCCTCCAAAAGCCACGGCAGATGAAAAAACGCAACTAAAATTCAATCACAACCGAGCAAAATCTCAGACTCTCAATCAAATCCTCGAATTATCCGCAAAACATGGGTTGGAAATCCACACCGCCCTCTCCGAATCCGCGTGGTCCTTTTTGTCCGCTGCGTACGGCTATCGGGCCTCAAAGGTTAAATCGAAACTGAGCCCAATACTCTTAACACCACCTACGGAAAAGATCCTAGCGGAAATATACGGGTTCTATCATAAACATGACCTAAAGAACCCACATCACCCTCTCATGGTCAGCATTTCCGTTCTATATAATCGAAAACAATACCAAAAGATTGTAGACATAATGCGAGCAGTGGCATCATCGGAATGGGGTAGAAAGACAAAATTTGATATAGTAGCTTTGACGATATTATTGAAAGCGTATATGTCATTACGAGACGAGAGAGGTGTACGTTGGATTACGGACCATGTGATAGGAAGGAACATGGATGTTGACCAAGAGTTCATGAAGGTTTTGAAAGAAGAAAAGAAGATGCCTTTGGCGGCGTTTGCATTGGACTGGGCGGATACGGAGAAGACATCGATGGCGGAGAATGTAAGACGATGTGAAGAGATGATGGAACGAAAACGGGGTATAAAGGAGAGGAATAGTGAATTTATTCTGGAAATGTTAGGGAAAGGCAATAGGCTGGAGGATCTGAGAGTGCCTGAAAGGATACAGAAGCGTACTGAGGCTAAGGTTGATCAACCTGTTCAAGACTACCAAGCTTCAGCCGAGGAAGCTACTCCCGAGCAGCAAGATTGAAAATATTCATAGGCAGTTTGTACATACTTTGATACCCTATATACGAGGACCACCAAGAACAAGGACAAAAGCATTATCACCCTAGGATCCTGCAAAAGGTGCCAAAACCGTACGAATATGAAGATTTAAAACAGCATCGTCAATTAATAGCCAACAGAACATATTATGGTCATCATTTTACTAAAACTTTCTTTCTCGATATGATGATCAATTTGTTCGATATATAAACCCTCTATAAAAATACACAGGAGACGACATCAAGATAAAGCTAAGTATATATCCTGACGTACCATCGCGAATGCATGCAAAACCAAAAGATCCAAGACACCAGTATTCCCCTCCATTTATATATATATTTTACCCTTTTTTTTTGTTTGTATGAGAAAGAAAGAATATAAGAAAAGAATTAGAAAATCCAAATGTACCCCCGCTCTCCGAAAGCAAAAAAAGGCGCCCTAGAAGATGTATCTGTTCGTATCTATATATTCTTGATCCAATATGTATGTAATTTTTTCTCCATTTCTTTTCTTTCGCTATCAATATCTTTCTCTTGTTTTCATCGATTATCTCTTCCTCCTTCTCTCTCTCTCTCTCTCTCCACCTTTGAGTAATAATAACAGGGGGAAAAAAGAATACATGATGCAGAATTTCAAAATCTCAAAACTCACATCCAAAGGCTGCTGTGACGTAGAATGACGAAGGGGGGGATATCATTTATTTAACAGGTTTTAGTGCGATGGTAACAATAACGATGACCGTGATGTAAAAAGAAGAAGAGGGGATATTACAGACAATTTTCTCCGCAAGTAGGAAGAAAGACAAAAAGAAAAGAAGAATCTCGGTACAGCCGATTTCAAGACTGGAGAAAGGGTCGGAATGAGTAAAAACGGGGCATTGAAATGCATCAAAAGGCAGAAGGGGGGAAAGATATTTGTTAGAATCGCAGAATATACATGAATCGAAGGAAGAAAAAAGGAAACTAAAAGTTACGAGTAAAGGCTTGCATGCAATTATGAAGAAAACAGAACAACCTATAAAAAAAACAATCCGCTATCCTTTTGAGCACACAAACTATGATGAGAAAGGAGAACATAAACAGACAAAAGCAGCAAACAGGTGTAAGGGGAAAGGCAACGTATCAAGAATGTGCGAGGGGTGAAAACGTGGGGTTATGTGGAGAAGAGCACTGCCCCGGGGTGTTTAATGCTGAAGAAGAGTGACTAAGTACAAAACGGCCGAGCTATGTGTAGTATACGAGCAAGCAAAAAATGGCGATGCAACTTAGTAAAAAAGACTTGCTGAATACGAAAAACAACCGAGTGCCGGAGCCAAAGGGATTAAGGTTCATTTCAACCTTGCCCTCCACTATCGCCTTATGGCATATCATATATGTACTGTTTCCATCCTACCACTGGGGAAAGGTTGAGTTGAAGAGCAGGTTGGTACCGATAATAGGAAGGGGTGGCGGGAAAGGGATAGGGTATGATCGGGTGGTGGATATCGGTATCACAGACGCCGCCAAAACAACCGGAAAACATTCTGCTCCTTCTATAGATCTCTCTTTTTGAAAAAAAAAACTTTTTCGATGCAATCGGAAAATCTCCCCGGTTAAACGCCTCAGCACAAAGACATAGCGTCCCCTTCATACCACGAATCTTCATATCGCTTGTTCCTTCCTCTCGAATGTCGAAAATAACTGACATATATACCGGGCCAGGGTCGCTAAAAAGGGAGGATGCGAATCGAGACCTGACGAGGAAGGTAGAGGTTGCCGTAAAAATGATAATCGATCTAAAAAATCGCTCAGAAAAGAAGAAAGCATGTGTAGAAACGGAAAATAAAAAAGACGCAAAAGCAATATTGCATGTCAAATCATTAGAAGCATGATCATAAACTCATACAGTTGAGCTATACGACGTAATCATGTTCATAGTACCACCTTCGTGTATCTATCCACCTTTGCGGTCGTCTCCAGTAGCGATCGCTGTATCTGTGTTTGCTGTAGCTCGCTTCTTCTTATTACCACCCTTTCGCTTATGAGAGTTCTTATTCCACTCCTTCTGCTTAGAATGAGTATTGTTTTGGCTCTGGTTCGCTGGTATGGGGCTGTCGTCTGGCTTAGTAGAGGTAGAAGATGTCGAGCTTGACTTAGAGTTGTGGGGAGTGGAATTTTGGCCGGCCGTGCTAGCAGACTTAGTGATAGCCTGGATGGCATCCACCATTGATTTTGCCCGCACTGTTCCTGACCTACTCGAATGGTTCGTCGGCGCTGTTTGTTTGGCAGTTGTATTCCCGTCCTCCGACGAGTTATCGGCTTCGCTACCAGGTTGCTTCGCTTTTTTGCCAGAACCGTTTTTCGGCGAGGAATTCTTCCAATTTGAAGCGAGTGCGTTCCCAGTCTGTTTTGGGTTGGCTTGAACATCATTGGAGCTACTTGTAGTGCCTCGCTTATCCTTTGTTGGAGATGTCTGTTTCGTCTCTCGGACCGGTTGGGTATGGTTCGGGGTAGCAAGGTCAAGGTGCGGCTGCCTCTGGTCAGCGTTTCTTAACGTGGATGTAGCCTGTTCAACTTCACGTTGCCGTCCATATTGCTGCTGTTGCTGTTGTTGCTGCTGCGTTGCTTGACGGTGTCTTAGCTTTTGGCCGTTATGAGGGTCGAAGTTCGCTATAGGCATCGTAGGATATGGGGAAGGAAAATGCAAGAATGACGGGAATGGTATTTGATGCCCAGTATACGGATTAATGTAGGCATCCGAGAACCCAGTCGGGTTAGAGTACATGCTTTCTCCGGGCGGAGAGTCTCCATGTACACTAACTTGCGGGGAATCATCGTTGTCAAATGGCGGGGTCACTGGGACACTGCTAGCAGAACCGTTCACAATGACCGGGCCACGTTGTCTCGGTTCTTCATCGAACGAATCTTGTGATATGGACCTTTCACCATCGCCTTCCGAAGATGACCAAATGGCGTCTTGATTCTGGGCAAATCTTGAATGATTGGCAGTTGTGATCGGGGAGGGCGGCTGGGACGGCCGTCGATGGTCGCTAAATTTGGATGGAGCCATCTTATCCTTTGAGAGCCGTTCCTGGTGTTCTACTACGTCCTTTTGATTGACAAATAGATCAGGCGTAGCGCCAGCCGTGACGTCCTGGCCAGGGTAATAGTAACCATAGTAGTCCCCAAAGCTGTCTTCTCCTGTATGCGACTCAGGTGTATGTGGCTGCTCAGATGTACTAGAAGCCGTAGCTATGCTCTCACTACCTCCCAAATCTTGACTATCTGCAATAGATTCAGGGTGAAAAACGCTGGGTACTTGTCTTGTGCCTGGATCTATGTGCGGTGCAGGTTGCGAGCGTGATCTCGGCCCGCCAGGTTGGAGGTTTTTCGTTCGGTTCAGTCGTTGATCGAGACTGGTTTGCTGAGCTGTCGCTGCCGCTGCAATATTCGCGCTGTAGTCATTTATTGCATTGGGGAGGTAGAGAAGCGTCGGTGGGTACAACAAGTATGTGGGATAGCCAAAGGCTTGATACTGAGCCTGGGCCGCCAGAAGGTTAGTCTGCGCCTGGTGTTGCTGCTGTTTTGTAATCGCATCCAATTGGCTATTCGCCTGAACATTCAATGCGTGTGCGTTCATCGCTTGGGTAGCTGCCGTAGTTTGAGCCAGCGTATTAAGAAGATTCTGACGTGCAATTACGTTCTGTCTATAAGCGTGTTGAACGTCTATTATGGGCTTGGAAAGTGTCTCCACAGTAGGGTAGGAGAACGTTCCATCTGGATTCGGCACAAACTGATACCCTCCTGGCCCATTTAGCAAATGCGCCGTTATTGGTAGGTTGGTATTGGAAAATGTAGATCCGCTAGACGCTCTACGACTATTGAATGTACCATTCCGAGGATTGGGATAGCCGCCAAAATGCCTGTTTCTCGCTCTTCCGTTGTCATTCGATCTCCCTTTGTTAGCGGAATTACTCCTGGTCATCTGAATAGGCCGGGACGCTGGTTTGACGAAATCCGAAGCACTAGGTAACTCTTCCTTAGGGAAGATATATTCCTCACTCCAAGCTGTGAGGTTTGGAGGTGCTTCAGCCAACAGCTTGAATGCCCTTCTAAACTCTTCATGGATCCCTCGAACTGCATTGTCGTCGGCTCCATTGCTTAGATTTCTTGCAATACTGAAAGGCTCCTCCACACATAACCGGTTCCCAAGCAAGGCATCCCACTTCTTCTCGGTCTTTGAGATGAGCCTCCCCATACGAATCGAAATAACACTCTTTTCAAAATCGATTTCATATCCATATCTCTTAAAAAAGTTGAATAAAAGAGATCCTAAACTCTCGGTATTTGCCTTACCGAAATCGCGGAGGGCTTCGATATCATCATCGAACGATACGTCCACCCCGTTCTGCGGTGGCCGTTTTTTATGCTCACGTTGGTGTAGCGACGGTAGTATTGGCGGTTCTCGTGTTTGAAGAAAACTAACAATCATGCAAATCCAGGTATAGGATGAAAGCGTTCCTCCGCCAGCTGTTTGGAATAATAATTAGATATCTCGCCAAAGGAATTTTTTTTTCTTTTTTTTTGCGGGGGGGCTTCAAAAGGAGGACCTACCAGCGTCGTTCAATATTCTCTGCTTTGCCCAGTACTTAATGATCATTGCTAGGCGCTGGACTCGCGGATCAATATCAACGTAGGTCTTGACCATCCTTGTGTTCTCCAGAGCAAGCGTGTTGTTGACGTTCATGTCGCATTGTACCTTATACTCTGGATCCCATATTCTGACGATGGGCACCTTCGCATTCTGAACACAGACGATACGCTCCATGCGATCTAATATTCACCAATTGTTAGTTTCCCATATTACGTGTCGGTGGATACTGGTATTCCCACGTTTTCCTAGAACTTTTGCCAACAAGCAGACATTTTCAAGGTCCTTGAAATCCGTTACGATGCAGACATCAACTAAATAACAAAAACTAGTTAGCCATATGAAATTAGTCGGAATCTATCGAAAGAGCAATACCATCCGAATCCGTCGAGCAGAGTCTATTCTCCGTGGAGCCAAAAGGCCGAACTTTTATCTCATGACCGGGCCATTCGTCGTTCAACAGTTTCTCAAGCTTTTCAAGGAATTTCCGTCTTCTTTCGTTGCTCTCTTCTGAGGGAAGAAGTTCGGAGTATAGATTTTCCAGGTCAGCCGTAAGCTTTTTCTCATCTTCAGTCGACAAGGAATCTTTCGGCGGCTTCTGTTCCGGCAAAGGATCGCTCCCTATCGAGTATTGTATCCTTCTACGTTGTAGAACCAATCCGCTTTCATACTGGCATCTAGAACGTATTGTAGGGTGGGTGCTGGGGTCGGACGCTGCCGAACGAGGAGAGTCGAGGGTAAAGGGGGTAGGGGATGGAGAACGGGACTTCCCAGCGTCGTGTCGTGTTCGAGGATGGCGTGGAGTAGACGGCATGGAGTTCGACATTGTGTAACTCGATCGTTGGTTCCGGTATTGTGGTCTGGAGGAAGGTGGTTGAGCTGGCAACATAACCTCAGATTTATTGTTCGCCTGTAGGTTCGCTATACTATGACGAGGACCTAGAGAGGAATTTGCCAATCGTACAGAATTGTTGCTGCTCCAGCTTGAATTCAGAAATCCTCCAAGCTCGGGCTGGAAAACATCCCTATCGGATGATCGTGATTGACGTCTTTGGTGGTTGTGCGGACTCGAATGTCTGAGACCTGCAGGTCGTCCCTGACGTTGGTTTTGCGAACCAGCAGCCCCACTGTACTGCGAAGGATACCCAAAATTCGACCGAAATCGATCCACCGACTCAAATCCTCCTGGTCCGATAATAGATGGTGCTGCTACCGGAGTAAATCCATTAGAGAGTACCGGTGGAAGAGGACCGTCGGGTCGAAGAGGAATAGAAGAGCCGGTATAGCGTCTTCGGTGATTTGTAGGTGACTGAGGGTCGGTGGAAACCTGAGCAGAGGAAGAAGAGACGCTGGAGGGAGCCGACAATAAGGTTGAAGGATGACCTCCTGATAAATTCGCCACGTCCTCCATGAGATCCGCTACTGGGCGGAAAGCTTATATCGCCAAACACAAGATTGGCAAGGTTTCTTGGGTTTCGAGGGATTATATTATTTGGATTGGGAATGCAGTCGCAGGTTTCAAATTCCTCGAAGGTCCGGAGGGCACAGCAGGCCGGCTTGCCGTATCAATGGAATATAGGAGTCGTAAAGGAACGGGGTATCGAATGTCGTCAACAGGAAGAATAGGAGGGAGTTTGTGGAAGGACGGACGGATGAGCAGGCGAACGAACGGTTAATTCTCCCGCAAATAATAGCCAGCGGAAATCGACACCCGAGTTGAAGCCAGAAGAATAATTATCGTTACTAACTGACAGACAGACAGACAGACAGACTTGATGGGCAGGATATGCAGTGCAGCAGCAGGGATGCAGAGAGATAGGAGGGATGTTGCAGGTTTGATGGTGGTAGGTGGTTGGTGGGTGGTGTATGTAAGTACTAAGTATGTAAGAGGAGAGGTATGTAATGGAGCGGGAGGGAGTTCAGTTCCAGTTCCAGTTCCAGTTGGTTGGCTAGTTCGTTCGTCGCCTCGCTTTGGTTAGTGAACAAACAACCAACAGGAGAACGATCCACCGACGAATAGCCGCCCTGCTCCTAACGGCCGAAACAAGCAAGATTGGATGGACTGAGATATCGGATTATGTAGGGCTGGCAGGCTGCTATTGCTGCTGGCTAAATGTTGGAGAAGAAGTAGAAGAAGAATGAGCAGGTACGATGTATATCGATGTGTATAGTACACCAACGTCGTACTCTCTCTTCAGGCCTGAACGACGCAACAGGAACGAGACGACCGGTCCAGCTCTGGTTCCAGCCGCAGGGAACACCAAAGGGACTACCGATGGCTGGTTGGGTTCGATTCCCAATTCCGCCCGCTCGAACTAACGAACGAACGAATTAACTGACAAATTTGTTTTAGTTTCCTAGGTCGATCTGCCTTGGAAAATACGTTCCAGCTGTGGGGTTCCGTTTGAACTCAGGTTGTCAGAATGACTGGTTCAAATGATAATAATAAGAAGAACAAGAACAAGAATAATCAAAAGCGCACTGCGGGAGAAAGAAAGAAAAAGTAAGATGTCTAAAAGGACCGAGTCAGAAAGGGAACCGCAAAAGACAGGCTGCCGTCAGAATGCGCCTGGTGCATCCGAAGAGCGAGCCACTGAAATATCTCAGGCACAAACTCCGCCGCTAGGTATATTGATATTGCTCAGACCAAAACTCCGGTAGTGGATATGCTTTCAAAAACCAGTCACTCCGGAAATTGTCAACGGAAGCTATCGGTGGCCAGACCTTGAACGAAAACAATAAATGCTACGGGCCGGTAGACGGGGGCTGGGCTAGGCAAATCGTTCGACCGTACAGAACTCGCTTAGTCCGGTGTTGGAGTTGGTTCGATTCGACTTAATTCGCAAAGCAATTGAACCGCCAGACTGCAGCTACGTGTAGATACGAAGGTGTATATGCTTAAAGGAAGGAACGAATGGATGAATGAATGAAATGGAGGATGGGTGAATATCTTAGGTTCTTTCTCTAAGTATGGACGGAAGGAGGCAGTGGGCAAGGAAGTAAGCGGGTTGAAGTAACGCTGTGGGCTAATAATAAGAACAGTGGTAACAAGGAGGAAGCCGGGATGTCGACCAAATGCGAAGAACCATCGGAGAGCGGACCTGACGGGCAGTCCAGGCACAATCCAGGAACAGAATAGGACGGATGGCCAAGTTCGCCGTACCTGAACAATCGCGGCACTTATGCCAAACAACGACGAAGTATGGTATGCAAGTACCTACGTACCAGGTATAATATTCCCCAAATGCCGTATATTATGTGTACGCTACGTTGAATGCCGTGAAATAAAATAAATAATATGATTAGTGTGCGCCCACAGCCTTCGATTCGAATGCTCTCGAGCAGTGGAAGTTGCTGAGTCTTGAGTATTATTAAGTATGATCTCCGAACTTTTGGAATTTGCGGATAAAGGAGTAAGTAAGGCAAAGTAAGCAGGATGCCAGGCAACTTTTGATTCTTTCAATTTCTTGTTCTCTGACTAGGTCTTGTCGCCAAACAAATAATAAAAAAAAGGGAGACACCTCGGCCATGGCAGCAAAATGCGACAGCGACTTTGAGTGATAATAACATTAATAACAGCTCCCGTTCCAGCAAATGAGGTTCAAGCAGGTGCCTTAGCGCACGATGTTAAGGGAATCCACATTGAGGTGACGCTTGTGGGGATCGTTTGGGGGAGCTATTGCTCGATATGATTAGATATCCCCCCCTCGACTTCTGTCACCACCACCGCCGGAATCTTTACCGGGTTCAAGAATGTATGTTTCTCGATAGAGGAGCTGCTTATATAGAATACGGTCATATATTACTCTTGCATTCAGCAATTAAGTCATCCGCTCGTATCCACCCATCTTCTATTCACAAGCATCAGGGTCTGCGATAGGCATGATATGAATCTTCAGATGCTCTCTCGCCCTCACCCTCTCCCTCGCCAAATTTGGTGCCGAGAAATGTAAAAAGGAGAGCTCGGACACAACTATCGATACACGAAAACGGACAGTGCGCAGTCTCTGTAAGCTCGCAATTTCAAGGCGTTTATAGCTACAAGTAGGTAAGTAGATCAATCAAGATAGAAGAGAAAATGATTTCAATCCTGCTGTTTTCCATATTCATTGACGACAGGCGCATTACCTCGAGTAATTTAACAATCGACCCATGGAAACCTCCAACATGCCGATATCGTCGTACCGCTGCAGATGCACTGCACTGTTCAAGGGTATACCTCATTACGCTTGGTTTAAATCGCATGCAAGATACAGATCAGGAAGCAAATAGCTGCAGTTCTCCAAGCTGTCCGTACATAAAGGCATACATTACATACATAAGTATATTCCCTCGGAAATTTCCCCTGGAGAGGAGAATAAAGCATCCAGTTGATCGATCCCGCATCTTTTCTTCCCTTCCCACATGGTCATGCGCTGCTACATCCGCTCTCGTAATGATTTCTCCTGCCGTCATGCATCTACCATACCGTATATACATACATCGCATCTGTTACTGCAGCCCAGGCGCCTGCGCCTGCAGCACAAGTCTCTGTAGTTCGTGTTCTGGTTCCCCCCAATTGCAATCTACGCCATCTTGTTTTTTTTTTTCTTGTGGACCTATGGATTTGTACCGTGCCTCTCCAGCTCAATGTTTCGTCCTACCCAATCTTCGGATCCACCCACACATACCCGCTTCTCTGCTACACTGTCTGCTGCACGATCCGTATGGGGTATTTGACATGAGGTGTTTCCCTCCGGCTTGCCAGTCTTGGGTTCATTCTTCTTTGCCTGGACAAGCCGCTGTCCCTCAAAGCGGGTCACCTGCTGTCAGGCCCAAGCCAAGCTGCAAGCTGAGACTGCGGCTTGGTCTACTTCCAATGCCCCATTTCATTCCGTTTCTGAAGCTTTCCGGCAACCAAAATCTCAACTGTTGGAGGTTCAATTGATAGTCCAGAACTAGCCGTCATTCGGTACCGACGACAGCAAAAGAGGATTGAAACAAAAAAAAAAAAAAAAAAAAAAAAAAAAAAAAAAAAGGTACGAAAGAACATCCCAAACCAACAAAATCTCCACAGTAAGTGTCACAATCAAGGAGAGTATACCGCCATTTAGCTTGCTTTCCTAGCGCGCAATCTTGGGCCCGCTGTGGTTTCGGTACGTCTCGCCGTCATAACTCCCAGGTACCCCAGCCCGCAAAATTGCTTGGAGATTCCTCGCATGTGTCGGGGTTCCCGTATGCCACTTTTCCAAAATCGGCCTAACCCGACCTTCTTCTCAATCGTAATTGCATCGATGGCCGACGGTTATCCCTGGCTAGCTACTGTGGACTGTTTAGAATGAATTCGAGGTTCACAAGTGTACATACTCCTGTCCCAATCCCCAGCCAGTGTACCTCTTCTCATTCAACAATAACCCCCCTCGCCCTTTTTCCCATGAATCTGTTTGAAAGACGTTTTGAATCTAGTCTCCCCCCATCAACCCTTTATTATTTTCACCAATGCTAGCAAGAATAGCCCGTAGCTGGTATTAATATGCCCCAATCCATATCAAATCTCCCAGCTATTTTTTCTCAAATCAAAAGGGGTAGAAACAATATGCCATTTTTCTCGCTCCTTCCCGAAACCCCCAGGCTTCAAAAAAAGCTTAAGGATCCATGAAAACATTCTCCTTGAACCGACCCGCCAATTCAATTGATTCCTGAGCGGTACCGCGGTCTACATCCATCAACCAGGGACCAAAAAGAAGGAATCCCAAAGAGAAACAGAGGCCCTTCGCGAAATGTTGATAATTCCGCTCGAAACGCTCCCGACCATTGAAAGTGATGTCTCGAGTTTCCTGTTTGCGGTTCAGAACAGCAGGCTAGGTAGGAATAAAAATAGCAATCAGACCAATGCTTCTTTTCGAGTTCCTTAGAATTCCCTAGCTCGAATTAACGGCCATGTCAACAGCTTCAACATTTCGAATTTACAACATACAACACCTTTCCAGGATACCAGGTCGCTTTTACAAAACACAATTCAACATGAAATAAGACTTACTTTGCTTTGAGAAGCCGTGCTGACGCTGAGTCGATGATCTCAACCAAATTTAACCCTCCTATTACTAGCACCCAATCGATCCAGCCTTAAACATTTGAATGATCCACATTAAAGTTATTTATGGAGCTTCACTGTATATCCATGGCCATTGTACCGTTAACTCAGACTTTATGATCCGCGTTCAGGAGAAACACACCCACGTGAGAATGTATATCACTCGGGCTACATTAGGACGTAGCTTCGAATCCAGACACCCTTAAGATTAGGACATTCCACGTCCCGGGTATATGGCACCCCTTAATCGAGGAGCGCGTTTACAGATGAACCTTGAGCCAACTCGGCAACCCCAAACGGCGGCGCGACCAGCGATAATGATCGACAAAGCCATGGCACGCCATTGCTCCAAAAGGTCGATTCGGGTTCGTATCCGGAAAATATAAGATTGTGCAACCTAATGCTTAACAGATTACCCAAAGTAGCCTTTCAACGTCGAACTAGGAATCGATTGCTGGATATAGATAATTACACTTTGGTCTCTTGGAGTCGGAATTAGATCTTGTTTGAACGTTCATAGTATTGATACCTTATTTTCAATGCCTGGGATATAAGTCCATAGGGCTATCAAACTAGGACTTTGCCTCAGATTTAAGTCAGTCAGTTTTCCAAAAGCACATGTTGGCCCAAGATCATAAAATCTAAAACTCTCGAAACATTCAATTAATAAAGCATTTATATTAGCATCATATCATAATATTAATTTAGCTAGACTATCGAGGCCAACTCCTCAACTATGCTAGTGATTATCTAGTTCCAGTTCTAGATACGAGTAGATTTCTAACCTCGCGGGTCAACTTGAAAGGGTAGTAGATCCTACGTAGCCACGGTAGATGATTTATCAATGATACATTCTTTAACTACTATGCTAGTCTCTGTCAGTGGTATATATATATGATGCTACTAGTGTTACCAGAAGTGTAGCTAGGTCCATAGCCTACCTTCAACGACAGACTTAAACCTTGTCTCGGATTTTTCATAATTAAGCTAGTCTTTTTTGTATGCTCCTAATGGCATCAGGTGGCATTTCCTCCAGCTACCTTCCCAAGGATAATTCATTGCCAAAAAATACCCAGAAAACATATACCATCCCCACAATACCTCGGTAGGAAAATTATCCAGAAACGAGCAATTATTCACGTTGGATATATGTATTGAGCGGGTACTAGATCCATGGACGCGACGACGGAACGTAGATGCAGAAGCAGAGAGTCGGGGGATGGTAGTGACAGTTCAGCGTCACGCGGAACAACAGCGGCAGAAGCGGATGAAACGGCATTGCAGATTGAGCAGCACCGGAAACAGCGGCTGTTTGCAACTATAATGCCAGCTCCTCTACTCGTACTCCTTGTTACTTGTTGATATGGCGAAATGGCTTCTAAGCTACGATTGAATGAAAATTTGATGTTCTGGGCGATATGTCGGTGATATATTGATATATTTGTTTTCGCACCGGTTTCGGACTTTGGACAACGTACTTTTAATTCTATGATGACGGATCAATTTTTTTTACCCGAACACCGGACCGTCAATTCCTTGAGTATAAATAATATCTATTAAATCAGAAGTACAAACTAGAGCTCCCCGTGTAGATTGTTATCAATATATTGTAAGTCTATGTCAAGTAAACAAAGAAGACTGGGACTTGAGTACAGCTTTGAAGCGTTGATTAAATGTAACCCGAGTAGCTTGTTAATCGAAGTATGAAAATCGACTTCATAGATACGGGACTAAGCTAGACTTGTTTCCGACTAACATCGTAGGATGCCCCATATCTAAGCCCAGATGAGGCCTATGGATTGCTTATATTATTCATCCGAATGGGGAAAGAAATAAAGATCAAGGTGCATATAGCTACATATATACAACCCACGCGCGACGGGTTTGACAGAGGATGGGGGTGCTTTCCAGAAAGATTACTAAAAGATCAGTATAATCCCAAGTCCAACGCGGCACTTTCATCTTTTGATCGGACAATACGTATACTCGAATGTGCCTTTGTAGTAGCGACCATCTTCGTCATATTTCCTATGGAACACTATGACCGTAACAGGTTAACAGCTAGACTAGATTAGGCTTCACAATTCCTTAGGTTCCTACACTTATAATTAGCAAAAGACACAGATAGTTCTCGGACTAGGCCATACTAATATATATATATATATATATATATACATATTTAAAAATTAAAATTTTTTTTGCATGTATTACAATCTACATCTCATCTATACTGGTCTCGTAAATCTATACCATGGTCAAGGCGCCTGTGAAAACCTCGACCAGAACGGTTTGAAACATTCTGCGTTGGAAGGTTGCATTTCCCATTTGGCTTGAGCGAATTAGCGCCGCCATGTATTTCTCGCTTTTTATTCCTAGACTACATGCGAAACTATAGTCGCGACAAATCTCCAAAAGATCTCTATCAACCTTCCTATATTTTTAATTGATTCAAAATGCGAGTCACTAGCTAGCTAGCTTCGCGGTCGAGTTTCATTGACGACTCCAGCGCCGTGCTAAGCTACAGGCCTCGCCGACTTTATCTACAAACCCGCCTTTCAGCACCATCCCCGCACGCCAACGTTGCTTTCGCCGACTGGATGAAAGATCTACGCCTCGTCCACTAGCTCCGAATGTGGTGAACACATAATCATTGCATCAGATTCAATAAAATTCAAAGAGCAGCACGAAAAAATGGCGCCAGATCTCGCTTTCTTATTACCAATAACCCTCGTCATTATCATAGTCGTCATTCTCTTCATATATCTTTTCACCCGCAACTCTCGTCCCAAAGGACTGTGCTCGTTCAACGGTATTAGCGTATGGGAGGATATCAAATATTTTTTCACCGCTCCAACTCAGACGGCCCAAGTTGTCGAGATTAGAGATGAAGAATCAGGAACTGTTAGAACCGCTAGAACTGGGAAGAGTAGCAAGAAATCCAAAGGTATGTACATACAACAATTTCAGCGCCTATATTTCTTATATATATACTGGCTATAAACCTTACTAATACATTGATTAATAACGATATAGTCGCTGCTGTTGAATCCGATGCTGGTTAAATGGTATCGGAAAACACCTTTTTCATTTTCGATAACAAGTATCAATAGATAGTTTTTATCTTCTTATCATCAGCAATAACGACTAGATCAAATTCAATACTGTCCTCTCACTTTTCCCCGAATTCGACGAAATACCCCACCATGAAAATATTCACGAATCATGTTTTCCCCAACATCAAATGCAATGCACAAATGAGCGATTTCTGCAGTTTAGCGTATGTAGCGTCCTTCTCATGAGTCACGATCACGGCTTAACGAAAAACAAAAAAAAAAAACCATGGAGAAAAAAAAAACTAAATGTTTATTATCAATCATGTAAACTTATACATACTATCCCTCAAATACCATATTGCTTTTCCAATCGATCCCTAGAACAAATACATGTCGTCATTTTTAATCCATGATCCCAGTTTGCGCCTGCAGAATCCAAGATCTAGATCCTGAGAATGCTGGACATATCTGTATGCACTTACATAACGCAAGGGCCATATCGACCATAACACCCTCCCCCCCTTAGCTATAACTTTATTGACCCTGCATTTCAACCCCCCTTGCAGAACTTAGATAACAAAAAAAGTTCGGAGTTGTCGAAGGTATGTGGAGACCCCTGATACGATATGACAGTGCTTGGTGGAATCGCAATGTCTTGTCGATGCAAGCAGCCGGCGCGAGCCGGTATATCACTGTGGAAGGTACCCGATGCAAGCGACCTTCCGAGCGAGATGCGGGTCGCCTATATAGTTTAACTAGGGTACATTATATTATAGTTCATGCAGAAGTTAAATCATAAATGGACTTCGAAGCGGTTAAAAAGGTACACTTATACTAGATTGTTAAGGAATCTGTGTAATTCATTATTTAAAAGCAAAACCCCCCATCCTAACCACTCCCCGAGTGTTCCCATTGTATACGTGATATTTTCACCGTGTTAGATACAAGAGAAAGACTACCCACAAAAGGCTGGAACCCCACAAATCCGGATCAATGTATGCGTAGAAAGTGTTTGAAGTGGTTTTTTTTGTGTAATATTTGTTATATATAGAAGTTGTTTGGAAAACTCTTAGATAACACCTGAAAATGTTAAGAGGTAGGTAGAAAAAGAGGATGAGAAGAAGAGAAAACTTAAACTCAAAGTAGTGGTAAAAGACGAGGAAGGTTAAAACTCCTGAAGCGTGGGGCCAACAATTGAATATCGTCAGCTTGGTAAAGAAACGGTCTGCGACTTGGAAATACAGAAAGTAACGAAGCGCTTTGATTTCCCCAAGTATTCGACATTCCCGTAAGAATAACACACTTTTTGAAGCCTTTCCCCTCCCCTCCCGAAAACTCCTAATCAAGGCCGTTGATAAGATAAAAGAAAAGGTTTCCCCCCTCATCTCCTTCCTTTGCCCTTGTTGAACACCATGTATCTCGTTGCCGCGATATCGTGTGACGCCGTCTACTGTTCTCGTTCTTTTTTTGTTGAAGATTTTTTGTTTGAAAGTTAAGTGCAAGTAAATGAATGTTTTTTGTATAGCCCCCCCGTGAAAACTACCCAAGCAAAGATACATGATTCCCATTAAACTTTGTTTCCCGTTAAAATAAAAAAAAGCACGAACCCTGAAAGACGTAAAAATAAAGAAGAAAAAATATATAAAAATGCTCTTCTTCGCCAGATGATGTAACACCTCCAAAGAAAATATAAAGAAAGCGAAAGGTAGGAGAATGAAGTTGAAAAGAACATCCCAACATGGCCAAAGAACTCTCATCTAAAAGTTCGACAACTGCTTCAAGACGTCCGCCTGGTAGCTCATGGAAAAACTGGTTATGCAAACTTCGAGATTACATTATTTGGAGATGCCGTGATGTAAAAAAAAAAAAAGAAAAGGAAAAGGAAAGGTATGAAAAGAAATGCCACGATAAAATGAAGCAACCCCCTCAATGTAGATGCGCCGAATGAACCCGATAACACATATATGGATCCGAAGGGGAAACAACAAAAAGATTTTTTTCGACTGAACACCATGACCATGTAAGTACCCTCCCAGATGGAAACGATAAATAGTAAAAAATTTGGAGATCGCGAAAAAAGAAGAACCCCAACCTGACCGTGAAAAGATGTTTTTCTTTTTCGCAAATATAAAAATCAAACACCGTAAAAGATGAAAGATGATATATGAATGAAAATGATATTTTTCCCCTTCTCCATGGGGTATTATTTAGTATATAGGATGGGTCGAGCGAAAAGGTATTTAACCCCAAACGCTGGCAACGGTTCCGAGACCCTTGCTGCCGCCCCAGACTTTGCTGCCCCAAGCGATGGACGGATCTTGAGAGGACGTAGTGTGGTTGGATGCAGCAGATGCTGATCGCTCGTTTCCAGAAGGCTTGTTGCTTCCGGGTGCCACATTAGAGTTACCTGGGCTATGATAAGATTCTTCACCAGGATAGTTGCTATACCCCAATGGGGATGGGATTGGGGTGGTGGATCGCTTCTGCAATCCGCCGTTTGGTGGAGGAATTTGAGAGCTGCTGATTGGTCGAGTTCCGATTGGGGCGACGCCGGAGTTGGTGACCGGGGTAGTGGAGACTCGGCCAAGCCTTGGAGGAGATCCGCTGGGAGAAGTGCGGCTAGACTGCGTAGTCTTGGTAAAGTCCTGGTGAACACCGTAAGGACCCTTTGAAGATGGCGAAGACACACTGTTGGTGCGAGAACGAGTTGGTGAAACTCCGTTGGTGGCGCCGACAGGATGCTCATTGGATGGAGTTTGGATCAATCCTTCCTGACTACCATTTTGATAGCCAAAAGGATCAAATGCACCAAGAGGCGAAGGTCCCCGAGTCCCTCCGCTAACAGATCCAGCAGTAGATGGAGGGTTGGATCCACGAGAGTGAAGGTCGAAGGCCCCCAAGGGCTCTTCCTCACGACGTTCGCCGTAGAGAGCACGATGTTGACGAGCAATGAGCTCGCGGCGTTCCTCGTCGGTCATGCTCCCTGGGCTAATGACGCGGTCCTTGGTATTGAAATTGGACATCTCGGCTAAAATGGCTGGGTCAGTCACTCGGTCCGAAAGGGGCTCTGGAATGCAGAATCCAAGATTGGAGATATCCCCTAACGTACTGCGATTGTATTGTTGCTCCTGGTGAAAGTTGCGAAGCTCCCTTTCGCGCTGAGCAGCAAGACGCCTCTTAGCTTGCATCATTTGGTCCTGTTCGGCTTGACGAGGAGCGAAACGGGCCGTGGCATAGTAGTTTTGCAAGTTAGCAGCAGATTGGCTGCGCATCAGGTCTTCGTAGCCCGGGCCAGCGGCGGAGTAGTTTCGATGCATCTGAGAAATTCTTGGCTCTATAAAAATTTTTGAATCGGGTTAGGAGCCGTATATAAGCGATAACGTGTGGTTATATGACGAAGACTTACGGGGCAGTGCAGCTGGGAGTATCGGCATCGATTCACGACGACCAGCAAACATCTTTCCGCTCTTAACAAGGTTATCAACCGCGCGGTCAACCTCTATTATTGATAATAAGGAATTAGCGCAACTCGTTTACAACATACATTAGATGATAGCAATAAAAAAACGTTGAAGCCTCATATATTTCATGAAACCGCATATTTGCCTCATGTATATAAAAAAAAGTTTTCCGGTGGAAAGACTGCACACATACCGTCAAGTTGGGATCCAAAAGCCGTAGGCTCCTCGGTTTTTAGACGAGCAGAGGAAGGGCGCGATGAGACGTCCGTGCCTTCAGGTGGAAACTGGCGCTGGAAAGGCACAGTCTGTCCGTTGTTGTTACCACGAGCGTCCCAACCACCGGGTTGGCCGGCGTTAGGCCATGCGCCGCCTCTAGGCGCAGCAGCAGGTTCGTAATACGACATGATGAATCGACAGGCAAGCTAGAATTGAAGCCACGGGGAACAGAGGCTTCAACTTTGTAGAAATGGATTTACTGAGGTAATAAGGAGAAAAGGGAGTGACGGCGGAGATGAACGATATGGGGGAATAATCCTTAACAATCAAGAAAGGATTATATTATCGTTAGTTAGACGGGCAAGCAAAAGACCCAAGGAAGGAAGAATAGCGAGTTTAAGGAGTTTTGTGGTTGTTGATGTTGGGTTCCTCAAGATATGAGGTAGTTGTGAAGAAGAGGAGGTGAAATGCCAGAGGTGTGGTTGGAGAGAAAGGGAAGAAGAAAATTTTGGTTCGTTTTTTTTGGTGTGTGCGTCCAGCAGGAAAATTGGGGGATGAGGAAAAGAAGAAAAGAAAAGGAAATAATCTGCCACCACAGAAGCTAGGGAAAGGGAAAAAAAAAAAAAAAAAAAAAAAAAAAAAAAAAAAAAACTTTAAGCCCGTCGTTATTCGTTAATTCACCAGCACGGTAAACTGTTCGCCTGCGTGCCCTCCTGTTACAATGTCGTATTTTATGGCCTTGGAAAACTTTTGAAAGTTGTGAACGTCGTTGTATAAATTGTTTTCCGGTCAAGTTTTTTTCATGGGATAAAATATATGGAATGGCGGGAATTGATGGGATCTTTGTGATGTTGTTATTATTGCGAGTGTGAACGGTTTCCACATATAAAAAAGGTGCTTAATGTGTGACTTCTTGTGCGTGGGTGAGCTAGCTTGTTTTCTACTCGGAGTTCTCAATTCTTGCGCGCACATTGATACCACAAAAATACTTCTTAGTTATGTATGTATGGATAACCTTTAGCTACTTTCTAGTGTGACTTCTCTGTCTTTCTTAATCTTCCCTACTAACTACTTTTCCCTCGTTCGGGTATCTAGTGGTCCTGTGGAACACGAAAGAGCGTCGTTCTAAGGGCACACTGATCAACATGAATTCTGTTTTGTACTGGAAGAATGGGGTAATATCTAGATCCCGAGCTTCGAACTTCTTAGGCAGAAAGGAAGAACCGAGTCGGAGAGGAAAGGAGAAAAAAGCAATCCCCAGAGTGAGGAGACAGCAGCCACTCAGGAAAACCGAAAAGGTACAGGTTGGAACTACGGGTGAATGAGGAACTCGAGCAGCTGGCTTCCTTTAAAATGACGGCAAGGCAAACAGGGTCTCCGAGGGTTTAAAACGTTGGCAGGCCTATCGGAGCCGATAAGTGACGGGTTTTGACAATACGATTTTGCATGAAAAGTATTTTATTCACTCGTCATAGACAATAGTCGGTGTGCATACCGATCGTATAACCATCAGCCCGCGGCTCACGCGATTCTACATATCATAAATCATACCACTCCATACTTTTGTTTTATCGTGGGGACGAGTGGGGAACTCGAAAGCTACACCACCAGAGAAGGAAGGCAGCTTCGACGCACGGAACAATTTTCTGTTCGACGAGCGGCTGTGCGCTCTCTGGCTCCCTGCGGCCTCCGATCCCACCCAAGCTGCTGCAGCTTCTGCGGGTGCGCCAACTGTAAGGAAACGTTTGTTGACGGCAAAGAAAACTGTTGGAATTCCCTAACGAACCCGTTTATGTTTTGCATCCCGCTCTCGAAAGTTGGACTTTTCGGACGATGCGGAATTTCCAGAATATTTACTTCAAATTCTGGCTGCAACATGCGAGGGCCATCAGGACAACTAAATTTTTGCAAGCGTGACCTCCTTCTCTGCGGAATATTTGGGGAAATTACAGTAAGGGAACTCCCTGTATTGGTGAACCCTTTGGCCGAATACAAGCGACTTCCTTTCATCCTGGGACAACCTTCCTCATACCCACAGATGCTCGCGAAACTTTACTACCAGAAAAAAACCATTAGCCACCAGAGCGAATGTCATCATCCCCATATTTAGTACTTAGGTACCTACAAAGAACACGATTCCCGACACGACGATGCTGTGACCGTCACATTTGGTAGGGTTGCCTTCCGATGAGATATTCGTCGGCCAAAAGCGCTTCGTGTCTCACCGCTAGTATGTAATGCTCAAGGCAAGCGGCGTCTTTTAACATTCCCCTCCCAGTTTGGAGATCGACCAGCCATGATCACTAAAGGGACCTTAGTCAATGGTAAATCGATGTAATCCGCGAAGATCTGATGGCTACGGAAGTACATCCGAGGTACGGATGAATTCCGTACCGTGCTAGCGTTAGAGCCTTGGCCCGGATCCTTGGCAGATGTAGTTCCATCCTTGCAAGGCCATGTCTTGTCGACATTTTGTTTCTGGCGAGATTGTCGAGCATTTCTCTTGGATAGGAAGGTTCCCAAGCTTCCACACTTCGATCTCACATTTTGCCGCAAGGTTCGCTCTTATCAACCTTGGCTTAGCCTATCCGCCTTGTAGCTTCGAGAATTATGGATGCGTGACAGCCAACAGGAACCATTCGAGTCAACACGGAAAGGATGTTGGAGGTTGAGTTGGAGGTTACACAGACCTTTCCGACCGCCCTGGGCTTAAGCGTCATATGCAATCGATAGTGCAGGATCTGAATTATAGCCTCCTGCAGATGTCCTTGGTCCTTGGGCTAGATACACGACCCTATCCTAGCTTTATCATGCTCACAACTGCACTGTCTGACTAGGCTGTTGAATCTCCACGTGCGGCTATTTGCATCCCTTGAAATTGATCGATCTGGCTAGGTAGAATATGCATTGCGATATGGGTTATTGATGCAAACGGCATGCATGCAGTACTCCATTGCGCAATACACTAGTATTGCATTTTGCAGTAGCGCTGCTATATGTTAGATTCAATATAACTGTCCTATATCGAGTTTACTATATCTCTGGCTATCTCGCACCGGATGTAACGTTATAACGTTCATACCTAAAGCGACATGATATTAATATATTAATTCAACGGACATATAATCTATATGGTCCGGTGGAGCGATGTGCCATAGATATCCATTCAGCTATTATTCATTTAAAAGCAGAACGTAGTTTTCTGATGTTAAGAACATATTTAAAAATTAAAGCTAGGTAAAGAAGGTAGATAAAAAATCTAGACATGAACTTTTCTAAAACTCCCACTTTGAAGAAAACCCCAAAACAGCGTCGGTAAATAATATAAAAAACGTAAAATAAAAAAAAAACCATTAAACGACTCAGACCAGGTCCCTTTATATATATATATATATAGGTACCCAGGTAATGTAAAGGCCTGTCCGTAGCGAAAACCGAGGGGAACGGTACTAGGGTAGTAAAAGCAAATAGCATGATATCATGATCACTCAGCAAATTCATAAACTTGCGCAATTGCATATAGTGTAAATCCATCAAAAAGAAAAGGAAAAAGAAAACATTAGGCCATCCAGGGAAATCATATTGTTTAGCCCTAGTGGTTTACCCAGTAACCGTCCCGTTGATCCAGGTATCCCCAAGCCGCAAAGTAACTTCGCTATTCCTTTCTAGCACTGTGCCTACGAAGACGACCAGCACCGCACAATATCTAAACCATATGGTAATCAATATGTCAGCTATAAAGATTCGGTACATCGGAGAACTCTAAGCAAATAGAGACCCGGGGATAACATTGGGGGGGAACACTTACGCAGCGGCTACTGCAAAGACCTCACCCTTTTTCGCTGTTGTAAAAACGGCGGTCAAGATTGCGCAGACTAGAGTAGACATACCAAGGACTAGTAGTCTCCATTCATCCACTTTCACGTAGTACAATAATACCACCCCGGAAGTCACTACTACCCCCACAAGTGCTCCGAAAAAGGTTCTGCCGACAATTCTCATCAACTTGCTAGAGTAAAGTATAATCTCATCAGAGCCTTCGTAAACAGCCTTTTCTTTTTTTCGGAACAACAGCTAAGTTCGATATATCGTATTAGTATCGTTGTGCACACATAAAGGGGGGAATTCCGATTATAGGTCGATTACCTCTTTTAACCCGAAGTTATTGAAGGTGCTTCGGCGTATATCAGATATCCACTCTGATAATTCAGAAACATCGTCGACCTCTTTCATAATAGACACGAGGTCCCCCTTTTCTATGAACCCAGACTCCTCTTCGCAAATGGGCTCCTTATTTCTCAGCATCGCTCGAAAATTTTCCTTCTGCCATTTTTTAGCATTCGGGAACTGTCGTATCTGCCGGTAGAGTATCAAATCCTTTTCTAGAAGCGCAAAAGCTAGTTAGTATAGTTACATTGGCGCTATTTATTGCGATATCAAAGCATATTCTCACCATATCGCCGGAGTCTCTTCGCGATGTCTGCGATTAGGTCTGTTCTTTTTTTGTTCCTGTCCTCCAGCCATCTCATGTTATCCGTATCCCAAACAGGGTTCGCATTGAGAGATTCCTGAAGATCAATTCTTGCGAGAGTTTCCTCCTTCTCTTCTAGCTCTGCTTGCTGCGTATATAGTACTCTTGCTTTCAGGGCGCCGAATCTTCTGAAAACGGGAGCAACCTCGTGCCCATCGGCGTAGGCTGCAATATAGGAGTATCCAAGAGGGACATTTCTGACTATATCACTAGGCACGTTAATCTTTCTAATACATCAAAATCTACTATAAGCAAAAAACATTCACGGAGGATGCGAGGCTCTGACTCGTTCTATTAAGGGATTTGAAAATTCTAGCAGGGAGTTTTTACTGACGCGGTTCGCTGGCCTTGCTTTCCAGACCTTTTTCTGGGTCCAACGCGGAGGCGGCTCCATTACGTATATTACTGATCGTGGGGTACCTGGTTACTCCTGGCGGTAACGTCGACTGAGCCGAGGCCATCATAAATATTTGGACAGGTTAAAGATAATTAATATATATATCTGATAGCTATATAGGTAGGCCAAAAACAACCAATTGATTGCTTTAGATATGATGCAAAATCTCCAGCTTGAATAATTGAAATCCCAATTCCTCAGTGTCTATCGTTCCTAAGCGAGGTATTTATACACAAGACTACCGCTCTCAGCAATGAGACTGCACGAGGCTATGGCTTTTTCGAGGGATACAATGGTGACCAATCTGACATTTTTTTTCTGCCACACCGAAGTGACTCTTGACCTGAACGACCATGAAGGACTTGTTTTACCCTAAAGAGTGGCTATAGAATCTTATGATACCTCTTCCTTTCTCGGCCCAACGGTACACTAAATAACCAACATAAAGCATCTACCTTAGGAACAATATGTTACCATTTACCCCCAAATCTATTTGCTGTGGATTTACGGGGCGTTATAGTGTTCTCGAAACTATTGTAGGCAATGAATAATGTTTTTTTTGCGTTTTCGGGAGGCTAGCTAGTTTGGCAATATTGCTAAGCAAAGGGGGGCAAAGAAAAATAGAATAGAGGACTGGAAGAAAACATCGCGAGAAAACATCGCGAGATATCAAGAGTAAGACAGGTTTATAGCTTAGAATTCATGTTCTTGAGCCTGCATAGTCTTTTTAGATAACCACGAAAAGATGCAGAGATTTAATTCTTTTTGTCTAATTTCGGGTTATTTAATCATTGGTGCTTGCACAAAGAGGGGGAAAAAAAAAAAAAAAAAGGTAGTAGCTAGGACTCGGGATAAAGCTAGCTGACTTGCATAAAGGAAGGAAATAAACTCATGAAAACCAAGAACCCATTTAATTAGCGGTGGAGTTTCCAGATAGATTTAGATAGAAGTCGAGATTCAGCCTCCCAAGTAATGTTTTCACGGGCTGTGCCCGCCACCAGTTGGAGCTCGTAGTGCCATTCCAGGGTGTCGAAATCCAGTCTGTAGCTTTTTCGAACCCACAGAGCCCCGGAATTCACATTCTCAAACGTACGAACGCCAAAACATCGAACTTCTGGTTTGATACAAGGGCCTACATCGTCTTCTTTTAACTCGAGTCGGCCATATTCCTCGAGATCAAGTTCTGGGGGCGGTGTGAAATAGTAAATGAAGATGCCTTCGTCGGGCAACCAGACCCTGTCGTCATACTCCCATTCGAATTTTCGATCCCCGAACCTCGAGTCGGGCGCATTGTGAATGACAAAAGTGGCAGTAGATCTCATGTATTTATATTTCGGACGATACTAATTATTTGACTCGTGTCAGACACTGGATTTCAGGGGGGGTAGTAGACATATGCATGTGGTTGTGGTTGTAAATGTTAGTATGAATCTGACGCCTTAGAAAGCATGATACGACATAATATAAGTCATAATGCGGTCTTTCCAATATGAACATTTGAGCCAACTTGCGTGGAATATTTAATTTACCAGTACAGTGCCGGGGAGGGTGGCTTACAGATGAAGGTAGATTGTTCGTCAGGTAATTGACCTTCATTGGTCGGCCGCTGGTTGGGCGTATGGATTTTCCAGCATATCTGCTCGGAGTATCGGGGATCTCTTCGGAGGCTCCGTAAGAGTTCGAGGTGAAATTCAATGGTACTGGTGCTGCCTCATTGATAGTGCAGGGCTCTACATTAGAGAAGAATGGGTGCTGTCAGTTATTTCAATATCAATAATTTGCCCTAGACAATAATATTCCTTTGTGGCATTTTTAGAGAACGCCCAAAGCAGTTTAGAATCACTTCGCCTGATTCGTAAATAGACGGCCTCACCCAAGCCCAAAATCGAGAATCATTATGAAGTTAAGTGAATGCAGGCGTTTAAAATATATAACGAAAACCTACGGAGGATCCAGATTTTTGGTGTGCATGCATACCTTGCAATTGTTTTTGCAAATATGGAGAACCCTGTGGGTAATCATCATCTGGGATGTCATCTGGCGGAAAGGCACTCATGGGTGTCAGGCAACTTTGCGGAGTGCGAAAGGATATATATAGGTAAAATGATAAAGCTCGAAGGTGGAACAGGTTCTGAAAACGCGAAGGATGAGCCTGCGCAACAATACTGCGTGACTGGCAATCAGGCCAAAAGGGCGGCGGAACATGGTGATTTAAATACTCAGAGACGCCCAGTTGTAATATGTTGGTGGAACAACAGGAACTGGAGGATTGCACAGCTCCAGTGTAGGCCTCGCGGCTTCACAAATTCAAAGAGCAAAATCACTCATCGGTGCAGCACCTTTAGAGCCTCAAAATTTAATCGTCCTTACTTACGTCCCGCACGCGCACTCCCTTATGACCACTTTTTGGAGGTGGCCATGCAAGCTGATGCAGAGTCCGGTTCCGCGTTTGGATCCTTGAACAAAACCCTCGAGCCTTGTACTCAGGCACCCCCAGATTGGCTAAAGATTGGCTGGTTAACTCCGCAGAATTGCATTCCAGCGCAAGCTTGGTTGAACTCGCGCTCGCCGTCCTGTCCATGTGCACAGGGCCTTGCGGGACCGTGTGCTACATGCTTCTGAATTCTGCGGTATCTTTCCCACAGCCACGATATAACTCGAGTATTCGATTTGATGTGCCGTTTTATTGGATAAACCTTTCTTTAGTAATAAATACTTGCTTACCGGACTGGCAATCTGCTTTCCGTTCATTCGGTCTGGAGTATATCCATTATCACCGTATGCCGCGCGCATATACATTCCGCCCGTGCATACAGAATAAGGCTGCATATATTTATAATCTAAGAGAAAATCGACAGAACCTGGAGACATTTATAATCCTAGCGACAAGTTCCGCCTGCCATATAACTTCTTATTCTGCGCATGCGCATAAACCAATAGTCTTTTCCCAGCCTAGCTTTGACCTTGCGACTGATACAACTATACCTTCGATCTAATATCAGTATATCCCGGCAATATAACACATAGAGCAATCCCGCGCCAGCTCTATAAACCTTGATTAGCGACGCATATACCTATATCTCTCCCGTAAGCTTCGTAAATTCGCCGCTACAATGATGAAGACCGAAACAAAACCATATTTCTCGGACCCGGAATATTCATCCCTTTTTTTAGGTGATGGGATAACCATGGAAGACATTCAAGCCCTAGGCCGCCTCACAAAGCGGCGGCTCGCTGCCAACCTTAAAAATAGAATAAATGAAGGACGGACTACTACCAAAGCCCCCCCACGACGAGGAGATTCTACCACTTTGTCAGAACATGAATTCGAATGCTGGGGTTCCGATCGGAGAAACTCGGTCACAATGTGGTCCCAGGAAACCCGTAAATCTAAAAGGAAGCTCAGCGAAACGGATACCACAAAAAGCGTATACGAAGGTAGGAAATAGAAAACCTTTACATTCTATTGTTTTCAACGCAAAATTAGGACGAATCATAGATAACAGTCAGACTATGTGCTATAGGCCGGGAATTGAGAATGCCTTATAATACTGTCCCTTTCAGGAATACAAATGATGCAAGTGTCCAAGGTGCAGAACCGATTTCTGAAAATCGCCCGAACGCTAAGAGGAGAGCCGTTGATAGGCTTGGGCGGGTGCAGCAGGCTATAGAAGAGGCCGAGACTGTACCGCAGCCTGATTTTAATCAAGAAAACTTCACTGCGGTGGAAGGGTCGACCGGTTCTGGATACGAGGTAGTTGATGAACTCATGATAGGGGGCATCCTGAGCAATAAATCCTCTCCTCCATTTCATACCAACGATAAATCCTCTCCTCCATTTCCTATCAGCGATAAGACATTGGAGGAAACGGACAAAGCCATAAGCTTGCTTGGAATACCAGTGTATCGTCCGAGACGTATGCTTAGATCGGAAAAGAAAGAACCCCCAACTGATTTTAAGGACGGTTGCCAGAGTCTTAAAGACCAATACTCGCAAAAAGCTCGTCATACAAATCCGGATCTCAAGGTGGCCAATTCTCGGAACTGGCGTCAAATTCGAGCCCAGAACCCTCTATACCGTTTCGCTATGTTCTCAGACGACGTTTGGACGATTGACACAACAATCATGTCAGCGAAAGCTATTCTAAAATTGCCTACCCATATTGCAGGACGACCCGTTATCCTCAATTATCTACCTTCCATGATTGGTTCCTTTCCGTACTACCCAGATCCAGTGAATACACCAATCAATCCAACGAAGGACATCGACGATGGGACCCTTCGTTTCCTTTTCGAACAATATCCCGGGGTGAGAGCTGCTTGCGTCTATCTGAATAAAACATTGGTACTTCTCCACGATGGCAAGTTTAACCGGCGGACTGAATTCCGTAAAAGACCCCGCAAATTTGGTGGCCTTGATGTCGATCATGCTCCGTTCAACCAGAGATACACAACAGGACCTGTTGTAAATGATTCAGCATCGAGGGGATCTCAACTTGACAAAAACGAAGATCTTCGGGTAGAAATAGGATCCAATGGGTTTGGTTTGGCTTATTTTCAAAATGGGGCGAAAAAGGTAGAATGTAGAGGGCTTAGGGTAGGAGTGCGCCTCATGAACATAGCTAATCCTGACTGCGAAGTACTTACTATAACGGCGCACTCCCTCCTAAAATCTGTCGAAGATATTTACGAGGATCAGGAGGAAAGCGAGCACCACCCCTGGTACGATCCAGCAACATTTTTGAATGTAAATAAAACCAACTATAAATTTAACCATCAGGACGATGAGGTAAGAAAGGCTCCCATCCCTTAGAATTTGGTTAGTTGATGTCTCTAACAGACCCTTTTGAAATCTATATAGTTTGGAATCATCCACAGTCATTATGAGGTCGAGCCAAAATCAAATTCAGATCTGGGTGGCTACCAGAACATGCTGCGGCATGACCTTGTACTCATTGGAGAACCAGACAAAACCTCGCCTAATATGCGCTTTCCCATCTTTAGGGACTCACGTGGGACTCCCATCGAAATGGAATGGGCAGACATCGAAAATGAAGATTTCAAAACCCAGGAAATAGTCCTTCTAGGATTTAACATCCAGTTACATGCAGAAGACTCCCAACAAAGGAAAGAAGCCAATTCAAGCTCACAGCCCAGACAAGGAGGTGCCCAAAGGAAGTATACTGGCACTGCATCTCAACAAGGAAGGGCTGTGGTAACCCATGAAGATTATAAAGACAAAACATTGGAGATTAACGAGGATGGTGTCATGAGCCTAATGGAACTCAATGGTGTGGTTGAAGGCAGAAGCTACGAATGCGGGGTTAAATCAAAAGGACCCTCGAGCAAAGATACCAAATTTCAAGATAGTCTCCGCGATTTAAGCTATTTCCAAAGATCAATCCTCTGGAGACCAGATATCGAGAGACTGAGGTGGGATGATGACCAGTCGGATGATATTGAAGAAAGCGGCGAGAGGTCAAGCGGCCTTTTATCAATCGAGGGTGCTAGCGGCTGTCCATTGGCCTTCAAAACCCAGAGAAATGGAAAAACAGTGTACAGGATTTTCGGATTCCAAAACTCGGAACATCTACCAAAATTCGACGATCTCAGGTTGAAACAAGAAGAATGGGCAGCAGAGGCATTAATCGGAAACTTCCACACATACCATAGCCTTTGCCTTCCGGAAAAGCTTATCAAAGAATGGATCATTGTTTGGAAACTACCAACGCCAAAACCACAGAACCAGGACCCGCCAAGTGCTGGAGCTGGAGAATCAGATATCGAGATGCAGGATATTGGTATGCATGGTGTTGAGGCGCACGGTATTGATATCAGCCTGAGTCGCACAGAAAAGGCAACTAAACAGCACAGGCGCACAACCACCAGCAGGATATCAAAGTCACGGCCTGAAACTGCACAATCACGGAAACATCTTCAAAAAATTCCTCAAAGCGTACTACAGGATGCATTGGGAGAGAAAGCCTCACAATCAAAACATCCGCGAGTTTAAAACCCAACATCCACTATAAATTTTTGCAACACATAAAAAGAGCAACCTTGTTGGATTTTTTACTTCTCCACGCCATACGACAATATTGAAATCCACAACCTTGCCATGTATGACGTCGCATGGAAAAATCGATCTTAGGAAGTTAGACGCTTTCCGCGGATCATAGCCCCCATCCCGCGGTTGTATGGTGTAGTGGTTAGCACTTCAGATTCTGATTCTTCTCGAATCTTGAGATTTCTGGCGACTTGGGTTCAATTCCCAATACGACCTTAACTTTTTGCCTTTTTGCCGGTTGGCCGATTCAATAGCGAGCTCCTTCTATTTTGGCTTTTTGAAGACCAGTAGACGAGGACAGGGGTGTGAACGTAGCACGCGCGCAACGTTTCCGAACACGAACACCTGGGATTTATTTGCGTGTATACGCTCGACTTCAACTTTGGCTCACTTGAATTAATAATTTTGGCAATCGAATCGTCGACTGGACTGGGGTATTTTTTTTAACTACAGGCGGATTTTAATTCAATTCAATTCGAATTTACGCCTGCGCTAAAATACCACAAACTTTTATAACACGAAACTCGGGCCTAAACTAAGTCCATGGTGGATTGGTATCGATTCCATCGGTATTTTGACATCTGAGTTCGGGATATCGATCGAGTGATATAAAGCAGGTATTTAGATCGATTGGAATTAAGATTTTGGCGCCAGGTTCAAGATATATCGATATCGATATCAACCCTCCAAGCTCAAGATATCAATATCAAATCTCGACTTCAAACCTCAATATTGGAAATTCAACTTCACTAGCTTTCAAAATGTCTAAACGACCAATTTCCTCATTCTTCACAAAACTACCCCCAGTGCCCAAAAGACCCCGTCTTACCCCTCCTCCCCAAGAAGAATCTCAAGAATCTACCCGTCCAACCACCCACCCTTCTTATCCTCACCCTGTATCGTCCCTTCCACCTTCTCTTTTAACTCTCTTGGACACATATGACCGTCCTACTCCTCGCTCAATCACAAAAACCGACTTAGAACTAACCTTCCACCAACCATTCTTCCCTTCATCAACCGCCAAGTCACTATATTGCTTCCTCAGATCAACCCTCCCATTCTATCGGGTAACCTACAACATTAAACGGGGAGATTTAGAAACAACCGTCAAAACACCACGGTACACTACCGTTTTTGGCGTAGACAATCATTCGTATTTCAGCCCTGCCGACGAAGACGGAAATTACGATGGCATCTCTCTATTGGATAGCAAATCAAAGAAACCTATCAACAACGAGAGATATAAATCTTGCGCATGCCGTCCAAGACCAATCCCTCAGTGCTTGGAGGTCTTGAAGAATATAGTGGAGCGAGAGAGTGGGGAAACGTTTAATTTTGTTTTGGTGAATTACTATGCAGACTGCGGTGATAGTATTTCCTACCGTATGTTTCTCTCCTATACCGATATATACTTATACTTATCTGGAGCTTTAAAAAAAGAGAGAGGTTTACTAACAAAACCTGGACCTGACAATAGATTCTGACGATGAATCCTTCCTCGGTCCAAATCCCACCATCGCCTCCCTCTCCCTGGGCACTACGCGCGATTTCCTCATGAAACATAAAGAAGATAAATCACTAAATCTTAAGCTACCGTTATCTAACGGCGAGCTTATAATTATGAAGGGTGCGACGCAGAGGAAGTGGTTACACAGTAGTAAGCTCCCAAAATAGAATTCCAGAATGTCATATGAATAGCAAAATTAGCTATGTAAATAAGGTAGGTACCTAGTTATTTTACTGACGGGAGAAAACAACATTTATAGTCCCAAAAAGATCATCAACAATAACAGGCGGCTGGACGAACGGTGGAAGAATAAATATTACATTTAGGAAGGGTATGGAAATTGCCTGCACAGGTAATTACTATAGATATAATGTCGGGAATGGGCCGGTGTATCGATGGGATGAAAGAAAAGCGGAGATGGTGGTATATGAAGGCGAGGGGAAAGGCGATGAAGGTTCTAGCGTTGTTGCTTCTGGGAGTGGTATAGTAAGGGATAAGATTAAAGACGATGAATGAGTGGAGATGGTGGTTTCGAAGCGGGAAAAAAAAAGTAGACAAGACTACAATATTTGACCGGTATAAGTATAGCTTCATCTATGAAGAGTAAAGATTGATATTGACTTAAAATGAGGGTTTCATGACCCTCATTTATTTTATTCTTCTTCTCTGAGACAATCGGAAAAAAAAAAGTCTCATGTAAGCCGTGTTCCTCAGATAGCTAAACCAATAGCCTAAATAGCTGAGTCCTCACTGAGGATACAAGCTAGCTATAATCGAAAATCAAAAAAGCCTGAGCAGAGCTAAATTGGCCTAGGAGAGCAAGGATCATCAAAACTACGGAACAAAAGTCGAAGAGCGACGTAAAGTCCAAAAAGAGACATCACTTTTTCCTCTGTTTCATAGTTCCTGAGCACAGCGGTTCAATATACAAGTAGTTAGGAGTGAGAAGTAAGAAGGTTTGACAAGGTTTAAGGAGCGAGGTTGGGAGGAGAGAGGTCGCAAGAGAGGATAAGCAGACCAGAGTAGCATGATATACAATGACATATAACGTCACACAAGAAAAGTAAAAAAAAGAGAAGAGCACCCGCAAAAATAACACAAGGTCAAACAAGAAGAAGAGTAATAATATGAGAAACAAAGTCGATAAAGCCTAGCCCATTCCCCCAAATTGGAAAAGAAGTCTTACGCCGGTTGTTTTTTTGTGCAAGAAATGTACAAGTGTAAGGAGCGAATTCGAAACCAAGATAGTGATAACATCAAGTGAGTAACAGAGAAAAGGATGATAGAAGAAGATAAAAATAAAAATTGTAAGCAGGAAGAACGCCTGGTATCTATGCTTGCAGGAAAGCCTTGTAACAGAAATGTAGAAAAAATGGTTTAACAGAAGGAAGAGGATCTGGAGTCCAAGGGGACGAAGGGGCAAAAGGCTGAGTTGTACTGAGGAAATATTGTAATAGATGTTGAAAGGAGATCCGTTAAAGTCTTGTTGAAGATTCGTGGCTTCGTTTTGATCGTGAAAGGGGAATGAAATGATAAGAGATGTCCTGATCCGTTAAGTCTGTAAATTATGAGGATCTAGCGGCCTGAGCTAAGCCAGGAGAGGGCAATCGCCAAAGAGAAATCATACTGCCTCAATGAACTCTCTCGGCCCGGTTGTAGGTGAATTCCCAATTATTCACTTTTTTCATTAGATAGTCCATGAGCTCCGTGCTCGACATAGACATAGTATTCGGCACTGACTGCTCGCTTTCTGGTTTATCCGTGACGACTATGACTTTGTCAGGCACGCCAGATGTCGGGGTAGGGGCTGAGGTATTGGAATTAGGGGTCTTGTTTTGATCGAGGAGGTTAAACAAGAGGTCTGTGTTCAGGCTGCCAGACGAAGTGGCAGATACAAGAGCACCAAAGACTGTGGTTCTCTGCTTTTGGCCAACCATGTCGACCTGTGTTTTAGAGATGAATTCCGAGATGCCAGTAACTCGCCTTCGCATCTCCTGAATTGTAGTTCGGGAGTTGGGCAGACGGGGCTTCGCCGGTCGGTCGTGGACACCATTGCTATCAGTGCCCTGTGCAGAGACGTCCCTAGCCATTGCGTGGGAGGAACTCTCGCCAGGGTCTTCGGATGTACGATTATTACGTGTGCCAGCCCGGCGTCTGCTTCGGACGCTACGTTTTGTCATTGATGGGGTGTCTGGGACTTCAAGAGCGGGAGTAGAGATTGTAGGAATGTGTTCTTCCGTTTTGGCAGATGCTACGGTATTTCTGGTCGGCCTGGGAGTCTCTTCTGATTGCTCTGACTCTGTGATGATGTCAGCATGAGTTACCAGAGTGACTTTGGTGGGTGTAGCAGTACCATCTCGGCGATTATCCCTTTCCCCTCTGCTTTTCCCAGTAGCCCTCTTGTTGGAGCTTGACTGCGTTGCGGTGGGCGGAGCTGAGGTGGGTGCGGATGCTCTTCCATTGCGAGATTTCCTACTACCGGGGGCGGGTTTATCGGCCGTATCATCGTGGACTGGAGTCGGTTCCTTCTTCTCGGGGGAATCTGACGTTCTTTGTCGTTTCGTAGAATGTCTGTGTGTAGAGGGAGAGTGGTTAGGGGTGTTTAAAACTCTACCGACTAGGCGGAAGGGCGGAATAGGATGGGAAGAGTTGCCCTACTCGTCAGAAGTCTCACTGGTACCACGCTTTCGACTCCTGGGACCAGTGCTTTTCCTTTCGTCTTGTTGTTTGCTTTGCTCAAGGGCCTGGTGGAACATCTGTTCGTCGTAGGCTGCATCGCGGGAGTTCATAGTGGACCGTCGTTTCGTATGGTGGTCCTTATTAGGGTCTACGCGTTCCGGGCCGAACCCAATGTAGGTGGAGTACTGTCGTCTACGGTCACTGTTAGCAGGCACTCAGACGGCACCCGGTGGCCCGGTGTAGGGTAAGAAGCAACTCACCCTCCCTTCTTCTCATACAAAACGTGGTTATCTGGCTTGCATTGCTCGCAAAAGTAGTTTTCGGGGGCTAGAGCCTTATCCCTGATCCCGACACACAGACCATGCTGCCAGACATGACACTGGTCACACTGGATGAAGAGTCCATCGGTGAGGTCAGTGTGGCTATCGTCAGAGCCGCCTTGGTACTCTTTGAAGCCGCAAATACACCGCGTCTCGCCTTCCTCTTCTTCGTTCCCAGAGTAATTGTCTTCCATGTCTTCGTCTACTGGCTCGTCTACTTCGTCATACGAGTCCGCTCGGGTGATACTGTGCGAGTCACCGCCGTAGCGAGACTTGTTACGGGCTCGACGGGTAGACGATGAGGATGAGTGAGACGAAGCCGATGTGTGCGAATTGCCGTGATGAGCAGCTGAACGCGCCCTAGAGGACCGTCGAGGGGACATTGCAAGATGGTGATGAGGGTATCGCGTCTAGTAGGATCGTGGATGGAGAAAGGATGCTTCGGAAGAAGGGAAAGTGTACAGATTCGCTCGATCGAGAGAGTTGGAAACGACACAAATACTTGGACGGGAGTGAATGGGACAAGATCGTGGCGTTCCAAGACCGTTTAAGTATCGTCTGAATGAACCGGAAAACAAGAGCGGAGGAGGAGAATTCTCATCTGATCGGGTGGCCGCAAGAATCGAGTGATGATTGTTTGGAACGGGTTCAAAGGGGAGTAGATGAAAGATACGGGACAAGGGAAGCGACAAGGGAGAGCCAGTCGAGGAGGTTGAGGGAAGATTGAGGAAAAGAATACAAAGATGAAGGGTAGAAGCAGAAGCAGAGGCAGAGGCAGAGGCAGAAGCAGGAGAGAAGAGCAAAGAGAAGAAGGAAGCAGCAGCAGCAGCAAAAGAAGAGTAGTAATTGTTGGAGGGGGAAATTTGGTGCATGACCGCCGGCCGAAAGTGATAAATTTTGGTGTGTGGTGTGGTTGGTGTGTGTGTCCGGCTGGTGCTGGCGGGCTTTCCCAATCAACCACGAATTGGATTGGCTCTGCTGTTTCCCTCACCTCACTTAACTTACTTGCTCCGCTATACTATGACCACCACCACCACCACCCAAGACCTAGACTTAGACTTAGTCTGCAAGTACATTTTGGTGGGCGGGCGGACTGTCAAGCTGGTGGACGATGATGACGGGGTTGCGCAGTGCTCTGGAGCTGGTGTAAGTACATAGGCACATACATAGTAGTGTATGTATGTATGTGCAGGGCCATGGGAAACAGCAGCTGCCGGCTAGTGCGAGAAAAAAAGGTGGCCGACCCAGTTTTTTTTTTCTGCTTGTTGCCATTCGGTCACTGACTGGCTGCTTAGGTGAGGACTATGAAGGCCTGCAGTGGAGGAGAGAAGCAGGTGCTCCTCTCCATCATGCTGTGCGAGTGCCTTCCAGCCTAAACTGTATGAGGTAAAGACCGACCAGGTCCGGATAGGGTGGGCCTTGTACCAGTACATACCAGATTCTATGAGCGGTGACTTCATGACGGACTGGGGAAATGGAAATCTTGGTCCGGATTATGTGATGGCTTTTGCTCTGGCGCTATATTTGAACGCAGCTTTGGCGAAAGAGCGACAGGCCTTCGAGAACATGGTGGGCTGAAAAGAGTTCTTCGTTCTTGTTTTTTGGTTTTTGTTTTTGCTTCTTGGAGTTTCTTTTTCCCCCTTCCCTCCGATTCGTCGGTCCTCACACAATCTGGAAGTCGTGTCGATGTTGCAGGTTAGGTTTGTTTAACCAAAATCTTTGCTAGTAGACAGAATAGCTAGAAGCCATGACATCTCATGTTGCCTGTTACCTTCGTGCAGAATAGGGCTGTTTTGCATGTTAGTGGGAAAGCAGCGCTCGTGAAGCACTGAAGACCAAAAAAAACATTTTTTTTTCCCTGGTGATGTCCAAACCGTGGTTTCCGTATTTTCTTCATTTTGTCTTTTTTTTCTCTTTCATTTTTTAAGCGAAGGAGTTGTTGAGACAGGTATACCCAAAGAACGATGATGATACGATGAGATGCCTAGAAGATTGGGAAGGTGGGGTTCGCCGAATGCTCATTGGAACCAGCAGAAGAAAGGTCCTTTATGATTGAGATTGGATGAATATGAAAATAGGGGAAAAAAGAAGTTGAGAATTTGGATGTCAGTATAAAAAAAATTTTACGACGGAGGGGCCATGAGGACGATATTGATAGTGCGGGGACCCCAATATCAGGGCATTCTGGTCAAAAAAAAAAGACTTGTTTGCTTAGGACCATCACCAAAATCGTCATCGTTTCAGCCAAACAGCTCCAACCCACCGAGGACCCAATCGCCAAGAATAAGAACCGAAAATAGACCAGGGTGTGCTGGTGATAGGTCTGTCAATTACGCTGATGTGCGCACATTTGAGTCCAAAGAAAGGAAGAGGAAGGGTGACTTCAGGTGATCCCAAACGAGAAGGGAACCCGAAGCCGAAGGCCTCTCGAGAAGTTGGGGATGGCAAAGTTGCTGCTGAGATCCATGGGGAGTCGGTCCGTGCTTCACAGTAGGATTTTTGATGAATTTTTGATGAGAGCCTGAACAATAAATGTTTTTTTTTTTTAGAAAAAAAAACCGTGAGGGTAGAGTTCATATAGAAGAATAGGTGGTTGACACGCGTTCAGATTCCGAAGAAAGGGAAAGGGAGAAGAGAAGTGCTGGCTCTAGCAGGAACAGACCAAAGACTGCAGCATCCGGTGCATCGAACAGCACAGGATTTCCCTTTTTCCATTTGCTTCTTTGGAACCGGTTTGATCCATTCTGTGTAATGTGAGCCCCTCATCCGTTCATTCCCTCTGCAAGTGCCAGCAAGGCCAAGCGTTCCCCTGTTGTGACTGGCCGTTATGGATGATGTCGACATAGAACCCTGCCTTATTGGTGGAGACGCTATGCATGCCTGTGCAAAGAGCCGACGGCTTCCCTCCTGGGGAATTTGGTGGATTTGATGATTTTGTGTTGCGTAAGGCGGGGTGATAAGATGATTGAGAAGATTGAAGGGATGTCGAGTCGTATTGATAGATGACAGCAGAACTGGAACAAGATAAACTCATGTTCATGCCATAAGCATACTACTCAGACTTGCTCTGTATCAAAATAGCAGTGATTCGTTGCCATCTGTCTTTTTTTTTTTTTGTCAGCGTCTTTGGGAGCTGAACCTACTGCGCCTGGTCTCGGGGCTAGAGGCTGGGGGTTGAGATTTCGATTTCGAAGAAAGTAGGACATGCAATCTGAGCAAAAGGACATCGTGATCCTCAAATACCTCTTACCTATCGTCCATACGGCTGTAAAGGAAGAGACTCGAAGTTATAGGAATCCGTTGGCCGGCTTGGAATTAGGTGCACAGAAGCACCGATATAATTATAATTTCCTGAATCGCAAATTCGGTGCGGCCTTGGTTTCAGAAAGTGCAGGTGCCAGTCGCTTTGGCTCTGACTGCAGAAAATATAGTATAAGATACTTTAAGTATTTGTATTCAGCATTCCCCATCCATTATGAGCGAATAGCTATGTGTAGTGATGTCTGCCTCTTTGGCGCTAGGCATGACGAGGATCGAAGCTTGCATAGTCAGATGTAAGTACTTATGTATCAGAGGTGACACCGACGTCCGAACGAACATTCGAATAACTTCACAAACAAATGCAAAGCCTGGTTAGGTGCCCAAGCAGACTTAAGTAAGTCAGCAAGTGATACCTTTCGGAAGTCATAAGTATTTACTTACCTCCGGCCTACTTGGTTGGCCTACCAAACGTTACTGAACTGATGAGCACTGTAGGAACCGCTGGTTGTCGGGTGATAACCTGCCGTCGTATTCGGACTGATGCACGGGAACTGCACCGAGCACTTAATGGTCATAACTGGAATTTGACATATGACTCTGTAGATTAAGTCGAATCTGGGATTGAAGTTGAAGTTAATCATTAAGTGAGGTGAAAGTCATGGCCAAAAACTATATGATACATGTATGCATTGATAGGATCTTAGAAATGCTGAGATGCATATGAGGTGAGGCTATGAGATGAGGTGAGGTGAGGTTGGTTCATGCACAATGGAGAATGGAGGAGGCTTTGAAACGATATTGAATTCACATCACTTGAACGCTCCATCTACCAGGCCTAGTTACCTATAGGCCGACATCCACGTCCGCCTGACGAGACAGCCCCCCTGCATGGGGAAGAAAGAATTCGATCAGTTGACGACTTTTATATTAACCAACCTGCTGTATTGCATCACACCGATGTGCTTGAAGATCTCAAAGAGACGGGACGGTCCGGCCACGACCGATGACCCTCATGCATTTTAAAACCTAGCCATGTCCTTGCATGATCTCAGTTATCTAGGTATGCAAGAACTAGACCTCAAGTTCTAGGTTGATGCCCCGAAATTGATTACTTCTGCTGACGGTTCGCTGTCTTGTCCAGAGGATGCCGTGATCACATTCATTCATCCGTCCATCCATTTGTTCGTTCGTCAATGTTCGTCCATCTGTCTTTGCACAGCTAAAAAGAGTCAGAGGCAGACGCAAGGCACTTAGCTATCATTGAAGGAGCTGCCTTGTCCCAATCCTGAAACTCAGGCATCCGAGTGCCATTGTTACCGTCACTCGAACTCTGGAACTACGTCTCTCTCTTCCTCTCATTGTTGGTTGTTACCGTCGAGATCTAACTGAGCCTTGTGTATCCGGCATTGGACCCTAGATTTGACAGGTTACCCGATGAGTACCTTCTATAATCTTGTCTCAAATATAGCATCCCTGGGTTCGATCCTATTTTGCCCTTTCGATGGAGAAATATGACCTTTCGTCCGATCAGAGGATTGGCAATATAAAAGGCTGTATCAGGCAAGGCCGGGTTCCGAGCTAAGCTAGCTGCTCATTCGCTGGTGGCTTTCATACACTCAATCCACCTTCGATTTCCATGCCCTTCCATTCGCATGTGTGGCTAAACCTCACTCAAATCTAATTTGGAGGACGTCACATTGTTAGAATACGAGATATTGAAAGGAGATATACCGCCAGTGCCAAAGAAAATATCTTGCCAATAGTGAAAGGGATTGCTTTATTCACTTCGTTTTTATCTGTTAACCTTCCAGGTATCTACCATTCTTCCGCCTCCCCTTCTTTTGCCTTTATTTTATTCTATTTTATTCTATTTTTTCGAATTTTTTATTTTATTTTTTTTCTCTCGCACAGAAAAAGAAAGTGTGCTGTGTCAACGAACAGCCGATTCGAACTGACACACACACTACTTATTATTATTAAGACAGCCAACAACCTCCACCACAAACGTCCACACTCCACTTTCACCCCCCATCGTCATCTTACAGCATATCATCACACCTCTAGGTCCCTCAATTTATCACCACGGCCCCCGATATTAACTTCCATAGCAGATGTTCTTATTCTCGCATCACAGAATTGCCTTGTTATAGCATACTGTCTTTGTATTCGAAATCAATATTCCTTCCTCGGCCCTCATCTAGTGGACTAGATTCGGTTATATCATTCTCGGAAATTTTGAACAGCTTCTGTTTGGCCAAATCACCCACCTTTCTGTGCACCGTAGCAAATACTCTTGCACCACGTTGAAGCATGGCAGCAGCAGGAACAGCAGCAGCGGCAGCGGGTATGGTCTTTGCCCCTCCTCCCTCCGTCCTATATATGAATATCCATCCATCCATCCATCCATCCATTTATCTGCTACTACCCCATGCCCCCGGCTACGTACACTTCATGTGATACCCGTTACATGCATAATCATGTGGTTTGGAATATGCTCAAGGTGTTTTGTCCATCCACTCTCCAGATACAGGTCTATTCAGTCCGGTACATGGGCGGCCCATCCGACCTCTCCCAAAGAGAACCCTCCGAGACCGTCTATCACCCGAGTCCTCAAAGGCCATTTTAAGTCCTCCTGCGCCCCCGAATCCCACGCCTCTCTTCTATCTACCGTACACATATCCACCACCGCCGGGTGGATCTACCGGTTCGCCGTCCGGTCATGGTAGCCATGAGCAGAATGATTCGTCGGACGAAGATGATGTCTCAAATGCATCCGTTGGTCGTTTTAGCAGCAGCGGTCAGCTAGATGATGCGCACGACCAGGGAATAGGTGGTCCCAATGATGGAGGCTATGATTGGTCCGAAAACACCAATAACAAGAAGAAACGCAAGATTCCTACACCCGCTCATCCTGGCGGGGCAAGTTCAAATGGGTTTACTACCACCGGTCATAACTACGCCACTCAGTACTCCCAGGTATCTACCGGGACCTCAGTTCACTCGACTCCCCGACGATATAGATCTGCTGGGACTCAGAGGTCTCCTCTATCAACACTATCGAGTGGTGGCAATGGTGGGATGAGGAGAGTTAAAAGATTTCCCGGAACGCCTTCTGTAGCCTCTGGAGCATATTCGGAGAGTGGAAGCAAGTCTCCTGGCGCGGGTGGCACAGATGATGCTCCAAACACCCCAGACAAAGAAAACCGATTTGAAAGACCTGGGATCAATGCTCCAACATCCCCATTCACATTCAAATGTGATTCGCCGGTTTCCGCGAACTTAGCCTACTCCCACCCGCCACCGAATGTCGGTGCGAACTATCAGAGATCAATGTCGACGGTTGGGACTCAGACATCACCGAACATGTCTGGAAATAACTCTTACCCACAGCAACAGAAGAAGAAAAGCGCAGCGAGGGCAGCCGCAAGGAGGGAATATCTCCAACAGCAGCGCCTGAAGCAACGGCATGCAAATGGAAACAAGGGCGAAATTTGGATATGCGAATTTTGCGAATACGAGGCTATCTTCGGTCAGCCACCCGAAGCTTTGATGCGGCAATACGATATCAGAGATCGCCGGGAGCGAAGAGAGCGAAAAGAAGCCGAGAACAGACGACGACGGGCTGAAGAGAGGTTGCAGAGAAAGGGCAGAAAGACGAGCACTAAAAATACCAAGAAGCAGCATGCGCATACCAATGTCCACAGCTCAGCTCACAATGCCCCGCCCCCACCCCCACCACCAAGCCAGACCGATTCGCAAGGCACCCAATCTGACCATACCCCAATTCCATCGGCTACTACTACACCAGCATTGAAACCCCATCATCCTGGAAAAAATCACCATCACCATCATCATCACCACGTCCATGGTGATGGCTGCCAGCATGATCATCGTGAGTACGGTAATGGAACGGCGTATCGGAATGGTCACGGCGGATCATGACTCCTGGGAGTATTAGAGTACTTCTCCACATTCATGGCTGTTTTGCACGTATGCTTTTTGCTTCTCGTTTTTCTCAAATTGTTTTACTACCTGCGATTTGGTGCGGAGACTTTGCATGGCGTATTGGATTCTGCGTAAAACGCACTATCTGTCTTTTTTTTTTTTTTAACTCCCCGGTTGCTTCTGGCGTTCTCGGTGTATCTCCTTTCCCTTTGAAATGTCACAACGCCCCTCCACTATCCAGTATGATTTCGCGCTACAGAGCCATCAAGTTCCTTGGCCTTATTTACTGACAATTCTCATTTCACTCTGAGCCACCGTGCTATTTCTTCTCTTCTCCCCCTCTCTTCCTAACCTTCCCCCCTTTTTCCAGTTCACGGATTCCCGGCGATTGCGCCTGCATTGTCGCTAAAAGCGTGTATTTGAATATATTTCCCCTCCCCCGTTCGAACCCCAGAGACTGTACATATTGTATCCCCCCCTCCCGTTATACCCAATTCCCTTCATAAAGCCTAGTTTTGCCCATCTATAACCAACCCAAAACCACCTTCTCCCGTACTTACAGACATACCCTTTTGGGATCCGACGCGATATTAACACCATCAATACACTGCTTTTGAATCTTTTATTTCCACCTCCTCTAACTCCCCCCCAATTTAGGTTTTGTGGGCCCTGAGAAAGATGGGGAAAGGTTTTTTTTTATGCTTCTAGGACAGTGTAGAATTGCCTTTGAAACGAACGTGCAATCGCTATATAAGACCGCCTTTAACTAGTCTCAAGGTCGAAACAGATGGTAATTGCAAGATGAGCTGTGGAATTAAATGAATCAACAAATTAAATGAACGAATGATCCTTTTTAAAGTATCATAGTATTTTTTTTGAAATCAACATATATATATAAGCCCATATACCTAAGTATATAGTGGGGTGTCAGCTAGAAAACAATAAACCCCGCTTTATATCCCAGAGCTGGCTCCGATACCGATAATCGATAGCAATAGCGTGCTAAATTTTTTGAGTTGATGCAGCGGGTTTAGCCAGAAAAAAAAAAAAAGACATCCGTACTATGATCAATTAAAATGGTCAAGTGGGTTCTAGAAGGGCCCGTTTTCATGCAAGTCCAAGTTGCTCCACTTTCTTGACTTTGACGTCTTATGCATATATGTAAGTATGTATGATGTTGGTGGTTGGATTTTTTCCTTCCAAGAAAAAGAATGGGCCATTGTCAGGAGCGCATACAGTGCATTGCATGAAAGAACGACGTCGACGTTGGCACAGACCCGGCAGGGGGGGTAAGCTAGTTTATACGTTTAACGTGTACTTAAGATGGGATTTATTTAACCCGATTTGCCCCGATGGAAGCTGTTGCGGTTTCAGTTTTTGATTTTGATTTTGATTTTGATTTTGCTTTTCTTCTCTTTTTCCTTTCTCTTGCGATATACTATTGTACCTTTTTTTTTAAAGAACTTCTCATTCCCGTTGGATCCTTTTGTGACGGTTTTGGAGACAGTTCTTGTTCTCAACGGTTGTCCGTACCCTAGTACCAGTACTAGCTAACTCTGATCTGATCTGATCTGGCCGCTAATGGAAAGCATTAGTTTGAGCGCTTGAGCTTGTCGCCCCCACTTTTTTTTTTCTAGATCAGACCATCTTCTACCCTCTAGCTGTTGCGCGGTCCGGAACGAAAGTGTGGTATAGATAAGTTTGTGACCGACGTCGATTCGATATTTGGGAGAGACAAGAGAAGACAAGTGCAGGTCGTTTCATCTACCCGTCGTTTAATTCGTTTCCCTGCGGCTTTCCAACTTCGAGGGAAAAGGCTCCCACGGTAAAAGCAACCGACGGCATTTCGCAACAGTGCGGTGCAGGCAATTTTGAGGCATTGGGAATCCTGGTTCCTGTTTATCCCACTTGGCGACATACATAGGTATTCGGCTGGGGCGTCCCGTATAGCGATATCACATCTCGATCCATTTAAAGGTAGAATATCGAATTTGCCTTATTCGATAATTCTCCTTCGTTATAGTTTACCCTTCGGAAGGCTGCATATCATTTGCTACTTGCTAGATTTTGTCGGCTGGATCCACGTCGACAGACCAGCAGGCAGGCAGGGACTGGCCATCCAATCGATACTTTATACCATATTCATCAATCAGTCAGTCATCAGCCTGGCCAACCACCTATCACCCTTCCTAGATTTCGAGTTAGTTAGTCAGTTAGTTAATTAGTAGTTAAGTATTTTGAGCCAAGTACTTGCTTACTTGTTGGTTCCATCTGTTATCATAGATATTGATTGATTGATATCCGGATTGTTGCACTGTAGAGGCGGTGCATTGCGTGGTGGTGGTTGTTAACGTTTGAGAGCTAAACGAGTCGGGCTGGCTGGCCATCGCAAAACCTTCCCTTCCCACCGCACCCAATCTAACTAACCTTTTCGTCATCGCCCTGTCACATCACCATCACAGGTCCTCAACCTTCAACTTCAGCTTCATCACCAACTTAAGCTTCATCGCCTACGATATCTCTAATCCCCCCATCGCCACCGTCCTTTTCTCGCATTCCCTCCGGCATTTCGCATTCCATTTCTAAAAATACACACTGCTCCTTTCCCTTATCGCGACAACCCTTTTCTGCGATTACAACAAGCAAGCATCCCGCCATTCCTCCCTGCAGATTTACGCGACGGGGTGGAAATCCGACCCAGAAACTTTGTCCATTCCCAATCACGACCTCTCCCACCCCCCCTCACCTCCCAATCTCGCTACTGAATCCGCCATCATCCTTATCCCTACACCCCTGGGTCTGTCGCGCGACCATTCGAGAGGAATTCCCGGTTTACGTTTGGGGCTGACCTCTCCCATCGTCGCCTTCTTCGCCACCACCGCTGCACTATCTAAACCTAGATATTTACATATCCTCCCGCGCCATAAGCATAAGCTCCTACTTACCGTTACCGCCCCGCACGTGCTATACCAGCCTTGAGGGCGTGCAAACACAAGGGAAAAAAAGTGTGTGTCATTGTGTAACAAAGGCATCCTTCCGTCTTTCTCTCTCTCTCCGTCTCTCTATCTCCTCCCGTCCTTTCCACCCCTCTCTGTCTTGTCTCCCTTCCACCCTCCCTCTCACACACACCTTACCTGTTCAATCCCTTTTGTTACTCTCTTCGCTTTAAACCAGCGATATTAAACTCTCCGTCGTCCGGAGGGGCATAACAACAAAAAAAAACAGCCAGGTCCCGGCAGTGAGGTACAACGACAGCCACGTCTTTTTTCCCCCGATAACTAGCGACCTGCTTGCCACACCCAATCGATCTTGACAACAGTTATCTGCCGGTGTAACTCCTAGATTAACCGTCGAATCGCGCCACAAATAACAACTATCATATCATCGATACATCGCGAGCGGGGTAGAGAAGGCGGCTCTTTAGGCCTGAAAGGTGTTTTTTAAAGCCACAGATAAGGGAACAGATAGAGCGAACAGAACCAGGGCCGACGAGATACTGGATTCGTGCATATAATTCAGAGTATTCATATAACGTCCTTCAGTGGGACCCTCACAGCCTTACCGCCCCTTTAAAGCGATAACAAAACGACGGCATCCTTCCTAATTCATCCCTTTGCTTTATTTCACGACGGTATTTTGCATTAACGGCCGCTATCTTATCCACCTTCCAAAAAAGCGAATCTTATCCCTTATCATTCGACAAACCCCCAACGACTTCTTATCTTATTTTCTTGGATCTATTCTGATAATAGCATTATCAGTACTTTCACGGCTCGATTATGGCACTGGTTGTGCCGAACCCACCGACACAACCGCGACGAGTCAAGGTTTACGAGCTACGAAATAATGATTGGTTCGATAGGGGCACTGGGTATTGCACAGGGCAGGTGTTGAATGTAGGTGGCGACCTTTTTTCTTCTTCAAATTTTCAAATTTTCAAATCTTTTTTTTTAAAGGATTAATTGAGAGATGGCACCGTATCAATGGCTACACAAAAATAAGATAGTATGGCTAATGGGAGGGTTCTTGTACTAATAGGATGAGCCGCATATTCAAGTCAAGTCGGAGGAGGAAGAAGATCGGTTGCTCTTGGAGACGAGAATAGTCAAGGATGATGGATATCAGAAGCAACAAGGTTGGATACTAAGACTTTTGTATGAAATAAGACACAGAATTTGGCTGACATGAGTATCTGATGAGCTTCAGAGACTCTGATAGTATGGACGGAGCCCAATGGAACGGATATGGCCTTGAGCTTTCAGGAACCTGAAGGTTGTGCTGCGATATGGTTAGTTCATTGGAGAGTTCGAGGGATCCTATAAGGACCTAATGATCGAGCGGTGGGCTAAAGTTTTTTTTTTGTCTTTTACAGGGATTTCGTCAGCCATGTTCAGAATAGGATAATGTCGCTATCTAGCGCTGGTACGTTGATATCCCTACACGAATTTGAGGCGAGAGTATCTGAAAACTAACATCATGAGGGGCTGTAGATGACATACTCTCTGACGACAATGAAGCTCTACTGTATTCGGTTAAGCTCCCCAAGCCAGAACTCAGTATCCTCGCCAATATCGAAAACATGATGCATACTCTGACGATAAATGCGGCTGGGAGAGACTCGCTGGCGAAATTCATTATCAATGATGACTACATACCGAAACTCGTGCCGCTGCTGGATACGGCGGAGGATATGGAGATGTTGCCGGAGTTGTTCTCGTTGTGTCGGATCATGAAAATAATAATATTACTGAATGATTCCACAATAATAGAGTACATTGTTACAGATGAGGTTGTTATGGGAGTTGTTGGTATCTTAGAATGTGAGCCAATGTGATGAATGGTTTGGAAGGAAGCCTGTTTGGGTACTAACTTCGAATTGTAGATGATCCCGACTTCCCGACACACAAAGCCAATCACCGGAAGTATCTTTCTGACGACACTAGATTTAAGGAAGTGGTGACGATTGATAATCCAGACATTAAAAAGAAAATCCATCAAACATATCGGCTCCAATACCTCAAAGACGTTGTTCTAGCCAGAATACTCGACGACCCAACCTTCTCTGTTCTAAACTCTTTAATTTTCTTCAATCAAGTCGACATCGTCCAGCACCTCCAAACCAATGGCGTTTTCCTAAAAGCTCTATTCGAGTTATTCTCCTCGGATCCACTCCCACCTGAAGATAAGCAACGACGAAAACATGGTGTCCAGTTTCTACAGCAATGCTCGGCTATAGCGAAGAACTTGCAGGGACCTAGTAGATCACAGTTATACGCCAACTTCATCCAACATGGCCTTTTCAACGTCATTGACTATGCGCTTCAAAACGACGACCCTGCTACACGGATCGCCGGTACAGAGATTTTGGTCTGCATGATCGACAATGATCCGCTTATGATGAGGAACTTTATCTTCAAGCAGATACAAGAGAAAACGAAACCATTGACTGATACGTTGATTGAACTGCTGTTATCAGAACAAGATATGGGTGTTAAATCTCAAGTCGCAGATGCAATCAAGGTGTTACTGGACCCTAATCAGGTGCAACCGCTGGAGGGCATCGCGAAAATGAGTGAGATGATGAATGTGGTTGGAAATGCGACAAGGCGGCCGCCTGGTGCGGAGGAAGGACCGGCAGAAGTGTTCTTTACGAGCTTCTACGATAAAAGTGCGAAAAAGTTATTTAAACCTCTATCAGATTTGGAGGGGAGGACGATAGGTATGGTGCTTTTCTTTATGGGACCAGCAATGCCGTTATTATTCTCCAACCTGGGCTAACTATTTACTCTCGGGTTGGTTTTAGAGTCGTTATCGCCTCACGAATCAGCATTGTATACCCATTTGCTCGAGCTTTTGTGTTTCTTCGTTCGGCATCATTTGTTCCGAAATAAGTATTTCATACTCAGTGAGAACATTGCCCCGAGAGTTGCGCAGTTACTTACTGCTAGCGAGAAGTTTGTACAACTTGGTAGGATTTCCGATCCGTTTGCAGCGTTTTTGTAGGAATCTCGGGACTAATAGTTGTTACAACTAGCTGCGCTAAAATTCTTTAGAGCATGTGTGCAACTCAATGATGAGTTTTATAACCGTCAACTGATTAAGAACAAGTTGCTGGAGCCGATATTAAACATTGTGATCGAGACTATGCCGAAAGATAACCTCTTAAATTCAGCGTGTCTAGAGTTCTTTGAGTTTATTAAGCGGGTATGTTTTCTTTGTTTTTGAAACCCTAAATTTAGGGAACGTTGCTGATCATACCTTAGGAGGGGATAAAACTCCTTATAAACCATCTCGTTGAGCAATACCGCGAGAAACTCGCAGAGATCACATATGTTGACACCTTCTCCTCGCTTATTATCAAGTATGACCAAATACACGATACCACTGCCCCTTTCTCTGCGGACGAAGAGGCTGGTTCTCGTAGCACAGTCAATGGTGGGAAGCGATGGGAAGGGCTCAAGGATCTAGATGCCGCCGAGGAGGAGTACTTCAACGGCTCTGATGATGAGGACGAAGTTGAATATTCGACAGTTGAGAACAGTGGCAAGAGGATTAAGACCGGCGGCAAGACGCCTGCCTCTGCAGCCGGGTCAAGTCCGGCTGGAGGCAAGAGTTTGGTAGACTATCCGGATGATGACGAAGATGTGGTCATGGATACTACGGCGGATGTGAATGGAGAGGCTTCGAAAGATATTAGTTCGGCTGGCGACGAGGCTGGCGGAATTGAGAATTTGAATATTGCAAGTCGGGCGAACAGCGTTGATGTGAACGGGGAGGATGCTGCTGCTAGCTCTGCTGCCACTTCCGCTGGGAATGTGACACCTACACCGTCTTCAGGGACTGATGATCATGTCATGACTGGTTCATTGCCACCTACGCCGGATAGGTTAAGCGAAAAACGGAGGAGAGAGGAAGAAGCGGAGGATGATGGGATGGAAAGGTTGCTGAGGAGCACGAAAAAGAGGAGTCCAAGTATGAGCAAGAAAGGGAGTGTAGTGGTACCTGGTGTTACTCCTGCGGCTGGGGCTGCTGGCAAGAAGATCTCAATCAATTTTGCAAGTAAAGGTGAGAACGGCAAGAAGAAGGAGAAGGAGAGGGAGAAAGAAAAGGAGAAGGAGAAGGAGAAAACAGAAAAAGAGACAGAGAATGGGGAAGAGTAAATGGCCAACGTGTATGGTCCATTTCACTGGGGCTGCCTTTTCTCTCTGGTATCCTTCGGTTTTGTCCCTTTGGGATTCTTTCCCCTGCTCTTAGGTTCTGGATTGGTATATTTTGGACTGGAATGAGTAATATACATACACACGACGCAAACGTTCCCTCCTCTTTTCCTCCTTCTCAGCATCATACTCATCATCCTCATCATCTACACCCCCCCTCCCTTCGCTTCAATACCCCAGCTCCTGTGCAACTCCATTCTATATCAAATCTTTAGACTCGAAGAGATCCGCCTGGTCTCTCTCACCCGGTATTTTTTGTGTTTATTTTCTTTACCTCTTATAGTATTTTCGCTGTTATATTGGCACCAAACGGCCGCTGAAAGACGGGCATTGCGATCATGGCGTTTGTTTATGTCTCTTTTTTTCCATTCTTCTTAGCCATATTTTCACTTTTATAGCCTTCTTATATATTCTTCTTTTCATTGGGCCAACATTTTTTTTTTTTTCCCACTCTTTTCTGGGGGAGCACCAGTACCTTTCCCTCCCTTTTTCCCCTTTCTATTCTTCGACGGAAGCTTTCTCCGCTTGTGGTTTGGTGATCGATACGAAGGAGATGTTGTGAGGCTGAAGATGCCTATCACTTTATAGTGGAGGAGAAGGCGAGCGGTCTTTGTTACCTTTTTTTTTTGTATGTGAATACAAAGATGAATATATACTTCGGTGTTCACAGGACCATATGAAGTTAATTTAAAGATTTCATGAGTGAACGTACTGTCAATATTAATATGACAAGATATTGTGAGATGGGTGGAATAGGCACGACTAGCGGCCGAAAATTTATTCACAAGGTATCTCTTCATCTTAACCTAATTGCTATATACAGGGTCCGCGATGGTAGGACCGTAAAATATTCAAGAGTAGCATATCTCATACTCCGATATTGATCAATAAATAGGTTTCAAAAAAAAAAAAAGAGCAAGCCATCCCCATCATCTCAGATTATATCGGGGGATATATTTCGATCACAACACTCTCGTGGGGATCTTATTAATGCCTCTCTTCCTATCCTCAGCCGGAACACCATATCTATGCCCGACGGCGGCAGCATTAGCAGGCTTAAGTCTAAACCTAAACCTTTCAGTCTCCACAACCTTTCCAGCTCCCAACCTCTTCTCTCTCCTTTCCCTTTTCGCCTTTGTCTCCTCGGCCTCTCTTTGTTCACGTTCCATCTCGACTTTGACCATCGTCTGAACATCCACACCGTCTAGTTTCATCTTCTCGACTTCGATGAGTTCGCTATGTGGCATTCTAACATCTGCTGGTAGGAGTCCTAATGCCTCAGCGGCATCTTTACGGTTGAACGGCATGGATTCTGGAACTGAGAGGAAGAGTTGGTTGTTTGTTTGTGAATGGATGCGTAGGTCGGTTATGGATTCGTGCTGGGGGAATGTGCTGTATTGTGATACTGGCATCATTGCGTGAACACGGGTTTGCATCTCGGTGCAGAGAGGGCGTTTCTTTTAGTTTGAGAAAGGGGAGGGGTTAGTATTATTTTGCGAGATCAAGGGAAAGGAAGAGTGTGAATGGGAGGTTTGAAGAAGAAGCGAGTCAGACTGTTGGGACCCATAGTTTATAACCATGTGTTTTGGTGTCTTATAGACTAATCGAATTTTTTATATGGAATCATCATATTCGCTTTTGTGGTATACTCTGGCGTAGGGGAAAGAGAGAAGGGAAAGAAAATGGGTGTGTGTACGAATGTATGAATGAATATATATCTTACCTCTTCAATCCACCTTTTCTCAATCTCCTTCAACCTAATAACCGCAGCAACCCTCTCAAGTTCACAATTCACTTCCGCCGAAATCCTCCTAACCGATCTATCGGCCTTCATCCTCAAATAGATCTGTTCTCTAAACTCCGTCGAAATCACAGGGTGGACTTTGAACGATGCATTAGTCGGAAACGGTGAATGACGAGCCTTATCCGTCACCTGAGTCCAATCTACTGCGTCCCTCTTTGCCTGTTTTCTGGATACCCCAGGGTCTCGCTTCCGACATACATCACTCCCCTTCGCAACAGGAAATCGGGTTGGAAGCGGGGCTGGTTCGTAAGACAGGTAGACCGGGACGTTGTCCTGGGGACTTGGAACGTTGAGACGACCACCAACTTTTTTCATCCAATCGACGAAGCCATTACGGGTTCCTTCTGTTTTTTCAAAACGAACTCGACGATAGGCAGGCTTAGAGGTAGAGAAGTTGCGAGAAGAAGAGGTAGGAGTTTGAGTGTAGATATGGTAGGAGGGGAGGAGGAAAGGGAGAAGAGGGGAGGATGAGAAGGATTGTGGGATCACATTGCTTGTGGAGGGAAGGCTTGAAGGCCGTAGCCGCGGCGGCATTGTCTTTTATGTGATATAAGAAAGAAAAGAAAAGGGCCGCCCTTTTATTGACGGCGGTCGACGTCGAGAAGTTGAGGTTGATGTCGTCGACGGTGGGTTGGGAGAGGTTTCTGGGAAGGTTTGGCTTTTGAAGGAATGAAAATTTGAAGTTCTGGGCGGACGAGGGGAAGAGCCAATCAGAAGCGAATGTGTTGGACATGTCGTCTGGGGTCCTGGCACACAACACAGTCCCCACTCCAACACCTAAGATCCTGAGTCGTCTACCTCGGTCCTTAGTTACTGACTTAACATGCACTTGGTTACACTAGAATATAAACGAGCACAGTGACATCACAGAGTATTTGGTCCTCGCCTAGAATATCTCATGAACGGAATATTATGGTTAAATGCCGTTCAGCCGTGTTCACGAATGTCCATATCCACATCGACTTAAGTACTTTGTTATACATGACAGCATAGCCACTCAAGTCCCCTCCTCGTATATCGTTCATGAATTGATCATCCACGAGTTCGAACCCATTTTCTCGGTACGAGATGCCATGCCTGGTCTGATCATGACATCTGTTAAACCAGGTCAAAGACAATCTACCGTCTAAATAAACAATCGAGCAATCTATCCCGGCCGTAGGCCATGCGATGCGGGTTAAACAATCATGCATAACCTTTTTTTTTTGCTATCTTTTTTGACTAAATCGAATTTGGGGGGGTAAGTTAACCTTAATGGTTCTTTTTGCATTTGCGGCTGCTACAGCTACGACATGTTCGAACGTTTATGGTTTTGGTTAATTCTAGGCACACCTCTTTTCTTTCATTCATTCTTAAACTTCTCTGACGGCGGTGGGATATGCGGGATTCCGTGTATTTCGGAGGGTTTTATGTCTCGCTGTTGTAAAAAAAAAAAAAAAAAAAAAAAAAGACGTCGACGGTGGGGGTAGGTGAGTTTTCCCATCGACCCTATTCTTTATCTAGATATATTAAAAATAAATTATACACGAAACATCTGCCACAGGGGAAACCCTGGTAGATATGAATCTAGATAATAGGAAATTAAATAAAAAACTTGTCGATATGCGATCGCTTGTTTATTTTTGTTCGTCTTCTTTGATTTTACATAACTCTAAACCTCGCCTGACTCGTGGGTGGTAGTTTCAACAGCATTTTGCGACTTCTGCGGAGAAAAGTGTCTCAATCTGGGACGAAAGGCGAAATCTTTCAACTCTGGTAAATTATATCTAGGCTATCGTATCATGCGCGCGCCCCCAGACCCAGCTTCAGAATAGGTAGGACCTCGTGGGACTCCACGGCTGAAGATCTAGACCGATCAATCACCATGCATCTTAGAGATCTCGTAAAATATTCCGAATGCGCGCGCGCGCGACAGATTTTGTTTTTCACCATGCATCTCGAAAAAAAAAAAACTAGAAGATTTCGGAAGAAAAAAGAAGCAGAAGACATTATAACACCTTCATGACGCTAGAATTTCTATGCCAAAGAAACATGTAGGTTTGAGAATATGTTCAGGCAAGGATGAATCGAACAACTAACATGTTTGAGAAACAAACTACTTCGAACTGGGCCACGGGGGCGCGCCTTCAGATCGAAAACTTCATCTATAATATCTTAATAGTATGGAATTAATGGGCACAGCCGCAAAATTTCTCTGAACCGAAAAGTTCAAAACTCCCATTGAACTTTTGCATAGCTCGGATGTTAAGTTTTAGGAAGAATAGTACTAGTATGAATGTCGATTTATCGTGCATCCTAAATGTTCTTCCTACACATGGGTAGGTATTTAACTTGTGTGATAAGGTGACATTGCAGTAGTTACCTAACTCGTGGGCACGAAAAATTGTGCATCTAAACTAAAAGTTTGAGGCTGCAGGTGCATCTCGGGTGCAGAGAGGCGGACGCCACTGCGTCCCGATAAATCTTAATACCTACGCTTCTTTTTTTTTTTTCATTACCCCATCAATTATGTCACTTCGAATTTATGCTTAAAAAAGTTTTCCGAAAATACATCATGACATTGGATTAAAACAAGAGCTTTGTTTATCCATCGTATCGACTTGTAAACTTCGGGGTGAGGGAGGGGGAGCGCCCTAAGAAAAGCTGTAGCAGGTTCTGCCAGGGTTTGCAATTGGGGATTTCAGTTCTGTCGGATCCTCATATCATATGAGATGTCGCGAGGCATAAATGGCTTCTGGATGCGAAAGGCAACAACATCCCTTTCATTTATTGGCACTAGCGGCCAAGATCCGCTCTTGATGATAATAAGGCAAAGGTAACCAGAAATACATCTTGCACACGGGCCAATTGTTTTCCAACTTTTGGCTTGGGAAAAACGAAAAACAGGAGCGCTGCAGCTGGAGTGTTTAACAGAAAAATGAAATAAAATAAATCAGACGATTAAGAAACGTTAATACCACCTCGGTGAAACTTTTTAAACATTTCTTAGTGTATTTTATAAGCAAAGCAGTACCGTTTGGCTCTGGCCAGTTGGTAGGGTTGTCGACAGACCTATATTAAAAGAATCGGTCCACCTCCAATACCACCCAGAAGTTCCTTCTGGGCGTTCTTTTTAACTACTTCCTCTTTTTCTTCTACGTCGGTCATTAATACCCTAGTCTTTCCCTACTTTCCGAGTTCCGAGTCCGAAAGCACCCTTCGATGGAATATCTCACACTCCTTACTTAACAGCACTTGAATGGCTTCACCAAACAATTAAAAAGCATATGTGCGGGTAGCCCTTGCATGCCGCTTTCTCGACTTGTGCGGCACACCATTCCCTTTTAGTTCCCACTCTCTCATACATTTCAACACACAAAGAAGATTCCCATCATCACGGGCCGCGGGCACATATGCAAGCCCTTCGCATTCAGCTTAGATTCTAGTATAATTCTGGGCTAGCGTTATCACTCCTTACTTCAACCTTTTGGAAGAGAACTGGTAGATCATTGTTCTCGGCGGTTGTGCTGCGGAGTTTTATACATTTTTTTACTCATTTCATTCATTCGTTCTATTTTTTTTATTCATCCATTCATTCATTCATACGATTTACCCGGATCATTATACACCTACATACAAGTTTCAAGATATTAGAGGAGGATGGCGTTCGATGAGATGCCCGTTGGGGCAAAATATGCGTATGGAATTAATCAATCTTATCTGGTCCGATTACTATCCATAGCTAACAAACTGGTATAGCTTAATCGGTGGCATTGCGGTGTTACTTACACTACTTCTGATCTTGGGTCGTTTTCTCTGGGCGAGAAGAAGGTATGCAATATCTATACATTAATTTGCTTTCATCCAAATCTATAAAAGCAAAGATTAACAAAATTATTTATAGAAAACAACAAAGATTCATGAGCTCAAGAGATATGAACAAAAACATCGAGGAACCAATCATTCAAGAAAAGAAACTAGAAATCTCAAATAGCCTTCCGACCCTGCCTCGGGGCGCCACACAGCTCCCCATTAGTGGGCCTGTAAGAACTCAAGACGACGAGGACCATAGAGAAGAATACAGCCGCACAGCAAATTTGATGCCACCACTAGCTGCAGCAAAACCAGTTTCTACACGACCACATCCATCCCAACTCCCACTAGCCGGAGCTGCCAGACTCCACCCATCCCGTGAAAGACAAGGGTCAGTGCACAGTGAATTCAGCAATGTCCCCACTGAATTCAACATTGGCCAAAAGTCTCCCAGACTACTCCCCCCACAGCAGGCAAGACATAGAAACGGCAGTACAGCCGATGATTTTGCAGAATCATACCTCCCCGTACCGACATCCTCCCAACCACAAACTAGGAGCATAACCCCTCCTTCACCATCTGTCTATTCTCCAGGCATAGAAAGACAACCATCACGAAGAATACGCACAAATATGACCAGCCCGATAGACGAACTAACAAGTCCCAACGACGACTTATACATCCGTGTTCCTCGACTCTACCAACCCCCAAGTATGGCGTACGGAGAAGCAGAACTCCCGTATTCGCCACCTAGAAGGAACAAACCCCACGGTAGCTACCAACCAGGCGGATCCCTCAGAAGAAAAAGATCGGTATCAAAACAAGACCCCCCCGCAGTTCATCGTATGAACTCCAATGCTAGCGGAGGCAGTCTCAGACGAAAGAATAGTCGACGAGGTTCCGATAATAGAAATTCAACGCATAGTGAATGGGTCGATACTTTGACCGTTATTGATGATGTGAATGAAGGCGATGGGCCGGAAACACCTAAGCGGATTCTATCCCCAGCTAGCCAGAGACAGCTATTGTCCCCTCGGAGAACAACTCGGGGCAGCGTTCGAGGAAATAGATCTATCAGACAAATTCCAAATCCGATTCAAACATCGGCGCCGTCGAGCAACACCTCATGGAATAACTCAATCATTGCGGAACAAGCAGCTGCAATCAAATATAGCACGAAGAGATCTCGTAGCAAGTCACCACCCAAGGGTGAGAGGAAGAGTCTAGAAGAGTAAGGGATATTTGAGAGAACAACAAAAAAAATAAACCAAAAAAAAAAACTTAAAATATCATAGTTATAACGCATACCACAAGTCGATCATGAACCTCGCTTGTGAGTAGGACACCGACTCGCTGTGTCTAATTTTAATACCTCGTACACAAATTTCATACACAACTATTATGTTGATTTACCATGGAGTTTGGAAACTTCTTTTTGTATGATATCCATTACAAAAAACAACAGTTTAGCAGCATACACTGGCCTAGCCCGCTACGCAGTATATCAAAACATATACCTCAAGTAGCAAAAAGATAGAAGATATATATATACCTAGAACACTAGAGTGAAAATGTGTTTCAAGCACTTGATACTAGATCGGCTTAGCTCAACCCGGCACCCTTAAGCCTTGCTTCAAAAAAAACTTGATTCTGTAGTACTTGTCTCTAGAGATACATAAGTAAATACACCTCAAGACAAGGAAAACTCAGCATCTTTGCGTGCCCAATCCTGGGAGAATCGCATATGTGTTGGAATGTTGTATTTTGAGACAGGCCCCCAAAAAGGGAAGTGTCGATAATCGACAACGGCAAATTACAAAACCCAAAAAAAAGAAGCAAAAGAGAAGGCCCGAAGGCTCGTATGCGTCCGCCGGGAATCGAACCCGGGGCTGATCGAAACTGTGACTGTAACCAGTCATGGCAACGATCAATTTTACCACTAAACCACAAACGCTTGCTTTGTTGAAGTCAGCAATCAAAAGTATGACCATAGTGCTGTTTGGATGATAGTATGCTGTGATTTCAAGATAATTGGCAATTTTTGTGAAGTTCGAACTTGATTTTAACATAAGGAGGTGACTTGCTTGAGGCTTTGAACTTTGGGGAAGATCGGAAGGTTTTGTGATGTTGTGGTGTTCTTAAGATATTTGATTATTCCGGTCTTGCTGGATTATATACCCAGTATGGTTGCTTGAATGGCAGTGGTACTTGCCCATGGACGGTTGTCTGATAGGGTAGCTGAATGGAACCTTTGAAAAAACAAAAGTATAGATTTGGATGCCCGGCATCTATAACCGCTGTCGAGAAAACTCCCTAGAAACTAGCCTACATCTCCAATGCAAAGTAAGTACGAAATACAATGCCGCTAAAACATCAATCGATCCGCTACAATACGCCACCAGATACCACAGATGAACAACGCCTTTCGCACAACTCTATTCGCCAACTTCAACCGCTACCTTGACTTAAGGAGAATGATTTCCATCCCCTAATGACCGTTCAGGTCGCTTCCATCCTGCCAGCTGGTGCAAAAGGGACATCTTTTCGCATTCGCCGAAATATCCTTCCTGCAGGCCGGACACTTAGTCTGATACTTGATAATAGCTTCGCTTGAGAATAGAGAGTAAAACTTGGCAAGAGCGTAAAGCGTAACACCAAGTAGCATGAACTGAATAAACTTCTCTAGAAAGTGTCTACTAGTCGTTAGCTTTCTTATCGCTCTTGATATCGTATAGGATTCCTAGATCCTTGGGTTTTGATGAGACTAAGCATACCCGTAATTCCAAGTGATAGCTCCATCGTCTTGTGCCTGCTGAAAAGTATTGTAATGGGTAGTTGTATTATGACCTTGCTTTAAGACGATGAAGTTTTCGGCAAGACTCTGCTGCCACATAAGGGATACCGGGGGTAGAATGATATCAGCGACAAGAGAGTTGACGACAGAAGTAAAGGCAGAGGCGACACTGTGTTGATGTTAAAGTTAGCGACTGGTACCGTGACGTAACACAAAGACACGAGCTTAAGTTCAGGGGCGGTCCGATGCTCCAGATCTGTGCTCGTGGACAACCGGTGCTCCGTAAAATTGATATACTTAGGTAGAAATACCTTAGTACCAATTTAGGCTGCGGGTAACCTACATGAGACCGACGGCGACCTCGAGGACATTGTCGCGAAGAGCAAAGTCTGTTATCGGGCGGCAGTCAGTAAATTAGAATAACAGATAACAGTTGACCAAGACGAGATATGACATGTCGTATGCACACTCGTTTGTAATACGCACCTCGAAATCCAACCCAGACGGATGAAACCCGACGGACGGCATCCCGACCACGGTTTATAAGTGGCAGGCTTTCTGTATCTATACTTGATGGCATGTTGATCATGAATGGGGTCTGAAAAGGGTTTATGAGGAGAGTGAGGTCTAAAGATCGGATGAAGTTTATCAGGAGTTTGGAGTTCCAGATAGGCGCTAAATGGGGCCCTAGCTTTGCCAAGAATGCACTGGAGTATGCAGCCCGCGGTGATATGATGTCAATGCAAAACAAACTGAATAGAGAGGACAATCGACAACTGATATATTAAGTAGTACCTAAGTCAGTAGTACTCATATATGAAGGATGAGGTGGAGATATAAGCTGAGAGGTAGGTACTCACCTGAGGTATTGAAGGTAGTTAGGGGTACATGTGAGATTTTGGCTAAGACAGCAGATCATAAAACTAAACCTCCTCCTAAGCAATGTGACTCTTGGTGTCTCCGAAACTAAGCTCTTCAAAGAGCAAATCGACAGAAGGTCCGTTGCTTGTTTGGTTGCTCTATGAATTGGACTGTCCTGAAGGTGGCATCGTATGTGTTGAACTGGATGACCAAAACGGAAATGTGTTGTCGGAAACCTGTCAAACACTTATTTTCATATCGCTCATCCCGACGTCAAAAAAAAGTGAAAGAGAAGGCGGAAAAGGGAAGAATAATCCTTTTGAAGCCTAGGAAGTATCATGTCTGTAAGGTCTAGAGCAGGAATCACAGGGATTTATATTTCAAAGGAAAAAAGTGCAAAAAAAAACTTTTAGCTACTCTTTGTTGAAGCGTGTCATCCTTAGTGCAGGGGCCATGCTAATCTTCTCTGTATCGCTGTTTGAAAGAAAGAACGTTAGTGATCGGGTTCGAACGTGAGTTCTTTTGGCAAGGAGTGAAAACCTACTTTCAAATTGACCATGTGACCCGAAGGTCAAAAATTTGAAAGTTGCTTTGCGTAATATAAACCCGTGTAAACATCCAAATTAGGAAGGAGCACACGACACCACACCACAACACAGACTGTATTTCAGACAATATTGTACAATCAACAATCACTGCAGGGCTAATTACTTAATTATAATTTGGGATAGCTATAGCTATAGCTATAGGTACTCCTAAGAGACTTTAAGCCCCCCTTAACATCCCACCTAGCATCATCACTAAGTACATACCATGGCTACATGAAACTATAAAAAAAACTTAGTATTCAACAAAAGTAGCATCTACAAACCCCCTTCAAGAACTATCCGCAGCGCATACATACAACACACGTTCAAATGACGCAAATAAGCTACATGAAGAATTCGAAATGCATATACCTGATAGCAAAAGGAGTATTCGCAAGCCAAACGAAGGACAATCGAGCTCCTGCGAGTAATGTCATCCTCGACACCAAATTATAGACAAACAGGGCCTTGGCATTGTAAATTGGCAATGAAATGAACGACTGTCGGCTGCGAGTAGTCAACTTGTAAATCTTGTTACCGTCTGTATTCTCTCTGGTGTATTCATGCTATACAAAGATATCGATGTGACTTTATTGAGCCCTTTCGTTGCTGAGTTATCTGAATGGCTTGATTTGATAGTTCGGAGTTTGGCCGTTTGGGTGCAGGTTCACGCACCTAGGAGCCGATCCGCGAAAGGCCGCACTATCCATAGGATCATAGCTCCATGGTAGATCGCATCGGATGCTTCTAACTTGCTGAAGGTCTCCGCTATCAAAATGCTCAACCCTCCTTACCCCTTTCCCTCCATAAGTTATGTATCTTTTTTGACACGCCTCATCCGTGTAAAGGTGGCAAGTACATCCTTGGATTTCCCACGATCGTAGAGAAACGCCACCTATTGTGGCGCAATTACTTTCCCCGGTTATTTTATCTATACTTCCCTTGGGAAAGTTTATAGAGATGAGATATTTGCCTTTCCATTCCCATTTTTCGTTACCTTTTTCATCAGCATTGAAAAGGGGGGGGTGTGTTGTGCCATCTGAGAGTTTCACAGAACAAGATTCGAAGCTCTCCCAACCGATATCTTTGAAACATTGGATACTACCTCTGGCGATATCGTCCTTACTCCTAATCATATTTTGCATAGGATACGATCTGATATCCTGGGGTTTAAGTCCCTGCCCACACATATCGTCCTCGTAAATTATGCAATTGCAGTATCCTTGGACTACTACTGTCCCCGACGATGTGGCACGCCAGGACGGTGCCGGTTTTAGTTCGGGGTTAAGTTCTGTGACACGGTAGCATATTCCGTCTAGAAGTGGCATGTTCCCGTACCGTTCGTCGGTACTTAATGGTATTCCCTCCCATGCCGCACAATCGTCAGATACAATGTAATCTTTGTACATATATAAACCGACGCGACAAGCCTGTCTAGGGCTTCCGATTGTCCAGCGGTTTTGTGGTAGGCGCGTTAGTTCTGCTCGGCGGACTAGAGTCGAACTGTGTGCACGTGGAACAGTTTTACTGCCAAAACAAATACTAAACATAGTCCAGAACAAGAGAACGGTAGTAACGAGCGGAAGTTGCTTGCTCCTCATATATATATGCATTTTGGATGCGGATTGAATTTTTATTCTAAATTCAGATGCATCGAAGGATTTGTAGTAGGGGAGACTCCTGGAGTTGTATGGTAGCGACACAATTGAGCGGCTAGAGCTTTATTGAAATAATCAAAGAGTAGCTATAGTATGACACACGGTAACGCTGGCGTCTGGTCCCGAGACTAAGTATGAATAGGAATAGTCATATATATAGGCGGTATGTGTAAAATGGGGTTTATCTAATATATACCCCGAGGCAAATGGTCTTCAGAGACTAGGGTTTTTTGTCCCCCCTCTAAAGATTTATAACTTATGGTTGAAGACTGCAAAGGAGTCTTGCTACGAGGAAAAAACAACTGGCCTATAAATTTTATATGTTGGTTTTACACGTCGGTGAAGTTCGAAATCGCTAGAGTCATGGTTGTAAGGTATAAGCCCTGCACTGCCGCACTGCATTATGTCAACAAGATACTAACAACGTACTTGTTAACGCCATGGCTATGGCATCACAGTTGAGGAGTCTGGCGACGAGACAATATGGCATAGCTAGACCGTAATAGGAGTTTTAAAAGTGAGCTATTCGGAAACATGTGAGTCGAACAAAGTCGCTAAGCTGGATCATGATCAAGCTGACCACTCAGATTGATCTAACCATTCCCTGATCAATGGACATGAGAAGTCTGTTAGTAATTATGCATTGCGTGACTAACTTTTGAGCTAAATGAGACGACTGTGGCACAAAAAAAAAGACGACAAGAATGTTATGTGATATACTAAATATAGTATTACGGCGACGCTTTTGTTTGAAGCCTGCTTGTTAGGCTTAGGATGTATTGATTGATCAAAGGTCGACGAAATTACCTCTGATCTGGTTGGTTTCGTTGACCCCCTGGTATAATATATACCGTTGTAAGTTAGTGAAAGATATAGATTTGATGATGAAACTATGAGACTTATTGGCATAAAAGTTTCCACCGTGTCATATAAACATGTTAACAAGACACAGTGTTTACTAAGTATACGTACTGTAGTGCACATAGACTAGCTGCTAGTGCATCTATTATACGGAGCTATTGCTATTATAAGAAGAAAAAACCTTTCTAGTCTCGTACGCACCTAGAACACACGGAATTGTCGCCTGGCTGCCGAAGGAAAATTAAACTAAAGACGTAGTTTCAACCGTATTTCAAAAGTTAAACCTGAGCAATAAAAACTTTTAGTCAGAGGTATGCGGTTCGGAATTAATACAGCCGTGGCAGGGGCAGGTTGTACCCGGTACCTCTTTGCAAAACCCATACCTAAATTGAGACCTTTAAAACATTACATGAATCAATGCTAGAAATTTCATGTGCATATATATGCAACCGATTCCTAAACCTTCGTTTCATGAATTTAAGAATATAGCGCTATAATTAAGCTGTAGTACTGTGCCATGCTAACACAAAACTTGACAGTTAATTTGTTGTATTTTGTTGCGGCCGATTTTGGGTAACAACCCCAACACTGCACTGGTAATATACTCCGTACTCTATACTATGCGCTACGAACACTGGTCTAGACCTCTTGCTTCATAGTGAACATTGCATTGCAGCGATATACCCGCGCGGGTCCGATATTTCGAGATGTCAAAATCAAACATCAAAGGCACTGTAACATCGGTCGAACCTCTGAACACCGCGGATGCTCGGTGGGTTAGACTTGTCAAGTATAACATACCCCTCTACTCCGAAGGCCCATCTAGGTCCTCCTAACTTAAAAAAATGAATTTATGTTAACCCCGCTAAAATGTGCGCAGAATCTCCTACAACGACCCAAACTCCACACCTCGTACCTGGGAATCTTCCGAACGGCTTACACGTCCAAAGGACTCTGAATCGGATGGCGTTGGTATCATTGCCGTGCTGAGCAATCCCGGCCAGAAGCCTTCAATTCTGTTGCAAAAGCAGTATCGTCCACCAATTGATAAGGTTTGCATTGAGATACCAGCGGGGTTGATTGATGCAGGGGAGACACCTGAGCAATGTGCTATCCGGGAGTTGAAGGAAGAGACGGGGTATATTGGTACTTTGGCTCAAGGTGATGATGGTGGTAGTGTCAGTGCTTTGATGTTTAATGATCCTGGGTTTTGCAATACGAATCTTAAGTAGGTGGCTTCATATCCTAAACTTCGAGGTTTTGATGTGCTAATGGCATTATTGTCTAGCTTTGTGCATTTGACTATTGATATGACGCTCGAAGAGAATAAAAACCCGGTGCAAAACTTGGAGGAAAATGAGTTTATTGAATGCTTTACTGTTCCTCTCGACGAGCTTTGGCAAGAGTGTAGGAAACTGGAACAAGCAGGCTGTGGGATCGATGCTCGGGTTGGCACAATCGCCGAAGGTTTCAGGGTCGCAAAGATGTGGAATATGTTTAAATAGAACACTGAATTAGACATAAAAATGGCTTAGCCATAAAGGATAAAACTTGCTGAGAAGCATCTCTAATAATTGGTATCCCTCTATCTATTTCCAAGTGTAGTCTGTATCCGCGTCATCCGCTATGACTCCAAATGCCAACGACCATATGTTGTTAGCTATTTGAAATCCCATGCAGAAAGTCTCATGTAAATTCTCTGTTTTGATGCCCAAATCCCGTATAATTGGTTCAGTTTCCACCAAAACCGCCTCCAGAATGTCTCGTACGCTTGTTCCCTTCCGTGGGTTCACTTTCGCATCCCACAGATCGCCCGACCATTCACCCTCTGTACTAAAGATGTTTAAAGACGTGGTGATAACAAAGTTATCAGATTCTTTGATCGTCATTTCTGGATCCAACAAAGTCCTAGTTTTAGTCCCAGCTTCATCCTCCCTAGTCTCGTAATAGTAGAGGTGGTACCAAGCGTATGATCCTTCCTCGGCTTCTTCATTACCAGTAAACTGTAGTAGCTTCTTTGTTAACAAAGGAGTTTGGTCGCTATCTTCACAGAATCTGAAACGCGCGGGGGTGCTCGTCGGAAACGGTGTAAATAATGGTTCGTCAAGAAATATGCAATCCGTTATATCTCCATCAAATTTCGGTAGAGTCTCTCCTGTCATATCTTTATACAATATCATTTGGGACCCTTCACTGGACTCATGTATCTCGTATGGATAACGAAAACGCTTAATAACCCCATTTTGAACCATAAAGCTAAAAGCCGGCTTGCTACTGTCCTCGATCCAAGCACTCGTAAAAATATGACCGCAAACAACCGAAGAGGACGAATAGCCATACCGCGTTTGCTGTATCGCCTTGTCATTTAGAACAATATCCTTCCAAAGAAAGCATATCTTCGCCGCAGAAAGCTGGTCCTGAATCGGTAGGTATGACAGAATTTGGTACTGAAGCTCGGCAGGTAGTGCTAGCAACGTGGATCTAGCATAGGATGACCTGGCAGATTCGGATCCTCGTTTCTCCGCAGAGCTAGGCGAGGGAGAGGCTTGCATTATCTATACTAGGACACCTCCCCTAGTTCAAGGAGAAGCACTCCTACGTGGGTGGGTCAATAAGTTCCTGTTATAACGTTAACCACAAAATATTAATATGCGATCGCGCGAGGTATACATTGTAGACTTGCTTTGTTCTCGCTTAAGAACTTTAAACGGACTTCATTACGTTGGCAAGGTTGCATTGGAGTATTGAACATTTCATGGGTTACCAAAGGTGGTTGAAATAGTCGGAAGGACTGACCTTGGGTTCTTCTTGGTTGCCGAAATGTTTTGGTTGAGGCGGAGCGCCCGAACCGAAGTTTATAGTTTATAAAGATTACTGATACTCCAGGCTTCCAAACCAAGGCAAGGAAAGCAAGAACAAGAAGGCAATTAAACCGTCATGGATAGGTATAGGTATATTTGTAGGAGGGTTGTGTACTATACTATTGTACCAAACTAAGACCTTAGGAGATCGAGAGTCGGCAGGCGTTCTGAAAGCGAATGTACCTAGGTACTTACCATGTCGCTGTCGGCCAGCTCTTAGCTCTTATAGCCATGCTAATTTGGCCTCTTTCCGCCCAGCAAAAATATACCACACGACCAACACAGTCCTAGCTTATATATGTTTCAACAGGTGGTCGACCCGGGATACTCTGCATCTGGAATCCCATTTCGGGTATTATGGCCTCATAAGCCTTCTGGGCATTCGGTATCCACTCTGTATACGAGGATGGCATGGCGCTTCTACAAGACTTCCCAGAAAGCTTATGATCTTCATTGGACATATGACAAGGTGCAGGGACTTTCGCACAAATCCGACAGCATGTTAATGCGATACTCTCTATCAATCGTCTATAAAAAGAAGAGCGAGGGCACGAGTAATGGTCCTTCTTCTTCTCTTTTGATATCTATCCTGCGGACATCCTGAGCCTTTGGGTTGAATCACATTCTTTTTAACGGGTGCCTTTTTTGTCGTTATCCTCCTTCGGACACTTCATTCTTTTGGAAATTATTCATTCTTTTTTGAGCCTAAATTCCCCCAAACTTCTGTCATTCATTTGAATCCTCTGTGTGCAGAGTCGAGATAGAAATATCAGAACATCGAACCACAAAGCAAAACTAGGATACTAGTACCCAGATAGACAACATGCAGATTCTCATTCCCGCACTTTTGCTTGGAAGGTATACCTTTTATCTTCGCTATAACTCGAAAATTCATTGCTGTATAAACAATTAACTAATTATATCATACTGTGTATAGCTTCGTCCAATTCGGCGCAGCCTCCAACTACGGCAACGTAAAAGCCAAAACGATTGTCCGCACTGAAGTCGTAACCAAATACAAAACCATCAAAGCCATCAAAACCGTAACCTACACCCGAACAATCCAAAGACCACCCGGTCAAAAGGAGTTCGAATCTTATGCCTCCTACAAGGGCCTAACCTGCGTCAAATCCTCAAAAATCACAGAGAAACCCACACCAACAGCGGTCGAACCAGCCTGGGTTAAGAATTGCCCCGCATCCGTCACCCTCACCGCGGTTCCAAAATGCCCTGCGATTAGGTGTATGGCTAATCCTGATTGTCCTGTATATGATCAGGCAATGCCAATCGAATGGGATTGTAGGTGTAAAGATAGAGCACCAACTACTACTCACTGGGTTAAGCCATGCCCTTCGTGCTGCCCACCACCGCCTATTAGGTCTCATGCCGTTTCTTGCCTCGGGAAAATGAGCCACTTGCCAGTCTTCACGGCAGAACCTGAGCCAGTTAAGGGTATCGCAGTTGGTGAACCAAATCCAGCAGCTCCAAAAGAGGATAAGGAGGCTAAGGATGAGGAGCCAAAGGAAGATAAAGAGGAGCCAAAGGAAGATAAGGAGGAGCCAAAGGAAGACAAGGAACCAGAACAGCCAAAGGAAGACGAAGCGGCTGATCAGAAGAAACCAGTTGATGAACCTGCAGCCGATGAAAAAAAAGATGAGGGAGAGGAAGGGCCTAAGGAAGATGCAACTGAAAAGGCAGAAGATTAACTAGACAATACTGAGGACTATGAATGAATGAGTTTAAGAGATCTTGGAGCGAGCCCTGGTCTGTTGACGGCATAAAAACATATTAAATATTTTATACGATTAACGAGAATATGAATTTAGAAGAGGTGCATTTGAACAAGATATATGTATCAAGGTCATAACTATTGTAAATTATTTTTATCAAATAGATTCAATCGATTATCAAAAGGGTCACGGGTATACTGCCTCAATCATTGCTCAAGTTGGAGTACAAAGGCTTACTCCGAAGTCTCTTTAGTTCAAAGCATGCAATAGTTGAGTATTGTATTTTTGGAAGGAAACAAAGCAAAGAGGCAAAAGTATCGCAACCACACTTGTGGAGATAAGTGCGGCTAGGGTTGAATATCAATCAGAATTCAGCAGAATGGCCATCTCCTAGTCCAAATGATAGACCATCAAACTCATATTGAGACTCTTCCCTGGCCGTTCTGGCGGCTTGGCGGGCGTGTTTTTCGGTCCACGAAGCATACTCAATCTCGTTGATGACTGCCTTGCCCAAGAGTTTGTGGAGCCAGATATGAACTCCCTTCAACCCAATCTCATTTTCAGAGCTCAATGCTCCGATATACCCGCGAAAGACATCTGCGAGTTCTTTAGTGGTGACTGCACCCCAGTCACCGTAGTGATGGATGTGCTGCTCCATCCGGTAGCATATGGCGAAATAGTGAGCTTGGTTGTCTGTGAGAAATGATTGTTTGATTTGCTAGGAAAGGGATCATTGTTAGCGAAGGATAAATAGACCAATTGGGTGAAGATGTAGTAGTTTTTACCTCCTGAAGATCATATTCGAGGTCTGCTCCTTTGGAGCCGATGATATCTTCCAAAACTTCGTCCATGATAATGACACCGGTACGAGCATAGGAAGGCTCCTCCAGCTTTGACTTTAAAAAAGCCTTCATAAAACGGCTTCCGCTACTATCATTAAAGACACCGTTTTGGTTTGGAGAATGACCTTCAACCTTGTCTCTCATCTTCTTATCGACCTTCAAGATTTCCCTGAGGACCTTTCTGTTCTTAATGTCTGGCAACGCAGGGAGTTTAACCACTGGTCGCGTTTCAAAAGGCTCCAGATGGCCGATTGGAACATCTAGTGGTACGATATTGTTGGAGTTCATGGTTGCTCCGTCGTTGTTGGGGTTGATGGGCCTGTCTGCGCCGGCTCCGAAGCAGGAAAAGTTATTCATGCAGTCCATGAATTTTCTCATGACAGTAGGAGATGTATGTCGTGGTTCGTTTGTGATGGCAGGCTTTGGAAGTCTATGTCTCTGGATATGGACTGAGAATGAGGTTTCATCAGAGTTTGAGGTATTTTCAGTTTTGATTGTCTTTGGCTTCTTCACGAGGAGGCCTTTGGGAAGAGGATGATGAGGTTCGGTGTAAAGCGAGTGAAGAGACATTTTATTTTATATATAAGGTAATTATGAACGAGAGAAATAGTCCACAATTATGCCCATGACACCGGTACCGTCTTAATGGAAGATCGACAGTTGCGAAGTGGCGATGAAATGGGGATGAATTGGGACGGAGCCGTAGTCTCGTGGTAGTCTTGTGCATGTGGTAGTCTCGTGGGACGTCAGATTTTATATACCTAAATCTGTACTCCAGAAGGCAGTATCTATAGCAACAGCTCACCGGTGTGAGCCGCGTTGTAGCACAAGACTAGCTATGCTTAGGCTATCCCATAATTCTTCTCTGGAGACTAGCCGTTTCACCGATTTATATATATACTTACCTGGGTGCCTTCAAGTTTATAGCTTATATATGGCCGCTAACTCAGTACTTGAGCACTGTAAAACTTAGCCTCGTATTGTGTAAACCCTTTGAAATAAGTGCAATACATCAAATTTGAACATCTGCTTTACTAATGTAGTGGCATATAGATTCTAGAGTCTTACCGTTAGGATAATTGTGAGTAACCCATAGAGTTCCAGCTGCATGACCATACTGTACCATGGATATCTAGCTCTCCCTCTAGGTATCTATTCCCCTGATATATCGCCCTAAACCCGCCTTTATATTCTATTTACTTACATATAGAGATTAAAATCATTTATCCTGAGTTTATAATATTTTGTCGTTCACGAGGCCAACCATTCAGATTAATCTAAAGTCAGAAGCATATTCTTATGACTAATCTCCGCCAGTTTATACAAAAAAAAAGAAGGAAAGAAAATTAGGACTATTTCCATGTTTATTCTCTTCGATAAGCTACCTACACGGTCGATCGATAGCAATTGCGTGGTATTCAACCAGGTACCTGTTGCATTTTGTTCGTCCGCAACACAGTTCATTGTCCCAAATTTTACCGTTGTAACTAGGGAAGGTGTCCAGGTGGGCTTAAATTAGCTGGAAAGGTAAACTTATCTATTGTGTAAGGTTGGTAGTATCTGATAGTAAATATGATTTGTCTGTACATGTATGGTCTGCTTGTATTTCGTTGTATGTATTTTGATCAAATCTTTCCGGAAGCGGTGTTTCAGACTGACTAAATAAATGCCTTGCAGTCTCCTACATGCATATACTAAAGATCAGATTCAACTGTAACTCCGCGGACACGAAAACATGAGCGTCCATCCGAATGCTTAGCGATTAGAATAGAGAATAATTCTGGGTTAGTTGCTCATGTTCCGGGCTTGAAACTTCGTGATTTCGGTTGTGGGCAACCCTCAACATGGAAATTACGGATGGCCTGGAGGATTTCCATATTTCCTGAACCACTGTACTATGAAGGGAAGCACATGCAAGTTTTTAACCTAAGATTTTCTGCATTGTGTCGGATAGGGGTGAAGGGGTGCTAGTAAAAATGTGGTGCTGGTTTACAAATACCTGCCGTGTGGCTACGGGTCACACAACAGACAGCAACTACTTAGGTACTGCTCCGTATAAGTCTTCCCAAATTTCTTTTTCGGTAGTTCCCCGAATCAGATCGATTTATTCGGCAAGAATCTCAAGCGTTAGTGCGACACAGGTTTCGACGGGGAATTTTATGGAAACGTACATGCATGATACACACAACAGCAAAAATGTTTTGGGGGGAAATTGTGTAACACGCTGCAAAACATTTTCGCCCGTGGCGCAGTTCCACCTAGGCCTATGAAAGCTGGTCCCTAGTACTGATGATCATGATGTCTAGCTTCTATGCGAATTCGAATGGTTGATATCATTTAATTGTATATATAATTAGGTATATATATAAGAGGTAGTGTAGTGTATCAGGTATAATACAATTTAACAGGATTAAATCAAGTATAACCAATATCATTTTATAATGTCTTCATACCTCTTAGAGCGCTGGTCGCTCACTTTCTTGTTTCTCCTGGGGGTACTATCAATGGCAACAGCTTCTCCAGTGGGTCCCCGTTCTTGTAAGTTTCACCGTCCGTCCAATGCATGCATAGAGATATCAACGCCGTAGGGTGTGTCTAGTGCACATGCTGTATCTTCAAACGAGAAATACTAAATTACAACGTTACAGGTAAAATAAACCCTGCCGACCTTCCGGACCTCATAGATATAACCATAGACGAAATTTCTGCACATCTTCGCGACGGCTGCTTCTCCTCCTACCAGTTAACAAGCGCTTACATCGCTCGCATACGACAAGTGAATTGCACCTTCCACGCAGTTCAAGAAATAAACCCCGATGCCCTCGACATCGCCAAAGCTCTTGACAGCGAGCGATCTCGCGGCAAGATCAGGGGCCCACTGCACGGCGTTCCTATTCTTTTAAAGGATAACATAGCAACACTTGACAAACTGAATACTACGGCTGGTTCCTACGCCTTGGTGGGGGCAAAGGTCAAAAGAGACAGTACGGTAGCCGCTAAATTGCGCTCCGCTGGTGCAATAGTCCTCGGTAAGGTGGGCTTGTCGCAATGGTCTAATCACCGTTCTAGCAATAGCACCCCAGGCTGGTCTTCCCGTCACGGCCAGATCACTAGTGGATACTATCCAGGGTTGCGTCCTGAAGGTAGTAGTAGCGGTTCCGCTGTAGCTACGGATCTAGGTCTCGCCCTCGGAGCTCTAGGAACTGATACATCAGGCTCGATTGTAACTCCTGCTTGGAGGAACAATTTAGTGGGGATAAGACCTACTATGGGCCTCACATCTCGAGCTCTTGTAATACCCATCTCTGAGCGACAAGATAGTATAGGCCCTATGGCTCGTACTGTTAAGGACACCGCCTATATCCTTTCCGCCATCGCTGGGAAATGTTCAGCAGATAACTACACATCTGCTATACCTTTCGACAAGATTCCAGAATACTGGCGGGATCTGAACAAAGATTCCCTTCGAGGTGCTAAAATCGGCATACCTTCCGCTGTTATAAAAGATATTATGAACAGTACCGATCCTTTCAGAGTGGAGTTTGAAAAGGCAGTGGATATCATCCGCGATCTTGGCGCCACCATACACGAAAATCGAGAATTCACGGATTACGAAGACTACAAAGCTTTTACTCTCAACTTCACGCTATACTCGATCTGCGGGATGGAGTTCAAGACGGGTATTAAGAAATATCTAAACGACCTAGCAGTTAATCCCAATAATATCAAGGACGCCTTTGGTCTTATCAACTACACGCGCTCAGATTCAAGAGAAGAGTACCCTGACCGTAACGTATTTCTCTGGGAAGCCGACACCGAAAAGCTTCCGTGTGAAGATAACACTTGCAAGGTGGCATGGGACCTCACTCAGCTTCGTTATCGTCTTGGTGGCGAAGGTGGTATCTTGGGTGCGCTCGCATCCGCTGGAGGACCTGACGGGCTAGACGCTCTAATCGTACCAGCACACTACGCTCCTGTTGATATTGCTGCAATTGCTGGCTTACCTGTAGTTACAGTGCCATTGGGGTTTCGTTCGAACGATACAGTGGTAGAGAAGGATGAAAGAGGGGTAGTAACAACCGCGCCGAACGAACCGTTTGGGCTCCTATTCATTGGGAAAGCATGGGACGACCAAAAGTTGCTCAATTTCGCCTATGCATTCGAACAGAAGACGCAGGTTAGAAAAAATGGACCGAAGCAATACAAAAGACCTACAGCCCAGATAAAAGATTTTCTGTGAACAGGGCCCAAAGCTGCAAGGAATTTTGGAGCCGAGAAAGTGTCGATTAGTGTAGATATTTTGAATTTAGTTAAGCCTTTGTAAATTTAGTATTTGATACGTCTAAACAAATCTTTCCTAATCAAGCATGATTTGAATATAATGGGAAATACCGATGTTATAGATGCTTTTAACTCAACAGAACTTCTATCAAACTACATGCATGAAATTATTAAACCCAATTCGAACCAAAATGATTCCGAATTGATGATCACGCCCCCTCCATTTAGTCACTAAGGTGACGTCTCAACCCCGGCTTTCGCATCGACTTCTGCGATCTCCTTATCTTCGCCGTGACCCTTCGGTCCCCTGAGCATATTCATAACCCTCCCTTCAGCTGCAACTACATCTCCCCAGCCTTCTAGATACTCCACAAGAGCCTTCTTCAAAGTCTCAACTTCCTCCTCAGTATTCCCATTAGAAAATCTGAACATAACCATGAAGTCCTCCCCTGGTAGCTTCGAAATCTTGAGAAACTCTTCAACAGTCTTCAACTGGGCGACCACAAGTGCCAATTTCCCAGCCTTTTCTCCGCCGTGGAGCGAAGAGAGTCTTTGATCCAAGCTCTTGGGTTTCTCCGAGATCACTTCCTGACTCTTAGTCTCGTCCATCTCGACGACTTCCTCCGTCATGATGTAGTGTGCCAAATACATCTTACTTGGTTCCGGCTCCTGTGGCTTTCCAACCATCCACGGGTCTCTATAAATCTCTGCATCGCACTTCAAGAGCGATAAGATGGTCTTTTTCTCTAGTTCCTCTCCCGCCTTTAATTTCTCAAGAATTGTCGCAATATTCTTCCTGTTTTGAATCTCCACCTTTTCAACATTAAATCTCCTTGCAATCTCTTGTGCCTTCTCTTGCAATTGCTGATAAACCTTCTCCGCTTCTGTAAAACCACTCTCCGCTGCTTCCCACAGTTTTCCCTTCAGCTCTTTCAACGAGGCCGCTCGCTTGGCATACAGTTGTGCAGCTGCTTTCCTTGTCTCAATATCCACCTTTGTGATATCACCGGTCTCTTTCAGTCTTTTAAAGGCCCTCATCACTCGATCCAACCCCCTCTTCCCCTTCCTCTTCGAGTATTCCTCCTTTGGCACCAAAGCAACCATCCTGTCCGCAATGCCCTTTACAACTTCATCCTTCCCTTTGAAATCCCCGAGTAGCAGTTTACTCAAAATTTCCAACGCAACTTCACTCCACTTCAAAACCACGTTCCTCTTCGCAATACGATCTCGAATCTCATCCTGCTTCATCTCATTCATACTCTCTCTCAGTAACTTCGTCACAGGGTCTGTAACTTGCTTCCTCAACAGTCTGGCAACCAACAGCCTCACATTCTTCTTGAACTGTGCTTGCGGCCAGGCTGTGTATGGGAACAATTCGATAATCCTGGCGTAAAGCCAAAATTCTTCTTTGGGTGGTGCCTCTAATGTTGTGGTCTTCGACAACATCTGCCATGCCATACTCATCGGCTGAACGCCTGCTGCCAACATAGTCATCAGATATCCGAATAGGCCCCTCATCATCTTGGTAGTCGTATCAACTTCTTCTCCAAACTTTGCTTCTTTGGGGATACCAGAGCGGGTGGCCGCAAGACTCTTCATAGCATCTGTAAGAGCGTATGCTAGTAGGAAACCAAGATCTTTACTTGCTGGTGGGATTTGAAACTCTCTAGACTGTATGGCTGATGTAACTGTTCCTCTTTGGAGGATTCTGAACATCGAGACGTGATGTAGGTTGCATAGTTCTACCCAGAATTGGCTGTAAGGGTGCTTAATGTTGATGAATTGATCGAAGCAGGCGAAAGCGAAAGCGGAGCCGGATTCGTTCTTTGAGACCCCGTAGGGGAAACTAAGTGCTAGTTCACCTTTGTTCCTAGCCAACGGTCCTACATGGCCATCCTGTGACATTGGGAGAATGATTCCGGAATCTAGGCCGCTGAGATACTGAACTCTGTCATCAAGGCTACAGACATTCGATTCCCTGTTGGTGATTTGCTGTAGATGTGGTAGGAGAGTGGACTCCTTGACTTTGCCAAGCAAGGTCTTGAATTCCTCTTCTTCTACATTGGCGATAACCATTCCTATATCTGAACAGTGTTCTTCGAGAAGAGAAGCAAGACTTTCGTATGTCATATCCTTGCTCGCCGCAACGTTATCGAGAATCTTTTGCTTTCGGATCATCTGTTTGAGATCGTACTTGCGAGTTGAGGAGATACGAGAGGAGACAAGAGCACCTAGGGCATCTATGAGCCATTGAAAGGCGACCTTAGCTTGCTTTTCAGCTCGACGGTACTTCTCCATAAGCTTGGGATCACGGTCTTTCCCTCCCGAGGCAAGGAGATGGTCAATGTACTCTTTCTTGGCAGGAGCAATAAGCTGATCCATCATTCCCTTGAGAGAATTCTGTAATTTGGAAGTGAACGCTGGTAGTTCCTTTGGTGATAAAACAACTTGTGCCTGTGCGAGGGTATCCAAGATATCCGGTTTGAATTGTTCGAGTTCCTCAACCTTCAATGAAGTGAAATTGGTGTATAGGTCATCGGTGGAGCATACAGCGCCTCTGAAGTAAACCTTTGTGTCGCCTTCAATAGAAACAATATTGGTCCACGGCTGTCTTGGAGCATCACTCGGCATATCCAACAGAGCTCGGGCAGATGAAGATACGATGATTTCCTCGATGGCCTCCGTGATGTCTTCGCCAAACTTGGGGATTTCCTCGAAAATGCCAGTCCATCTGATACCTCTATAAAAGTAATATCTGTCGCCGAGCTGAATGACAATTATTGATTGAGGGCCTGCCAGTGAGGTGATGGCATTGACTTTAATGTCATTCAGGATGTCTTCGACTGAGACCGTATTCTGTGATGGTAATGGAGTAGTGGTTTGAACAATGAATAACCCATTACATCGAATATCCGGATTGAGCACACGAGCTTGATCAGTCATACGATCAGAAACTGTCAAGACAACAAGTGGAGCCTTGTCAAAGAGCCGCTTATATTGCGGATAGTTGACCTTTGCACCCTTGAAAGGTTTTCCGAGAGCCAAGATCATGGACCCTTCTAGAGGATTGCCCAATACACATGGAAGGACAACTTTTTTGTCACTGGTATCAACATCAGCCGGCTCCTCAGAGTGAACGGTGATACCCTGGAAGTATGTGATATAGTTCCCACCCTTGCCCTTTGCACATTCTGGGAACTTGCAACCTTCTTCAGTTACGAATAACGGTTTCTCTGTATCAACTTCCACGATCGTTAAATTTTCTATCGCAGTATCGTCTATCTTAGACTTCTTCTTTTCATGCTTCTGAGCTGTTCCCGATTCCTGAGTTCCGGTTTGTGGTGGCGCGGGCGCAGGCGGCTCTCTGGCAATCGCCCGAGTGAGGGTGTCCCCTCCAAGATTTGATCCACTGGCAACCTGATTCGAGGTGACCGCTGTTGGCAAAACTGAATAGCAGACTTTGTCGCCGCGCCTTCTTCCAACAACTGGAACACAGATGGTTGCATCACCAATAGTGGCTTGGTCCAACGGAACAGGCACAACATACATAATCTTCGCATGGTGGTCGCAAATCGTAACAGCTGGGTTCTGTTCCTTGAATCTGTACAAGGCAGTGCTGCTATAGCCGGATACAAATAATGCAAAGGGTTCCTCTTCCATTTCTTCTTTGAATACAATGTGATGGAGAAGAGTTGTGCCTTCATTTATATCGCCGGAGTGTTCGATACCCGGAAGAGAATACTGCGTTCTATTACAGTACAGCACCATAGACCCATCAGCCTTTCCTAGACAGAAGTCGTAGTATGTCGGCATTCGGACAGACAAAACGACAATCGACATCTGCCCCGCCACGAAAGGAACTTCAAGGTAAGGGTTTACGAGTGAAATGATCTGATAATCCTTGAAGGCTTCCAAGGCATTGAACATTTCTATCCTTGTAGTAATGGTTTCAGACAGGGTGTTCAGGTCAGTGGCGGAGAAGAAATAATCTTCACTCTTGTCCGAGATGTTGATGTTCTGGATTTCATCGTTCTCGAGGAGGAAAAGTGACTCGAGGAAAGGGTGAGCCGTGCCATTGGGGTTGGGAAGTGACCGCAAATAATCCGAAACATCCTCTTCCGTTTGAAGGAGAGGATTGAAGACAGTCTTTCTGACTTTGGCGAGCGACATTTTGTATATCTCGGACGTGGGACGAGGGAAATATTGTAGGATGCTCTGAAGCATGAAGCGTCTACTAGCTGCTGGCTACTGCGGGGCTGTGTGTAGTTCGCGTTGTGGCTGTTGGTGTTTTCGAGGACGCACAGCTGCAGTCGATTGACGTCAATACAATGCAATAGGTAAAGGGATTTTCAAACCTCGTCTGGCCTATTAAACGTTTAAACTCGAGATTTTGAGAATTGATCGGTTTCGACGAAATCCAGGCCAGCTAAAGCTGGTTAATATATGATTCTAAACCCTCCAGCTTTCGATTTTCGCGCTGACAGCCGGCTGACTCAAATCAATACGCGCAGACGACCAAAGTGAATTCTCAGGCACAACTCAGGCTTGACTCCACCAAATAATTATAAGCTCGGGCGTGCGCGTGGGCTAACCAAGCAACTACGGGAAAGGGGTAAGCTAGCGTCCAACCTGGCCTGGTTAACTACATAGCGGCTGGTTCTAGGCGTTAACTGGGGCTGACTCAGGTTTAACTGCTTTGCCTGCACTAGCTATATTGATGATTGACCAGCCACAAGCACAGGTGCACGCAGCAACAGGCGGACAAGCTAGAGGATATTGATCGGTTCGACTACCTCATATGCTCATGAAAATATATATTCGAGGACACAATTGGTCTCGTTGATACAATCCAAATAAAATGTTTCCAAGCAGATACTATCGAATCGAAATATGTTTCCGGGGTTAAGTTCAGGTTAACGAGTGCGGTCTTGTAAGTACCAGGCCTGTGAACCGTGCAGCTGTGTGCGCGAGTGACGTTTCGAAGCTCGAGGACGGCGCAGTACTGCTGTGCACAATCCAACAGCAAACGCATTTTGAAACGGGGTTGGAAACCGAAAAATTATGAATGATTGTCATATGTCATGTCATGCCCAACTGACCTAACCACGAACGGTTGTGCTTGATTAGCCAGAAGGTATATAGCTAGGGTACGCGAATGCCTAACTGTAACGGCGGTTGGTATCACGAGGAGCTATATCCAATTAAATATTAAAATCTTGGCCTCACCATGGTGCCATATGGCGAAGAGACTAAGATTTTAGAGGCCAACCAGTTGCCCTGTAAATAGTCAGTTGCTCTGCAAATAGGTTCTAGAGTATGTCCCGAATTCCGAGCTCCGCATGAGTCCAAAGTCTCACTGCCTTATCGATTTCGACGGTAGCTACTAGCTGGATTGTCACATCACCATAGCACTGCGCCATATTACTTTAAATTTGGTTTATAATCATATGTGCCTCTGGCTTTCCCATAGTAATGTTTAATTCACAATCATTTAAACCAATTCTTTACTATATATATCGATATTTATAAAATATCACTACAGTACTAGAGATAACCTATCAACCACAATTCAAGGATTGTTTAAGCCAATTAAATTATAAAAAAGATATAATTTTGCTCCAAGGTCTAAATTACCATGCGACTTCTCTCATTTATTACCGCTGCTAGATTTATCTTCGATCTCCCTTTCGCCGTCACATTCCCAGCTGACGCCGTTGTCCAACCCCTACAATCACTTGAAAAAAGATTGTGGCTCGCAGACCTACCGCCCATAGAACCGGAGCACCCGGGAGGCCTCTATCTTCTACGCGATCAAGGCCAAATCGATCACCTTATGAGATACGGCGACGGGCCCAACTGCCTGTTGGTCCTTTTGGCTTCATCTCGAGCAAACATAGAGGATGAAGAAAGATGGATAGGATGGCCGCTCGGCAATGATACCTATCGATACAACGGGGAAAACAAATGTCAAAACTTCAAGGATCTACACAAGTCGCTTCCAAATCAAGTTTCCAGCTACTCAGTCACCGGGTACTGCGAGTGCGAGTTTTTTGATGATGAAAATTGCCAAAATACTAAATTCAGGGCTTTTAATCGCGCAGACGATACCCTCAAAGAACACGGAAATAACGACCTCCTCGAGAGTTATAAATGTTGGAAAGAAATGCATATAAGCAATAGTGTAACCTGTTTCGTATTCTATGGACCACAGGGCCTTCGAGGCCGACTGGCGGAGAAAATAAACAAGTCGCACCTGGATGGTGCTGATATCAGTGGAATTGAGGACGGTTATGCCATGGCAACTCTTCCGAATAGCAAAATGTTTGTTGATGGCCCGGGGAGTGCGCTTAAATGCTACAGGATGGAACCGAATATTCTAGTTGAGAGTATCGTTGTTAGGGGATGCTCTTGCGTGTTCTATCTTGATGATAACTGTTCTATGCCGCTTTCTACTTCATTCACGGGAAAATATGGCATTGGAAACGCTGGTTGGGATAGCAAGGCCGTGGTTGGCGATCTTGACAAAGCTAGCTTCAATTCGCTACGGTCTTTTACCTGTGCACCCCCCTATGGTATTAACTGGCACCCTAGATATGGAAATTTACCAAATTAAGCACGCCAGTTTGATTCTCATGCTTCTAGGTAATTGATGGATTAAGATTTGCTATCGTAACTAGCTCTTGTGCAGTGCAGCCCGCACCCGGCAAACTAAGAACTCGACTACGTAGCTATAGCTTATTTTAGCAAAGTAACTAAATGTATGTATTCAAGCAATTATTTAATGCTTATACTCGATTAGGGTCCGTAATAAATGGGCTTTGTACTATAGATGAATGATATATTCAAACATACTAAGTATAACTATTATAATATTACGTATAATTAGAATCTTAATTGAACTGCGTATTACGGGGCGTCACTTACTGAGGATTTGCCGGTTCTCCAGTACGATAATCATAATACAAGCTTTATAAACCCTTTTAGAAGCTAGCTGACCACCGGTATTAATTGCCGTTTTAACGGAACCGGTTTCTGTTATGCATCGTTTAGATGCATATATGATACGCACTCATGTGGATATAAGAATTGACCAGCCGTTCACGCCGTGTAACACTCCAAAGTTTGCCTCAAATAGGTCGTAAATCAGCCGTATATGATTGTAATATATAGATACTTTAGCTCTAGGGCTATAAGGTAAGGGCCCGGAACAAGTCGGCCGAAGAGACAGGACCCAGACCTTGGATCACAGGGACGTCAACCATCAATGTAACTGCACCCGCGAAGGCCAAAGGCACTCAAAATACCAGCCACATCTCAGAAGCTTAGGTACGTACCAAGACGGAGGGCGACCGTAATTAGCATGATGCATATGCAGGGCGCTGTACACTTAACAGGGATCAAAAAACACCACCCTCCCGCTCCCGGCCCACAATTTTCGTCACCATGAATAATTCTCTTGAAAGAACGTCAACGCTCGCTGTCAGCTTTTCGCTAAGCTTTTCTATGTACGGAGGACGGCTTTTCGATACATCTTGATTCTGTTACTGATTTATTGACGCCTGCATATAAAAACTTTCAAACTCCTACAATTCACGGAAGACCGGTATCACCAGGCGGGATCCATCTAGCTAAGGCGGTTAGACACTTTATAACAACAGGAGCTACTAGTCCCTAAATATACGTAATATCTTCGAATTTGCACTTCCGTCTCCCCGGCCTTACTTGAACAGGGAAATCCATCCGATAATCTGTCGTGCATAAGAGTTGAAAATCGATCTCCATAGTTGGTTGAATAATAAGATTTCCTACACGGGACGGAGGCTTAAAATCTAAGCGAGAGATCCGTTAGACGGTTAATTGGCAAAAAGAATTACAACGTTCTCCATGATCACTCGCAATCGGGGAGCCGCTGAAAATGTGCGATGATGGTCATGCCATCAGACCAACCTGGTCGGTGGGGCCAGGTAGACTAGTACTGTATACGTATAGGGTAAGAAAGGTATTAGGATCAGAAGTACCGAAGAATTTACGTACGCATGACGAGCTCTTGGTGGACATGGTCCAAGCTGGTCCCGCGGGCCCGAATTCGTTTTGATACGTATTGCTATATTTTATTTTTCTGCTTCGCAGTCTACATAAAAAGCGGCCATTTCTGCTCCTCTTGCTTTGATCTGTCACTTTTCAAGTCGAGTTAGAAGGACATCCTGCATTTTTAATATTGCATATTGGTTGCGATTTCCAACCAATATATATAAACAATTCTTTGATTCTACAACTTGACGTAGCTAGGAAGCCACGTGAGGTTAGGTTATCAATCAAAAATGCGGTTCACACCATTTCTCCTTCTCATAGGAGCAGCAAGCGCTGCTGTTCCATCTGTATTAATTAAGACATGTAATGGGAACAATTGCTTGAGAGGTAAGGTTGCTGTTGGCAGAAAGATCTGAATTTATCATATTCGGGCCTCGAACCTCTTCTAGGTCTGGGTACGAGACAACCTCGAACTTTTAACTAATATTTCTTGGTGAATTTAGCAATAGCAGCCACAGCACCAGTCCATCTCACCAGGAGACAATCAGAGGATTGTTCGTCGTTTTTTAAAAGTTACAGGTACTTAACTTTAGTTCCTTGCGTCATCTATGCCTCTGGGCGTTCATATGAGCAACATTTAGATTTATAAATTTATATAAGAAGCTTGTTATATTAACTTTTAAACTTGAACGTAATAGTACATCTACTACCACAGAGAAAATAACCCATACACCAAGGCCCGAAACAGTTACAAAAATCACCGGTTTTGACGCAATAGGGATTGAACGCTGCCCACCGACACCGGCATCGACACCTCCTGTCCCAACGTTCCCCAATTATGTAGTCTCAGGATGTACTGGAAGCGCTCAAAGCGTCGTCGTTTCTCGGTTTTCATCCGCCTGCTCCTGTATTGGTGTCCGAGAGACTGCCCCAGTTGTCACTGTTACACAAACAGTCGAAGAGACTACCACTGCTGCCGGTATTGAAACCGCTGTTGCGACCGCCTTCCATATCAAAGTCCGCGGCAAAACACCGCCCCTCTATCTTCATATTCTCACAATTGATGGAGATCAGTATGGAACTGCCTTCACTGAGAACATAGCCGATGCTGTTGAGTTCTCCCAGCACGCCGAAGGTGGACTTAGCAGCAAATATGGACAAGTGGCACCTTATTTTGCAGACCCAGACCTCCCGATTGGAGGAGTATATTATGGGGACCCGAACGATCCAATCTTTTACGTTGATATCGAGTCTCTTACCTTTAACCTGGAAAACTGGGAATCAGGTGACAGACTCCCCGGGCAGACTGGCTTTGAGACCTTCGCGATATCACCCCCACTGGTAGAAGCAGGCTTCCCGCCCCTACTACTTGCTGGCAAAAAGGGAATTGATTGGGCCCCATATGTGGAGGATGGGTTCGAAGTCATCCAACTTCAGGCAGTGCCGATCGCCCCTCAGTGCTAAGAACAACATTTGAGGGGTTTAGAGGACACCGATTGCTGAGCTATGGGATTATCCTAAATATTCCCGTATGGTAACTCTATTACAAAGCTTCGGCCAGCTTGTGCACATGTGGGATGCCAAGCTGGAGGGTATTTCCCCACTCTTTAATATTAGCAACCCATATATTGATGTATCTAAACTATTTCATAATGCACTAATCTAGTCAGATCAGTTAATGACCAATGTGTTACGCTCAATTCTCCTTCCTCTAGCTCTATCATTTAAATTGACTTGCAGTAAGTTAACTAATTGGTAGGTATTCAAGTAACTAGTAATTCATATTTGGTCGCTGCATTTACTATTTCGAATTTCACGGTTAATGGGTTAGCCGTAGCCCAGGGTTTCCATGAATACTAGGAACCCTAGGTCACAAAATATAAGAGAGATACAGTTGCCGTGAAGTCGAGAATATTTTATGTGAGCAACCTTCGAAATTTCGTCAGGTAAACACAGTCGTCGAGCCTAACCATATCATCAACTAGTGACCTAGAAACGTGTTTTTTATAGTATTTGGATATTTTTTAGACGTATATGCATCTTTTACAGAATCAAAGAATATACAATTAGTTTTTCTTCTCATGTTGGAAAACCTGGACACGGCGGCCATGGAAATACAGATCCAAGATTTAAATACAATCAGCGACATTTCATTGTAGCGCAGTATCGTAGTCAATCAAATAAATATTTCTTTTTAAAGTTTTTCTAGGGAGTTCAACGGGCACACTCACCACCTTTCCTACCGAAGCCTTTAATATTGGTAGTGAAATTTCTGTTTTCACTACTCAGATTCCCAGTCCTACAACTGAAGTCCTGTCTCTTGCAGCTGGGTTTCCCTCCCTTACAAGTTAAGTCTCTCACAGAACTAGCTAGCGAGTTTCCGACTATTAATATATCGATATTTCGACAATTTATTCTCAGGATTCTATGGCTCGTAGTGTGATACCTATCGCTCCTAGTGAAGTTTCAAACACTACTACCATGATTCCTACTACTACTAGTGAAGTTTAGCCGCAATATCCAATACGCATATAGATAGATTTTAGGCAGGTATCGGGTTCTACATCTAGATATATATATCTTGGAACGGTGGATTGGATTAGGTTTTCGTTGCGTTTTCCCGTTCTTGCGTCGACTCCTGCAGCTCATTGTCAGCTGCCCCAGCGCCCCAGTTTTCACCCGAGTATTATATTGGCTAGTCAGGAACAAGTTCAATACATTTTTTTGTTTTATATAGCCTCATTTATTGTCAGTACCATCATACCAAGCGAACTGACTTTTCAACTTTTCCACCCAAAATCCAAATGAGTTGTTTTTGTTGTACTTTTAACCATCTATTGTCGGCTGTCGGTGTCACACGGACCCTTGCGAAAACCGCAGCTTCAAATCCCAGTCAATAAGTCGGCAGGGTGCAATCTCGATAGGCTATCACAAGCTCAAGATGTAGAAGATTCGCTGTGGGGCTGCTGCAGCCAAGTTAGCTTAAGTCTCTAGGCAGCTATCAAGCTCTGCCACCCCGCATTCCAAACGGGTGGACCACTAGCTTGGTTTGAACTCGAACGATTCGATTCGATTCAATTCCGCAGAAACAATTATGATATCACCGGACCTGGGTGTATAAATCGGCAGCCTGGCTTCCTGTTGGTAGCACAACATATGCCGAATGATTCATAGCAAGTTGTGATCATTTAACCGCCGCGCTGGCGTGCTAATACATGGAATTTGAATGTATCGCCGGCACAGCCGCATTGAATTTGGGTTCGATGTTACGTTTCCAGGCCAAATATGGTCGGCATGTCGGCAGGAAAAGGTTCGCACATATGGTACCCACATGGCCACAAGGACTTGGTCTCAAAAAGCTTATGATCCACTCTGAAGAGCCTCCAACTACCGTTTCCTATAAAGCCAATTTGGTTTCCGGGTTTTAATCTGGTTTTGAAACTAAGAAGCTTAAACTGTGCCGCCAAAATCCAGTGCTTCGAGTGGCCCAGTACACATCCTCCAAGCCAACATGGCCGACTCTGCCCCCCACCCACTCGCAAGCCCAAGTTCATACTCAGACAGTGAACGCTACTTCATTTCCTCAGGCAAAAAATTATCCTTCCAACCCATTCCAACGTCTATTTACCGCCTCGCCCAAACAACCGAGTCCATCAAAACCAAAGGCACGCTTTGGCAACTGAACCCATCGGCGTCGGATGACCCCTCTACCACAGGAAATACGTTCGACGTTGTATCCAACCTCCCTCTGTTCGCTGCGCGCTATGACAACCCGTTAGTTTCAGGAAATGATTCAAAAACTATCTACTGGGAATTTGAAATCACGAGTTTGGGGTACTCTGGCACTCCGGCGGGGTTGGCATTCGGCTTCGTTGTAAAAGACGCTGGGTCGGAGGCTATAGCTTCTAACAGCGGTGGAAGCCTTCGCCCATATGACCAAGCTGCTGCGCCAAAGTCTCTTTCTGGGCCTAGTATTCTCTGGAACTCTGTAGATGGTGGGGTATATGAAAATGGAACAAAGGTCCCAGATTCCGAATTTCAGGCAAAAGTGGGGGATATAGTAGGAATCGGAGTAACCTTCCAGTTCGACCCTAGTATTCCTATGATCCCAACTAGAGATGTGAACGACAATCCAAACGCCAAGGCCGGAAAGTTCTCGAAGTCGTTAGATACCAAGGGAAATAAAACAACCAGAGTTGCAGAAGTGAAGGATCTTGTGCCAGTTCCAACAAGAGTGTTTGTCACTATTAACGGCGAAGAGAGAAGAATTGAAGGAGACGTGGCGAGGGCATTTGTTTCCGGTGTTGCCGATGTCTTCCCAGTGTTAATGGTATTTGGACCTGGCGTGGGTGGGAAAGTTAAAATTGGTGAAGCCGTAAACTTTGGTGGCGAGGGAGGATTGGCAGATGCGCAGTTAGCAGCGAAGGGTAACAGTGCTCATGCTGGGGTAAAATTTTCCCTATATATATTTGGAGTTACTTTTCATATTGCTAACAGTTTGCTTTCCAATAGCATAAAAAATCAAGGTTTTCGAAGGTATTCAAAATACCTGCCGATGCTTGGTTTGGTGGCATTGGATCCGGAATGGGAACTAGTAGTGGCTAGGTGGAATTTATTCATTGCCAGCTAGGCTGCGATCGTTATACGTCCTATAAGCGATTTTTTTTTTCGGTAACCAGGCTGCAGGAATACTGGTTAACGTTAGGCTTCCTTATGTCAGCTCTTCGTGTTTGTGGTATCGGTTTCTTTTTGAACAGGAGAGAAGTTATAATTAGCACAATCAAGTCGGAATGACGAAATCATAATTCAATCGATCAATTTTTTTAATTTTCCCTCGTATGCGTATTATGAAGACCAATATGTGACTAAGTTAAAGGTCGACGTTTGTCTCTAATGATAGGCCAATAGAGTAATTCTCTCGATTAACGAAATAATCTAGCTGGTGATAGGTTGACCGCTCCATGGATCCATGGTACTACCCTAAAAGTATAATAGGCTTCGCCACTTAACCAAACCGCACATGTATAAATAAAATCACGGTTTGGATGAAGCGATCAATCAACCCACCCATGGTCAAGGGCTTTAGGACTAGGCCCTAGAACCAAGTGGCGTGTGAAAACATTTTGGATTTGGGCACAGGCAGCTGATTAATAGCGTTCCGAACTGCAAGCCACTCAGCTATCCTTCGGATTTGATGTACTCCGATGTAGTGTTCACCTGGGCTGGACGAAAAGCGGATCAGGAAAGACCAAACCTTTCCGTACGGATGCCACTTAGGGTCACAAATCATTGTGGGTTCGTCAGGACTACGGGAAGGCCCTGCGTAGGCCCTCAGATGACGTCGCATATTCTGTCAAGTCCCAGGGGTTAATGTTAGCCTCTTCCCGTACCCTTCGATAGCAGAATATAAATAGCTCGCGGCAATACCATTGGGAAGTTTTTATTCTAACCTTCAACATCCCGTCCATAACCTCTGCGGCAGTCCTCCCCCATACCGCCCAATAATGACTCATCCACTCGAAGTCTGCAATCTCGTATGTTTTTTCTTTAATCTTGAAGTCGCCGTGGATACGATTTCCGTCCCAGTCGTTCGAAGCCCTATTGAGGGTCTTGGCGGACCAATTTTTGGTGAGGTCCTCAACTCGGTATTCAAGGATTGGCTTTATTAAATCTCGGAGCCACTTCAACACGACTCCCTTCCCGCGAGTCATTTCGACAGCTCCAATATAGGCATAGAAAGTATCTGGGAGATACCGTTTAATCTCGACGCTGGTGAGAGTGGGGTTATGACGGCGCATACGACTGTCGAAATCGTAGAGGGTTGCGAAGTAACTAGTTTGGTCGGTATTCATCAAGTTCTCTATCAAGATCTAAAAAATAGTATTAAGATTTGTCAATGCGATGGGTCATTTGATATAGACGCGTACCTCTTCGTAGTAGTGATTGAATTCCCTTCGGACTACCATTCCATAGTTGTTATAAAGGGTGGTTTGAATCATCCACTCGTAAAGCTCATCACCCCAAGCTTGAAGTTGGTGTCGGTCTTGGCCTTCCATATGAAAATCATAAAGGCGGAAGACACGAAGGTACATGTCTTGGTTAGTAATTAGAGGGAGAGGGGGGAGAACCTGGGGAGTTGGGAGGCGAAAGATGGGGTCGGCCCGAGCATCGTACGGAAGGTTGGTGGGTGTAAAGAGATGAAGGGGATGATATTTCGGGTCCCCTGGAGGTGGCAACGAATAGATCCCAGGGTTAGAGAGAATAGTCTCTCTATTTGTAGACATGGTTGCTTTCGATCAGACTCCGGTATGGTTGGGGACGGCCGGGAGGAACGAAAGTTTCGTGACCGAGATCTAGATATAGAGAGAGAGGTTGTTTTGCTGCATTCGAGGATAGCCCAATGAGAAGAAATAATCCTATAGAGGCCTCATTATATATCCTAACTAAAAATTATTTCACATAAAAGCGTTTTAAAATACTCTTTCCATCTCAGCTAGGCTCGGCTCTCCTGCTGGTCTGCTCTGGTGCAGAGGAGCCTCCACTGATCTAAGCTAGTTTCGATATACCAATGTGAAATATACCTCGACAATTCGATTACATACTGATATGATCAAACCATACTACTACATGGCACTCGAGTACTTTAAGGATAATTTACTTTACTCCACCTAAAGAAAGATAATCAAAGACACTCGAACTAGAATACACCGCGAGAGTGAAGGCCTTTAAATTAGAGACTGACAAAATGCAACAGCCTAATGTGTTGCGAAGATGTCGGCGCCGGATCCAAAAATTGATGTTACACAGTCACATTACCATCGGCCCGACCAGCCCAGACCCTCCGAATAATCGCGATAGCTTTAAGCTTTCTTTCCGACAAAAGCTTCAAAAGTTATCTGGTTTGATGTTAGCCTGAGCATCGTACGATGTCCCTTTTCCCCTGCAGCGAGCTTAAATTTGCGTTGCGTCGGGCCGAACGAACACCGAATCACAGGCTGTGATTGGCTGGCAGAGCGAAAAGTGGCCTGTCGAGATGGCCTGGTTCGAGGTTCCTGCGTCCCAAAACTTTTTCAGTGCGCCAAATCACAAGCTTGTGATTGCAAAGAACAGACCAGTTCAATTCGCTATCAGCTTAGGGTCCCTCGTTATAAGTCAGAAATTTCCTGCAATTCTCTTCGATATTTCGCTCTTTACGATACAAAGTAATTATATATAGCTCGGGCTGCTCCACGGTCTTTGTTTTGGAACCCCTTAGCCAACGAGTCTAGCTCCAACGCTACCAAGCCGTCCCTCGCCTCCTTACACAATCCCGGATCCGAATACGTAAACTACCACAAGACTAAGATCGTTCAACATGGTCGGCACTCCAGAGCTACGAAATCTACCTCCTCCACCATTGCCGAAGCGGTCTTTCGATGTCGCTATCATTGGCGCTGGAATCGTGGGGTGCACCCTTGCTGTCGCGCTAGGCAAGCAGGGTCGCGATGTTCTGCTGCTTGAACGGGACCTTTCGGAACCAAACAGGATTGTCGGAGAGCTGCTGCAGCCGGGCGGTGTGAGGGCTTTGCAGCAATTGGGAATGGAGGGTGAGTACCAGACCATCAATTGGTGGACCTGATTATTTGTTTGAGCTTGAAACTGATTCGCAATTTGAACGATAGACTGCTTGGAGGGATTCGACGCCGTAGCCTGCCATGGGTACCAGGTCCGGTACCATGATGAACCTGTGCACATTCCATATGCTATCGATGAAGATGGCAAGAGACCTGAAGGGAGGTCCTTTCATCACGGGAGATTCATTCAGAAACTCAGATCAGCAGCTAAGGCGACGCCAAAGTACGTTATTGAGCTTCGTTCCGTTATCTATCAATCGGGCCCACTTGTTAACCATTGATGGATAGTGTGACAATTGTCGAGGCTACAGTATCAAAAAACTTGATTAAGAATGGTGCTTCTGGCCATGTCATTGGTATCCGTTGTACCCCTCGGAACACGAAGGCGGAGATTTGTGTAAGTTGGAGATATCTCCATTGTGCCATTATCATACTAACAGTTTGCATAGTATTTTGCTGCCATTACAGTCGCTGCCGATGGCTGCAAATCCAATATTAGATCCGATTTTATCCCTCGTCAGGTTCAGGTCAAGTCCCATTTCTTCGGGCTAGAGATGATCGATACGAAAATGCCACTTAAACATCACGGAATAGTCGTTCTTTCGAATCGGGCTCCAGTCCTCATATACCAAATCGGTACACATGAAACACGAGTCTTGGTAGACATCCAGGGCAAACCACCGTCCCAAACAGATGGTAGCCTTAAGTCATATATGATGAGCGCGGTTCTGCCTACACTGCCCGAAGAGGTCAGGCCGTCATTCCGGAAAGCTGTTGAAGACTCCAAGTCTATTCGGTCGATGCCAAATTCGTTTTTACCACCAACCATGAATAAGACCCCCGGTTTGATACTAGTTGGGGACTCAATGAACATGCGACATCCATTGACTGGAGGTGGCATGACTGTGGCATTTAACGACGTGGTGCTACTCCGTGATTTGCTAGCAGACGTCGAGGACTTGAACGACTCTGATCTTGTCCTTGATAAGCTGGCGGAGTTCCACTGGAGGCGAAGAGGCCTTACAAGTGTAGTGAATATTCTGGCACAGGCTCTTTACAGCTTGTTTGCTGCAGATGGTGAGTTTGTATTACCGGCCCCTATGATTCGGGCACAGGCTAAAGAAAGAACAGACGAAAATCTAAAGGTTCTCCAAAAGGGCTGCTTTGCCTACTTCCAGATGCAAGGTATTTGCATCGACCATCCCGTTGGACTTCTCTCTGGGTAAGTGTCATATTCGATCCCATCCGGAACTTAAAATTGCTAATTGGGTATGTTGTGTAGTATGCTGCGTCGACCTCTCGTCCTTTACAGTCATTTCTTCGCCGTGGCCTTTTATTCCATCTGGATAATGTTCAAGACGACAAACCCACTCCTTTGGCCGATTTGCTTCCTTAGAAGTTTCATGGTATTCTACACTGCCTGTGTAGTCATCCTGCCCTACATCTGGGCTGAGCAGCAATGCTAAACGCCGCGACAGATCGACTTCTCAATGCATATACCCTTTTAATTACCCTTTTCTGTACTATAGACTTACCCTTTTCGATTTCTTCTTGACACGATCCAAGCTGCGCACTAGAGTCTTTTCAGCGGGGTGTTAAGCGTTACGTTTGGTGTTTTGGGGGAGAGCTGGGCTGCATTTCAGCCGACATGTCTATGATAGAGGACATCGTTACGAATCTACGGGTGGCTTTGAGACTACGAGTAGAGATATGATACGAAATACTAATTTATAATTGTGTAAACTGTCATGCTACAAAGTAATCTTAATATCGTATGCATATGTGGAAGTAGACACCTGTCGTGAGCAGCCTGTTCGGCTCCCGGGCCACCCGGATCATTGTCGCTTATCTCGCCCAGCCTAAAACATGTCCATATGCAGTTTCGCCCCCACGACCCTTCCAACCTTCCACGTCGTCCAATCCTCCTTTCTCTTCCACCACCACCACGAAAATCCTCCCGAGCCCTGTATCATGACGTCCTGCTTTTCCTTCGAACTACCCCTGTCTTTCCTTTGCTATCCCCGTTGAAGCCCCCCCGCATCCTGTCGTTATCTTTAGTCGTTATCTATCTTTTAGCTGCAGCGCGAGCCGGCCCTTGTAAGCTCTATTTAAAATACTCGACCCGACCCGACCCTTCCATGATGCGTACCACCATAATGTCTCGCGAGAGCAGCCCTCTCCTTGACAGCGGCGGTATCCGCCAGCGGTTCCGACATCAGAATCCTGAACCTAGCGAACCGGTGACATTGCCGTTTAACAATTCTGGTGCGCAATATGATCATCTGCCGGTTTACTATACTATTCATCGGTACCGTCTGGAACTCCTTAGCGCTATGTCGATGCTCTTAGTACTGACTAGTCCTCGTGCTTCGTTAATATAGCATTCGGAATGAAGTCACAAATCTTATCGGTATGGACGGTTCAGCTCTGGGTGTTTGGATGCAGGCATTCATTATGGGTACTAATAGGGGACTTTTAATAGATGATCCGTATAGTTTGAAGCAACTTAGGGATCCTCGCATGAACCAATCTCTCATCCGACCGCTCGTCGACAAATACTATGAGATGAAAGATATCTCCGTAGGCACGGCTATTCTTCCCTGCCCGATCACTTCAGAAACACTAATATCGTTCTACAAATTTTAGTTTTTTGCCTTCTCGTCAATCGCATGCAATTTCAATCCGAACAATCGCAACAATTACACGAGCAATCCGTAAACCTAACCCGTTCTATCCTCTGCGAACTCGTCGCAACTCGTATTCTTCGACGATTTTACGAAGATAGCTCAGGTCCTGAAGGCCTCCTTCTCCTTGCAAATGTCCTTGTCGCTGGTTTTAGTGTTTTCCAGGGGGCGCCAGAAAATATCCAACAAGCGAACTTGCCCAGGAACCACTGGACTGTCACATACAAAAGCAGACATCCGGCACTGGAAATAGCGATCGTATCACAAAGCAAGCTCTTTCTGAGCTCGGGTGCTTGCCAATTAGTCGTCAATGCTATCTACATTGGCCGAATTGTGTACACTCCGACTACTTTTGTTGACATTATCCCTGACAACTACAAATATCGCCCAATCTCGCTCTATGATCCTAGAAAGGCACCGTTCTTAAATCAGTACCGTCTGATGGTCCCTCGGACAAGGAATACGATTGAGATATGTCAGTTTATCTGCTTGCTATGTCTCTACCTTTGGATTATGATCCAACGCCCACCACCACACAAGTATCCACTTCAAGAGATAGTATTCTCGGTGTATGCTTGTGGATGGATACTCGAGCAGTTCTCTACTATCCTTGAGCATGGTTGGTTTGTTTATACGCAAAATCTATGGTCTTTTCTCGAGTACGTTCGAATCTCTTCCATTCTCCCTCTCCTTCGTCCACCATAAGCTAATACAGTGGACGTAATCAACAGTGTCACATTCTCTCTTATATTTGGGATTTACGGTATCCTCCGGCTTCATGGCCTGCGAACTGAGTCTCCCGTCCCCGGCCAACAAGCTCTCGATGTTCTCGCCATGGCAGCGACAATTCTAATACCACGTTTGGCCTTCAACTTAATGTCCGAAAATATGTTATTCGTCTCTCTACGTGCCATGATGTCCGACTTCATGATGCTCACGGTCCTGGCTGTATGGTGTTTCATCGGCTTCCTTTTATCCATGCTCTGGCTAGGAGAAGGGAAACATCACATGGCTACAATTTCCAAATGGATGTTGTGGGTCTGGTTTGGTCTCGACGGCACTGGTATCGGAAGATCGGTTGAATTTCACTGGCTTTTGGGACCCATATTGATGGTTACCTTTGCATTCCTCGGATATCTATTCCTGGTTATCTTGGTCTCAATGTTGTCGAATACGTTCTCAGGATTACACTCAGATGTCGATTCGGAAATCCAATTTCGACGAGCAGTGTTAACATTAGAGGGAGTCAAGAGCGATGCCATTTTCAGTTACCTACCGCCCCTCAACATATTCGCCATTGTGTTCTTAGTACCCCTAAGATTTGTAGTCACGGAACGATGGTTCCATAAGATCAACGTGGCGATCATTAGGACCTTGAATTTGCCCATTTTGGTGCTCGTCGCACTCATAGAAAGGCAAGCTTGGTGGGCACCTAGGAAGAAAGGAAAACTTCCGCCAGGACTTAAAGCGAGGGGGGGCAAGGGGCGACCAGGGATGGGTAATCGGGCGATCAGTGTGCCAGGGTTTAATGCGCATGGGAATATTCAAGCGGTATTTAGAGCCGAATATGAACGAATCAAGCAGGAAGAAATGGATGCGGAAGTTGGAGAAGTGCCCCCTGAGGTTCTAAACGGAGATGATGTGGAGAGCTTTATGATGGGAGCTGGAGGTCGAAGCTCGGATAGAAGAACGAGCAGGGATATGATGAGGAGGCTGACGAGGAGGGATAGTAGTATGCCTCTCGGGGAGGTAGCGGACCAGTTGAGAGCACTGTTAAGTACGGCAGATGGAGAAAGTGAGACGGGTGGAGGGGTCGGGCAGAGGATCCATGCGCTTGAAGACCGGCTGAAGAATATCGAGGAGATGTTGGAGACATTAGTTCGAGGAAAGGAAAAGAAGAAGGTTGAAGAGGAAGCTATAGAAGATGCGGATGAATGACTAGATGATTGGTAAGCGGGGTATGCTAAATTTATACGGACCATTTGGCTGTGGTTGTGGTTGGCGTCTATTTAGAAGTCGGATAAGGGCCCAATTGGCTTTAGGGAACTACTATTCAAAAACGTACTAAGGCATCATTGGAGGTACGGAAATCGTGCATGGGTAGCACAAATTAGATCCTGAGGGATATAGATATCGGTATTTAGGTAATTAGAGAAGCGTTTCACAAACATACTACACTCATCTTTTTTTGAAATACAGTTCTGGGTTCTACAATTGCTGGATAATATATTCTTTGAGCATACAATTAATACTTTCATTGTACCATATTCCCCGATAACCGCTTAATTAAGTAACTACTTAGGTAATTCTAGGCAATGGGCATCTGGCTTGGCTGTTATATATATGCCCATCCTCACTAAAATCTTTCACGACAAGATGTTGAAGGCTCACCCGCGAACGTGCATGTGTCTAAAACCAAGTCCGAGAGACGATCAAACCAGGCACTTCCTTCCCAAGCACCAAGCACCAAACCCTAGCTCTTCTATGCAGCCCTCAACTGAAAGCTCCATCCCAATACATAAAGCAAACATATTATAAACCCGTACAGCTAGAAGGGGTCATCGCGCCCTAGCTAGCTTTACCACCAGCCAATACCGCACTGAAGCTCTGCAGATAGACTAGGGGATTTGGTATTCTGGTACCAAATATAATTCGGCCTAATCCCGCCGTCTGTAATATCAGCATGCGGTTTAAAAGTGAGCGCCTGGTACGTATGTTCTTCTCCATAGCCCGGAACGTTCGTTGAAAAAGAGATTCTCCAGGTACCGAATCCTTGCATCAGCGACATACGGATCAATCGCTCTTTCGTTGTCGAGCTCGTTTCGACGCTAGCTTCAGAAAGAGTAAAGCTAGTTTTTATTTGATCTTTGCAGGTGCCATTAAATCGAGAGCTAATCTTAATTTTATCATCAAGACCGCCGAAGGAGATTTCTAGGTAACGACTCTTGCTAGGAGAGTCTATACTTGAATCTATGTCGTTTTTGTGTGCAAAGATGATGCTCGTGGCGTCCTTGGAGGGCTTCCAGAAAGTCTGGATATCAAGCGAAGCTGCCAGATTTTCGAGATTGATTTTTCTAAATTGACCTCTGGAAACAGTGAATGCGGTATCGATGGACTGACGTTTCTCAAGTTGATCGGTTGTGTCTGATGCCGGTGATGGGGCCGCGTAGGCCTGGGTGGCAACAAGCGCGGCGAAGAAGATGGTCTTTAAATTGAAGGAAACCATTTTTTAAAATTTCCACAAGATCAATGAGTAAGCTTGTTATGGTGCTAAATAGTAACCATATATGCCTTGAGAAGCTTCTATAGGGCGACTGTCAGAAGTGAAGTATCATAAAGGGATAATACCCATGGTTTTATATCACTTAGTTCGCCAGGGTTGTTGTGATCTCGTAATTTAATTAACAGTCGTCATCCAACGACCTCAACCCTTTTTCAACGTTTAACTGCCCGAAATTACGAAAAATAGACCTATGGGCGCAGGTATTAGATCTCAATACGGCAAAACCCCTTTGCTTGAACTAGAAGCTGTAACCAAGTAGTGCCCTTTTTCGGTGGCAATATTGGAGCTAAGGACCGTCCTGAACCGGAATATTATCAACAAACGGAAAGATCTGGACAGCTAAAACATCTTGGATCTAAGATTCTACAAATCACACTATGAAGTTTTAAACAACCATTATAGCGGAACGTGAGCTATTGCAGATGCGGAGGTGAAACCATGGATGATCATTATCGATATCGATCTCAGTCGATCTACCGGACCCCGACGGTTCGAGGGTCCGAATGATAAATTCTTAAACATCGCGAGTAAAAAATCTCCAATCACTTACCTCTTTATGATATTTGTTATTAAAATCCAGTTTTTCAATCGTTTTAAGACTTCATTAGATGACTATATCTATGCCGCGATAAGGTATATATAATGATTAGTGGGCGCTATAGCTAGATGCCTAATTACGAATCTACCAAACAGTCTCGGAAACTCCTCAAGTATTTACGCCAATTCTACACTATAAACGGCACGGTAAAACATCTGCGCATTCTTGGAGCTCGAAAACTTTCACTGAAAAGACTTTTTTAGTAAGAAAACTTTCACGATATGTTTCGGCGTTTTCAATACGTGTGTACATGAAGCGTTCTTTAATAATTCATGTAGAGGCTATTAAAGCGATGAAAAATTATGTGCGATGTGTAAGTAAGGATTTACAACCCAGCTAGAGCTCTAGCGCGAGTCAAAAGATACAACCAGCGGGCTTGGTAACTACATTATCTCTGGGAAGAGCCCTGAGTTTATAATTATTATGTAAGTAAATAAAGCTACCACCTCAATGCTATTCCATAATTTTGCGTCGGGTTCACTATCATCTTCACCCAAGACTTAGGAGGAGATCCATCGATGAAACGTGATTTGTGGTATTGAAGAACATTGATTGCGGTTTGGTGGCGGGGGTTAATGTGGGGAAGATCGAGTAGAGGCGCAAGCGGGGGAGTGAGCTTAGCCTCAATCGAGGAGATGTGGAATTTCGACGACTGTAGAGTCTTTCCGGCTCTTGATTTCACTCAACTGCATTTGCAACTTCCATTTTTCCTCTAAGAGCCTTAGCTGTTGTTCGACATCCGTTAGGCGGGACTCAATGAATCTCTCTTGAGTGGTGTTCTCGCTGCTAGGAACATTTGTTTCAAAGTGTAGCGTCATAAGGTCCCTGAGATTCCCTCCCAAGTGGGGAGGGGGCATGGGCTTCTGATCTTCACTAAAATCGATCAAATCTCGCTCTGGCATGACGATTTTTTGGCCGTCAGACGGAATCGGGTTAAGCGTCTCAAGCTGCTTTCGTGAGCTCATACTTAGCACTGGTACACATATTCGACATATACAATACTTACATCAAAGCTCAATTCACCACTATATGTGGCGAGATTCTGAAGGGTTGAGGGCCTATTGGTGTCATCGGTGCCATTCATGTCGTCGGTGTCATCTGCGTAGTCAGGGTCACTGTTGTCTTCGAATCCAGCCCTCTCATCGCTTTCGTTGGAGGCAACGACCGTGGTTTCACTTGGGGAAGTGATACGGGTTTGGTTAACCCCGGATGATAGAAATGGATGTTTCCCACTGCACGGTAGACTAAACTTTTTTACTGGCGTAAAAAAAGAATCCTTGCTAAATACTATGTTCTCGGTGTTGTATCCCGTTTTTCGTCTAGAAAGCAAGTCCATCCTAATCCAAGTTGAATAGGGAGGGGAATCAAGGCACTCTTCTATTTTTTGTTGGATAGCCTGAAGTAATTCCAAGGCATTCGCAGAGCGTTCCTCGGCACCACGCGGAGTATCCCTTTCTAGGAGACCCTGAAGGGATCCTCCCTCCAGAACCTCCAAGTACAGGGTGCTATACGGTTTCATTTCGTCATTCTCTGTGCGTGTTAACGTTGGTGGGCCTCGAGAAAAAGCCCTTTCCAGGTAAACCCTAGAACCGGCTGCAGGAACACGCCAATCCAAGGAAGACAACAAAAGGTATTTTTTATCCTCTGGTCGGGTACTTTCTCCATGCTTTGGAGGTAGTACAATTTCGAGAAAAACTCTGTCCTTGAACAAAAATAACATCAGGTTGTCGACTTCACAGTGATGCCAGCCTTTTCCTTTATTGTTCCAAATGGATATTGTTATTGGTACACCGTGGAACTTGGGAGGACAGATGAATTGTCTCGAACGAGGAATAAAACCAATACTTGAACTTTCTCTTCTTTCTCGCGACTCCATATCACCTTGGATTGATGACCGACTTGGCCTAATAAGTTGCGATTGATTCAATGACTGGGCGGTTGCAGGTCGTCTTCTGGGTCGCCATGACTCTATGCAATATCCATTAGCTTCCTTGTTAATCATGTATTCAGAGATCATACTCCAGAAAATATACCTGGAGATTGTACACGTCCTTCTGAGGGGACGTCACTCTGTGCTCTTGTAAGATTGGTGCAGGTATCTCGACCACTAACACCCAAGATACTAGTACTTCTAGCAGAGTCGCGGCCCATTTTTGGTAGTTTGATAGATGTTCGAGGTAAGCGAATTTAAGGTAGGGAAGCTTGCTTTTTGATCTCTCTGCTAGAATCGGATACAAAATATGTATCCAGAGAACGAGAGTCGAATTTTATTGAAAGAGGTGTCGAGCTCGAGAGCGGGTTGGAAGGTATTGGCAGGAAGAAATAGAACGGGATGTAGATGCGTTCAAGTGCCTAGAGAAGCTGAACTATTGAGGTGACGAGGGCGAAGAAGTTTAGTGCGGATAAAAAAAAAATAAATAAGATGGAGAATAAGAGCCCTCTCTGCCATGAAATGAAAACCGAGTTGGTGGTTATGGCACCGAGGAAGGCGTTGTGATCTCGTCAACACACATTATCCAACAATTGAGGTGTTACACAAGCCAAAAATGGACAAAATCTAGTTTCAATTGCAACAAACCCAACACGAAATTACTTTGTCTTGCAAAAACCAGTCCCGAGAACCCACCGGGGATTACTCTATGACCAAATATTTGTTAAGATCTGATACATACCTCTAAATGATGGAAAGTAAGTATGTGTTATACGGTGAAGTTGTAGCTGTTGATATCACTTCTTTCAAGTATCTATATACAGTGTTGAGTGACCCCGAACTGACTGCGACTTTAAAAGTGAATTTCAATCTTCAGCTGAAGTTGAGGCCATTCATAAGAGTAAAGGGCCACGGTGGGATATATGGGTCTTATATCTACTTTTAGTGTCGAGTTTTCTCGTCGCCACACTCCTTAGCTGTGGGTGGAGGGGTCGGCTTAATTATCAGAAGGTGGGAAGTAATTGCGGTTCCCGACTCCGACTGGCTACAAAACTGACGTCTTAAGTGCGCACCTGTAGAAGGGCTATGAAGCTTCCACTTTACATTGATGTGGCCTTGGAACCCATTTTTTGAATTAAACATGTTTAAGATGCCTTGATACACCAACAGTTTTAAAGGCGATCCTTCACAAATTTTCGCCTTAGACACTTTTTATTTTCCTTAGGCATGTGCCCGAAAACTGGGAGGCCTATTTTAGCGAAAGGACAATTAAACACGGTATTTTGCTGTCAAAGTCTCCTATACCGCACCACCTAAAAGGTGTTGGCACCCATCACGAAAAGTTACTATGACACTAGTACTAGCTATTGCACTTCTAAGAACGAGATATCATTATTTAGATAAAGTATGGTAGGTTTCCGTAAACTTATCCAAGAACTCCGCTTAATTTCAATTTTACTACCTAGTTCATTAAGGATATATGTATCATTAAGAATATTGTACATTGCTAAATCAAACCATTGGCTTCCCGTCAAAATCGCAACTTATACCCAGCTGTACCGAACAAATCCATCCGCGTCCTATGGTATCAAGACTCGGCTTTAAAGTTTAATCATTGCCTACAAGGCGGCAAGAGCCATGAACGCAATCGGGGCCAAAGCGAAAATGTTTCGAATGGTATTCGCAGAATTTGGTGTAGAGGATCCAGTAGCCCCGGTGCTCGTACGCGCTGGAGATCCGGAACCGCCGGTGGTAGTTGAAGGCATATCGCCGCCAGCGGTGGCTGGCATGATAGGAGAGATACATCTGACGCCGACGATAGTAAGGTTGTTCAGGAATTCGCCGTAGTCAACAGATACGACGCCGTCCCGACCGAATGGGCAGCAGTAGCTTCTGCTTCTATCTACTTGGTCGCTGAGAATGAAGACTTGATCGTCGGCACAAGGAGTTTCCGCGGCTGTGAGGATGGCAGCGTCTCCATCGGATTTGAAGTTGAAATCCCCAAGAAGATCCTTATATTCTGTACATTCGGAGACCTCACCGCCGTGTCTGACTTCGCAGCAGGTATTGGCTGCTCCGGCCCAGGTACCGCAGGTCCGGCCGAATTGACATTGGCCTTTACCACATTTTGGTGAAACACAACCGCTATTACCGCAGTTGGATGGTGGGTTAAGCCAGATGTCGGACCTTCGTGCGTACTCTTCGATGAGAGACGATTGAGCGGAGACGAAAGCAGCTGTGGCGAGGAGTACTATCGCGGAACGCATTTTGGTATATTAGGTAATGGTTTGGGAAATATATGAAATAGTTCTATATATGATGTGGAATCGAAGCTAAGGCAAGATCAAGATAGTAAAGCTAATCTGCAGATCTAAGAGAGGCTCTGAGGATGGTGAAGAGAAGGCTGATGAAAAAATTGATGTCGACAGGCGCGCCATTGGCCTATTTATCATTATGCCTCTTGTATGCACCTATCCTCCCGTTCACAACCTGCACGTCAAAAAAGGGGACACCAACAGCGGTATCATGGATCAGTCAGCCGCACTTTCACATTTTTTCATAAACAAAGTGAAAGGCTCCTAGTAGCACAAAAGCCAGAATTCTTAGCGTCCCTTCGACACAAAAGAGATTGAACGCCAGCGACTAGTACCAGTTTGGACCAACCTCGAGATCCGGAAAGGCGCAGGCGTGTTGTTTCTGCGGTATTCTGATCCATCGCCAAGCGCTTGGCGGATAGTCTGGTGGAGGCTGATTGGCTGGTTGATCGGAATAAGCGATTTCTTGTGATCCTTTCCCCAAGCCCAAACTTCATTTCGTAGCAGCTGCTTTAACTCAAGGGGGCAAAAATTGCACAAATGGGCTTATTCATACGGGTATTTTCAATTGACGGATGTTGGATTGCGTATCAAAAAGACAGCAAGAAGAAACAACCGACAGGGAGGTGATCCTGAGGGATTATGGTTGCACAAAAGTTTTCCCTGTGAGTTTTCCTGTTGTTCAACTGGATTGGATGTCCGATGATGGAGATAGATTTCCAAAGTTCATTTGTTAATGTGTCGAAACCGTCGAGGTTCAGATAGCGTTTCCATGCCTAAGTTCATATGACTATATGAACTTGAAGATTTGCAACAGGCTGGACATGTATGGAATGGAAGTATCCACCGCCTCGAAATCCAGACCCAAATAAGATTTCTGGGCTCTATCTTGGCGGAAGCTTCTCATTCTCAGCCCCCAAAAGCCAACTAAAAAGGGAGTGGCGAAGAGGGTGCCAAAGATCTTAAGAAAGAAAACTTTGTGGTTCAGATTCACTTTCCCGATTCCACGGTCCTGCTAATGACTAACAGCCGGCAAAAACGGTCTTTTGACATTTCCACTAGGGAAGTGGATCAGGAATCTCGTGCTATGTGACACAAATAAGCTTAAGATCCACCGATATCGATTAAGCGAGGACATTTGTCACACATGAACCTACTTGGCGGGATAACCAAGGCTTTGGGCAATCTGTAAGGCAAACTGACTTTGAGTTTTCTCGATATAAAACTACCAGAAGAATCCGAAAGGAGAAGGGGGCGATTCAGACTATAGCAGTTGCTACGTATATATTCAATGCAGATTTAGATTTCGATACATTGCCATGGTAAGTTTACGAATTCGACATGGGGGAAACGTTTTACTACGTTCTACCGTCACATCGACAACCATAATTGAATCGAGAAGATATTTACTAGCCAGTAATAGTAATCCTCATATCCTCATTATCGTTGTACTATATATATCAGTAGAGTTTTAACAAGTCCAAGAATGAAATTTATAGTTTACGTCTTTCAACAATAACATCGCCGCCAATTGCAACATCATGGCTGGTCTTACATGTGCGTATGGGGACAGCTGGGAGTCAGAAACGTTACCACTCAACAGGAGGCATCGAAAGCTGGCTTTCGTAAACTCACGAGTACAAAGCTACCTACTGCATCTTCCTTGCCTGGCTGACCTAGCTAGAAACTCTTATAATTAGGAGGAAAGCAACGTTGCAACGGGACGAGATATGACCTGGCGAGAGTTTAAAAGTCAGATGGATTCGCGGGCCGCATTTTGAGACTCTACCATTACTAAGTACATCGGATCACAGTCTCGTAAGAAAACTGTGATTAGATCAAGTGTACATGTTTTTTTTTTAACAAAGACCTCACATGACCAACCGACTAGAACCCTCTTTATGAATTCACGAAACGTGAAGGCTTAATTAATGCTATTACAAAAATCGGTAGCTTTCACGGCTGGCAGATTAAAACCTTGATATCTATGCAGTGAGTGCGAACGAAGTCCATATAAAACTAGATTTGCAGTACTTTTTCGTGGCTATCAATATATACAACTTAGTGGGCCTAGTAGTTCCTTTCAGTCTATAGCTAGTCTTGCTCATAACAGGGTTCATATAAAAGTTTTAGGCCTAGATTGAACCCACACCCGTCTTGCCTCCAGATCAGGCCTAGATATGGATCGAGAGCTGAATTCGTCCATAAAAATTGCAGCCCACCTGTTACAGCAGCTTCAAGCGCGGATGTGGGACTTCGGCATGGAGGTTTCACATCCAGATCTCCGTAACCTGGCTAGTCTAGCTAGTCTCAAATTTGTGACCATGTATGCATGGCTACAGTCAGACACGATCGGACACTCATAAGTAGCACTACTCCATACCTATAACCCCGCCGATGTCCCTAATAGTACTACTAGGGTGCCGTGACGTTAGTACATCATGCAAGTTATGCTTTGCGCTCCGAATTAACTACCGTGCTGAGACAAGCCCAGCTTGAACATATAACTTAATGATATCACCCATTGCCACGAGATGAATTTCCCGATACGTTAACGTGTAGCTAGTCTACTAGCGACTAAAAATACTAACTTCAATGATATCATCACATCGTATCGATCTTATCAACCATAGGATTATTCCTAAATTCCGAAGGTAGCTGGCAGGGGAAATCCTCAGTACTACGACTGAGATGCATGCATGCATTTGTATTATCATTCACGATAGTCCACATCCTCGCCAGAAGAAAAAAAAAGTATAGCTGAAGTAGAGAGAACGAGGAAAAAAAGAATCAGCCCATTCAAGTAGAAAAGCCATTAATCCCTATCCAAAGCGCTCGCTTAAATATTTCTTCCAAAAAAAACGACGACTTTACTGTCTTTCGGAGACTGGGAATTCTTTGCCAGTATTCTTCTTGTACTGGTCTCGGATGACTATATATCATAAACATAAATTAGCAACGGAAAAACAGTCATAAAAGGCTTAAAAACAGTAGGATATATCTTACAGTCGGCAATGGCACCATCCTTGGCCTGTTCGGCGGCAGATTCGTTGTTCTGAGGACCTTGCTTGAAGACATTCTCTTGGACGTAGTCGATAGCTGTGTTGTGTTGCCAGGCCTGTTAGTCCCTGTTCGTTCACAGATGGTAACACAAGTCTTGGTGGGGGAACATCATGATGTCATGCTATGCATTCGAAGCGTCATATTGATATCGGTGATGTCGACGGAGCATGAAAGTATTCATCGGAATAAAGCACTACGAAGGAGATATTGTATTGGTTACCTTTGTCGAGGGCGTCTTCCTTCTGTTCGCCCTTCTTGCCGCCGCCAGCCTGTTCGTTCACGAAGTTTGAGGCCTTGTCAAAGAAGTTGCCCTGCGTGCGCTCTCCGGATTCAGTCGACTCTTCTGGCCTTCGCTCACCCTCGCCGGCGTTGTTATCAGAAAATTTCTTAAGGAAGTCCATTATGAAGAATTAGATTATTAGGGTAGTTGTATTGCAAGTGGGATTTGAAGGTAATAGCGCGTGAAGATGAATGTTGGAGGTTGATAGGTTTAAATTTTAAAATCAAGAAAACCAGGGAAAGCGGGGCCATTTATACATCCCACTTCGCTGCGCACGTCGGTTCGAATAACAGGATTTACAGCTGAAAACATTCCATCGCATCGGCATCCTGCCCCTCTTTTTCTTTTCTTCTCTCCTGCATGCGTGCATGCACCGCCTAGTCCCACCGATTCATGAGCTCATAGTTCCTTTCTACAAACCCAACAGAGGTAGGGTGGGGTTTTTGTCTGTGTACCATTCGATCCAGAAGGACATTCCATGTTCTAGCCCTGCACCGAAAGAATTAAGCTCGCGACAAAAAAAGCATGGGATCCCCGCCGCTAAAGAGGGGAGAGGGAAAAACATGACAAGCAATACAAACTTTATCTCCGAAGAAGAGTTACGTGGTTGACAGGCCCACCATTCCAGGCATGAACAGGCTTTTCCAGCTGGGATATCGATGCGTCGTAGTCGTCGGCTTTGAGCGTGCCTACATGCTTTCAAGCTTCACAGCCTCCACCATTTAATGCTTGTTGCAGTTTTGAAGGTAGAGATATCGCTTAGAGTGTGCTTATGACGAGCTGGATGGCGCATGCCTAGGCTAGTTCTGGAATTTCAGGCCGGGGCGCTGGACCTATCAAACGAACGGCCGCCCTGCGCAAGACACATTTCCGGAACCAAAAGTAGCGGAGGTTGTTGGGACGACAAGGTACTTTCGCAGCTTCGGAGCTTCAAGTTCATTATTAGGTTTGGTGATAGTCTGGCGAGATTCGTGAATGCTATCCGCTAATTCATGGAGGTCTCACTTCCACATCGAGATTTCAATTTCCGGATTCATCAGAAAAAGGTGTGATTTGCAATATTTAGTAAATTGGATGAATCAATCTTGATTGTTTATGGGTTTAGAACGGCTGTTTTGATTTTCATGTCGTTCTTTGCTTCATGCATGCCCGGGGTGTCTCCAACTTTGAGGGCCTTTAGAATCACTTCTACCAAGAAGATAAAATAAAAATCAGTCCCTAACCAGTGCTTAACAATATCACTAGATATTATTTGATACAGATCTTCAAATAGTAAAACTTATGAACCCCTGCTTGCTAGATGCTGAATATTGGTGAAATGGTAAAAAATAAAAATATAATCAAACGCCAAAGTGAGTGGCCAGTATATATATACCCTTGTCGCATATGCAGAACGGTATCCGAGAAATCGCTTCAGTTAAAAGGTAATAAAGAAAATAGTAAAAAAAGAGCAAGACTATGCAAACAAAACAAATCATCTTAAGGGTTCGGCGGTGGTGGAACCGGTATATCCAATATCTCAGCTGCGTCCCCTCGAGTATATGGCGGGAGTTCAGGATCTGCTTCTCCCTCTCCAACGACTCTGTGTACTGGCATCCTCGGTATAACAATAATTTCGCTTTCTTGCACCATATCCATCTCTTGCCGTGTCCCGCTGCCAGTAAACAAACTTGACCGGGAACCACCTGCCTCTTCATCTATCCTCGCCCTCATCTTCTTTTGATTGTAGTCAACAAGCACCCATGTGCAGGCGACTAGGACTGAGAATGCATATACAATGGCAACGATATTGGCTGCAAACGTCGATACCCATAGAAATGTCATCAGGGAGATGAAAACGAGGATGCTGGTTACCAATCCTACTATTGCTAATGCAGGGGTTGGCGGGTGGTTGCTCGGTCTTCGACGCCTCAGTAAATAAGAGAGCGAAAGAGGCCGCGGAGGCCCTTGGTGTATAAACACATTAGGTATTCGGCCAAATCGTGAATGGGCGGCAGAACGCAATCTCTGAAAAGTGCTTGGGGGTGGAGCGGGCAGTGTGTTGTCCGCGGAAGAGAATTGAGGACGAGGCGGAATGTCGTATGTTACTGTTAGTGCAGGTGGTGGAGAAGGCGGTGGAATGGCGTATTGCGGCTGGCTCGTTGATTGACTACCAGGTCGCTGGTTGCTTGTCCCGGGTAGATTGGTTGTCGATTCATTTATTGTTGTTAGTTGCCCTTGAAAACGGGATGTTTGTGCTTGGTTGTATGAATCCACGTTTTGTGGTAGGCCCATCGTTAATGCTACAGGATTTTGATCTTGAGAAGATGGGAGAGAAGGATAGGAAATGTCTGAAGAAGTGGGATTTTGGGACATCCCGACTGATGGTTGGATTAAGTAACTATATCGATTCGTAATGGGAGCATCCACAGCGCTGATTGAACTAACAGGACTCGCACTCATACCGCGATCCCGTTGTATTCGACTATTGTGGCGTGAGGGTAGTGAAACCGGCGAGGGAAGTCGGTAAGAAGGAATTCGGCTGAGACTATTATATACCCCTGTGTTCAGGTTATTCATGTAAGAGAAGGATTCAGTTTCTCCATCCGATTCGGGCTCTGCTGCGACACTTGAGATCAATGGAATGGTGCTATAGCGGTGAAAATTAGAATTAAACCCCCCATTCGTGATGCCAGAGAATGTCGGGTCTGAAGGAGGTGACGGTGGATGAGGAAGTGTTGGAAGAGAAGAATCGTCGAGAGATTGTCGTGCATGATGTGAAAATGGAGGGAGAGAAGATATTCTCTGTGTAGGTCGAGGCATCGTGGGCGCGAGCAAATGGGTTCCGTGCCCGAACGGAGGTGGACGCGCTACTCGGCTGGTGGCGTTCCTGCAGGTGACAACTGCGCAGTCCCTTTTGAAAAATATCAAAACCAAAATCGATATGTTTTATTGATTCAGTGCATTGAATACCGCGCTTCGGGCCGGTTGAGAGAACAGGGCTATATTATTCTTTGCGATTAATTTCGAGCCTCACGGTCTCGTTTTGTCGATAATAGAAGTATGCAACATTTGTAGGCGATGTTGCAGAGTCGTCGAAACTCTTACTGGGGGCTGTTACGACGTAAGTATCAGACCATCCAATGCAAATCTCCCCTCTAGGAAGATGACATCGATATCCAAGAAATAGTTTAAGAAAATGAGGCCTCGAAGATCAACGGGCTTTTTGAGAGGCGAAGGGCAAGTAGAAGTGCGTGCGAGAAGGTCGAATGTAACGTTGGAGACAAGGGAGACTTAAAAAGAAAATCGAATTGCGAGGTAAGCGAGCCAAAACATGGCGAGCTTCAACCACCCATTTCCAAAAAAAAAGCAGAGACCCCGGCAACCAAATACCCCATCGAGGGCCGGACTGGGAACCAACAGGGGTCGGCCACAGGAGCGAAGGGTGTCTTCTGCATTGAGGATCTTTCCATCAACGTTTAACACCATTGCACCTATATTCGCCTTCCCGAGACAGAATTTAAGCACTGGAAATAGTAACACGCAACATGGGTGCTTATCACCAGGAGGTTTGACAAAAGCCGCTGCCGAAGGAGCACAATAGTACAAGGCCAGGCACGTGGAGGGACCTCTGTGCGAGGAACTCCAACAACAAGAGCTTAAGAGAAACTCCATGCATACGCATTTCACGGCGGTATTTCATGTTGAATAGTACCCTATTCAAAAACCCCGCCCGTTCGGCGGAGTTACTCTGTATTAGGGGCAAAGTTATGCCGGGTTCTGCATATAACTAGAGAATATCTATTCATCATCAGACGAAAAACCTGGTCAAAAAAATGTTACGGCGGGGTAGATATCTCGTACCATCGAATGGCTCACTAATCCAACATTGCAACAGAGCTTTCTGGTGTCGGCTATGCAATTGTTTTCAACTTGGACTAGCGTTCGTAATATCCAGCTGTCGGACTCAAGACAAATCCACTAGAATTTCGAAGCTGGACTAGTTGAGTTCAGGTTCGATTCGACGGGAGACGAATTTGCTATTATTTCGGGCTATCCGTTGAGTAGCCAGTCTCCGCTCGTGCATGCAGTCCTGCCAGTAGCAGCATAACCTTTGAAACCGGCTGCATGGCTCAGTCGAAGCTTGGTTGCTTGACCCCGAGCCGCCTGTCTGAGCCGAAAGGATTTCATCGTCGACTAGTTGGCTCCACCGCGTAAAGGAGCTGTCAGTTTATATAATTATCTCCTGAGGTTGCAAATGTTTAAGAGATCAATCATCAAGATCGTGGCGCTGTGGCCCTATCATTCTCGGTATTTGTAAACTGGGTGTCGGATGCGTGGGTCGGGTCAGCAGGAAGTACCGGCGAGTGCCAGCTGCACCCAGTGATCAATCCTAGGAAACCCTCTAGGGCCGCAAATACTTTCGTACGGGCTTCAACTTAGGACGAAATGCTGTGCCAAATAGGCAGCAAAAAGAACCTGCAGCTTCGTGAATTCAACTGGCCCAGTGAGTAGTGAGCTGGGGCTTGTGGGGTGAAGAATCAAATGCATGTTGGAAGTCTCGAAGTGTGAGCTTTCACGGTCCCACCGAACAATCCTTGTCGCCGGGCTCCTCAACGCACCCGCAGACCATAACTTGCACTCAACCACAACATCGAATACGAGCTGCTTATGGTGGAGCTAGCCCTATCCAGCCATGCATCAACCGCACATCTCTCGATCTTATTGTACTAACGTTAACATGGTCTACCTCTGGATGGCCGGATGATTCCTTTCGCATATCTGCAATACATTGACATATGTATACTATCCAATACCAGTTATGTGAACATACATGTACTATGTCATAGGAGAATTGGATAATCCAAGATAATTCGCACCGCCCCTTGACAAAAACCCTGGACTTTTCGCCCAATGGTTATTGTCAGCTCAGATCTCCTAGAACCCAGTGTATCAAGTTAATCACAGAGCATGCATTCTTATCGAACTATCCCTAGTAAGTCATCAAATAGCCCTCAATGGTACTGATTTGTTTTTCCGGAGCATCAGGCCTATATTTTGTAGATGTATCTCGATCTAGATTTTTATACTGACCATCTATTTGCCAAAGGAAGAAATCCCTCAGATTGTATTTTCCCCGTCCCCAGTTTCACTCCCGCTTAATTTGGCTGATCGGGTTTCAGGCATTGATACCTGCAAGATTTTTTTTACCTTCAAGAACCTAGCTATAGATGTTCTATAATCACGGGCTACAGCCCCTTCGAGTGCAGCATCTAGTCGATTCTCTGCAAAGTAGATGATAATGCAGCCATCGTCCCCCTTGAGAAAAGGGCTCAACTCTGCAGCTCCGTCACTAGCGTCTCGGTTCTGCATACGCTTGGACTGTGCTTGCGATATCCCAAACAGTCTGTTGGACGTCAGGATGCTTACGTGCTTCCCGATGCTGATTCCGGTGCAACGCGAGATCCAAAAAACGGCTGATCCGGGGATCTGGAAGTCTTTTAAGGTTATTCAAACAGAATTTGATTTGAGACTTTTTGAGATTTGTAGGCCGGCTCGTGGCGATGCAATCGATAACAGTGCTTCAAGCTGCGGGGTGGGCGGGCCGTAGGTCAATTGCAGGCCTGCAGGATATTAAGACCAGAAGCATTTTACTAGCCTCGAGACGCATTTTACAAGGCTTTGCTTACGGTTCTGCATGCGTTGCATCATGCACATTGGTTTCTTTGTCATCCTGGATTCTGCACGCTGAATTTTGTGGTTGAGACTCAAGAGGTATTAGAGTTTTACCCTCGTATTAATATATTCTCAATGAGTCTGGTGTAACATTCCAGGGGTGATTTTTTAATTTATTAAGTATTAATTAATTTATATTGACTAATTGTCGGTCCAAGGCTAACCACCATAGAGCATCGACATCCATACGCGTACGATTGAATCTAGGACTACGTAACATAAATTTTATACGAAGAGATCTATGCATTTCGATAACCATACTCTTGGTAAAGTCGTCTTTTGATTTCAATTCGCACGATATTTGATTTGAAAGAATATTATTAAGAAAAATCGGATCATTTTAAATAACTATAGGAATATGAATCTCGACCCTTTCAGAAGTTCCTACGGGCGTAGACTAGTTACTCGTGATACCTTGACCATCACTTAATCGACAAATGAATTCCCATTTCCTGATATTTTGGATTATGGTCATCCATTTCTACTGAAAATTAACACGACGTAAAGACAATGGAACAACATTCGGATCCGTCATCTCGCATACCGAAGGAACCGCTTATCTTTGCTCCTGTTTCAAATATCAAAAATGAGAATTGTCTAGCATTCCCTTCCGGCTCTAGGTACGAGACAAAGTATTCCAATATATTGTAATTTTCTACACAGTGACATAGTATATATGTATTTCGTATTTATGTAAATCTGATAAGCTAATTAATGTCAACTTGATTAACGTTATATATACCGTTTTTTGAAAGCGAAGCATAGATGTCAATGTCAATCAATACTACGAGCTCTGGCTTTTATACCCAGAATCTGCCGTTCTATAAATAATATTGGGTCTTCCCCCCGCCCAAGTGCTGGGCCGTAACGTTGGACAGCGAAAGCCAAGCCGCAGGGTTCATAGGCGATCCTTTCGCTATATGGGTACTAACTTGTTGTTCAATGTACGACAATCAGACGCATTGATAGTGTATTGATAACCAAATGTCTGAGGAGACTTGTACGGATATATCTATATAATTTCAGAAAGATATCTGGAAATTCACGCATCCCTTCTACATCTTGAATATGAATTTTGCAAGTCTAATATATGAATATACTTAATTATAAGCGTGCTCCTGTCTCCAAGCCATTAGCCAGTATGTAAAATCCTAAAAACAATGTCCTCCAGTTTTCGAGGACATAAGTGAAAAGAATATTATTTACGATCGTATAGTTACGATTCACATGTTTGACCCCGCATTCTATCTTCACGGGGAGTCGAGTGTCGGCTCGCACGCGCACGAGGCTGGTAACGTTACCTGCTAGCTCCGGCCGTAACTCAAGAGGGGTTGTGCGTTGCCCATGGGTTAAAATGCGGGCGTAACACAGGCTGTACACCAGCACCCTCAGTGTCATAGGTCACGTGATATGACCATACTCCACCGTCTACCGAGGATAACATCCCTCATCCCAAGATCCAGGCACCTTCACCTCCCTCTTGGGCTTCATATATCATTTCCTTATGTGACAACGATGAGTAGCGACGTAGATAGCGACAGCCTCAAGGCTCTACAGGAAGTTATCAGCCGCCTGAAGAACTACAAACCTCCGTCAGATCAATGGAATGAATTTGATGTTTCGCGCCGAGCTGCAGTTTTGATATTACTGTTTCCAGATTCGAAGGGAGAGCTTCGGTATGTCTTTTACTTATATCCCTGGTTTTCTTGCTGTGGTTTTAAAGTGTAAGGGGGGTTCAAGGTTCGCTAATAGCTAGTTCGTTTGGGCAAACAGTGTCGTCTTGACGGAACGTTCGAGCAACCTGCGCACTTTCGCTGGCCAGGTAGCTTTGCCTGGAGGTGGGTTCCATAGTATAGATCCTGAAATTAACATTGAATGCTGGCTAACGAATCATTACCTTTGTTAGGCAAAGCTGATTCGCCAACGGAGACTGCTTTTGAAACTGCCCGCAGAGAAGCATCTGAGGAGATTGGTCTACCCTCTAGAAATGACCTCCTCCCTTCTCCATTTACTGTAACTCATCTATGCGAAATGCCAACTAACCTGTCGAGAAACCAACTTGGCGTTCGACCTGTTGTTGCGCTATTGCACACTAAGCCGGGGTATTCTGGCTCCAAGGTGAATGCTGAAGAGTTTTTAATCCCTCGGCTTGACCCTAAGGAAGTGGCGTCGGTGTTCACGGTACCGCTGAGAGCATTCTTGGAATCGGATTATCAAAATCCGGAGTTTGAATTCAGTCCTGACGAGAAAATTTCTGAATCGACGGTTGATATCGACTGGGGTACTGTTCCAACGGGAAAGACAGGATGGTACGAGGGACAGTGGCTTGAGTGGTATGGAATCAAGTGGAGGGGGCATCAATTCAATGTTTATACAAGCCCTGTTGTCGTGCAGAGAAGAGATTCGACACAAGTTTTAGAAGACGAAGCCCAAGCATACGCCACCGGGAACCTGGAAGGGGGTAGAAGAAGTGGAGGGGGCACTCATGATAAGAAAATGGTTAATTACAAAGTCTGGGGCATGACGGCAAGGATTGTAGTTGATGCTGCGAGAGTAGCCTTTGGTAAGAATCCGGATTTTGAGTATGTGGACAAGATGGGAGATGATGAAGTGATCAAGCTTTTACAAAAAGAAGGCAAATTTGGGCCACGGATTAAGGGAGTCATTGAAGACACTGGCGCAGGTACCCGTGTGGGTAATGGAGAAGGGAGAAAGGCTGAGAGTGGGAAACTTTAGTCCATACATATGATTGCTTGAAGAGTACTGTAGTCCTTGCATTCTATAGACTTAGATTTCAGAAAGGGGGTCCTTGTACTTTCCATTCATCTAAACTAAGTACATATAACTACTAGTATTATAGCATATACTGATAACTTAAAGCCTGAAGCTTGTCGCTCCTAGGTGGTGTAGCCAGCCTGATATAACTGTGGCCGAAAATGGCGAAGGCGCGTTCATGGTTATCTTCACTGTTGTTGCCCAGCAACAAGACCAAGTCAGAGCCGCATCTCTGGTCCCATAACCAACCTCTTCTCGCAGTCTCTTCCACGTAACTATGTACCCTCCTTCACTGGGTCATAACCCTCTTCATGAATTCAATCTTTTGGCATTGATCTTTCAACGTCCTCCGAATCCAGACCTCCGTTATTGATGTGTCTCGGACCTCAACCTCCTTGGCCGCTTTAGACTCCTCGTTATTGTCAAATTGCTCTTATACGCACTACTTCATCCAACCGACGAAGCTATGGGAGGACACACGGCTCCATCACTCGCAGACTTCATCTTTGATCTCCCTTTCGCTTCTGAATTGGGTGTCTCGAAAGAAGAAGCCGAAAAGTACGAGGAGATGAGATACTCCTACTACGAGCATCGAGCGACGCCAAATGAAGATATCTGTGCCGAATCAATAATTCGATACTTGAAAGCCCTCACTGACCCACCCGAACCCGTTTCCAGCTTCATGACCTTGCTTGTAGAGGCCGGTGTCCTGGAAGACCCTGCTTCTGAGACTACCATCGTTGTTGGTGAATCCAACCTAGGTCCGGGGCTAGATCATCAGCCGGGGCTCTACAAACAGCTAGAAGGTCTCGGAGAGTCTCTTCTTGAGCTGGGACCGGAAGAAAATCGACCTAAGTCTTTGGACGAGGATCTATACGTTGAATAGTAAGATCATAGCAAAGCGAAATAACAAGATCAAAGAGTTGACAAGCAAGCTTCTATAGCCTCCGACATGACGGCTTTAGGTTGTGGTCAGCGTAGGTTTGGTCCTATACGGGATGGAGAATCTTGTGTGAACTTGACTAATGCGGTTCTAGACCTCGCTATGCTCCCTTTCCTACGGATTTCACGATACGTGCTGGTTCTGACAGCCAGCTGTGCATATTTCATGTTGAAAGCCACCGCGTTAAGGAAAAGTCTCCATTCTTCAACGAGCTGCTCCAGAGTGGAAAATGTGGAGTCGGCCAGTACTCCTATTCTTCAGACGAACATCCAGTTGCCATGGATTGGTACCTTGCCTACCTCTATGGCCTTCCGTTCAAACTTTCGCTTCCAGACAATAAGGCGGGACCCCATATCTCTTTCGTCCGCAGCTTGGTAAAGCTAGCTACCAACGTTGAGTGCCATGGCCTTGTTGAAGAAATCATCGAGGAGCTTGGCCGTTCGTTCACGTACTACCACTGGGGCCCTGACATCGCACCATGTGTAATGGAACTTTACAAGTACTTTAACGCCCATATCAGAAATGAAGGCAACGAGGAGATCAAAATTTCAGCATCTCAGCTTGTCGACTGGATCAGCGCTCTCCATGCTGATAAGAAGCTCATGCATTTGAAGCGATTTATCAGCAGCAATATGCAAATAGATTTAGATCCCGGGTCTGGAAGCTTTCTGAAAGATCTCTCGATTGCTCTTTGCAAGGTCCTCCACAATACCGGACAGGAGAACGGCAAATGTCTTGGATCTACGTCCTCCTCTGAATGTGACAGCACCATTGTTGTCATCGAAGCGACCGAGATTTCCGACGGCTCCCATAAGCCAAGTCTCGAAGAGGTTTGAAAATGAAGAACAGCGCTATCACTTCGACAAAAGCTGGAACATTAAACTAATCTAGGAACCTTTTTAGGCTAGGGCAAACCAACGAAGATGACTTAGAGCCGGTGGGAAGCAATATCAAACCATATATTGCAAGGGAAATCGTTAATCGGTAGATTTTCAGGGCAAAATAAGGGAGATACTGTGCAGCTGCGTTTCAACAACTCAGAGGACTTATTTTGAATTTTTGTCAAATAGAAACTAACCTCAGAATTCTCTTTGTACATTCTTCAAATTCTTGTTCTAACTCACCTTGTTTTCTTCCTTAATTAATGTTATTCTCCAGCCGTCTCATATCTGCGTCCCATCCTACTCTCACAAGCGCGTTGATGTGGTATTTTGCTCTCGATTTGTCGGAACGGATCATGATTGGATGATGCTGCCATCTTGAAGCCACTCTGTGGCACATAAGAAGCATGGATGAGGCGAAGTAATGTGGATGTTCCAAGCTAAGCTAAGCTAGCTGACAGCCCCGCGACATGCGACATCATGCATGAGATCCTGCAACATGCAACCGGGTTATCAGGTTGCTATGCTGCGCTTTTGGATTCCACAAAAACAACTGGACGCGACTACACGTACATATATATTCTGTACCTGAAAGGCTTGAGATGAGATGCACATCGGTTTTGGTGTTCTTGGAGTACTTTATATGTAACTTGTATTGTGGCGGCTGTAGGAGGTCAATATCGAGATCGCGGTAGGACCTCGTCACCTAAAGCCATCGAATCTTTTAGTTGGAGTTGGGTTGTTGAAATAAAAACACAAATTTCTTTCCTTTCGTTTCACAACTCTCCTCTTCACCTTCTATTCATCTCTCGTTCTCTGTCAAAATCATTAGACCCTAACCTGTACCCGTCTATTGCGGCTCGAGGTCAACTTCATATTCATTGCTCGCCTCTTGTAAGCTTCGATACCGCCGGTTACCCTGGGCCATGGATACGATCATGGAAATTCCACCGGAGAGCTCATTTGAAGTGCTAAATTCACAACCAAGTGAGAAGGACCCCAAGCCAGATCTAATTGGTGGCCCACGTCCTCCGGTTTACATTGTCAATCTCGACCTCCCTCCCCGCCAAAGATACCAAGAGATAGGAAAAGACTTCAAAGACCAATTCCTCGAATTAACCCCTCTCTTTGACAGCATACTCGCCACCCTTCCGTATAACAAATTAATATCCTTCATTGCTCGAGTCATCCTTCGTCGGGTTCACAACTCTGAAGAACAAGATGAAATCAAAGGACTGGTGGATGTTACTGGCATTCCGTTGTTCCTCATGATTGCATTTAACAGCTTTTTGGATACCTTCATGGGCTGTACGTCTGGTGCAGTACGGTTAGCGGAGAATCCACATGCCACTGAGCCTTCGAGCGAAGATAGAGACAAGATGGTTCATTTTCGGACTTTGGACTGGAGTATGGATGAGCTACGGGATTTTATCATTCAGATCGATTATCAAAAGGAGGGGAAGACGATTGCGCATGCGATTACGTATGCTGGATTTGTAGGCGTACTAACTGGAGTTCGGTAAGTTTTTATACACTCCCAAGAAGCTAGACCTAATTTGCTAACAGGCTCGAATTTGATATAATAGGAAGGATTTGAGTGTATCCTTAAACTTTCGACCTACAGCAGATGAGGATACCCCGCGTGCAAAAGTCGCTTATCATAAGCTGCTAGTTCTGCTCGGGTTCCGCCCATCTGTATCCTCACAACTTAGATCATTTCTCCTCCCGAGAGGTAAAAAAAATCCGCCAACATTTGAAGAAATTCTACAGGAGTTCGCGAAGACACCATGCACCCCTGCTTATGTAACCTTGTGTAATGGTTCGCAAGCGGTGTTCATAGAAAAAGATATCCGCCGTGCAAAAATGAACATTTCAGAGGATTTCATATCCGGTACAAATCATGATACCCACACTGAAGCTTGGAAACCTGAAGATTACAAAGGATTCGCTCTACGGACTGATGCAGATGCAGTCGGAATGGCCCTTGAACTTCTCGAAGATAGTCAACATCGCAAAACCTGCATAACTAGGTTATACGAACATACTAGTCGTCCTATTCCTAAGACGTTCCGGAGGCGGGGCCGCAGGAAGGCCGAAGGAGGTATTGGTATGAGTAATGTGGTTACGTGGTGCCAGACTTGGCCGATAACAAACGAGTGTACACATTTCTCTTGTGTGATGGATCCAAAGGAAGGAGAGATCAGTTGGGTTAAGTATCATCCGGAGCCACCGGAGTCCGGGGACTAGAGTGCCTTTGGAAGAGGATTGGCAAGAGACAAGAGGATTATAGGACACGGGAGCATGGATTCTCTGGTTAGTTTGCAGTCGTTTTTGACTAATCTATTGTAAAGGATACTCCGGATTAAAGGATACATTCGGGGGGGTAATTCGCAGTCTGGAAGATCTGAAAAGTGAGCAAGTAGAATCGCTGTAGAGAGAGTAAATAAAAGAAAACCTGATATCCTAACGTTAATTGTTCGCCGTTTCGCCCTTGTTTGAAAGAATATAATCGATTAAGAATAGCTATAGGCTGGGGAGAACCAATTAAATAATATAGAATCGCAAACCTCGCAGGAACCAGTAAAGAAAGGGAGATGTGTCGAGCGAGGATATGCTCGAGGTATTATAAGCCCAACCTAAGCCTGCACAACCACATATTAGACTTTAATTAACTTTATAATGTTCAAGCGCAATTCTGTGCTTGTAGCTTATTTTTGCGAGCTGTTCTGTAACCCAGGACATAGCGGTCTCAAAGTTGTTGAAGAACGCTCGAAAAAATTGACGGAAGAGTGTAATAACCTTGTCGAAAACGGTGTTAACCCATCCCATCAAGTTCTTGAAGATTAGAATCCCTTTCTCCCCCTCCCGCTTCGCATCCTCAGGAGATTCGACTTTTGCCTTTAGATAATGCCTTTTAGCGGCGGCTAGGTATTCCTTTCTCTCCTTCTCGATCTTTTCAGTCACATTTCGATTCAAGTTGTTTGCGGAGTCGGTTATTTCCTTCTCATATCGCTTCCAATCTTCATCGTCGTATCCATCTTCGTCGTCCGAATTGACTGCAGATTCCGGGGTTAAAATAACCGACGGATTCAGTCTTCTCGGAGGTAAGGCGTTGTTGTTCAAAGCAGTAGTTCGACCAGCAGGTCTACCGTCGAAACCATCTTCGGGAGAGCTGCATTCCTTCACCTCGACTTCCGAAAGCTTGGATTTTAGATCTTCAGCGTACGTTTTCATTGCGTGCTTGATATAGTCCTCGAATCTAGCTGCGGAAGTGGTTGCTATCTGGTCCAACGGGCTCTGGGAAGCTGGCGGAATAGCATTCTTTGGCGGAAAGTGGTCACTTTTAAGTGACCCCGATTCATCGGTTGTATTGTAATCGTTCCGGCCTCGGGCTGGTAAGTAGTCGTCTAATCTTGCCCCGCGCCTGGAATCAGCTCGCTGAGGTTGTTCGAATATGTTGTAGTTTTTGGTCATTGTGCTTTGAGGCGTATGATCTTCTGCTGCAGCTGTATAAGCTAAGCTGAATGGGTAGCTTGTATCTGACGAAAATAAGCTGTAGGTAGCTCCACCGTAGCGGACTAGATAAAAGGACTAGATAAGGCAATGTTAAATCCAGAGAATTGAAGTGGGTCAAGTATATTCCGACTTGAATTTATTATCTTTAGTAGAACGCCGAGATGTTTCACAAAAAATGACCACGTCAGAATGGAGACACAAGAAGCGGAGGAAGAAAAAAAAAGAAAGAAAGAGAAGATACCAATGACTTAATTACTAATTGAGTTCCCGAATCTTCCCACACGAGGGGGAGAAAAAAATTTGAGCCAAATCAATTAAAATCAATTAAAATCAATTAAAATTAAATAAAAAGGGACATTTTTACACATGTAATTGGTTATTCGGCCCCTCGCATTATCAAATTAATTCTGACTTTACGTACAGCTTTCTGGCAGAAATGTTGCGCAAGAATGAGGCCATTTTTGGCTCAGGATGCATGTGGGAATGCTACATGTACATGTAAGTACATGTATCCTCAAGATCTTTTTCCACTTATGAAGAAGCCCGGAAACGACGGTACCGGTAATTGTTGCATTTTGGAGATCTAGAAATGCGTTGGTCGTTCGCTTGGGTCTTTCCATGGCAGGTTCATAAGTGGCGTATATTATAGGCGAAAGCGGACACCGTAACCAGCGGAGCGTTGTGGGCCGATGACAATCGAGACTAACTTGCCTAATACTTGGGAGTATGAGATCCAGGTCTAAGCTTTGGAGTATCTTTAAGATAGCAAGTCAGATATTTTGAATATGATAAGGAATAATAGTATTTGTATAAGTCCAGAATTCTAGAAGGCTACGGTGCAGTTGCAACGTTGTTTGATCGAAAGTTGAACTCCGCTCCCGGCCTGGCCCTTTTTTATTGCGCAATTGCAGTTCCTTATCGTATGCATTTCTATTACTTCACTGCAGGTTAAAAGGTATATACGTAGTATTCGTTTCCCTTAGCGTCTAAGAAGCATAATGCAGCCAATGCATGATGCATTGTCATGCTGTTCTTCTCCTTCTTTCTTCTAGACTCTATCTTTCTTCCAGGAATTCTTTCTCCTCGACTACATGCATCTGCAATCTCATGGTAGAAAATTTAAAAGCTCATCGCTTTAAATTTCCAAATTTTTATAAATATAGCTTATGTGAATAACTTACACATAAAAGCTATAGATTTGTCCTATAGAGTCAGCGAGAAGATGTCTCGTGTGTTTCTTTGCGTATACTAGAGTGCTTTTCAAAGAAATGATCCCAAAGCAGAAAAAAAAAGAAAAGAAACCACGAGGGCCCCACATGGACTAATACGACCGTTATATGGTAACTGAATCCTTTTAGTCATCGAGCTACTCTAATAATCACTAACTTGCAGACCCTCTTTCCAAATGGCGCCATGGTGCTCATTAGGTAAATAGTTCTTTAGTATAAGCATTAATATTAAGGTCATCGGATCGAAGGATCCTTGTTTAAATTCAGACACCCGAGATTCGAGTGGGCATGTTATGCTAATTTGTAAATTTCTGTAAGTAATGGATATTAAACTAGTGTTATTTGGGCGTACTTAAAGTATTTAGAACCGGGTTTCTGTGGAAGTCCAATCGCTTGAGAGTCATGTCACCCTCAGGAAACCTAGTTCGATTGATTGCTACATTCTAAGGGAAATAAGGTTGGTATAGACGAAGTCACTGATAAGAGACTTCAATTCAATTGTATGGGTAAATATGCAACTCCATAGTATCCTGTATATGACATGATAACTAAATGCCCTCCTTCAAATATGTATTGGGGTATCAAAGAAACAAAAATGAAAAAACATATGAAGTGGTATATGCAGGAAGTTAATCGCTGTTAAGCGCGACAAAGAGATGCTAAATTAAAATGTTGAAAATGCAAGAAAGGAAAAAGGAAGAAAAAGGAATGAATAAATGTTGCACAAGAAAAGGAGAATAATATCAAAAACGTGATGGGTATATGCGAGAAAGCAAAATCTTGGGGGTATCAAGTATGTATGTATATCATAAGCCGCATCGCCCGGCTTCCTCTGTCCTTAAAAAAAAGTGGTATCATTCGTATCCGCAATCTTCTGTTGTAAACCTTCGGGGTACCGGTAATAAAAAATGGTGTATATGCTTCAAGGGAAGTAGTATTTTGTTTCCGCAGTCGACTCAAATCGATCAAGCAAAGATCAAAGAGAGCTTACAAAGCCCAAAGGAGGCGGGAGCCGCCTTGCTTTGCACGGTACTTGTCCCAGAATTGGAAGATTCTAGTGGTCTGGCCGGCGCTGAACTCGTCCATGCAGGCATCGTAGGAGTAGTCCATGAAGTTGTGAATTGGGTCCTCGCCGGGGTATTTGTCTCCCTTGCAGGTGTCCTTACCCTTGGGGCATCCTTGAGTGGGATCAGCCTGGGCTGGAGTGTCATCGACTTGGTCACCACCATCGCAGCCGTCCTGGAAGGTGTGGAAAAGACCCAACCAGTGTCCGATTTCGTGAGTGGCAGTCTATTGAGTAATGGATTAGTCAATTGATTTGCTTAGGGCAGAAGCTATAAGGGAGTTTGAATAAAACTTACTGCTCCTTGATCATACTTCTCAGTGCTGCCGCCAGGAACAGTGGAGTGGAGAACTTGGCAACCATCGAGCCAGAATTCATCGCTATCTTCCTCAACGTCTTCTGGGAAAACGCAGATTCCCAAAAGACTGTCACCGAGAGGTCGGAAGTAAACGTTCAAAGCGGAGTATCCACCCTTTCGGAGTTCCTTCTTCATAGCCAATTCAACAGTTGTATCATTCTCGTCAACAGCGGCAGTCGCCCATTCCTTGTTGACAGTTCTAGTAGTCTCCTTAAGGTCGAACTTGATACCGGTTTGCTTGTAGTCCTGGTTCATCTTGTCCAATTGCTTCTGGAGCTTGTCGTCTGGAACCCATCCATTTTCTTCGGTCTCATCGGAGCCAATGACGTGGAAATAAGTCTCAATGGTGAGAGTTCGGTTGGCAGCCATAGCGGCGGGAAAGGAGGATCGAGCATTGGCACGCTGGAAAGCCCTGGCTTGCTCCTTGAGGGCACCAGGAACTTGAGTAGTACCACACTTTCGCTGGGCAGCGGCCGCAATAGCCAACAATGGCATCAAGATGATGGAGGCGCGCATATTGAAATTTTTTTGTGGGTATTGTTACTTTAAATGTATTTGAAGTTATCGAATAAGAATGTATTCAAGTCGGTTGAAGAGTATATTGTGAATACAGCAAACCTGTGCTGAAAAGGCTATCGAGGAGAAATAGGCTGTAGATGATGGTGATGATGATTTTAAAACTTAGAATTTTAAACGACGGAACCTCCACTTTTATAGATTTTGGTGTCATCTAAGAATGGTATACATTCCTTATACCATAGCCAGTCGAGGTATGATGCACAGTTTCACGCCACTCCGCCCAGCCGCCGCAGCTGTGAGTGCCCCCATATTGCAGCTGTCAGATCCCGACATGATCTGACCGAGACATCTTCCAATTACAATCAGTCGAACTCCAAAGGATAACGCTCTCGGAGACTAGGATCTGGGGTGCTTACTGTGACTTGGTATAGCCATCGGAGAATAATACAGGCTATCTTCTTTGGTTCTAAGGCAGCCACAGATACTAATCCGAGAATTTACCTAAGCAATATTCAGGTTATCGGGAAGGGGTGTAGATACCATCCGACCATCTACCAATCATTCACTCAGATGCGCCAGTTGCGACAAGGAGGTGGTGCGCAAGAGCCCGATGTGCAGTTCGACTATACAAGTTCGACAGGTGCGACTAATGACTCGTGATTTACCAGAAACAAGCTTCCTGCGGATTATCTCTGCAAGGAATAGCGAGACGGGAACGAGCGAGTTGGTAGGCGTCAATGGTGGAATTTCGCATATATTGGTGTCTCGATCCATCTTTGAAGTATTGGGAAGGTATCGAGACGTCACACCCCAAGCCATATGCCCTAGGGAGATTCTATATTTCCCGGACTAGCAATAGATGTACCTGATATTGTATCAGGTTTCCTGCCCCGCTGGCTAGGTGTATACCTCCTTTGCCCCGAGTTTCCCATGTTCCTTAGCGCGGTAGACGTACGAACTCGAAGATCATCCGAAGGCTGGTATTTCTTTAATTGGGCAGGAGAAGTCCTTCGAGATTGGGAAGATGCCGGGTCCAACACACGTTCCTTGCAAGGAGGTTAGCGGCCTTGGCTGGCGATGTTTTGCCAAGCCAATAATTCTGGAATGCGGGCTTCCTATTCTTGATTGGCTGCGTGAAAAACACCTTACTATTGACCCTGAAAATCGTATGTCCATTGCATCGAGCCCCACGACCTCCCAAGGCTCGCAAGGTTGATCATTCCTGGGATGCCAGTCCCGGTTTCCCAGTTGAGCAAGAAAAACGTTGCTCAGTAAAACGGGTTTAGGCATTCTTGCGCCAACTAGCGAGACTCTGAGGCCTTGGGGGGGAAGGATTCCAGGTTTGGTTGCTTTCTTGGTGCAGGAATTCCGAGGCATATTCGTCCTGCGCCTCTTCGGGACGCTAGTGCGATACGACTGCGTGGAAGCATGTGCCGTCACATCGATCCGGCACAGATGCTAGTCTGAGGCACAGATGCAACCGAAGATATATAAGGTTAAATACCTAGCCTCGATCACCGTCTAGAACTGCGCAAAACAGCAGGCGAGTATTCAAAGAAGTATTTCCACCTACTACTTTGCCATCTAGCTTTCTAAAGATATCGTCTTAGCTGGCGATATCTGACCATCTGACCTCGTATGCCTGTTCCTATGCGATAGTAAGCTTTCCTTAGGATCGTATTATCCCGACATCGACCCGGGCAAAGCCTATGGCGTAGCATCTGTTACAAATTCGTGCAGGATGGATGAAACCATAAAGATAATTAGGTGACATCTCACGACCTGTCCCTCGTCATCCAAGAGAGCCAAGCTCTTATCATAAGCTTTCCCCAGACAAGCATACCCTCGCGATATAACGTCCTGAGTCGTCTCACCTTAAACGAGGAACCTCTTGATTGCATGGAAATAGTTCTAATCCGGCATCTCGAAAACAAGTTGTTAATGCGGTTATCGTCTCCATCCCTAGGAAGCGCCAGGTCTCGCGACTCTTGGCTTTCAGCAGACCTGTGGGCCCATCGTTTCGTCACGATCGATGAACGTCATCGAATTCTTATATCCCTACTGATTTGCTCTAAATTGTTTTGAAACAGGAGGGTCGTTAGTCTATCATACCCTGAAGAAGTTTAAAGGTACTGGTCGGTCTCCTTACCGTGTCCGCAACGATTGACGTGTGCCGTCCGGTAATGCCTACATTCTTGCTTATCATTCGAACCGTACGAAATTGCTTGTGATCAGCCTCTAATCTGAAACCGAAATAAGTCTTGGGTTGTCTCGAGTAGGAATGGTGGCCGACCTTTGGTTCTCATGAGACAATTCCTTAGAAGAGCGGTGGGGTTCTGGATCGAGTTGGGACGAATACCTTGATTTGTGTTGGGCTGTTGTAGTTCGCGTGCGACCCAATGCATTGGGCTTGGCGCTGAACCTCATAGCTTCCCGTTCAAGGTCTCGCGACGGACTCTGCTTTGGTTTCCCAAAAATCCACTAAAACCTTCCACCAAGAACACTTATTACAAAATCATGGACGATGATAGCGTGCTAAACGACGATTCGGGCTCATTAGAGCACCAGGTAAGACCCATCGCTGTTCCTCATCTCCGCAATCGGGATGCCTTCTTTGTATATACCCCCCTACTGACCAGTTCACACAAGGAAGGCTTGCTATATCTACACGCCGACTTCGGAGGCATTATCATTGTCAACTCCTAAGAAGCGTAGAGCGGCTTCGAGCTCTCGAACGCCGAGGTCTAAACGTGAAAAGACTGATTCAAATAATTGCGAAACAATTGGAGCTCTGGGACATGGTTTCCCTACACTTCTGCGCGATTTGGAGGGCGAGGATGCCGTTAATGCCAGGTTTGAAACGTTTCACAGATTATGGAAAGATGTTGAGAGGCGGACAGATGTGAGTTCTTCTTGTAGTTCCTTGTTTGTTTTGTTCCCTTATCATTTTTGCAGTTAGTTGTCGAATTAGGAAAGCTTATTAGAATGCATGATATAGGATGTTCTAGCTCAAGTGAATGACGAGACTTTGCAATCTGTCTCGTCGTTTGTCTCTAAAGCAAGCCAAGATATGTATGAATATACTATTCTCTATGTCTAATTTTGTGAGTAGTATGGGACGAAGACAATTGACCGGTTAACAGATATGGCGAGAAACTGCCAACGGGCCTGATTCTAACCGGACCGAATATCGCCGCTCATGGGGTTCTCTTTGAACAAATCGAAAGTCGCATCCAGAGCGTTGACAAACGTGGGAGAGTAGCCATCCTAACCTCCAAGGATTCGTCAAATCTGAAGAATGTGCTTAAAAAAATCATAAGATGCGTCACCGAGATACATGATGGTTTCGTTGACGAAGATGATATCGTAGAGGCGAAGTCAGGGAAAAATGTATGCCTTTCCCCTCCTTTTATTTTTTTCAATTCTTTTCATTTCTTATTCCCAAAATTCCGTATTATCCTAGATTCTATGGACAAAGCTAATAACTAAGTAAGCCATCTCGGTATAATTATGACCCTGAAATCATTCACGACTGGTGCTCAACCCATCCGGGTGCCAAAGTAGTGGTAGCCGTACAGGATACCGAAGCCTTCGACCCCGCGGTTCTCGTAGAATTAATATCGATATTACAGTATGTGCCTCCTAAACAAAATCTACTCTGTAAACCTACAATATTCTAACTGCCAAAAAAATTAGTCAATACCTCCCAAAGATCCCCTTTATCCTCCTACTAGGCATCGCCACATCAGAAGACATCTTCTATGAAAAACTCCCACACTCAACCATCCGCCTCCTCCGCGGTGATCGTTTCGATGTCCAAAGATTCGAGGAATCAATGGAACAAGTCTTCGAAGAAGCAGTTCTATCATCTCAATCCGTTCTAAAACTCGGTCCTCGGGTCGCAGATGTGATATTCGAACGACAGAAAGACCATACTAGAAGTGTTTCGAGCTTCGTCATGGCACTGAAATATGCATACATGTCACACTTCTACGCAAACGCTTTAAGCGTTATTTTGGGCTCTATAGATTCTGAAGAATCTCTTAATACGATTCTATCGGATGCCCATTGCGAAGCAATCCGGAATCTACCGTCGTTTAAGCCATTCGTTGAAACGAAGATTTTGGGATTCCCATGGCGTGCACGAGAGTTGTTAACCTCTAATAAAGCACTAAAATCCGCGGTCTTCACTGCATCCAAAGAATGTCAACGGTATAGCACCAATCTAGCAGAAGCCATAAACCTCTTTCGAAAATTGCAATCAATAGTCTCTCCGCAACAAGCAAACGAAATCCCGACCTACGAACTCTACTCTCGTATCCTGTGGGGGGAATTTACAACTCGTCCGGCATTCAGAGACGCAATGTTAACTACCAAAAAAATCAGTTCCGAAAAGTTCCTTACATTATTAACCACCTTATCGGAACTCCCTTCTGAACTGTCAGAGAAACTATCAATCGCAGCGGATAAAGTCCAGGAGTTACAATCCGAAAAGGCGGCGAAAGGTAGTTCCCTCGTCTCTGAATTCGTACTACCCGACTCCCACCGTACAACCGTCAAATCAGGCCGTGTACGTCTCGACGAACAGAAATCCAAAATGACATCACAAGATACCGAATACCAAAAACTCGTCACTTCAACCGTACAAGATCTTGAAACTTACTTCAAGAACAAATTCAAGCCTTATACGAATATATTTCTTCACGAAATATTCTTTTATGATTTGAAATCACCGCATTCGCAAGTTTTTGCAGCAAAGCCTAGGCCGAGTGTGGAAAGGGCGTTGAGTAGACCTGGTGATTATTTGGGATGTGAATGTTGTGGCGGTGGCAATGATGATGACGGGGCGGGGATAGGCGGGTCGCAGCCTTATTCTGCTGTTCTATACCAACTGTACCTGGAATCTCCGGCGTTGATTGGTGTTTATGATCTTTGGAGTGCGTTCAGGATGGTCTGTCTGGGCGATAAAGCGGATCAAGAGGCAGATGATGATGACGAAGAAGAGAAAGAGTTACAGTATGTCTACACCCCTTTCTCCCCACTCTACTCTAACGAAATATGTGTGTGCGTGATTAGACTAACAAAATTGGGGGATGTTATTACAGGGCACAATTCTATAGAGCTCTGGCAGAGCTCCGATACCTTGGATTTGTAAAGTATAGCAAGAAAAAGACAGACCATCTGGTCAAATTAGCGTGGAAGGGACTGTGAAAACTCCCAACTTCCTTCCCGTCCCATGCAATATACATAACGATAATGCTAAAACAAATTAACAATAACCTTCAGCTGAAATAGAAACAAAAGTGAAATCGGGAAGAAGAACAACAAGAAAGAATGATGATTACAAAAATAAGCCTTCCCATAAAACAGGACAAAATCAGAAAACCCCGAAAGTCCTGCAAAACGCCCCAATGCATCTATATCCCATTCCGAAGTTTCCATAAAATGCTTATCCGTGTCATCTCATCGTCAATTTAAAAAAAAGAAAGAAAGGAAGGAAGGAAGGACCCGGCTTCAAAACGTGAACCTATCCGCCTCAAACCGTCCCACCTTCCCAGGCCTAACAACCTCATAAACCCCATCCGCACCTTCCTCAGCCACAGCCACAACCCACCCATTCCTAACCAAAACCTCCAAAATCCTTCTAACCTCTTCATCACCCTTAACGACCAATCCATCATCCCCGAGCCAATACTCCAAATTATGAACCCCATCCCATCCTTCCATCGCCACGAACCTCTCCGCTAACACATCAACCTGATATTTGACCCAATCCTTCCAAGATCTTGACGACCATTGGGGTTGTATTTTCTTCCCGTTAGCACGGTTCGTGTGGTCTGCGGTTGGACAGTTTAGGTGGGATGTTAGAATTGCTGAATCTACGGATTTCAACCATGACGAGGAGATGTTGGTGAATGGGATCGGTGAGAGGATTTGGGAGAGTGCTTTTGTGCCGGAAGGGGTTATGTCGATTCCTCCGTTGATTAATGAAGAAAGGAAGATATTTGCTGAAACTCCATGGTGGTATGATGATTGAGAAGAAGATGATGAAGCTGAAGAAGTTGGAGGTGGAGAAAATGACGAGATAGTTGAAGAAGGTTGAAGAATTGAGGGTGGTACTACCGGTGGTTCATGGTGAATTGATGAAACATGAACACTACGGTTTTGAAGACGGGTGTATTCGTTCTGATGACGGTGGTGGTGGTGATTGACATCTTTTTGACGTGGTTGTTGGCAGTGGTAGTCCAGCGCTGCTGCGGCTGGAGAAGTTAAGGTCCTCAATTGAAGGTTTGGAGTGGAAGCGCAGGACCGAAGGATTGGTCTGTGGATTGGCAAGTTCTTTGGGAGTCGTAGCATCTTTGTCTTTTCTCGTTGAAAAGGATATATATAAATACCACTGTATTTTTATATATTCAAAAAGAAGTGTGGATATTTAGTGGAAGTTGGATTTGATAAATGCTGCTTAGCTTGATCGAATTGTCGAAGTCCTTGAATGTTGGAATCGAAGTTGCGAAGTATCGAGATCTTTATATACCCAAAATAAACCTCAGAGGTGCGTTCGAAGGTTACAAGAGGATAATAATAAAAAAAGGCCCTATGACCTAATATAATGCCACTGCCCCCCCTTTATTTAAAACTCTTTTCAAGAGATTGTGTTAAAACAGAAAGAGAGAATAAAATGTCTTGAAAGAAGACGTCGTTCGATACGACGTTGGCGAGCAATAATGTTTTAGACAATTTATCAAAAAGTCTAAATTAAACGGTGTGGTTTTAGGTGAACGTCGCCGCCGTTTTAGAATTGTGACGTGAGCGAAACGGTGGTCTTTCTTCAGCCAGTTGGTCAATCAGGTCGAAAGTTTAAAAGTTGAAAAGTAAGCGCTCCCCCCAATGCAATATTAATTAATAGTTCGTCGAACTGGCTGCAGAGGACTTGAAGGCCTTTTTAAATGTATGTTTCTTTTATATATTAAAAATCGAACAAGACAAGGTAGAAAAGGTTAAATTCTAGTTTTGGGGGGGATCGATTTTAGGCTCAAAAAAAAAAAAGTCGACCGCCTTTCCAGCTTAAATACTCCGAACGAATAATTAAAGGATCGACTCCCTTTCGTATTACCAAATTTATAATTCTTGATGGAAAGATCCACAGTAAAAGAGAAGATTCGAAGCCTTGAATCGAAAGAAGTCCACGTGAGAAAATTCAAAAGGGATGGGCCAAAAAAAAAAAAAAAAAAAAAAAAAAGAAAGGAGACAGATCTGAGAGTACGTTCAGACAAAATGTCAAGTATTTAAGTACTCAGGAAGTACTTCTTTAAAACAAAATAGATTAGCGATGAACCACCCCCATCGGAATCACTGCGAGGCGACGTAATATCTTATTCTCTATTAATGCAAGGCAAATCACTGAACCAAATAACTGAATTAAAAAAAAGCACACTTGTAACTCCTAAAGCTCAAAGCTTTACGATACACTTACATAAGGGAATGAAGCTCCATCGACGGACTATTTGGTAACTATTGGAGAAGCAAACAATAGGGCAGGCATGCATGTTGAAGTACCCACTTGTATCATGTAGGGAATGTTCCGGCCCTCACTTCGATGATAAGCCGGCGTCCGAAGGTGCAGCTAGCCTAGCTAATGGGGGAGCACAAGGCTCGCCCGTTGAGATACCATTTCGGTTGGAGAAGGCTTATAAATTTATCCTTTTCCTTTGGGGGCGGCGGCGCGCAAACAGTTCTTTTTAAAAAAAAATGTTGGCTTTTTTTTTTTTTTTTTGAGTCGCAAACCAGCCGGGAGAATTGTCTGTTTCTGTTCCGGTTGAGGATTCTTTTTGTGGGGAATAATAGTTCTCTCTGACTTGAGTACTCAAATGTATCATGCAGATGATAAGGAGAAGGAGATGAGGTAGCTTAGTTGCCAATGAGAAGAAGAAGAATAGCAAGACACTTTTTCGTAGAGCTGTCATGGCGGTGGTGCAGGTGGATCCATGGATCCATAGAGGCTTGCGTTCCTGATGATATCATTGGTATAGATGTCACATCTCCATACATCCTTACAATTTAATCCCCCTTCCGGCGCGGAAGCTGGTTGTACGAACTGTATGTGTATGTATACACAGTACTTATTTGCTTGCGTTTATTCCTTCCGCGATAGAGCGTTCGCGATCAAAATATGCGTCGGGATGCATAGGTAGAAAGTAACCGCCCCATCCTTTGCCAGCAGCACCCATGAATTCAATCAACAGATTACCATAGCCTGGTCACGGTTTTGAAGCTCAAAACATTAAAAATTAAAATCAAAAAGCCAGTTTATAGTCGGTCTGGTGGTGCTCCACAGCTCTGGAGAGGACGTCGCCAGTTTATTCCCAACCAGCAGCCGAAAACCAAGGGAAGGTCGAGGGATCATGATCAGAGAGCTAAGTTAGGTCCAAAGTCCGTGCTGCCCCTGGAACCGAGTCCTGCCGAGTTCTCCGAAATCCAAACCCCAAACCGCTAGATATTTCTCAAGTAAAAAAAAAGCATCATCTGATCAGGTCAGGTAGGCCTCTAATCCAACTATTCGAGAAGGTAGACACTTTAGCGGGCAACCGCATAAATAAATATATAAGTGTATATAAGTATATAAGTAAATATAGGTAGATTAGAGAATGATTGCGGCCATCTACGAATATAGCATATACTAGCATCAGTACTACAATACTGGATAATATTTATAGTAGAAGACTCGATTAAATCAGGAAACAATCGATCGATCAAAACGACCTTCGGTTTATAATTTATTACATCACTTGCCGCTAAACTTATCGCTCCCCCCGTAGACACCCCTGGAATCCCCAGACTACCCTGGAATATAAAATAACACCCCGGCGCTCGAATTCAACTTGAAAAAAAAATAATAATAATAATAGATAAAAAAAAATGATAGAAAACCAAAGGCGAAAGGAGAACTGGGAACTAAGAAATAAAATAAGAGTAGAAGAAGAAGAAGAAAATGAGTACGTCAAGTAATTGACAAGAATCGAATTGTAATTTTTGATTTTAAGAAAAAGTGGATAACATATAAAGATTTTAAAAGAAGGCGGAACCAACCCCCCCGGCAGCCGAGCATGTAGACAAACTGTATCATTGAAGGGGAGAGAGAAAAAAGAGCACCACCCAGAGGTATGTATGATACACTTTGGCAAGGCTAAGAAATAGAAGTAGTAGTAGTAGGTAATAAAAGTAAGAAAAAGAAAGAGAAAAAGAGGTATTAAAAACAAGCCGCAAAAGGGGAAGGGGTACCCATCCCGGATCGATGGATAGACCGAACAGACATACGAGTAAATGAAGAGAGGAAGAAAAAAGAAGAAAAAATAATTATCAGTCCAGACTCCAACCCAATGGCAAAGAGAAGCGCGAAACTAACATAGTGAAAAAGAAAGGTTTTGACTACGAATAAAGAAACACCCAAACAAAATCAGGAGTACCTGGAAGCAAAGGGAAACAGGGATAACGATGGAATCGGTTATAAAACAGAGTGTTGGACAAAAATATACAAAAGGGAAAAAGGAAAAAGGCGACAAAGGTGCTTTTGGTCGGAAGCTAACTGGAAAAAGTGCACAAAGTAAAGTTGGGGCAGAATATGTTCAAAGAGCATTCGTTCTCTCGTTCGGTATCCCTTCTACTTCCTCCGTTTCCAAGGTATCTTGTGACCTATTTTTCTTGGAGCCGGGGTGCTATCATACAAACTTCCAAAGAAAAACGGTGATCAGATCCAAAAAGGAAGCCTCTGGGAAAGCCTAACAGGGAAATATTAGATGGGGAGACATGCGAATAATCGTGAGGGAGTTGCGTGGTAAGTATAATAATCGAGTCAAGATGTAGACCTTATCATCCTGCGTGCGCACTCAAATTTGGATTCTGGTGGTTGGAAGGATAGTCCATACGACGTCCGTTGGCTGATGGATCTTGGTCGAAACTGAAACTGTGACTATGATGTGAATGATTTCCATTCTCATTGGCGTACATCGGCTCTGGTAATCGGTGTGGTTCTGGGGCTGGCGGCGTCGAGACTTGACGAACGGTTTGATCCTTATACCACCCTTCGCCGGTTCGATCATTATTCACATGATGAAGAGTAGGCTTGTCTGTGTTTTGCGCATTCCCGCCTCTCCCTCCTGGGTGTTTTCCAGGAACAGAAGAAAACTTAGCAACGTCCCCGTATTTCTTCAAAATTTCCTTGGTACTCATATCGGAAGTAGCCATCATGGTTGGGTCGGAAAGTATCACCAACAAATCCTCAGGGACCTAAAATCGCTAGTTAGGATCATCACCGTGAAGCGGCTAGCAGATGGCATATTAAAACGTACCTCGCACATCTGCTCGTTGTATTCGATCAATGTGTGGATTGCTTCTATTGCGAGGAAACTGTCGTCCATTCCGGGAACCTGGTTTTTCATGTACAGGATATTTGGGGTAATAACAGTGGCTAAGTTGTGAACGTCCATCTTACTTCCAGATTCTTCGTCGACATGCGAGAATGAGGCTACCCAATTGAGGAAAGAGAACAGGATTTCTATAGAGTCTCGGTGATATTTAGGAAGTAGACAGCATGTTAAGTGAAGAACACGACGCTTTTTCTCGTCGTCCTCAAGCTCTATAGTTTTGTTAGCAAAGCATTTCCCGCGGAACCGTCCACTTTAACTTACTCTGAGAAACAATAAAGAGCTTGTAAAGCTTGAATGTGAGAAGTGGGTCCGGCAGCTCTCGTAGGAACTTTTTGAGCAAGGCAGCGACTTGAACAGGCCCTTCTTTAACGAGATCCACATTTTCGGCACCGGAATCAATCTGGGCAGTCAGATCTTTGAGTCGGCGAATGTTACCGTTCTTTCGGAAGACACCCTCAACGGACATGTCTAGGAAAAAGGATTAGCTAATTCATAAGACCGACGAAGTGGCAGAAACTCACCTAATTGTTTCATCGCACTAATAGAGTCATCTAAGAGAGCCGGCACCCTCAGTGTCCCAGGACCAATCCCCAACGACGACTCAGCATGGTCTTTTTCGATGAGCTGTTCGAGCGGAACACCGAAAACTGCTTAAAAAAACAAAACAAAAATATATAAGCCCAGTCCAAATACCGCAGGAGACATCCTACATACCATTTTTCTTCTGTTTCTTGTTCTTGGTCCCGTCTTGTTTAAACCCTTTAGTAAACTTGTTCCACAGAGTTTGCTTCCCGCTTCTTTCGATCAAATCTAGCAACTCTTCGAGGTTAAAATGATCAGATACAAGTGGCAGCATACACATGCAAGCAAGATGGCGGATGATAAAATAATCGATGGCTGACAGCTCCGAAAAGTATCTTCGCATTCGGACCGGCTGTTGTGGCTGCCCACTTCCGGTAGAATCCCTCTGGTAACCATTCATCAGTTTCGGTTGGTGCATCCCGCCCGTCGAGAAGAAGCCCGAGGTACGGTGTTTAAACGCATTAGGACGTTGTTCTCTAGCCTGTTCTTGAGCTGCTATTCGCGGTATATCATCAAGGGTGAGGGTCTTCTCATCACCAAAGGTGAGCTCGTTGATAGCTTCGCCGTTAACATCTCGATCCTCTACGATCCTGAAACGTTCTCTTTCATGAGATCCTTCGGCGCCAAAATTCTCGTTCTCGATGATCCTCGACTGTCGAGCTTTTCTACCACTAGACGTGAGTTTCTGGTCGAGACGCGTGGATCGTAGCCGTCGAACATCTGATACTGTGCTATTGTAGCCTTCCCCTTCCCCATGATACGACTTTGATCGGCTTTCGGCAGTCAGAGCACCTGGAGCGAGCGAGTGGCCAGCATCATCATATCCGGTCAAATTAGGATCATCTGTGGCGATATTAGCAAACGCGCGCAATACTGCTTTCTAAAGGGGGACGATCCTACCGGATGTGTGAGGCAGCGTGCCACCCTCCTTCAACATGTTCAAAAGACGAGCCAAAGCCACTCTTAAAAGATATACATACTGTTTCAACCTACTAACGTGCTGAAACCCTTTCTGCGCATCTGGGAAATGAACCACACAAGAAGCGCATAATATAGTCGAGGCCGGTGAAAGTCTTGCGGAATCGATATCGTTCTTAAGGGAATTATTGCAGTTTGAGCAGTTGAAGCAGTTTATATGCCACTTAAGCATCCCGAACTTCATACATTCATCCTCAATCGTATTATGACAACCATAGCATAGATCCGAGTTAAGGTCCGCTAGCGCAGTGTTGACTTCAAATGTCGGCTTTACATCCTTTGCAGCTTCGAGATCGGATAGCTCAGCGAGGAAGCGGTTAAACGCATCTACATTACTATAATCGCGCTCCTAGAGTAGGAACCCTATTAGATACTTCGATGGGTCCAACTTGGGAATAAGGGGGGGCGTACTAGCTTCAGGGCGCCTTGTAAGCTGATCCTGATCAGCAGTTTTAGATAGTGCGCAAGACCTGTTACTAGAGAGAGTAACTCTTGCGTCACACCAAGCTTACGGACTCCTGTCTCCTGCGTTTTAGAAAGTAACGTAAAAAATGCTACGATCTTCTTACACAGTAGCTTAGCCTCTCTCGAGTAAGCAAGCCCTATTAACGTCTTGTCAGCAGTGGCGTTGTCTGAATAGAAATCTTAGGTGCCTACCTTCACCACCAATTCGGTACAGCTCTATATCGAGGTTGTCGGCGCTGGTGAACAGAAGCTCGACGTGCCATATGAATTTTTCAGCGACAAATACCCCGTCGACATAAGCTCCGTTGGAAACGTGTAGCAACATGTCGCTGATGTTGGCAGCAGAAGACTCCTCGTAGGTCGATAGTACGCTCCATATGCGATAAACTTTCTCCTCCATCTTTTCTTCGGCGTCTCTGACGATTGAGCGCCGGGCACTCGAGGGATCCTTTTCACCTTCTTCTTGTATTGTTGGTATTTCAGATGAATCCGATTCTGCCAGTTTAACATTCCAAAACTAAAAAGGGTGGCACCATAGTAACGGGTTAGCGATATGAAGGGGTAGAATTCCATCAACCTTGAGGAGAATAGCTAGCCGACCTTATGTATCATGTAACACTCCGGATGCCAATGTTGGTTTACACCGTTCCTAAATATTTCAACAAACTGCTTAAGTATTGCCGTTTGACAACCCTGGCATCTGGCGGCGAATTTCGTGGAGTAATGGTAGTGACAGTAGACTTCGCCATCGTGTTCGTAATAGGAATCCTGAGGCCCAAAGACGGTTGGACAGACGCAGCAGGTGAAATGCTCTATGTGATATTTTCGTTCGAGGGCTGTGATATAGCTCCCGCGCAGGGCGCCACCGCAGGCATGGCATAGCAGGTCTAGACGTCTAAAGTAGTCTGTCTCGCAGAGAGGGTATTGTGTGGTGCCGTCCTCGGAGTCTACGGGGAAAAACTTCTGGGCTACGATTGTTCCACAGTCCTATAGGGAGGAGAGACAAGAGAAGAAGAAATTTGAATGAGTATATATTTTTGGGGGGTCGCATGAGATTTTATTAGAGAGAGCGAGAAGAAAAAACGTACTCGACATCGGAAACAGTCCAGATGGAAGGTGCCGCCGAGCGCCCTCACAAACTGGCCGGTTAAGGGCAGTTCGCATTTCTTGCATATCCTACGGGTGGCTTCGCTCTTAGAGGAGCCTCTGGGTTTACCGTCGGTCGGGGAAAGGTTAGGTCGGTCGTCGGATCGCCTTTGGGAGCTGATATCAAGGGTGGGAGGCGGAGGAGCAGAGACGGAAGCAGGAGGACCGGGAATGAGAGCATTAGGGATGTTGTGACCTCTTATCTGAGGGTCGCTGTACGGGGAAGCCATTGGAAGGGAAGGGAAGGAAAGGGAGAGAAAGAAGAAAAAGGGAAGGATGATAGTTGGCCGTCTTGGCCGTCGTCGTCGCTGTCGGTCGGTTCGGGGTGTGGGCCTCAAAGCTGAGGCTGGCAGACTGGCTTACGGCGGAGGCCCCGACGCAGGACCAGGACAGGACAGGACAGGACAAGGCGATTCCGCACACGCACGCACGCAGATAGACACGCGAGCAAGTTGAAATGTATGTGAGTATGCGTATGATGTATGCGAATTGAAGGAACGAACGGGGAGACCGAGGGCGAAAGGGTCGCCAGGGGAAATCGAAAGAGGAAGTGGCGGTTGGGGAGGAGTTGAGGTTCAGGGTTTTAAGCGATCGAGGTATCTCCTCTGGTTCTTGTTTCTGATACAGTCTTTCTGTCTGTCTGTCTGTCTGTCTGTCTCTGTCTGTCTCCACACATACACACACGTAGTTACAGCTCAATCAATCGGTGGTGTTATGGTCTGGCAAACAGCACTCCATTCGGACAGTCGACATTGATGACCGGGATGGGAGGAGACAAGGAAGCGATGAAGCTGGCGACAACGAGGTTCCCCTTCTGTCTTTTCTCTGATGATATCAGTTCGGGAGAGAAGAAGCTGGTGATGATGGTACTGAGGTTGGAGTTGGATGATGATGATGATGATGATGATGATGATGTATACTTTGGGGGACGATGGTTGATGGTTGATGGTTGATGGGTAGCGGTTGATGGTGATGGTTGAGAGTTAAGTGCAGTGAAGTAAGTGAGAGAGTGAAGTGAGTGTGTGTGAGAGAGATTGCGAGCGGTCTCGAAAGAGAAGAAGCGAAATAAAATGGTGATTGTGATGGTTACTGGGTATCTCTCTCCTATTGACTGTGCACCCGGTTACCACTCTGCCACTCTTTAATTCTGTTCTCTCTTTGCCTCTTTCCCTCTCTCTCTCCCTCTCTCCCTCTCTCTCTCTCCTGTTCTCTCTTCTCCTTTACCCAATCGATCGATCAATTAATTAATATTAGTAGCTAAGTAAGTATACTACTCTTTTAAAACCACTTGTTTTCTTAACTCAGTAGCTATTGACCTATAACTACCCGATTATACTAACTGCTAGTTACTTAGTAGCTTAGGTAGGTTACTGGAATAGAAAGAATCGAACTTATGCAATGCACAGTACTGATTTTTATTTTTATTTTATGAAGTAGGCGCCAACAGAGACAGCTGCAAAGCGTTTAATTTTATTATATAATCCCCCCCGCCCGGTGCCCCGGGGTTGCATGGTCGGGTCTCGAGCTCGCGCGGGTCCTGGTTACTAAACTCGACTCGATTTAATTTGAAACTTAACTTCAATTCAAGAACGACTTCAAAGCTAAAGACTCCGAACCACGATGGGCTGCCAGCTAGCTACCTGCATTGCATGCATTGTTTCACTATTATCGATAAGAGCTGTGGTCCTTGGCACAGTTGCTTCATCCGTATATTACAGTACCATGCATTGAATTTGACGTTGGATTATTGACAAGACAATTTTGTTTTTAATTGCTATGGAGTCGATGACTGGGTACAGGCAGACGACCATCAAGTGGAATGCCTCGATTTATATACCATATTCCAAAATATCCAAAACATCCAATACGAATGTTGCAACTGCAGGTTTACTAGTATATATACTAGTTAGTATCAATGTCAGAGATGTACTCTAATATATACTGTCATATCACTAAGTTAACTTGCAGTTTATGTCAGAGATGCACCGTAGCTCAAGGGTACTAGTTATTGCTTGTTAGCTTATTAATCTTCCCGTCTCTACCCGATCAATCAGAGGTTTTCCTCTATGACAGACTTCGATTTTCTGAGTACCATCGGAGTATACTACCAAGTATTTAAGTACTTGTTTAAGAATACTTCAAGTAATATGCCCCCATGAAAATATAACATGAGTACGTCCGCAACCGTATGATGTACCCATAGCAGTCATGTTAATATATAATATAAGCTACTTAAGCTTGGGTACCTAGTAGGTATATATAAAGGATCAGACCGATCACTACAATACGCCCTATGCTCTATAATTAAGCCTTAGTATATATATAGCGTGCCGACATAGTACAAGACTAGTATATAGCACTTATGCTAGGAACTCTTCGCGAATTCAGCCCAATTCAACCACAATTCAACCAGTTCAGTGACGATACAAGACTACTCCGCGGCCTTTATCTTGCAATGTACTTACATGTCATATACTTATAGATACTTCAGTATATAAACCACCAGGAGCCGATGCACGGTCCCAGCGCCCGCAATCCGGACACTCGCAGAGACTACTAATTATATACCAAACCTGACCAATAATATGATAGCTAGAGCTGGGAGGTTTTTAAGAGATGTGCACACTCTCAATGCGCGCCGTCATTGTTTCTAGACTAGCATGCATGTAAAGGGCACGTGTAACCATCAAGCTATGTGTTGTTTGGTTGCAGCTCAAAAGTAGCTCAGCTCCCCCACCAACCTGACCCAAATGGCATCGGGGCGGCCCCTCTCCTCCCCAACTGTGCCACAATCAACCAGCTGTACCAGCTACCAGAGAGTTCCCTAGCAACCTGGGTAGCCCGCCTCGTTAGTTACCATCCTAGGTACTGTCTACTGAAATAGTCACCCAGTTCCCCAGGATCCAGCCTATGACCCACTATCGCTCGACTCAATCTGCCCTACTACCAAGTACGCATCTAGGAGGTATCGACGGCCTAACCCTCCTCACCACGTCCATTTATCATTGTCATCAATCCTGTTAAATCATCAACCTACCCCTCGCACACCGCACTCTCTCTTGACCAATCCCCGCTATCTCGACATCGCCATCACCATCATTATCACCACCGCCCAATAACCTTGTCATCATGAACCAGTCCACCCTGCGGCTCACGCGTGTAAGCTATCACCTCCCCCACCAATGCCATCATCGCTATCATGACCACCACTGTCTTAGTATAATCACCGTCACCAGCTACCTTCCAGTCACTAAACTTTTTATTTCTCTAGGAGCTAGCAGATATTCAGAAATCAAATGACTTATGTCAGTCGCGTTCATCAAGTCCTCCTTCAACATTATTTAAGAGTTTCACTGACTAATATTGATATAACTTCCCTCCTAATAGCAATCGCTGTCGCTTGCCGAGATTCGGATATCAGAAATATCAGAGCCCTGATTCTTGGCCCACCTGAGACTCCCTATGAATTTGGCTTCTTCGAGGTGAAAACTACTCATCACTGTAAAAATGTTTCATACAATTCTAATAGTGCTAACTTCCTGTAACTAATAGTTTACTATGAAATTTCCTAAAGGTGCCTTGAACCTATTCAGATACGAACTCTCTAGTCTAGCAGAGCTCTAACACCTACTATTCTTGTCACAGAATACCCTGGAAAAGCACCCGCTGTCAATGCTATAACCACAAACGGAGGACGCTGTAGATTCAACCCAAACATATACGCTGGCGGCAAGGTCTGCTTGTAAGTTCCCCTGCTCTAGCCTCTTTATCTCACTCAAAGCTAAATAGATCATACAGGTCGATTCTAGGGTAAGCTCTATTCACTAAATTTATTCTTCTATCCCATAGCTTCGCCACCACACGAATACTTAAGACACATATTTCACAATCAGGACATGGAGAGGCGAACGAGGAGAAGAATGGTCGTCAGCACAAGGTTTGGAGTCCATCTTGATTTCTATCCAGAGCTTGATGTCTTCAAACCCATATGAGAACGAACCGGGCTATGAAAACGCCAACAGTCAACACGACAAGGACAATCAAAAGGCCTACGTGCTAAAGGTAATTGATCCAAACTATCCTCTCGTTTTTCAAATATGGATCGTCTCTTACAAAGAATATATCGTAGATTCGTCACGAGACACTTCGAATCGCCATCATCCAACGACTAGAAGAATACCTTGGCTTAAAAGCCGACGGAACTTCCATCGTTCGCGAACCTCGAGACGAGGCCGGAGGCGACAGCTCGTCGGCTTATGTTGACGAAGGCGGCGTATACTTCTTCGAACCTTTTAAGGACCTCTGTAAGCGCCGTTTCCTCTGGTATTACGACACGTACCTTGCTTCCATCCAAGCCGAAAAGGAAAAAGTCACAGAGGGCCAAGCTTTCGTCCAAATGCCATTCGAGATGAGTGGTGGTAGCGGTGGTAACTCAATGGAAGGGAAATTCAATTATCCGGAACTAGAGAGAAGAATTCAGAATATCCGACAAAAGCTTGATGTCGAGGCGGAAGGCTGGGGAGTCGAAGGGATGAAGGCGTTCAAAGACGAAAGGGGAGTTGCGGCCAATCTACAAAGACAGTTCGAACAGGCAAAGGTGTTCTTCGATAAGAGCGAGGCAGCTACTCTGGATATGGAACTGGAAGACAATAATCCATTTATATGGCGCGTGGTACGACTTTCAACAAACATAGATTTGAGGGCTAGGGCTAGGCTAACATACGACTCCCACAGACCTACTTTGGACGTCCGATGACCAATCTCGATGGTGGTCTCTTCATCTTTACCGTTCGCTTTTCTGTCCGCTTCCCGGATGAGCAACCCCGTGTTCAATTTAGTACACCAATGTTCCACCATAAGATCAATAGTAAGTTTCAATCAGTCAATCGATATCTGAATAACCATCGCTAATGTCATTCTAGAGGATGGGATCCCGGCATATTTCCCGGGCGGCCTCCACCCCCGACCGGATGATGCTAAGAGTCATATCGAAGGTGTTATCAGTCTTCTGGAGGAGGAAGACCCGGCATACGACCCTCGAACACAGATCAATATCGATGCTTCAAAACTATACTGGGGCACCAAAGAAGAGAAGCGAGAGTATAGTAAACAATTCAGGAGGTAGGGCTGCCCTCAATCACAATTATAATGCTATAATACTAATCTTAAAATTCAATAGGTCGGTTCAGCGGTCTATAGAATACGCATAGGAACTTTCCTACTGCAGAAGACATAATCCACTTTTACCCCTTTGTTCTAGCGTCTTATTTGTGGCGGTCACTCACTCGCCATTTTTGCCTTTCGTTGATCATATACTATCGACATTAATATTCCCTCTACCCTAACCGACCTTTTCTACGACAAAAGAAACTTGTTAAGGCGCACTATCGATTTTTCTCTCTCCTGGCTTGGGTGCAATACTTATAAACACGAAAAAAAGAGAAAAAAAGAGCAGAACATAAAAAGGAGGAAGGATTGTTGAAGGGAAGAGAGGCAAAATCAAAAACCATTCATGTAAACTGTTAAAAAATTATGGACTGACTGCTCAAAATTATGGATTTGACTGGATTGCAACCCGGGAACCGGTACTGGTGGGGCGTGAGGATTAAAAGATACCTTCTGATATACGCTGTTATTCTGCTGTTGTTCGTTTTTCGTTTTTCTTTTTTTGCTTCGGTTTCTTTTTGCCATTCATTACTTCCCCGTTCTTGTGAGGATGTTCTTCTCTGTTTCTTGCCTTTTTAACCTTATAGCTTATCATGATTTTAATCAATTGATACAAAGTATCTTTGATTGATGAAGATATAACTTTTAGTAAAAACACAGAACCAGCCGAGATATCTTATAAGGGAAGTAATGTCGTGCCAGTGCAGGTTATCATGTAGGAATTCAATATACAGATTCTAGTAGTATAATATGTACACGCATCGTGGCTCCCGCAGGATATGAGGATATTACCCTTTATATAGCTGGCGGAGCAGCAGCAGTAACCTCTTCACCCAACTCCTCCGGCCACTCATTAACCCCTAACTCACAAATCCTTAGCACAGTATACCGATGCTTACTCTTAACCTTCTTAACCCTCCTCTGCCTCCTCTTGGTCTTCTCCTTAATCCTCATGGGTTCACTGGTAATCTCCACAACCACTGCTTTGCATTCAAACAATCTGGGGTCGATATAAGGTGTGCCCTTTATGGTATATTCTCTCGATCCGAGGGTTGAGGCATGGGTTAGACGGATTATGTCACCCGGTTGGAGGGGTTTGTTTAGTGGATTTGAGATTAGGGGGTTCTTTGGGGGGTAGAGGAGGGATGGGAGGGTTATGCGGTCGCCGAGGGTAACGAGGTAAGGTGTATTGTGGATGTGGATTGTTGTGTAGTATGGAGGTTGGTGAAGGAGAGATTTGTGGAGACGGGTGAGGGTTTGGAGGTCTTGCGAGGGTTGGGGTGATGTTGATGATGGTGATGTGGAGGGGGGTGGTAGGGGTGGTTGTGATGGTAATGCTGTTGTTGTGGCTGTTGTTGTTGTGGTAGTTGAGGTATGTCGGAGTTGGCTAGGTGATGGGAGGAGGAGTCTGGAGGATGAGAGGGCTGGGAGGAGTGATGACTTGGAGATGATGGTTGAAGAGGCGGATGCGAGCAGGCTTCGGCGCGAGAGGGCTGGTAGGATGGACATTGTTGGTGGTATAAAGATCTAGATGTAAAACTCAATTGGTATCCTAAGCTTCAATATAAGAGGGTGTAGTTATATATAGGAGCTTACTGTAATCGCGAAGTTTGTAGGCCCCCCGTTCTCGCTCTCTCCTCTTTGATATCCCGGTCTGGGTCTTTGTCGTCGCAGAAGGTTCCGGTCTGGATGCTCAGTGGGAGGTTTTTTTGGGTTGTAGTTTGTTGGAGGTTTGGTTTCTTTGTGCCAAGAGATTAGATTAGATCTGATTTGATCTCATACAATCTTATCAGATCTGATAATCGGCGCCTTTGCTATTTTTTCCTCTTCGCCAAAACCTTTTTTTTTCTTTGCCAGCAATTTACCTTCTACTATCACCACGACACCAATCCGTCTGGATATTAATCAGATACACACCCTTGTAAATACCTTCAAGCTGGTCGCCACGAGCATCGCGCTCGATACACTGTCACAATGGTATGTCCCTCTTACTTTTCCTCAAAAATATACTCAGACAGAAGAACTAACAGCTAACTCCACATCTAGCCTCAAAACGAGTAACGTCCACCCCATACCCCCACCATTATCACCACCACCACTCCATCTCTAACAATTTACAATTCTAGATATATCGAACGGTGGTCTAAACTCCACGGTAAACGTCTCGACCATGAAGAACGAACCAGAAAGCGTATCGCCCGTATGGCGCATAACTCCTCTAAATCTGCCCAAAAACTACACGGTCTTCGCGCAAAACTCCACGCCCAAGCCCGGTACAAGCAGAAGGTCCAGATGAAGAAACAGATAAAATCCCACGAAGAGAAATCCGTCAAAACTTCGGATCCTGGTCCATCTTCCGAGCCATTGCCTCCATACCTTTTGGATCGTAATGAACCCAAGAGTGCCAAGGCGTTGAGCTCGGCCATCAAGCAGAAGAGAGCTGAGAAGGCTGCGAAATTCTCGGTGCCGCTACCGAAGGTTAGAGGTATTACTGAGGAGGAGATGTTTAAGGTTATTAAAACGGGCAAGAAGACGGCAAAGAAGTCATGGAAGAGGATGATTACGAAACCGACGTTTGTTGGACCAGATTTTACTCGTCGACCCGTGAAGTACGAGCGTTTTATTCGTCCTATGGGTCTTAGATACAAGAAGGCGAGTGTCACACATCCGGAGCTAGGAGTTACGGTGCAGTTGCCTATTCTTAGCGTTAAGAAGAACCCGCAGAGCCCCATGTATACACAGTTGGGAGTTCTGACGAAGGGAACGATTATTGAGGTTAATGTCAGTGAGTTGGGTATGGTTACTACCGGGGGTAAGGTAGTATGGGGTAGGTGGGCGCAGATTACGAATAATTGTGAGAACGATGGGTGTGTTAATGCGTAAGTTCTCTTTTCCTTGAATCTTGCTCTTAGCCATTCATTTTGAGAAATTTGCTAACAACATTCGCAGGGTGCTACTGGTGTGATGTATCATATTGGTGGGTGTAAGCTAGCCGTTAATCCAGGCGAAGAGAGGCAGATGATATAAAGCTTCGTTCTTGGGCAGAGGTCAATTACATCTCCCTGACAGATTCCTCAGAAGCCGTCATTTCCTTCTCCTCCTTCGTCCCCTTCCTTATTCTTCATCACAGCGTGGCGTTTTTGTGGAGTATATGGGATTTTATATATCTACAGTGTATCTTTTAAAACATGAAGGTCAAATAAAAAAGTCATATTATGCAACAGCAGCTAAGGTTGGGGCTACAAGTATCTACAATCGTAATCCAGAATCCCAATGCCTTTACGGCCCCACTAGCAAAAGTAAAAGCCAAAATATAAGGAGAAAATAATGCAATGGATAAATTTGAGCACATACATATTAAAAATACAGGTGAACTCGACGGCCCTTCAAGAAATAAGCATCCCTCAGAAACTTGTGGAATATGTTATAGATCAAAAACCAGCGGCCAACCACAAGGATACTTCAAAGCTCCGTGCAAGTTAGAAATGAGATATATATAAGCAAGGGCTTAAGTCTAGCATACATATAGAAGCTGATTTTACGGGATGCACTCCCGAGAGTGCAGGTTTCTTTGTCGGTCCATTGGTGGCCCCCAGAAATGTTCGCAACGAAAACTTCTGATAACCTGGAACTGATAATACCGAGGAGCATTCCTATTTACATAGAAGCTAGTCCCATCCCTGACAAGTGGATTACCCTCACACTTGTCATTAGTGAAGAATTCGCATGTACAGCCTTCGATCTCCCAGCGCCTCATGACAATCCCATCCCTATCCTTAAACGGGTCATTATCGGATACCCTCTCACAACGACGCCCTTGTAAAGGTCTAAAGGCCCCAAACACATGAAAATTGTAGGAATATTCCCTCGAGATAACAAGATCAGCACCGTTTGCCTTATCTATTTCGTTGTAAGCTGGCCTTTGATCACCGCCGTTTCCCAAAGTTATTTTGCACGATACGGTTTCACTTCGTGCGCCCTCAGTTTTAATAGATGGAAGACTCTGGTAGCATGAGAAGCTTTTCACCTTCCTCTTCACTTTTTTGAACAGTATCGCGGAATTGGACCTCCAAGAGTTGTATTTTTCGTACTCGTATAGTTTTGGGGAATTACAATTGATGGTTTCAACATACTTTTGATGTTCCCAGTCTCTGTCAGGTGGACGCGTGCAGTCTTCAGTCATATAAAAGTTACAACCACGCCACCCGGAGAGATAGTACGCATCAATTTTGTCGACAAGAAAAGGATCTATGTTATTTTTCACATTGTAGCAGGCTGTAACAGTATTAGTCGCACTGTCTACGTCGTCCACCCATGAGCGAACAGATTTGTCGTCGTAACCTTCCCGAATGACTACACCTTCCCAAGCAACTATTGGTTCGTTGTAGTTTGACCCAATTTGTTGATCTTCAGACTGAAAATAGTAAAGGCCTAGATGGCACTGTCGGGATAATGTTGGGTATTCAAATGATTCGAACTTTGTTTGTTGAAGATAGCCGTCTCTATAGAGCTCGGGGGGTACGTATGGCTTATAAGTAGGCTCATAAACGGCGGCAGCGGCAGTTGGGTTTATTTGGAGGAGGAGAAAGAAAGTGGAGCACAGAACTAGAAGGGTGGTAGTGACCGAAGGGTTTGATCTGAGAATTTGGCTTTTGTTTTTATTCTTCATTGCCAGATTCGCTCCAGAATTCTTGCTTTCCTCGACTAATCCCCTCTTTTGTCGGTGTTAACTTGAAAATGATAACTCTTCGTCCTGTATTAGGCTTGAATTAGGCTACCAAGTGATTGCTGGGAACTTTTCTAGTCTAAATCTAGAGCCGTAGGGATGAAGAAAGAGGAGAATGATCCAGAGTACGTGTACAGGTTTAAATGTTTAAATATTGCCAGTAGCTTAAGTGATATAGTGCTATCTATCCTATATTCTAAAAGGATACGCAGAAAGGATACTGTATGAAGAAAGATATATGAATATAAGTAAAAACCATAGTGGAGATAAGAAATGAACTCGATTGAACTAGCAAATCCCCAGAAGACACAAGTACTTGGAAATCCACAACGAAATAATTCCGGGAATATATGGTGCGCTAGTACCCAGAAGTGAACACAGGTTGCCGGAAGACAAACTTGGATATACATCTTTTGGGTGTGGCTATGGCTCCTTTGTGAATACTGGTGTAAATCACGAAACCTGCCTCCGTATACCTAGTAGGTAGATACTAACTTACGTATTTCAAAGCGCCTTAAGATCTGCTACGCTGTCAATATTGCAATATCCATCCCGGAGCATTAACTTTGTACCCACCCAACTTCTTACAACCCTATTCTTAATATTCCGAATTGTTTGAGGGATAGCTAGAGTTTAAGATCATGGCATTGCATTGGTATTCTTGTATACCACTATCTTTCTGATGTACCACACTGCCTTGTCACAAGCCAGACCCCAGTTGGCCAGAATACTGCCGCCTTCGAAGCCCAGAAAAAAAACACAACTCTCTGGAAGTTGCCACCTTCGAGTTGGTATGCTAGCGTCTAGCCTCGAGACAACCTCGTACCTCTGAGCGGTGGGCACATGGGTTATACGCGCTATTCCAACGAATGTGAGATGTGTTTCAAATTTTCACAAAAGTCATAGTTATGGATACGTTAGATATTCATACAAATGGCTTCCTTATGTTTTTTTTATTTCAATTGAAATTCAAAGATTAAGGGCCATCGATTTCAAAGGTAAGTTTAGATATAACCGGTGCACCGTATACCAGTGGGAAGACAGTTGGCTGCATATTATAACCAACAAAATACAACATGTATATGTGTTGGTGGTGGCAGAGAGGACGCTCTGCCTCAACTTATGAGACTGGTATCAAGAGTTGGGTTCGAGGCTAGGGGCTTCGAAGGCGTTTGGAGCTCCAAAGGGCCCAAACTTGTAAAAACCTGGTCTCGTTCCCAGACGTCACAAAGAACAACAAGCCCCCTATTTTTCTAAAACTGATTAACCAAACTGGCTTTTCAATCTTGAAGGTTACTCTATTCTTTTTTCTGTTCTTCTCTTTTAAGTTTTTTACTATCATTATTTAATACGCACTATTTGGCAATTGGCTTCTATAGCTGGAATACAAGTTCAAATTCAAAATTAATTTATGCATCTGGGTAATTTGATAGTAGAATATGCTTTTACGCTCTTTTATATATATGATTTCTGATAGATCTGTCAACTTCACGATAAGTTGATACAGACGCTGATAAGAATCACATAACTAGACTTTGCTATTTTGTATTATATCATTGATTATATTTATAAATGAAATGCGCATATAGCTCTTTTTCGAGTTTAAATATATGTACAATCCTCGTTAACGCTCCTGATAATATCTATGATACTTATATACGTATACAAGAGCCACTATGTATCATGGATCAGTCGAATATACAGCCTGAAGTTTAGATTTTCGAAATTTTGTATTACGTTCCTGCCAACCCGGCCCGTAAGGAGCACTACACTGGTAACTCCGAATCTTTTGGCGCCCAAAACGTTCCCAACGGCTCACACTCACATGTCCCGTGTGCCCGTCAATAAGAATAGCAGTTGCTTCACAGCTGTCATTCGTGAAAAAACTGCATGTACACCCATTTATTTCCCAATCTCTCATTACAAACGCCTCTTTATCTGGTATGGTGATGCAGGCGCTTTTGCCGGTGATTTGATCTATATTCTCGAAGGCGAATATGTTTTTCCTCTCCTTCCTCTCACCCTTATCATAAGGCTGGGGAGGCTGGGTTCTCACGCCGTTCCCGAACAATAATTCACACCTCGGAACGAAAGATGAGGAGTCGCCGACATCTTTTTGCCATGGCACCCACGGCACACATCTTCCGCTCTTTATGGTGGCTGTAGATATCGTTTTTATGCCTTCCAGGACTCCAAAACCCGATTGAATGATACCATTACCATCCCCCTTACGACCCATAGCCGGAAGCTGTTGAAACGAATTTCCTGAGCAATCAGACTTGTCCCAAAACACACACCCACAATAGCCCCCAAGTCGCATTGTATCGATTGGAATATTTTCCCAATACCTGTCTAAATCTCTTGCGATTTGAGTACATGCCGCCTCCGTTTCATTAAACTCTACCCGATTCTCGGTCTGGAACACCCATGAGTCTCCCGTGGGCCGGACTTTAGTTTCGTTTTTGGCGGACACGGTTGTGAATTCCTTGTAAGTCTGGCCGAAGGGGTAGGCCTCGGTGGCGTACCCGATGTCTATTTTTTCGCCATTTTTTTCATAATATCCCTGGTAGAACGGTAGTGGCACGATTCCGAGATAATAGAGACCCATGCGGCAAAGACGATCGTTCACTGGCGATATATTGCCACTAAAAGCGCTGTCTTCTGGGAGTGATATGCCTTCCGAACGTTTGAGGGCTCGGTTAGCTGGAGTCGCAGCGGATAGTTCAGGCTGAAGGAAGATCATGAGGAATATCATGATGAGAAGGTCTTTTCTCTGCCCCATGTTAAAGGCGTCATACATTTGAGGGTGGGCCAAAGGAGTCAATATGGTTGCGGTTCGATTCTATCGAAATAAGAATTCTTGCGACGACCGTGGCTAAAAAAAAAGGGAAAAAAGAGGGAGGGAGAGAGAAATGTTTCCAAGAATTTGGATGTATGAAAGCTTTTCTAGCCGACTAGAACTCTTAGCACAAAGAACGCTTGGATTCAAGGCTACTCAGCACGGTATATAATTAAGAGAACCTATCTAAATAAGTATTAAGAGTAGGAAGCGTACTGCTAGAAAGACATCCTTTATACTTGACATGTACGGAATCTATGATCATATCGACACTCGTCCCATAAAACAACCTCTCTCGAACTTGTTGTGCCGTCAAAAGTTGAAACGGCGATTAAAACAGGTCAACCATAACTTCTCACGGCGCATGAAGTTGCGTGACTATGCACGTATCAGACCTGGAGACTAGACCCTGGGTAACTACTCTGTGAAAAGCTACGTTTCTGAGTTCCTGACTCTAAGTACCTGGTCTCGTAAACTAAATATAGTAGTGGTTGGTCGATTGATTAATTCTATAGATCTAGACCTAATATAATCCCATAAAAACTCTAGCAGCTAGTGGTTTGTGAGCTCCAATTTGTCCATTAATATTACAACCTTATAATTATGTATTGTGATCTTACACAAACTTGAATCGGAGTTCTAATCCCACTTACAAATGATCATATAAACATACTCTTTAGAATGCAATACATCTGGAATTCAGTTAGACGTATATAGACACATTACATCAATAAACTGAGGTATAGTTGCATATTTTTTTCAGCTGCGATATTGACGTGCTGACTCGAATTCAAATATCTATAAGTTCTTCCTCGGCATCGGAGCTTGTCTAACTACCTCAGGATAGAATGTTACATTTAATTACACAGAATAATGATGCGTATCACATCCGTATAACTGTACTAATTTATGAAATCAGCATCTTAAGTTAAGCGTTATCGAATTAACGTTATCCAAGCTCCCCGTCCGATAAAACTAGTGAAATGAGGGCCCGTAAGGAGCATCGCATCGAAAACTTCGAACTTTTTGGACTCGGCCAAAAACACGTTCGACGTTTTCCCTTGAAACTAATCCACGAACTCCATCGATTAGATACGGCTTTCCCTCGCACTTATCAGTTGTCCAGAAGATGCAAGTACAATTTTCGATTTCCCACTGCCTCATAATAATCCCTTCAATACCTGGAAGCTCACTAGACACCGAGATACAAGAGCCCTGTCCGGTTGAGCCATCTATCGCTGATGGACCTAATTTTAAATCGCTTCCAGATCCCGCATCCATAAACCCTTTCGAAATAGCAAGCGTTCTTCCCACGCCATCGAAGCTATTGTACTGACTATTCTGATTACCACCATTTGAAAATGACAATTTGCATACAAACGGCGGTCGCCACCCGGAGTCGGCAATACAATAAAAACTCTGGGACATTCCCAGTTCTGACCCCCCGTTGTTGTTATTTCGAATGTCCAATTTATAAGGATTTATCGAGGTTATCCTCTCAGGTGGAAGAAAAGAGAAATCACCAGTACAATTGCCCAGGAAGAAAAATCCACATCCGCAATAGCCTAGGTTCCAAGCAAATTCGATGCCAGCATCGGCGATAGCTTCTCCAAAACTTGGTTCGATTTTGCGGCAATTCTGATCTTCTGTAAATTGCTGTTCATATTCCATTTGCTTTGTGAAATTTGCAATAGGCCAGGGTTTTTTCCCAAGTGGATAACCTTCCCAGGTAATGTTGCTGGGTCGTTCTCTTTTGAAAACATTTTCGTTGGTGTGATAGAAGCCTACCCGACAGGCAGGGCTTAGAATCGGATCCGTATTGCTGATTATATTGTATTCGACTGGTTGGATCTGAGCATAGCTAGATACGGTGAAGAATAGAATAAAAAACAAAATGGTTGACCGTAGGATAGGAAAGTGGCTCTCTGTTCGAGGCATCTTCCCATGTAAACCTTCTAGCCCCAAAGGTCACAGTTCCTTGAATCAAGCTAATATCTCCAATTCTCTGGAGAAATGAAGAGAAATGGGATGAAGAGTGAAAATGATAGTGTTCAGAGATTTAATAATACCCGTTCCTGATAGAAATTGATACTATAGGCTTAAGCTTTAAATTTATACATTTGATAACCGGGGTTGAACGTGACACAAAGTAATTTCAGGGTCGACATGTCTTAGCCCGAGATCTAGAACTATAGCTATGCATGAAAAAAGTATCACCAAGGTATTTTAGACAATCTCATTACTTACCGATCTACCGTAGGGTTATTTTCAAATCTCCATCTTTACAAGCTGGAGGCCAAGATAAAAGAAATTGGGTTGTAGTTGAAGTTACGAGAGGCTAAAAAACCAATGTTGCAACAGACGAGTCGACTCCTTCGAACCAATGGTTTCCAAAACGACCAACGACCCCCAAAAGGAACACTACATTGCCCCTAGTTAATCAATTAGCATTGAACCAACTTAACTGATCCTTCATGTTTAATCGGTGGTGGTAGAGCTGCTCCATGATCTGGGCTAGTTCTAGTTATGTATATGTATCTGTACATGTGAAGGCTAACTAAACTTTTATGCAACAGCATGAGGATTCTGTATCATGCATTGGGGCGAATTCAAGGCAACTCTTGCCACGCCGTACAAACTTATATGCTGTTTAATTAAACTGGACTATGCATGCGCAGTTAGCTATTCATGCTAGGCCCTTTGGTTGATATCATGGTAATAGATCTGCCTCAAGAGTCGAGGCCTATATACAAGTTCAAAGCGAGACGATACCACGACCTAACAATTAAATGCTAAATTTAAACTCTACACTAAGTTTTTTGAAGAGCCTTCCTACCAAAAACATAGATCTTTCGCAATTTCACTAATGAAAATACCAACCAAGTTCCAAGAGCTTAACCGCGCGCGACTAGATCCTAAGGGATACAATTGTCCGATTTACACCATGATCCTATGATCTTCCCCGAAGGGGATACAAATAACTGTAAACAGACAAAGCTCGAAAATACACAAGCCACCAAATTAATACCCTTTCTCAAAATAGCTATTAGGAACAACCATGGCAGGCGCATATGGAAGATCGCACCTAAAACTCTTAATTTCCTGTTTTCCAAAAATCGTCATATTCTCCCTTTGCACCCACCCCGAATTCCCATCCAGCAAGATTCGGCTTTTACAATGAAGATCTGTATAAAAACTGCAAGTACATCCATTTATAATCCAATGCCGAAAAACCACCGGTGATATCGACTCACATGGTCCTTTTCCAGTCCATTCATCAATATTGCTTTGTGTATATTCAAAATGGAAAGTATCATTCCCTCCGGGTGAATACCACAGGTTACAGCTTGTAAAAAAGGTCCAGGTACTATACTTCTTGCAACTAAAGCTCTTAATCTTCTCTTTCCAATCGTCGCCCAAACTATTCGAGACCTTATTCCTCACAAGCATATTGGGCTCTACCGCGTCCTGGCATGATTTATCGTGGTAAAATAGACAATAACAATACCCTGCCATGTAAATTTGTTGAACCCCATTTTTTTCTAATTTACCACCTATTTCATCGGCTATATTGTGGCAAACTGATGATCGCTGCTTTTCGGATATAAGGGTAACTTGGTTGGTTCCTGGGTCGTAGTTTGAACCGAGTGGGAAGCCCTCCCATGAATCATACTTTTGAGAAGTAGGCAGAAATTTACCCGCAATCATTACACCTGAGTTAGGCCCAGTGTAGATACCAAGCTTGCATGCCCGAGTTAGGAAGGGTACAGTAGCATCCCATATCATTCCTTGTGGGAATAAGATACGGCGATGGAGGGTTGGGTTGATTGAAATTGCAGTAGTCAGATAAATCGGAGTCAGTAAGGCGCTAAGCAGGTGTATCAAAGCAACATGAGTGCTTAAGAAGAAAAGGGTGGAGGCCATAGCTCCAGATGCCAAGTAGGATGAGAAATCTAGAGGCTTTGGGGGATCTTTTATCGAAAAAAAATATGCAATGAGAAAGTCAATACTCCCTCTAGCTTCAGCTGGCGGTGTATTTGAAGGCACAGCGAATCAAACAATATTGGAACTATGGGATTTGTCCTCTTCCATGGATTAAACTTAAGACGTGATGTGCAAGCTTTTATCATTACATTGTACATGTAGTGCCTCCAAACCACTTTCGCCCGGACTTTGCCTCCCCCTTCCCTCCTTCTTTTCAAAACATTTAATAAGCTTCCTACAGGAATTTCACCATATTTACACAATGATTCTCTTAGATTGTAAGTGTATATACGCATAACCACGCAAAATTTGTTCTTAGCCACCAACCCGGAGCATTCTTATAATAATATACTGAAAGTGCGAGTACGGCCCTGTAACCTGAGAGCAAGAACTTGAAGCCCTGATACCAACCCAATGTCAGGATAGACTCGATGGCGTTTACTCTTATAAAAAAAGTATTAGTCTTGAATTCATGAAATCGAACATTACTGCTCACCGCCATAGCTAAATTAACTTAATACTACACTCGCGGGAAAAATGCAACATAGCACCGCGTTGATTTACCTAGTCCTACAGATTTAAACGCTCTGATCAAGAACACTTGGAGATTAACCTCATGATCAAGTAAGGTTAATACGAATGCTGTAAAGACAACGCTCAACTATATTTTACATTCTCATTCTAAAAGCCTTAATGCTAGGGTATATATCCGAAGCGTTTTAATCCAAGACTAGGTATATATATGGAGTGTGCTAACTCCTATATCATATTTATTGCTATCTCCACTCTCGGTATCGATATCGCGATATCAATCTCAATATCCTCTATAGATCTAATCACTATCGCTTCATGCATGCCATATGACTGGAAATATTGCATATTGCATTCCCACGTAATTGCAACTTATGGTTCGTAGTGAAATCCAAAAATAAGACCCAATGCATCAAAAAGGTTCACATTACGTATCTAAAGACAAACGAGAATCTAAGAAACTTCCAGAGGCACCGGTTTATAATTTATATCAATTACATCACTCCGGTTCGTGGAATGCTATGACGATGAAGTCATATCTTACAAATAATATTACATATTATTGGTCTCTTTCCATGCATTTTCTCTTGATATATCGTACATAACGCGAGATACTTGGCAAGTTATCATCATGATATTATTCTACCATAGATAGGTATGTACTTACCACTTTTCCAAATGAACCCGGACTAAAAAACAAAAAGAACACGGGCGTGTAATTTTCAAGGGAGGACGAATCGAAACTTGGCCTCCATGATCAAACAACTCTATGAAATATCTCCAATACTCGGTGAAGTCCCTAAATCGCCAGTCAGATCGCATTTTGTCGTATTGATCTGCAAAATTCTTTTAGGTTATAAGGACTAGCAACCAGTATCCCTCTTGAGAAAAACACACTTGAGCTCTGGCTACCCTTAGATATTTATCCGGTAGCTGCCGTCAAAAACGCTTGCATATAGCGATACCGGCACCTAGCCTATATAAATCATGCGGTTTTTAAAACCGGGGGGGAATACTCCGTATGTTCCCGGGTTTTGGGGTGATTGATAATTCTATTGGCTTCGACGTCTGGGCTTCGGTATCTTAGGTGGGAACGCCGTGACGACTTCATCGTCACAAGATCGTGAGGGTTCCCTAACTAACTACAGAAAAGAGATATAAATTAACGAAAACCTCAAATCAGTGTATTACAATAACGTGCTAAAAACATACATGTTTTCCTTGGAGAGTCAATACCCTTTCGAAGGGCTAATCGTCCAACTAAATGATACCACGAATTCATAATCTTTATGTAGGGCCCGACAGCATGATCAAATCAAATGAGCTATTTCATTCCAGAACCAGATATTCGGGACGTTTTGAAACTCGGTTTCCAGAGAACCGAATTCTACTTTGTGACACGGTACATATCCGAAAAAAGTGGAACCGAATTTATTCCTGGTTTATTGGTTATCTTTGCGATTCATTAGCTTTACCCGTATGACAAACTAATAGGTCCTATCAGTCCAAATTATAAATTCGAATTCCTTCATGGAGCAGATACGTTGATAGAGTTTATGTTTATATCAGCTAGGCCTTTCGAATTAAACCCCAAAGCACGTCATAGATCCCCCCACACTCTAATTCCCCGAATCCACGCCATAAAACGTCCAAATGTCACCCGTTTCAAGATAAGACACGAAAGAGGTCATAAGGCTTCGAAATCCCCAACCTCAACAACACAGTTGATACAAAGGTGTGGTCCGTTGGATGTATGCATCGAAGGTACTTCCCGTGGCATGAGCTTCACATGGCCGACCCAATTCCACCTGTGGCAAATCGACCCATGGCCACCCATTCTGTACCACCCCAAATACCGAATACCATACCGTCTCCCAGGATTCCCCAGCTTTTCCCGATTTAGACGAAATCCTTGGTATCTTATCTTTTTTTTTTGCTTGTCATTCTGTCTTTCGGTTCACGAGTACCATCATAGTGTTCGAATTTACCTTTTTTTACATAACATTACTGGAACGTCGAAATTTAGTACTTTGTCGGTATGTGCATATAAATCACACACCACATGCCACCGTGCATATCGCATTTTGCCTTTGGCCTTCCCAGAGGCAAGCCAGTCACATAGTCCCGATCCCCGGGCCATGCCTGTTCCCTCTGCATGCAAGTCTAATATATATCACTGTCCCAGCTGACCATCGTGCAGATAAAACACTAGAACAAGTTTTTTTAAACGAAAGAGAAGAAAAGGAAAGAAAAAAAAAAAACCAAGCCGCAATTTCAAATTCTTGTAACATGACTTTAAGGCTTGACTGAAACAAGGATGCGCCAAAATACCCGCAGACCCAAGCTTTGTCGTCGTCGTCTCCTTTAGGTCAACCCATAAAATACAACAAAAACGGTTAGTTACCAAAAGTAGGTAGTAATCACATATCCAAAACTTCCTCCCCGAAGGGAGAGAAGAAAAAAGTCATCACACTACATTAGCTTCTAACAAAAGGAAACCCAATCACCGCCTGATAACAGAAATCCCAAATATCCGGGTAAAAAAGGACAGATCTATCACCTTACATATGCCTGACTTCATATACTATATTAAAACTAGATTAGTGGGAAGATACCCGCGGGCGTTAAGGAGCGTTCATCCGGTCGTCTTGCCTACATTAGCTTGGTATGGCGATATGTGATTGTGAAAGTTCCAGTCGACATGCGCATGGGAAGGCGTTTACCCCACATGAAAAATGTCTCAACTCGATCCTAGGATCCTACGGATCGTGAAAGGGAAGGCAGTTTGTGGCTTCATGAGCTTACCACTACGCTACGGGGAATTTGTGATAGGGATATCCTTCATACATGAAGGCCGAGACTTCAGGATAGACCACTATCAAACATCGAAACCCGGGTGGATATCTATATATTGAGGATCATCACCCCTTTTTTGCCATAGCTTCACTTTTGAGAAGAGCTCGTCAAGTTTTGGGAATTGCTTGTTGCCTGATGGGAAAGTAAATTTTTTGGATGTGTGAATGGCTCTCTTAGCTACATTACATACATCTTTTTGTACGAACAAATAAGAATAGTGAGAAAATTGGAAAATAAATGATATAATTACAAAGGGAAAAGGTGTAAAAGATTGGACAAATGAAAATCGTAGGTCTTCGTCAGCATCATTATTAGTGGGGTCAGAAAGCAAAAGAGCAGAAAAGACCAAAGATAGCTGTGCATGCCAGAGACAAAGATCTAAAGAAGAATCGTACCAGTCATGATGATATTAAGCAATTATATAAAAATTCAGAAAAAAGCATTGCAATGATCCATATTACCACCATGCAAGAAAATCAGTCAGACCCAAGGAAAATGCTAAAATGTACACAGGGAGTGGAAAAAAAGGAGTATGTTCCCCTCACCCTTTCTGCACCCGTTGAGAAGAGTTACAGAGGAAAAAGATTCTTTTTTTCAAGTTCAAAAAAAAAAAGGACTGATGAGATGCAAGAATCAAATTTGCCCCACCCAATTTGAAGCAAAAAATGAATTTTTAATTTGTACAGAGAAGGAGCTTTCACCCCATTGGATTTGTTTTGTGACGAAGGATCCCACCTTAATATGACAAAGAAGAGGTATAAGGAAAGAAGAGAGACCAAAGACGATCGGAATCCGTTTGATGCATAAAATAACAAAAGCCGACCCTATGAATAACACGGGAGAAGAGGAAGGAGAAGTAGATATAAGGAAATGGTTAGGAAAACGAGAGTTCGATTTGGCGCGGGAGGCCGGTTTGAAGATTCAGAAATTTTTTAAATTTTTTTGGGAGAATTTTTTTGGTAGAGGAAGTAAAGTCTTTGGTATCTGAGAAAGAGGAAAGAATAAAGAGGAAGATCGGTGGTTGTGGAACCCATCGGCAGAAAAAAAATAAGAGATAGAAAGCTTTCTGTGACGAACCGGCGTACGTAGTTTCCTTTGCTGATATAGTTGTTTTGCCTGTGGTATGCTCCTTAGGAGGCTGAGTAGTAGTAAGACCGAAAAGAAGAAGGGTGCAAACGGTCGAAGACATTCTGGTTGTAAAGAACAAAGGAAAGGTTGAATTGAAAGTGAGGAAAAAGGGAGGCGCTAGACAAATATAAAACGACGATGTATGGCCTATATACTGGTCATATAAAAACAAACGACGTAAAGAACTTCAAAGCATAAACTCATATAGCATGAAGACGCATAAAAGACATTCAAAAATCACAAGGCTTGCTAAAGATATCATAACGTAAAAAGGGCTAAAAACAATAACACCTGCTAAAAACCAGAGTAAAAGCACAAGCAGTGGACAAAGGAAATTGAGACAAGGAAATTCGGGATGTCAATGATACAGGCTGTGTTCTGTATTCAAGACGAAGATGCCCTAAGGCAGGAGGCTGTGACCAAAGCACCGGGACCGACCGCGAAGTCTATCCTGATGTCTGTCGTAAAGATATATGATGTATGGATGGTACAAGATGCTTAAGCAGACTCAGCACGAGTGCTTTGAGCATATGCAGCGAAGCGACGAACGACCTCGGCGTCAACCTTATCCCAAAGGAGGGATCGGGTGTAGACCTCAGCAACAGTGGGCTTGTTGTGACCTTTTCGGAGAGCATTCAAGGTGGCCTGGAGGTTTTGACGACCCTCAGAGGTAGTGTACTCTGGCTCGCGAAGGAATTCTTTCGACGTAACCTCGTCGTACTCTGCAGCAGTAAGCATCATAAGTTCCTGAGCTTCTTGCGAACGAGTCTTCGGTTGTTCGAGGTGAGCGTTGAGTACAGCCAAAGAGGGGCCAAGACCGATGAGCTGGGAAGATTCAGTCTTTGGAACAACCCAGGCATCAGAGACCTGTTGAGTGACAGAAGGACCAATGGAGAGCTCGACATTGCGTGGATCAGCAGTGGCGATGGTGTTGGTTGGCTTAACACCAGCATCCTCGAAGATGGTGTTCAAGACAGCAGCAGAGGCGGTCTGGAGTGGTTGTGGAACTGGTGGGAGAGCGCTGCTCTGAGTACCCTTGGAAGCAACGAAGGCACCGAAGAGCAAAAGCAAGAAGAGAAGGCCAGAGGCTGGCTTCTCCTCTTCCTTGATCTCTGAGATCTTTGGAGCGAGCTTGACTTCTGCAACGTCTGGGACGTTGAGGAAGTTGTTTGCCTCGTCGTTGAAGCTTGGTGGTTCCCAGAAGGAATCGATTGGCATGCCATCGAAGGTGAACTCTTCGGTGTAGTTGACACCAGCGGGGGACTGAGCATGCATGGCAGCTTGGTTGAGTTTCTCTTGCATGAGGTCAAGTTCCTGACCGAGGAAGGTGTTCTTCTTTCGGAGCTCTGCAGTCTCCAAAGTGTGCTTGCGAACAATTTCCTCGTTCTGGATCTGAGCGTAGTTGAGGTGATGTTCGAACATCTCTCTCTCACGCATCCACTGAGCCTCCTTCTCCATCCATTCATTTTCACGGACGGCCAAAGAGTTCATCTTCTCCTCGAGCTCGAGGATAATGGCGCTGTGGACCTTCTTCTCTTCTTCAAGACGCTCAGTGTGCTGCTTCTTGCGTTGCCTTGAGTCGAGACTATATATTTTACACGGGTTAGTAGATGTTTTTTTATTTATATGCATGAACTCATGTGGTAACATACGCTGCTTGTCTGTTTCTTAGAAGCCTCTTTTGTTGCTTGAGCTCTTTGATCTCACCCTCGTCGGTGGACTGAGTGATGAGGGCATCGATGTTCATTAATGTCCTCTCAGCTGGGATGTCGAAGCGGGCATTCTTCTTTCTGATTCCATCCCGTCGAATGTGCATGGGGGAGTGGATTCTTAGTTGTGGGCTGCCAGGTCGGACTGGGGCATTTGGCTTCTTGACACCGTTTGTTGGATTGGAAGCAATGTTCTGTAGCTCGTTGGAAGCCTCAGCCTGCATAGCTGGAGCAGGAGTGATGGCAGGAGCGATGGGAGTCTCAAAAGGTTGTGTCGAAGGTGTGAAGCCTGAGAAGTCAGCACCGTCGAAGTTGAAGTTTTGAACTTGACCACCAAAAGTAGCCTGAACTGGAGTAGCAGTCTCTGATCGGTCGACCATAGTATCCCAGGAAGCAGCGGCACCAAACTGAGAGCCGTTGGCTTCCATCTTGACAAATGGGTTGTTCTCAAAGCCCGAAGCCATAGGAGAAGAGTCGCTCATGCCGTTGAGGAAGTCCCAGTCTCCGGCTTGAAGTTGAGGGGAAAAGATGGCTGCATCAGCCATAGAAGGCCGCCTTGTGTCAACGGGAGATTCAAATGCAGATGTGTCGATAGTGCTCTCAAGAATGTTATCATCCAAGATACTCGAGTCATCATCGTCATTCCACCGTCTCGACATGCCGGCCTCAGCTTGTAGCATTTGTGTGTTTCTGTAGTAGTCTTGCATGGTGAATTGAGTCGCCATTTTGGCTATATGTGTGAATGTTTATATGAAAAGGGAGAATCCCTATATAGATGAGTAGTCGTAGATGTAGTTGTAGTAACAGTCGTAGTAGTAGTGTCGTATGGTATAATATATCCCTTATACTTCAATATATATAACCCAACACTTGAATCCTTCGAGGAGATGTTGGAGTTCGGAGATGTGTTGCGAGGGAGGTCTGAACAAGATGATGGATGAGGATGGGAAAAAAGGCTGGGGGACAAGTAAACGAAGAGGAAGAAACAGGCAGGAATATAAACTGATGACAGTAAAATAAGAAAAATAAAAAAATAGAAAAAAATAAGAAAAATAAAATAAAAAAAAGATATGAGAGTTGATGATAAACTGAGGATAACCTGATCTCAAGTAAACTCTCGTCGTCCTTGAAATGCTATGGTGGTCAGTAGTTATACTAGAATCGAGTCAACCGTCCGGATTTCCCAGGCCAGTGGATCTGATGCTGTAATGATATATCGTATAAGGGAAACACTCCTTTCGTCGTGCTTCTGTATACGATCCAGGTGGATAATATAATATCTCAGTAGTGTGTATATAGTATTCTTATGAATATGAGGGAGAAGAAGGGGTGAGGGAAATCTACAAGTGGATGGGCAACCGCAGAGAATATATCGGAGCCTGCTCCCTTCTAGCCTCCTCTTCCTCTTCCTCCTCCTCTTCCTCCTCCCAAACCAAAACACCAAAACAGGACCGAAGAGAAAAGAGCAAGCACACTGCAGGACGCAAGCATAGGCACACCGGTCTCAAAGCTTGGTCTTGGTGGGAAGCATATGGTACTTCGGGTTCCTCCCAGCTGCATACCCTACCTTGTACCACTGCAGGCGTGGGTGGGTACCCCCATCTCAAATTTTTTCCATCCACCATATGGGAACGAGCGGATGGGAAAACAAGCCAATGGCGACGCAATGCCCAAGATCCCCGGCATCAAAGGGGGAAAAAGAAACGTCTTACCCTCGACGGGTACTCTAACTTTTTGTGTGAGGGATGCATCCTCTCGTGCTGCAGCAAAGCGAGTCAAGAACCAAGAACCGGCCATGTTCCTTCCCAGTGGGAGCCAGGCAGCGAGCGAAAGGGAAAAGGGAACTCCACTCGATGTCTCTCCCTGGTACCCGTCGCCGCCGGGAAGAATGGGGAATTTCTAACATTTATCACCAAAAATGCTATCATTGGGCAGATGTCACATTCAAACACTCAAAAGTTGGGGGAGGCTGCTATCAATATGGAAGTCGAGACGCTTCATCTGCCTCTGTCCTCAAAATACATCTCCCTTGTGACATCCTGCTGTGGGAGGAGCACAGCTTGCTGCTTTGACAGGCGGGTTTCGGTTCTTGTACCCCAAGACCTTACCTTCTTGTCCATAGCAGGTCCCCACTTTTTCTTCTTTCCTTTTTTTGGGGGCATTTCTGTTGTTTTTTTTCTTATTCTTTCTGTCTTCCTTCTTCCGAGGGTGCAAAGAGAACCTAGGAAGAAAATGTTTCCAAATTTTTTCGCTCCTGTGAGCACGGGAAGCTAACTACAAGCTTGGTAGCTTCCTCGGAAAGAGCTACCATTTACTGCTAAAACAGGAACTTTGAAACCTATCTTTTCACAGCTTCGACCGAGCTACGGTTCAGATCTTTTCTACAAAATGCTTCAACAGAAAAAAAATCGACATAAAATGCACATGAAAATATTCACTAGCAAGGACTCAGGCTGTATCTCGCAGAATTAAAATGTTGAGGAGGTACAAATGTACAAAACTCTGCTTTTCTCGCGTGGGACCATCAAGATCGAAAAAATCGCCCATGCTTGGGGCCAGGCGCCAGTGGAAACACTCTATTTGCCCTATCTTTCATGCCTGCATAAACATATCACCGCAGTCTACCCAGTAGAATGGATAGACATACGGACAGGAAAAATAAAAAATAAAAAAAATAAAAAAAAAAATAAGAGAAATCAATGCCCAGGCCCGTTGATACTCCGCCGTCCGGCAGTACAAGAAATGTACCATCTCGTGGGATGAGAAAGTAGTGGGATTTCAGGTATTATTAGGCTCTTCAAAAGGTTGTTTTTTTTTTGTCTTGGGTGCTTCCAATGGCAGAAACCTCTCTTACCATTTTCCCCACTTCATGCTCACAAACCACTCGCACCCAGCATCTTGAAATCAGCGAGCCATTCACAGCGAACGTACATTTTTTTGCTTTCTGCATGATAATCGATATATCCATGCAATTGCTTCGGAGGTAGCAACTTGACTTTTGATATAAGAGGAACTAGACCGCCGCGCGCCCCCTCACTCGGCCGCCGTCCAAAAAGTATCGAGTTCATCCATACAGAACGAAGCTCTTGATCCGTTGGAGAAGGTTGTGCATGATCAACCGCTTTTTCTATATATCAAATAAAGTGATAAGCCCGAGATGGGTTTCGCCTGCTATATGTTCCCATGCCATGAGGGGTTATTGCGATTTGATCAAGCTCAGCAGATAGTCAGCCGGCAGAGATCTTATTCGTCCCTTCGAGAAGGGACGCCCCCATATTCATATTTTTGGCCATCCCGCTCGACCGCGCTCTTCTCCTTTCCAACGGCATGATCTTGTCGAACCCACAAACCAGAGGGTAACGGAGAAGGCGGAGAGAATGGACGAATCGAGATTTCAAACGATAGACATTCAAGATCACACCGCTCGCGTAATAAAGTGTGAATGATCCTCAAAGCACCCCACCATGGATCACCCGGTCCGAGGCTGGGTCAAGGATCCTGTGGTCTTTTGTTTCAGTTATTCGATGGTAATAATGTACTGCTTCTCGAAGGAAAGACCTAAAGGGCCTAAAGGGCTGGATCCAGCAAATAGGATAAGCTTCTTTTTTGGCAATACATCACCATTATAGAGGAGGCTGTCACGCAAAAGGCTCATGTTCAATAGGAGCTTATTTTATTTTTTTTCCTGTCCTATATTCGTTTTTCCTTGGAGAAGAGTGGGGATAAGGATTATTTTTAATTCTGTTTTGGCAAAAGGGTGTGGTACTTATGAGCTGGCAGACATAAGCCCTGCACCTCCACAAAAGATTCCCGGCTTTCATAGACGTCTATGCTTCTGAACAACCTTCCTTTCCGTGCCTCATGTCACCGAAAAAAAACTCGTGGCGCGGGAAGACAAAGAAATGAGGGGTCCTGATGACGATATTTCTAATATCAGCGTTTTCGATATTGACAGACGGGATATCCGTGATACAAGAGACGGGAAAACAAGGCGAATCTTCGTCAAGTCTAGTCATTTTTCTGTTAAAGAAAAGTGACATTGACAGCGAAGCTTCTATAGGATGTTCTTCCTGCTTGCTAATATCCATCCTCGGTCACTTGGGCGAAGGGCAAACCCGGAATCAATCCGAGCAAGGGATCGAAAGGCATCGATCGAGTGAAAACCTTCAGTAGATATCGCCTGCTTGCACCTAAATGGGTAAATAGAGACGAAGGCTGAGGAGCTATCGACGGTTTTAAGAGGAGGAGCCCTCGACGACCGAACGATAATCCAATCCTCTCTTCGAGTTCTTCGGATTCCTGCGTCCTCGGATCCACTATCATTTGCTCGTTTGCTTTAGCTTCACAAAGCACGCACTGGCTTTCCCAAAACTGCGTAAATCTGCAAACATGAAGATTGCTTGAAGATGTGTGCGCGGGAGCGGATTAGGCGATACCGGGAGGGATCCAGATACGTCCACTTTGTGCTGCAAAGACGGGAGCTATGGAGCGGGATCTTTGTGAGAATCCAATCCGTTTGGTTTTCATCCCATCATTGAAGAAGCCATCACCACCATTCATCTACCTCTCCACCCATCCATACCATGGTGGAGTTGGTAAGCAGCCTCGTGAGCCGAAATGCTTTATGCAACAGCGGCATCCGCATCATGTTTATGAGCAGTCGATCATAAAACCCGTCGCATTTTTCTCCAATGCATTCCTTTTCGAAAAGAAAAAAGAAGAAGCGCATGAGCCATGAGAACATTTTTTTCACTCAGGCTGATTGATCGAACCGACCCAGGCAGCCGTGCCGTCGCGTTATCACGCCGAGACATAGGATGTCTCTATGTAACGCCAGGGCCTCGGGATGGAGGGGGGCAATGCGTTGAGAGGAGTTCTGGAGTTCTGGATCTCTCCGAAAATGGCTACTAAGTAGTTAGGCTAAGCAACTCTGTTCCCACGCGGCTCGGACGGAGCGAATAGTATAGTGTGCACTATCTGGGGGAGAAGGAGGTCCGGCCGATGAAAGAGATCCTCTGATTAGGCATTCAGCAATGTAAGGCCAGTCGCGCTTTTGAAGCTAAAGAACCCAAAGATCGGATGCCCCCTCAGCGACTTCGGAAACGTGATCTCACTCGTCAGGCGCGAGTGGGATGATTCCCGAGAGGGCCAAAGGTCAATAGAACTTCTCTTTTTGGCCCTTCTATGAGACTTTAGCTTCTAGAGTGAAAAAATTTTCATTGGATAGAAAACCGGGGATGGAGAAGGGAGACCTTACAAGAGCCTTCTTTGTTTACCTTTGGCCGACGGCCATGGGGTCGATAGCCTGGGCGAGCTGCATCTCTTGTTCGTTACATGCAAGGTGACTGTGGGCTGCATGCAAAGCATATGCACGAGGTCGACTCCATGTCGAAACTTTTTGCACCAGTGAGATGTTTAGGTAAGAAAGGAAAATCTGAAAGACGACAATTGCAATGCTATTGCCGGAGGTTGAGGCCCATGCCCAGACAGACCAAAGGGATGGTCAAGGGGGGCTCCACTTTTTTTTCTTGGAAGTTTATGCGTCGAAGACCAAGCCAGGAGATTCGCAACTTAGCGCGCCTGCTGGAACTCGAACCGGCGTGACTTGGGGACTTTTGCCGAGGGACGAATGGACATCGTCAATATCAGCCTTTGATTCGGATTTCATTCACATTACATATTGGCATTCATGGACTATAATAATAATAACAATAATACAAGAACAATCGACCCGAATTGATAGCCGTTTTATTAACCTATATAGGTTTTAAATTTTACAAGGCCCCAGCGCAGCGTTTCGTTCCGAGTGAGAATTAAAGAGGCACAAGCTACTGCAGCGAATAAATTGGAATGCAACGATTACCCTTCCTTTCGAGATCCGCGGGCGAGCTCGAGCCTGAGGTCGGAATAAACTTGGCTGGGGGTGGATGCGAATCAAATTCCAAGGTTCTGGAGCATAACGCCATCCATGAGGCGGTGCGACCCCCTCATCGGGACTTGTTCGCTGCAAGATCTAGCATACTTGCGGCTTTAATCCCTCAGATCATATCATATGGACCTCAAAATGTGATTACGCTCGTACTATGTCATTAATTTTCCTTCCGGATTCCACCCGCTAAGTCAGCAGTCATAAGATCAGAGAAGATCAGTTGGAAAAAGTATACTAGTATGGCAGCCCGCCGCCCACTAAGGTTGAACTAAAGTTATTGGGATTGATGCTAAATTTATACAGCTTGTGGTTCGATCTGGGATCTGGCACACTCTCAGCACTATGAAGCTTAAGAGTACGTCTTTAACTTGACAGTTCCCCTCAGGAAACTCGCTTTGTTTCAGGTTTCTTAAAGCATGATCGTTCGTGACCACACATTGGGCAGTTGGGTCACCTGTGGCAGACACTAACCATCCTAGTCGCAATTACTTACTATTAGAATCCAGTGCAGTTCGGATCATTCCTTCAGGAATATTCGATCAGTTATTTGAATGTGACTGCGCACTACTACCTACTCCGCACATACTACTGCTACTCTATATATATAGTATACATACATGTATGTATATTGTATGGGTGTAAGGACGTACATACTTGATGTACGCCTTAGAATTTTTGAGTAATCCTTGAAATTCGAAATCTTAAGACGAGGCACAATCGACTTGCGCGTTTGTAAAGAGCTCGAGCTCGATCGAAATTTGATTTGAACTGCCTCTAAAAGCCTGGTAAATGAGGGGGGAAAGAATTCCTCCTCTTGAGCACATATTAGAGATTCCAAGTATCTGCTTAGCAGTTACTTAGTCGAGCACTAATATCTTACGCCGAATATCTGCTATGTATGTAAAATACCCAGCTCGCTTCGAGGCTTCTCGCTGCATGATCATCCATAAATGTCTTGAAATCATGTACCAGATCAATCGTCTACATGATGCACACCGGTCTACCCTCCCCTCGGTAACATCATAGTACCACCCCGAGGCACGTTGCTCGCCCCGCTCCCCGTTCTCAAAGGAAGTTAATGTAAAGCACGTAATGCCGTTCCCCATCAAGAGATTAGGAAGTTCAGATCCCCTCTAAGAGAAAAAAACAGAGTTATCCCAAAATTTGGGATAAATTCGATACGATTACTGGATTATCAGCGGGATGAGCTGTCCTCTCGATAGTATCTTAGATCCCGTCTTCCCGCTCCGTAAGACATATATGTCTAGCTAGGTTGTACTATACAGTAGAACTAAGCATCTCTAGTTAGCAGCTACTCGTATAGTAACTTATAGCAGTATACACCTGCTAAGCCCATGCTAGTATATGTCGAAAGTCGCACGAAATTATCAAATACGTCTCGGCAGCATGGCCAAACGAACGATCGTATCATTTTTGTTATTCTTTTTATTTTTATAAAAGTTTTATTGTTTTTTTCTTCTAAAGAAAGAGCACGAGCACCAATTAACTCAAGTCCTGCTCCTAACCCCCCATCCAAGAAGGCAGGAGGTTGGGCCAACCATGAAAAGAATGTGGGTCCGCAAAGAAACTGTAAGACGGGGTAACCCATCGACCTATCGTAGACGACTGATGAGTTGTCATTCAGCCTGGGATTGGTCGACCTGCACAAGGGGGGTCTCGAGGCTTGGGAAGAGCAAGCAGGCTGAAGACAAGGGGAAAATCGTAAATTCCGTCGAAGAAGGTCTTCTTTTCCGATCTTTACGCCAAATAGTCCTGGGATTATATCAGACTACACTTGATATCCACTTTCGAGCATAACGCCGTAGTTAAGAACGGGAAAATTATATCACGAACTCTGAGCATAAGACCGAGGGAATCGAAAGAACACCTTAACTTCGCTAGCGAATTAGGCAAAAGAAGCAATATGCCGATTTGGGAAACCCCTCTCCAAAACGTAACAAGGACAACGCAAAACCCCATTCGATCCTTTCGATCTCAAACATGAAATTCCTGCGAGGCCAGTCCTCCCTTTTCCCGCCAGCATATCTAGTGACCCCTCCTGATAACTGTCTTCCCCGCGATCTTAGATTGACTATCAGTAGCATAAGAGGGAGTTTCGTCAAATCAAAAATTGTCTCGGAAGCACAACATGAACCTACATATACATACACATACATTTACATTTACACATACATACATACATACTTACTTACATACACCACCCCGAAACAACAGGAAGGACAACAGTAACATCCCCCATGGATCCAGCCGCATATGCGTATATAGTTTAAATTTTTCTATTCTTTAAATTCATTACATATTATAATTTAAATAACTCTCAAGGATAGGCCCCAGTACAGATATCGACACTCGTAGCATCTCCCAAAACTGTCTATTTGCATCAAGTATCTAGCTAAAAGGGTCTCTCCCTTCTCTGCACAAAACTCTTAGCGTTTAAACCTCATTCCTTCAGATACATAATGGTCCAGACCCAAAACTGTAGATAATAACCGTGAGCCGTTGAAGACTTCAATGGTACATGCACTTCCAAACCCTCCTTGTACCCTTAAATGCATTCTAAAGTACCCCTCCCCAAAGTAGATATCGTAGGCAGTTAGTAGGCTCTTTCAAACATCATCTACCCTCGAACATGCTTATAAGCTACCGATACACCCTATCGGCTCGCATTATCTTACATGTACATACCGTTGGCATTACCAGAATTATGCCGACACATGCTTTTTCAATCAAATCCCCTCATTCCCCTCAAATTACCAAACTTCCGTCAGATTTTCAGAGAAAAAGAAGAAAAATGACATATCGTATATCCTGACCGTTGAAAACCCGATCAAAATTTCCGAAGGAACCGGCCGGATACCCCTCTTAGTGAGAGCCTCTCGAATGCCACAGAGAAAGAGAAAAATTTTAAAATCCTGGTTTAAGATTACAAACACAACATACATATTCAGTCCACTCATCACCCATGTCCAGAGCTGTCATAATTCACCATCGTTAATATTCTCGACATCATTTTTTGACAAAAGATATCTTGATTCCGTATATTTATCGAATTCCGACTTTCAATTGATCAATTGGCCTCAAAATCGGCACACTTGCCCACTATCTGAAGGTCCAGGGTTTCGCTCCCTAACTTTAGCTCTCTAAACCGACCGAGAAACCCCGAAAATTTTCAATGTATTACTTTATATAGCAGCGAAACTGGACCTCTAAGAGGTAGACATATCACTACGCTTACTAGGCACTTTCCCTAAAGTATCTTCTTCTCGACTGGCCTGACAGTTTGCTAGCTCCGGATGGGTCGTATCATATTAACATCACAGCATGGTTTTACAGTTGAACCGATTGGAACCAAGAACCTTTACATCTCATTACTGATCTCATTTCATATTTTTTTCTTCTCTATTTCTACCTAAAATGTTTCAAAATCCCGCTCGATCATTTGCTTACAAGAAAAATTGAAACTAAAAAAAAAAATTTCATCCATCTTATGATCGCCTTTCAAAACACCATGCCCGATATTAATAAAAGGGAATAGGATTTGCCAGACGTGCTGCACGATGCAGTGCTCTGGAAACTACATAAGCGAAAAACCAACATTGAGACAACAGTAAAAAAAGACAGGAATTAAGTGAGCCCTTCAACGGTGAACCTCGGGCCTCAAGCTCAGGACCTCGCCGTTGAACTGCACACATGGGGACGGTAAACAAGGAAAGGAAGGGTACGAACCGGGCCGTCAATGAACGGGTGATTGTGAATTCGGCCGAAGCCTGCTGAATTCGAAACTCCCTCAAAGCCCGGTTATGATGCAGGGTACATTGCATCTTGCTGCTACTTTGCTACTGCTATTCTTTGCGATCATATTTCAAATTTTCTCCGGATTAAGAATAGCTGCTTCTATATATGTTGACATTAATCCGTTAAAAAAGCCGTCTGCTTTTTGCTTCGCTACTTCGCTATATTGCTTGATGTAAGACGATCAAGGAAAAATAATTGTATACGATCCGGTTGGCTGTTTTTCGTCGGGATGTTTCAAAACCGGATGAAATCCGCTTGTTGGGAGACTTCGTGGCCGTCGTCCGAGGTTTGCAAGATTACCTCGCTGTCACTAAAGTAGTCAGAGTCCACATCGTCACTACCGAACTGGTCCTCTTCCTCCTCTTCGTCTTCTTCATCCTCGTCGCTGGAGACATCGCTATCGCCGTCTGCCTGTTTTGCCTTCGCAGCGGCAGCGGCTGCTGCAGCTCGCCTCCTACCAGCATGCTCGATATGGGGTAGCTTGCATGCTTTATCATTACAAACACCTTTCGCATCGAAGTCTGGACACTCAAAAACATGTTTGTCGAGGCAATCAGCCCCTTTGTCGCAGTACCCCTCTTTTGCAAAAGGTCGGCATATCGGCGCGGACGGGTTGACTCTGACATGAGCGTACTTGCAGCTCTCATTGGAACAGTTACCTCTTAAGAAGTGAAGACAAGCGGGGACGCGATGGGGGTTGGGGATATGTGAGAGATCGCAAGAGTCTCCATCTGAACAGTTGTTTTGCAGAAATTTAGGGCATATCGCCACCCTGTCTGGGTCATGAACGTATGGACAAGTATTTCCTCGGACGCATTTACCTAGATAGAGTTTTTTGTTCCCCATTATAGAGGGTGGCATAGTCAGTCAATGGTCCACGTACCTTTGCAGCTCCCCCAACAACTCAGCATCGATGGTGTGCCAGAGCATGCGTAAGGATAGCTTCCGATAATCGCAAATACGGATAGTCGCCGCTCAGATCTCCTAAGACCCGACACGTATTTTTGCTCGCGATAACGAATGAGGAGAAGAGAAAAATCAAGGACAAGAAAGAAAGATACCGGTTGAAGTGAAAAATTTGCAAGGTTTTGCAATTTTCCTTTTTGCAGGTTGATCGCTCCTTCATAGGTTGATCGAGTGAGCCAAACTTGATTCGAAAATGTGACATGAAACTGAAACGGGGATGGTTTACTACTGACCGCTGTTGCCTCCGGACCACTCCCGCTCTCCAAAGATTGCCACCCTTACTCCGGTAGAAAGTGACACCACCAACAACCGCCGTCTTTGGAGTTGGTTTCTTTGCATCATCTGCTCTTTTTGTTAGATTCGCTGTAGATAGCAGATAGCATCTCAGATAGCATCTCAGATAGCAATCGTGGTACCGCTTACCTGAAACCTTCACTAATTTACTTCCATCGACTGTAATTTTATATCTCGCTCCATTGATAACGATCTCATGCTGATAAGTAGCCACATTCGTTGGCTTAGATTTGATTCTTCCAACAGTGTTCACGATGCCATACTGCTGCGACCCTTGCAGGAAACTACGCAACTTCGCCTTTTCGCTTTCTTCCTTCTTTTTCAGCTTGTCTTGACGAGTTTGTTCTATCGCCTTCGCCCGAGTCTGCAAATGTTGGTCGTACACGGAGGAGTTGATGAGTTGCATGTGTCGGTCACGTTTTGCGACCCAGCTACCAGAGTTGGGTGCTGCTGTGGATCCATTGGATCCCGAGGTTGTAGGCATCGCGATGGCATCATTGACATCAGTCATGGTCTCGTCGTCAGTCCCAGTGGTTGGTGTTTCCCCTCGGGAGTTAGTTCCGCTCGCTGGAGCAGAGCTGTTAAGAACCAACGTCCGATTCCTATGCCCGGATGGCATTTGTCTCCCGCCACGGCCCCGGCTCCGATAGCTTGTGGCTCCACGAGTCGGTGCCCAAGAATGACTTGATCCATGTCCTCGATGGCTTGCATGGCTTGCATGATGGGCATGAGGAGGGGGGTACGGCTGGTGTCTGTTGGTGGGGTAAGATGGCTGCTGATGCTGAGGCCGTGACGAGGATGTCGATGACGCCACAGAGGCTTTGTGACGATTTATTTGACCTACGACGCATGATTAATTAGGCATGATGGTGATACAAAGACGGCAGGCAGGGCCCGGGGGGGTTTCCGGAACTCACCAGCCAGCTGGCTGATTCTTGCCAGGAGTTCGTCGTTTTCGGAGGGCATCCTAGGGATTCGATTCCAGTTGTTTCGTATGTATCCTATATTACACTGCACTGCTGATGAACGACGCTAATAAAACACACGGACACGATGCAGAGAAACAAGGGACTGTGATAGGTAAGAGAGGGAAAAGGGGAAGGGGGAGAAGAGAAGAAGAAGAAGAAGAAGCAACGGTGTCGGGTAATCGATGGTGGGAATTATGACAGAAGTAGAGAACCTGTTGGAAAGGCGTCGGTGTCTGTGCCTTAACTTCTCTGCGCGCTTAAAGCCGACCACCAAAAGCTCATCTCTCACTAAACCCCGGAAAGGGAAAGTCGACTTCGGACAAACACCCAATGGCAGGCGGTGCAACACGTCAAACGGTTGACAACGCAAAAAGTATCACACAGGAGGTGATACCATTCGCTCGCCTAGTCCAGCTATCACAATCACATCTCACTGCAGGTTTAGCTATGGTTCCGTCTCCAATATCGTGACGGGACTGGCTACACGCGGATAGCTGTATACGTGTCATGGCTAGAGCGGGGGTTGTGACCATTGCAATAGGTTCCGCGACTGCCACGATGGAATGACAGCTAACGGGGCGTACGGGGTATACGTTGGCGGCTCAGATGTTACGAGATGAAGGATAAATACAGGTCTGTATCCCCTTTGTACCGTTCGATCCCATCTTTATTCTTTACATCTGATATTGGAATAGGAGGGAGAATTGGCGCATTTCTCGACAATGCTGCTAAGCTATGTACAAATTGATTGAATGGAACCGAGGACAAGCGACATGACTAGCGGGTGACAACTAATTCCGACACACACACAATGCTCTGGAACATCATAGAAGAGGGGGGTATGTCACTATAGGACAAGTGAAGGAGCTATGGAAAAGGATGAGAGGATAAAATTCGACATAGACAAACTTTGTGACCATGAGATGGCGACACTCCGAAAACTTTGGCAAAATGAACGCTAGCTGGAACCGAAGCAATTGGCTGCCACGAAATTCGAAAATCGACAAAGAAGATGTATCATACATAATGCGAATATGGATTGCTGGCAATCGAGTCCTACCAAATGCAAGCAGGCGCAAATGCAGAGGCGAAAACAATGACGGAATGCATGCATAAGGATACCAAGGACTCCGCGCTATGAATATGATACCAAAGGAATGGACAGAAAAACAAAACAAGTATTGACAGTGTATGTGTGTAAAGGAGAAAGAGACAAGGACAATGTGAATCTCAAAGGGGGATTGTTCCCAAAAAGCAGGAAACTCAGCAGCAAATAGAGTGTGCATACCACATACATGAAATGATTTTTACCGGAAAGTTCAAAGAAAACCATAAATGAAATGCGAAAAATGCCTTTTGCAAACAGAGCATATCCTTTTTGCGCCGTTTGCCAGGCATGAAAATGGGACGTCGTAAGAAGATTCGTGTCGAAGGATCCAGTCTTTTGTTCATAAGAAGACTGTTCGATAGCGCTCTCGTGGTTTCCAGCAGCACAAGAGTGAATGCTTGTCCAGACTTTCAAGCTTTGTGGGCTACTCGGTTGTGTTCAGGAGAGAATATATCTCTTCACTCGTTCCCTCCGTAGCCCATTTCTCGCCTTTGTACCCGCCACAATCTCTAAAATCCCATTCGATTTTAGGGTACCCGGTCACTAGTTTATTTGCGGCGGCACTAGTTACCCAGACACCGTGTCTAGCTCCAAAGTATTCCAGATTCTTGAGCTTCAAAACTGCGTCGACAACATCCACGGCCGCATTGATCGCTTTCGTCTCGTCTGGTCTCCAGGTATATGCCTTTGGTACATCCGATACAAACAGGAGGTTTGTGAATGCAGTGGGCCTATATTTCGAATACCTGGCTGCTGGTGAAAGGACGGCATAATCATCTGCTATTGGAACATTTGAGATATCAACTTTCCTAGATATCCCAGCATCATCGTTAGTATCTCAGTATCTTCGACAATATTCCGTTGAAGACAATCTGTACCTCAGTCTTTGGCAAGCAACAATGATATGCAACAAAGCTCCAAATGGCACATCTCTACAAGTGTGATACTGCGTTAAAAATGGCGATGGTAGCGGATGTACCCCCTTCGGTGGTGTAGGCGGCGCAACGACCTTCACTCCTTTCCTCAATCTGAAGTTATCCTCTCTCCTTATCGTGTGCAGCGGATCAGTTCTATACTTCCAGTCTCTCCACCCAGCTAACGGCATATCCTCTGGCACTTCGGAAGGGATATTCGATAGATCTAACTCGCGGACCAAATTTGCCAAAGGTGCGTTATGAGTTATCAAAGAAACAAATTGTGCAAAGCGATAAGTACTCGCGAAGGTTGGTGCGGCGTAAAGTGCTGGCGCCGCAGAGTCAGCAAGATACTTGTTGGAAAGAAGAATGGCATGGAGAGTCTTCTGATCAAGGTGACAGAATATCTCATCGAGAATTTCGCAGGGCATGGAAGTCAAGCAAGCAACTTGATAATACTTCCGCTTCCTCGAACGAAAACTCGAGGTTGTGGAGTGAATCGAAGCACCTGAAGAACTCAATCTATGCGCGGCTTTCATAGCTGCTGCCATAGATTTCCCTGTCGGTCTGAGCTTACTCGTGGCTTCATTTTTGGCCTTGGATTTTGCAAGAGGTTTTAAAGGAACATCTGGTGGGACGAGGCTTGAGACCGTCCGTCGCAGAACGGGTACAGTTGGCCTTGCCGCGCCCTTATTAGGATCTACTGGCGTTAGCACCGCGGTTTGCTGCTTCTTCGCGGGTCTCCCATCGAATCGGGGCCCAGCAGGTGCATCTGAATAATACTGCGTGCTAAGCAGCCTTGGACTTTGATATCGCCCTCCATATGAGCTGTTGAAATGATGCGAGAACTGCAAGCCGTTCGAGGCGGCGCTGATTCTCAGCGGTACCGCATAGCGAGATTCTCTAGGTGCCCTATATGCATAATCCATTTTGTTAAAAAGGTTGTCTTTGCGAAGTTTGTGAAGCTGAAGACGCAACCGCGATTATATATTGTTCAGTTTGTCGTGCGACATTATGACGTTTGGGTGGTCTGGGCAGCTTCTTGACAGGGAATGGAAGGGTACGAACATGTCGATATCAGACAAACAAGAACTAGGGCGTCAAGCCTTAGGTCTTGGAACTGCACAAATAGGCACAAAGCCACCCGACAAAAAATATATATTGGATGTCGGTCTTTTAGAATATAAATGCTTATAGTACAAAGAAAATAAAAACAAAGAAGGGAGAAAATGCCCTGAGGGAGGAGTGTCTTTTTTAAAAAAAGAAGCCCACGAGACGGTACATGCCAAAAATACACAGTGTGGGAGGAGCTAGAGCCATTTATTTAGGTACGGGTATCTCCCCATTGTCCCATGCTCACGCCCAGCAAGAACTGGTAAGCTCACAGTTTAGCCCAACCGGCGACCCTTCTTTCCGTCCTGTCCCTCGCAGATGATAGACATACATTACGCCGCGGGCGCAGCTGCAGTCGAAAAAACCAGCTCGACGACCTCGAACCTGACAGGGATGGGGGCGAACTTAACAAGGGGCACACATTTTTAAGCGTGGGTCCCCGCCAAAGACAGCAGAGGGGTTGCAGATAATTCCATCTTGGCTGGTAAAACAGTGCATTAATAGCATGCTATCCGTCCGGCTGGGATCTTGTAGCCCGAACAGTTCGTACAGCTCGAACGAATATGAATACACCTTCCTGGACCAAATCTTTGGACGACCTCTACTCCATCTATGTGCGGGCGCCCAGATTTTTGGCTGCTCTGGTTATCCGTCTTCCCCGCAGGTATACACGATCAGATTATCTTTGCAAAGACTTTTGCTTTGGGCCTTTGGACTCATGAAGCTTTTGTGCGGTGAAGAAAAGCTTTATGTGTTCCGTTCCAAGACCGCAACCCCGAATGTCCAAGACCGCAGAAAAGGAATAGAGTGCCTGCGAATGCACAAATACTTCCATTCCTGCGATATATTCAAGGGATGCCGCCGCGGAGCTATCAAGCTCAAAGCTCTAGATTTTGAAGCCGTGCAGGGGGAAATATTCACTCCCCCTCTTTCCAAGAGTTTCGTCCCCTTGCTAAATCACGATAACCTATAACCTTCCTGTGGAGCTTTGAGGTCAGCCGTATATAGCTCCATAAGTCCATGATGCCGCAATCCGCAAGACAAACATGGTGGTTAATGGTGGTTAATGGTGGGATTGCACAACCCATGCATGCGACCTCGTTTTCGACATCTTCTTACCCATATTATCAATCAAATACACTAAAACACTCCTTATATGAGCGAATCAGCCAAGGCCTACCGTCAACCATAAATAAGATGCCTAGGCACTAACCGTCAACCTTCTCCAGAAGTGTGGGATTTCGCCCGAGAACGGCAGCTGGAACTGGAACTGAACTCTTTTTTTTGTGTGTGTCTTCCGCGTGGCAGCTATAGCTAGCTTATAATATGGGGTTTCCCTACGGATATCGGGGTAGTATCCGCCGGCTCAAAACTTTGATTCCTAAGGTACGGGCTTCCTATGAACTTCACCATTTAGGTCTGTCACATTGCCTCGATCCGACAGGCCGGGTAAATGGTGAGGGGTCGTCGCAAGATGGGGTTGACAAGCTCAAAAGTTAGCTGAACGGGAGATGTGATGACGGAAACGAGTCAGTCAGTGTCGTAAACGGATAGAATGCTATGGTAGTATAAGCAGTATTGTTGGACAAGCATTCCAGATCTGTCCAGGAGGCAACATGGCCTGGGAGATGCCGACATGTTAGCTATATCAGCTTGATCGAAATGTGCCGTCGAGACCGTCTTGTGAATGATATTGATAATCGAGACAAAGATGCATGCAAGGGCTTGCATATCGTAAAGGCTGCCTATTATCCCAGTAGTTCTGCCGAATTTCTAGAGTATCAGGCTTATTAGGTGCATATACTGTATACTATCGTATATATCGTTCGAGAAGCCTGTTCCATAACCAATCATCCTCAAAGCCCAGATGGGGGTGCTGTCCGCCGGCGTTAGTCGGCGTTAAGCGTCGCGCTCGGCTTAGGACTGAAAGCGGGCCAAAACAGGATTCAGCGTGTCGCATGTCTGCAACATCGCTCTTCAAGGTTCACAATCCACCCCATCGAGACTCGGTCCACCATTCGACATCCTGGATCGTCCCAAGTGGCCCGAATAACTAGCCCGTGTGCTTATTACCGTCTAGACCACCTCGATCCAACCTCCAACTCCACCAACAATGGCGACCAACGCGGCACCAACCATCAAAGTCGAGGAGGACACTAATTCTCCGGCCATCAAGACTGAGAACGTTTCGATGGAAGATGCTCCACCCGCGTCTATTGGCTCTCCAATGTCTGAAGATGATGAACAATTCGAAGATGCCGGGGATCTGGACATGACGAAAGGCGGTGTCATAGCATGGCTCGTCAAAATGCCGGATTTTGTCCTGGAGAACTGGCATAAAATCGATGATGATGAAGAGATTCATCTCGCTGACATCAGAGTTTACAATACACCGGCTGCTTTGCCGGGTGCGAAAAAGCAGGAGCCACCACAGGAGAGGTTAAAGTTATTCTTGACGGATAATAAGTACAATGAGGGGATACCGAAGAAATTCGACATGGCGGTCACGGATAGAAATGTCAGAAATACGTTCGTATTCACTGAGAAGGATATGCCGGGATTTGAGAATCGGGCTCGTGGCATCGGAACAGATGGAAATCCCATCATCCCATCAAGACTATTACAGCCGGAGAAGAATTTCGACAGGAAATTCGGTAAAGGAGGAAACAATAATAATAAGAAATTCCAGCCATTCTTCCGGAAAGCCATTCCCAGTACGCGACGACTTTTATCCGAATATTCTAATGATGGTACTAAAATTCAAATATCTACATAGAACGTACAGCTTTAGTTGGAACAGTTCGCCACGAAGCCGTTGTCACACCAGTTGATAGCATCGAGTTTGCGAAGTATCTAAAACGGAAACGTGACATAATGGAAGAAGAGCAGCGAAAGAAGCACATTGTGGTTCTCGACAAGATCCTTCCGGGTGCTCCTCTCCCGACTACCAACGACAATCTCTTCGACCAAGCTATTGTATGTCTTCGATCGTTTCCCCATTTTCTCGTAGTATCTATAAGCACTAACACACCCTTTTTAAAAAGCAAAAACCCGGCACGGAAAAGAAGAAGACCCAGGAAAACAAGGCAACCCGTATGCCCCGAAACGAACTTCTCGATGCATTATTCACCTGTTTCTCTGAGTATGAGTTTTGGACTCTCAAGGGTCTTCGTGAAAGACTCAATCAGCCAGAAGCATATCTCAAAGAAACTTTGGAAAGTATTGCTACTCTCCTCAAGACTGGACCATTTGCATTGAAGTGGCAATTAAAACCCGAATATAAGACTCGGGATATTGAAGCAATTAAGAAGGAGGTTAGAGAGGATTTGGGAACTGATGCGGGTGAGGAGTTTGACGACGACGAAGAGGAAGAGATGGAGGATGTTAAGATCTGAAGCCAGATAACTTAGAGCGATAACAGGAGGAAGATACAACGGTTTTTTAGACGGCGGTCATGCAGCCGGGTCTACAAAAGCAGGAGACGTGAAATTGTTTAAAACCTTCACTCTGCGTTTATCCTTCAAATAATTTGCCTACACGATGGATACCCCCTTTTTGGGTTGTTGAGGCGTTAGCGTGGGAAGCATGTACCGGCGTTTTTGCTATTCTTCAAATACTTGAGATCCATAGACAATTGCAATGGAATCCTTCTAAGTCCATACTTATAAGCTAGATTGTGATTTCAACAATAGAATCAAGCTCGCTACATATATGCTAACATTTCAATACACGCAATCAACATTAAGATCCCCTGTTCTCAGGTTAGCTCTTGAACTTTTCATTAAGGTGGAGCAGAAATGGATCCCCTCACGTAGTCAAAAATTTTTTTAGCTTTTTTATTTTTGGCATTCGACGGCTGAGAATATTAATAGATTTATATCCAACTCTGAAGTTTATACTACAGATTCAAACAACAACGACATTACTATTGCATATATTGTGGACTTCGTCATACCTTTTGGAACTTATGAAACCAAACGAATTGGAGTCCCCGGGTTCACTACGGTAACATGGGTTTATAAGTCGTCTAAACGTTTCGAACGCTGGAGGTCGAGCTTTCGGTTTATAATTTAGGTCGAAGAATTCGAAACCGGCGCCTCGAGATGGGCATACAACATCCAACATTCTACGATACACTCAGCTTCCTGTTGTATCTACAATCATTCTTTTGTTTGTATGTATTTGGTGATGAGTTTAAATTGAGCAGTGCAACCTATTAGGCCAGATATACAATTTTTCTCGCAGTGTTTCTCAGCTGATAGTATCAGCGAATGCACATGCATGTTATTATTATATTATGTGACGGATTCAGATAACTTTATATTAGAATTGGGAGATCGAGGTGAAATATCCCAAGTTATCGACAGTTGATAGGTTTTCCTGACGATGAAAGAAGGAACCTAACCAATTTGACTTCAAATTCGTTCTGGCCAGCAGGATCGATATCCCGGGACCGTCGACCCTATGAACCTGATCCAACGGATTCGTACCAACGGATAGGTGTACTCGTTCACACACCCTTTTAATCCCGGATGAATAAATATAGACTAGCCGACTAGACCTGCATATACAGGAAGCAATATTGCAATGGAAGTTGAATAAACGTGTGAAGCTCAAGTTATCACCGTTCCGAATATAATATCGAGCTAACATTGTCATGTCAGAAAATCATGGGCATTATAAAAGGTTGCAGATTACCACAGGACATATTTTTATCAGTCGAAACGATCGAGACACGCCTCATTACCTAGGTATACCGGTATATTTATACGCAAAATATTTAGGTACTACCATAACCATTGTACCGAATAATTCTTCTCTTAATTAAGCCTCCGTTTCAGGTCTCAAACTCGAACTAAGGTTCAATATGTGGGAGCCCTGGCTAAAACGGACTCTTTTCTTTACTCTCTATGTAGGGAGTAGCCTTTTTACTCTGCCTCCTGCTCAAGCTCTACCCCAGGATGGGCCCCAGACTGCCTCCGTGATTCAAGAGGTTGAAGTTATCTCCGCCTGGGCTCTCGGGCAGGATACAAACGCCGAACATTTAGAAGCTCGACAAATAATTCCAATTTTCAAGGGAATTGGTGGAGTATATACCAAGTATCGGACGTCGTCACTTCCACAACCTACCGCAAACTCTATTGATACCAGGTATAAGCCATCGCCTCCAAGTCTTGAAGGCCCAGATCGTGAGAAAGAATTAGACTTTAACGGCCGGGAGTGCAAAGTTGGTCTCTACCATGATCGATGGTTTAGAAACACGGAGCCGGGGTATGGCGGGACGCCCTACACACGATGGGAAGGCTATCCGCTCGGCCGTTGGGGCGACCAGATTCAAAAGGAGGAGAATTGTTTTGACGTTGAAGACCTCAACCCGGAATTAAAGGACCAGATACGTTATGCCGTCGTAACGGGACATTGCGGGTGCCAGTTTTATAGTAAAACTGGGTGCTCCGATGATTCTTGGTTGTTTTCGGGCCACGATGTTGACGGCGAAGTTCCGTCGGTGGCATGGGCTACGACTGCGAGTTTCCGCTGCCGCAATAATAATCATGTTGATGATTTTCAAAGCTGCAAAGTAACCTTCACAAACGGTGGAGATGAGTGGGAACCAAACGGAAAGTACAACCTGTACTTTAACGTTATGGACGGTTATAACTACTTGACATTTTGGTACCAGGATTTGTATTACGACAGAAGCAACATCACAGAAGACCAGGATGCAGGTGGTAGCTTATGCTGGGCGACGGACAGCTTGGAAAAGCAACGAGAGGATGGAATGGCACAATTTATTAGATACGGCAACGCCACCGGATGTTCATGTACAGTTTATCGAGAGAGGACTTGCAGCGGGGAAGTGCTTCGCGAAGTGGGTGGATATGGGACAGACGTTCAATACAATTGGCCTTCGACTAACTACATCCAGCCTGGAAGTGTTAGGTGTTGGCCTCCGTATGGGTTGAACCATGGGAAGCGGGCAGACGGGCTACCGGAGCGTCAAAACTGGGGATTCGAAACTTGAAGGCATATTCTTCTCGAGCTTGATCAATTGAACAAGTTCCAAATTTATCAGGCTGCTATTTATCACAATAGATCTGGGGTTAACAATTAAAATCTCAATCATTTGCGTAATGGTTTCTTTTTCTTTTGGAATAATCATGTATGTGTATAGTCTCGTATCCAGACGTTGGCTTCGCATAATAGGTTGGTCCGAGTTAATTATAAAAAGCAGAATAGTTATAAATACTCCCATACAAAATCTTAAAAGCATCGATTCGAGCTAAATGCTCCAAGGTGTTTAATACAAGCTACCTAGAAGTACGAGTTTATCAATTCAACTGTACTCGATAGAATCAAACAGTTAGATACCTATACCTGCATAGACTTCAAAGCCATGTAGTTTCTGTATATAGTTATCAAGGGGTGACAGTCGTGCTAAGATAAAATATGATAATTCGATGAGCATGCCAACGGAATATATCATTTCGGTAAGCTACTGAGAATAGATATCGAAAGTAATGTGCGGTTACTGCTGTGTGCGCATGGTAGTCTAGACATCTCGAGCATATGGTACTATACTATATACAGGATGCAAGGAGGTGGACTGATGTGTTGTATTGTTGTTGGATTTTTTTCCTGTTTGGGGTCAGTCGCTCAGACAACGATCCCAGTTCTCACCAATCAGATGGCCAGAAATCCGTTTCAGATATAAACAAGCTTCCCAATTCGGGCAAAACACCAATTTGTTGGCCGTCGCGATGGAGTGGGTGTCCTCCTGTCCCAATAACACAGCTGGGTTCGCTTAATTCTAATTATTCCCTGGTTGTTTCCACCCACCATCAACCTCCCTTTCTTCATCATCAATCTCATCGTCAACTTCAATTCTCGACTTCAACCATTTCCTTCTCGACAACAGGGACTGCCTTGACTTTTGAGTATTTACATACGACGCTCAAACACAACTGTGCCAACAAAAGTACAACTGTCAATTACCCAAAGACTCCTTCCAAATCCCAGCCACCTCAGTTTCAAAACTTCATCGGTTTCATCAAACTCTCTTCAACCCCCACAACTGCAGCACCGTATACCTTCCAAACCTACGCGTCATGTCTCTATAGCCGACAGAGATCTTCTTATCCAAAAAAACTAACCGACATATACAGCAATTTACCCTATCAAATGACGACCTTCGCAGCTTCTAACTCCACCTTCAAAACCCCCTCCTCCTACCGTCTTACCTCCGCCGATGACTCCGATGATGATTCCATCCTAGGAGATGTCCCAGTCCTCTCCTCAGTGGCAAACGAGCTGTTAGCCGAAAACAGTGGCCTAGAACGTCGTTCCTCAGCAGGGAGCAAAACTCCCGGCTCCAACAGCAAAACCTCTTCATCTGGTGGAATAAGTAGCAACGCATACTCTCCCGACTTCCATACTGCAAGGAACTTTGTCACACCGGCTGCTAGAACCACCCGGCGAGCCTACCTCTCGTCTGTGACTAGAATAAGCAATGGAAGTAGCGGTTCAGGCGAAGGTTCTGCTGAAAAGAACTATGATTTGTCGAGAATCGGCGATGGTCTTAACGCGCCGAGCACAATCGCTAGGACGATTGGCTCTGTTGCCCGTGCCCGCCCGACTACGATCTCCAAGCGCCCTGTTAGGGCACTAGGCATTGGAATGCCTATTCGTGGCCCTAGACGAGATTATTCCAATCAAGGAATTGAGGAATTGACAAGCCCTGAAGAAGAATATGACGGAACAAAACAAGACTTCTTAGTCGAATCTCGTGCACAGAAGGAGCAGGAAATTACAGGGACCGAGCTACAGGCGGACCGCAGTCGAGATTCTAGTGCCAGAAAAGTATCTATTGCCGGGGAAACTGTACGACGGGAATCGCTGGAATTTACAAGGGATCGGCCCTCGCCAAATCAGTATAATCCGCTGAAGAGGCAGTCTTCCGCTAGCTGGAGAGAGCAGGCCGTTCCCTCAAAAAGAGAATCCCCGGACAAAAAAAGAGATTCGCCTCTACATAGGGACTATATGCCCGAAAGTCCAGTTGAAATGATGAGGAAAGCTCAGCTACAAAACTATCAAGCTGGAAATCTCGAATTTGATTTTGGTGCGGGAAAGCTCGTCTCTAGATCGAATTCGAGGACAGGCTCCGCATCTAGACAATCTTCTCAGGAAAGACTCGGTCTGAAGTTCTCACTGCCTTATCCTATGCCTGATAAGGAGAATGATCAATCCCAGCCGAAGAAACTTGGACCATCATTTGAAATCAACAAGCCCGCTTTCGAAAAGTCACGGCCATCCACTCCCCCTTCTCCAATCCCTGAAAGAAAATCTGCTCCCAAAGTGCAGGAGCCCCAACCAACATCGCCAAGAAGAGCACTCGGGGCCCTCTCTGTAAACACCCCTCGGAGAGCTGCTCCGCCGCCACCTCAAACAAAAGTAGCGCCCGTTCCGGCAGCGCCCGTTAAGGAGCCGGCCCCTGCTACCCGAAGAAAACGGCAGCACGTCATTGTTAATGGCAAACAATATCTTAGGCTTGATCAAATTGGACGGGGTGGAAGTGCCAAAGTTTATAAAGTCATGGCTGAGAATTACAAGATGCTTGCTATGAAGAAGGTTATGCTAGAGAAGCAGGATGAAGCTACGATTCGTGGTTTCAAGGGTGAAATCGATTTGCTGCGGAAGCTGCAGGATGTAGATCGGGTTGTGAGATTATATGACTACGAGATTAATGATGAACGGAGTACTCTCACTGTGGTAGGTCTCATCCGCAATTGCATGTTTAATGCTGTGTTACTAATTGTACTAGCTACTCGAATGCGGCGAATCTGATCTTAATCGAATCATCACCTCCCGCCACCATTCTGACGACTCGACCCTCGATGTGTCCTTCGTTAGACATTACTGGAAGGAGATGCTCGAATGCGTGGACTCTGTACACGCTCGGAACATTGTACACAGCGACCTAAAACCCGCCAACTTCCTCCTCGTTCAGGGTCGTCTAAAGCTCATTGATTTTGGAATCGCTAACGCTATTCAAGACGATACGGTTAATGTCCATCGTGAACACCAAGTCGGTACAGTGAGCTACATGGCGCCTGAAACCATCGTCGATTTTAATTCTGGCAAGACAACATCAGATGGTAGAGCAGCTCCACGCTTGCATAAGCTTGGTGCACCAAGTGATGTTTGGAGCTTGGGATGTATTCTGTACCAAATGACGTATGGTCGCACACCGTTCGCACATCTGAGTACACTATACCACAAGATGTCAGCTATCCCAGATCCAAGACACGAAATCGACTACCCGAGTACTGGTATTGGTGGTACCCCGGTCCCAGCAAGCCTGATAGCGACCATGAAAGGTTGCCTCGAGAGAGATAAGAATAAGAGACTTACAATCCGAGATATGCTTAGCTACGAGGATCCATTCTTGAACCCAGATCGGGTGACAGAAGGAGCTGCAGACATCAGTGAGGACGTTCTTGTTAGCTTGATGGAGAATGTCGCAGAATATACGAAGGAGAAGGGAGCGCCAACGGAACAGCAGATCCGGGTCTGGGCGAAGGATGTGTTTGGCAAGCTCAAGAAAAAGATGCTTGAAAGGAGAGGAAGTACCGCTCGGTAGTTTTTGGATTATGGTTCTAAGAGTTGGCTCTTTTATGAGTAGATGACGTTGGGGATTATATACCTACTTTGTATTGTATATTTTTTGGTTTCTTTCTTCTTAGCCCTTCTTGTTCTTTGAGCCGTGGAGTTTATAACGGTTACGTTGGAGTTTGGTTCTCACTTCCTTTGCACATATACTACTGAAGTTTTCTTTCTACGTCTTACATTCCATTCTACCATCATCCCTATCATTCCTTTTCCCTCTCCCTTATATCTTTTCTCTTTTATTCCTATTTTGATGTCTGATGATATCTGCATTTGAGTACTCCCTCAGCGAACTCTCTCCATTTCTATCTGGTGCATTTTTTTATACGGTTTTCACAAAAGGCCCTAAATGGGCTATGGTTTTGTTGCATCTGCATATTACTACATATCTTTTTTTGATTATAAGATCTGAAGGAGATTCATTTCCCATTGTTCAAACTTCCAATCTACAAATTAGTCGTGATACTTTCAACGGGGTTTCAACATGTTTCTTTGTTTATAACTAGCCCAGGCCAATTGGTGAGGCGGTTGCCAAGCCTTCACAGCTCCACAGCTAGCTACCCAAACCCAACATCTCGAGATCCACGTAAACCACATCCCACTTCACGAAACAAAGCCACCTAAGACGTACGAGCGCGCAGAACTTCAACCACAAAAAAAAACCATGGCGCCTCCACCACCCGCCTCGCATAAGGCGCGGAAACGTAAACGTCATGTCCGATCATATTCTATGCAACTCCCGTCCAAGCCGTTCCCCTTAGCCTCGTTCCTGCACCCGCTTCGAACGTCGTCGATGCGACGTCTTGCTATACCTACGGTATTAATTACGGCGTTTATATTCCGGTGGGCAGTGACTTATGGGCCGCATTCGGGTTTGTAGTTTTCTTTTCTTTTTGTTTCTTTTCTTTCTTTGGAGTGTCAATTGAAGGTTTTATGGAAGCTGATTTGGTGGTTCCTTTTTTTTGTTTGGAATTTGGATAGGAGAGAATACGCCTCCTATGTATGGCGACTTTGAGGCACAGAGGCATTGGATGGAACTTACCATTCACCTTCCTATCAGCGAGTGGTATTGGTATGATCTGCAATGGTGGGGGTTGGATTATCCACCCTTGACGGCGTATCATAGTTGGTTATGCGGTAAAATGTTCGTCAAAAGAATCATGACCCTCGAATTGAATGTTTTGAGTAACGATTTTTTGCTAATAAATTGGAAACTTTGGAATTATATATACAACAGTGGATCTTTAGTCAACCCATCCTGGTTCTCCCTTCTCACCTCCCGCGGTCACGAATCTTACAACCACAAAGTCTTCATGCGAGCAACCGTTGCCGTTTCCGATTATCTGATTTACATACCCGCGCTCGTGATATTTACAAAATGGTGTTCCCGAGCCACGGGGACGGATAAATACGATCGAATAATTGCGTTATCCATACTCCTTTCTTCGCCTGGGTTGATAATAATTGACTATGGACATTTCCAATACAACAGTGTGATGCTCGGGTTGTGCATCTTTGCGTTCGCAAGCTTTTTGGCGGATAGGTTGTTATGGGGCAGTCTTTTGTTTGTGATGGGGTTGGGGTTTAAACAGATGGGACTTTATTATGCTCCTGCTGTTTTTGCTTATCTTGCCGGGTTGTGTGTTAGCTTTGGTGGTGCTAATACTCGAGGTGATGGCGGGAATAGGAGTGGGAATGGGATTAATATTGGTGGATTGTTAAAGGTTGATATTCAAACGCTGGCATTGTTGGGTATTACCGTTATCTCGACGTTTGGGATAATGGTCGCCCCGTTCGCCATTTTCCACGGTCCGGACCGAACTGGATTAGAACAACTGGGACAAATGGTACACCGAGTATTCCCATTCGCCCGTGGACTCTGGGAAGATAAAGTCGCAAACTTCTGGTGTGCAACCAACATCGTATTTAAATACCGAGAACGACTATCGACACCGGCTTTACAAAAGATATCATTGCTTATGACGATACTTGCTATATTACCGCCTTGCTTGTTATTATTTTTGAGGCCGAAGAAGAGGTTGTTACCTTGGGGTGTGGCGGGGTGCGCTTGGGGGTTCTTTTTGTTCAGTTTTCAGGTTCATGAGAAGAGTGTGCTTTTGCCCATGGTGGCGATGAATTTGGTCGTTGCTGGGGGGTTGGATAGGGATTTGTTGAGTTGGATTGGGTGGGCTAATAATGTGGCAATGTTTTCGTGAGTGTTTCCTTACCCATTTGCTTTGATTCTCTCTGTATAGGGTTTTCTTTGAAGTTGATACTAATACTGAGGACTTGGGGGCGTAGGATGTGGCCGTTATTGAAGCGTGAGGGGTTGGGATTACAGTATACAGTTCTGACGGCGCTATGGTCGTGGTTACTATCGCTCCATGAGCTACCAACATCGATATATGCGAAGATATTGCATTCAGGGGTGTACGCTGGTGCTATTGGATTACATATCGCGGAACTTACGGTTACGGAAGGCATTGTTGAAAGGTTTCCGGATATTTGGGTGGTGGGGAATGTGGTATTGTGCTTTGGAGCGTTTGGGAGTATGTATATTTGGGTGCTGTATAGGATGGCAGAGGAGGCGGGGTTATTAGATGAGTATTCTGTTGGGGGTGGAGGGGAAGAGGAGAAGGAGAGGTTGAAGAAGGTAGAGTGATGCTTCCTTCTTTTTTTGTTATTAAGATCCTTAGAATCGTATTTTTACCGTCTTCAGATTTGTATATTTTCATTATTAGCTTGCAGATTGTAATTAAGCGAGATATTTACGCAGAGAATATAATATAATGGAGCCGACTACTAGTGGATATTGTTAAAAGATATAATTTCAAAGTGATAGAAATACGACTAACTACAAAATACTCCACGCTATTAAATGTACTCTCACGCATGATCAATTCTTATTCTTCTTTCCCCCTTGAGTCGACGGATTTTAAAGTCGATCGATATAGATGCCATTAATGCCACCTCATGGAATTCTCTGTCTAGATTTGTCCCCTGTTTTTTACTTTGGAGGGTTAACGTATTTATCCTTATATATCCACGAATTCCCCATAATTCTGTTCCCATTCTCTTCTGCAAGACGGTAGTACTTTGCCGCTAGCCACTAAATTCATTTTTCAAATATTAGCTGAATCTGGTTTCAGATAGAACCTAAGGACCGAGTCCCAGGAGGACGGGACGGAGGTATAAAAATAAAAAGACCAACCTTATCCTTCTTCTTCAACCCATACCCATTCAAATAACACCAAGCGGTCTCGTTCATCGCATCCGTATCCCCCAAATTCGCTGCCGTTTGGTAATAATTAAACGCAGCAACAGGATCCTTCTCAGTACCCCATCCATGTCTGAAACAATTCCCGAGTTCAAATATAGCGAGTACCAACTCCCCTTTTGCGGAACCACCCTTCTTCATACCGGCTCTGAGAGCTTCTTGTTCTATTGATGCGGAATTTGCGGCCGCGGCTTGCAGGTATTTTATCGCTTCGGCGGAATTGGGAGCTGTACCCCAACCGTGACGGAGGGCTAGGCCGTAGAGGACTTGTGAGAGGGGGTTATTTGCGCCTTGGGGGTCGGCAAGTTGGCGGAAGAGTTTGGTTGAGTTTTCTAGGTCTGTTTTGTTCATGTAAAAAAGTCAAGTTAGCTAAATTTACCAATATTTCTTTTCCAGGTATAGTAATATTGATGTGTTAGTAGTATGAATATAAGAAAGAAAACCTACCACCCTCCTCATGCAACCTAATAGCCTCTTGAATATCCTTATCAGTCCCCTGATCACTAAAACTCCTACTCCTACTCCTCTCCCTAGTCGGTGTATTCCCCGCGCCCCCAAGTCCCAATTGGCTGGCCCTCCACTCCCATTTATCCTCTTGTTCGCCTTTACTCCCCTCAGCCGTAGGACTGATCAAATCAGTCGGAACATGTTCGCTACTACCACTAACCTGTGGTGGCCCACCACTCGAAGAACTCCGACGAAGGAATGAAAGTCGTTTTTTCTTCTGAGGAGCTTGGGAGTCTGCTGGAGATGTTGGAGATGTTACTGTATTATTGTTGTTGTTATTGTAGCCGTGAGGATGGGACGGCGGGAAGATTTCTTCTTGGGTGGTTGTATCGGAGCGGAACATGCGGAATTCGGGGGTTTGGAGGGAAGGGTTTTGAGGACGGTTGGGGTTATTGTCGAAGAAACCGCCGCCATTGTTTGGGGGTGGGGGGTTTGGGGAGTCGGCGTATTCTTTTTTGTGGAATCCGAAAGGCATCTTTTTGGTTCCCTTCTCCTCTTCCCTTAATTGAGATGATGGGATTTGTAGGTTAGTTTCTTTTAGATAGTTGATAAAGATTGAGAAAGCCGAGATGATATAAATAATGTAAATGTAGAGAAAGATCTAGATGATATATGTTTTTTTTGAACGAAGGAAGTTGTAGATATATCGGATATCGAAAATTTGCGTTGACCTTGTTGTATTCCAACCCCTAACCGCTGAGCAGTCGACTCGGCCCAATTGCAGATGGAACAGGTTCCCGGCTGGTTGGATATAAGTATATCGAGGCTGCTCCGTACCAGAGTAGTAACTATAAAGAATCCAATCTTCAAAGGGGAAGGAGTCGAAAGAAGAAGAAGAAGAAGAAGAAGAAGAAGAAGAAGAAGAAGAAGAAGAAGAAGAAGAAGAAGAAGAAGAAGAAAAAAAGAGAATTAAAGGTTAACGAAGAAAGAAAGAAAGAAAGAAAGAAAGAGGTTAAGATTACCCTCTCTTCTCCCCGCAAGGCCGACCTAAAGTATGCCTTATTATACGTACTCTGTATGTACGGTTCCCGCCCCCCGTAAGACGTTAGTTAATAAGCTTAAGTCTTGGACTTGTTTCTTCCAAGACTTTTTTTTGGGGGGGCCGTTACAAAGTTGTGGAAGTCAACCCCGGTTTTAGTGAACAAGTACTTGAGTATTAAGCGGGCTGTGGGTTATAACAAGTATTAATGTGAAAGGCTGCCAGCTGCCCCGCCGACGGGAAAAGGGACGTTATTGCGGAAAAAAAAAAAACACCCAAAAGTATACGTATATGGTATGATATGATATAGATGGGATTATATAAGCCCGCAGAGTGAGAATTAATTCAAGAGGAAGAGAGAGAGAGAGAGAGAAGGAGAGAGGGTAATATCGTGCGTGAGAGGGGCATTGACAGTGGCGCGCGCAGGTGGGTTGATTCTGACAAGGGCTTAAGCTTAGCTAACCTTCCCTAATTAATTCCAGGTTTGTTCATGAATTCCCACCCCGGTCTGATACTCTGCAGCTTTCTTACATTTGTATGTATGCGGAGTACAGTGCACTGCATTGCATTTGGAAAAAAAAAAAAAAGGTGCCTGGATTTAGAGTTGTAGATTAATCCATCGACTTTGCATATATAGGTATTTAGATACTTACGTACTTGAAATACGTGTGTATATGTGCGCAGCAGGCCAGCTGAATATAATTTTAGTGTTTTTTTTAATAATATTTTGGTATAGTTGGGATATTATTCATCTCTTCCCCCCAACTATTTGTTGAGAAAAAGTGCGGCAGTGTTGGATGATGATGACTGATGATGATGACAGCATTGTAAGAGTTTCGGCCTCATTTCCTCACTAACAGCTGTTGATTGCGATCAATGTTGCAATATGATCATGATCTGGCCAGACGTGTGGGAAGCTAATCTTATCGATCATCGAGCTCAAGCTCGAGGTCTTGGCGAGGTCAGTTCGAACTGAAGAAAGTATTCTGACATCGCCGTCAATATGGCCTCAATATTATATTAGAAAATTCGAATGAATGAATGTTTATTTGATTTGATAGTAACTATCCGCTAAAAAGGTCATAAAAAGTGTCATGCAAAAGGGAAAAGGAATGGCTATATAAACATTTATAAAAAAGGGAATTAAAAAGGAAGGGGAAAATAGTAGAAAATGAGAATGAAAGGGAAAAAAAATAGTATCTAGATCACCCAAACACCTAGAAAAAATATCAAAAGTCGAATAGAACCTCTTATTTCTTTATCTTTTTTAGAAGCTATAGTGCGAGTTGTTGACTCTCTGGTTCGCAAGGGCGTATTTTGCTGCGAAAACTCCATCTAAAGCATCCTCGACCATATATTCTTCTAGGACGGCGCCAAATCTATATGTATTCACAAAGTTATTAGAGAAAGTTCTAATAGTAGTAGGGATCAAGGAATTGTCGACTTACCCGTAGCACTTCACCTTAGGCACCAATTCGTTCTTAATCGCCGCAAAATCATGTCTTGTCAACTGTAAAAAGTTTGGATGCGACTGAATGATCGCCCATGCACTACAGAAAAGAAAAAGAAAAAATACCCCGTTAACCAAACCATCCACGAAAATCAATAGAAGAATAATGGAGAAGAAAAAAATAAACTCACTTGATAGGAGTAACCTCCCCCGAAACTCCCAACTTCGGTGAAAAATTCAACAACATATTCAACTCGCTAGGCTGTAAATCATACGTCCTAGAACCCCAATCAATATCCGGATTATCCAACATATGCGACTCCGGCGGACACGACGCCATCAGAGCGTGACCGCTGATAGAAGTACCATTGGGATCTTCTAATGAGTCGTGGACAAGTTTCTGGATATGCTCCATGCAGGGTCGCTCCAATCTAGATGTCTCTTGCACTATTAGTATATGTAGTTTCTAATATTATATATGTATAAACCAAAAGGGTATGTGTGTTTGAGTGAGTGTAGGTAGACATACGCAAGCACGAAGTCGATACCGATAGCATCGAAAGCACCGCTAACATTCGGTGAGGTAGTCGGTTGTCCATATTGTCCAGTTGGAGATAGATAGCTAGGCCCAGTGGATGGGGCGGTAACCAACTGTGCAAGTGGTTGAGCACCCACTAACGATGCTGGAATTCCAGGCATTGATCCTAAGGCTACAGGTGGAGGAGGGGGGATAGGAGCAGGAGCTAATGCAGAAGTAGGATCGATAGAAGGATCCGGTGGCCAAGAGAGACCGTGAAGAGCTAGATACTTCTTTAACTCTGCGTTTTCGTTTGTTAAGATGGTTTTCTCCTTGGTGACTATGGAGAAGGCTTCGCGAAGTCGGGTGATTTCGGATTCGAGTTGTCTGAGGTAAGCTTCTTTACGTTCGCGATGAGTTCGCTGTGCTTGTCTATTAAAAAAGAAAAGAAAGAAGAAGAAAAAAGTAAAGAGAGTTTAGGTTAGCCTTTCGGATGTCTTCCTTAGAAGGAGTGATACGATAGGTGTTCTAGAACGAAACGAATGAACAGGGTTGGTTGTTCGATGATTAATGTGGGAAGAAGGGATTGGGTTGATTGTGTAAGTGAAGGGAAGACCCAAGCAAGAGTAAAAGCTAGATCAAAAGGTAAGCTGCTTCTATATGCAGAAAACCAAGTTCAAGGCAGACACTCTTGGAAGATGATGAGGTTGAATGTATAAATAAAATGATCGGACGAAGGTGGAAGGGTCATATATACCTATTGAGTTCCTAAGATCACCGACCAACAATTAAAACAGAAATAATGTTAGCCCTGTTTCGTATAATGACATTATACTCAAATACTTTTTCACCCCTCCCAGTGCTGTACAAGAAACGCCACCGAAAAGATGTGGATGTGGAAGAGGAGTCCCCGTGGCCCGCAGATCTAAGATGAATAATTGCAACATGTCGTTTTTCCTTTGACAAATTGCTTATGAACAAATGCCGCGTTAAGAGGCTCGTTCGGAACATGACTTATCGCACTAGATGCAAATGATAATAATAAAAGCAGCCCAATCCTAACTTGGGGGAAAGGGAAAGCCACAAAGAAATTAGAAAAAACATGAAACTTCCTGCATGTTGAATGCAGCCCATCAGAATGGGGTCAAGTTTTCCGATCTGCGAACTGGCCATGGGCGAAACGACGAACACTTCATAGCGCAAACAAAAACTAAGGAACGGAATATCAAATACCTGGCGTCGAGTTTGCGCGGGCTTGGAGTCCGGCTTGGGTCCGCGTCTCTTGGCGGGCTGGCCATCTGAATATCGATTTTGATAACAAGGTTAGAATTTCACTTTCAAGACTTGTAATTGCAACTGTACCCGTAAAAGATTGGAAATTCTGAAACACAAAAGAAGGCTAACATTGAAGGGTAATAGGGATCTCCTGTCAAGGAGGTGACATGTGGAGACGAAGGCATAGCAGGCGCGGTGGGTAGTCGTCAGAAGCTTATCAAGTTCAGCTCCAAAGCTACCCTTCGCAAAAGGAACAAGCTCGGTTAGGGCCTGGGCAAGGAATACAAGATTTGTCTTGTTCATCGCCGCAGCGTTGGGAATACGCTCGCTAATTCCAAATCACTTTACCCAATTGAGGTACCAACCTCAAGCTAAGAGTCCAATGATTTGGAAAACACCCCTCCAGGGTTATATCGAGCAGCTGAAAAAGTCGAAACTACCAACCGCAACCAAGACGAATTGGAAATAGCGAACAACCAAAAAAAATCAATCAAGAATATGCAATCTGGTAAGAAAAATAGGGAATGGAATATGTTGGTATCTTGGAAGGAAACACCAAGACAAAACAACAACATGGAATAACTCAGGATCATGTCGTGCTGCCGAACTTCAATAAAACCATATACTAGGGTGGGGGAGGGAGAAAAAAAAGGCTCGATGCATCGATATGCAAGATGAAATCACATACCTTTAGTTGTCCGATTTCCGAAACTTATATTCTTAAAGAACCCACTTAGCTTCGATGGATCTGGATCATCTGAAAGTTGATCATCTCTTCCTGCATTGTCCGGCAAAGATTCAGGCGGCGTTAGTACATTATTCGAGTTTGGATAGTTATTGAAGTCCATGATTTGTAGACGGTAATTCTCCGGGAAACTGGGACCGGAAAAAGAATTCCAAAAGACGGGGAAACTGGAAAAAAGGGAGAGAAAAGGGAGAAGAATAAGAGGCTAGTGAGATTGGAATCGCATCAAATCATGAAGAAGAGTAGAAATAAAATCTCAACCCCGTTATCGAATCTCGAATTTTATGTTGCCTCGTGCTGCAGTGTCAAACAAAAAAAATAAAACAAGAGGGTAGATTTGGGATTGTATATATAAATTCGTAAAATGGAGAACGAGACGAGGTGGGAGACTAGGATCCTAGGGTGGAAACATTTTATGAAGGGTGAAATTTAAAGGAAACAGGAAAGAAGAGCCACACGTTATAGGGAATTCAAAAAGAAGCAACGGTACAACCGACAGGATAATACGCAGCTTCTTATTGCTCGCAAAGCATCATCACCCAAGCCCGTTGGAACTTGGCCATGTCAATCCTCAGCGAAGGGGGGTACACATAAAAGAGTACGGGGTGGTACATGTAGGGCGGCGACAGGCGTAACGTGTGTCAGCGGGGTCGAAAGTTAATCAATCAGAATGTAATGCGCATTGCGGCACTTCCCATGTACAGGACATAAGTACCAGGGGTTCGTGCCTGTATTTTAAAACGGTAACGGAAAAGGATAGAAAAATAAAAAATAAAACAGATATATAAACATATTCATGATTCCTCACCTGGGGATGGCGACGAGAATCCTGGGCCATAGTCTTGAGGTAGAGCTTGGAATTGGCCTGGAGAAAGTCCTTGATCCACATAATTTGAGGGCCCTCCTGTATTAGGAAGACTCGGGGTTCTAGACTTTTGCTGATAGTACTGTTGCAGCTGCTGGTTAGGAGGCAATTGCTGGCGCTGCTGCTGTTGGCCCCCAAATGGATTCTGGGCATAAGGTTGATTTGGTGGTATTGACGACATCTAGGAGATATTCGTAGCTACCTAGCTTAGCCTCGCAAGAGGCTCGCACGGCGGCAGCGGGATCGTGCTGTGCGAGGAACACTTGAATCGGACGTCCACCCCCTCGCAGCAAAAATCTCACCAAGGGTTAACGTTTATGCGATGGTATGGTGGGGTTTTAGTTTTCTTGCAACCACTTTCGATTACTTCCGCACCTCCTCCCCCACATGCACACACCCGCATAAAGCTAAGGTACGTAGTCGAGTTCACCAGGCAGTTGCAGTAGTATAAAACCCAAGGTAAGCTCCAAAGATGGAATTGCTTGTGCCTTTCTGATAGGTCGAACGGGAGTCGGAAATCACACCGACAGCAACGTTTTTAGCACGATGAGACGATCCGATCGGAAAATTTTCTTGAAACTTCGCCTGGAGGGGATGTCGGATGCAATGGAAGGCGCAGGTATGCGTTGCGTAGTCCGATGAGGATGACAATGCAGGTTTCTTGACGCCTGAATTAAAAGAAACCCCGAACGTGAACACGAGGGATTGATCAGATTCAGATTCAGGGCTGTCAGCGATGAATCAAAATGCGAATGTGAACAAGGTCCGGCAACAGAGTTATGCAAGTGGGAAAAGGCGAAATTCAGTAGGACCCCTGTTTAATTCCGAAGGCTGTAAGTACTGTCGATAATTCGTGGGAGGTATAGCTATAGTTCCGAATTGAATCTAGAACAGCGGATAGCCGACGGTACCGACGACGACGCAATGGGAGACGAGCAAAGTAGTAAAAAAGACCAAGATATTAATTCCAAAAACCACTTCCCATCAGCTTTTAGGCGCCGAAGAATGGAGAAAAAATATTTTTAATCCGAGGGAGAAAAGCAAGTGGAGTTGGCCTGTTAGTATATATATAACCTTCCAAATACTTTCCCTTGACCCTTGCTCCCCAGACAGGAACAAGAAAAGGACCAGACGTCAGACCACACAAGTTAGTTAGTGTCAGATAGATTTCCTTAATCATCTCGGCAAGAAGTCTTGGACCTAACAGGGTCAGATATAAAAAGGTAGCCCACAGTTGATGCATGCCCGCGGCGGGTGGATCGATTTTGACCCAACATCATTCATTCAGTAAATATAGCTGATCAACCCATTCCATGGTACGTAAGCTTTGGTTGGACGAACTCCGATCTTCGAGGGACTAGTCTGCCTGGTATATTTTCAAAACAACCTCGTATAGTATACGTACCTCGGGGGGAAAGCTAGGTAGACCGATCCTGTGCACTGTACGAGCTCCCAAGGACGGCTGGGAAGCTTGGGAGGTGACTAGTTTGGGCAATGTGATCCCTTTCTTGAGAGTGGTTACTATTTGTCAACCTTCTTCACCAACGCTTGGTGGCGGTACCAGTGTGGAACCTGTTAAGGGAATCCGACTGCGTTTTGGGAGCTTCGATTGTAAAGTGCACTAGACTGTGGGGAAAGTACACACGGGATTTAGCTCAGCCTGGCTGGGTCGTGATATCGCAACTGCGGGAAGAGGAAACTTACGAGCCTTCGTAAACGTGCCATTTCAATGCATCGAGACTTCAAGAAAAATGGTTAGATTTAGAAGGGCTAGAAGGTTCGGGGACTGATGATCATGAAGCTGTTGAATTCGAATTGATGTGTTGGTGAGGTTAACGTTGGAATAAGCTGTCTCAATGCTGTTAACCGTCATATGAGCCGAATTAACTTTTGAATAGCTTCAAACTCAATTACCCTATTTAATTTAGATACTTAAATATTTATTAAGAAGGTTCGATTGAATTATTTACAAGTACACAAACGGTATAGTAGAAAGAATTTAAAGCGACCATGCATGATAATTATTGCTGGTTACCTATAGACTGAATTAATGATTAATCCCTAGAATATCTGCGCCGAATACCAAATCCATAACCCCATTGTCCTGAACGCCCACGCTTGGTCTTATTCTTGTCCCCACTCTCCCCGAGGCCACTGTCACTGTCCTTTCCCCCAGACCCACCTTCTTCTCTACGTTCCGCCGTTTCTTGTTGACCACCTTCGGGGTGAACGATACCATCCTCTTGATGCTTCGACTTATTGACCTGGGGGCTATCTTCCTCGTCCTGCTTTGGTTCTTGTTCATCCGTTTCGGGTTCCTCACCCTCCCCACGCTTTTTTCGAAGTCTTAGTGAGGTCCGCCTTCGTTTCTGGGGAGTAATTTCCTCGGGCTTTTTCCCCTCGGACTTCCTCTTTTGAAGCTTCTTCTCCGTAGCCTCGCTCTTCCCGAGCATACCCTTCTCCATTTCATCCTCACCGAGCTTATCATTATTCGGACCACCTTCTCCGAGCCCGCCCTTTACGAGTTTATCCTTCTGGACCTTCTGGAGGTACCATTGAGCCACGGCTTTGTTACCACGCTATGATAACTCTGGTAGCTCAACGTCTACGCTATCCCCGCCTTCCACCACTATGTTCTTCTCGATATGCTTCCCCAACACTGTTCCCTTAAACCTTGAAGCATCTTCTTTAATTTTCAAGGAAGTAAACCAATCAACCTGTTTAAGTTTAACCCTTCCTTTCCCGCCCTCTTCCTCAATTCCATCTCCAGGTGGTTCTGTATCTCTGGCTCCACCTCCAACCCCGCCCAAAGGTCCCGGTGTACCTGCTGCCATGTTGTCGTCCAATGGTACGCTGTCTATATCCATCATCAGAGGAGTAGGTTGATCATCGACAACCTCACGCTTAATGGGGATGTCGGTTTCTACTTCTTTCGATTTCTCAGCAGGTCTTTTTGTTCCCGTTGTCGTCTTTACTGTCTTCATCGCAACAGATCCAGTCGTTCCACTCGTTCCATTCACACTAGCACCAGTCGCATCCACAGCACCACCACCAGTTCCAGCTCCAGCGGTCGTAGTATCAGGAACAACAGCATTGACATCCTCATCCCTCTCCTTCTTATCGTCAACTTCAACGGTAACCACACCAGCTATTTTCCTCAATTCCTCGATTTCAGGACTTTTCGCCCAAGTGATGAAGTTGTCGATTGCTCTTGTGTCGTCTAGATCGGCGTTGTAGAGGGTCAAGGGTCGAAGGAGGCCGACTTGTTCCATTGCGCAGAGGACATCGGGGACATCGGATTCTTCACGGTTGGAGGATTCGGAGATTGAACGGGCGGTGGTGCCTAGGAGGGTTAAGTATCGAGCTGTCATGTCTGTAAGGAAAGCGTAGATGTATTGGGTTAGTATCATCTTTGATAAAGGATGGTGATTGCGGTGGTGATGGTGGGGTTCTTACCTGTGAGGGAATCCAGAACGGATGGTCGCGAACCAGCTAGACCAGCATGACGGAGCATCTGTGCCGTCGAGATGCGAAGGAGGGAAAAGTAGAATTGTTCTTGAGAGTCCATTGGTGATGATTGTAATGATTGATTATGATTAAACGAGGTGTTATGGGATTGTTTTTGTAGAGAAGTTTAGTTGATGGCAGGTATCGAAGTAGGTACTTTGGTGTTTCGTATTCAGCTAGCAACGATTCGATCTAATGAGGGCCATTGTCGTCGTGGATTTAATTGACAAGAAGTGGTATAGAAATATCGGATGGATCGTATAGTCTTGTGGTATTCCTTGACTGACTGCTGTGTATGAATAACCGTATGGTGAAGATTCGGTGATGTGATGGAGGTAAACAGGATGATGATGGTGAAGATGATTGTGATGCTTGTGGTGGTTGGAGATGATGATTGTGTTCAATGTTCGCAAGTTTCTGTGAAGGCCGAATCGAACTGCAATTGAAGGGAATGCCAAGACATCTAAACGCGACAGCTTCCCGTCCTCTTCTCTTCTCCAGACTAACAAACCACAATCACTACCATCACCATCATCACCACCATCATCACCATCATCATGAATCCAACATCACCATCATCGCTCCCACTATAAATATATGCTTACGTAATGTTACCAGTCCCTTGATCTTGAGGTACCGCTACCAAACTCTGTAATTTGAGCTGGGCGCTTTTAACCCGTTTCTAGCTCAATCAAGACTCACGCTTCCGATCGTTGTTCAACGGGAGCACCACCATTAAACATAACAGCCATCGCACCTCAGATACATACATACATACGTACTACATACATAACATAGCCAACTAGGGCCGCGATTATCTCCGAAAAATATTAAAGATGCCGCCTGAGAGGAAACAGAGGAAAATCGTCAAGCTATTGCTTAGTCCGCATAACCTTGCTCGATTCGTGGAACAGCCCTCTCCGGCCAGCACCTCCCAGAAAGCAACAGAGAAGCCTTCTAAAAAGGATAAAAAACTTAAGAAGCCTGCTTCTTCTGCTGCTACTAGTAGTAGTGCGCCGAAAGAGCCTCCACCTCCACCGCCACCATCAGCCAAGGAGATACAACAGACACCCAAGCCGAAGGAATCTAAGAAGTCCAAAAAGATACAACATGGACAACCGAAGGCTCCTCCAGAGACACCAACAGGCTCTTCCATTACTCTTGCACCTCCGAAACCTGCTGGCTCGGGGATAAAAATCAAGTTCAATGTTAATACCCTTAAGAACGCGGCAAAGGAGAATTCTGCTAGCGCAGCAGTCCCTCAAACTCCGAGTACATCTAAAGCAGCTGCTGCACTTACAGCCCAGGCTATAACACCGGCTCCGATAACCGCTCCGACAACCTCCTCGCGTCCGGTGGGTCTCTCCAACCTCCCCCCTCTTCAGACTAAGGTCGGCACCCCCATTCCAACTTTACCATCAACAGCCACCCCGAGTGTACCGAAAATACGATTGAAGGCCAGCTTCTCGGGTATCAAATCCGCTACTGTTGATAGTCCAAAAGCGCAAACTCCCAAAACTCCCATCATCAAACTCAAGTCCAATGCTTCACGCCCCACAACGACTCGTAGAGCGGTTCCAATAGGGTATGGATACGACTCCGAGGCCGAAGATCGGGAAGAGGACCCGGCGATCGAAGAACAGTTTGTTCTTCGTATGCCACCGGGTGAAGACTGTGAATACATTCGTTCTGAAATCGAAAAGAAAGAGTTCGGTAAATCAACGGATGTATGGTTTAAGTTCAAAGATGACAGACGAGCGATCGTTAGCGTTCGTGGGAGGATCTACTCTGCAACGCTAGTCGACTTGCCCTGTATTATCGAAAGCAACAAGACGATTGATAAGGGGAAAAATATTTTCAAAACGGCAGATATTTCACAGATGCTACTCGTTGGAGACCGACTAATCTTCGAAGACCAGGCGCTATCGAATACGGTTCCGAATTCGCTGGCTAATTACCCGCACGGAATCACGCCGCCGATGCACTGGGCTCGAAGAAGAAGGTTTCGCAAGAGAGCAGTTAACCGTAATATGGATAAAGTGGAAGAAGCCGTTGAGAAGCTCCTTGCTGCGGATGCAGAGTGTGAGATTGCGGACTATGAGCTGTTGACGGAGGCAGATTTGACACGCGAGGCGGATGAGAAGGCGGGTCGGAATATGATGAACTATGAGATGGGAGACGAAGATGCAGATGGAGAGGTTGATATGACGTATGAAGAAGAGGATGGAGAAGGAGAAGAAGAAGGCGACGAACATGCTTTGGATCTAATGGACTTCGAAGGAGAATTGACCGCCATGATGGACGATACGGAACATGTGCAACCCGAGACCAAGCGTGCGCCGGCGCCAATATCGAGCGATGAAGACGAAGACGACGATGACGATGAGGAAGAAGAGGATAATGATGGTGATGCGATGGATCTTGATCCGGGAATGTCGGCGGAGAAGCTACAACTTAAGGAGGAAATGGCAGATCTGGAACGAGCAATCACGGTGAAGACCCGAGAGCGAGATGGAGCGCATAATCAGATTGTCCGACAGAGGATACAGAATGTGATTGATGGGTTGAAGGCGGAGTTAGAGTTGAAGAAGTCGAGTTTAGAGGAGACGGCATGATCTTCTCCCATCCTCTCCTCTCCACCCTACTCTACTACTTATAATAATTATCGTTTGGACTCGGACTACCATCGGACTAGTCTCATTTTTCTTTAAAACTTAACTTTTAGAAGATACCCCCCCAATTGCATCTACATATTTTCTTTTACTATCACAACTATCGAGGAAGGCGTCTAAAAATCCAATTGATTCCTTTTTTTTTTTTTTTAATTAAAAATTGTATTATGAGAGCGGCGAGGGTAAATCTTTAACAACCTTTCTAACTTTCTATCCCATCCGAACAAGAAACCCGACAAAGAAACAAGGACTCCAAGAAAATGCCAGATCAAAACGAAAAAAAAAAATAAAAGTTATATACAAATAAAGATTCAATTCCACCGTATCATATACACATATCCCCCCCTCTCCTAAGCCTCCTCGATAACATAAATTATCCCATCTTATAATATGTGTAGAAAGATATATTATAAAGATTAGACTTTGAACCCGAATCCTTCCATGCAGGCTTTATAAGTCTTGATGAGGTCCTTGCATTCTACCTCGGGAGTATCAGTGGTAGATTTGAGCATACACTCGTCTCTGGCGGACTTTTCGGGTTTGCAGACACAGCAGGGTTTTGGCTTGTCTTTGTCATTGTCGGGTGTAGTCGACGGTTCTATTTTTTTTCCTTATGATTAGTAATGTAAATTTTTTTAAATTTTTTTTAATAAATGAGAAAGGGACATACTAGGCTTTGAGCCGAAGAGGAAGTCAAGCATTGTGTGATGTTATGCTGTTATAGGTCTATGTGAGAGGTTTGTAGTGTAGACTGGGGGTGGGGTGAAGTTGTAGTTAACGTTGAAGTTGAAGTTGAAGTCGAGTTAAAGGTAAAGGTAGTAGTAATGTTAAGAGAAGAACTTAAAGAGAAAGTCGCGATTTCTAAGCTGGCGTGATAGACTACCAAGCAAGCAATACAGCTCAAGACAGACCGGGGTCCCTTGTTCCAGCTTTTAGTTCGGAATACTATGTAAGGATCAGAGGGGAAGGGAAGGGGAGGATGCTCTGCGAAGAAGAGAAAATCGTTTGCATGTTTGGTGGGGGTTTCACCGCTAACGAATGAAACCCACTTCTCCTCAGATCTCCCCACCAGACCCCTTCCACTTCCACTTCCACTTCCACCTCTTTTTACCTCTTCTTCTTCTTCCTCTTCTTCTTCATCATCATCATCATCACAAGACCACCTCCATCAGCTATCACCACTTCAGCTTCAACTTCAACTTCTTATCATTCGCCATCGCCCATCCTCAGTATCTCTCTCGACAAAAAAAAATAAAATAAAAATAACTATGGCTACCACGTTCTCGCTGGAGAACAAAGCTCTCAAGCTTTCCTTCAAAGCCGACATCGAGCCCCACCTCCAAGCCCTCATCGCCAACAATGACGTCGAAGAATTCGTCCTTCAGGGAAATACCATCGGCATCGAAGCCTCCCAGGCTCTCGCCGAAGTCCTCAAGACCAAATCGAAGCTAAAAGTAAATCTACCCTCATTCCATACCATACTTACCACCTATATAGCATGTATGCTAACCAGAAATACGGCTTGTTAAAAAAAAAAATAGACAGCAAACTTAGCAGACATCTACACCTCCCGTACAATCGACGAGATCCCCCAATCTCTAGACGCAATCCTCCCATCCCTCCTCCCCCACCAACACCTCACAACCATAAACCTCTCCGACAATGCTTTCGGAAAACGCATGGAACCCCAGCTCGTCGCCTTCCTCTCCTCCCACCTACCCCTCCAGCACCTAATTCTCAACAATAACGGTCTAGGACCCCTCTGCGGTACCGCAATCGCCGATTCCCTCACAACCCTAGCCTCCAAGAAAACCTCTGCGCATCCGAAATTGGAAACCATAGTCTGCGGGAGGAATAGGCTCGAAAGTGGGAGTATGGAGGCTTGGAGTCGGACTTTTGCCGCCCATACGGGTGTCAAAATCGTGAGGATGGTACAGAATGGAATCCGACCTGAAGGAATTTCGCATCTACTCACCAATGGTTTGGTCCATTGTACCAATCTCGAAATCCTGGATCTGCAAGATAATACGTTTACTCTTAAGGGCGCAAAGGCTTTGGCGGCTGTTGTGGGTGCTTGGACGGTTATTAAGGAACTAGGTGTCGGAGAGGTATTGCTGGGAGCTAGGGGTACTACTCTACTGGCTGAAACGTTGGCAAAGGGAACGAATAAGGAGATGAGAGTTTTGAGGTTGCAGTTCAATGATATCAATAGAAAGGCTTTACAGGGCTTGAAGAGTGCGGTCAAGGTTTTGGAAAAATTGGAGTTGTTGGAGTTGAATGGGAATTGTTTTTCGGAGGAAGACAGCTTGGTTAATGAGATCAGGGATATCTTTGAGGATAGAGGGTTGGGTGAACTAGACGAATTAGATGAGATGGAAGAACTCAGTGACGAGGAAGAAGAGGAGGAGGAAGAGGAGGAGGAGGAAGAAGAAGAGGAAGAAGACGAGGAGAAGGAGCAGGCCAGAGAGAGAATCGTCAGGGATGCAGAAGACGCAGAGGCGGCAAATGTTCCTCAGGAGAAGGATAAAAATGTGGATGATTTGGCAGAAATACTGGGCAAGACTCAGATCTCGGATTCCAAGGTCAAGCCGTCTGCTTGATCTTAATCTGTCTATATCCCCACCTCCAGACGACTATCCTTCATCCCTCCTTCCCTCCCTCCCATCCTTTCTATTATCCTTATTTTGTTTGATACAGAGCCCTTTTTTGTGTATATGAATAAATCCTTTCTTCCTTTCTTCCTTTCTTTTCTTGTCTTCTCGAAGAGGAAAAACAAAAAGAATCCCACGGATCTTTGACATGGGGACATTCAATTAATATAATCCCGGTTACCCTCCCTAATTCCATCCATCTTAAAACTATATTACATATTATCCGATTCTATCCAACTATCCTTCTGTCTATATCTAACACCTCTATAAACAAATCAAAATAATTATCCCCAGCATATAACAAATATAATAAATACTTAGTAAGTAAATAATGGAAAAAAGAAGAAGAAGAAGAAGAAGTAGAAAGGAGAAGAAGAGAGAGAGAGAGAAAGAGGGACTACTCCCTCTCCTCAAACCACCCAACAACCTCCACCGCCCTGCCATAAGTCCACATAGTAACCGCACTCGCCGGCGCCGCCTTAACAAGACTAACCGTCAACCCTCTATACAACCCTCTCCACCCTTCCCTCCTCACTACCTCCCTCCCACACCTCAGAACCCCCTCATAAACCGGAATATCCCCATTAACATACCCCGTCCTCGTAGGTCCCTGAACCTGCAACCTCTTCCTAATAGTATCCAACGGAAAAACCCCCGTTTTGGCAATAACCCCACCAAGAACACCGGATACGGCATCAACACTTCCCATGCCCGCCAGGGACTGTAAAATCGGATGATTGTTTGAAGTAGTATTATTTGATGATGATGATGAAGATGATAATGAGGGTGGTAGATACGTTATAGGATTTGGGAGACGTAAAAGCCCGGCTTTTATACCTTCGTAAGAACCGAAGAATAATCCCATATGTGGAACAATTTGAATAATTGCTGCTGCGCCACCTCTGTAGAATCCCCTGATACCTTCGTCTTTGTAGATACCGGTTATGGCGCTACGGAGACTAGTGTAGACTCTTTTGTTTCCTACGCTATTACCTCCGGTATTACTATTATTACTACTACTGCTGGTAGTGGTAGAAGCAGTAGTACCCTTGGAAGCGGCGAATCTGGTACGTAGTAAATCGAACGGATAGGTGATCGAAGTCGCTATGCCGCCGGCAATACCGCCGGAACAGGTGTTGATCATTGTAGTTGGGAGATGAGAGGTTAATGGTGAAGAGGATAGGAAGGATTGGGTTTGTGCGTAGAAGAAGAATTGGGCGGCGCCGTAGGTTAGGTAGAGGAGTTCGGCGGGGATGTTGCCTTTCCAGAGGGCCTGTTTAATATATATAAGTATATAATTATTAATATAATTTCTGACTTATTTCTAATAAGAATGTATATAGAAGAGAGAAACATACGGTTACACCCTCTTCTCTGACAATAGTCCTCATGGTATCGTAAATACCATTGTAGATTGTACCCGTGGCGGGAATTGGGGTGGTACTTTGGGAGAGTAATCGGGGTTGGAGCTGTAATCTGATCTTGACGACGTCGAGGGGCGCGATGCAGAAGCTGTTTATTTTATACAAGTAATATCGTATTAGCTATGCACTTTCTTTTGATACTAAATACTTGAAAGTAATGAAATATATAAAAAGATCACGCGAGTGTTTTAATAGAAGACATACCGCGAAACGACACCAGCGACTGCGCCGGCTATAATGGGCGTTTTACTCGAACTGGAGCTCTTTCGCTGGATCATGATTCAGAATCATATTAGCTATACTCAACCTCCAATAGTAATAATAAGAAGCTTCTACAATGCAAATGCAGAAAATAAAATAGAATGAAGCATAAGGGGAAAAAGGGTAGAAAGAATAAATACCTTCTCCGTCGCCATCTCCTTCCCCTTCTCCTTCTCACGCGACGTCATGATCATCATCGGTCCGGAAAAACGTATTCGCGACAACGGCGGCCGTGTAAAGGAAGTAGTAATGTATCAATTTCCAACAGCTGCTGCACCACCGGGGAAGACGTGACCATGATCACTTCTTCTTCTTATAAAACAAAAATAAATAAAAATAAAGAAAGGAGTATATAATGAACAAAGCTAGAAGAAGAGAAAAGAAAGGCGGGAAAAATTCAATCTTTTTGAACGGATAATATTCCTAAAGCGCCGATAACCGTCTTTCGGTTGGGAAATTTTAATTTGTTTCGTTTGGAAAATTGAAGAGGTCAGCTGGCGGCCAAGCTAAGACTGGACCTGTCTTTCTCTCTCGTAATAGCTCTCAGCCTGCTAACGATAGGTCAGGATGGTTTGAATCGAATGGTTGAATGGACATGGTTAGGATCAGATGGAGTTAACGCTCCTGCAGACCAGGGGTTACTATCTTCAATTAATTCAAAATATCACATTTTCAACACGCTAATTTAGGTAATATATTGCTTGTCTGAATAATATTCTATCACCAGAACTAGACCCCCATCTCTTGCTCGTGAGATATGTAAAGAAAGAAAGAACTCTAGTTCTATATATAGTAGTTAGTATAATAAATACATCTGAACGAGGTCAAGAAGAGAAGAGACATAAAGAGGCTTAAGCATAAAATTTAAAACCAAAAGAGCATGCGTGCGCAGGGTATTCTTTTTTTCGTCGTCACCGGCTCATAATATAAATCCCATTTCAAAAAGAAAAATCCCAAATTCAAGAAGATGAAGAAGACGAAGAAAGCAAAACAGATCCCCAAAAAAAATAATGAAAGAGAGAGAATGAATGAAATCATCTCGTCATAAACCCATTATAACCTACCAAGCCCCGTCATAATTTTGCCCAAAAGGAGAGAAAAAAGAACTAAAAGGAAAGTACCCGGCCGTCAGAATATACACTTCCACCACCACCACCACCACTTCACCCCCCTACCTCCCCAAAGCATACCCATGGCAGCGGAACTAGGTATACAACTCTCCTCTCCCCCTCCTCCCCCCTCCTCCCCTCTCCTATCCTCCCCCTCCCCCTCCCCCTCTCTCAGAGCTTGTCGGATACTGTGATTCGACCTTAGATAGGTCTCACTCACAGTATCACCGAAAACAACCCCGCCCAACTCCCCAACGGACCTCTCGGATTCCCTAGGCCCGTACGTACGGCTAGTCACCGCTCCCCTCTCCCTCCTCCTTCCCCTCTAGCCTCGTTAAAGTAACTGTTATCAATAGCCACGATCCAATCCATCTTATCCTTCTCCGTTCTAGTCGCAAATCGATAACTACTCTGTGGCGCATATATCGCAAAAACGTTGTCCTTAGCCATCAGCTCTCCCATTCCATTCGCAGGTTCGTAATCAAGTGTACAATCCGAAAGATTGACAGCCATTAGTTCTTCCCCTGTGACGCCGTTATGGATGTGTAGATACGGTTTCCGGAGTTCGAGGTATTGTCTTTCCCATTTTTTGGTTGAGTCGTTGGGCCGGAAGACGTAGCCTGATTTTTGGAGTTTGGGACTATTTTCAAATATTTACTATTAGTATTTTATGTCTTATAGCAGAACTGATATATGATGGTGATGGTGGTGGTGGGAATAACTCACTTCTTCGGGGAATGCAGAGCCTCGGCCACTAACTTTGGTGGCTCAGGCTCCGCTACCGGTTGCTCGTTCACAGCTGTCGACGTCCCATCTTGCGGAGGCTCGATATTTTGCCTCGACAGAATCCTATCAAACGGATCTCCATCCCTCGGCCACATCTTCAAGAACTTCTCGATAATAGCTTTCTTTTCTTCTGCGAGTTCCTCCTCTTCCTCTTCTTCTCCCTCTCCCCCTTCCTTTGCATGTCCATTAGAAGTGATCTTCTTAATCTCCAAATCCTCGGGCTTCAAAAACGGCTTCACAGCCTCCACCTCAGCAACCCTCATCCTCCTCCTCCTCGCCGCGAGATAATCCTTAATTATCGAAATCCCCCTGGGAGTCCACCCCCTCAAAACCTCTTCCCCCTTCACATACCTCTGGCTCGAATTCATCCTCCACAGATCCCCTGCCCGTCTAGAGACCTGCGGCTTGACCGTAACCTGGAACATCCCCGCCACGGCTCCAACTGTCCTCGTACCTCTTATCATCCTCCCAAGCATATTCCCACCCCTAACCAACCTCGGTCGAATCTCCAAACACACCTTATGACTAAAGACCACATTCTCCGCCAACCGATCGCTCACAAGTTCCCAGCTAATCGTGACCTGAACTCTATACTTCGGCGCAGTCATCCGATCCAATAACACCGAATTATGCGCACTAGTATCCCATTGCGCAACAACTCCAATCCCCCAACTTCCATCTTGTCCCTTCTTAACACTAGGACCCTTCACAATCCTCAACTCGACCTCTTTCGTTGAACTCGGCTCCCTAGCTTGTCCATCCTCCCCTACCAAACAAACATCTTTAACCACAACTCTAGCCACATCCTTAAGCGGCAACATATCTCCAGAACTATGCACCATCCACACTTGAACCCGTCTCTGAACTCCATGGTGTAACTGAAAACTCCCCTGATCGCTCTCGCTAACCTGTAACACCTCTACCGTTGTATACTCCCCACTCTCCTGTAACTCCGAAATCTGACATTTCGCAAATACATCATGCTTTTCTTCCGTATAAAACTCGTTTTCATGTAACCTCATCCCTTTCCTCTCCATCTCCGGTTGATCCCTCATTTCGTCCCAACTCATAAGTCTTTCCAAATGCATCCCCGTCACCTTGCCAAATATCGAAACCCTCAACATGGCACCCTTAATCCTCGCGCTAAGCGGTGCCGTAAGAACATGCGTACTCTCGAAATTCACCGGTCCTTCATCAAACCCGCTTACTGGAACCGTAGCAGGGGCGTTATCCAGCCACGGTAGAAACAATTGGGCATGGATATCCGTCCCCTCTCGTTCCGATATCCCCAGAAGTTGATGAATAACCACATTGAACCCAATATTCCCCTTCGGAACCTCCACAGTCGACGGTTCAAGCGTAACTTTAACGATTCCGATAACACTACACGTATGCGGTGATATAACCTCCAAATCCAATGATTGTCGTTTCGATTGAAATATCGCCGCAAGCGGGACGTCGGAATCTCCTAGTAGCGTATAATCCGGTAATATCGGTTCGCTGAATGGGTCATTCCCTTGTACGTGAGAAAGGTAATCCGGTCTCGAAAGATACTGATAAATCTGCTTCATCTGCCGAATCCTTAGTTGCAACTTCTCCAACGACCAAAGATGGATCAGGTTCCTATTAAAATCCATAGCTCGAACCGCTACACACGGCTTCGGCGCTAGTTCCAGGGCTTCGTCGTCGTCCGCATTGACACCGTTTATGAGTAAATCATATGTAGAAACCGACGTATGCCCCACATCTAGTACCGTAAACTGGAAGAATACCCGCTTCTCCATCTCATTGCTCATTATCTGTGCTTCCTTCAATGTAACAGCGTATTGTAACACACTCTCCGCCATTCGAACGTAATTGCTTCGTCTCCACAATTGTGATGCCGCTTTAGCTAGATTCTTTTGTCGTTTCGAAAGTAAATCGTTCGCGGCAGGTGTATTCCCCCTCGGTGGCGTAGGTGAAACAGCACGACTCCTAACTTGCGGAGAAAGCGCCATTTCCTCTAATTTCAACTCCATCTCCTGATGCCTTCTTTCCCACTCCTTCTTCTGATCTTCTAGCTTCTTCTCAGCAGCCTTAAGTTCTTCCTCCATTTTGATCTTTTGCGCTTTAATCTCTTCCACCACAACATGAGTCTCTTCGGCAACTTTTAATCGCTCTTGAAACTCCTTCTGAGCTTCAAGCTGTACTTGTAGCTCCTCCTTCAGCACTCTAACCTTCTCCTCCTCTTCATCCCTCTGTGGTGTTCCGGGAACCGTCAGACTTGTATCCAACGAGAAATTATCAATCGTTCCATTGCTCGTGTACCGTTCCCGTCTGCTATCCCCACCAACAGTTCCCGCCGAAACACTCGCAACAGACTCCAAATCATCGTCGTCCATTTTCCCTCTCCTCAAGTTATACGCCTTCTGTACGCCCTGCAATAGCGCATTAAGCTCTTCGTCACTCATCCCATTAATCTTTATCGGATCGAGACCCTGCGCCATCAAAGCTTCTCGCTGTGCAAACGACCAGTCGATCTCCTTGTTAGTCGGGGGTACCAAGGCCGGAGAATCAGGTCTACTACTCTCGGCGTCGGAACCAGGCCCTCCTTCCATGAAACCACCGTTACTATTAGTATGTCGATGTTCAGCTATCGTACCAGCTAGACTCTGTCGATGTAATTTATCCCTTTCAGCGCGAGCTTCATTCGGGTGGTTGAATCGAAAGATATGAAAATCGCCGAGGATGACTCGATATCCTGTTCTTAATCTCTTGGGACCTTCGATACGTAATCCGTTGACCATTACAGCGGCGCCTTCGTTGGGGATAAGTGTTACCACGTCATTTACGTTTTCGAAACGACAGTGGTCTGGTAGGATTTTGGAACCGTTGAGTTTTATTTGGGCGGTTGTGGTGGCGGATTCTACGTTGCCGACTGTGGTGTCGCCGGCTTTGATGTTGTAGACTAGACATTCGGCGAGGAGGGGGTCGTCGCTGTTTTATTTGATTGGTTGGTTAGTTAGATGACGTTTGCTTTTGTGGAACTGTAGACGGTACTTTAAGAGTACATCTCAGGTACTTCTGACGTGGAAATGAGGGGGAAGGAGGGGCAGGCCTCACCTTAAATTGACCAAATGTGGAATTCTCTTCGGCATGCTCATACCAATGAAGTCCTTTTCGATACTAATCCCCAATTCCTCCAATGCCGCTTCTCTCTCCTTCTGAATCTGCTGCGTCTTCTCCAATTTCTCCTCCCAAGTTTGATTCACTTCCTTAAGCAGCTTCTCGCTCGCCCCGAGTTGCTCTGCAATTTCCGCTTTCGAGACCTTGCGTACACTCCCATCTGTCGAAGTGATCGTTACGATCTGTTTTTCCAGAGGTACGGAAGCATCATATTTCTCTTCCTCCGCTCCACCACCTCCCGAAAGCTTCTGTCGTAACTGCGAAAGCTCTTCTTTCAATTCTCTGATCATCCTGGCGTTCGGGTCTTCGTTAACCACAGCATGGTTCTTAATTCTCTTTGCTGAATCAGCATATCGTAAAGTCGATAATGTTTCGTCCCAATTTATATCAGCAGGGGAAATAGCCGCAATCATTGCGGTCATGCTATTCCCGCCCAATGAATCCTTTAATAACCATGTTAACACCGAATCACGGTACGGTACCAGCGTTCCCTTCTTCTTCCCTCCGGAGCTTAAATCCGCCAGAGCAGCAATAACACGACCGAGCGTACTCAACGATCTATTAATCTCCGCTCCTTCTTTTAACCTTGCACCTGTAGCACCAGTTGATGTGGCTCTTTCAGAACCAGCCAAATCGACCAATGATATCCTGGAAACCTTTTCCGTGTCGAACCCGGTTTCTACGTCATGTCGTTTTTGGGTAAGGATTAATGTGAATACGGCGTGAGAACGGGATGATGTTTCGTTCATGTTTGTGGCGGCGACGGTACGTGCTTTGTTACCTTCGTCCATCAGGTTTTCGATTTCTCGGAAACTGGTGACAACTAGCTTTGCGAGGTCTTCGACGTAGGGTCCTAATGACGGGTGTTCACGGACTTTGAGGGCGCCTTTGTTGGAAGGGTTTAGAAGGTCGCGGACCTTTTCTATATTTTGAAGTTAGTACCTTATATACTCCAATTGATGGGATGTGAGAGGGAGGACGGTGGTACCATTATAAATTTCGAGGTAGGAGACTTCTATAGTGGAAACTATGTTCGGGTCCTTTTCTGAACCCCTAAAGAAATGGAACCGGAGAGCGGAGCGGTTAGTTTATAACTTTTCGTGGAACTTCTAGAACTATCGACGTTTCCAAGAGAACGTTGAGAGAAAGGCCAGCGCAGGGAATGTGAAGAGCTTACATTCTCTCGAATATGTTTTGACAAATTCGGGGTATTATGCCGTATTCCTCGCCGTAGCCCATCTATTCTCCATAATATTAGCTTCAGCATTCCCAAATGCCCCCTTCCAAGCACTACTAATCCACTCCCATAATCACCAGAAGAAAAACAGAAAAAGAATAGAAAGTAAATAAAGAAAGGAACCACAAACCATAGAATAACTCTTCCCGCTGCCCGTCTGTCCATACGCAAATATACAATTATTATACCCCTGAAAGGCATTATCCAGTAACGGTCCTCCCAGATCGTCAAATAAATTATCTTGCCCAGCATAATGACTATCACCTCTGTCGAAACTCCAGTATGATCTGTCGAAATTGAAAACTTTGGGTCCGTCGGCTTTTATGGCTGTGCTGGCGCCTTTTCGAGGGGCTGAGGAGTCGGTAACGCCAGGTGGAGGGGTGAGGATAGTTTGGCTGTCTTTCATTTGAACTATACATTTTGCGCCGCGGTCCTTTTCTATTTTTCGGGTTTTTATTAGTAACTAGGTACTTAAGTGAATATGATACGGGTAATATGGTGGATATGGGATAGTGGGGAATGACGTACCTCGCGAGTTGAAAGGCCGTACACGGACGACGACTTTAATGTTTCCGGCAGACATGGTGGGTGGGTATAGTCGTGAACTCGTGAATGATTTGGTAATAATAATGTAGAATAGAGTAGATAGAGCTGGACCTCCAAGCCTAGCGCTTGGTTTAAACGATAGAAAGCTTCGCCAATAGCTATGATAATGATCGTGGGGAATCCGATACGAGTCGCTGAAATGAACGGGAAGGTGGTTCTATTAATTAACAATTAAGTGGTGCCGGTGGATAGGTAGATAGAGAGAGAGAGAAGTTGACAAGTGTACGGGTGATATCGATGGGGGAAAGTAGCGGCGGCCAGGTTGTGGGTAGTGGTAGATGTAAGGATAAATATAGTGGCGGCGGTAAATAAATCAATTGATTGTCGGCGCTGCCCCGTACCCGCACAGTATCTTACCGTACAGGACAGGCGCAGGTACAAGCACAGGTACTTTCGAGGGTTCGGCCACGTGGGGGGTTCAGTAACGGCAGCGGGCGATCAAGTTCTATTCATGGAAGAGGACAGAAAGAACATCGCCAGCTTCAGAACTAAGGGTGGCGGCGGAGGGCAGCAGCTGGGGAGGCGAGGCGAGACGTGTCTATGGAGATGGTATGTATGTACGTACTTGCTCCCGGGAGAAATTAATTAAGGAAAGGAGCCGGGGTAGCTTGACTAATAGCGAATTAGACTGAGCTGTTTGTTAGCCTTTCTTTCCTTTCGGCGGCTTTCGACCAGCATCGATTCTTAACTTCATAGGGTAATTCTATTACTATCACTTCGGATATAACATCACGACGGGCCACGATTTTGTATGGGCGATGTGATAAAAATCGGCAAATTCAAAGCTTCAGTAATCCGGTGCTTCCGGCTGATTCAGGGTTAAGTTAACTTGATTTTGTAGGGCTGTTGGCATGCTAAGCTTGACGTCTGTCAGGGTCAGGCACCACCTCCGTACGCTGGCGAGCCGAGAATCTTTGCTTTTGGCGCCCCAGCCACATACATACACATCATTGTCATCACCACCCCAGATTCTGTTCTTCAGTTAGTAAATCAATAAGTTCTTATCATTCAGTATATAAACCATGTGATCGGTGATCTTGGTGGTGTCTGGTGGATGTGGTGGTTTGTGGTTCTTGGTATCGTTTCCATGAAAACTGGACAACAGTAGTAGTAATAGTAAAAGCAGTCGCGGTAGCAGTAGTGTATCCTCGAACAACTAAGGTGGGACAAGACAAGACAAGACAAGACAAGAAGTCAGACCCGCTACTACGCCGTATCCATCCTGTCGTCGTCGTCCCTCTTCTTCTTGCTGCTCTCACCATCCTTAGGTAGTAACGGAGCACTTTCATCGTCATCCTTCTTCCCATCCTCCTCCGGCACCGTTCCCAAGCTCGCAGACGCAGTCGCAGCTTTCTCCTTCTCCTCCTTCTCCTTTCTCTCCCTCTCCTGTCTCGAATTTTCTTCCTCTAAACTCATTCTCAGCGCCAAGGCTAGCTCTGGATCAAGATGAGGGTCAACTCCAAAATCGAACCCTCCAGCACCACTGCTACCACCAGCACCACTATCCCCAGGTCCTCCAACTCCCATTCCACTATCGTCACCCAATATAGGTGTGGTAACTAGCTGGTCGCTGAGCAGATGTGGCCCGGGTGGGATTGTGGCGAGATGTGAATTATCGGATGCATTAACGTTGGCGATAAAGGCTTCTAGCTTGCTCGTGTTTTCGGCTTCCTCACCAAAATTGATAAAGTCGATAGCGATCTGGTTCTTCTTCATCTTCTTAGCCAGACGAATGAGACTCTTCTCATCTTCAGCGATCGGAGAACCGACGAAAGCTATTATCCGTTGCCGTTGGGATTTATTCTGACGGTGTTTTAACGCGAGCTACCATGTATCCACGTATTAGCTTTGAGTCTCGATGGTATATGCTGATAAACGGGATGATGACGTACACCAGCGACCTGGATACCCGTGGCGAGGTGACAACTGCCACTAATCTTGGTAGAATGTAAACCAGACAGTATCTTGCCAAAGTCTGCAGTTAATGTAGCAAGTACTTCCGGGCCTTTCCCACCCATGGACATGAGGCCAACAGATGACTCCGGGTTGGCCTGGGTTTTAGCGGAGAAGATGAGCGAGACGGCATCGACCTGTGCTTCGAAGCGAGACGGGCTATTGTTACGTGTCAGAACATTGGAACCGGAGGATATATATGGTATTTATGATGTGGCTTACGTGTAGTCGCCATTTCTGCTACTCTCGCTGTTGTCGACGCTGTTTAGATAGTTAGTGGGATTCCATAGACGCAAGATGCTATGATGGAGAGGAGAGGTACACACATTATAATCGTCGCCTCGAGCACCATGATGGATATATTCTCGTGTTATAGGGAACTAGGGCTCGGAGAATTGAGGGACAATAGGAGTTGAAGCTATTTGCGATGGGGCTGGGATGGTAGAGGAGTAGTGATGTTGGTGGTGAGGATGTTGAAGGTGGGTCGGTCGGTTAGAGTGAGTGGGTGAGTGGTGGTTTGGAGGGCGTTTGAAGCTCTGGTTGGACTGACAGGGGAGCAACACAGCATCTCCAAGCCTGATAGGTACTGTGTATTAGCACAGCCACGAGCATATCAACGATAGCACCAGCCACAGATATAAGATGCAGGCCTTGTATTATATACCTAAGTACTTAATAAGTAAGTATTTATTGACTTAGATTCTGTCGGCATGGCTTTTTGTGAAGTCTTATGATCTTGGCCTCGTAAGGTGTAGGTAAGGTATAGATATCATTGTCGAGGTATGCTAAGATATAGATCCAGATGTGGCGCTCGGCGATAAGTATCTAGAGATAGACATCGGATTTATGAGTCGGATATAAAAGCCAGTCGCGCAGTTTAGGACCTTTCGATTGGTGATTTGTTTTGATTCGCCTGACAACAACAACAACGGGAACAACGGGAACAACAACACCGCCATCGTTTGTTAATTAAAGACTTCAACCTCGCTCAACCTCATCCCAGACCAATATCAGATATCATTTCATCCTAGTACTTACTATATACATATACTACCATCATCGCTGCTTAACGCGTCTTCTCGGCGTGTATATATAAAATCTTCATACTCAAGTATCCGGCAGCACAATAATGCCTCCTCTCAGACGTAAGAAGAAGGGCGAAGACGACCTTTCATCCGACACGTCTGTACAATCCCACCCTCGTCCCACCACCACCACAACAAAACCGCTTGCACCTTCAATCTCCTCCAACATGCGCTCCAACCCCCTGGGAAATAAGGCCACCCGCCCCATAAACTCCAGAAACTCCCCTCCCCCGGACTCTTTTCTTTCCAAGTCTCCTACCAAACAATTTCAACCTTCCATCATCCGTCAAAATTCGAAACAGACTCCTAAACCTCTGAATAGACCTAATCTCAACATGGCCGTGGTCACCCCTCAATTGCCTTCTGATAGACATATCAGTCCCTCTTCTCCCGTCTCTCCCGTCTCTCCTATCGCCCATGAGCTTAATCAGATCTCGATAAGGGCCATAACACCGCCGAGCCTACCAGAGTCCCGACTTGTCCGTCATGAAGAAGCCAACGACGATGTCACTCAGGCCATTATCCCTCAGACTCCTGGCACGGAGATGAGACGTCGAAGAGCCGGTACCCGCAAGATTTCACGTTTTGAAAAGGACCGTCTGATAGAGAACATCAGATACGAAGGTATGCTCTTATAATCCCTTATTTCCTTTATTTCATCGTCTCGCTTGTAAAATATTCCGATGACTAACTTATGATAGTGGAACGACGTGCCAAAGCACTGAGGCAGCGATATACCCTTCAAGCAGAAATGCTTCGCCAAGGTATTGAGCTTCGTGTGGGTAGAATCCCTTACAAAATGCGCAACATGAAAATGGGCGATCTATACGACCAAGCCGTCGCCGCTGCCGAACAAAAGATGGAAGTTGAAGCCAAGCAGGCCGTCAAGGAAATTGAAGACGTTCGTCGTTTAAGCAATCCTCAACGACCGATTTCGCCTCTCAGGGTAGCTAAGAAACGTGCCCTGTCTCCGGTGAAGTCTTCAGAACCAATAAGAGCCGTAGCTCGCCCACCGTCGCCTATCAAATCATCCTCTCCACCACGTGCAATTGCTCCAAAATCAACCATCAAACTCATCCCTCGAACATCTCCCACTCAATTTTTCAACGCCCCATTCCCCACATCGTCACCTGTCAAGACCGTACCTTCTTCAAAATCGATGCCCACTCTCAAAAACAAACTTGCTGCGGCCGGCAAACCTATTGGCCCTGGGGTTGCTACGCCGGGCCTCCGAACGGTTGCGTCCACAATAACAAGGACCCCTGGATCAGCTGTTCCTACTATGAAGCCACTCGTCGCTATTGCCAAGCCCAAGATAGTAAAAGGGAAAACACCAGCCACCAGCTCAACAACAAATCCTGGAGGTGCCACCCCGATAACTAAAAAGTCATCTGGAAGATCGTTAAGATCGCGAAAGTGAAACGCACTGCCATATTCTTTATAAAAACAGTGGTTCGTCTAGAAACACTGCAACGCACTAAAGGATACTTTGAACTGGATTGGACCTTAATCAGCTGGGTTGAGAAAGCCAGCATTTCTTCCTAGCCTTAGCCTATCCGCATGCTACTGGGCTATTCCCGGCTATTTGAAGATTTTCCATGGACAACCCCGCTGGAACTAGGATCCAACCATCTAGATACCTTCGTACGCATTCCCATTATTTCGTTTACTATACCGATCCTAGACCATTACTTGACAAAAGAAAATGCAAGTTTTGCAGACACTGGCATCAAGGATGATATATTGGAAAGTAAATTGTGACGGGACCTCCCGATACGGGGACTAAGCACCCAAATCCCGAGGGACTCCATGGCTGCTCAAAGTTGGGTACCACTACTCAGCTCTCTTTTCCTTTCTTTTTTTTACGGCATATAATGTATACCTGCAAGTCACAATCATATTGGCGTTTATGATCTTAAGGCGGGGTTTGGAGTCTATATGTACATTTTTTAGCGCATTCGTCTGGGTGTGATGTTTGCATTTGCTATGTCCTCATGGCAGGCGTTTAGCCCTTTTTTCGAGGGCTTTGGTGGACGAATATATGTGGTCTTTGGGCGTCCCGAACCCAAAATACATGTGGTAGCTTAATGTAAAAATTAGTTTACCTTGGAAGTTTCTTATACTACTAGGAATGGCAGAATGACAGTTAGGCTATCTGTCGGATACTATTTGGTGTCTAGATATCTAGGTAATTGACGGTCCCCCCAATAGTAGTACCTTGGCTATATACTACGAATCCGAGCTTTGATCGGTATGTGAGCGTCTGACTCCCAAAGTCTAGAGGTATGACATAGCGCTATATATAGCGTATATAGCCCATCAAAAAGACACAATTATTCCCAATCCAGAATAGTGGCGTGTATAAGGTAGCAGGTAGCAGTATCTGATATCCCTTGCCTGTGCTGCCCCATGCAACTATAAGCCTATATTGTATCACGGTAAAATAGTCTCAAATCAAGATTACTATGTAAGGTTGGTATACCAAGGTAATTATATTATAAAAGCACACAAACTTCTCAAATTAAGAGAGTTATGTACTGGCATAAAATTCTTAAGTTAAGAGAGTTATGTACTGGCATAAAATTCTTAAGTTAAGAGAGTTGTGTATTGTTATATTGATACAAAGCGCTTAACTTGCAAAGTTCTTACATCGGGATAATTATTCTTTGTAAACATGTATACATATGATTCACCGCCGCCAGGTTTTTCAACCGTAGCTACTGAGGCATCGACTGACAATATATATATATATATATATATATATATACCGTAGCAGAAACCGAGAGTTTTCCATGACGAATATTCCGTCTTAAATTTGCCTTGGGACAATTAAGACATCTCAACTAGACTGTTGGGTAGCGTCTTAAAATTTTAAAGTGGTCCCAAAACCCCATCAAAAACCCCTAGAGTATATATCAATGGGAAAACTGATGGGTAGGCGGATACTCAAGTAAGGAGTAGGCTGGTTCGGAGGAGGTTACAATGACTAAAATTCAAAATAGCCATATCAGTAGATAAATCGTACCCTTTTGGCTGACACCGTACACGACACATCGACTTCAAGGGCTTTTAACCGGCTTGATATACCATCCTATTCAAATAATATTACACTGTAGGAGTGTTATAATATTTAGAAATATAGGCACTCTTCCTTTTTCAATAAAAGACCACAACGAAGGATGCTGCACCGATGGCCTGATCAGTTTGATCAATTGATCAGTCTACCACGGCCAATGACTCTCCAATGCTACTATTAATACTTTACGCAATATACTACCGAATTAACTTTATATGTGAGGGCGAGCGTAGATTTATGGGTTTAGGATCGAGTGAACAAATATATATCTTTGAAAACTCAATTCAAAGTTTCAGAAGTCTGTATACAGTAGAGGGAATCTCATATTACGAGTTCATATTACTATACTACAGTAAAAGCCTTCTAGCTTCGCAGTTCATTTCATATTTTAGGATCTAACTAGTGAAGGAAAGACGTCAATGCGGGGTTTGTTCATATGCATATGAACTGGATTCATGAGTTGAAGAACATTCATCACAAAGTGATAGATATCATATCGATGTGCATCTATAGTCAAGCGATGCGCAGAACTCCTTCTACTTTGGGGGTAATTATTCTCGGCTTACGATCGCATTTGGGCATTGATTGGTAAGGTGGAGCTTTTTGGCATGCATTTCACCCCGAGTGCGAAGTCGAGTTTGAGCGAGCCCGCAGATAGGCGTATTGGTTGGCTGGAAATTAATGTTGGGTGGAAGCGAAAATGACCATAAGAATATTGTCGTAATCAGGGAATTCGTGATTTTGCAATGCATATGCCTGTTGAAAAGAGGGGTAGTGGATCAGAGACGGGTCGAGCTAAGGGAAGGGGGAAGGGAGGGGGGTATTCCGAGGAGTTCGTAACACAATGTAAGTACAACCGATGTTACAACCGAAACCTCCATCTAGGATCGGCTAGAATATCATGGAAAGTTAATCAAAGATTCCTAGCCCTAGGAAGAAAACATGTCCAGTCCAAGAAGCAATGGATGCGACTTAAACCGACAATGAACCCCACATATATACAAGTACTCAAATTGTTGTCGATGTATTCCAATATTTTCAACAACGAAGACGCCAATTTAACTGATTAGAGGTGCTTCCCGTAAATTTAGTAGATCTACAGTGCTCTACACTTCCAAGTTGTGCTAGTATAGTATGTATACCAATCGCTGACTTATCGATCATGATCGCACAAAGACTTGCCCGATTGACCAATGTAGTTACTCCGGAAGGGCGGGGACGGCTCGCCTCGAAGTAAAGGCGGAAGAGCTAGCGGGAGCTATTAATGCACCTCATATGCACGCCAGAGCATATTATTCGTCACCATAACTTCAGCTCGGCGGGGTCAGTGCCCGCCTCAGGACTAGGCTCTTTTGGCAATGTTCCTCTGTGTTGGCAACTCCATATGGTTCTAGTACTATGTAGTAGATCTTTGATAGCTTGCAGTTAATCCTGCATAAGAGTGTGCCGCTTTCTTGTAATGAGACTGGTGCTAAGATATCAGGCACATATCGAGAGTTCCAAGTCGGACGAAAGAAGTGAAGATCTTGATGGTATTAGTTTATGGGGCCAATGAGACGGACCCCGCATCGGCTTTTGAAAATCTTGGTCGCAGTCGGATATAGCCACCACCGATACGGGGGGCTTCTTTCTCTATAAATAAGGCGGCCAGGAGTGCATTGTCTGTGAATTTGGCTCATTCCAGAGATCTGAGAATACCAGCTTAGGCATATATCCACAAACCGAGTGTTACTTCACGCCACTTGCACTACCCACTTCCAAATTTCCCAATTTCATAATTGATCTTTCTTTGATTTCGAGTTTTGATTCCATATCATCTTTCTCCTCTTTAACATTTCATTAATACTCTGTGATCAGGGCACCTTTTTTGTTAACAAAGAAAGAAAGAAAGAAAAGTTACAACCATGGTCATTAAAACATTCCACGTAGACGTCGAATCCGGCAGCACGGGGGCTAGAGCATACCTCAACCTCATCGTGGACCTACGAAGAAGTGCTGCGGCAGGTGATCGCGTAGTCCATGGCCTCGGCGTCCTCCCTGCAGAAACAGCGAATCCCGCTGACTTCATTGACGTTGGACTAAAGACTACAACAAATCTAATAACAGTAAGGCTTCGGAGAGACAACCTTTACTTGATCGGATACCTACCTAGCTACCGGACGAGGTGGTACGAATTTTCAGATACCCACCTTATCCAAGGTTCCGAAGCCCTGCCACATGACGGCCACTACACTACACTCGAAAAAAAAGCCAATGCATCAAGAAGAGATATTGCTCTCGGCTTTGGGCCAACGGAAGGAGCCGTCAACGCACTCGCACAAAAGGGCGCCCCAAGTTCAGTGGAGATACATGCTCGTTCATTGATCATCTTAATCGAAGCCATAAGCGAGGCTATGAGATCCACTGTTGCATGCGAGTTCATTAGAAGCAAGTGGGAGCTGGGCACAGCGGAAAAGCCAACGCTCAGAATCGTAACCCTCGAGAACAGCTGGGACCCAATTTCTAAGGCAATCATGGAAAATCATGCTGTCACCGATCGCTCAATTGCAGTTTACATAAAAGAAGGCACGGAAACACCAACTCTTCAAGATTGTGTCAATGTTATTGGTGTATTGTTGCGTGGGGGGCATTAGATTGCCCATGACCAGGCCACTACCCCCATGGATATTATGAAGATTACCGTCCGCAGAGCCAACAGCTATAGCACAAAGCAAATGTATTTGTTATAGCGGCTGAAAGGTGTACGCAAACGATATTTCTGCGGTTTTTTTTTGATTTTTGACCGATATCTTTCTGTAACTATTCACTACGTCAAAGGATTTACCTGAGGAGATGGGGGGGCTAAGAAAGTGTGGAAATTGATTAGCTATAGCCTGATAGTATCTGAAATCGAAGCCAGTTTGTTTGATTCATTCAAAATTAGCCACCATTCAAGCACTAGTCTACATATTTGCTCCCGTATTAGTTCCATCAGTCTTTGAAGTCTACCTATTTAGTCTATTGCCTCGAAAGTGTGTTGAACGTTGTATTTCCAATTCTAGACCACTCCCACCGCCCTAACCTCTTTCGGAACAATTTAATATCCAACGTTGGCAACACGGTCAGCTTATCTCGTAAACGAGGTAGGAGTAGTGCCTCCAAAAATACCGAAATCGTGCAATATAAGGTGGAATAAGTCCCATTAGATCTCAATAGAAGTATTAGCGCCAGAAGAAATGCGGGTTTCTCACCGCCCTAATTAGTCCTCGAGGCTTTACTTCTTCTTTGTCATAACTCCTCATAGTGGTTCAGAATTCAGGATTACTTGAACTGAACTTTAGTTATGTCGAACGAACGACCATGCGTCCGAGTCTTTATATGGCCGATTATGTTGTTTTGGTAGATTTCAATTGCTTTGATACCAATTTTAAAACAAATCAAGTCACTCTGAACGATCGGTCTGAGGTCTAAATAATTCGATGGAGGACAATTAATTAGTGGCGGGGCTATTTCGATAGCTATAGTCGAACTTCTATAATGTCACACCTGTTAGAAAAGCTAGTTTATATAACCATCGATATTGCTGACATAATGACTCAAGGATATTCCTGTTACTGGAAATGGCAGTATATGTGCATACAATGCCATTGAGCTTATGAGATAGCAAAATCTAAAGGTAGATTTGTGAGTTCATATATGACCGAACTGTAAATTGGGCGGCATGTTTGACTAGGAGCCGGGTGAGAAACTACGTCTAGCCTCGGGGCTAGAGATTGTATTTTCATATTCTACTTAAGGACGCCCCGAGACTAGTTAAGAACTACGGATTCAGCTCCGGGCCAGGTTTCAACCGGGTTCCAGCCAGGATTTGGCATTTTGTCTGAAGAACTCTTCATTTTGAAGCTTTATTTTGAAGCTCAAAGTTATAAGTCTGGTTACGAGACTGCAAAGTTATCATGTGGCCTGCTATGAATGTAAGGCGGATGTCATATTTAAAACCCGAAATTATTCAGAAGTTTTTATATGATGGCTTCTCCGTAAGGTACTACGCAGATTATCTCGTCGCCAGCTACACAGATAACTTGTGGTGTTCTGAATACCATGACATTTTGAGATAACTTTGCGGCACTATGTCAATCTAAAAGCTCACGCCATATTTGCCAAAAGTCTTTAAGCTTTCCCCCTAGTCCTTCTAGGTCATGCAAGTTTCCCCGATGACACCTGCAGGAATCAATCTAATATACGGGTACTAACCTAAGTGCGCAGCTGCAAATATACTTAATTGTTCAATTTGATGAACTTGAATTCAATAAGCACTAAAATCGCAAATTTAGTCAAAACCAAGCAAGCTAGGAATCTACGATGCTAGTAGTCCATCTAATATAGGTTGAGAGCAGTCAAGATTTTCGTTACCAAATATTACAATTTAACAGTAGAAGGTATTACCTACGCGTATACCATTACAGAGATTAACTTAGAGGTTTGTTTCCCATGTCACACACGCTTTTTGGCGCACACGCCTAGCCGACCATTCTAGGTATAGCTATCACCAACCTCATAATCTCGTTCAAGAAGTCCAAGTTTGGAAATGTCACGTGCACTGGTGATAGGACGCTGAAGTCACATGTTTAGTCATGCTTTTAGATAAACTATCACAGCACGTGGAATGTTGCATTTTTTTTGGAATGAACGAATTTTTCAAAAATTTCCGGGTTTCGCGGAAGCCGATAGCTTCGGAATTGATTGCACGGGGGGTTTGTGACTAATCTAGCGGGAAATAAAGTATATACTGTATATTGTGAGCATAATTTCAGGAGCTTGAAGAGAATTACCGATCTCTTGGAATGCCCGATGCAATGCAAGGTCGACCGGTTGACCTAGGCAACTCTGATATCTATATATATACGGAAGGCCAGGTTTTTCAATCTCCGTAAAATTGGGGGCTAGTTCGAATGTTCCTGTGAATAGGTAGATGACACCATATACCCCCCGTCCCTTCTACATCTCAAGGAATCCTCGGCCTCGGGTAGATGAGGAAAACTAGTTTATATTGAAATTATGGCAGCAGATCAAGACGAGGAGCTCAAGCTCCCTGCATTAAGGAATCGTACTACCGTAAATTTATAACTTCTAAAAGGGGGCGGTATTTTTTTTTGCTTCTCACTATAGTTTGACTAGCTCGAGACCATTCCATCGGGGATAAATTTTGATGTGCATATGCACGATTTTGACTTGCAATTGAGTATTTTAGCGCATACCTACGGCGAACAGCATCAATTTAGAGGCTACCGTAGACTTGGGTAAAGGCATATGCAAAACATAGATATCTTAGACCAAACAGGAAGAGATAGTCAATTCTCGGGACGAAGAAAGCTGTCTTAGATTTTTAAAACCACTCATCCAACCGACGTTGACGGAAGCCGGGTGGCCCAAGCTTGGGGAAGAGCCCGAAGGATTGTGCCGGGACCAGTTAAACGATCCGGACGGACGGGTAAGCAAATACTTGAGTACATACTAGGTACTTACGTACACAGTATACCCGGTATTTTCGAATCAAGAAGGTAAGGGAACATTGGCGCAGGGCACGGCTGTGAGAAAAATGGAGTCAAACGTGCATAGAGTCTGCAGATTGGCATTTAGGGATACAGGATACGATAATGACGGGCTCTTGTATATAAGTACTTTTGTGATACATCACATTTTGTCGACGAGGTTTCTCTAAAGTGATATCATAACCTCGCTTTAAAGGTATCGTTGAAGGTTTAGTATATAAAATAAAGGAGGGTGTGGAATGTAGACATCTCCTTGCCTAAACCCGAAGAGATTTAGATCTATGTACGTAGTAAATGTACCGAGAGACTGGTCGTTTATATCGATACGGATCTAGAGCTAGGGAAGCTAGTCTACGCCTGACGTAGTTACTCGAGGATCGAAGGAGGATGACTAAAAGATATTTATTCCAGCCCGGATACCTCTATTAAAATACCTCAAAATGCTCGCATTCAGGATTCAATTGTAAGGCTATTTTGTTATGTAGGTCTGATACATGCCCGCGAATTTTCTGAAGTTCTTACACATGCATCTTAAAAGCCCAACAAACTAGGATGGATGCCATACATGTACATTACATGTATACAAAGATACCCTGTATCTACAAGCAAACTCGAGAAGTCCATGTACCTGGGACTGCCCAATATCCGCACATAGCCGTTCGAATTCTCAAAGCTTGAAATTCCTGCTTTGCGTTATGGAAAACTCCGAAGCTTCATACCTAGCCAATTCACAGCTGTATCAAGCACACCTCGAGAGATCTAGATTGCAACTCGATCCACAACCTCCAATAAACAACTTCAAAAGTAGCTTAAACTAACGACAAGCACGAGCTCAACAAAACCGTCTTCCGCGGATCCGGAATTCCCGGTTCCAACTGCACTATCCTTTGTGGCGTCGAAAAACCAGCTTTCCAACTGCAGCTGCAGACCTTTTTGGAAAACTCTGCTCCTCTTCAGCTAGGAGGCTCCTGGATAGGAGCTTGAGCTGGAAAAGTGGCGTCACTGGAGGTTAACGCACTGGCCCCGTCGTGTTGCAAATTGGGTCGAGAACGTGGGGCCTAGAACCTCGAAGTCCAGATCAGGGATACATATCCTCACAGACTTCATAGCATTACAGAGTAGATCCTTTCAGCGGGGCAGAATATTTCAAAATAACATAAGTTTTCCTTCAAAATAGTTTGTGGAAGCCCTTCTCAGGCCTCGAGCCTAGTTTCCGTCCTAATCCCGACAGCCGCCAACGGGAAACCTTTTACCGTCTTGTCATCATGCATGCACGTTCCAAAACCTGCCAACGAAGCTCGAATGTGCACAGACATGCATTAAACACCACAAGCACCCTCACACGCATCGAAAAATGCAGCTAAATCATGTATCATGGGTTATCATCTGATCGATCTCGTGTTCGGCGGCTCGCCATGTCTGCGTTTTTTTTTTCGCCTTCTACGTTGTTTAATTTTTTTCAACTAAGGTATAAACGGCTGCTAGCTACATCCTACATACATACATTCCTGCAAGAACGTGCGTGCTCATTACATATGCTGTATCCCGTTGCATGGAAGTGGGTAGACTGTAATGGAAGGGGGAGGGATTTAAGATAGGTACTTTAGAGTAACTATTTGGGGCGGAATGAATAAAATGAAATGTAAACAACTGTGCGTTTGAGTCTCTACATACCACCGGCCCGTGTATGTAGATAGTCCCGCACTACATGATGTGGGGGTAGTGGAGTCTGTTCTTGAGGCGTATATGTTTTACATTATTGTCTATTTCCCGGACGGTACAGGGAACTAGGGGTGTGCACAGTATGTCAAGTCAATAATTGTGGGGATTATGGGGCACTGATGGTATCGGTACTCCCGTAGAGAAGCTGGGATGATCCTGTCGAGATATCCGTACGAGGACTTCGAGAATGATATTATCGCGAGGCTTTTTTTACCCTTTTACCTCTCTCTTTTCTTTAACACCGAGAGAATATTATTTTAGAAATTGGAATCTGAAGGTCAAAGTTAAGATTTAAGTCAGGGAGGAGTTGTTTCTTATTTTTTTGCCTTCGTCTTGTCGAGATCAATCTAAGGTTTTGGTGGGATTGCGGCTGTTCACTT